ACCCTAACCCTAACCCTAACCCTAACCCTAACCCTAACCCTAACCCTAACCCTAACCCTAACCCTAACCCTAACCCTAACCCTAACCCTAACCCTAACCCTAACCCTAACCCTAACCCTAACCCTAACCCTAACCCTAACCCTAACCCTAACCCTAACCCTAACCCTAACCCTAACCCTAACCCTAACCCTAACGCGCTAGTTGTTGCGCTGTATAGGCCGGAAAAACGCCGGCGACAGGTGTACATATTGTCTCATACAAACTGGGTGGAAGCTGAAGTCCTCCGATTTAAGCTTGTGAGGCTAATTCCTGGATTTGTATCTTTTCCCAGTATCGAATCTTTGATCAATTGTTGCGCAATCAAAACAGGTTCAAAAGTTCGATAATTACCACCATTCCATTGCTCTCGAATGGCGCAGTCTGCACCAGAATCAAATGGGGACTGAAGCGACGGGATGCGACTGAACTTGAAGCTGACTGAGATTGACTCGAATCTATCGAAGCACAGCCAGCTTTTTACCTCGAATCTTACAATCAGATTTGGATTTGAATATCTGCAAATGGGATAGAAGATACTTCAGATCGAGCGCTTTCGATTGAACCAGGTTTCGGAAGCTGAAACTTTGATCAGAAGGGAGAAAAGGACGTCGAAGTTGATCGAGTACAAAGTGGGATTTCAGTACAATCAGCAGTGGGTTCGAATCAGCGCGCGTACCAGCCAAAATGATACAGCGCAAGCAGTATTACTCTAAATATATTATCGAATTTTGTTAATTTATAGGTAAAAAAATACGTAATAAATAAATAAAAGTCCTTTATTAAAAATTTACTAAATATTTATGTAAATAATTACTAAATTAAAAAAGTATTATATCGTTAAGTACGAGAATATTATTATGTCATTAAAGTTACTGCCTTTTAACTCTTTCCCGTTTCAACGATTATTTACTTTTTTTCGTTCATCATTAGCCCATGGCGGATTTCCCATTCTCGGTAATCACTTGGGGACGTGACATAAATCCCACCTGCGGGGAGGCTCTGTCGACTCGGTACATATTCGCGGACATATAACGTAGCGATTGGGTCCACAATAGGGGGTACTGACTGAGGGCCACCAACACGAGAAAACACCATCTTCCCGGGGAACTGCCAACGATAATCGAGGCGGCGGGGCAAGGGAAACCACGGGATAGAGAAAACCGAGTTAGGATATCGAAGCACGACAAAGGGTACGACGAATTCTTCCCGCGCAGTATAGAAGCCGTTGGCATCCATATCATCCACCGTCTGCATGAAGCGTACGCTGTAGTTCAGCATCCCGAGTGAGCTGCCTACGTAGACATTGGCAATGAACTGGCGGCTGCGCCAGGTCCTTCTAGGATTGCTCCAACATTCGTCGTCAATGTCCGGGCAGCCGTCTCGGTGGGAATATTCTCCCATAACTACCCCCGTGTCGCGTGCGATGCTAATGGCACGATCCATCTTTGCCTCGTCGAGGCCGCTCTTAAGGAGGTCGCCCCAGATCATTCCATCAGAGTCTTTGGGGCCATCATCAAAGAGGAACCCTGCGTCTACGTACATCCACCGGTTAGAACCAAAGGGATTACGCATAACTGCGTCGTACATGATGAATGCCTTGGCGTTACAAACGGCACTGTGATGGGCACGGTTGTATCGGTCTACAGGTCTTAGCTCACCATCAGCATCGCTATAACCGTCAAACTCCCGGAAAAGTTTCGGCTGTTCATTTGCGAAGTTATCGCGCTGATAATCGTTCGTTGGTATGTCCCAAACAGTAGCATATGAGTCTACTATGTACCAATGCGGGTCTGGACGCATAGCGCGGATTGTTTCCGTAAGCTCGGGCGGAATATAGAGGATGGTTTGCTCTCCCATCTTAGCTATGCGTTCAATTCTCTTTAGGTAAGAGAGGCTCTGATGTATAGGTCTTGCATCATCTTGATCCGGGCGAGGATAAAAAATCAAGACCATAGTGGGTGCGTCCTGACGAATAGGTGGCACCTGTGGAGTAGTTCGGAATTGTGGCACTTCTTGTCCACCGGAAAGGGCATTTTGCCATTCTGCAGCCTGTCGGCCGTAGGGTAAAACAGGCGGCCTCAAGTACTCGCGTGGTGATCTTCCGCGAAAGCCGTCCCATGAGATGAGTGGCTCGTCAATTGGTGTCAAATCTTGAATGTGCTTCAACTTCTCTCGATATGAGGAAGCTTGATCGAAGCCATTTTCATACGTTCTAAATTCTGTTTCCGAAGACATGTTCAACTTAGTAGTTAGGTAAGAAGCCTGGAACAAGTATCTTTAGATGTTCCGTAGGAAGTCCTTATATTTATGTTGTTATACATTCTAGCGGCGTTTCCTTGTTCAATAACATGTCATTTATTTCCATTTAATCAGCTATATTCGAAAAAGGGATTGTGAGAGAACAAAGGAGGCTTTCGTAACAATTGCTGATCTTGTTAATTTAAACAGATAATAGTAAGTGAGTAACTACTCAGAGTTAGCTAAGGTTAGTGAGTCTTTACTTTTGGTCCACCTACAATCGCAACCGTTATTTTTAATTGACGTGTATAAAACATAAATCTCACATTAACCGTCTCCCGTCGTACATACCTGGCGGGGCCACACTGATGAATATTGTCACTCTAGGTCCCTGACTTTGGAAGACTAAACACCAGCACAAATTCACAGGACGGGACGGACTTGAGAGGTGACTCTCTCCATGACTCATTATGATAGAGAGTTGTTGAGGTTCAATGGTACAAAGAGACTTTTCAGGTATCCCGTTGAATTCCAGAGGGGAAAGTGACAACCACTCAGGCAGCGCCGTTAGAAAGTAAGCAGTTAGGTTCCAAGGTCAGCTTTTAAGTAACTAGGCGTATTGGAGACAATAGGTCTGAATTCCAAGTATATTACCTAATTACAAGGTATATAAACCTCCCAAGGAAAAATGGTTATCTACTATACAAGTTTCTGTCACAAAGAAATTGAAAGGAGATATTTTTTAACCTTACCTAGGTAAGTTCTTTCCTCTATGCTAGGCCGTCACTCATAACGCACCCCTCTAGTTAAAAGTGGACAAGACCCTCTTGGCGGATGGTTTTGGCAGGTTTGCGGAGATGAAGGCCGGGTGGCCGGGGTGTGAACTTGCGGAGTTTGTGGACCAGGTCCTAAATGTGCGGAGTTCTGAGACCGTCTGAGATGACTTTATACATGGTACCTGCTGCCGACAGGTGGAATTCTCAGAGGCAAACCGGACCAAATTTTATAGTACAATATTTTAAAGTCTCCGCCATGGTACCGATGTTTTCGGTTAAAGATGGTACCTAGGTAATAGTCAAATTTCTACATATCATCGGTTCTAATAGTATATTATATACCTATCTTCTCTCGCTATTATTATAACAAGTTCTTTTCTCGCCCCCTTATAAGATTCTGCTCTCATGTCCAACACGAAGTAATAGATCTCTAAATATTATATTAACCATGTCGGCCAAGAAATCGGTCCTTATCACGGGCTGTAGCGAGGGAGGTATAGGTTACGCGTTAGCTAAGGAGTTTCAAGCCAATGGCCTACGTGTTTTCGCTACTGCACGTTCGTTATCGAAGGTAGCCCCCCTCAAAGATCTCCCCAACGTCACAGTGCTGCCCCTAGATGTCACTTCGCCCGGGTCTATCACAGCTGTCGTGCCCATCGTCTCCGGCGCGACGGGGGGCAAGTTAGACTACCTTGTCAACAACTCTGGCCTGCAAGTCCTCAACCCGCTACTTGATTCCAACTTAAAACAGGCTAGGGATATGTTCGAAGTCAATTTGTTCGGGGCAATCGCTATGGTCCAAGCCTTCGCTCCTTTGCTTATCGCAGCCGAGGGTTGTGTCGTTAATATGACTTCTATCACCGCGTTGATGTCTCCACCTTGGATGGGTAAGTTATTAGTCTTCGCGAACTCCGCACACCCATGCATTCTAAATATTCTGCTGACTTAGACCTTTATCCGAAAACAGGGTTCTACGCTGGTTCTAAGTCTGCCTTCGTCACCGTCAGTGAGTGCCTGCGTCTAGAGCTACAGCCGCTTGGTGTACGTGTGGTCACCATCAACGTAGGTGCCGTAAAGACCAATATTTTTAACAATGCCCCTGCACACTACGAACTATCGCCTGGCTCAGTGTATGGTCCGATAGAAAAGCAGATAGGGGCAAGGGTGACAGGAAATGACGTCTCTGGTCAGAAAGACACCCCTGAAGTTTTTGCTCGCGTGCTTGTCGCTAGGGTTCTGGGTGGTGCAACTGGGAAAGTCTCATGCGGAAAGTTCTCGACCACTATTAGAGTTCTCACGACATATTTTCCGACATGGATCATTGTAAGTCCCTAAATTTTCTTGTTTCCTGTTTCGTTTACCTCCCTCTACTCCTCAACTTTATATTCTCAGCGACAGTTGCTAATTCAAGTTTTCAGGATCGTTTGAGCATTGTTAATACTGGACTCGATACGTGGAAATAGCTACGGAGATATATGTAGTATTTTCGTTCATTTACAGATTTCATGAAGGACATTGACTTTGGGGGCGTTAAAACGAGTTCTACCTTATTTAAATACCTTAAGTAACTACCTAGTGGTAGGTAATAATTAAGGAGGAATCAGAAACGAATTTACAAATGTTACATTCATTTTTAAAGACAAAGAAAATAAATAGCATTATCTTGCTTGCATATCGCTAGGTGCTCAGTGCATAATCGCAAGTGACAAATAATTAGGTAGGTAGGTAATTTATGTACCTACCTAAGTACCTATCTACTAAGTAAGTTAGTAGGTACCCGTGTAGCAGTATACCTAGTACTCAATCGAAAAATAGTAGTCCATCCACCACGTTATAGTGGATGGCCGCTGTCAGTCGGGAATTGGAGTTCACCGGGGCAGCTTACCACCTATTGTCAACTAAATCGGGTACAGACTTTAGCAGACCCACCCCCCGTCGACGTTGTAAACTGCTCCAGTTACGAATGAAGCCTCGTCGCTCAGCAAGAAAGCTATCACACGTGCTATCTCGTCTGGCTCAGCTCTTCGCTTCTGTGCCGTGTGCTGAAGATTGCGCTTCACAACTTCTAGATCTTCCCCATCCGAGAGTGGTGTTCTTACGGAACCTTTGCATCGTATTAAGCTTAATTCTCTCTCAAACACGTTAGTGTGACATACATACCTGGCGAGACACAGTTTATTCGGACATTTTGGTTTTCTTTTGCTGCCGTTCGCGTGAGTCCGATTACAGCAGCTTTGCTGGCGCAGTATGCAGCGTTCCCGGGAGCACCGAATTGACCGAAGACGCTTGCGGCGGAAACCTGTCCGAGATCAATACCAGGCGGACTGTCAAATTACGGCTAATGAGCGAGTATATCTTACGATACTACCTCCAGCTGTCATCGCCTTAATCTGAGCCTGCAGGTATAGTACCTAGTAGTCAGTAAATAATTCTAGCAATTCATCTTCCAGGCGGCATGGATGGACAAAACTCCAAATCGGTGGTTTGTAAGCCTCGGGAGGAGAAGGAAAAGGGGGGATAGGGAGGATGGTACAAGGGGATAAAAGTAATGCTCTCACTCGTAGACAGGCGAAAACTCCCCGCACGTTGACTGCAAAGGTAAAATCCCAATCTTCGTCCGTTGACTCGACCACTGGGACTGCGTGCTTAATGATGCCGGCCATATTGACAGCTCCGTCTAGTTTTCCCAACTTCTGAACCGTGATATCAATCCATGCGTCAACCGACCGACTATCTCGTACATCCACAACAGTGTACATGTGCTGTTTGTAGTCGTCATTTTCCGGTAATGACGCTGTTGCCTCTTTTACGGCGGCCTCGTTGATATCAGCGAGAGAAATTACCGCACCGCGAGAGGCAAGGAGTCTTGCGGTAGCAAGACCCATGCCAGATGCGGCGCCCGTAATAGCAATCTATATGAGATTAGGGGTTAAACTTTATACCAACTCATTTCCACGCTTGATGATGTACAATGAGGGTACGTACAATTTTACCATCAAACGCAGACATAGTTAAGTAGGTAGGTATCTATAAACGTCTCGTTTTCCCAGGGTCCAACTACCTAGTACCTAGTATCGGGTTGAGGTAAATGCGAAAATTTCGCTTGTTTAATTCGGTACCTAGTAGGTAGGTTATAGGAAGAGATATCCCTAAAATTGTCCGGAACATGCTCCTTATTTGATTTGGAATTTGAGATGCGGGGGTGATTCCATAAGTTCCTTTTAGTCAATACCATATGGATCTACTATTGAAATAGGCAAGTAATCCATTGTTATCTAGAAGAACGGACTAGATAGGTTAGACGAACCGCATGCTAGATGACCGCAATTGATAGTAATGTCCATGCGTGCGTAGGATGGTTCTTCCCCTTATAATTTGATACTACCTAGGTACCTACCTTCTTAATTCATCATTCACTATGATGCGGAGACCGTCAATGAAGCAAGTCGCTATAGGTAATTAGCTATGTACCTAGGTAGGTATATACCCGGTTACTACCTAGTAGAATGGTCTACCTTGCTCATAGCAACGACTAACATACCTAGGTACCTAATTGTAGAAGATGATTTAGAATGCTACCTCCATCATAGCCGTCACCAAGTTCTGTTGATTTAATATTGTGAAGTCAAACGGCCTCTTTATTCATTAGATAAACAGATAAAGAGTGCACATGGACATGAGGAAATTCTATTATTATCCAGGCTTGCGTTTAGCCATATCGATCCACGACACGCACGAGTTTCGAGAGCAGGGTTTTTCTCTCCAAGCTTCTCTAATGGTCTTCATCGTGACCGTAAATGTATCAAGGCCGCTACTACGCATGCACGTTTCAAACCAGTCCGAGAATGCGGTCTGCATTGTAGCGTCTTCAGTTTCGCAAGCAGCTATGAATGCCGGCCAGATGAGACTCAAAGAACCACCTGCGATCCCGGAACCATCACATTGATGGCGCGTGAGTGATTCAAGTACATTTGAGACCATGGGCTGAAGTAGCGCCGAATCTATGTCGTAAATGCGGCGGTAAAAGTAGATCGCCAACGCATTCTGTACCGCGCTAATTATGTTCGCGAGGTGGTCTACTTTCGCCATTTCTGAGTACTGAAGTTGAAAAGCTGAGGTACTCCCCTGCTCTCGATGTTGCTTTATGCAGTTCTCAAGATTCTTCGCACGACTTAAAAATTCGGCGATATCCGAGCCCGTTTGTGCGACGCCTTGCCCGACGCTGTCCTTCTCCTTCCCTAGCCGTATTATGCATGACAGTAGGTAGATCAACGGTTCGGGGACACCGTAGATCTCGGGATATAACGTGGCGGGCCACATCCCGGGCCGCTCAAGATGCAAGTCATTCTCTCCCTCTTCCCGAGTTTTCGATTTGAGCATCTCCTGAGCTAGATCACGCCATCGGGATACCTGGAAGGAAAGGCTATCCTGGCTGTAGACAATGGAATCACTTGATTCTATAGCTCTTTGAACTTCGTGCCGATGGGGATTATTGTTGCTGATGCATAGACTCTCGTAGAACACTCGTTGGAATGCGTAGCAGTGATGAAGCAAGCGTACTTTGCGCGACTTTTGACGACTTAAACCTCTGAGACGGATGAACTTTTCGGCCTCTACGAAATAAAAGTCAACGCGTTTTCGCCTCCCGGTAACGCTATATAGGTGAACGAGGGTAAGAAGAGCCATCAATATAGTCTTATACTTGGCCAATTTTGGTATATAATAAGCCGTCTCCAATGTTGCTCGGCAGTATTCGCGAGCTTTCCTTTCGTACACCTTTGCTCGTTCGAGCCATATCGACGACTGGTCCTGTGTCTTTCTTCCGAGGCTAGAGGCACTAATTGCCAAGGTACCGAAGAATATCGTCAAGCTCGCATAGGTTAGATTTTCACCCATTGTCAAGGCAGCCAGGCAGCTCTTAACGTGAGGGATGAATAGGGTATGCCACGGTGTCTTGGTATGGCCGAATGGGGTGATGAAGTTCACGATGTTGGAAGTGTAATGTTTGAGTAGAAACACGGCGTCCCCGGGGATTGGTGTGGGAACACCCATGAGTGCCGTCATAGGGTCGTAGGTGGTAAATGAATTGATGCCGAAGTCTATGGTACTAGACGAAAAACAGTCGCCGGACGATGACGATAGGTCTCCGAAGGCCCCCTGGCCGGTAATGCAGAGATGTGTATTTTTCACTTCAATCGTTGGTTCCATTTCGCGAAGCTCTTCTGAAGTTGCGTCCGCGTCAGTTATATCGGTGATATTGTAGATACTCGATGTAGGAGGTAAAAGTTCTTGTGTAGAGCTGTCAAAGATAGTATCCAAAAGATCAGATGACCAATCCTGGTTCATAGCAGGATCGTCGACCACTTCTTCTGGTGAATGCCTCGAATGCGGAATTTCGAGTTGGGTATGGCTTCTCTGAGTAAGGAAAGCCCGGAACACACCAAATGGCCCATCTAGCAGTTCGATAACCTCTCCGGGGGTGGCTTTCGCGCATTGTTCTTCTAGGTGCGAAAGCTGCGATGCTACTAAAGGTGGCGGTATGCTCGAAGTAAGCCGCCGGCTCATATCCCTACGTTCTGCCTCAGTGAAAAGAAGCCGCCGAAAGCGACCCCCTTTCCCAGTGATGTCGTCATCGCCGTCGTCGCCGTCGGATGCGAAAAATATGTTTTTCCCATAGCCTTGGCAAGTCAGACCTGTCGTCCTACAAAGAAGACAGAAAGGCCTAGCTTCGTCACATTTGACCCGTCGACTTCGGCACTAAGCTAATATTAGCTTGGTTTGAAAAGCGATCACACGATCGTAAAAAAATATGGGTTGGGGGTGAAAATTGGATGGGATAACACTCACAGTATCACAACCTCCGAATGATCGAATAGCGATACAGTCAGCCCCTGCCATAGCTGTCGGTTAGTCATATGTTTGAGAACTACATCGTCGAGGAAACTTTCCTCATGACAAGACAGTCCAACTGCTCGGGATCCGTGGGCTTTCTAAAGGGGACACGATGGCTCCAATGTGGGGCTTTCGGAACAGGAAAGTTTCCCCCAAGGTCTCTATTTAGTGTCTCTAATCGTTCTAACCCTTGGAAGGCTCCGTTTTACCCGATAAGGGGTTTTATAGGCTAGTATGGATGTCCGGAACATTACTTCGTATATCTACGGCTGGGGGTGATTGACTAACGTTAACTAACCAAGGTCGTGACCGGGCCGTTGCCAAGGACTATAGACGTAGATAATGCGTTTGGAGATATGACCGCTGTCGATATTAGTCACCTACCTAGGTACCCAGGTATAATTACGCGCAACTCTAGATGACATAAGAAACTTCATTCCATAAAGGCATAGCTGTGTGCTCTCAGATTTAGGCGACGTTAACAAGCACGACTGAAATATAAAGCGAACACATTTATAGATCTGATGTATCTCGACAAAGTTCATACCTATCTAGTACCTAGGTAGTATCTTCTATGCTTGCATTTTAACGACGGCCTCTATCCAACAAGCACGTCATGACAATGTCTCCCGGCGTTGAATATCAAGGTCAAGGCAAGGATGTCGAGAAGACGATCGCCCTCTCTCCGACACAGAGTGCCCGCGATGGGCAAGTTGTCGAGCCGCTCGGCACCAAGCGAGGCATTAAATCACGCCAAGCTCAGATGATAGCCATTGGAGGAAGCGTTGGGACGTCTCTCTTCATTGCCAGTGGTCAGGCTCTTGCTGTAGGGGGGCCGGCATTTCTTCTTGTGGCATATATCATCATGTCTCTTATGGTATACGGCATTGTTACAGCTGTCGTCGAGGTGAGTTAGGGAAAAGAGATTTCATCTCACAAGACCTGCGATGAGATGAAGGTGTACTGACTTCTGAGTTCGTTAGGTCGGTACTCATTTACCTCTTTCCGGAGCCTCGATGTCGATGCACTGCAGTCGTTACGTGTCGAAATCTCTAGGTGTCGCGCTCGGTTACCTTTATTTCTATTCATTCGGTATCCTTGCCGCCTACGAGATTACTGCAGGAACAATCCTCATCAATTACTGGCCAAACAACGTGCACGTTGCGGTTTGGATCACGATATTCATGGTACTCATCATCGGGCTCAACCTTTGTCCTGTCCATATCTACGCCGAAACCGAATTCTACTTCGCCGGCATCAAAGTTATCCTCATAATAGGTTTACTAATATTGTCACTCGTCTTGATGCTCGGTGGAGGTCCTTCCCATGATCGACTCGGTTTTCGCTACTGGTCTGATCCTGGAGCTGTTAATGCGTATATCGAACCCGGCTCGCGTGGTCGCCTTGTCGCTTTTATTTATGTTTGGATATTGTCCGGCTTCTCATTTTATTTCAGTCCTGAATTAATTATCGTCACGTCGGGAGAAATGAAGAACCCGCGGAAGAATCTCCCAATAGCGTCGCGGCAGTTCTTCTATCGCTTGATCTTCTTTTATGTCCTTGGCGCTGCCGCCATCGGGGCCATATGCGCCTCGAATTCTTCAGGGCTCGTCTCCGGGGCTGGGAATGCGAACGCGTCACCGTGGGTTATTGCTATTCGCAATGCGGGTATCGAGATACTCCCGTCTATTGTGAACGCAGGAATCCTCTCAAGTGCCTGCTCTGCCGGAAACTCGTATCTATTCATGTCGGGCCGTTCGTTGTATTCACTTGCGGTCTCCGGACATGCACCCCAGATATTCACCCGATGCAACCGCTGGGGTGTACCGATCTATGCTGTTCTCACGGCCTGCCTCTTTGTACCTTTGGCTTATATGGTTTGCAATTCAGGTACAGGAGTTGCGTTCAACTGGTTCATAAGTATCACGAACACTGCAGGATACACATCTTGGATTGTTTGCTGCGTCACCTTCCTGAGATTTCGCAAAGCATGCGATATTCAAGGCATCGCATCACCTTACAAGTCACGAGCCCAGCCGTTTGCGGCCTGGATCTGCATGATCCTCTTTGCGGTTTTGCTGTTGCTCAATGGTTTCACTGTTTTCCTTCCCGGAAAATGGTCTGTGAGCGGATTCTTGACATCATACATTGGAATTCCCATCTTCCTAGTCATCTGGCTTGGACACAAGCTTACTGCTGGTCGAAATGACCCATGGATGTATAGTCCACAGGACGTCGATTTAACTTCAGGTTTAAGTGTGGTTGAAGCAGATGTATCACAGGGCCAAGCAGATGAAGCGATGAATTCAGCTGGAGTTGGCCTGATCAAGAAGTTAAAGAATCGGTTCATCTCAGGTAGGCAAGGGTAGAATTTACCTAACAAACATTACAAGGTACCTAACTTTATAAACACAAAGAGGAGATTGTAACATAGAAAGATATTTACATGATATCAATTATAGTCTCATGTTTGATTACCTAGCAAATTCAATCTTGACATTATACTGGGACATGGCAGTTCATATTAGCGACAGCGACGAGGTGGCGTACGCTTCTTGAATTAGCGTTGTTCGTAGGTACCTACAATACCTACCTACCTACCTAGTAGTACCTAGGTATGTTACAGTACCTCATTAGATGCCTGTGAGATTCATTGTGGGCTTGGATAGGTACCAAGTGCCCCGCGTACAGTCGCTAACTGCTGTCTACTACGTACTAGGTAGGTACCTAGTAGGTAACTAGGTATCCAATGAATCCACGAATTGAGATACTTTCCAATAAAACGTAGCGTATCGTGCTAAATAAATATCTAGGAAAAAAGTCAATCAAGTATCTACCTAGGTAGGCATGTTAGTGATGACTGATTAAGGTCTGGGAGGCGATAAAGCAACTCCTAGGCGATATCGATCCAAGCTAGAGGAATCCGAGGAAACTTTCCTCTTATAATGAATGATAAGCAGATACTCAATTAGTTAGGTAATGATGCAGTTTACTATCCAGAAGAATAGGTAGAACGGGGTCAGCCGGGGTCTAGTCGTGTGTGGGGTGCTCGTATCTCATACTCTTGCGACGCTCTCTTATTTCCTTGGGGTTTTTACTTCAAATCATCTATATTAATGCGAACCTTAGGTATCAATTCTATTTTTCTCGCGTTAGTATCTTAGACAAGACTAAAGTACATATTCCTCCTCCATAAGAATTGCTCTTAACTCTTACCTATCTAATTGTCTAGTCCCCTCTCTCGCCACCCGACCCCGGCAACGATCTCTATAATGGATGTCCCAGGTTTTGCTTTGGTAACTGGGGCGGCTTCAGGAATAGGTAGAGCATGCGCAAACACATTTGCTCGGGATGGTGCTGCCGGAGTTGCCCTGTTTGATATCAATCTCGAATCCCTGTTAGCGGTCAAAGCAGAGATAGAAGAGAAGCAACACAACTCCGGGGGCAATACTTGTCGTATTGTGATACACCAAGTCGATATATCGAATGAGGATCAAGTCAATCAATCCGTTAAGGCGGTCGTCGAAGAATTTGGACGGTTAGACTACGTCGCGAACGCCGCAGGCATTGCCATGAAGCATGAAGGTGGTGCCGCATTTGCGCGTCTCGACGACTGGCAGCGCATTCTAAATATCAATCTTACGGGATCTCTCATCATATTAAAGGCAGTGGCCCAGATCATGTTGAAGCAAGAACCGATCCTATCGTCCATTGATCGACGTCCGTTGCAAAGAGGCTCGATTGTACTCTTTGGATCCATTCAATCCGTCGCTGGCATTCCTTTGTCAACTGCTTATGCCGCCTCGAAGGCTGGAGTTTTGGGACTGACTCGGTCTGCCTCTGAGGATTACGCAAAAGACGGGTTAAGGATTAATGCAGTATGCCCAGGATATACCGAGACGCCTTTGACGACGAAGAATCCGGGGGTTTTCAAGGCGATGGAAGAAAGGGTGATGACGGCGGTGCCGATGATGCGGGTGGGAAAGCCTCAAGAAATTGCTGATGGCGTTGTTTATCTTGCAGGTGGTAGGAGTTCTTTCGTTACAGGCACCGCGCTTATGGTTGACGGTGGATATACTGAAAGGTGAAGTGGATATATAGTAGTAGATAGATGCCTAGCACCTATAGGTTTCGACACATGTTTAATTATTTAGATTCAAAAGATAATATATACTGGATAGCATTGTCAGATCCATACCGATCTAATGATTACCTACTAGGTACCTGGCTATTAGTTGTCCCGTACATAAGAATACCTACCTAGTAAGTACCTACTAGGTATTTTGATGGCAGTATCATCATGTCTACTAGATACATACGTACGTACCCAGTACTCTGCCATGTCCGAGACCTTTGAATCATATAACCCAGCGCCCAGGTAGGTAGCGGAAATTTTGTTAGTACCCATGTAATTATTTCAACTTCCCTAGTACATATAAGAGGGTAAGAACTCTAACCTATTAAGGCTTGGTCAATCGAGCAAGTATAGTGGGGTATGCGGGGAAGCCCCACTTGATAATCGAGAAGAGGGAGGGGAAACAGATGAGGAAAGTAATCCCTGACCTCACGCACTCGCGAATCTTACTTAGGTAACGAGAGATAGGTATATCAATACTTATCTTTCTACGGGTAATACATTCCTATATAGAAACTCGCTTGATAAGATTCACTCTAACGACCGATCACGAGAGTAAGGCCATTACCACATTATCAATGCTCAAGGAAGGGCTCGGCTCTTAGCAATTCGCGGAACAAGATGATGGCAATGGAAACCCATATTGACGAAACAGGCAATTCGAGGCCTTGGGAACTCTCAAAGTGTTACGACGTGGACTACGAGAGATCATCGGAAATACCACCACATATTTCATATTTATCTCTTGAATTAACCAGTTGTTTTGTTACGAATCTTTTAGAATCCGAATAATTATTGACGACTTTATTTATATACTTGTCACTAAATAATGTTCTCCGATTGACTACCTACTTACCTACTTAGTACATAATAGTCATCATGGGGTCGATAAATCAGCTTAGGGCTGAATATGATGTATTAATCATTGGCGCTGGGCTTTCGGGTATCTGCGCTCTTCATCACATCCGGGACCGTTTCCCGTCTTGGAGAGTCAAAGTTCTTGAGGCTAGCTCGGGAGTGGGTGGCACCTGGTACATCAACCAGTATCCAGGTGCTCGGGTTGATACGGAGTCTCTAACATACCAATTCTCTTGGGATAAGGAACTCTTGCAAGAGTGGTATTGGAAGGAGACCTTCTCAACGCAACCAGACGTATTGAGATATATACAGCGTGTGTGTGAAAAACACGATCTCTACAAAGACATCCAGCTAGACACCACAATTAAATCCGCGGAATGGCTTGATGGCTCTAATACGTGGCATTTCACCGATAGCCTCGGGTGTGAGTATGGCGCTCGGTTTTTCGTCAGCTGCCTAGGCTTCCTGTCCCTACCCACTCTTCCGGCGATTCCAGGAATCGAGCACTTCAGAGGCCAGGCATTCCACACCTCGGCGTGGCCAAGAGAACTTGATGTCAAGCGAGATCTTGACGGAAAGAAAGTTGGTGTGATCGGAACTGGTGCTACAGGGATACAGACTATCACTGCAATCGCCAAGGCATCCAATTTCGATTCTTTGACGGTATTCCAACGGACTGCAAATTGGTCGGCCCCGCTTCGGAACACAGAGATCTCACCAGAGCAGATGAAGAAGCACGCTCAGGAATACGACTCTATTTTTGGCCAATGTGCAAAGACATCTTCGGGATTCTTATATCAAGCAGACCCTCGAAAGTCGTGTGATGTAACTCAAGAAGAACGTCTTGCACTATGGGAGAAACTATACAATGAACAGGGATTCGGTAAATGGCTAGGCGTTTTCAAGGATACATACACTGATCGTGAAGCCAACGACATGTACTCGGAGTTTATGGCGGCAAAGATTAGGGCACGCGTTAATGACTCTGAAGTGGCAGATTCCCTCATACCTAAAAATCATGGTTTCGGAATGCGACGTGTGCCCCTAGAGAGCGGATACTTCGAGGTGTACAACCAACCTAATATCAAACTGGTAGACTTGAGAAAGACGCCAATCAGGAGAGTAGATGCAACAACAATCGACACTGAAGATGGCAAGAAGCACGATCTCGATGTCCTCATATTTGCAACTGGGTTTAATGCTATCACAGGGTCCTTCAGCGCTATCGACTTTCACGGCAAGCACAATCGTCCGCTGCTGGGCTATAGCGACTCGGATAAGAGTAGTCGGGCTATATGGGTCGATCACAAACCCAAAACGTTCCTCGGAATAATGGCTCCAGATATGCCCAACATGTTTATGGTGCTTGGGCCGCACCAGCCTTTTGGCAACGGTACGCGGAGCCTTGAGAATGCCGTCAATGTCGTATGCGATATACTCCAGCATATACTCGATCACAATTATACATTCGTCGAACCAAAGCCGGAGTCTGTTGAGTCGTGGGGTGAACATGTCGTGAACTGTAGCAAAGGGTTGTTAGGAAACGAGGTAGATAGTTGGATGACAGGTGTCAATACCAACGTAAAGGGTAAGCAAGAAAGAAGCATTGCAAGATATGTTGGCAATGTTGTTGAATATAGGAAAAGATGTTCGGATTGCGCTAAATCGGGATGGAAGGAGTTAAGTTTCGCCTAGATTGTATTTTGTTGGCGTTAATTGTTAAAACTCAATCTAGGGGGGACCTACCTGGTAGAATGTAGATAGTTTAACATTATAGGTACTTAGTTACTAACTAGAGTAGTTCCACTCACTAAGCCTGAAATTAGTCACCGACTCCTGATTGGTGGATTGTCTTAAATATCGACGAAAAGGGAATCTCTGGCATTTGTATGATAGGCTTGTCCCTTTGAACATACTCGCCTAAACCTACTAGGCTGCTAGGTACCTAGGATATAGGTACAAAACACTTAACGGCGTCTGCTGTAGTCACAATATCCCCGAAAGCAAAGCTAAATCCTTCCAATCCTACCTCGTGTTGAGCCTTGTTTGCACTACCACAAGCATCTTGGACAAGCCACTGCATTGTATCATTATATCAATCAGTAATTACCTAGTAATCATTGATAATAGTAGTTCAGTAGAGCTCACCGTTTCCCAGCCTCGATTGAATGCCCCACGCGCCGTCGTATCGACACAACAGTCAGTCATGCAACCGCAAACTACCACTCTCTCCACCTTCATACTCTTCAAACGCTCGTCCAGATCAGTATTGATGAATGCATCATATGTGTTCTTCCTCACAATCTGAACATCGAATTCTTCCTTCATTAGGTCTTTAATTGGTGCCTGCAATTCCCAATCTTTTGAGCCTAAATGAATACTTCCATCCACTCCCCATTTTTGAACAAGTTGACTGAGATAAGGCGGTCCTAACAAGTCGGCTTCATCATGTCCATGTTGAGTGAATATGACAGGGAGGTTAATTAAGTTGAAGTGGCGAATTAGAGTCTGAACTTGCGGAAGGGCACCTTCGGTCATGGTGGTAAAGAAGTTCTGCATGTCAATGACAAGCAAAGCCGATTTAATTGAGGAAGCCATGATCGCAGTTTTGATAGCAGCTTTCTGGGTTATTTTCCGAAGAATTTACTGTTGTTGATCTGGAACGGAGATCTTGCCGACGCCTTAAGTAATTTGATGATAAGTATATGACGTAATCGATACGTCACAATTGGTAGGTACCTAGGTATGTACCTACCCACCTATGTATGATCTCCTGGGCATTGCTAAGAGGTACCTACCTAGTACCTACTAGGTATTGACACCTGAAATGGTTTATTAATATAATTCCTAATAGACGCATGTTTTTAATCGTGAAACAAGGTAGGTACTTAATTATGCTAATGATAATAAAATGTAAAAAATATTAACGCAAAGGTCTAGGTACAAAATTTCGCATCGTGATTTAAAAGTGGCTCAACCCCTAAAACCCAGTGGATCACTGTTATATCTCCAGCCATTAAAGTAGGTATTTAGTGGTTGCTTACCTGGTATGAATATAGCTAATACGCGAAATCTTTTACCTACCTTAGGTACCTAGGTAGGTAGGTATCAAATGATGATATCACTAGTAAGGTATGTAGGTATTGCAAAGGTTACAAGGTAGCCGCGCTGTAATTAGGTACCTGTGAAATATGAATACCAACATTGGGACAAAGGGCAACTAAGTAATATAGATAAAATACCTAGGCAAGTTAATCATGTCCCAGGGCACGTGAAATTACGAATATCCTCCCCCTTATGAGGTCAACTCCTTCGTCCAATTATGTGTATTATCCCAGGAATTAAATGGCGTGATATTGCTAATCTCTTGTCACTTTTTATAGAACTGTATCTATTCGCTATTATATCAATGCGTCACCTCGTTAGATCGTGTGTAATGGCTTCTTCTGGTAGTCGCAATTTTACCAGCTGCAACCTAATTGACATGATGGATCAACATATCACCATCCGATCCCCGCTTGGAGGCCGGCTGATATTTAAATAGGCATTGTAGACCCGGCAATTGGCTTGTCGTAGTCAATTCGAAAAAGCTACTAATACATTCGCAGGCGGCCTTGACGCTGCGAATGATTACCAGCAAGTACCTACCTTTCAAGTTAAAAGGGCACCATGACAAATTCAATCAAAAACGTGGTTGTCGTTGGGGTTAGTAAAGTTTTTCCCAAGTTACCGATAATAAATTTTCAATAGGTGCCTAGCTAGTTATTCAACATTTGCTAATATTATGGCTTAGGCTTCAGGTAACGTTGGAAAGGAAGTTGCTCGGGAACTAATCAAAGCCGGATTCAATGTGACTATATTCACCCGCCAAGATTCAACAGCTACATTTCCGGAGAACGCCACGGTGAAGAAGGTCGATTATCAATCAGTCGAATCGCTGGCCTCCTCGCTCGAAGGTCAAGATGCACTAGTATCTACTATTGCGACCGTGGCAGTTGGTAGCCAGAAAGCACTTGTCGATGCCGCCATCGCGGCCAAGGTGAAGCGATTCATTTCGTCAGAGTTTGGCATAAATACGCGAACCGTCGGTGATTCTGCGATCGGTAAAATTCTCCAAGGTAAAATCAAGGTGCTCGATTATATCATCGAAAAGTCGGAAGAGAACCCATGGTTCACGTGGAACGGCGTGTCAAGTGGTTTATTTTTCGACTGGGTACGCACGCACACCAAATAACCTTGTAAGACGATGACAAGATATTGATAACACTAACAAGGACATCATGCACAGGGACTCCGAGTAGGATCCCTTGGATTCAACAAAGACACAAAGTCTGCAGTTATCTACGACTCTGGCAACGAGCCCGTTCAGGGGTCAAACCTGGCATTTATCGGCAGGGCCGTCGTCGCCATCTTATCTCAACCTCAAAAGACAGCTAATCAGTATCTTTCCATTGCATCATTCAACCCCTCCCAGAACCAGATCCTAGAGATCCTGGAAAATGAAACAGGCGAGAAGTGGAAGATAGAGCACGCCAGTACTGCCGAGCAGGAAAAGATCGGGCTAGAGAAGCTTGGCAAGGGAGATTTCAGCGCCTTCTCTAATCTTCTACGGAAGCATGTTTACGCTGACGGGGCCAATAATGCAGTCAAGGGAGAAAACAGCGCGAATGGGTTTCTAGGGCTTCAAGACGACGATCTAGCCACCACTCTCAATGAGTGGCTGCGTACATAGGTACCTAGTACCTAGTAGTTAAGCAAGGCATATATGACATTGTGGATTTTCGGTACCTATCTCAGGTACGATGCCTACTAGGTACCTAGTAGACAATGAAGCTTACACATTTACGAATACCTCTGATTCATTATTCACGTATATACAGTATTTTACACGTATGGGTATTTTGTGGCCGATGTCGATCCCCTTCAACTACCAGACTTGATATTGAGCAGTGTAGAATACATCTATATACAGGAGCATTCTTCGCAGTTTCCCAATTCCTTATATTTCCTCCGCTTAAGCGAGACTTGGGATCTCCCAAGGAGCCCAGTCGGCGATAGTTACGCTTGCGCTGCTCTTCTCGACCTCGGGAGGCGCCGTCGTGCCAGCGAGGAGGAAGTAATTGATGTAGGCGGTGAGCTCGGACTGCTGCGAAGATGGGAATTGACAGTGACCGTGGCCTCCGACGAGGGAGAAGCCCATGTTGGTAGGTACGCCGAGGCCCTTGTAGATGAGACGTCCAGCCTTCATGCAGCCAGTCGTGCTGACGGGGCCCAGCCAGTCGATGTCATTCTCGAACGATAGTAGACCACGTGGTGCGACGAGAGCAGCCAACATGTGATGGTCCTCGGGCATGGTGCTGGTCTTAGACGTGTAGGCGTCGAGGTTCTTGCTGAACCACACGTTCTCTCCGACGATCTCGCCGGCGGTTTGGATGTTCTTACCCTTGCTGTGCTCGTCGTCGGAAATACGCCAGCAGGCAGCACCACCAGACCCGGACTCCTGGGGGAGGGTGAGCGCGATTCGGTTAGCGAGGGCGCCGACGACGAAAGCGCCCTTTCCATTACGAGAGCATCCGGTAGTTCCGAGCCTCTTGGGGTCGATGCCGGACGCCTCGGCGCCGACCTGCTCGAGACCGTCGATAACACGGTCGACACCCCAGGCCCACGCGGTTAGGGCGCCGGCGGAGTGGGTGTTGCCGAAGAGGGTGTAGAACGCGCCCTGGCCTCGGGAGCTCCCGGAAGCCTGCGAGGCGAACTGGTCGTTGTTGAAGCCGACCGTTCCCACCGTACCCGGAATCGGAAGCGAAGAGCCTCCAATGGTGACGATAGCAGGTCCCGGGCTAGTGCTAGGCTTGCGGATCGAAGCGTTGATCGTAACGGACTTTGAGCCGACAGTGACCTTGACTGCTAGAGTGGTACCCGACAGCGATGCCTCCACTTTGTCGGGGGGCGGAGGGTAGGCGCCTAACTCGTACTGTTGAAGAAGCTTGCTGATCTCTTGCTGGCGGCAGTCCCAGTCGGCCTTGCTCGCGACCTTCTTTCCGTCCTCGAAGGTGAATGGATCTGGAAGCTTGGCATAGTTCACAGCTGGGTAGGTGTCCTTGAGCGAGCAGTCAGTGGTGTTCTGGCGCTGGTAAAGTTCGGCGAACGGTAACGCATAGGCCGTGGAGCCCAGTAAGAGGGCGGAAGTCAGGTGGCGCATCATTTTCGGACGCAGTAAGATCAGCAATAGGTGAAGGAGAAGGTTTCTAAAAAGTGGTATGCTTCGATGGTTAGTAAAAGGGGGGTGAGGGGTATGGATGCAATCCTTATATGTCGCTTGGACAGGGCTAGGTGGTTACGGAATAGACGATACTCGTTTCCTACTATAACCTCGTCAATTTCCGGCTGATTTTTGTTGCCTGAACTGGGGTCGCTTGGAATCTCCCCATTTCCAAGTTGATAGAGGGGTCCGCCCTCAAACCCAGCTTCAGACAGCTCCAGCCAAGCTTCGAGGTCGAGGGTAATAAAAGGACTTTGGACACACCTGCTCTGGGCGGCTCGAAAGTAGTGGCGCGTTTAAGCTTCCCTGTTGCGCGTGGCAAGACTTAATTATGGTGGGGGATTGTTTGGCATTAGAGCCTTAACAACTCGAAATGTGGAGGGATTGGACAATATGGCTAATATCATCAAGGTGGGTATGGGAGCTCTATTTTGAGGTAACATTAATTTGATCACCGTCAATGTGCCAAAAAAGGACACCCTTGTCAAGCACAATTCGTACAGGATAGCTCTACTAGTCTTCGTATATCTACGGGTGAGGGTGAGAGTGTTGTTAATGTTGTAGATTGATCTCTTTTGCCGAGGTTCATGTATAGGTATCTTATAATTATTGAACTCCCAAAATGTGGCAGGTACTTAGGTAGGTACCTAGTGCTGATACTTTCAAGCCATTTAGTATATCAAATTGATTCTTGTCCCTGCATGTCGTTCCTTCGCCTCTTGAATTATTTTAGAAATTTGATGGCTAATATGTTTTCTCACGGCTAGAACAGGAATCGGAAAACAGGTGAAAAGCAATGTCAGACCGTAACTTTCTTCAAGGGTGGATAATTTCCATGTTCCTATTCTTAGACTTGGATTTTACGAAAACCGAAGATCCGAAGTCGACAGCCCTGCAAATAGCCGGACGGTTGGGGTAGCATCGAATTTCTACCTATATAGACGCTCCGAATTACCGCACGTGGTTAAAGCGCCTCACAACTGAGTCCACGAATCATGTTAGGTCTGTCCGGAGAATCCGCCCCTACTTCCAAGAGGGATCAAGGACCACCAGTAAGTGCGGCGAACTTCCCCAGGTTCTTGGCAGCCGGTAGTTGCTGTGGTAGGCCCCCGTAAATTTCCCAACTTGCGACGAGGCCATAATGATACTGTTTCAGACGTCCATTTCATCGCATGTGCCTCGTTGCCTGTAATATATATCTTGAAATGGCGATTGTCTGTGCAATAACAGCCCTGGTGCTGTTAACGAGCTCGGTCGCTGCTCACGGAGGTCTCACAAACTACACCGTTGGCGATACGTGGTATAGGGGGTAAGTCCTCAGGTTATTAAAATACCAAATCGACTAGCCCGCTTTGTTTCAAAATATAGCGGACATGTCACTAAAATAAAGCCTACAGATACAATCCAGATGACCCTTTGGCAGAACAGGAAGGTCAGCCTTGGATGATACAGAGAGTGTGGGCGAGCATTGACCCTATTTTCTTCGTGAACGATACTGGTCTTGCGTGCAACAATCCGGGCACGGCGCCACCATCGTACATCCCTATCGCAGCTGGGGACAATATAACAGCTGTGTATTGGTATTGGCTACATCCCTATGGGCCGATGTCCGTATGGCTCGCCGACTGCGGCGCGTCCTGTGAAGATGTAAACGTGAACGACTTGAGCTTTTTTAAAATATGGGAAGCGGGATTGCTTGAGGGTACCATTATAGAAGGCATCTGGTATCAAAAGAAGTTCCAGAATTGGGATGGCTCCCCAGACTTATGGCCTGTCACGATTCCGTCTACCATAAAACCAGGACTGTATATCATCAGGCATGAAATACTGAGTATCCACATCGAGAACAGGCCCCAATTCTACCCCGAGTGCGCACACTTGAATATCACAGGTACCGGAACAGCCGTGCCATCACCGGAGTACTTCGCTAAGTTTCCTGGATCCTATAAGGAGGACGGTATGTATCTTCACACTCAGACCATTTGATTTGGCTAAAGGAGTTGTAAATACAGATCCGTCGATTCGAATCGATATCTATTCAGATGAGATAAAGACATCAACAGTGAGGTTCCTTCAGTCCGATCATGTGGTCCTAGCTTAACGCGTTGTGCAGAATTACACCATCCCGGGTCCGCCACTATGGGATGGGTGAGCCTTTAAAGAATCCTCCAGGCTAAAGTTCCGTGTTAACGTTGGGCAGACTCGTAAACAAATATTGTCAGGATTGTTAGTAAACTCATCTGAGGAAGCACTTAAGCAACTAGCCCAAAGATAGCCATAAGAGAAATTCAACAATCACATAGTTATCTTCGTACCCAGCATTTTAAGAGCCATTATTTTAGGCCGTCGTAACACGAAAAGAAAAGGGATGCATACTAGTGCTATAACCTAATTCATTAGGCACTCCCACCGCCTTTATGCTCCTTTCTTCGAGAAGGTATACCAAACGGGCTCGTAAGGGGGCTCATGAGACCGGTAGAAGGGCCTCGATCATCAGTCCAATACGTATTTCGAACGCTGGCCCACCTCGGCGTCATAACAGGTTCGTTTGCATCCGGCACATCTATTTGACGAAGAGGGAGGTCATTGGGAACGCTATAACCCGCCTTTCCTCCTGCATTATATGGCCTCGCATGACTTTCTCCTATCCAAACGCCATCGCTTACAAGTTCGGCGAATTTGCCCCTCATTTGGAATAATTCGTCGTAGGAACCGGTTTCCACCACATTTCCTTGGTCAATCACTACGACGCGATCCGCCATGCGCATCATCTCCTTGCTATGTGTGATTACTATAACAGAAAGTTCTTGGTTCCTCAGGTGATTAGTAGCGAAAATATCGAACCCGTTTCCGTTACCGTAAATGCTAGTTTTAGCAGAGTGTATCACGGACTCTATCGTGTGTCTCACTGCCTCGGCACTCTCTGCATCTAAAGCGCTTGTAGGTTCATCAAGTAGCAAGATTTTTGGCCTCCTAGCCAAGGCCCTAGCGATACAGATCCGTTGTGCTTGTCCACCGCTAAGCGCTTGTCCACCGTCGCCGACGACAGTGTCGAAGCCAGTCGCCAGGCTATGAACGAAATCGTAGATACCCGCTTCTCTAGTCGCCCTCTCGAGATTTTTCGGGCTCCGCAGCGGCGACTCTTCTGGTAAACCGTAGAAAATATTTTCCGCGAGACTGGCAGGGAACAGAAACGGTGTCTGCGGAACGTAACCGATATGGTTTCGCAAGCTCGATATATTGATCTTGGAGATCGGTGTAAAGCCGAAGCTTAGCTGCCCTTGCTCTTCAGAGCTCTGTTTCCCAGCCGGAGTGTCTGGTTCATACAGACCCAAAATCACGGACGCTATAGTGCTCTTGCCACAACCCGAGGGGCCGACAATAGCGGTTGACGTTCCGGTGTCGAAACTTAAAGATATATTGCGAAGGACAGCGCGGTTCGTCGAAGGATAAGTAAATGACAGGCCGTTCATTAGAATAGGAAAAGGGTGTATCAGCTTAGACCTGCCTTTCGATTCATGAGACGATTCAACGGGTAGATTCGCGTAATGGAGGAGCTGTGAGGCTGTAGCTTGTGAGGCAGCAATGCTTGGTACCGAGTTTAATATGTTAGAAGCAGTAGTGAGACCCAAAACAAGTAAATTGACAACTTGCAAAATATCATGTACGGTGACTGCACTGTTAATAGTCAGGAGCACAGTCGCGTACCAGAATATTAAGGCCATCATAAACCAGAATATAGATTGCCAGCAAGCGAAAAGGGTGGCAGTCCAGATGGCCTTCTTAATACCGAGATCAAATGCCTGATATATAGACGCGTCATGTTTCGTGCAGAAGAAGCTTTCCAATGTAAGGGCTCGAACGACGCGTATATTAAGGAAAGTCTCAGTCAAAACCGCAATCGTATTCTCGATAGCTCTATTACATCGGGTCTCCCACTTCGTCGACACGAAAGCATAACCTTTTGTGGCTGCTATGAGGAGCGGGGCGCTCCCGAGGCTTACAAGAGTGAGCCTCCATGATATAATTACAGCCCAGATGATGGTGGCAGATATCATGACGACGACGACTAGCAATTGAGGAGCGAATCGACCAAGGAGATTTCTCATCTCTTCTGCATTCCTATCCATGCATTCGTTGATGCGGATGGTGGAGTGCATTGGCTTCTCGAACCACGTCTTTGGCTGTCTTAGGACCCTGCTAAACGCTTGCATCCGCAAAGCGTTTACCCAGGCCTGGCCTGCCCATTGCATCATATATTGGCTAGTGAGCGTCGATATAGCCCCAGCCAAAGCGATAAGAAGTAAGTACAAAGCCCATCTCTGACCGGAGGCCATCTTATCTCCGCTCGAATACAACACTGCCAGAAGGTTTGCGAATACAACAGAAAAAGCAGGGACTGAGCCCGCAACGACGACACAAGTGACGAATCCGATAATAAGGAAGACCCTTTCCTTTGCTGTCAAGCACGGCCAAACAGTCTTGTAAATTGCCAGTAGCGGCAAGCCTTTCGTCTGTTTTTCGTCCCACGTCGCTTCGTCGAGGTTGTTATTTTTAATATTGGACTCGGAGTTACTTGCATACGTATCGCTAACCGTTAAGGCCGGTCGTCGGTTCTCGTAGACATGACCACGGCGGTTATCTTGCACCGTATTCCCCAGTTCTTGGAGGTGTAAAAGCCTACTTCGAGCTGCTGACTCACCCGTCCGAAGTGTAGCTGGATCATCTTCTCCATTCCAGGGACTCTGGTTCAAAAATTGCTGTGCCTGCATAACAGTGGCCCCGACACCTAACGTAGTCCTACGCGCTAGGTAGCGATGGTCATCCTGATTCTCGAACGGCCAAAAGTAAGCATCACGCCGTTGCGGGGAAGTGCTTTTCGAGTAAGAAATTCCTTCTTCTGGCTCTTTTCCTTGGTTTATCCCGTCTATTCCAGTTGCCGAGGCGGCCAGGGTTGCGAACACCCCGTCTTTCTGCCTCTGCAAGTATTCACGGAGGCCTTCCTGTATGACGCATGCACCATCCATGACATAAACGAAGTCGTCGTCTTTGATCTGCGCAACTTCATGGGTAACGATAATAGTTGTCTTACCACGTCGCCACTGTCTTATGGCGTCCATGACGAGACTTCGACTAACAGGATCGAGTCCGCTAGTTACTTCATCGAGGATAAGCACCGGGGGGTCACGAATTTTCGCTCTCGCAAGGGCCAATCGTTGCTTCTGTCCGCCGCTGAGATCATGGCCGCCGGCGCCCACATACGTATTTAGACCGTTCGGGAGAGTAGCCAGCGTTGATTGGAGCAGAGCTGTTTCGCACGCAGCTTTGACCTCTGTTTTAGATACCTGAATAGGATTCCTGCAGCCCATGGCTATGTTCATTGAGAAAGTATCGTTAAAGAGCACGTTTGCTTGTTGAATCAAAGTGATATTGTTCCGAACCCATTCCGTGTCGAGGCTATTAAGCGCATAGCCGTCAACGAAGATATCACCGCTGAGCGGTTCGTAGAATTTCAATAGCAGATTACCTAGCGTACTCTTTCCAGAGCCACTTCGTCCAAGGACGAAACATAGCTGACCCGGTTCGAAGGAGAGGGAGACATTTTCCAATACGATCTTCGACGAGTTTGACGGGTAGGCAAAGTTAACCTTCAATAAATCAGTTCAGGGCAAGTTTAAAAAAAAAAAAAAAAAAAAAAAAAAAAAAGGAAAATAGAATGGAGTTGAAACAATAGTAGAACTCACGTCGCTAATCTTGATATAACCGAAACATTCTTCTGGGCGGTAATTACCAATCATTCTGTGGATCCTTCGCCCACTATCCGTGTCGTAGGCAATAAAATATAGTGCTTGGCCAGCGGACATGCCCCTTGCTAGAGCCATGTACATGGGTATGAAAGCCTCGAAAGCCTGTAACGCAGCAAGAGCAGCGTAGAACGTCGTCACGACATTTCCCGGGCTCAACCCTTCGTTGACGAGAACAACGCCGTAATAGAACCCAATAACGAACATTCCATCTATCCAGAGCTTGACGTAGCCTGATTGGCATGCGGCTGCTCTCGCCTGAACCAAATATTTATTCATAGAGCGCCGGATGGCCTGAAGATACTGCCATGTTTCATGATCGTTAGCGTTGAAAGCCTTTACAAGATCTATGGCAGCGATAGCGGAAATCGCGTATTTTGACGCTCGGCTGAGCTCCCGCTTCTGTGCCTGTATGGCTAATTTGAGGGTGCGGCTTAGCATAGCAAGTACTACGACAGATATCGGTACGGTAGCGAGAAGCACAAGCGTGAGTTTCCACGAGCCACGAAAAGCCACGACAAGACTTGCGATGGAGGTCGCTATCTCCGCGGCTAAGGAACCGAGTGCGACCGACGATGCCATCTGAAGCTCCCGGGTCTGTCTACTAAGTTATTAGCAATCACTCCAAAATCGAAAATTGCGTGAGATGGGAGTATCATACGTTTGCATTCTCACGAGTAAGCTAGCTACGCCATCTTCCTGGCTGTCAAACCATTCCATATCCTTCCTCAGCATGGCGCGGAATATTCTTTGGCGAATGTTTTTCGCCTGCAATTCGCTAAAGAGGATCCATGAAAACATAAAGGCAAAATTGACAAGCCATCCAGCTCCGCCGATGAGAGTCAGGATGATGCACCAGGACGAAACTTGGCCAAGAGTATCAGGTCCACTCAGTTGTCCGGACCCGAATTCAGAGATGACCCCGAATATCTTTCCAATCAGAATGGCCAAAGACGTCCTTAAGGCGCCTGAAAATAAGGAAGATATTAAGCCAGCAGTCAGTGGCCCGCAGTGTCGCCATGTAGTGAAGGTGAATAGGTGTTTAAGCGACGGTGAGTGTTGTCCTTGTTGTTGTTGTTGCTGTTGTTTCCTTGAGGAATCCATTTGCGGTGGTGGCCGGGACACATCCGGGATATTTTGTCGATGTGAAAATCAACCAGTTACGCCAAATGACTTTTCGATGCTTTGGCAAGGCGATTGTCATAACGAAATACAAGTTGAACTCGTGTATTGGTTACGCTAGTTGTTCTGGCATTTTAGTAGGGACAATTTGATTTGAGAATAATATTGTCGTGCAAACAATCTTACCTACCTTTATTTTATGTAGGCCAGTTTCGAATTAGCTGTCCCGATCGCGAATGGCTTTGTCCAAGTTCGACCTTTGTTGCTACGAAGAAACAGCGCTAGTACTAGGAGTAGATAAGTAAAGCAGTAAAGCAGAGCAACAAAAAAGGGAACAGTTACTAGATAATTAGGTAGGTACGGTACGTCAAATCTTCCAGTGTAGAAAGACCTACGTCTACCTAAGGAACCCAACTAGTATTTGAGACCAATCGTCTATTTACGCTTTTACCCATTGCAAGCGTTCCTAGGATCCTAATTTAGGTATTTCGGTCCAGGTGGCGCAATTCCGCGTACCCTTAATGCACAATACTACAGTCTTCCCATGCGAATTTGCATAGCTCCGACAGCACAAGTTGGTCGCCGTACCATTGATCGTGCGTAGAAGCTCTCGAACCTCGACGTGGCGACTATTTATTCATGTCGTTACGGATCGCACGGAATGGGAACAACTCTGAGGTGTTCTGCTGTTTATACGGCCAACAAAAATGGTCCCCTCTATGGCTTTCCAATACCTTTGGCCTTCTCATACACCCAGTCGTTCAGACCAGCCTTATTCCTCGCTATCTCGATGGCATAGAATTGCATCCTAGGAACTAAAAATATAGAACACGTTAGCGGGACGGGATACTTGGTTATTCGAGGCCATTGGAGTGAATTTGGTACCGAATATTGTTGTGTCCTGTTCATATTCAACGTTGGGGCTCGTTCGCAACATAGTACCGAAGTTGTAGTCGTCGACTCTCTTGTCGTAAGCCATCAAGAACTTTCGCCACCGTTCCTTGCCTGACTTGCTCTTCATCTCGTCTTCATTTATAGTTGCTGCGGGATCGAAATCGGGAAATTCGGTTTTTAGATGGGTATAGATCTCGTCGTCCATCTTTGTCAGCCGTAGGGATGATCCCTTGACCTTCCCTAAGATAGCCCAGTACGTCTCCAAGTGCTGAACCGCTATAGTGACGGTTGCTTCAAGTCAGAATATTGCATGGCGGTTGGTAGATGGACCTTTACGTGATGCAAACCTTTGACTGCGAACTGCTTCTCAATCTAATAAAAATTGGTTCATGTCAGTTATCGAACAGGTTGGGCAGAGTAGAGAATTTTCAGGTTTTCGGATCTTACGTCTTCAAGATTGTCTGCATTTTCCGCGTCGAAGTCCTTTGGAACGGGCCCGGATATCTTCGTGAACTCATCCATTGTATGCGCAATAATAATAAACGCCACAGAATTTGGTGTGCTTGAAATATCTGTCTGAGTCGGGGAAGATATTTGATGGGGTTAGGAAATAGGAAATGGGAAACGTGAAATGTGAGAATCGAAAATCGTCATTAGGAGGGGGCGGCGCCAGACCGCGGGGCAGTAATATGTTTTATATGCATATACCACTTTAGAAAAAATACTTATTTAAATACGCGCTTCTATAAATAGGCATATGCGAGTCATTTCTATATCCGTATCTTCCCGTCCTTTTCATCCATTTCATCGATTCATTCGTTCGTTCCTCTTCTGTACTTACAATTTCATTTGCGCTCAAGCGCCTACTCATGATTAGCAATCGAACTCGATGCGCAAATACTCATCAAGGAACTTACAATAGCAAACGAACTTCTTCCTCGGATCTTTTCTCCGAACAAAACCAGCACCCACGGGACAACAGTTAACACCGTAGCAATCCCCCCCAACAGCCCACCCGTTGCGTCTTCACCTAGATTTCGGATCAACGGTGCCGTGACGAGAGGGAACGCGCCGCCAAGCACGTTACGGCAAAACGACTGTGCTGCTAACGCTGAAGACGCGTATGTTTGGTATATATCCGCGAGGTAGTTGAACGTAGCTAAATAAACGTAGAATATACCCATCGTGGCCAGGAATATCGCAAAGGCGGGGACCATCCAATGAATCGACGGCTGAGCCGCAAACCCAAATAGGAAGAGGCCCGCCGGAAGCAGCACTGAAGTGAAGCAGGCGAAATACAGTCGTGATTCTGGGGATTCGACCGGGAATCTCCTCCTCGCGAAGACCCAAAATCCGGTTCTTCCCGCGTTTTCTTCCAAATTCTCCGAGCTGTTTTCTGAGCTTTCCACGTCAGAGTTGTCCGATCTAGACTGCCACCTTGGATGCTTAAGCATGCTTTCTTGACATATACCGATAATCGTCGAGAATATGGAGCCTATGATCATCGCCGTGAACACGTAACCAGACTGCTCGACATTGAATCCATATTGCCGTTGAAATACGAGTGGTATGGACCCGAATGTTAAGTATAGGATAGCCCATGCGAAAGACACCCATAGCGAGAAGAAGAAAACGATCGGTTCGGTAAAGAGTAGCAGGAACGGCCTAAACAACGACACGGTCACCATTGTAGCGATAGATGTTTTGTGTTCGTCCTCTTTCACGATCCATCTAATCCTCTGTAAGCGCACATCCCCCCTTAACCTAGCTCGATATTTTAGTCCAGGTGGTGATATATGTTTTTCTGTGGACGCCATCGTAGATCTTGGTACAACTCCAGGATCTATATTTAACTCGGCAACACACACTCCAAAAACACCCTTCTCCTCTATCTTCGTATACCACATGTTCAAAACCTTCGCTTTCCTACAAAGAAGCACCGATCCACGACTCTCATTAAAAAAAGCCACCACGGCGACCATCAAGATAAAGTCGATAATGACTACAACACACACAGGTTAGTAGACGCTTTCATAGCACTTAGTTTCAACGGAGATATAAATCCATTCCAGACTGCGAGCTAAGAGCAAAACTTACCCTGATGCCAAAATATCCATTTCCATTTATCTCCATCCTTTCCCCATCTTTGAACCATAACAGCCGCCACCAAAGGCCCAAGGCCGGTACCAACGAGGACAGCTCCGCTAAATAGCGCCATCGGTGTGTTGCGGCCCTCCTTTTCGTACATGTCGGCAATGACGCCTCCCACCATAGTGCTAAACACACTTCCGCCGACGCCCTTGAGAAAACGAGCGATCAGCATACCTGCTAAGTTTCTAACCACTCCGCATACCGCCTGGAAAACTACGAAGAGAATTCCGGCAATGGCGAAGACGGGATAGCGGCCGTTTATTTCCGAAAACGGAGCTAAGACCATGGGGGCGATGGCGAAACCAAGGCAGAAGGTCGTTACACCAACCAACGCGCCCTCGCGGGTCGTCTTGAGGTCCGCAGCGATCAAATCTACGGATTCGGAATATGCGCCGGCCGCGTATGCAGTGAAACAGGTTGCAACGCAAGATATAGCCACCATAACCCCTTTGCGCGCCCAAGGCCAGCTTAGCGGATCCGTGTATCGCGAGAGGTCAGGACATGCCGGAAGGTTCTCACGATCTAATTGTGGATTCCCCAGGTCCGGGCCGGCTACCGGGGTGTCGAACGTCAAGTAGAGGTAGGTGATAGGGGTACTGGCGTTAGGCGGTGGTAGGTCATCAACCGTCCCTTCGTATGTAATTATCCTCTGCGCTTCGGTAGCGGACGAGTCTTCTGCTATCATACCAGGTGACTCCAGCCTACACTTCTGTGATATTGGATTGTCTCGGGCCAGATGGCCTTCCCGTTCGTCAGCTGTTGCGGAAGCCAGCCCGTCGCGGCCACACGTCATCTCCATCACGCCCCAAGTACGCAAAATTAATACACATACGAGTCGTTAATTTACAGGAGGGCGCCGATGTGATAGCCTAAACAACCTTTCCAGCCTATTGGGATACTTTGTAAGCTTCATAGGGTTCTACCAAGGACCTTGGTAATCTCTGTCAGGTATATACAAGTGAGGTAAGTCTAACAAAGCATGTGAGACATGAATCGAAGCGGTGTAGGTTTAAGGGTGTCGATGATCTAACAATAATACTAATACAGCATTTCCTATCTAGGTATATCGAGCACGTATTTCCTAATAACGGAAGAGCCTCGAAGTGACGAGCACCAACATTAGACATGGCATCCCCGAGCGATCGACACATGCAGGCTTCCGGAAAGATTTGAATCGGGATATGGGCATTCCCGATTATTCCCGCTTATTTCCGCAACGACGTGGTGGATATCCCTCCCAGCAATGGCTCCTAATGGTGGACGAATCTTCCTAGGTAACCAACTAACCGAGACCAAGTCGAATAATATACCCTCGCGTAGGAAGCACCGGCAAATTGTCACCATCGCCTATAATAATTATCTCCGGCCTCGGGGGGGAAGAGGCTATGTGACATAGAAGATACCAAGGTAGGAGATGCAATGGACGGAGTTTAAGAGGTAACTTAGGATGCGGCCCAGGTAGGTACTTAACATGCGGATTTTCAACTGATTAAAATCCAGCTTCTATACGTAGGTAACAGTAGATATTTGTGACTAGAATAAAAATACACTGCAAGCATCATGTACTATTTCGAGGGTTGTATACCCTTTAGACACGGGGTATAGACTTCTAGTCACCTTCTATTCCGACACTACTGCCCGAGATTTTTCATTGAAACAGGTAAGTAGTTTGTTAAAAGTAGTAACCTAGTTAACGACACTCAAGACGATCTCGGGAGTCCTACATAGGTACCTAGCACCTACCTAGGTAAATTTCCAAGGTTGCTTAGGTAGTACATAGTCATCCAAGGTTAATAATCCGTTGAATTGGTTACCAACATTGGAACGCATTTACAACCGTCGAGGCAAGGATTGGATGTCATACCTACCTAGGTACTTAACCTTGTGCTAAGTACCTATACAACTACCTTGGTAGGTAGGTAGGTACTAGGTATTATAACATTATAATGAATTAAGTAACAAGTACCTCTCAAATCATTATTAAAAACGCTAAAATCTTTGTAAGTGTCTACGTATAAGTCGATACATCACCCATTAATACCTCTACCTAGGTAGGTAGACAGATTCAACTTACGGTGTATTCGAAATATCGATTCGCCTCTTGAGAATCTCTATACTTATCTACGTTTGGAGAAACATCATGTGAACTCTCTGGTAGCCCAAGGTCGTTTCATTATTCTACCTTGTGGCTGTTCACGAGGATGAAAGAGATAGAAGGAAATGTCATTGTTTCCCTAGTTGGTCTAAATCCGAAATCATCAATAAGAACAAAAGTATAACTTAAATCTTGGTTTAATACAGGTTTAGATATCTAAGGAACAAAGAAAACCTACCTGAATTCGGTTGAAGACAACGTCTAAGTCTTCGATCTTAGGAATGTATAATTGGCATAAGCACTGATTATTGCCTTGTAGTCAAAAGGCTAACACATTCCGCATTCTCTACCGACAACGTACTTACCAGGAAATACCATTTTAAAATCAATCTTATTCTATATCCAGCCACTTTTTCATCCCTTGTTGCTTTACTCCACCGTTTCTTCACTTGCGGTTCTGTCAGCTGAAACAAGATGAGCTCCCCAGCAGGCGAAACGAGCGACAAGCCCGCGAACGGCCAGCTCAACACGTCATTAAAAAGAGACATTGCGTCGGTAGAAGATTACGAGATACGAGTGGGCCCTGGGTGGACGTTGAACGATGGGACCTACAATCATATACCGCAGGGCAAGAGACGCAAGAGAGACATTCCAATTCCGTCTTACGTCGATCAGGCGCACCAAGCCATGTTTGGACTAACCTCTCTCCAACTTGCTCATAACGCTCCAATTACTCCATGTGCTATGGATATCGCGACCGAACACCTTTGGAGATGCCTCCCAGAGGAAGTTCAGAATCTAGTCGAGGTCGTACCTCCCAATGGCCCCGACTTGTGGAGTGCCGATAGACCGGCTATCGACGATAACAAGGATGACGCCGCGAAGAAGCTGCTCGGCAAAAAAAAGGATGACAGAGATAATATGTTTGAGAAGATTTTCACAGGTCTCCAAGAAAGAACGTACAAGTACCATTCGGAACTTAAGAAGAAACCTTGGGCGATTTGGCCGATCTGGGTCGAGGATAAGTTCGGATCGGACTGGCTCACGATTGTTTGGTACTCCGAGGAGACCGTGGCCTCTAGCGGTATCTACGATAGGCTTCGGATGTATGAGGTATATGACCCGCGCCGTGCGATGGAAGCTTCAGACAACGGTAGATGCGAAGCCATTGATCTTCGCAAGAGACGAATCATGACGCAATTTATAGATGTTCTCGCATTTGGGGGTATCAACACCAGGTCCGCGTCACGGTGTCCCGCAATGATGGCCCCGATGGCCCGTGGCGAACACACGTCGGGTGAGCGCTGCTTTGCAGCTGTCAAAGAGATGCTTAACTGCATATTGGAAAATTATATTGATGGTAGACCTTTCAACCCCAAAGAGGACGTGCTCCCGTCGCTCCCACGATGGGTCAATCCGTATCAGGCTCGTATCGAGATGACTGGTATCAACGCCTGGGTATTAATGTCCGCGTTTGACTACAACGGTCGTATCGTGGTTGAATGCCTTGAACCCGAGATGAAAGCAAATATTGTGGTCGACGGTGCGCGCCGAACAATCAAGCCATACGCCCTCGCAGGGCCTCTTAATGGACCTCAGATAGCTGATGCAGACTACTGCACCGAGCCGCTTGTTGGGGAGGCGGCCAAGCAAGAGCCGCAGCCTAAGAAGAATCCAAAAGATCAGAAAAAAGGTCGTACTTAAGGTCCTATATAGAAATATAGGTCTTAGGATTCTGTAAGGATGGATGATACCCAATTTGGAACTTCAGGATTGGGCAAGGCGAAAGTGAAGATTGTAAATACACGTATATTAAATATGGCGAATAATAGCTTGATTATACCTACTTAATTCTGAGGCTTCGTGAGTGCCGGTATTGCGCGTCGTGAAATAATATTACGAATAGGATCTTACCGGGGTAAATCTTGGTCATTGTGTACCTACCTAGTACCTACTACATACATACTAGGTACTACTGTAGTAGCATATCTTCGGTACGGAGGTACTTACTAGGATATGCGCATGGCGACGCGGGCGGACAGGGTACACGGGAACTCAGACCAAGTCGCGTCCATGTGTCTAAGGTTTAATTGAATTCCTAGGCTGCTAGGGAGGTTCAATTGGAAAGTAATCCAGACTTTCAACAGATTTCCGACAGAAATTGTCATGAGAGTAATAGTACACAAATCTTTTCAAACTTTCCAATTCACGTAAATATCAAGATTGAACATCCTATACCTTACCTATCATCCAGAGCTACGCGAATGATAGTGTAATCCGGTTTAATAATTTCGAGTACTGCCTCATTTGGGTTTACTAAGAACGGAGAAGATGGCAGATTCCCGAACACCAGCAAAGAGAACACCCTCGGCCATATCTAGAAAGCCCAGCTCAGTTTCGTCTTCCGCCAACACCGCCAAGGGCCAGCAAACCATCCTCGGCTTCTTTTCCAAAGCCTCCCCAGCTCTGACCTCTTCGCCCACCCCTTCATGTCTGAAGGAAACCACCAAGTCCAACAGGAAGCCTTCTATTGTTACCCCCGTTCCTAGCAGCGATGCCCTAGAACCCTCCAGCTCTCAAGAAAACCACGGCTCCGCCGCTACGATAAAAGTAATGAAAACCATCTGCTGCCATTGTCTTATATTCCCGCTAAAGCAATAGTCAAGCAGCCCGCCTCCGCCCGTGCCATCGCAGAGAGCAGTCCAACCCGCAAGGTAAAGGAGCACCTTTCGATCTAGCTTATCACTCTTGATCCTATACTAATGGTTACTTTCTGTAGATTAAAAAGACGGTCAATTACGCCGAGTCTTCCGACGACGACGAGGATGTCTTCGTATCCTTGAAGGCTTCCCAAGCGCGACGCCGTGGTCGCCAGCAATCTAGAGTTGTCGATGACGAAGAGGATGATTACGAGGAAAGTAAGGATGTTGCTCTTGATGACGACGATGGTATGGTTTTTTTTTGGCACAAACATCTATTGATTTTGCGCGACTTTGGAATTTGACAGTAGACTATTACAGATGAAATGGCCGATTTCGTTGCATCCGATGATTCAGATGCTCCAACCAAGAAACGAAAACGCACCTCTAAACCTCAGCCTGCTCGAAAGAGATCACAGGTCTCGCTTCAGACCTCGAGGCGCGACGACGATGATCAAGCTAACAAGGACGATGATGACGAAGTAGCAGACAACGCACCGGCATCTACTGCACAGCAATGGCGATACGATCCCGAGAATATTGAACCGGCGAAGCCAAGGACGGCGGTCCAACCTACACCTAAGACTTTTGTCGGCAAGCAAAAAGCTCATACACGCGAGCCCGAGGAGCGTTATCCCTGGCTTGCTAAAATCAACGATATAAACCGAAACCCTCCAGATCACCAAGACTTTGACCCCTCGACCGTCTACGTCCCCCCACTAGCGTGGAAGAATTTCTCTGCTTTCGAGAAGCAGTACTGGGAGATTAAGCAGAAGCTGTGGGACACCGTTGTCTTCTTCAAGAAGGGGAAATTCTACGAGCTGTACGAAAACGATGCCACTATCGGCCATCAGCTCTTCGATCTCAAGCTCACTGATCGTGTCAATATGCGTATGGTCGGCGTCCCCGAAAGCTCGCTCGACATGTGGGTCAATCAGTTCATCGCCAAGGGCTACAAGGTAGCCCGTGTTGACCAGATGGAGACCGCGCTGGGCAAGGAGATGCGCGAGCGGGTCGACGCTAAAGCGAAGAAGCAAGATAAGATCATCCGACGAGAGCTTGCCTGCATTCTGACGGGTGGCACGCTAGTCGATGGCAGCATGCTTCAAGACGACATGGCAACCTACTGTGTAGCCATCAAGGAATCTGTAGTTGATGACCACCCGGCGTTCGGTATTGCTTTTGTTGATGCTGCAACCGGCCAGTTCTTCATCTCCGAATTCGAAGACGACGTCGATCTGACTAAGTTCGAGACGTTCGTCGCTCAGACGAACCCTCGGGAGTTACTCCTGGAAAAGTCGCAGATTTCCACTAAGGCTTTGCGTATTCTCAAAAATAACACCTCCCCCACCACCATATGGAATTATTTCAAGTCCGGTAGCGAATTTTGGGATGCTGGTCTTACCCGTAGAGAACTTGACTCCAACGGATACTTCGCAGAAACCGATGGGGCTGAGGAGCGTTGGCCTGATACTTTAGTCGATGCCAGAGAAAAGGATCTGCTCATGTCTGCTCTTGGTGCTCTAGTTCAGTACCTTAGAGTGCTTAAGATCGAGCGGAACCTGCTTTCTCAAGGCCACTTCACGTGGTATAACCCCATTCATAAAAACGGTACCCTGGTTCTCGACGGACAAACCCTCATCAACCTCGAGATCTTCGCCAACTCTGCAAATGGCGGTTCGGACGGAACGCTATTCACCCTCCTAAACCGCTGCGTGACACCCTTTGGCAAGCGGCTGTTCCGACAATGGGTATGTCATCCGTTATGCAACATCCAGAAGATTAACGAACGTTTGGATGCTGTCGACATGTTGAATGCCGACCCGACAGCCCGAGAACAACTGTCCTCACAGATGACGAGGATGCCCGATCTCGAACGCTTGATTTCTCGAATACATGCAGGAGCTTGCCGACCGGAGGATTTTGTGAAGGTCCTCGAGGGTTTCGAGCAGATCGACTATACCATAGGCCTTTTGAGTTCTTTTGGTACCGAACAGGGCTTACTTGGCCGCCTCGTCTCGTCCTTACCGGACCTCAAAGAACCGCTTTCGTTTTGGAAGACGGCGTTCGATCGTAAGAGGGCTCGAGAGGAGAAGATACTTGTTCCCGAGCGTGGCATCGAGGAAGACTTTGATAAGAGTCATGACAAGATTGTGGAAATCAAAGACGACCTTCAGTCGCTGCTTGATGAGAAGAAAGCCGCGTTGAAGAACAGGTCTTTAAAGTTCACCGACGTCGGAAAAGAGGTTTACCAGATCGAAGCGCCCAAGTCGGTCAAGGTTCCCAAGGATTGGCAGCAGATGTCCGCTACCGCGAACGTCAAGCGCTACTACTTCAAAGAGCTCACAGATCTTGTACGGCAACTTCAGGAGGCGGAGGAGACTCACTCTCAGCTCGTCCGAGAGGTATCCCTGCGCCTCTTCCAACGGTTCGATGTCGACTACGACACTTGGCTTCAGGCCATCCGCATCACATCCCAGGTCGACTGCCTACTCAGTCTTGCCAAGGCATCCTCGTCCCTAGGCGAGCCGAGCTGCCGTCCGGTCTTCATCGACGAGGAGCGCAGCGTTGTAGAGTTCGAGGAACTTCGGCATCCATGCATGCTCAACACCGTCGATGACTTCATCCCTAACGATATTGTATTAGGTGGCGATTCTGCCAAGATTAACCTATTGACTGGTGCGAACGCTGCCGGTAAATCCACCATTTTACGAATGGTAAGCGATCGGCCTAATCAGGTATTTATGATTCTTCTGCTAACCTTTGCCATAGTCCTGCATCGCAGTCATTATGGCGCAGATCGGTTGCTACGTGCCGGCTACCTCGTCTAGGCTGACCCCCTGCGATCGCATTATGTCGCGACTCGGCGCAAATGACAACATCTTCGCAGCACAGTCGACGTTCTTCGTAGAATTATCAGAGACTAAGAAGATCCTCTCCGAGGCTACACCACGTTCCCTTGTCATCCTCGACGAGCTAGGCCGTGGTACTTCTAGCTATGATGGTGTTGCTGTGGCCCAAGCCGTTCTACATCACGTCGCTACACATATTGGGTGTATCGGTTTTTTCGCCACTCATTATCACTCCCTCGCGACCGAGTTCGAAAACCACCCTGAAATCAGGGCGAAACGCATGCAGATCCATGTTGATGAACAGCAACGACGTGTCACCTTCTTATACAAATTGGAGGATGGCGTGGCCGAGGGGAGTTTTGGTATGCATTGCGCGGCTATGTGCGGCATTGCCAACCGTGTCATCGAGAGAGCCGAAGTGGCTGCTAGGGAATGGGAACACACAAGCAGGCTCAAGGAGAGCTTGGAACGTGCAAAGGAAGGCTGCTACATCCCTCTAGGTATGTTGAGCGACGTGGCTACACTGCTTGACGAGACAAAGGGCAAAGACATCAGGACGCGAAGTCTCGATGTTCTTGCTCGGGCGATCGAGGCCCTTTAAAGGCGCAAAGGAACACACCCTTCGTAGATATGATTTGAAAAGAAAAGAGCTTGTATGGATTGTATCATACTATGCCTAATGGCCGATATCACATGTTCGTGATACTGCCGATGAAGCATCCACTGTATGTATTTGGAGTTGGGGTGTTAGGTAGATCAGGTTGCTCGCTCATGGCTGTTACATACGCTGCTTCGGTAATAAATGTGAATACTCGTACTTTAGAGTCATTGGCCTCAGTCTATATTTCGATAATCTTCCAATGTAGCGAGTCCCGCGACTGCTGTACTAACAATTCTGATTACGTCCATATTTGGGCACTTTTCAAGCCATAGCCACCTAGATACTTAGGTAGGTACCTAGTAGGTAACTTTAAATTCGTGACATACAATCATCAACATGAATATACCTAGGTACTATTTACCTACTGGTGCTGGCTATATCTTTTCGATCTAAGAATTTTATAATTCTTACGTGGATAAACCCGATGGCTTCATCGTAGCAATTGTAAGCGTCACGATCCAGTATTGTCGCTTAAGGCATACAATAACAGTTCACATCCACTGAGCGATACCTACCTCCTAATATACATGTCAGCAACAGGTCCCATGCACTTCTACTTCTTCATTTTCCCGCAATACTGCCTTCATTTTTTACTGGTGTAGGTGGCTTACCGCAGCAATATCGAAGTGGGGGAATGAAAAGATAGAATAAAAAATACCGTAGTAAAGCATATTTTCACGTACCTAGTACTTACCAAGTAGGTAGGTAGGTAGCCTCGAAACTGATAGACGACACAACCAATCTCACGGATGCCGTCTATAGGACTACGTTACAGACGAAAGACCATAGGTAAGTAACTATTAGGAGGTAAATAAGATAATACCCACAAAATCTATCTACCTAGTTAGGAACCTATCGGATGGTGTTTTTGCCGCCTATCGGACTTTGACACGGAAATCCGATTTCCTCGCATAACTATCTAGGTACCTACTCGTGAAATAACCGGCAGGTACCTAGTCATGATTAAATGTAGGTAGGTATTTGCAACAGAAAGAAGGCCATGCCTTGAGTCTTAAAGATTAAACAATTCCAACGTGTGCTTAGGTACCTAGGTAGATAAGTTTTCTGTGAAGTCATTATACCCCCTGAATGGGATTTCATGCGTCTTGACTGTCGTCGATCTTCTCTTTCCTTTCTTCCAAGTCCTTATTATTGCTATTGCCACCAAGGCCCTGTAACATAGCAGTAAGTCCAATCTCTCGATTGATTTCTTCCATACGCTCGAAATCTGCCTGGGCAGTGCCTTCGGAGCCGAATATAACATCCTGATGCAGAAGGAGATTTATTAGTCTATATGGAGCTGCCAGACGAGGATTCTTAGGTAAATTAATATCTTGACTTACCATTTCTTCTAAAGTTAATCGTTTCGTCTCAGGCACGAAGAACCAGATGAACGCAGCGCCCATAAATGTCAAAAGACCGAAAAGGATGTACGTCCCGTAGCCAATTCGGTTAAGCATGATCGGTGTCACTTGACCAACAACTAAGACAATTTAGCATCGGACATATATAAAAGAGATTCTTGAAGTCCGGCACGTACTAAAATTATTCATCCAATTGCTTGACGCACCAAGCGAGGTACCATAGGGACGAGAGCTTAGCGGCCAGATCTCGGCCACAATAATCCATGAGCAAGGGCCCCAGGAGTATCCGAAGTGAATTACAAAAAGCCACACCATAACTACGGCTGCCCAGCCAGCTGCATTTTGGCTACTCCATCGGTCCGCATTTTTTGCCACGATTACGGCGATGATGATATGGCAGGTAGCCATCCCGATAGCGCCCACAGCAAGAACCGGTTTCCTACCAACGCGGTCGATATACAATACAGCAGGTACGGTGAAGACAAACATGACGATACCGACGATGCCGGTTGCCAATAAGCTAGTTGTGTTGTCGCTCAAACCAAGTTGCTTAAAAATCGTTGGTGAATAATATAACACGGCGTTTATTCCACTCCATTGCTGGAAGAACATAGTGATGGTAGCAACCGCAACACGTTTGAACATTGCCTTGGTCTGGAAAAGCGATTTGATAGCGACAAACTGGAGCTTGAAGGTATTCCAAGAAGTCTGATCACTAAGGGCAGGGAAATGCTCGGCTACCGTGCGTTTTTCAAATTGGGACTGTGCCTTGATCTCGAGAAATTCTAATTCGACGAGCTCGTGGTCGGCCGAAAGGCCGCGAAGGTTGGCTAAAATCTTGCGTGCCTCGCCCTCGCGGTCATGGTGAACGAGCCACCTCGGGGAGAAAGGCATGAAGATCATTCCGACAAATAAGATAATGGCGGGAAAGAGTTGTAAGCAGATGGGTACCAGCCACGCTGCATCCGTCTGGGTACCGAGGGTAATGCCGCCGATATAGTTGGTGCCATAGTCTATCCAAAAGCTAACCATGATTCCAAAGGTGATAGCGAGCTGTTGGAGCGCCACGAGCGCGCCCCTAATCTCGGGGGGCGCGACCTCAGAGTTGTAAATGGGCACGATCGTGGCCAAGGAACCAACTCCCATACCCGTGACGAAGCGACCTCCGAGAATCACATTAGGCCCTCCCGATTGAGCCGTAGCCTGGATGATGACTCCCACTACGAAGACAGTCACCGCTACTAGGACACCGTATTTACGAGAAATAGCTTCTGCGATGAAGCCCGATAGCAGTGTACCAACCCAAGCACCGAGTTCGAGAATAGCAGTCAACCATCCTTTCTTCGTTTGATCGGCCGAGTCATCGAATGGATCGTAATCGCCCATGTCTGATAGATTCTGTCAGCGCCGGAAGGTTACCTACTACCTACGTAGGTAGCTGGGTTAGATGGCATAAGTCGCCTTCGGTAGGTACTTACGTGCCTTGAAGGCAGGCATAGCAAGGACACCTGAGAACATTCCCTGGTTGTAGCCATATAGAATGCCACCAATGCATGCGAATAGGGCGATCCTAAAGACTTTGAAATTCTTGACTAAGGCCATAGGACCAGATGCGCCCATCATATCTTGGCGACGCTTGAGAGCCGCATCGTACGTAGCGGCGCCGGTGTCACCCGCCACAACCATGATGACTGAAATCTAGTAATTTCTAAGCGGCAACGCACTGGAAGGATATAGGCTGGGCATAGGTTCTTAGATAAAGGGGGCTATGCGCGCAGAGATTCTGAGAATTGATCTCAAGGCTTGGTAAGCAAGTACTTTATTATGGCATAGAATCGTAAAAGTGGTACGCCACTGGTCTCTCAGGGAGCATCTGGACATAAATAATGCCAATCACTCTATGAGAATCCAAGAAACGTGGTTAAAGCTAGGCTATTCAATTCCGATAACGCGACATACAGGAAGCTTCTGCACAAATCATATCTGGCACTATTGCTGAAAAGACCCCAGAAAGAGATATCCTGCGATCCCCGTCATATATTACCAGGATGCGGGATAAATAAACTTGGGGTACCGAGTCACGGCCGAAGTCATGGCTGATTGGTGAGGGTAACTCCCAGGCTGACTACCTACCTACCTAGTCATTGGCACGCCTAAGGAGCGAGTGTAATGCTCCCTAGGTACCTACTAGGTTGGTAGGTACCGTACCGGGACCTGCCAACAGCTAACAATGATTATTTTCGAAAACAATAATGGCCCATTATAATAATCAAGATTTCCCAGCACAGCTATTGTATAAAATAGAATCATTAGAGGGGCTAGAAAATCATTGGAAAGGTCAAACAATCATTGGAAAGTCAAACAATCATTGGAAAGGTTCAACATTCATTGGAAACCTTAAATATTCATTGGAAGCCTCAAATACCTAAGTATTTGTGGCCTCAAATAAAGAGGTAGGTGACGAGGTAGGTGACGAGGTAGGTGACGAGGTGGGTGGCAAAAACCCTCTCTCTTTCCTGCCCACCTTCCTGTCCACCAAGCTGTATATAGGTCTATCTTTTTGATCTTTTTGATCTTTTTGATCTTTCTGATCTTTCTGGTCCTTCTGATCCTTCTGATCCTTCTGATCTATCTGATCTATCTGATCTATCTAATCTATTTGATCTATCTAACGACCTGTTTATTGATCGAAATATTGTTCTATCTAGAGGTTTATCTGATCTATCTAATGACCTGTTTATTGATCGAAAATTTGATCTATCTAAGGCTAAATATACAATAAAATACCATTATTTAGTAGCGTTGTACGAGTGATTGTTGTTGTAATGTGGTGGTGGTGGTGGTGTATGTTTTTGTGAGAAAAAAAAAAGATGTAAAGGAAAAGAAATAAAAATAAAAACATGTGTGTGGGAGGTGCAGGATAAGGACGAAATTCGAAAAAAAAAATCTTAAGTTTTTTTGTGGGCAAAAAGGTATCGCCAACCTTGTTGCCGCCTGGGTTACTTGGCAGCTTGGGCACCTGATCTAATTAAATCTAAGGTTTTCCAATGATTGTTAAACCTTTCCAATGATTGTTGAACCCCTCCAATGATTCCAACCTCTTTCCAATGATTTCAACCTATTTACAATGATTATTTTTACTTTTACAATGATTGTTTTTATTTTATAATGATTATTTTCAGGTTTCCAATCATTGTTTTCGACTTTCCAATCATTGTTAGCTTCTAGTATTTGCCGCTATGGTATGTATAGGTATACATTAACAAGCTGGCAGACGAAGCTAAAGAAGCGTATACGAATTATATTGAACAAAGAGCAGTACCTAGGTATCGGTCGTAAGAAGATCATTCACTCTAAACTTTTAGCAAATTTATGCCACACTTTAAAATCATCTTCTACTAGGCAGATCATGATCACCACAAAATCTTGGAGAAAATGGCTACCCCGTGTGGGGTATATCGGGGTAATATTGTAATAGGCTGGCTACATATAACCCACCGCAGTGCTACTTTCTATATGACTACCTAGGTAGGTAGGTAGGTATTTAGCCTAAATTACCCCAGCCAAAGGTCGAAAAGAACCCACTAGGTACCTAGTATTGGATAACGACACGTGAGGTCGACTGATCGAATACACACCTACATAGTACGTAAGTACTGAGTAGGTAGCAGGTAGGTACTTTGACAACATCACATATTCTTTTTAGTCTACCTAGTTATTTTCGTGATCGATGTGTTCTGTACGTCGATTGGTCCCACATGAGAATGCGTGCCTAGGTGGTTATATTATAGATTTGACAATCTAAGATCAACACACCATCGTATGAATAGGTACCTACTTACCTAGGTAGGTACAGTCTGTCGCACATAGGAGAGAACCATACATGTAGTATATATCTTCCTACCTAGGTCGAGACGAGACGGTCGACCGAATTTCTCGAAATGATGGTAGCACTTGTATTCGCTATATCAGGGCCTAGAGCCCGTTACCGCACTTAACCAGATTGGATTAGATACCTACGGGCTACTGATATGATAAGCTCACAACTAACGTCTGGCATAAGATGCCTAAGCGAGGAAATCTAGCTGAGATGATGTAAGTAGAAGTGTGAGTGCAAGGTTGACTATATGCCTTAGGTACCTAGTAGGAAGGTAGATAGTCGTGGACAGGTGGTAGAAGGTCCAAAATGTGAATCCCAGTTACGGCACGGGGCGTGACAGGAGCAGATCATATTCAACTTTACCAAGATATCAATTTTGACCTCATCTTAAGTTGTCTCAAAAGTGCATTCCTAATTTGGCCGAGGCATCTTGGATTCTTGGTTATCTAACGATAGCGGATAATGGAAGGTAATCGGACGGTTCGGATGACAATTTAGGTAGAATGGTAGAGGGACGGGGCGCTTGTTAGCGGCTCTATTCGGAAGGATGTGCCGCTGTCTCAGAAGTCGAGCTCACTCATCCAATCGTCGCTCGGTTTGCGCCTATTGAATCTGTGCCATGCAGATTGTCAATGTTTTCCAGGGTCGGGAAACAGGCCTCTGCTACTGTACCCGTACCTTACTCCCTACCGTGCCATTGATGTACATTGCCTGGGGTCGCCTTGCTGCTACAGCTGAACTATCACTTTTTATGAAACATCAGACTTATACAAGAAGGATTTGGGGTTCAGATAGGAACCGTCATAATCACTTTGAAACATAGATTAAAGTGAGTTGTTCATTATAACTGCCGAAGCACCCTGTACCTAGTATATCCGCATAGGGTGAGAGTAACATGGCAACGAGACCAGCTAAGCAAGGATTGTAAGGGGACTCGTACGTACGGCAGCATCCGTGGCCCCCAATACCTGTATATCTAAGACAGTGTCGCCGCAGAGAGTTGGGAGGGCTAGAGGGAAGAGACCTGACGGCAGCACTGGGCAACGACCATTGCCAGTCGATAAAGATATCGGCATACAAAGAACACCGACTACCATGTAGGCAGTATGAGGTAGGTAGGAACTTGTGGAGAAGCAAATCTTCTCTTTCGTACATACACGCAATTTCAACGTTGCATTGAAGTAAATGTTTACCAAACGAACAACAGTGATATGTCTATTTTAAAAACTTCTGGCGAATAGGAAAAGAGTTAGTTTGGGGGACCAAGAGAATACACGTGATATTCCCGCCATGGTGGACGCTAGTCATCTAGTACCGTTACACTAGCTTAACCAAAATAAAATCGTGGGATCTTATGCAGGGAATGCGCGCTCGGTGTTAAGAGAATATCAATTCTTAATATGAGGCTAATACCAGAATAGGTATAGCTTCCCCATGTCCCGGTCGGCTAGCAGGGACGCTAGCAAGGAGACTCTGGACGATCAATGTTATTTTAGCGTGGGATTTGTAGACGCGCGCCTCCATCTTTTTACATACAGACATCTTTTCTGCATCTTTTCTGCATTTTTTACACCTTGCACCTTGCACCTTGTTCATCAATTCAGGGGTCTTTCCACAGAGTAACCACTCAACTCCCGCTCTCATCCAATGCCACATCTCCACCTTGATCGAAACAGTCGTTCATCTTGTTTCGAAACGCCGCCCCCTAATGGACGCTAACGACAACATACAAGGCCATTACGCTATTGTCCTGGTCAATCTTGGAAGTCTTTCAAATCTGCTTTTGCCTCTCCTTTTCTCAAGGTTGGTTCAAGCCATATCCATGCCATTTTGTTGTGTTGGTACATGGTGCTTGGGCCACTACGTCAATAATAGACAATTCGAACGACGTCTCCCAGCATCCATGTCCAAAAGAGGCATCTTAAGCCTGAAGGATTTACAATTGTATCCAAGCGTTTGCATGTTTGTTCGTGGGGGCCATGCTTCATCGAGCTATCAACCCATCAAACCATATTTGTCTATTATGACAGACCTACAGTAACATGGGTGGTATTGTCTCTTCATGCAAGGTGCCGTCCCGCTTTGCTTTGTCTACCCGCACCTAGAAATATTTCGAGTGATTCTACGGGTCAACGAAAAAGCTACTTGCCAAGATTAGCAATGTATTCATCATTTGCTTACCGGTATTGAAGTATCTCTGTCTTCGTGTAAGTCTCTACCAAGGTTACGCTCATGTGTGTTTCTGGGTAGGTACCTATATACATACCTAATATGTGGCTGCTCAACACCACAGCATACCTAGTACCTAGTAGCGTCGCTCTTAGGTAATTTTCATGTACAATCTAGAGCAAAGAATACCTATCGTATGCAGGGAACCGCTGTATAAGGTTATGATCGGACGACTAGCAAGTAAAGGAAAATGCGACGATTGTCGATCAGATCAGTGTCGACCCGCTCCGAGCGTGCCACGGCCCGGATCGTCGTCTTCACCTTCGTTCGCCGCATAATCGCAATCGTATACACGCGCGCGCGCATAGTATCCAGTTGGATAACTACCTACCTAGGTATACTAAAATTTCCCTATAAGGCTGGCGCTTACTGATACAGCATTCTCTCGATTTTGCTATTTTTGACCGGATACCTGGCCCGTCTCTCTATCTCGGTATAGTGTGTAGTGTAAATTATGTGAACGTGTGCCCCCAAAGAGTCTCCTAATGTACATCTTATACCATTAGCCGCCCTCCACACCAGGCCACTTTTCCGTAGCCGCCCAACTCCAGACAGACGCCATCCCGAAGCTCGCCAACCAATATCAACGGCCCAAGAATAATCTATCCACTCTTTCAGATACACAACCTAGGTTTCATGACTACAGCTTGCATGTTCGCCCCCCAAAGCTGACAATCGCTCGAGATCTTGCTCTATGACCATGACAGCTTTGTTTCAGATCCGACTTCCTGGGTCTCGCGTTACAACAGCAGACCAGCAGCATTATCCATTTCGTCTAGTCAGGTCGTAGCCCTTCGAGGTGACCATTACTTTTATAAGTACCCGCGCCCATTTCGCGACCTGGCCTGGTTTAATAGTTTCCCCTCCCGGACCCTCTCGCTACAGCATCAAACGGCCTATTCCTTTTCCGTTTCCTCTGACTTAAGGCCGTCGTGTTTTTTATTTTTTTTTGTTTTTTCCCTTGACAGCCTCGTTCGTTTCATCATCATTCGTTTGATACGAGTCATCGACTAAGCTGCCTGAAAAAAAAGTTTTTTTTGCTACATCTCTTAGCAATTTCTATAACCTCCTCCAGGCGAGGCTGAAAGAGACAGAAGAAGAAAAAGGAAACATTACCTCGACGATTTTCGAGCGGACGGAGAAGAAAACGACAGATATCGCTAATCATAATAACCTATTCTTCGAATTATACTCTAACTTCCCTTGCTTAATCGCATTACTTCTCTGCGTTATAGTTCTTTTTTTATATGTGCTTCCCCTATTTCACATACCGCCAATGAACATGCCTAAGCACACCCGCTCGTCAAGTTCGAGCCACAATCGTTACTCGAACCCGAATCCCATGCCCGTCTCTCTCGCTCCCTCAGCCCCCGTCCCCATTTACAGTACACGACCGTCTCTACCGGGGGGCTACTACCCGACTGTTGCCTCTACATCGGCACAGCCTTCTATGCAGGCGCAGCAGTATGATCCCTACCCGGCAGACATAGTACCGCAGGCACCGATGCCGAACCGTCCTTCGTCCGGTGCCTGGACGGTCCAGGACGACCAGAACTTGCTGGCGGCCAGACAACAAGGCCTCAACTGGGCCCAGATCCAGAGCAACTATTTCCCTAACAAGTCACCGAATGCCTGCCGGAAGCGCCACGAACGGTTGATGGAGCGTAAGGGTGCCGACGACTGGGATAACAGGAAGCTGGAGCGTCTAGCAAAGGAATACATGAGCATGCGTAAGGAGATCTGGCAGCCGCTGGCTGCGCGCACGGGAGAGAAATGGATCGTTGTCGAAGCAAAGGTTAGTTTAATTTTCTTTCTATGTATTACTCCGCATCTCGGCAAACTTGTTTAGGATGTTCGCTAACGGGGACCTGCCCAACCTACTCCAGTGTATGAATAATGGGCTCAAGAACTTGCAGTCGGCAGCTCGGTCGGCGGCGCGGCGCGAGAGGCTGGAATCTGGCCATCCAATCCATGGGTATGACGACGATAGCGGCATTTCCGGCATTGGTCTGACTCCAGTAGATGACCTCGACGCCTCGTATAGCAGCCCCGAGACGACGTCGAGCTCGCACTCGGGCGGCAGCAACGGCGGCGGTTACGGCGGCGGCTCTATCCATCCCATGGCACTCGGCCACCCATATGGTGCCAACTACACTGCCAGCGCCGGCGGACTTTCATCTAGTTACGGCTCTTCGGTCTCGTCCACAGCGGCGGCACACTACGGTGCCATGCATAATTCTCATTCTCAGGGAGGGTCGCCCTATATGGGCGACGGACAGAGACTTCCTAGCGTTGACATGGGTATCGACGCCATCATTAATCGACCGGGCCACAACGGCGGACCTACTCATGGCATGTGAAAGGACGTACGATATGAAGTTACGAATATTTCTTCTATGTTCCCCTTATTCATTCATTTATTCATTTATCAGTTTAGTTTTACTTGGTGACAGAGCGCGGCCTACTACTACTTTATTATAGCCACCTCCCCTATTTACAAGATTTTCGACTCTCAATCTTGGCGGTCGAATTACGACGCACGTTGACATTGTTTGGGAGTTTTTGCCGCTCCCTGTATTACTTACCACTTATTTCCTTCTTACCTACCTCGGTCTTTTGCAAAACTCCCAGGCGTTTACGGCGTCAGCATAGCATGGCGAACTTACGGGATAAAGAAGGGCAGGGAAACGGAAGGGCTGCCGGCGAGCAGCTCATCATTATGAGGAAGAAAGCTTGATGCGGATTGACGAAGGGTGAAGCGAAGGAAGATTGGATTACGAAAGAAAACACGTCATTCCTTTATAACTGCTTTCAGGAAGGACCATCATGCTATATTTACCATGTCACCCTCCATTTTTATCACACACCAAAATTAGGGGAATAGGGGCATGGGCGAAGTTGGACCCAAGTATTGTTAATGACTGCTTTTCGGCAACAGAGGTTTATGATTAGTGAATGCTCTGTATACTAGATTTTTACCACATAGATACCACGGGACCTGGGAAGGCCACTTGTTAGCTGTACTCATAAGAAAGCCCGAATCGTAGCTAAAGATGGGGGTTAATAATTATTAGATTGCTGAGCCAGGCGAGAGTCGCAAAAATACAGTCATTTCCTATCCGAAGTCTGTAACACCCCCTGAATTTACCTTATTTACGTACATTCTTTGGACACGTATGGATAGGTCATACTACCTAATTGGACCAAGTATTATAATTCGACCCAAACAATGGTTTTTATTTTTACATATAATAGGGATATATTACAGATATATTTTCTTCCCCGAGGTGCCATCCTCATGCAGATCGGCAAAGGCTAGGCCAAAATGCAAGGTCACTTAGACCCAATAGGGGGCACAGCGGCCCGGGTCCTGTCATCGGCGGCCTCAGCTTCTTCTCCAACTTCATCCACAATCCAATCCTCATCGTCCGCATCCTCATCCTCAAGGTCTGGCTCGCCAACTATGCTGCTCCAAACCCGCCCCCACATACCCTTCTTCTGCACGAGAGCTAGGACCATGACGACTGGCAAATGCCAGACACTAGCCCAGAACAACCCGCGCGCACTCCCCTTGAAGCCCTCGTTCTGCCAGAATCGCACCGCTTCACGCGCCAGCCAGAAGTTTACGGGTAAGCTCGTCACAGCAAATGTCCATTCAGTCACCCCTACGGCACAGAGCGCAACAGATAAGGGGAAGAACAGCAAGCTATACCTCAGGGCCACGCGCGCATTACGTGCAGGGTTGATCCAGCATAGCATCTTGTGACCGGCGGCCTTGTATTCTTCCCTTATAGGCCACGAGAGTGCCATGAAATGAGGGAATTGCCAGGCAAATAAGAGTGCGGCCAGCAACCAGCCACCAATGGCGTCGGGAGTAAGAAGAAGCTCATGGAAGGACCCGTCTCCCGTCGCGGATTCGCCTGCCGCCGCGGCCCAGCCCATGAGAGGCGGAATGCCCCCAATAATGGCCCCGACCCAAGTGTTGAGCCAAGAAACGCGCTTCATTGGGGTGTAGACACCAGCGTAGAGCGTGATGTTCGCAGCGCCCAGGAATGCGACTGTGGGGTTGACGCCAAAGTAGAGGCCACCGACTCCGGTAAAGGCTGCGAGGATAGCGAAGATGAGAGCTTTACGCTCAGACAAGAGCCCACGAACCAGAGGCCTGTTCCTCGTCCGCGTCATCTTGGCATCCCACGCTAGTTCGTAGAGCATATTAAGGGCATTCGCGCTCGCGCAACAGAGCGCCGTACCAGTGGTAAGGAAAGCCAGGGTCAGAGGCGATAGAGAAGGCGTGTCTAGACCTATAGATGGCGAGAGAAAGGCGGGGACGGGGTATAGCGCATAAGGTGCCATAGCAGTAAGGACGATAAGGACAGTAAGACGAGGTTTCGAGAGAGAAAGGAGGAGGGATATTTGTCGACGTAGAGAATTGGCAGGGTGTTTCGTAGATGCTGTAGTGAGAGCAGATGAAGCATCTTGTGGTAATGGGTTCTCAACCGCCGACGCCGGGTCTGGGGCATTAGAAGTAGTTGGGTTTTCTACTGAAGCGTTGCGCCTTGCTGCCCGCCGCTGCCGGTGGGGAAGATCCTGAGTAGCATGATGATCGGTTGAGGCGGTTTGGACTCGTGGTAAAAGCTTGTTGGATAAGAAATATCCGGTATTTAATCTTGATCGTTGCTTCGGAGGGACGGGAGCGACGGAATGGGCGAAGAACCTCCTAGCTGGAGTTCTCGTATAGTTCAGCTGTTGACTGCATCGCCAACAGATATTATCGAGATTGAAAGGTCGGAACAGATTTCCGGCAGGCCGTGGGCGCATACTGACCGCAGCTCATATCACCAATTGCGTTTCTTATGGGGCTATGATACGCGTTGGCGATTGGTCGGAAATCTACTGTAAGTATTAGAGGGTTTGAGAGTTGAGCGATCGACGTGGATTGAAATGGACGATAACGATGGAAATGACAAAAATGGTGGTATGAGAAAATGAAGATATCGGCCCATACATTTCCCGTGATACTCATGCATAATCGCATACGTGGGGTATCCGCGGGGTACACCGAGCGATAACGTAAGCCAGTAAAAGCCTAGAAACCTTGAACCAATGTTGAGCAAGGAACATGTGAGGTATCTACCTAGGTAATTCTATACAATATATTATACATAGTACTGAGGAAAATACGAACTGCATTGTGCAGGTAGAACAATACAACATATACCTATCTACCTAGTAGGCAGGTAAGTGTAAGTGCTCATGAATTAACACTAAGTACCTACTAGGTAGCTACCTATATGTAGCCCTAGTATTATAAATGTATGTACCTCTTACTATCCAATTATTCACATACACTTACTACACCTGTTTTTCATGGCCCGAGGGAACTCTACTACTATCAAAACTTTGTGCATTGTTCGGCGTATGCTTCGTCGTCGTCGTTACTACCGCTTCCTCGGGAACGATTAGCTTTTCGTCGGTCTCTTCGATCTCTTCCTCTAACGTCAAGTTGAGGATCACGCAGATGAAAGCCGTAACTGTGAAACCAGTTTCCATCACTAATACAATTGCATCTAAGAATCCCTGGAGACTCTTGTTATCACCGCTGTAACTAAAGACGTTACTAAAGTAGGTCGGGACAAGGGTAGCTATTTCTCAACTATTAGCATTGAACGAGGACGGGAAAGGGGGGGACCAATAAGAACGGGGACTTACCTCCATATCCAATGGATAAACCAGCCGTCAAGATAAATCGGTTTCGGCGATTGAAGGGAACTCCACGTGCTATAATGGCGATGCCGGAAACAGCCACGGAGCAGAATAAAAATGTAGTCATTCCACCAAGAACAGGTGATGGGATAGCAACAAGAGCAGCCGCAAATTTTGCGAATATGCCCATTATGATCAAGAAGAAACTGTTTGATCACCCATTCGTTTAGCTTCAGAACGCGATAAACAGATGGAATGCAATACGAAATACATACCAGCAACAGTACCCGGCCGTGCGGTTTGCGCAACGTGTGAGAGCGATCACTCCGTTGTTCTGCGCAAACGTGGACATGGGTGTGATGGTCATTAGAGCGGCGAGAATGCCGTTTATCCCGTCGGCTAACACGCCACCCTGAATGCGGGACTCATACGTGCTGCCTTCTACCTCGAGGCGGGAGACATCACACGTGGCCGTAATATCTCCGATGGCTTCACATGCGCAGATTATGAATACCGCCAGCACCGGTAGCACGAGAGGTCCATACACTGTAAGCTTGAATGTGTGAACCCATATGAAAGATGCGACCGGAGCGGCGTCGATCCCCGAACGATCAAAGTAGCCTGTCGCTGCGGCGACGATACAACCTACAAGTAGACCGACAATGACACTTGTAGACTTCATTATCGGAGCGCCGAAACGTTCGCATAATATGATGGTGAGAAATACCAAAAATCCAAGCCCTAGATACTCCGGCGAGCCCCAAGGTAGAGCGTGAGGAGCACCAACGTTTGGGCACACGTCATAGAACGCCGTGTGTGTGGCATCTGAGCAAGACCCGCTACCACCAGCCCAGTTTTTGAAGCCTGTCTCAATGAGGCTAATGCCAATTAACTTCAAGCAGTTAGCCACGCGGATCAGAGAGAGATGGAATGGGATAGTCTTACCATCACCGTCGGGCCGGTGACGATAGGAGGGAATATTTTAAGCATGATTTTCGGCGGTATGAAGGCGATGAGAACTTCGATAAGAGCACACACTGCTGCAGTTCCAAGAAGTGCTCCGTAAGCGTCCGGACAAGGCAATTTGGTACCATCTGCATCTGTCGGACACATCCCGTTCGCGTACATTTGTGCAAAGGCACCCGACGCCACCGAGATTATAGAAAATGATATACCGACAACTGAGATGAGCCCGGTCCCGAGGTAATATCTAAACACATCGGTTAGCCTCACACTCGTCACGGATTTGACTAGGGCACCGAAAACACCAGCTGTTTGCTGTATCTAGATGAAATGGTTAGAAAAGGAAAAATAAACGCTTACGGGGTCCCGTATATATGAAATCTGGTGATCTGAATCATGGAGAGAATGCCGGAAACAATCAGGGCGGTTGAGACCAGATACTGCTGTAACTCCGCAGGTAGGTTAACTCCGGATGACATGATAATGGGAGGCGTGATAATCCCAGCAAGCATGGCCAAAGCATGTTGGAGACCGAGGAGAAGTGCCAGAACGACAGGCATCTTATCATTGAGGCCAAAGAAAGGTGAAGCTTGTCGAGACTTCTTCATGAATGGTAGATTGGGCCGTAGAAGGAAGACATAGTCGTAATCGCCCAGCATACCTTGTCTCGTGAAGAATACTTTCTTGAGGCCATTTAATCGATCGCCCATAGTCTTCTTCAGTTCATGCTGTGGCACAATTTGGGACGGACCCTGATCTTCATCCATCTTGTAGTGGGTCGTATGTATGTTATAGGAAAAAGAGGCGGCGGCGATACTAACGACGACTTCTAAATAGGAGACTGCTCAAATATTATATATCTCGATTATGACGATCCTGTATGAGCCTGAAGTACGAGTGTACCTAGGTGAATTAATTACTACCTAGGTACTAATCTAGGTAGTGATGCCACCAAGAATCAAAAGGTACCTAGTATCTAACAATTCATTAGCTTTGGCTACCCACGTTTAGAGGTTCGGGTACGCAAACGTCGCGATTTGCTAACCTACATCGCGCGCAATTATATCTTAGGTAGTATTTACCTAAGATAAAGTAGAATGGAATCCAAGCAGATACATATGTAGGTATGTAAGTAGGTATATAGGTAATCTTTAATAACTTTGAATGCTGCTGAGATGTAAGACTCGACGTTTAAACACCAGGTGTCAAAAAATTTTATCATCTCGTTTATAACCAACGCCGCGCATTTCTAGCTAAAGCGAACTCCGTAGATGGATATGGGAATACAGCGGGGCTGACCGATAGCATTATCTGTCTACTACTAGGTACTGTATCTAGTAGGCACGCCGCATACCGTCTATGATTCAAGAGGCAACATGGACAGCTTCCTTTCTTTGGTGTAGCTGAAAGCCCCCAAGTCTAGATCTAGATGGCTGGGATTATACCGCGTCAAGAAGTTTGTCAGAGATATCGGTCAGCATTATCTCCTAGGTCCACGGCTGCACGGGTATCCCGATAACCCGTAGGGTACCTATCTGGGTAGTGTGAAAGCTGATCTAGAAGATAGAGACTCCTACGCCTTTGCTTTCGTCTTCCAAGGCTTTCCTCAGCTCTATGTTACGTAGATACCTAGGTGTAATACTGTTCCTGGTGAGTGTTTTCTCTCTTATCTCATTGGATTCGGAGCTCATGCCTAATCCAATTAGCTATTCGAGGCGACAACTAAAATGAAGAAAATATCCCGAAGGAATATCTAGGACAGTTGATAATAAATAATGAATGCTGAGTGGCTATAGATAAGAAGAAGTGCTAAAGTGGACCCCTGATCCATCCTAGCTCAACTGCACAAGGTACCTAAGCTTATAGGTACCTACATAGTATGTAGGTAGGCAGTAGGTAAGTACAGAAGTACCTGCTATGTTCAGGAGCGACATGAGATTGTACCTCCCTACCTCATCTCCTACCTACCTAGGTAGTACACTTTTTGCATTTATTATTACACTTGGTCCGTGACTCCGTCGTCTTTAAACCACCTTTGTATACTTGCTATCTCCAGTGACTCCGATATGGCTGACTCCGTCTGCCGCGCCGTCCCCCGGGTTTGTCGCCATCCGCCGTCTTGCGTGCTGGTCTAATAAGTCGAAACAGAAAATAAGAGAGGTCTCCGCTTTCCTACGACTCCTTTTTGGACCTTAAACCTACGAGACGATGACAGATAAGAAATCTCCAAATTGGACGCCTAACTATTATCGAATGATGTCCATAAAATATGGTGGCCTATTAGGACGATGTGTAGATGTGAAGAGGGTGAGAATAGGAAGGCCTTGAAACTCTTAACCCTGGGTAGGAACAAAGTAACTAAAACTATTAACTTATCAGCCTCTTTGAACACCATAAGAAACTCCGGGCACGTATGTTTTCCCTACATACTTTAGAACTACCTACCTCTAAGTAAGTGGAAGTGATTGACCTAAACGACTTCTAGCTATTTACCTACCTACTTAGGGCCCTACTAGGGATATCGCTAAATTTGATATTATGAACGTTATAAAAGGAGAATTCGTCACTGGTATTACTTAACGGCGGAAAATCAGTGCGCCGCGCTGTCTGAATATCATTCTACCCGTCATCAATCTATTAATTAAGTGTATCTAAGAATTATCATGTTGTCCTATAGAATTGTTTTCACTTTGCTCCATCGAATCTTGTCGAGATTTCTGTGGTTTTGCAGGTTGTCCCAGCCGCATCCTTCAGACTGGATCTCAAAACTCATCTATACACGAAAATAAGTTGATCGAAATGAACTGTGCATTTCTTGGATATGGCCCCAGAAAGATTTTCCACCATTTTCTTCCGCCATTTCTGCAAGATCTCAAACGTCACTTGTTCCGCAACCGATCGAACGGTCCGTGTGACTTGATCTCGCTCTCGTTTGTCATATGCAACTGCCCGCGGATGATGTTTGTCTAATTTATGGCGTTGATGCTATGGCCTGGACAGTCTTTCGCCCTGCTGCATAAATCCTACATTCCAGAAGCAGCCGCGTACGACGTCGAAGCTCACATACTAGATTTTTTTTATCTGGGTAATGTGTGACGGCTTACACGTATTACCTGAATTTCCAAACACATTCCGTACCGCTCTTCTGTTCCTATGGTTATTCATCGTTTTATTCTCATGCGAATGGTATGCGCGAGGTAGAAATCAATGTCTCTAAACGATGTGGGTTAGAGACGCGCGTCACCTCCTAGGGAATAGTGACTAAATTAGGTATATGTCCTGAGAATCAGTGACCCCAGTCAAATTCCCTATACTTACTACGAATGATTTCAAATATTACTTCTCTTTCAGAAATCGAACCTTCTCTTGCAATTCGGGAAGGAGTGTGGAATATTACGCAGGGGGCCGCACCTAATAGTAGTTGATGATATTTCGTGACATTTCGGGTCCCGGGTACGTCTGCGAAGTGACATTGAGGCAGTGTCTTTACCTTGTAAAGGTGACGATTTGGTTGACAAACTTGCCAGATCCTGATTCATCTCATCGTGGCTGGAGTGTTCGAATTCCGGCATATCTAATTTATATATTACTCTTCTTGTCTCGTTCATTGGCAATGTGAACTGAGAATATCCACTACCAAACGAATCTTCGCCAACATATCTGTAGCAAAGATGCCTTGTAAGCTAGCAATAACGTCTATGTCTCTCGGGCGATGTTCTGCAGGCCATTCCCTTGTGCACAAGCTGGATATGGCTTGTTTATACGGCTATAGAGGCATTGAGCTTTTTTACGAAGATCTCCTGGATATCGCGCAACAGGTTCCTGGGAATTCCACGACGGACAAGGAACTTGAGGCGGCCCATATCATTCGCAGACTTTGTCAAGAGAGGCGACTGGCAATTGTATGCCTTCAGCCGTTCGCACACTATGAGGGATTACTGGACCGCCAGGCGCACGGTGGTCGCATAGAACAACTCCTTTTTTGGTTTCAGCTGGCGATAGCCTTGGGTACCGACATGGTGCAGATCCCATCCAACTTCCTGCCCTCATCCGAACTTTCAGAAGACTCTCGCGTTGCCGTCGAAGATTTAAGAGAGGTAGCCGATCTGGGTCTCCAACAGAAACCGCCAATCCGTTTCGTATACGAGGCATTATGCTGGGGTACCCGATGCAACTTGTGGGAACAGAGCTGGGATATCGTACAAGCCGTCGATCGACCTAACTTCGGCCTCTGTCTCGACACGTTCAATATTGCCGGACGCATCTACGCCGACCCTTCTTCGCCGACGGGTCGCACTCCGAACTGCGACCAGGCCGTGGAGGGGTCTATAGCTCATCTGATAGCTACTATAGATATTCAAAAAGTATTCTATGTACAAGTAGTCGATGCCGAGCGGTTGACAGAACCATTAATACAAGGTCACGAATTCTACAATGCGGACCAACCGGCGCGGATGAGCTGGTCTCGGAACTGTAGACTCTTTTACGGCGAGAAAGACCGTGGCGCCTATCTCCCAGTGATCGAGATATCGAGAGCAATCTTCCATGGGCTAGGGTTCGAAGGTTGGGTGAGTATGGAGCTCTTCAACCGAAGGATGTCAGATGAGGATGAGGCGGTACCCCATGAATTAGCAAGCCGAGGCGCCGTTGCTTGGATGAAGCTTGTTAAAGACATGAAGCTGAGAATAGATACCCCCACCCCTGAGAGAATAGTGGTTGCGTCGTTATGATTGCCGATACTATAGTAGGGACGGAGTCGAAAACAGCGACGTTGTCCCAAAAAGACCCTCGGATTCTCTTTTTAACGCTAGAGGCAAGTCAGGGACAGACCTGAGGCTTGGCTGTATAACTTGTGCTGGCGTCGGCATTGGCGTTGGTATGCGTCATTTTCCGCGGGGGGTCGATGTGTTGTATACCTAGGTGCGACGTAGAGAAGAAAGGGAAGAAAGGGAAGAAAGGGAAGAAAGGGAAGAAAGGGAAGGATGTAAACGATGAAACCTGAAGCGCCTGTTTTAGAAATTTTCTACCTGTAGTACTTCAATATATAGAATATATTACCCCGCAGTATATTTTGAAGCTACCCCACACTTTCGCTCAGGTACCTAGTATAACCATGCTGCCATGTTGCCTACCCCAATCTACGTGGAAGCAAGATACCTGCCAAGTACCTCCATATAAGTACTAGGTAGGCAGAATCGGCCATTGGCCAATGGGTCGTGTAGGTGTCTATTCTCTTCTAAATTGCTTCCATATCGTTAAGCAATACGTCAAAAGGTAGGTTTAGACAATTAAAATAGGAAGACTAAATTCCGAATATTTCACATTGTAGTTGGGTATCTGTGATTAGGCTTAGGGGGAGATTATCATTTAATCCAGACCCCTGAAGCGCAAGACTCCATGTGCCCCGTGAGGTCCAAGATCAATGTTTGTCTTTCCTTTCCTTCTCTTTTTTTTACTTCGACTCGTTCCTTGATCGCTACCAGAGTCATCCTCGTCCGAGTCTTTGCTTGATTGACGTTTCGCCGCATTTTTGTTTGCTTTTTTATCGTCGTCGTCGCTATCATCATCATCGTCGTCGTCGTCGTTATCACCTGACTCGTCCATCTCGCTACTGTCATCCGCGCCAATATCCCCACCCCGTAGAGACGATTCTTCCCAGATTTTGACCGTCTGTCCCCCACCACTGATCATTCGGCCTTGACAATCAAAACCAAGACTAACCACTGCTTCGATATCGTCGTGTCGCAAAGCGCCTTCAACTTCTCTCTTCATCAGATCAACAATGCGCAAACTGCCATCTCCTAGACCCACGACCACCTTTTTCCCTCTTGCTATGTCACCAGGAATTTGAACAATGCAGTCCAGACTCTCGCCGCCTCCTTTCCTAGGATCGACAACAACACGGTCTTGCTGATCATCCCAGGTTCCCTTATCCCATAATGTCAGGACTCCCGTACCGGTGCCTACCGCCACGACCCCATTGTCGCGGTTTTTTTTGGGACCCATGCCTTCGATGAAAGCTGTACATAGAAGCTCATCCTCCTGGTCGTCGCTACGCACCAGCACGCCTCTTCGCAAATCCGTGACGGCTAGGGTCGTGCCACCGGTAGAGATCCATTGCTTACTATATCCGCTCGTACTCTCACCGGAAGGTGGAAGTGGTGTAATGCTTGACACAAAGTCATCATGAGGAAAATGGGTCTGCTGTGGCTTTGATGCTGCAAGCGCGTCATCTCGCAAGTCGAGAAGGTGTAGAGCGCCTGAGTCGCAGGCAAGCAACAATGTCTGGGGGGATAGGACGTGGAGCAACGAAGGGGAATCTGGAATTGACTTTGTTGACGGAATGGCGATTTTGGAGGCGACTTGGCCGGTCGTCGGAGAGAAATGTTTGAGGAGATAATCTGTACCGGCTGAGTAGAGGGCTGTTCCAAGTTCAGGTTAGGCTCCAGTTCCAGTCCAAATTTGAAAAACACACAACCTTACCAGAACCATCATTGCTAAAAGCTAGAGTGCGACAGCTACCCTTGTGTCTTTTCGTTCGCCATACAGTGTCGATAGTCCCTTTACCATCTGACAAGACGCTAACGTCAGCGTCATCCTCACTCAGTCGGTCCGCAGAAGGGAGACGAAAGCATTGAACATGTCCCGATGAAAGACCGACCCCTAGAAGAGGTTCTGTTGGGTGTACGGCCTGCGTGAAGAGTTCGGCGCTTAGAGGTAACGTGCAAAGATTTTCGAACATGATGTACGGATGTCCGATTGGCACAGTAGTCGGCTTAATTGACGGGTACTTTCCGATTCTAGATCGTTATTACCAAAATACAACTCTCATACTGTAATATGTAATTGAGATCACTTAGAGGTCCTTACGATGTAAATTCTTATTTGTTGATCAAGACGAAGATAAAAAATGATGTTGATATCTGGTAAAAGCATAATATGAGAAAAAGATGTCCAGTGTCGTTATCGCTCTTATCAAACCTAACTAGCGACTACCTTGTAGGTACATACTATAGCTATATACATACCTACCAGGTACCTAGGCTGCTAGGTAGGTACCCCTTTCAATAATTTGTACCGTTACCATGGAACGATGACACTTTACGCCGCAAACGCGCATGTTAGGTGGTGTCGCAGAATTTACTTTATTTCGAGTTCTCCAAGATGTTCTCTCATGCGTTCTTAGAATCCATTAATTACGACCCTTTCCAATTTGGCCATCCTAGGTACTACCTAGAATGCCAGATGCAGGACGTCTTTTCTTATTTTCCCAATAGTATTTTCTTCCTGAACACGTTTCAGGTATGATATGCCAGCCAGGTCGGCCTTAGTCTTACTCTGTACCTAGTTATGGGAGTTACTAACTCCATCCCTAGGAGTACCTAGACACCCAGGCAGTTAAGTAAGTAACAGCCGGTCGTTAATTAATTATAGATTCAGTGTATTTTTTTTTTCTTAATTAGGCAAATTCCCGCGTAACGAAATAATATTTGAGTTACGTAGGTACCTAGGTGGGTAGGGACGCGTACGTCTAGGTATATTTTCATTGCCATTATAATGACAACAGAAGGACTTTGTGCCCTCAATCAGCCAGAGGCCTCTGGGCGTACCAGAAGAAGTAATCGAGATATATGTGGGCGGTTGTTGTCTGTAGTTCGTCCTGGGCCTTGGTAACGAACTCCTCCATTTGCTGTGAGGACTTTGAAAGCAGCGGGAATACGATAGGTGCGAGTGCGTCGATGAGATCTCCGAATACTGACTTCATATAGAGTCCAACTAAACGAAGTCGTTTTGCCTACTTTCCGACGTTAGGTTCTAGAGAATGATAAACTTTCTGATGTATGATGGAAGGGAATCTACAGACCTTTGGCCAGATTCCAATGGGGATTTTGAATCTTTTGCATGCAATATTGACGAAGCCGATATCCTTCAGCACCTCATCCATGTTGTTCGCAATAGTCCATCTTATCCCACGTTTAGACAACGCCTCGGTTGTCATATCATAGAATTGGGTGAGCATGGAATCTGTTCGGAATGTGTCGTCGTCGCATTTTAGGATTCCGCCAAAATCCTGGACTTCGATCCAACCGCCTGGGTTGAGGTGGCTTTCAACACTCTTCTTTCAGCATTCGCAACTATACGAAAACGGATATTTAATAAGTAAAGCTTACTTAAAGCTCTGTCTACACACCCCAGGGGGATCCTGTATTGCCGGGAAGACCTGACGTATGTGTACGAGATCCCAGTTGTCTCCGTGAGCCCATTCGTCTTCGATATCATCGATGATGAACCTAACGTTACTCGGGACCCATAATGGTTGGATAGGACTCAAATCGCAACCCACAACCTCGGCAGCAGGGAACATATCGGCTACTACAATAAACACAGCGAGGGTTATTAACATGCACAATACCAGATCAGTACTCCAACTCACCTTCGATAGCCCAGGTTCCCGTTCCAGTCCCAAGGTCAATTATCTTTTGTGGATGATCGCCAATCGGGGCGAAAAAGTTCTTACCTCTAAAATATCCGTCAATGGACGAACAAAGACGTCAAGTGATAGCTCGCGACAGTTCATAATATACCTCGTAAGCTCCAGCATTGCAACATGTTTCATGTCTTCTCTATTTTGTTCGGTCTCGTCATTTGGAATGGGATCTAGCCTCGGTCTAAATTAGATTTTAATTTCAAGTTTCACTACAGATAGACCTCGAAGTTATCCAAGCACTAAATCCACCCGACGTGGAGATGTAAGTTAATTGAAAAGGGGAAGATGGGGAACGTGAATGTAGGTACTTACATGTTCCATATCGATACTTATGATACTAGCACAAGGCGAATTAGTGATGTGTGCCAACTACATACTAGGTATACTGGAATAATTCAGTTCATAGGTACCCTTCGACCGTTCTCGTAAGAATGCCGGTAAATGGACGAAGAAACACTCCCAAACATGTTTATCGAGGAAGTATCAAAGTCGGAGGTATCGAATTCGTCATCCTGCATGTCTTCGGGTCCGGCGACTGCGATTTCGCTACCGCTCCCGACAATCGTGTCCGAACCCCACATGTCGTCGGGATCCAAGTTAGATTCCATTATTATCGTGTCGAACGGCTCACCACATGCCAATCTTAGGTATATATGACACAGATTACTTATGATACGCCTGGTTCTTGAGGAATAGGTCTTAAATGTTTAAGAAGCACTGATAAAGACATAGGTCATGACGACAACAAAACGACAAAGAAGCTTAGATGAAAGAAATAATGGCATGATATTCTAGCAAATGGTCGAATATGAAACTATATTCCGGATCTAAAAAGGTTCCTCAAGCACTTATACCGCTAGAATGGATTGTCATTATGTGAATCTACAGGGGTCGGTATGCAGCAGCGCAGGCTCTACATCTCTTAGACCTACCACATCACCTCGCATTGCAGGAGCCAGAATTAACCACAAGGAGAAGGGGTGGCTTATTTTACATAGTAACAGCACCACTATGCTAGCTTACACGAACTATCTACCTAAGTACCTAGTAGGTAGGTATTTTGGCAATACTAGGTAAGCATACCTATATTAATTGCTTCGAGAAGACACAGCCTATTTTACCAAGAAATTCCGCTGGATCAATCATAAATGGATTTGTTGCCAGACGGAATCCAACGTGGGGAAAGTGACTTGGGATCCCCGATTATTTGCATTATACTAATGCAGGGTGTATTTATTATAACCCATTACCTAGCAGCAGCTTCAAATTCAATAAATATCTAGGTAGTGTATGGTCCTTTTGGAAGAAGGTAGCTAGTCCTAGGTATGGATTGGATGGGGGGTAGGTCGCATGAAAGTGGAGAGATTTTGTCATTCGCAGGTCTGTAACATAAGAAAATTTGAAGAAGAACATATTAAATAATGGAAATCGACATATTGACCTAGGTAATCAATATCTAGTAGGGCACTTAGGTATATGTAACTACTAGGTATAGTCACTACCTACCTAGTAGTAGGTAAGTCGAAGATCTCGTATACCTACATTATATCTAAGCAATTTTCAATTGGTCAATATTTCGTTATGTCAATTTTCTGTACCTTAATTGCATGAGTAGATGCTACATGGGCCCCCACCACGAAGAGCCGAAGATCCTCAACAACTACCTAACTCGCGATATCTCCTTCCCTAGGTAGGTAGGTAGGCACCCATTATACTTTATTCTATAAGAAGAAAGAACGACTTATGAAACATTACTACCCATATCAATTTTAAATTAACAATCCAATAAACAAATAATATGATTCATTCCCATTCAACAATAACATTGTTGTAACTATGTCAACATGGCCATTACCACTTTTCAAAGCACCCTCTTTACCTTACTTGCACTAATCGCCGCAATGGCTTCGGCAACGGCACCTTTGAGAAATATCATGTATCTCACAGGGTATGTCGGACTTCTCTATCTTCTATGAATATTCCTAATAATCAGGTTCTAGGCAACATCCCATAACGCCGGATCTAGCTCTTAGTTCATCTATCACTCATGTAGCTATGGCTTTCATGAGGCCCGACCTCTTCAATCGAGAACAGGTTAGCTCTACGTGGCCATTATTCATGTCTGTCAGCGAAGCTCGTTCGAAATTCCGCCCAGGGACTAAAATTATGGTCGCCATTGGTGGCTGGGGTGATTCGGCCGGGTTTGATATCGCTGCACGTACAGATGAGAGCCAAGCTCGATTCGCCCGTAATATAGCCGCCATGGTCCGTGATACGGGTGCTGATGGTTAGTTTCAATATACATACATATACATACTCCTTCGCCCATCAGTTCATGTTCCTGACATTTCGTATATTATAGGTGTCGATATTGACTGGGAGTACCCCGGGTAGGTTCTCTAAGATCAAACCGATGTTAATATAAAGTATGGCTAATGACACCTAAAAACTAAAGAGGCAACGGTGAAGATTGGAAAAAGGTCCCCAACGATGAGAGAACTTGGCAGATTGCAGCATTTCCGAAACTCCTCTGCCAGATTCGTAAGGCTCTCGGTTCCAACAAGCTTATCTCGGCAGCAGTACCAGGTCTTCCAAGGGATATGCTTGCCTTCAAGTCGGAGACCGTTCCCCAAATTATGGGATCTCTCGACTTCTTGAACGTCATGACATACGATTTAATGAATCGTCGCGATAGTGTGACAAAACACCATACCGGCGTCCAGGCCAGCCTAGAATCGGTGCATGCTTACATAGCAAACGGTGCATCTCGCGACAAGATCAACCTAGGCTTTGCCTTTTACGCCAAGTATTTTCTTACAGAGCGTGGGCCATGTGTCAAGAACCCGATCGGATGTCCTACAGGTCCGATGGAGGACCCAGTGACAGGTGCTGATCTTGGCCGGGCGGGCTCTTTCTCGTGGCGGGATGAAGTCCCGCAAAACGTCAAGGCATCATTCAATAAGGCCATGACACAAGGGCATTATGACGAAGTTGGGGGCGGCTATTACTACTGGGACGAGCAGGAGGCTATCTGGTGGACATTTGATACCCCAGTAGCTATCGCCAAGAAGTTTCCTCTTATCGTAGAGAAGGAGAAGCTCGGTGGCGTATTTGCGTGGGGGCTAGGCGAAGACGCGCCCAGATGGGATCATCTCAAAGCGCTCAACGCTGGAGTGAAGAGCCTCTCCGCCAGAAAGGAGGAACTATAACATCGTCAAGATTATTTCGATAAAAAAAAGTCCCTGTTTCCATGCTGTAATATGAATCAGGGTTCCTGTCTAGCCTACCTCATAATCTATACAGCAGAAATCATGTACCGCTAACACCATAGGCCTTTGTTCTATAGGTAGGTATCTATTTACCAGGGCGAAGTTAGGCACATGTCTACATGTTTATGGCTGTATTATTTCTTAGCGCTGATATATACATACCCTATACGACTGTAAGTCATCAATTGTTCGGCGCCGAAATTTATCTCTATCGGTCTCAAAAGAGATTGAAGCAATTGGCATAGTATGTAACGGTGGCGGACCAGTCCGAGAAGATACCCTGGACACCAACCTGTCGCGCTAAAACGTCAACTAATCTGTACATATCGCCGTCCTTGTGTGTGCCGTTGGTAATAGTTGAGTAATAGTAGTCTCCCGCGGCCGCAGCTTGAGCTAACGGCCCTGATCGCTCAAGCGACCATGTCAAAATTTTGAAGCCGAGCTTCTTCGCCGTGGTCGCATATGAAGAAGGGACGTATTCATTATTCTCCCCGAGGGTGACGAGGTATTGAAGCGGAGGCGCGACAATCCGTACTCCGGCCTCCTTGTAAAACGACAAGTTTGCGACGGCGGCCGGGAACGTCCCCGGCAAGTCACCGCTTTGGTCGAGCAGCACGGCCTGCTCGCCGAATGCTGGGTCGGCGCGGAGCCAGTACACTACATCCGAAAAAGAAAAGCTCTGCAACCAGACTCGCGACGGGTCGATACCCGCGGCTCGGTACTCTTCGATCACCTGCTGCGCGTATATCTCTTGCGTATAGTTGCCGTCGAAGGGCATCGGCACACGCGGTTGCTTGAGCTCGGTTGTGAAGTCCTGGCCGTGGGAGTCGACAAGCTCTAAGAATTCTTTGTGGGAGAGGACAGTGCCACAAGTAGCATACAAGTCGGTCCGCCATGCGGGCGTCCCGTGCAAGAAATCCTCGGGCGTAGTAGCTGAAGCGTTGTAGCCGTCCATCTTACCGCAGAGAGACTTGAACTCGGCTAAGGTTATGTCGCTAGTGCAGCAGGAGGCAGTTGCGGGCGTACCATTGCCCGCCGGTGTGAACGGCGTCGTGCACTTGGCGCCTAGATCTGTCGCGACGATGTTGGTTGTCGTATGTAAGTCGCATTGGTCGTGTCGACAGACAAGTTGGCGGTCGCTCGTGAAAGCTACGTCGCATTCGAGGATCCCGGCACCCATGCGGGTTCCCGCTTCGACAGATTCGCGCGTCTCCTCAGGAAATTGCAAACAGGCGCCGCCGCGGTGACCTATGCTAAACTTGGTCGGCCGAGCTATCGTGTCGGTGCACGAGGATAGCTTGTCCTTCAGCCAGCCATCTTCCATGTCGGTTACTAGGAATTGTGGGCGCGGGCCGAGCTCAGCAGTCCGTAAACGTTGCTGAGTCGGGTAGCCCCATGACTTGGGCTTCCACCACTCCGGCGTCTTTGGCAGGGCTGATACCTCGACCGCAGCCAGGCCAGCGATGACGATGGAAGCTGTCTTGAGATGCATGGCGACCTGGTTGATACAAGTTATATGGCCGTTCCGAGGAGACAAAAAATGGCGAAAGGCCTAACTGTATGGACTTGGCGCTAGTGCAGACCCGATCAGGACTTTAACAAGACGAAAGAGCTGAGGGTAAGGCTCTTTAATCAATGTTTCCAGCCTGCCAACTTGATGACAAGGCCAGTGTTTGCCAAGTCGGCGTGGCAGAGATCGACAGGAAATTCCGAATTAATCCTTGATGCATTTGGCCATTGTCCAATGAAAAGCGGCATTGAAAGAACATGATCCGCAACTGTGCCGTGGCGGACACCTCGGTGACTCGGTCAGCTAGTCAGAATTAAAATCAAGCCTGCATTTTATTGGAGGTTTTCTTTTTGCTCTCTTTCTAATATCTAGGTATGTAACAAACTGATGCCCACTGGAGATAAGTTATGGACTTGTATTCGTACCTGGGTACGGTATCACTCTACAGCAGCAAACGCCAAGTCCAACCCCTAGGTACGAAAAACGATAAGAAAATCGGAGGCTGGTGAGATCTAGTCCACTTTCGGTTCATTTGTACCTTACGTCGACAGCGGGATAAATGAACTTGCCCACACCAAGCTTGGTATGAGAGCACGTGGGTGTCCCGATACAGCGGGAACCCAGAGCGTGGGCAAGAATTAAGAATTAAGCGTGCTGTAGCTTCATGCTATGATTTGCTAGCCAGAATCTTTTTTTCTTGCGGACAGGTAGCCAAGCTTCCAAGGTTAACAGCACTAGGTAGGAAGATACTACCTGGGTACCTACGCGAAAGTACCTAGGTAGGTAATATTTAACCAAATTCGTATTTGTGGCTTTGATATTTGTTAGCATTAATAGAAAATTGGTTTCATATCATTGAGATATAGGTAATGACATATGCGGAAGAGAAGAAAGAAATGCCATGAAAAGGGGTAGTTATATCTTTTTCGACATAGGGGCTAATCTCAATAGGTACCTTTCGCCTTAGGAGGTACGTAGGTACCTATCTAGAACGTCTCTCGCCTCGTCCGTTCATCATGAAGCTCCTAATGTTATTTATTGAGCACCGGATTTATATCAACTAGGTAGGTACCTCCCAGTGATAAAAAGATGTTGATATCCATATACTTCATCCATCTCTATTGTCGAACATGTATGTTCCTTAAGGTACGCAGGATTAGGCGCTTAGTGGCTTGATCCCTCACGTACATATGTATAATAGCACTCCCTAGGTAGGTACCTACCTGTTCAAGTACATCCATGGATGAATAGAGCATATTTACTACCTACCTACCTAGTAGGTAGGTACCTACTATCTATGATACCACTAACACTTCAATATTTAAACCAATCAAACTGGTCACGCGCCCTTGTAGTAAAAGCTTAATAGAACCAAACCAATTACGTCACATCTTCCATACCCCTCCTACCCTTCTAGCCCTATGACGAAACACTGACTTTGCCTTCCATTCTTAATTCTTACTTCCTATTACCTCTAACTACGTGCTGTGTCATCCTATTCTTCTATCCCGTTCCAGACTACGGATAATAAATGCCGGGATGGGTTCATAGTATCCCCTAATATCAACCAATGACGATTGATTGTTTTGTCTTAGGCGCTTATACGTGCTAAGCTGCGCTATAGCTCAGCAGCTCAGGTCGAATGCGCCCGCTCAAGCCCACGTCACGTCACCACCTCGACGCTTTAGAATTCGAGATTCATCCATCCGGCCATGGATGTTACTTTACTTACTACCAATGCCGTGCCCCATTTTGTCGTCCATTCAGCCCCGTTCCAAGTTTCCTTTGCCTGCTGGACACCATTTGGACGAATCGTCATCATCGCACATTGACTCCCTACCAAGGTTCCCTGTCATGCCACGCCGCGCCACATGTAAGTCTTGCTCGTAGCTGTGAGAATACTATTAACTACCCAAGTAGGTATATGTAAGTACGGATTAGGTAGCTTAGGCCTCTTAGCTATAGGTAGCGACATTTACATATATTCATTGTTCGCCTCGTCCATTTTGCTTTCGCAACTTATTCCCACTTACGTATTTTGTCTCATTTTTGTGGAGTTATATCGTCTACGTCTACATCGTTGCGACAGTCTCCAGCTTTTACAACGCCGAATACATATTCACCACTAGCAGCACTAGGTACTTACCTCGTATCATCTCTGTCGCTAAGATCTATATTTCGCTATAAGACCCCCAAAAAGAAGTATTAATCAAGATGGAATTCGGGTTCATTCCTATCGCCCACATCGTGGCCGCCGTCTTCGCCATTATCGAACTCGGCCTTACAGCATACCGTACGTAAAACCACCTCTAATCGCGAACTGGATTAGATTAGGCAGCTCACATAACTTCCCTACTAGTTGTCAGTGTGTACGATGGCTGGTATAATTACTACTACGACTACTCGCCCCCGCGAATTAACTTCATGGTTTTCAACTCCGTATGGTCGCTTTTGGTTTTGATATACGTCGGCGTGGTGCCTCTGTACCTAACCAGCTTCTTCCACCGACTTGCTGCACTCGCTCTCAACGCCATAACTACAATTTTCTGGTTCGCTGGGTCGATCGCCCTCGCCGTCTTTGTCAGCAGGTTCCATGACTGCCGATCTGAGTCCTGGTGCGGTTCCGCCGAGGCCGCTGTCGCCTTCGGCTTCTTCCTTTGGTAAGTTTTACGTCTAAGGTGTCTTTCCGAGGGTATGATAAAATCGTAGACTCATCGATCCGCAGGGCCCTCTTCTCCTTCCTCACTGTCATCGACGCCCTTGATTCTTTACGGAGTCGCGGCCACAACGTCGGCCCCGCTACCAAGCCGACCGCCTATCCCGGTCCCTAAACAGACTTGACTGCCTAGACAAACGAGAAATAATTTTCAGTCACTTTTGTTTCTGTTTAATGTTCATTTCTGATAATTGAAAACCGAGTGCTGGCTTTGAAATTGAAAGGATTATAGGCGTTTTTATGGTGGTAAGGGGGAGTTGGTGAAGAAAAGATAACGATAATATACCCCTCCTGAATACTGTTATGACTTCATTGAACGGTCTCGCGGGGTTTGTGGTTGCTTTTGACATAAGCCTGGTTCTCCATGGGTTGAATGCGCGTTCACTTCCATTATTACTGCTGCATATGCCTTATTGGGTTGCAAAATTCCAGAACCGCGAAAATAATTTCAAATTAGCTTTAAGTTACGTACCTATATTATCTTTGAATTTAGTGATACTTTATAAACCCAGCTAGTATCAACTCTAGGTAATATAACACGACTTCGGTAATAATATCAATTTATTATTAGGCGAGATTTACACCATCTCCTTTAAAATCTACAGTCAATTATGAGGAATATCTGACATTCCCTCGTGTGGTATCTTCCGAAATCGAGCATAGCCGCGCATATTATGTTAGTCGGCATACATGAAGCCTTCATCATTACGTCCTCATCAGACGGCCTTGGTTATTACCGTGGGAGCAAGCACCTCTCTTACCTCTTATTCTTGCCTGTGCCATGATCCTTCAAAGCAGTAGCATAGTCAAAATCCACCCGATGCCAGGCTGTGGCTAGGTTACCTCTCGGATTATAGATACTCTTGTGGGTCTCAGGTTGAGTGTTATACGCGTCGTCCGTGGCTTTGATCACAAGAGTCGCCTTCGACTCGCCTTTCGAGCTTTTGACTACCTCGGATAGCCCTGTTTCGTATTTCCATCTTTTCCAGCACCATGCCTTATTCCCTCTTTCGAGTTTGGTATCGTCAATCAGCTGTGCTTGATCCCACGTCATTCCGCCGTCCAGACTAATATCCACACGTTGAATTTCTCGTCCGCCGCCCGAGTAGGCGTACCCTTCAATCTGAATTACTGAGTCTTCTATTGATTCGCTGACTTGACCGCTTTGAGGTTTTTTTGCATGTTGTAATCTCGTACGCGTAATAGCACTGGTGATGGGCATTACTTGGATCGCTTTATATTTGTCCCAGTCTTGCTTAACCTCATTAGGACCGAAACACTTGTAATCCCGGCGTTGCCAAGTAGTAGTGCTCTCCTCGTCGCTAACAACGATCTTGTTTACCCACTTGACACATCTTGCTGCTACGTGGCCCGGAACGATGACTCTGACGGGGAAGCCATGGTCACGCGGGAGAGGCTCATCATTCATTTTGAACGCAAGGAGAACGTCACCCATAGGATCAAGGACTGTTGATATTGGTATGCTGGCACCGTACGCTTCTAGACCCGAGAACTGAACATGCCGCGCGTCTTCCCCTGGATCTTCAAGTGACAAGCCAGCATCAGCGAGGACGTCTCGCAGTCGCACACCTTCCCACTTCGCACAGCTAATAGCACCGACCGTCCATTGCAAACCATTTGTTTTCTTCGCATAACGGGTCATATCGTTGCGTCGGTTCCCGGAACATTGTAGCACCGCCGTAACGGTGTGCTGTTTGAAACGAGCCTTAAGGTCCTTGATGCTATACGTCTTGATGTCGCCATCGGGTAGCTCAATTGTGATATTGTGATCCTCTGCTTCGACTTTTTCTACAACTGGAACCCACATATGGTTTCGAACATAGAAAACCTGGTTTGGGGTTAGGAACGATTCAGCTAGTTCTTGACCAGGGGTCTCCGCATTGCAAGGCTTCGCCGTGAGCTTCTTCAACCTTACATCTCTTACAGGGTCTAACATGAAAGGATCTTCAATGTGCTCCTGCAGCGGCCGTCCATTCTCGAGATCATCTGGATGGACTTTTCCAACGATGAATTGTTCGAGTATTTCCTTTACGTAAGGGGACTTATGAATAGAGAAGATGTCCCAATACGGCTCAATGCTACCACCGGCAGCACGAAGAATAACCTCGCCACCTGGGTGACCAGGAATCCAATCCGTTATGTCGTATACCTTATCCTCATATATCACCCACGGGCGTTCGGATTTCGGGCCATGTTCTTTGACTTCTATTAGTCGGTAACGTGGTAGACCGTCGACATCGCTATCGTTCGGGGTGGAATTTGGTGGTGGGAGGTTTGTATCTTCGGGCTCTTCGAGAGGTTCGTTGGTAATGGGTTGAAGTACGGAGAGTAGTATGGCCAGTAGACCACTGCCTGCGGCAAGGACTCGCAAGGGGCCTAGACGACGACGAACGGGATGTGCTTTTTGTACAACTCTGGTGGATGCAGCTCGAAGTGAGGACTGAAAACCCAAGAATTTAATATAGGAGTTGGCTGAATGTCGAGTCTCTAAGGTTTCGAGGAAGCAGAGGGTTCGTCTGGGCCTTCTTGCTACACGCGACAACTCCGATCCTATACGTCGTGAAATTGGTATTGACATGGTATCGTCTTCTTTAGGGAGTTTCCCTGAAATCGGACGGGATCGTGTTGTTTAGGCAACGTGTTAATAGCACTTCACTGCATGATCACCGTATTAAGGGACTTAGTGCCTAGTGTTGGGAATGGATATGTAGTCGGAGAGGCTATTGATTAGCCTATAGGTCCTTCTGAATTGGAGAACTGCCTTGTGATGCGTAGGCAAGAAAGATGTAGTGAAGAAATAGAAATATAGTGTGAAAATTAATGCTAACAACAGCTAGGAGAATTACATCCTAGTGCTAGCATTATCATACGACCAATCTGGCGATGATTAAAGAGCAAAGAAAATAGAAGTCGAAGTCGAAATCGAAGACCTCGGAGGAATTGGGTCTTAAAATGATATGAAGGGAATAAGAAAAGAAGCCCGAAGGGATATCAAAACTTTCGGTTGCCGATTGCCGCCAACCTGTATCGTATGTGAAGCGGTGACCGATATAGACGGGATAAGAGACGACGATACGAAAACAGGGAGATACTGGAAGACAAGAAGAACGTAAGTGTACCTAGGCGTAGAATGTGATTAACAGATCTTAGCCATCAGTCCAATTAGTGAAGCCTGCTTAATTCAAGGCCCCTCTAAAACGACCCTACCTCTTCATTTTGTTTGGTTTTCATCTTTCGACCGTAAAACCTACTCGTGATTCGTGATTGATACTATTTTGCGTCGGTAATATACATTTGGAGAGAGATTCCCAATAGAACTTGAACCTTCAATATCCACAATGGCTGGGGAATAAATGATGGGAGAAGGAAAGTGTTTAGAAGGAAAGCAGAAAAGCGAGCTAAAGTTCGAATGTTCCAGGGCAGCTGCAGGGTTAAGCTGTTAAAGTGGGCTGCATCAACTAGTAGGGTAAGCAGGGCTGATGGCCAATTATAACTAGGAAATTTATTATTTGAACTGACCGCTTCCTTCCGAGACCCGACGCTATGCCGGCATTCGGGGATCCCTGAGATCTTGGTCCGGTCCGCTATCCGGCTTATTGTAGCATTCGCGTACATAGTACATTGGAGGTCGTTACTCATACTGATTACCTTCTTAGGTACTAAGTAGGTACCTATATAGTAGATAGGTACTATCTAGGTAGATACTGTGTATCTTTGGTGCCCTTTGTGAACCTAAACGACTGTTGGGCAGCGTGAGAAAACAGTTATTATATAAGGTCATTCTTCATCGTGTCACATGTAAGAAACCCGGGTATACAACGTGGTCTAGGCCTCGAGGGCTTTCTAATTTGCTATTATCACCCGTGTCGAGGGCTGTTTATGTTACAAGTGAGGTACAAGTACACGTCATCGACCTGTTCAGAGACTGATTAGTCTGCCTCTTCATCTGTGTAGTATTCGAAATCATGAGGCGCTTCTGCTTCTTCGTCTCCTTCGGCATCCTCATCGACGGCAGTTAGTACTCCGGCTGCCGCCGCGGCACCGCTCGTGTTCCGGTTCGGAGTAGCGAGAGGGTCCCGACCGAGCCGGCTAAGAAGAGCTTCCTCAATTGTTCGCGGGTTGCGGTTCTGGCCACTACCGGCACCGGCGACAGGCGCCATTTCTGTGGTCGTTGCCTTTAACTTCTCGCTGATAAGCGACTTCTCCTTTTCAGGCTGCATGTCGTGGAGTAGGATGGGGCCACCGGTTGGCTGCATATGTGGTTAACTTCAGTATATAAACGAGAGAAAAAAAGGGTTATCTCACCAATGGACCAGCTCTCACCAGCTTGACAGGCCAGTAACGGCCCTTGGCAAGGCTAATGTACTTGAGCTGTGCGGGAAGGACTCGGCTCATGTTCTCGATATCATAGCCAGCCTTCTCCTTCTCTACCTTCTTCTTTACATCCGTCGGGGGTGTCGAGCTTTCCTTATCGCCTGGTGCAGGAGTTTCACCTTCTTTCTTGTCTTTTGTATCCTCACTCGGCTTACTTTTTGCGTCGACGTCCATCTTTTCACTACTAGCACTCGGCTTGGAAATGGTCGGAGTAGTGGTGGAATCGATATCCATACTCTCCCGTCGCTGTGCCTTTTCTTTCTTCTGGGCTCGTCGTTTGGCCTGGGCGGTGGTTGAGAGAATAGCAGTAGCGATCATAGTCGGTCCTTCTTCGGCCTTAACCTCCTGCTCAGGAGGATAATCGAAGAGACTCGGCTTCGTGGCGCAGTGGAATTTGACATCGATAATATCCAGATCGTGGTCAAGGGCAATAATCGAAGTCGGGCTGAAAGCTAGAGATAAGAAGTGGGTAAAGGGGAACCAGTACCAGTACTGGGTGAAGACAGCCATTCCTACGACGCCAGCCATGTTGAGATTGCCGGTTTGAGTTTGCAGACCGATCGTGCAGTTACGTCCACCGGCGTCGATAATGCCAAGGGCAAGAGCCGCACCGAATTTGGTCATAGCATCTTCGTGGCGGTCACCGACTACTTTCTTTAACGTCTTGCGAATTGCCGCGACCTTGGGGTTCATCACCTCATTCTGTTGGATCATAATCATAGCTAAGGCGATCAATGCACCTTGTCGGACAAAATCGGTAGGATCCTTCATCATAGGCTCCAGCAGGTCAATAGCTTCATCTAATCCGGTTCCGGCGCAAGAAATACCGAGCGCCATGGCAGAACCGTAACGAACATGAGGGTTGTATGACTCAGAAAGGAGCTCAACCATACGAGGGACGCTGCCGGGCTTGCGGAATAGGATGAAACCCAAGCTCATGACTGCGATTCGCCGTACATCATCATTCACGTCGCTGACGGCGACATGCAGTAGCTTTCGAATCGCTTTGTTGCTGCCGGTGCCACAATAGGCCATTGCGACAGTCATGATACCGCCGTATCGCAATGTTGGATCCGGGTCATTTAGGAGACCCTCAATCATGACATCTGCACCTTCTTGTTGGCCATACATGATTAAGGACATACCCAAGGCCAAGCCTCGCACACTCTTCTCGTGAGACGTCTCATGTGCGTAAGCAACCATGTCTTCCAGAGCCTTGACGTTACCGGTGCCCAGCATGATCAAGCCCATGGAAAGGCCAACGGCCTCACCGTTGAGAGCGGAATCGGCGTAGAGAACAGCCTTGAGATTCTCAAAGATCTCTTCGTTTCCACTTGCCATACCAGCAAGACCGAGACCTAGAGCACCGCCATGCTGGATGACCTCCTCTTCAGCAGCAGTGAACTGAGTCTTGAGGTAATCTAGGGCATCTGCGCCGTGGTTCGCGTGAATGAGACCGTATGCGTAGAGAGCGCCACCCTGAGAGTATGGGGAACCGCCGCTGATACCACCAGCGCCCCGGGGAAGATAAGGCTCCAGGAGCTTCTTAGATTGGGAAATATTTCCACGGTGAATTACGCCCAAGGCTGCAGTAGCAGTGAACTTGGACCAATTTACCGCTTTGCCTAACCATTCCAAATTATCCCTAAAGAATTTGTCATTTGTCGTACCCTGGTTCATGAACGCATTGCAAAAGGTAACGGCGGTATGGAAGATGGAGTTCCGGCCTTCCAAACTATCCCGAACCTTGGCTAGGATGTAAGGATCGTAGTGGTTGTTGCGGTAAAGGAATTCAAGGTTGAGCTTGATAGTCTTAGTACCGTCGAGAATAGAGCGGATGTTCCCGTAGATTGCGGTTTTCTTTTCATCAACTTCTCCAGATTCAGCATCACCGGCGTTGGCATCATTGCTCAAAAGGGGGTCGCTCTCAGTTTCGCCAGTGGTCTCGTCATCTTTCTTCGGGGCGGATTCACCCTTCGGCAAACCTGATATGACCTTGCCTAGGAAGCCTTGCGTGCCGTTGTCGTAGAGGTCGAAGGCAAATTGGTAGGCTATTGCAGTGGCTTCTATAGTCTCGGCCTTGACGAGGTGTTGGATGACAGTACGCGCTTGTTCGTCTTTATTTAGATAGACGATGCATTTAGCGATGGAGAAGTAGTCGGGATCTTTAGCACGACCGCTGGTGAGAATGTCTAGGATGAGTTGCAGGATGTCATCTCGGAAAGCTCGTTCCTGTACGACATCCATGCAAATGCCTAAACAGTAATCCAGGAGTTCTTCGGCGAGGCCCATGGCATCTTCTTGGGTCGACTTGCCTTTATTGCGCTTGTAGTCATCATCCGCGCGTTGGATAACTTTGCTAACAACGTCAAGCCGCTTCGCTTCGACGGCGATACCTACGACCTGCTGATAACGCCTCTCTTTCAGACAACTCTCGAAAAGGCGTTCAATAACGTGATCGATCGCGCGTCGGGTGTCAAGTTCATTATTAGTTAAAGCGACAGAGGACGATCGATGTTGCTTCTTCTGCGGCTCAAAGGAGGGCTCGAGAATGGTGTTGTCGGTGGAAGCTCGAGAGAGAAGAGACTTGGAAGGGAGAGTGGACTGAGAGAAGGGCGTCGTAGGGGAGATCAAGGCGGAAGCATTGCCGTCGATAGTAGTACTGGAAAATGCGGTAGCAAGAGCGGGCAGAGAGGCATCTTTGTCCTTCTTGCTGACGACAATGTGGTTCTCGTTCTTGGCAGCAATGTAATGGTCGACGCATTTGGAGATGATAGTCTCCTCAAACTCGCCAGGGTTGTCTAACTTGAAGAGCTCGCCCGCAGCTAGGGCAAAGTACATACTCTCATCATAGGCCTGGAGATGATAGTAAACTTTGGCCAGGACAAGTGCAGCCAGCTTTCGCTCAGGGAAAGACTCGTCTTCGTAGAGGGCCTCACTGAAAAGATGACTAGTTAGTATCATCCTACGATGTGTAGACGATTGATATATATATATATATAGGATCGCATTTGTGAAACTTACATCTGACCTAGAGCGCTAGCGACTTCGAACCAAACGGTGTCAATATCATCGTTGAGGGTCTGTAGTGCGAAGACCTTGAGCTCAGGCTCCTCGTCGGCCAAAAAGGCTAGTACACCTGTAGCAGTAACTAGACCAGGCATTTTGAAATAGAACAAATCGATGCGCCTTTTGACGGAGGTGACCAACCAAGGGAACGGTTACGCGACGAAGGGTTTAACGATAGTATCGTGAGAGGTCAGTGACTATCGGTGTAAATAAATAGATGAGATTGCGTCGGAGTATGAAATTGGCGACGGTTGCATACGCCGTGCCTTGTGATGTGATGAAAAATGGTAGAATTATTCGGTGTTTTGAGGAAGAAGCTATTCGAAACGACGATAGGTTACGAAAGCTTGGAAAGCCGAACAACAAGCAACGGCTACCGGGTGAACCTTCCACGTCCACGTCAGGCAAAGCTCTGCCTACTTGCCTTGGCAAGCATTACTGAAGCCCCAGCCATCATTAATAAGCCACAGTGGCTTGATGCAGATAGTACATCGGCCAATCAAACATTCACGTTATGAACAGGGGGTAGGTAATCTTAAGATTCATAGATACTTGAGCATCATGGACCTCACTGTGGACCATCAATGTTTCCAAGTTCTATTCAATTCAAGTACTTTCAAGATTCTTAAAAGCAGTCGATATATTATTACATATTTTCTTGTTATATATAAGCACCCATGTACCGTTATTTGTAAAATATTGAGACTCTACCAGTAGTCATCAATATTTATGATATCTGAATACCTACTCACTTAAGTATGCAAATATTTATATACGCATGTATCGAGTACATATACGTAGCTATTGTACTGGTACTTACGTTTATACGAATGGCAGGGTGATGTTATGTGTACAAATACCTGAAAATCTTTAGTGAGGATAGGATGAGAAAAAAATATCAAAGCTTTTAGGTACAAGTACTAATTGGATTGATCGATTCATCGTGTCACGCACGCTTTCGCATTCATCCCTGGAACTAATCTTTGTTCATAATTCGACTAACTTTGTACAACTAGAACAAATATCTGTCAATTCTATCGCCATTCACTATAAACCTATTACCTATTCTATTGCGCATAATCATTTTAATAGCGACACTCAATCAAGGTATTCAGAATCATATACCTTTGTTGTCGCCTGAAGCAGTTCTATCTTCTGATAAGACCGAAACTGCATAATTGATATTCTCGTTTTTTTTCCTCCTTTGCGATTCTATACCATTATCGGCTCGAATAACGCGGACTTATACAACCCCAAACCCGACAAACAAGCCATCCATCTATCTCATCCGTTTGCATCACCCACCGACCTTTTTCCTTTTTCCATGTCACCAGATGAACGAGCGACCACGATAATTACGATATCGCATTGAATACCTAAACCATCTAACGTAACGGGCGAATCGTATCGGCTGAATGTATCGATGACGTTGACACACGCGGCGGCTTAAAGCACGAGCGAAGAAGTGATTGTGTCGTGTGTGCTGTTGTATGTGTGCGCGCGCGCGATAGAGCGTCGCTAGAGGTATAAGGAAACAGAAAGATAGGAAAAGATCGCGCGCGCACATATACAGTTTCTGTGTATACGTGTATGTTTGTATGTGTGTGTTGCGCTACGATCTTTGAGGTTTATCGTAAGAAGAAGAAAAAACAAGATTTTTGTGACTCAAGAAGAAGGAGAAAAAAAAGACGAAACCAATAGGGATTTAGCTCGAAGAGAGCAAACAGCTAACATCGTGAAAATGGATCTACGTGCCATGTTAAACGACCCGAACGGGGGCGCGTCGAGAAACCAGCAACCTCCTCAACCGTCTTTACAACCACCATCGTCGTCGTCGACTTCAATTTTAACACCATCAGCTTCAGCCACGCCGACTACTCCAGCTCACGCCGGCCCACCACCTCAAACATTTAGAGATTATAATCATTCTACTCAAGCATCTCCCATTTCGCATCCTCACGAATATCCTCCTGTCGGCGCTCTTCCTAATCATCCTAATCATCCTAATCACGCGCCGGGATCCGCTGGCCCGTATCAGTCACCGACCTCGTATAACCCACCTCCAAACGCGTTCAGCGGTAGACCCCCTGTTCCTCCTCTTCAACCTCCAGGATCGCACGATTTACGGTCACCAGGAAGTGCCTCGATATCAGGACCATCACCATATCGACGCACGCCGACTTCATCCATTAGTACCGCAAGCGGCGGTTATCCATTTCCCCAGACTCAACAACCACCGCTAAGCCCAGTGCAAGGGCGCCAGTACGGCCCACCGAGTGCGGGTGCTGGTCCGGGTGTTGGCCCGAGTGCAGGTGGTGTTGGTGCTGTTCCTGGTGCTTCTGGATCTTATTCTCGCGATAGTTACAGTACGCAACACGGTTCTATATCATACGCACACGGTCAACAACAGCAACAACAATCACAATCACAACCACAACCACAACCACAACCGCTACCACAAACACCTCCCGTTGGCACTCCTGGTGGTAGTCAGCAATATTTACACCATAGATCACATTCTATCCAGTCAACTCCTACACCTACATCCGCACATAGTCAACCACCCTCATACGGGCTCCCTTACGTTCAGGGGAGCCCCATCGCGACGACGCATCCTCATCCACTCCCTCTCGATCAGCCGCAACATCAACTACAATCGCAAGCACAATTTCAACACCAACATCAAAATCAATCTTCCCAACCCCCGACGCCTCTCGGACAGCCTCTGCCCGGACCACCATTACGTCAATCGCCAGCAGCGACTTACCAACAACCACCTAGTCCGTACCAAAAACGCCTTTCCATGTCATACCCTCCCCAGACGACGCACGCATCGCCTAAACCACACCAACCTACACCCATCCAGCGCATGTCTAGTACTAGCAGTCATAGTACTTACGACGCAGTTGCGGAATCTCACCGCGGGTCACAGTCTCGAAGCGAACGCGACAGAAGCATGAGTGTCTCACCGAAAACACGTGTACCTAGTTTACCCAGCAACGGCGGTCATCGCCCCCCGTCTACTAGCAGTGACGCAAATCCTTACCAACCTCAATCGCAACATCAATCTCAACGTCTCACACCAGCTTCACTTAATAATACTAATAATATTATGGAGCCCCAACACCAACACCCTACTACCCCGGCAAAGCGAAAACTGGAGCATCGCGATCTCGGACCCGATGATCTCGAGAATGACCGAAAAGCTCCTCCGCCACCTCAGATGAACGGCAACCATGATCCTCCACTTGCTAAGATGGCACAAGTTTCTGGTCCTCCTAATTTCCAGCAGCGAAAACGCGCCAAGTATGTCCAACCTCCTGTCTGGGCACACAGTGGCAAAGAGCGCAGTCAGATCATAGCAAGAAGTCGTAATTTTGCCTTGAAACATCACGGTCGTCAACAAGCCAATGCTATCGCTTCAGTCAACGGAGGTAATCGTAACGATGCGCCAGGAAATATCAAGTCGGAGCACGTGTCCCGGCATGCCTCACCAGAGACCACGCGCTCTACTACCGGTGTAAAATCGGAGGAACCTAACTATACAAATACCAGGGAGCCGTCAACATTCAACGGCCAACCATTCCCATGGGAGCCTAGTATTGGCAACGAAACGCCAAAGAACATCGTCTCTCGTGAAGTCGCGGACTTCTTAGGAATTCACGTGTTGCAATTTCCTCAGATCGAAGAGGTCCAGAGCCGAGGCGCGCAGTTTGAGATCGAGGCTAAGCTTGGTGTCATTATTGACAAGCAGACCAACGACCGCATCTTCTTCCCCGAGATAAGAGCCGGTGAATGTGTGTTGAATGGTGGCAGGGTCGCATTTCGTAGTTCAATGACCGAGGTAAGACTGCTGATTATCGTCGTACTTGTGGTTTACTAATCAATTCCGTCGATAGCATCAACACTGCGAGCTCAACAACTACTTGAACGACCAAGTTAAAGCGTCATTCCCTCGGAACCCTACGGCAGCTAGTCGCGTCCAGGTTCACTATGTACATCGCAAGGAGGTCGACCGATTTTTTGAGCTCATGCCCCAAATACGTCAACGAATCCCCGGTTGCATTTCCGGTCTCCTCCCACCGAACATGCCTATCAAAGCACGTGTCACATACGATTCTCAGAAGCCTGATAAGGTGTTGGCCAAGATCGTGAAGGCCCGTATTGCCGACCTAAATATACACTTCCCGCACCTACCTTTAGACTGCCGTATAAGTATCAACATAGAATGGGATTGGGATGGCCCGGCAGAAGAGATCGAGCGCTTCCAGAACCCGAACAAGGAGCGACCGCCCGATCGAATCAAGGATCGATTAAGCTACAAGCACGGCTTCTACCAGATCGACCTGACACAGGTGACACAGGGACACCCGACGTCAAGCGGACAACTGGTGCAACCGCATCTGGGCGCCGCAAAGGAGCATGAACTCGAAGTTGAGTTGGAGGCCCGCCCACTAATCGAACACGGCCGTATGCTCATGCGACGAGAGCCGAACCGGTACGAGGACCTAGTCGACGGTCTGGTCAATAATGTGCGTCTGCTAGCGAGACAGTGTCCGCAGCAGCCGCAGTAAGCGCCTTAACCACCAGAAGGATGGTCTAGGTGCAGATAGACGGGAGATTTGGGTGGTTGGGAGACAGAAAGTATCTGTTATGAAATAACTTTACGCGATTAGTAAATAGTGGGTAACGTCACGTACTCAATTCTTTCTAAGTAAGACGAGAATAGAATAGGATGGCAGTGGGAAAAGCAAAGGACTTCCTGTTATTTCGATTTCCTCAGAACATGATACCAGTTCGGAGTCGGGCAATCGATACGATGCCGGAGTTTGCCTAGTCAGTTTGCGTTATTTTCCGCCAACGACGTCGATAGCATGGCATGATGAATTAAAACGCGAGACGGCCTATTTGCCGCTTTTCCATTCATAAAACTAACTTACTAAAGTGACAAGTATCTACCTAGTAGGTAAATTGAGTCCATGTGACAAGTACGCTACTAGGTACATAACACTTTCCTACGAATCGACGATGAATACTTCAACGATAGCAAAGTAAGTAGGTATGTTTTAATCCGGCCTGGCCTTTCGACACTGAAAAGACGACCTTGTCACAAGCATACATGTCACGTAAGACGAACTACTAACTGAGCAAAAGATTAAGTACGTACGTAGTAACTATCTAGAATAGGCTAAATGCCCTTCCAAGCACCAAAACGAAGAAAAGGAAATACATGCTGTAAAGATCGACAGCGCACTCTCATCCCCTTCCCCTTCTCACCTCGGCACCTATCATTGCTACACTAATTCAAGTATATCTCTCCATTCAAGTTTCTCTATCTATCCCACCCTCTCTTTACTCCGCAATATGTAATGAGACACCTAACCTTTTAAATCAGCCCCATACCACTCCTAGGTACCGACCCATACTCTTCCTGCCCAGCGGAAGACCTACGGAAGTCCGAAAACATAGACGACTAGGAACCGGGACGCGTTCTCAAGACTATCTATTCCGCGGCTTTCCAGTCCGGAGGCAACGACACGAACGGACCGCCCTGCGCAACCGACCTCCCAAATCCCGTCGGCTTCTTGCCGCTACTTCGGGGCTGCACGGGTTTCTTGCCGGTTCTAGGGCGGCCGCGTCCCGTCTTCGACTTCTTGGGCGTGCGGGGAGCGTCCGGTTCCAGGTTTTGTACCGGGTCCGGCACGGCGCTTACCTCGGAGAATTCCTCTGATATGTTGTCGTCGTCACCAGCGAGTTGCAGGTTGTACGTGGGATCTATTTCTCCGGCTCGTCTCCGCTTGCGCGGGTTGTCGTTTACCGAGACCGAGTCTTCCGTCACGGTTGGGAGGTACTCTGTCTCTGTGCCTGTGCTGGTCTCGTCGCTGGTTATCAGGTCGGTCTGTGAAGCCGGGGTGTTCTCAGAGATGGGCTGCGAAATGTCAGTGTCGGCGTCGGCTGGCGACTCCTCGCCGCTTACGGATGGCTGCTTGGTCTTCGGGCGGACGAGGTACATGATTTCCGTGTCGGTCGACTGAATTGATAGCTCGTCGGTGACCGAAGAAAGATCTGTTACGGACTCGTAACCAGGCGTCTCCAGGCTCAGGCTCGGTTCAGGTTCGGCAGTCTTCGGAGGTCTGTAAAACGGGTCCTCGAGATCGGCGGGATCAACGACCTTACTCCTTTTTCTAGGAGGGAAGAGCGCGTCCCCGCCCTCTAAAAGATCACCAAGGTTTATCAGTCCAGTGGTTTGACTACCGAGAGCGGATACTTGGAGGTTCAATTCATCTTCCCCTTCTCTTTGAATTTCTGGCTTGTTTAACGGTATCGTAGTGCCCTCGTACGGCGGCCACGGTAAATCTAGGGCCCGAGTATGTTCGATGTTCGCCGGGGCGTTCGGATCATCTTTGGTGGACCCGAGTTCGGGACCCAGTTCGTAGGGACGGTCATAGACCTGCTCGACACTCTTATCACGCACCGGGAACATGGTCTTCCTATACGCGGGATATCTTTTCACGAAGTCGTGGAACGCCTTACTAAAGTTGATATTAATCTTCGGAATAATCCAGCCGCTACGATTGGGCAACACATTGACCTCCACACTGCCTAGGCCGCGACGAATCTTGCAAGATCCGTTCTTGCTCATATGCCACTGTCGTGATCATAGCATGTTAGCTTATAGGGTCCAACGTTCAAAGACACATCTTACAAATTGGTTGCACGTACCTCGGCTTGGATTATATCAGATCCTGCTGGTCTTAAACATCGAGAACATCTCCAATCTGGGTCTGGCTGGAATGAAAGGGGATCCTTTGCCTCCCGCTCGAGTAGGATATCCCAATCAGGAGATGGTTGTCGACGAGGTGGGATTGCGTCCCCGGGTTTCGCTTCTTTCCAGCGTATTGGCGACTTGCGTATTGTAGGGTCGGTTGTGGTCACAACAGTTCTTTTGTCATCTTGTCTCACCCTGACTCGGCTGTTCTGGCGATCCCAGCGACCGGGGCGGCCATGGTGATCAGGGCTGGTATCCTGAGCATCAGGACTAGATTGGCCAGGTGGTTTGGTAATTGGAGAAGTCGCGGGATCTGGAGAACTCCCGGAATTGGCAGCTGTAGGTTCGGTAGATTGAGAACTCCTGGGGTCGGCGATTACAGGGGCAGGGGCGGGGGCGGGGACAACAGAGTCCTTAGCTATAGTGTGACCGATTTCATCCTGTATATCCTGTTGATGTACATCGAGGAAATGCCGCCTGAGTGAAGTCTGGTCATAGTACGGGAGGAGGTGGCTGTCTTTGTTACACAGGAAGCACGACAAAGTCTTGTGATCTTCTTTCAAGTGACGAGCAAGACCCTCGCGGTCCCTGAACGGGAAGTATCTCTGGCACTCGTTATAAGGACACTCTCTAATCCTATCCAGCAGATTTCCTCGTAACCTATGAGTTTCTCTCTGGAGTCGCGCCATCTCACCGGGAGTCCGCATCGCAGTAGTGTACCCCGGCACATGAGGGCCGGTCCTGACGACATTTTCGATGGGGGCACCATGGATTGGGATTGCAGGTTTAACTGGGTTGGTGAAGATACTCGGGGTATCCCAAAATAGCCTTTTTCGCAGTTCCTCGGCCCTGGCGGCACTCTTTTGGTTGTTAACAGAATCCTTGAAGATCGCATCCATGTGTTTATCATGCGGGTTCTTTATCCAGGGTACCTCGATTCGTGACGAAAGCTGACTATCTGGCCCTTTCCCATCGTAACGTGGTCCCCATGTAGTTTCCTTCTTCACGGCTTTTCGTTACCAGAATTAGCTAAGCACTTATATCAAGTAATTATGTGTCATTATACCACTTACGCCAGTCACAGTCCCAACTTTCAAGGGACAACGTAATGTCCGGTTCGGTGATTCGTCTTATGATCCAGTTCCATCCATCCTCGTCTGTATCGGGTGTAATGACAAAGTCTGTCGTGTTCAACCCCCAAGTTGTCTGAGTCATGTGTACGACTTGACCCCCCTTGGTATATGGATGTCCGCGATAGAATTCGGCCTTGATAGCTTCAATGAAACGTCTGAAGTTCTCTTCGCCATCGAGTTTCTCCATCTCCATTACGCCCTGTCCAGAGTGGAATCTATAATTGCTAAAGGTAGGACGAGCTACAATAGTCGACTTGTTCTCTGTACTGTGGATCTTCGACTTTCGTAATCCTTTCAAGATATCCCACCAGTCAAGGAGCGCCTGTACTGTGATCTTTCCGTTTCTAAATAGCACTTGGCGAGATTCGGTTCTGGTGTCCAAGTAACCTTCCCCTGGAACCCAGAGATCAAGACCAGCGAAATCCTTGTTTTCCCTCAGCGACGGATTACTTAAAAGGACGTCATCAAGTATCCTTTCAATACCAAGGCGGTCATTATCTGTCTCGGAAAGATTGAGGTAATCCTTAGGAATGGTCCCTGACGTTTGAGGCAACGACTCTGCTTTCTCGGGCGTAAACTCGTTCTTATAGGTGTGGCAACCAGGTACCCAGACGGCAACCTGGTCATCAGGTATAGGGGATACAGAAAAACTCAACGTAGCTAGTTCGCCACCAGTAGACTGATCGTTGATTATCTGGGTCCAGACCTCAGGAGGAGGGTCAAACAACCCAAACGTAATTGGCCCGGCGTCACTAAATTGGAGGTAGCCGTGTGGCAATTCAGGTGAAAGCAGCCGCATAGCACGCAAATATTCGGCGTGGAAATGGCTCGGTTTGTGGGTTGGTTGGAGGGTGTCCGGAACCTTCATATATGCCATCCTTGCATTACTGGCATCCCACAAGCGAACTAGATATCTATCTACCTCGTAGAATGGCTGGCAGGCCTCGGGGGGCTCCTCCTTATCGAAGTACACAAAACAACTGTATTGTCCGTCTCCGTTGTTATCAGCGAACCAGCGTACAAGTAATGTATACAGGTCATCGTTCTGGAGCAAATGCGCGTCTGTGTGTCGGATGAAGCCTTTAGCTTCCTCAACAACACGTGTATTGTAAATATCGCTTAGATCCCAGATTTGGAGGCAGATGTTGTAGTTAATTTCGGAGGTAACTCCTAGGATTTGATCTACCGCCTCAACGAAACGTGGGTATAGAAGCTTTTCTTCGTCAGCCAAGATTGATCCCTGGTATCCATAAACTCGCATCTCTCTATTTGCTGGCGGTTGAAGCGCGTCATCTTCTTCCTGTATAACGGCGGGAGAAGCACCACCACGAAGACTCATAGATGGGAATTCCTGTGTCTGACAGAGCTGAGGGAAATAAGGGTCCTTGACTGGCAGCTAGCTGTTAGATCGGCGTTTCAATACAGGGTAATATCTGTAGTAGATAAGTGTGCTACTCACCACGATTTCCAGGCTCGCCGTACTTCTTTTCGGAATAGTCATCCAGAAACTCGAGGGGGTCGGTGATCTTAGTAAGCTTGTCCTCTCCGAAGTCAAGATCCCTTAGTAAATTTAGTTGAGGAAAGCCGGGATGAATAGGTGCAACGGGTAGTCCGAAATATAGAATAGCAAGCTTTAGCTGTAGTGACTGCCTTTGGCCTTTGAAGCGAGTTTCTAGGATTCGTTGATAACGAATACTGTTGTCCCTCTGCAATTTAGCCAGCGGCGATGGGGCTGTTGCCGGCTCAAGGAGGCGGATCTCGTGAGGTTCGAATGTCCTCTCAAGAATTTCCTGAAGGGTGAGCATGGTGGATTCAAGCAGACTGAAGAAGTATCGCAACATAAATTGGAACCTTGGGTGGTATTCATGGATGGTAGGATTTGCTCTTTGCACAAACGGCACCTTCTGGATCAAGTGAGAAACGTCCCTGCTATTAGGGGCCTGTAGGACGAGGCCCTTCCTCGGCTCATGTAGCTGAGACTGCGATGGCGGTGGGCCAAAGTAGGATTCTCCTAGATCTAGCGCTTCCATCTCTTGAGGTCCAGTACGGGCGTTATCCATAACGACGAAAGCTGCGGTTCTGCCTTTTAGAGAATGTAAAGAAGGGTGAGTCTATCTACAGTACGAGCGACTCAACTGGATGACTATCACACCAACATTGAATATTCAGCCCAATGTGCCGTAGCTATGAGCTTTTGCAGTGAAACGTAACAGGATACAGATGATGAGGCAAAAGGAAATGGTGAAGATGTTGTCTACAAAGAACAAAGATGAAGACCTCACAATCAAGTTATCTAGTAGAAAGCCAATACAGCTCCCTTGTGCATCTTAATAGCATTCCTGTTTTTCGATGCGGCGAGTAAGATATAGGCTAAGGATGAACGCATATTACACTGGCTTTCCACCCGAATGCGAAGACAAAAAAGCTCCTGGAGTTAGCTTTAACCATATTCGGTCGAGAAACGTGCGAGGTCTTTGAAGCTGGTTGGAGGTCATATTTACGATGTTGGTGACCGTTTCCGGTTGTCTACCTAGGTACATCTAGAAACATTTTAGCAACTCTTTCATGAATCAATGCCAAATGTCAGTTAGACTTGGAGACTTGGAGATATAGGCATATAACATCCTTAGGGGAGAGAACACTTGTTAATCAATGCTATTGTAATGTGGATTATGTAGATACCTACCTAGATATGTTCGATATATATCTAGGTAGATACCTTGCATATACCTACTCATATTTCCAACGCTCCCAAGTGAACACATGCCCAAAACGGTGAGCCGTCTTAATAAGTAGACGTAGGTGATTACCGGCAGTAGCACGCCTCGTCTGTAAAAATACCAATACAAGAAGCCATTCTAAACTCTCACTAAACTGCCTATTTAGTACAACGACATTATATTTTATGTTGGGTGTATCGATACGTACTTTGTGTTGTTGTGTTGATGGGTATGGTGGATTCGTCGGGGACGGGGTACATTCCACTATAGCATTCCAACAACAGACTAGGTACGGTTAGTCTCGGTGCTAGATCACCCTTAGCTGTCCTCATGTTTTAGCTCGACTCGTCTAAATATGAGTAGGTACCTATGTATGAGTGACGTTGAAATGTTGACTGGGTGGGTTGGCTTACCTGAATACTACCTACCTACTAGGTCCTACCTAGTCTCCATTATAAGTATACTGGGTTAAATGACAAGTAAACTGCTGTCGTATCTAAATCGAACGTGAAAGAGGCTAAATCTTCGGTATTTATTTAAACATACCTACTGTATTACCTACCTGTAGTTATATCAACCTTCTTATGTCAGCTTAGACCTGAAGGCCTACTATACTATGGCGAGTAGCATAGGTACTAGGTAGGTACTCTTCGCAGAGATATCTTTTACGAATGTTTTGCTCGTGGTCCACTAGCATTCGTGAACGTGGGATATTCTCCTCGCAGTAGCTTCCCCCACTTCATCCGAAGTCGCTGGCCATATATGCACGTATAAACTTATCCCGATGTTCATCAACCGAAGTCGCGTAGTATGAAGACGTATAATGGTCAGAGATGTAGCGGGGGAGCATCCTTCCCACCCCGAACACTGTTCTGTTTTGTCTTAAGACGTCCATGCAGGCCCCGTATCAATCACATTACTCTCCTACAACTAGAGATCACATCAACTATATCCCGTCCCCACGGTTTCGCCCATAAAAAGATATAAAGGTATATACCTGCCTAGGTAGAATGGGTTCTAACCCCCAGAAGAGTCTTCTTGACGTGCTGCGATCGCAGACCGCAGTAGACTGTGACACATTCGATGTCGAAAGTATGTACATATCTTTGACAACACTGACAGAGGCCAGTCGTGAGAAAAGGGACACAAAAGCTGACTAGCCTCTACAGTTCCGAAACAACTCAGTCCATTCGTAGACTGTACATCAAATCAGGTAGACTCACCTAATCTAAGTAGCCTGCCGTGAGACGAGGTACTAAATATATACCAGGCTATTGCGTATCACGAGTTGATACGCATAGGTGAGGATGGAAAAGCGCTGCACGCTCAGCTGATCCAAGATGCTATTGATTTTGCATCGAAGAAGAGCTCAGCATACCCAGGAGTGTCTGTCGCCGAGCTGGCAGTAGAGACCATGATGGTCAAGCTGGCTCTAAGAATAGTACCCTATTTGAAAGGATACTCTCATATCCAGACGAACCCAAAGTTTTCTTATGATAAGCAGAAGACCATCGAGAACGGGAAACGTATGAGTATCCTTGCGGCGATGACTCTAGTTTCCAGATTGCTGATGGTGGTTCTACCTAGGAATCGTATCAATATTCAAGGACCTCGACCCGGAGTACGATTCTCGTAGGGTGTGCATAAAGGTACCGTCTACCTGGGAAGGCATGCAAGCGTGTCGCGAACTAGAGAGCCAAGGCATCGTGACGTTGGCGACAACCATGTTTTGCCTTGAGCAGGCCTCTCTGGCGGCTCATGTGGGTTGCACCTACATTGCACCGTACATCAATGAGCTACGGGTGCATTTTGAAGAGGGGTATGTCTTACCACAGTCAAAGGAGATCAGGTGCTAATCTGTATGCGTATTTAGCTATATCGACCAGCACAAAGCATTCGATTTCTGCGGTTCTGCCCAGCGATATTATGAGAAGATCGGGAGCAAGACACAGGTATTGCCAGCGAGCTTGACGTCTATCCAAGAAGTCATGAAGTTGGCTGGCGTTCATCACATCACGGTGGCGCCGCACTTATTGACGAAATTGGCAGAGACGCCTGCTGATTCTTGGGAGGGAGAGGTTGGAAGCATCTTCAAGGGGAAAAAAGAGGAAGTGCTAGGTGATTATGGTGATATTGTAGAGAATGAGAGCGTCTGGCGCCTAGCTTTTACTCGAAGCCAGGATGGTAAATCTGAAGGTAAAATCATCCAGGCCATTAACATATTCAGCGATAAACAAGATGCTCTAGAGGGTCTAGTTGGGCGATAGTGGATTCATTGCAAGATCTAGCTATGGCAAACGGACCTTGTATGAAATTTTGGTTTTTTTTTTTTTTAAAAAAAAATAGGTGGTGCTCAATACTATAGGTACTAGGTACCTACCTAGGTATCTAGTACCTAGCAGGAATTGCGACGAGCTTACCTATAGGTATCTGCGGCTTGGCAAAATATGTGGCTGTTGCAGGTAAAGGATGTCCGAGATTAGTGGCTTGTTATTGTTCCCGAGGTCCTTGACAATGTTCATCATGATGGTAGTTTGTCTATTTCAAGGCTTCCCTCTATCTAGCGATCTAACTAAATCTAGATTAACAACTTAGCACAGAAGCTGCTCCTATAAAGCTACTCCTATACATGATCGTTGTATTTTTTCCCCTAATAAACTATCGTACGTCGGAATCTCCCAAGACACCTAATTACCTAGCAGCCTAGGTAATAAATCCTCTCAAGCCCTCGCGGCGCCACATAAGTAAGCCCTAAACTGCTTATGCACGAACGCGCGTTTCGGTACTCTATGTCTCATAGGTATGCTACACGCACCTAAACAAAGTTGAAAAAAGGCGTCGAAAACATATCTACAACTCCTTCCCACAAACTGCAGCTTACCTACCTAGTAGGTAGGTAGTTTGTACCTAGTCTTCGGGAGATGTTGAAGAGGAGAGAGAGTTAGGCAAAGGAAGATCACGGTCAACAGGAACCAATCAGCGTTGCTTCAGCTTGGAAAGCTGCCTTGATATTTGATCTGACCATGGTTTATGTAGATCTGCATCGTCGGAGGCTGATAAGACATTCACTTTTTATTGGATTCCAAGCCGACGCAACTGGAACATGGGGTGACAGGCAAGGTCAATTCTGAATCTATCTTGTACCCCTGCATTTCTTACGGCTCTGTTATCAGAGTTATCAGAGCTATCAGAAGCCGTTCTCTATCGTGAAGGCAATTTCGGGAACCTATCTATAGAGAATTCCTAGGTACCTACTTAGGTGGGCAGAGTTGCTCATCATGAGTTAGCCTTCATGACGTCTTGGCTCAATACTCTTGTCAAGACAAGAAAGTTTTGGTTCTGTCTGTTAATCAATTCCAAACTACACATGCCAAATCAAAATCTGCCACCACCTACCATGAAGAGGCCGTCGATGACCGAGCTTAAACGGAGAGTTACCTCCGCCCACTCTTGGGAGATTCCCAAGAAAACGGGGACGCTCGCACCATCACACGTATGGACAAACCGTGATATGGGTATAGCTACGCAATTCTTCGCGATAGATTAACACGGAGACTAACACGAAGACTAACATACGAATCGAACAGACCCTACGCCCATCGAGGATCAGACTTGGAATACATGGAGTATTCTGGCTTACTGGGCTACCGACACGATCAACCTGGCGACATGGCAAACGGCGTCCGCGATTCTTGCCGTAGGATTAAGTTGGCGGGAAGCGATTCCAATCATGGTCGTCGGGAACTTCTGCGTCGCTGTGGGGCTTGTGCTAAACGGTGCTATCGGTGCAAAACTCCACGTTCCCTTCTCCGTCATCACGGCCAGTAGCTTCGGGTACTATCTGAGGTACTTTTGCATCATCAGTCGGGCTATCCTAGCCATGTTTTGGCTGGGTGTACAGGTAATGAAAGAGTCTACGAGAAAATATCTTTTGATGATGACCTCTGACCAATTTATGCGGTCCAGGGAGCGAACGGTGCTCAGTGCGTCACGATTATGTTGCGAGCTTGGGCGCCCTCATACAACGACATACCTAACCACTTACCCGCATCTTCCGGCATCACCACACAAGGGATGATATCCTACTTCTTGTTCTGGATCATCCAACTACCGTTGCTTCTTATACACCCCACGAAGTTACGACCCCTCTTCTGGGTCAAGCTCACGGCGGCGCCCGTCGCTGCTATCGCTATGATGGGATGGTGTGTCAAGAAAGCTGGAGGGGGCGGCGACATCTTCGCTTTGCGCGCGACCGTGGGTGGACCGCAATACGCATGGCTATGGCTTAGTTGTATGTCGAGCGTAACGGGAACTTGGAGTACATTGGCGGTAAACATACCGGACTTCACAAGATATGCGAGATCCGCCAACGGTCAATATATACAGCTGCCGGCGATGCCGATGATATTTACCTTGTGTGGTGTACTTGGTATCGTCACGACGTCGGCGAGTAAGGTGTTTAGCGGAGACTACCTATGGAATCCCCTCGAAATCCTCACCATCTGGCTTGAATACGGCCCAGGCGGGCGATGCGCTGCTTTCTTTGCTGCCCTCGCCTGGTACGTTGCGCAGGTCGGAACTAACATCACGGCCAATTCAATATCGGCGGCTAATGACTTGACTGTTCTTTTCCCTCGCTGGATCAATATCAGGCGAGGATGCATGATTGCTGCAGTCATCGGAGGCTGGGTATTAGTACCGTGGAAGATACTGAGTTCTGCTCAAACTTTTCTCGCTTTCATGGGTGGATATGCTGTCTTTCTCGGACCAATGGCTGGGATAATGGTGGCTGACTACTGGCTCGTTAAGAGGAAGCATATCGACATACCAGGCCTATACAATCCTGACGGACGGTATCGTTACCACGGCGGTTGCAACTGGCGCGCGGCGATCGCCTTTATCGTGCCCGTTGCACCTTTACTTCCCGGTCTAGGCTTAAGTATCAGTGGCTCTAGCGTCGTCCATATCAACAACGGTGTTACTAACCTTTATACCTTCAACTGGTTGTTCGGCTTTGTGACTTCCATCGTCCTTTACACAGGCCTAAGCTTCGCGGTACCTGCGAAGGAGACACTACTCAAAGATACGATCTGGGATTTGGATGGCACTTCCATCTTGGCACATATGCCGGACGATGACGTTGGGGCTGAGAAAGCTTCTGGCTCTGTCCCGTCTGAAAAAATAGGGATATCCGATGCGAAATCCTCGTGAAGAGACCGATGATTTCCCTACGGCGAGCCTAATTTGCTATAGAATCGATGTCCAAGTTTAAATGAACTGACCTTCCCACTCTACGGAATAGGCACCGCTGCATTTAGATGACATTCACATAGATGAAAATTCAATTCGAAAATTTATTGTTTGACAGCGCGTACCCGTAGATTAGGCAACGACTCCAACTCCCGTATGACGATTAATCGGTGTATACAGACCTCTGGCCTGGGGAGAGCCTTTTTCAAAGGCAACTTGAGTCATAACTTACCTAGGTAGGTATTTTAGTGCTCGGACGCCCAACAGCGCGGACGCTACCTAACGAGGGGCAATTTTATCCATAACTTGCTATTTCCGCGGTGATGTTAACGGACTTCTATTATAAATCGCATGAAGGGAGTGGACTATAGGTACCTATATGCAAGATGCGCGAATACATCATAGAGACCCCGATTACACAATCTTACAAGGTTTCTTTTGCCGATCACATGTTCCGGTACCATTCCTTCCCAGTCGATGGATAAACTTATGATGATGAGATCGTGGATTTTTAGGGAATTGGATGTCGGGAATAGCTATCGGTGATTAGAAGTAAGAGACGTAATGTCATCATCTTTGTCCGAATGCTACCTACTTACTCGAAGGTACCTACTGAGCTCTTCTCTACCTAGGTGGTCTCGCGTTTACTCTTCCGCGCGAGTACAGGAGCCTCAAAAATTTACGATTTTCTTTATTATAGGTACTCTTTGACCCTTCTATGTTTTGCCACTCAAGATGCCTTGCTGTAGTATTCCTAATCTTCAGTCGCTCGGAATATTAAGAGAAAGCCAGCATGGTTGAGCTTAAGCATGTCCTGTCTCTGGCCACGGCAAAAACATATTGTACTACTGATCTAGAACATGGAGAGCGTCCGTATCTCAACGAGGATGGGCATGTCGACTTTAAACCTGATGATGTCGAAAATCCACATTGTTGGTCGACCGCCAGGCGTTGGTATGTGACAGTATGCGCTGTTTTGCTTGTCGTAAACGCGACCTTTGCCTCGTCGGCACCGTCTGGATGTTTTGGAGTATGTTTTCTTCCTAGCCCTAAAACCTGCGTATCATAGGTAGCCGCTTCTCGGTGGTTTTATACATGCGCTAATGCAGGTTCAGAGCATCGCTGAAGGATTCGACATTTCCGGAGAAGCAGCAGGGCTTACCGTGACTCTTTTTCTTCTTGGATATTGCGCTGGACCCCTTATTTTCGCTCCACTATCCGAGGTACGATGCCTATCCATCGCTACCCCTTAACCTAAGTACCTACCTACCTACCTACCTCGCTCATAGGTTGGTAGGCATTGATCTAAGAGAATGCTAAACAAATCGCCTGTGTAGTTTTATGGGCGAAGGTGGATTTTTTATAGCACATTTTTGCTTTATATCATATTCAACTTCCTCTGTGCTTTTGCGCCAAATTTCGGGAGCCTGCTTGTAGGTAGGTTCCTTACAGGCACGTTTGTGAGCGCCCCGCTAAGTAACAGCCCTGGAGTTCTTGCGGACTTATGGGGTCCGGTAGAACGAGGTAACGCCATGGCTGTTTTCTCATGCATGGTTTGGGTTGGTCCAGCTTTAGGGCCAGTTGTCGGCGGCTTTCTTCAGCTCAAGAAAGACTGGCGATGGAGTTTCTTCGTTCTGCTTTGGCTCGGAGGTATCACGGCAATCCCGATGTTCACCATTCCCGAAACTTTCGGTCCCGTGATACTCGTATATCGCGCCCGTCGTATTAGGCGGGCTAGAATCCCTGGCTATGAAAACGTCAAGGCTCCGGTAGAAGACAGCGACCACACGCTCCTAGGAATATACAAAGTGGCTCTTACGAGACCGTGGATTATCCTTTTCGATACAATTTCTTTCCTATGCGCGGTCTATATGTCCGTCGTTTACACACTGCTATATATGCTCTTTTCTATCTATCCTATTGTATTTCAAGAAAGACGTGGATGGAACGCCGGAGTTGGCGAGCTCCCTCTGATCGGGTCCGTGATTGGCTCCTTCATCGGCGCCATCATTGTCCTATTCGATTCAAAGCAGAAGCAAAGGAAGATAGAAAAGGGAATCCCGTTGAAGCCCGAAGATCGCCTTACTCTTGCTATAATGGGAGGAGTCGGGTTTCCTATTACCATGTTCTGGTTCGCATGGACTGCTGAATATAGGTAAGATAGCTACCTACCTTAGTACCTACGCACTACACCTGGGCAATATTGAAGCGTACCTAGTAGCTGACATAAGGTGCTTACCTATTATACTAGTTGGATCCATTGGATAGTCCCTACCATCGCTGGCGTATTTCTCGCTACTTCGCTGATGCTCATCTTCGTGGGGTATCTCACTTATCTAGTAGATTCATACTTAATGTATGCCGCGTCTGCGATCGCGGTGAACACGGTCTGCCGCTCGGCTTGCGGCGCTGCGGCACCACTGTTCACCAATTACATGTTCGATGCTCTTGGTATTGGCGGGGGCGGTTCGCTGATTGGGGGCGTTGCGACGGTGCTTGCCGTGATCCCGTTCGCTTTTTACAAGTATGGAGAAGGTATTCGAAAACGTTCCAGGTTCGAGCCGACTGGGCCAAGAAAACCAGATGACGAAGAACCACAGCAGCCCACAAAGGAAGATAAGATCTTGATGCGTCGTAACGATCCACAATCAATACTATCCGAAACCACCAGTACAATAATAACAGATGATGGAATTGACGGGTTACGTTATGATAAGCTACGTGAAAATCGTCGCAATAGCGTCTCGCATGCGAAAGTCTAGGTCAATTTTAGTGCTCGACCACCACTACAGCCCAGGGAGCTTAGGTACCTAGATAGGTACCTAGCCACTACAGAAATATGCTACGCTGTGTACCCTAAGCTTTCTAAGATCGGAGCAGGTGGGGGGAAGTTGGGAAGTGGATGGCAAACAATCGAATAATTTTTAGAGAGTAATTTTTAGAAAACAACAACAGTTGGTAAATACTAATAGGTACCAATTTAATTCAAGATAAATACAATTTGGCAATATTTTTAATATCCTAACATACCTACCTATTTAAAAATGAATGTATCCAAAATACGATATTAATGTATGTTGCACCGCATCCATTTGTGTCGATTTCCAGATTACCGATAAAACCCGTTTGCGCCCATAGCACCATTAGCACCGCCATTAGAACCACTTTTAGCACCATTAGCACCGTCTGTCAGGTCCATACCCCTGTGGGCCCCGGCTTGAGGTGCGCCATTGTTCTTCGTAACACTCTTCCCCTTCGTCACACTTACCCCATTGGCATATCTCAATTTCGCATTCTTTGTCATTCCATTGTGAGTTCCATTGAATCTCATGTTCGCGATACCGTCGTAACCTTTAATACCCGTTGCCTTCTCGAGGCGCGTAGCAATCTCTTCATCCACTTCCCGGAAAATAGCGATCTGCCGTTTGATGAGCTCCGGTTCCTTGCATACGGCCATCTTCCCAGCAACGTTGCTGATGAATCTCGCGCGCGCGGGCTCATCCCATACTTTACGGTATAAAGCCTTAGGAGCATTGAAATCCTCTGGCCGGATCTCTGATAAGAACGTGATGGCTTCTCCGGTAAAATGCCCGTGGGTTCTATCGAGATCGATGGAACGATCGCGGAATTGGATTGGGTCGATAGAGCTGAGGTAGTTGGGTCTCGCCCCCTGGTTGTAGAAAGCCATCGAGCCATCCCGCTGGAAATTACCGAACATGAAACCTGTCCGCGGGGCATTGACCGGTAGCTGTTGGTAGTTGACGCCAATGCGATGACGGTGAGTGTCTGGATAAGAAAAGAGGCGCGACTGCAAGACGGGGTCGGCTGATGGCTCGATGCCAGGTGGCATGTGCGCCGGGTTGAAGGCGACCTGCTCTATCTCTGCGAAGTAATTGACCGCATTCTCATTCAAGGTGAATTCGCCAATCTTCTTGCGTGGGAATTGTCCCTGTGGCCAGACATGGGTCAGGTCAAAAATGTTGATCCTCTGCTTCTCCCACACCTCCTCGGCTTGTTTCGGCGTCATCGTCTGGATTTCGACGTTCCACTTCGGGTAATCCCCACGATCAATCGCCTCATACAAGTCTTTCTGCGAGTGATCGGGAGACTTGTTTGCAGAATCCTCTTGGGTAATAAACTTGGTGCCCTGCTGGGACTTGAAGTGGATCTGGGTGTAAATCCAGTCACCCTGTTTATTGACCAACTTGAGTGTGTGGCCGGCATAACCGTGCATGAAGCGGTATCCATCCGGAATACCTCGATCTCCCATGAGAATCATCACTTGATGGATGCTTTCAGGGTTGTTGCAGAGATAGTCCCAAAACATGGTGGAGTCGTCGGCGTGCGTTAGGTGAGTTGCTGGGTCGCGCTTCTGTGTGTGAATGAAGTAAGGAAACTTGGCTGGGTCTCGCAAGAAGAACACGGGCGTATTGTTGGCGACAAGGTCCCAGTTACCATCCTCAGTCCGAAATTTGACAGCGAAACCTCGGGGGTCGCGGGCGCAGTCGTGGGAACCAGACTCGCCTCCGACGGTAGAGAACCGCGCAGTGACGGGGCATTTCTTTCCTTTGGTGGAGAAGATATCGGCAGAGCACAGCTCCGGAATAGGGTTCGTGCATTCGAAGAAACCGCTACGGACGCATGATAAGTTAGTAATCTCTTTTTATTTCAAAAATCCCACCCTTCGAGATACAACGCCCTTGGGTAGGTTGGGTACGGGTATGATGATTGGGCTATGAGTCCTTACTGGGCGCCGCTCCCCTTAGCATGCACCACTCGTTCAGGTATACGTTCTCGGTCGAAATGAGAAAGGAGGTCGATCAAATGGAAATCCTGCAAAAGGAGAGGCCCGTTTTCTCCAACTCGTTGGGTCTCGTAAGGATGAGGCATGGGAACGCCATTGCTACGCTGGTTAGTTACGAGAGGCAGTAATTAGCTAGCATTATGTCATACCTTGTAGCATAGATTGCATCCTTCGACGTCGCCTTTCGATCTTTCTCATAGGACGTGAACTGGTTAGCAACATGGCCAGCAAACGAGGTATCCGCAGATGGTGTCATATTGAATGTTGGTTTATCTTTTCAGCAATATACTCTAGGTATACTACGACCAAGTATGTTGTTTGTTATGTAGGTCAGTGGCAAGCGTAGGCACATATGTCGGCGACTTGAGAGATTTTGGATTAAGCACCTTGGTGGCTCTAGACATGAGAAGTCTTTGTATGGTCATAGACATCAATCCACTAAAATTTGAACTCTAATCATAATGCCAGAAGATGTTTGGACGATATAGAAGTTCGATGACGGTATGGTGACAAGGACACTACCTACCGTCGGACTTGGCCTAGTAGTCAAAGTAGCAAATTAAGTCTCGTGAATGCAGATGAAAACCATAATTGCATTCATCAATCACCGATTTAAAAAAACGAAAATCGATGATGTAGATGAATCCCAGACTAAATGTTAAATCGCGGATTTGCCCCCTTTTCGTCGTCCATTTTCTTGTATAGGTAGAATTATGACAAGGTCTACATCTTAAACTCACCTGGGTAGGTGCAGGTAGGTAGGTAGATTCCGTATGTGTACCTATACATTAAAGATACAATTCTAGCTTTCTAACCAAAATGTGTTCAGATTTCGTGGTCTAGAGAGGATGGTTAAAATTTGGGGTTAAGGAAAAGCAGCATATTCGATTTTAAGGAGAAGCTGGGTGCATATTTAGGTACTATCTTCGCACACCACACCGGTACCTGGGTATCTACCTAGGAATCCTAGGTAGATACCCAGGTACCCACGTTTACTTTATGGGTTAATCGATTCATGAAGTCGAGGCTTTTGAATACCATCTTTTTTAACCCTATGTAAAGATCCTATGAAGCCCTGGAGATTTTAGATATTCCTTTTAGCGATTAAATTCCCCAGCTAATAGTGGTGATCCACTAAAATTTAGCGCAGGGACTATTATTGGCCCTGGAGTTAAGATTATCTGATCACGTACCGGGATGGTGAGCACCTGTTCGTCAACATTCGCCAAAATGATTTGAGAACAGCCTTTTTCTAACTGTCATTTACAAATCGAACAGCAATTTCTAAGCCTCTCGATTTAAATCTTCGGGTCCTGCGGTTTTAAGAAATATCTGGGGCCTGACAAATCTGTAAGATGGGCCTCTGCGACGATAAGTACGACACCTCTAGGGCTGTTTCATATTTTTGGGAATTCGTGCTCTTTGCGGGGATGTCCTAGATATTTGAGTTCTACCCATCCTGCCATCCCCCATGGATCATCGGATATTTTTCTGCGCCCATGTAGATTTGCAATTCCTTAGCCTTAGTTGGCTATGGCTTCCATTTGACTGCCGTTATCACAAGCTATCTGCATACAACCCTACATCCTATTCTTTCTCGAATACCTATCTGAAAACTAGCATCAAGAGTGGCTACTTAGGTATTCAGTACCTAGTCTTTCCATCTCTGGGTCTGATAGCATCCAAGCCGTTTGTCTAAGCACATTAACTTAGAGACATCCTATCAAGCTAATGAACCATTTTATCCCTATAATTCAAGCCCAGGCAAGAGCCGATCATCTCATAGGCTTCGGGTGTTGGAGGATGAGCTATGACAACGACCAATAGCTTGACCAAACATTCAACAAGATCGCCATTAGTCCTTCTAGCGCACCGAATAATGCTTACTATATCTCGAGTTGCATCGCATGGCGATGATCGATGGGGGTATGCAAGTGTGGGAATCAAGGTCAATGGTTCTGCAGAATCTCTCTGTGACCTTTCAACTACCATACGAAAATGGGGCTGGTATCATCCACGTCCAGATCCGATAAATGCTACGCAGTCCTTCTCTCGTCGTATGTACCTCCCTAGATGATATAAGAGTTAAAAGCTCGCCAGCCTAAATGCCGTGAATCTCCCACTTCCTGGGGTAGATCATTGGCATCACTGATCTTACGGAAACCTAGGAAGTACTAAGGCAATTCGTTGGCTTCTTGTATTCAAACATGGCTGCTGGCAATGAGCCTGCGGAACCCCTTGCGAAGGGTATCGTCGCTACTGCTAGGCAGTCGTGGGGTGATCTCTTTCGATGGAAGCAGAGAGTTGTCGTTACGAACGAACTCGGCGAGTCCTATACGGAATGGCATGCTCCCGAGAGGCCCCGAAATCCTATCTCACTTTTTATGCTTTTAAGCGCTAAGGATTGGGTTTACTTCCTTGTGGGAATGTATGCATGGACTGCCGATGCCTTCGACTTCCACGCTCTAGCAATCCAAACCGTCAAGCTATCAAACTATTACGGCCGTACTAAGACGGATATTACTACCGCAATTACTTTGACGTTGCTTCTCCGATCTGTCGGCGCCGCCGTCTTCGGTCTACTCGGTGATCGCTTTGGTCGAAAATGGCCAATGGTTGCTAACCTAATCGTTCTTGGCCTCTTGCAAATTGCAACAATCTACAGTGCGACTTTTGAACAATTCCTAGCCGTTAGGTCCCTGTTTGGACTATTTATGGGCGGCGTATACGGTAATGCCGTGGCCATGGCTCTTGAGAACTGCCCGTGAGTCTTGGTAGATTTCCACGCTTTTACCTCGATAATGCTAATTCTGTATACCGGATATAAGAACTGAAGCACGAGGCCTTATGAGTGGCATTTTGCAACAGGGCTATGCTCTCGGTTATGTACTCGCGGCGTGTGCGAACCTCGGTGTTGGTGGCGCAACTGATACTTGGAAGATTGTCTTTTGGATTGCTGCTGGTCTTTCTATCTCCGCCGGACTCCTCCGCTGCTGCTTTCCTGAATCAGAACAATTTAGAGCTGCTAAGGCGGCTAATCACCACATCTCAGCAGAGGACTTCTGGGCGGAAACGAGGTCTATGCTTGTTAAAGAATGGCGTATGTGCGTCTATTGCATCTTTTTGATGACTTGGTTCAACTATTACGCGCATACGAGCCAAGACAGCTACACCACGTTTATGTTAGAGTCGAAGGAGCTTCCTAATGACGCAGCGACCAGGGCTAGTATTCTCATGAATACTGGGGCGTGTGTTGGCGGTACCATCATTGGATACCTCTCCCAATTTATCGGGCGTCGTCGCGCTATCGTCGGTGCTGCGCTGATCAGTTGCTGCCTCGTCCCAGCCTGGATTCTGCCTACAACTGAATCGGGCCTCTCAGCTTCTGGATTTTGGATTCAGTTCTTCGTCCAGGGAGCTTGGGGCGTGGTACCTATTCATCTTAATGAATTGTCACCACCAGCTTACCGATCGACATTCCCAGGTCTCGCATATCAGCTAGGTAACATGGTGTCTTCTCCGGCGGCCCAAATTGTCAATGCCATTTCGGAAAGCCACTTCGTCGCCAGCAAGAGCGGGAAGTTGGTTGATGGCTACGGCCCGACCATGGGTATTGCTCTTGTGATCGTTGCGGTTGGTATTGCGGTGACGGCTGCGCTGGGACCGGAGAAGCGTGGACGATCTTTCGAACGTGCTGGTCCTGCTGGAGCCAATATTCACGTCAATTTGGAGAAAGTAATTGATAGTATATCGATATCTGATTCGAAAATCCACGCCGTTGAATTGGAGTCTGGTAAAAACGAAGTCTAAATTAAACGGAAGAATCAGTTCATAGATTCAATATTGTCATAAGTTGCCTTTAGGTACTTCCATGCTTCTAAGGCATAGGTACGTGCCGACTTACCTGCATCGATACCTAATATATCATGGAGATGTGATGCAGGTGCGATTTACCTACCTACCTACCTAAGTACCTATGAAAATGCCTGTTTCAATTGTTCCATCATATCAAACAATATTGATGCGAAACTTACTGTGCAAGGAAGTCGTCGTCTTTTCCAGTAATAGACTTTGGTAGGTGTCTGGACTAAGAGGCAGGAACGTTCTGTTAGCATGCATCGTTTAACTGGCATCGCCTCAACAATCATTCTTTCGTCCCGTGCCTATCTACATATGTAGGTACCCAACCTACATAGGTATCTAGCAGGTACTTTGCTCTATAATTTCTCGATAATGGTATTGTTAGAGTCGTTATTCCTACAACATCCGCGTGCATTCATGAACCTTATAGGTACGTGCACAAGTAGGTACAGCAGATAGGTACCGAACATTCATGAATCCAATACCCTCGAAGGTACCAGTTTACGACCGCACGTCTCCGCGTCTTTTGACGATTGGTAAGTACCTAGTAATTCATCCAATAGTTGATTTGTCTAATATTTTCTTAGTCTCGTTTGAATGATCTCTTCTCTATTGTCGATATCAATCCTTCCTTCCATTCACATATCATTCTATCATCGTTTCCCCTCTCGTCTTCGCCACTGTATGTCTCGTCATCCCCACCTCTATTCAATGTTGATATTAACGGAGTATGTACCTAGTAACCTTGAACTTGCGGAGTTACTACAAGGTACCGGATATATACCTATTTAGGTATTGTCCCTTCTAAAACGTAAGCTAATTGACAAAGCTTGATGCGTAGGACTACGAGGCACGCGGTCCTGGCCTCAATCGTGTTACATTGCGTTTAGCAAGAGCGTCAGTCAGAAGAATTATTTCGCGGTTCTCGATATTATCAACGATGGATTCTTCCGCCGCGAGTCTCATTCATAAGGCCAATGGCAAGCAGATGTACACATGTATGTCTTTTATCCATCTATATAACATAGGTACCTTTCTATTTTACTAACACGACTCTAGCAAAGTACTTTCCACCAAGTAACAGTTAGTCTCTCCAAGTACCTCCTCATGCAAACTACATATGTACCTAAGTAATTATCTTCTAACCAAGTCCTAGTCATCTACTCCAGCCAGGGAGACGATGCCCATAATATGGGATTCCTTGTTGGTTTTGCCGAGGCACAGGTTAAGCTTCGAATCCATGAAGGTGTTCTGCTCATTCGTCTCTGGTCTGATGCATATGATGCTCTGGACGCCAAACAAGAGAGTGTCATATATCAGCAATACTTGATGTTGGTGAGAAAGATTGCTGGCCGTAAGTAGACATCCATGGTATTGAATCTTCAGTGCTAACGGCAAGAAGGGATGATAGGAGAGCAGCTAGATCCGGGGAAGGCAAGAAACAGGCCCCTGATTCTGCGGAAGACATCCAGCGTTACCTCGAAGGTCAATTACGACGAAGGTGCTCGCACAGAAGCTTCGACTCAAGCTCCTAAGATCCTGACCCACAACCTCTCGACGGCCACACCCCCTCAAAGATCAACTTCTCTAGGGATTTCTGCGGGAAAATTGAACCCGCATGCCGTCAAGTTCTCATCACCCAATGCTCCTGCAAAGAAGGGGGGTGATAAGCCACCTCACGGCGAGCCCACCTCTTCAATGTCGTGCGTGACGACCTTCGAAGAGCGCTGCAAGAAGCTAGGACTGCGTGTCTCGTCAGCAAAGGTGTAAGGGGAAAAACCAAGATCTAAACCATTATTCTAGGGAGACACGAAACATATTCGATATCTTCACCGCTGATGACTGAGACCTGATACCGTTATCTTTTGAGGTCAAGGGCATTTACCAATACCCACCATCGGTCATAGACGAAATGGTTGGTATCAACAATTCTTTACCATCCGTACCATTTTAATAGCCACTAGCATGTATGCTCCGACTATTGCAGAAGGTAGTTAATGATATCTTCTGATTCGTAGATTAGGACTTTGCGGGTACGGTGAATATGCTTCTGTGGCGTCTCTCCAGTCTTTCGGCGCCCAAATTTCGATATGTCTAATTGCATTACACCTAGCTATTTCGCTTTAACTCTAGATTATCTAAGGTAGTTAGCGAAAAGAAGTCATATTCTGCAAATACAATGGATTTGGTTAGAGGCGGAGATAAGAAGCCTGCCTCTTCGAACAAATGCGTATAGTAAAATAGTAAAATACGGAGGGTAAAGGATGGTTGGAAAAGGTTCCCTCTTGCGGCTTACTCCACTGGCGAGCCCGAGAAATTTATTCAGGTGTTATTGATGTAACCCATCAAGCTTCATGTCGATATTCAAACATCATACTTGATGACACACTGCCCGGTAACTTTTCGAGGGTTCTCTTTTCACAATTCATATTATTGCTAAGTTCTGGAAGAAAATGCGGGTGAGGTACGTAATAGAGTTACCCGTCACCATTCCGGAAATTTTTACCGTGGAGGCCTTCTACATGCATTATGTACCTAAGTAGAATGTGGTACATTCTAGACAGGCGTAAAACGGCCGGCTACCTAGGTAATAAGTATGTAAAGGTAGAGACATCTTGTCAAAATCGGTCTAGTTGGTCTCACTCGATGCATGCTCCCGTCTGTGTAATCTCCTTAGCTTTGGCGCATCCGATGCTAGATAGGTACTTAGATACCTTTGCATTCCAAGGTTGTACTTGAGGAGATAGGTGTAGCTTCGGCTTGTAATTGGGAGCTGAAAATAATAAATGCCACCTGCTACGTAGATACCTAGTATGGTATGGTATGATATCAATTTTCAAGAAATATACATACCTGGTAGGTACTAGTACCTACATAATAAGCTCAATTGGTAACACAGCTGGCCAATATAATCCCGTGTACCGGTACATTGGTAAAGCCACATAAAATATCGGTGGATGTTACGGCCGTCTCTGACGGTGTAGACCTCGGGAGGTAAGGGATATTCAGGGGAAACTTGGAAATGAAATGTCAACATTGAGCCTCGGAGGTTCAACACTATGTTATCTTGCTCATTGCAAAATAACTTGATAATGACCATTAATAGTTATAAATCGGAAGATTCCATAAAAGCTATCAAACTCTATAGCATAGCTCTAGCTATTTGCAGCTAGATAATCGCGTTGGAGTTGTAAAGGTTCGTGATATCGCTCGATTTAGTTCCTATTTAGTCTATTTAGAGCATGGGGTAATGGGGATGTTAGGGGATCTAGGCAGTTTAGTTAGGCGCTAGGACAGCCCTGCATAGGCCCCTGTCGTTGTCGGTGTGGATTTACCGATTTCTTTATCTTTATCATTTTATGCTAGTTTAAATTGGTAAATTGCTAACTTCATCAACTTCGCTTCTTGGAACTTGCCAATACAGCACGATGTAATGTCATCCAAGTACAATATCAATGAGGACTGATTTATCCTCTTAACAATACCGAAATTAAGTACGGGCGAAACTGGTCATTCTGTTTGTTTGAATAGAATAGGTATGTTGACCGTACGACTTCATGGCTGGCTATGGTTCATGCAATTACTATCATACCAGATGATACTAATGCAAGCTTCAGCACCGGGCAGCCCTTGATAAAAGTGCCAAGATCATCGACATTCGATACGCATGCACCTTTATGGAGCCGGGCGTAAGGCGCTGATCGATTCTTTCCCTACCTTGCCAGCTTTCTCTCCTAAATCCGGGGTCTTCGCGAACATGATCCGATTGCTATACCAATGGCTAGTGACACCAAAGCCAGAAGATCATCCATCGGTTCTCTCAGAGAATAGATTGCCTTAGGAAGCCTACCTACGTATAGGTAGATTGGAGTAGCCGTAGTTGACGTGCTACCTATTCTACCTAAGCTTCATATGCAGCCTCTCGAAAGGGACCGATTACATTAAAATCAATAGATTCTATTAGTTAGTCGGGAGCTGTGTGAGTCCTGGCACCCCTAGTCGAATCGTACATAGCCCCGACATCCTTAAAAGGCATCTGATCTAGAAGGACCCATTACTGGTAGGTACTAAGATACCCAGCTGCCCAGGTACCCAGAGGGCCAGAGATATTCGGAGCCATGCAACAGGTATCAACCTATGAACATGTCGACTTCAGGGATGTTGGAAGCCAACCAATCAAATTAAAGCCCCGTCACATTTACAGGCAATGTTCCAGAATACAGACCCTGACCTTGTACTGATAAACCCCCTACAGTAGCATCCCCCACGTTGACGTTTTCCGTGTCGTACATATTCTCGATGTCCCCAGCTGAGGCCTTCATCAGACCGGTATGGGGAAACTATTTCCTCTTACGACCGAGTCGAGCTACCTACCTACTTACTTGAGGTATGGGAGAATACCAAGTATTTAGTGTTATATAAAAGCAAGGCCACGTTGTTTTTTCTTCTTGTATCACCACCTAGATCACTGTGTGAACTTGAACTCCACTTTGATTCCGGGCCTCTGGATAGGTTGAGGATTATTATAAGACTTCGAAAAGCAAATGTGGGAACGCCACAGACTCGTCGATTATCGGATTTAAATGATAGATATCAACGTCGCCCCCCCTCTACCTCTCCACCTCCGAGACTGCACTTATTAGACTATCGATTTCTTCTTATTTAATTCATGGGCATCAGTATTTCGGACAACTATTCTCGGTTAAATACTTGAATGTGTGGATGCAAGTCTAGGATAGCTCAGATTTCCTAGACGGCTAGGACGTCTCGTTCCCATTTGGGATTGATATATCAAGTGGACTGATCTGCGGCGTTGCATTGAAGTTTCATTGAAGCTACCTGCTTGTTTCGACGAGAGCAAACAGAAGTGGCTCGCTCCTAAACGACATTCGCAACCTACGACGGATACATGTACCCAAGTCCGACCTTGTAGCAGCTCATCATACAAACTATCCATTGGCAATCGAACAGTTTCTCTGTGGAACCGGCCGTGCTCTCCGAGAGGGCAGGTTGGCCTACGCGAGACGCGCGGACTGATCAGCAGCTACCTATTGACGGTATCACTATCACAATTACATAAACTGCCGATGCATACGCAGCCAGACCTGTGGCATTGCGATTTTTAGCTCGGCCATCCAACCTGTAGCAACTTCAACCCTCACGACCCTCACGAGATCCGGTTCACTTAGTCCACCATGTCTGGGCGTAGCGCATACGTGAGGAAAAAGATAACCGAGCCAAGGTCTGGAGCTCGGCCTCCAGGAAGCGCACGCTATTCGGACCGGGATGACCTTTCAATTACTGATGCCGGTCTGCCGCAAGGCACCGGCTATGGCACCGGCTACGGTACGATGAATGCGCGGTTCTTGAAGTTCTCTGAACCTGTGAGAGAGGCGGAGCCGACCAGTTATCGCAATGAGATTACAAATTTTAACAATAACAGCAGCGGTAGCCAGAGTGGCGGAAGTGACTCGGGGAGGAGAGAAGGTGGCAGTGGTCCGCAGCACCATGGGCCAATGGCTGATTACGCCTACGCTAGAGCGAGAAAGCCTGTTCTAAGGACGGAGGATGTGTCAGGTATCGAACGTTCCGGCTTTCGAAGTGTTGTGGACAAGAAAAGCGACGACTTTCGTAAAGGACTTACGAAGGCTTTCACGTTTGGGGGAAAGAAGAAAAAGGCTGGAGATGTTCTTCGACCGGAGTCGTCTGCTACCGTCAGAGGCCATGGTGATACAGATTCATTTGATATGAACGAGATGCCTATCATGCCTATGCAAACTCCACAGCACTTGGTATGGGATCCAGAATATCAGCAAATGATCTCACCTCCCCCATCTTCTAAATTGCCTCCAATCCCCCCACCCTCGACTACGCCGCCGATCAAGCGTTGGATTGGTGCAGGGAGACCCGTTCAGCGATGGAACAAACTTCGCAAGGACCCTGAACTATGGGATCCCAACGGCGATGTGTTGGTATTCTTCGGCCGCAGAGGACAGGCCCCCCGGCCAAACCCTTCTTTCCGCCTTTCATCTCACATTATCGAAGCAACCGAATCTCGGTTTCTCATTACTCTCCTTCGCGAAGGTTCCACAGAGGAAGAGTATGACCCGAGGGTTCACATGCCACCATCGCCTATTGGTGCCCCGCCAATGCTACGACCGCACGGCTCACATCCGCAACTTGGGTACAATCTAGGTCGCCACGGTCAGCCGACGCCTCCTGTTTCTGAGGACACTAGTCTCGCGGATACGGACGGCCAGATTTCTTATGAGATGTATTTCCCGACACCGCCCAATCTTAGCAAACTTGATGCGCACCGGCATGCTATCACGACGCGTAACGTATTTGCGCTACTGTACCATGCATCTCTGGTCGGTCTATCGCTGTTCCAAGCTCTGTCCGATCTGCTTGCGCGTCTTGCGACATATATGCCTCCTGAGGCAGATAATGTTGGTACTATTATCAATTATCTATCTGCCCGTGGCATTGACGACGCTCGCAACGATGCGGATACTGCAGTATCCATGCTAGCATGGTCGGAAATTCCAGATGTGCGCTGGGAGGAAGGATGGTGCGAGGCCTTCGTGCATTGCGCGGGCATGTACTCTCGATTAGAGGCATGCGCTGACTATAAGAGCGTTACTCCGATCACGCGCGCACTTCTAGAAAGGGCATGCCTGGAAACTCAGCTTCGTGTGCAAGCAGCAGAAGAACGGCTCTCCGAGTTCTCTTTTGGAGATATCTGGCCAACGGCTGGCCCTTCGGCGCGAGGTCCTGCTCGAGATGCAGCTGATCGTTTACAACAATTTCTCATTAATCACTATATTACGGTGCATGGTGACTGGCCTCCTCCTGAACCCGGTGCGAGAACGGTAGAGGGCGAGGAGATGTGGTTGACTAGGACATTGGCGAAGCAAATGCAAAAGGACTTCGGCGCACTCTACGATTACTTAGTCAATAGAGATATTGTGTGGGATGAATCAGAGACTCGAAGTAGTCGGAAATGGATGATGGTTTCCGAGAGTGGTAACAAGTCGTTCGACCCCGATACACCCGACCTTCCGCTCACGGATATGCTGATCGAGTTCGATAACCGAATGCGATTCCCTCATATCCCGCACCCCTATCCTCTTGTTCCCGAGTCAATTCCGATGTTCGCACCCCCTTCCACCGGTTCGGGTCGTGAGAAGCTGAGAAAGGATAGGAGTAATAGTAGCGGCAACAGCGCGAAGCAGGGCGGCGATGATCGTATCAATGAAAGACGCGCACAATTAGCCTATACCGAGGCGACTAACATATACATCTTGGGGTCCGACTTCACACAATCTGACCTCATCGAAGGCTTTGTCAAGTTCGAAAAAGCGGACCAGATTGGTATGGTTGATCCCTTCGTCGCCCGCCGCGGCCGCTGGGTTCTTGTGTATGGCATACTGCAGACTCTTGCGAGCGTATCGGTCGACGCACCAAACCTCCGGTATAAGGATAATGTGACATACCATCTCTCTCCGCGCTTTAAAGGAATGAAGACGCCTCCATGGAAGGGCGCGTCTGCACCCGCAGCCGAGGCTCATCACGAACTCTCCCATTGCTGGCTTGCTCCTCGAGCCTGGCAAAATAGTACGAGCGGCGAAAGCGTCGACTCGGACACTTCCAACTCAGGAGACCCGGTATTACGCATGATGCGCGCGCAAGCGCAAAAGTTCCCTAGGCCTCCCAAAACTGTAACAAGTCGATCGAATAACGGCGGTGGATTGAGCGCATCGCGAGGCGGACGATCTAACGCCAACAGCACCATCGCACCCACGATGTGGGGTGGCTCCTCCGCCATGAGCGTCAGTGCCTACTCCGACGACGCAGCTTCAAGCATCACTCGCCCATCATCGTCTAAAACGCATGCGAGCTACAATCCAAGGGGCTACGTAAATTCACAAAGGGCCAGGAGCGAACGCAGCTATGCGACCTTCGGACCAAATAATACCGGCGGTAGAGCCGACGAAGGCAGTTGGCCGCCTCAGGGCTTAAGTATACGTCGGACTAAGCCACCGGCGCCGCTGGATCTTAATCTCGATATGTCACGCATGGAGGGTTTCTTTGATCCGAGCCATAGCCCCTCTAGCTGTGGCGGCGCGCCGATTTTAAGTCCGAATAGCTCCGCCTCTGATGGTCTAGGACCGGTGATTCGCGATTTTGATGAGCTTGATTCTGTTGCTGAGGAACACCTGGGCTAGGCTACGAAATCCAAAAAGAGGTAGATTTTTCTAACGCATAGGGGTCTTCGGGGTTAGGAGTTCTTCGCTATGCGATTCTTATTTCCTATAGGAGGGCTATCTAATTGCGACGGAGTAAGGGGTAGGGATAGCGGTGTCGTTCGTTGAGGTATTGTATGAGTGAGCGATGCTGAATGATATATACGAGGTTGGAGGGAGTTTTCTTTTATTAGAAGATTGCCTTTAGGCACGCAATACCCTATTAGAGGTCATGGAACTATTCTAGTAGTGTGCCATCGGTTCTAAGCCCTAGATGCGGCGGTTAGCCCAAATTTACTTGCCTGTAATTATTGAATTCAATAAAATTCAAATATCAAGCAATGACACCTGTACCTATCTATAATATATACCTAACTACCTACCTAGGTAGTCATTTTCATGCTACCTTATTTCTGAACGAGCTTAGTAGCTTCCCTCATGAACGCCTTATCATCAACCAACTCAACCGCGATCTGCGCCAGCGCTCTGGCAACTATCTCAGTGCGACCATAACTATATTCCGTCCCCGAAGTCTGCTGAAACTCAGGCTCATGATTAAACCCACACGGAGCACCAGCCACGGGCTCGCAGATACCGAAGTTCGGGTGGAAGACAGCTTTGAACGTGCTCAGTACTTGTTTAGTGTTAGGGTCTAGTACCGCATCCTGTACGAAACCGGCGTCTGTAGCCGCGGGAGCGATTGTGGAGAAGTTCCAGTTCGCCTGGCTGTCATGATCGGCGTCGTGCATTAGGTTGATAAATCGATCGCCGGGGGTCGCAAGGACTTCAAGCGCCGGGTACGGTCGATCTGTGGTGATACTTGCAGCTTTGGAGGCGATAATCGATGTTGCGTTTTTTAGGAGCGAGTCCAGGTCCATTGTGAACCTAGGACGAACCGATATCGTAATGTCGAGCTCTGTAGCCGTAGTGTTCCCGGGCAAGAAAAACGAAATGCCTTGTTTGCCGCTGTTCGTTAAATTGCGAAACGTCTCGATGCTTAATCTAAGCGGGCTTTTGGTTCCCTCGGACGCGTGACCTCCGGGCCCTTCCATGGTAATTGCGACGCCATTTTCGACCTCGTCGGTTTCTGCAACGGTGTAGTTGACGCCTTTGTACGTGCTATCCAACAGTTCACCCACGGTTGAGTTCACATCTTGCAGACTCAAACCAGCGATTCCAAGTAAAATCTTCTGCGCCACCACATTGATAGCGAACATCCCCACATCCTCCACAGGCGTAGCCGTCGTCCCCGAAGGCAGGGTGGTTCCAAAATCAGTGATCAGTACGAGCGCCTCGTAAGCAGTTCTAACGGCATCAGCATGCGTTTCGCCCACGAAGTTCGCCTGCGCATCTACACGGGCTCCCATCGGTTGGACGGCATTCGTGCTAGTAGGATGCGCCATCATCCACATATCTATTCCGTCGAATGCGCCCGCATCCCGTAGCAACCCCTTTCCTCCCGTATCCTCTTCGTCAGGAGTTCCTAGGATCCTTATTCGTCCGGGAATATCTAGGTCGATGAGTGCCTGACGCGTCATACTTGCGGCGGCCAGACCATTGAGTACGATATGGTTGTGTCCGCAGGCATGACCGATACCTATAAGCGCATCGTACTCTGCCATGAATCCGATGATAGGTATCTCATCCTCCGAGCCCGTGAATCCGGCTGGCTTATGCACGAAGTCTAGCTGGAACGCGGTGGGGAGGTTGAAAACGTGGGGTTTTACATCCCATAAGCCGGGCTTGGTCGTGGTGAAATAATCCACAACGGTATCGTGGGCGTGGAATTCTTGTAGAGAGGTCTCCGGGTGGGCGTAGATATCCTGGGCTATACCCTTTAGATCTGGGAATACATCTGCTGAGATCTTCTTTAGCAGGCTAGGGAGCGTGCTCAAATCTGTTGCTGTCGCAAGGCCGACCGAGGCTAATAGGAGTAGTTGGGAGCGCGTCATATCTCCTAGGTTCTCCGACGTTGTGGTTTGCGCTGCAATCTCAGAAAGAATGAATGCAGATCACAGTTCAAAAGCTGTAGTGCATTGCTTTGTATTTATACCAATCCCCGGTCGATCCGGTATCTATACCGATCTGTAAGACCATCACGGACTAGGTATCTATGTTCCATAGAATATCTTCTTTCAATCGATTTGATGGAGCTTGTGACCTCCATTCAGTAATCAGGATGTCGGCGGCCACCTAAATCTAGAATAGAGAGCTGACCGTACAAGCCTAAGTACGGGGTTCATCGCTATTGCTGACGCGATGCATGTGGATTGGTCAGCACCACGCAGCTTCTCGACTCGGCGGTCTAGATGATGGTAAGGGATAGCATGATATAAAATCTCCTATAGTATGGAATATGGCATGTTTACGATATTCCAAGACGAAGCTAAGATGGTAAAAAGTATATGATCATAGCTGGGTGCAAACTATCTACCTTCTAAAAGAGAGCCCCGGAGAACATTCTGACCCTTATTCCTAGTAGATATCGTGGGGCATATCCACCACCCTCTTGCTTCTATGCTAAGAATAGGTACTGGATCTGGCGTCATCATCGCCTGTTTCGATATTATACCTAAATTCAATCACATTATGAGAATAGTGAATTACGTAAAATACAACAGATAGTAGGCATTTGCCTATATGATATTGATTGTTAGCAATAACCTTGAAGTTAGGTAAAAGATTGTGTCCTCGATTCATAGAACCTTAAGAAGTCCCAAATTTCCGACCAATTCAAGCCATGGGCATGATGCAGCATACCGTCCACTTGGATATTATGTATTACGCCTTGACAAGCTAGCATTTGTTTATAAGTATGGCTCCGGACCTTCTACCAATCCTTTGATATTTCGTCTTGAGAGTATTATACCTCTAACTGGAGTTATCGCGGCCCCGCACCGGACCCGGAAACCTTAAATTAGCCCGGGTAATCAGTCATCGCCGCCTGAATCATCACCGAGGACGATACATCTCGGGGAAGGCAAGGGATATACTGAAGAACCAAGGAATATCAAGAGCACACTTGGTATAGTTAAATCCAATGAAGAAAGTCCAGGTCTAGTACCTTGCCGAAAATTGTTTTTTATCCGATAGGAAAGCAATATAATTAGTGGATCTCAACATGCTTTTCAAGTGAGAAGAAATCTGAACGAAGCCGCCAGATGAAAGTTGCTAACTGCAAATGTGCAAGGTGGGGCCTTCAGATGCCGTTGTTCCCTTTTTCTTCTTCTTTTTTTTCTCTTATAAACTTGTTTGTTGGAATCCATATTACTTATTCTTATTCCCATAGTCAAGGTCGAAGGGAGAATTTATCTTTTGTGTCATTAGCTATCCGTGGATGTGATACACACCGTCCCTTAGAAGGGGCAAGGAGTATGGAGCGAAGGTGTCAGGGGTAGGTTTTATCGCACTGACCAACATAACCAAGTTTTTTAGGTGCTTGCAAAGGATTTCGAATTGACCAACCACCTAACCAACCCCGCTAATTTTCGAAGAGGTCTAGATTTTAGAGGGCTGATCCTGGGCTACGATACCTGAATACGAACATGAACAAAGTCCCGAAATCTCGACAAAAAACTTGGAAGTTGAGGATATTCCTACGATGTCATAGGTACAAATAATGATAAATCATTTTTTTCGTGCTTCCAATTAACGATTTTTAGATATTCTCTTTTTCCCAATTGGTGATCATATATCGCGTCGTATAGAATCCTACCTCAAGATTGCAGCTTCGGGTCTTTTCAGAAGGTTCCCTTAAGGTTGGGTAACCTCCCTGATTGAGCTCCTTCGTAGCGCAGACGTCATAAAATCAATTAAAGTTCCCGTTCCCCATAAGGCGTTGCCCTGCCGCACGTTTTTTGTTTACCCGAAGAAAGTTGGGACCCCGCCATCTTCGCCCGACTCATCTTTGCGACGACCAAGGATTTCACAAGTTCATATCGTCACTTGTAACATAGGTACTATCCTACTTTGCATATCAGGTACTAAGTACCTCGTGCATGCTACTTCTACGCCATTCAATGTTGATATAATTTCTACTTCGTACAACACTTCACGAATCATCTGTGTTCGAAATCTACGACAAACCAAAGATCGGCGCACTCCCTGGTAAACCAAACCGGGTACAATACAATAAAAAGACGCATAAGATCCCGAGGCGACGAGACCCTGGCTTACCACCTACCAACCAACCGCCCGCCTTGTCCTGTAGCTTGTGCAGCTCTTGGCGCAAAGTCACCCTAGAGCTTCAGCTCCCCCCCTCCACCTTTTCTATTCTGCGGTCATCGTCTTTTGGTCGTCTCTTATTCTCCGTCCAATCCGCTTCACCTCTTTCTTACCTACACAACCAATTGTCTGCCTACTGGTCGCAAACCTGCTACGTCGTCGCGCCTAATTCTTTCTTCCCTCAACACCGTCAACCTAGCTATCAAAGAACGAGAGAAGGAAGAAGCAATCCGGCAAGATGATGTTCGCAATCTTCTTCACGTTCTGGCGCTTCGTTCAGATCGTCACACTGGTAAGTTGCAAACCCTTCCGCATCCGCATCCCCCAACCCAAATCCGTGCGCCATGCGCCGATCGATCGCAACGCTAACACAACCGTCGACAGATCCCGACGATGGGCATGCTGGCCTACTTCGTCAACGGCTACGTCCAGCTGAACCAGCTGACGCCCAACTACATCTTAGTCCTGTTCATCGTGTCTGTTCTCGCGCTCGCCTGGTCCGTCTACACGTTATTCAGCTATCACCGCTCGTCCTCGAACGCAACCTTCGTCGCGATAATTGACCTTCTCTTCGTCGGCGCCTTCATCGGAGCCGTGTGGTCTCTCCGCATGATTGCCACGGCAGACTGCACGCACATCACGCGCGGAGACTCGTGGGACGTGAGCTTCGGGCCTTTCGGATCGGCTTCAGGAACAACGTGGGGTGTGGACGTGAACAAGACGTGCGCGATGCTTAAGGCGTGTTTCGCGTTCGGGATCATGAACTGCATCTTTTTCTTCATCACCAGCATCCTCGCCTGTCTGCACGGCGACCGCGCTAGCAGTGGTGATCGTGTCACGTATTACCGCGAGACTCATAGCCACCGTCACGGCCACCGAAGTAGCCGTAGCCCGCATAGCCGACATAGCTCGCACTCGCACCGCCGCGTCTATGTTTAATGCGGTTGCTCAATCGACCCACCGTGCAGGTGTAACGGCTAGAGTTGCGGAACAGAACTGGGGATCCTGTAGAGGCATTGGCGTTTATTCACAGAAATACATGTCGAGTTAAAGTTGGACGTGGACTAGACTATGTCGATTTGTTTGTTTGGAATGAGACAAGACGAGATGAGATGAAAAAACACAGCTGATCTGATGGAATGTGGAATGAGACGGAGTGACGTACTAATTTGGTGAAGCCCTGCTCGCATTTTGATTCACAACGATTACGACTTTTACGATTGTCACGGCTTGCTTGCTTGTTTGTTTGTCACGGCCTTTTGGGCTTCACGTATCTAAACGCTTTTTTGCCGGCTACCTGTGGTAAATTAGCTGATTGCTGCTGTTGAATGGATGTCGATACGATCCATAGCTGTTTTGGTTGCAGAGATGATAATGCAAAAGGAAATTTTGGTGAAAGCTGTTCATTGTTCAATTACTAGTAGTTTATATCATTATGACAAATGGTTTTTAGAATAGGGAAAATCAATAGGCCTCAAGAGGGTATTAGATACTCTTGTTTAGATATTTATACACTAGTTATAGCGTTTGAAGCCGATATTGCCATTATATACATCCTTAAAAGATTACAGTAGATGATATGTTACTGTAAAATAATATGGAGGACGATAAGTCTACATATCCTATGCATCGGTATGTCTCTAGTATCCGAGACAATCAATGCCTCTTGCATGAGACCGTTCAGATGATATCCTCAGATAAAGCTTGACATGGAAGCCCATACATATATTCATAAAGAATGGTAAATATAGCATCGGCTCCTCAGCCATAGCAAGAGACATGATCAATGTTCATAGTTGATTCTGTATCATCCCGCCTGTCGAAATAGCTTGGTCGTCCGCTCAAACTACAAGCTTCTGGGAGTAGAGGCGTGGTACCTTCTCTATGCTTAATTTCTTATCTTCGGATAGAAATCTATATTGACTCACTGTCCCTTCTACTAACAATGACTTGAAGCGGTAGATGGAAGTGATAGGTTGAAGCGGTAGGTAGGTAGTATGCTCACGTCCGTAACTGATCTTGACCCACGGTGTACCCTCTCGCAACACCGCTCCGCCCCTCTTCAACAACAGTGCTCTCGCCATCATCCTCGGCACCAAACTCCGTGCCAAGTCCCTGCCACGTCCTCTGTGATCTTAGGAATTCCGCCCCGGGACTCGCTACACCGTTAACCAGAGCCACGTCTCCGACCGCTCTCTTGACGATCGCCGCGGACGCAGCGCTTTGACCGTGGAGCAGGTCTACACCGTTAGTTTCGGGTCCACTTCGCGGCACGCTCCGTATGGCCACCCGCATTGGTCGACTGTGGCTAACGAGTTTGCCCGTTCGGAGGTCAAATTCGGGTGCTTCTGACTCTTCGTCACTAACACCGCCCTCGGCCGCTTCAACTTCAATTTCGGCTGTAATATTATTGTCTTTCCCTTGCTCGGCACCACCTTCTGGGTGGCTGTTATTGTTGTTGTTGTCTATGACCGGGGCAGCTTCGACGCCCTCGATACCACCCCACCACTCTCCAGTCCAAACCCTACTCTCATCTCCCTGCAGCGCGAGACCTAGCTCGAAGGGGGTGATTACGGGTTTCCACAGGCCCTCTTGTTCAACCAGTCCGCTCTCCCAACACCCGACTACAACCCAGCCGTCCACTTCGGCAAAATTGGCTAGCTTTGCCGCGTTTAGTTTGCCGACCACGATCGTGTAGCTTTTCTTGCCCGCAGCTGCGATTTGGCTTTTCAATGTGGAGATAGTGGACATGTAGTTCTTGACAGACAGCGTATTAACCAGAATTCCGATGATAGAAGCCGTAGCTAGCCGGATGACAAGACCATAACGGCGACGTAGGAGACCGGGTGTCGCACTCGGGTCGGGTACTTCGGACGTTGTCGTGTATGGTGATGAAGGCGTCGAGTATATGCGTAGAGAGGCGAGGCGGGAAGAGAGGGTTAAGAGGAGAGAGGTCGGAGGTGTGGATATGTGGAATAAATGATATTCATTCAGATTATAATTGGCTTGTTCCTCAGCCGGCGCATCAAACCATACAACTTTACGATTTGGTATCGTCCCAGTTGGATCACGCACAATCTCGGTCGCGACAACATTACTATATCCCCTTTCTCTTAGCAATTCGCATATGGGTGCTACATGCTCCTGGAACATGACATCGGCCATGACGACGACCTTCTCTATTTTCTCTGGGAACTCCGCCTCGAACGATGTTGTTACAGAAGCATAGTCAAGCGTCTGTTTTGTAAAAATATGTAGTACCGGTAATCTCGACGTTGGACTTAAGCATGCGCGCCCGTAATGTACAACTCCATCGGCATCTGCGTGCTCCGCGGCGATTTCGTCAACGCAACAGGCGCTGTATGATGTGTCGGCTAAGATATATAACCTTCGTTTTCGCTGTCGCTCTTGATCTTGACCTTGATCTTGACCTTGTCCATCTTCCTGCCTCTTGTCCAGTTCCGCGCCAAGTGCATTGACAACCCAGGGCGCATCCGGCAACATGGCATCGGGGAACTGCAATGCGATCCGATTCCATCCATTTTGTTTGATCTCGATAGCTGTTCGGACTATCTCGTAAACCTCGTAGAGCTCATAGTCTGGTCTATGAGGTCGCTTCCCTTGCGCGATCGCAGAGGCCGGAGTTGGATCTTCGAAGATATATTCGGCTGGCGTCGAGAGGACCGGCGGGGCGCTAAGTTCGGATGTCATTATTATAAGTACCTAGGAGAGGTACCTAATAGTTTTCGCGTGAGGAATATCCAGCGTCGCTGAATCTTGAAATTTTTTGCTTTACAATTAGAAGTTTGCTGTTTGGTCGCTGGAGCTGGAGTTGGAGGGGCAATGTGGGGCACGAGGGGCTGTAAGGTTCTGTTAGCGGCACTATCGATAGCGTGGTGGGTAACCCCCAAGACTCGGGACTTGGAATATGCATCCATGGTCTCGGGTCACACGAAACATATTGCGATCCATCGAGGGAAAGAGCCCTTACATATGGATATCTAGATCCTCCGTCAGATTCTCTATTAGTGCAGGGCTGACAGGGTCAGGGTCGCTTCTCTAGCCTACTGGATACATTTAGGAGCTAATTTATCACGCATGATGTCCTTACTTCGACTTCAAATTCCCCTGACATGGAGTCCTTAGGGATTTCTATGAGCGATATATATATACAGGTAGGTAAGGGAGTAATATTCATTAATAATATCCAATATAGATCAAGAAGCATTCGGTATTTGCATGATGCGAGGATGAATAGGTAGGATGAGGTTAAAGGATGCGAATGCGATGCAAGACGTAAAGAAACCAGAATGCAGGAGCATGTCTCATGAATACGACCCCTAATGCAGAATTATAACATCCTACAACACCGTCCCACCTATATTTACCAAACCTGAAGCCTGTCAATATACCCAATACAGATTTATACAATCATCCCTCAAATCCTCAAAAAATGAATTAGATAGGAACCGTAGATAGATCAGAGCTTCACTTGGCCAGCATTCAACCGGTCCCAGTCGTTCTTGTTGAACTTGACGTAGGTCCCGCTCTTGAGCCAATAAAGCTCGTCGTCGCCAATGAGTGCAGGATTTACCCCCTGTAGTCGAAGCTCATGTTTCTTTTGCTTGTTTGTGTCCGTAACTTGCGTAGTAAGCCCCTTACCAAGTCTCAGAAATATCGGGACAGCATACTTTGGTAGCTTTCTGCGTACGTGATCGGCTAGCGACTGTAGGAGGGCGTCGTCAAGTTGTCCATGAGATAGAACAAGCGCGGCGCACCCGGCTCTTCCGTCGTGGTTTGGTAGTTGCACACCGTAAACGTTGGCCTCTTGTACGGCTGGATGGGAGCCCAAAGCTTCGCTCACTTCCGTAGTTGCCACATTCTCGCTCTTCCATCGGAAAGTATCCCCCATCCGGTCGTGAAAACGCATGACGCCCTCCCGGTCCCAACTTACTAGATCACCTGACCGGAAGAAATGGTCGCCCTTCTGAAGCACATCACGCATGATCTTGCTCTCCGTCGCTTTAGGGTCGTTGTAATACCCTTGGAAGTTTCCTTCTGGTTCGCCTGGCAACTTAAATAGAAGCTCGCCGACATCGCCCCGCTTAACCCTTCGGCAGAAACCCGTCTTTGGGTCCCGTATTGGTGCGTCTGTCTCGGGATCTAGTGCTATAATAGCGGAAGATACCATAGCAACCAGCGTAAAGAGTAATCCTACATAGCCAATACCACCACTCGCAAAATCATTCCGCGTATAGTTAAATAATGCTAGAGAGCCTTCGGTTGCTCCGTAGAATTCGGCGATCCCGTCAATTCCAAACCGTTCCTTGAACTTGTTCCAAATATCCGGGCGTAAGCCGTTGCCGAATGCTAGCTTGATGTTATGTTTCTTGTCCATATTCTCCCCCGTAAATGGGTCGATCTGAGGTGGCGCTGCAAGTAAGTATCGACACGTCTCTCCAACGTATTGAATCATAGTTGCCTTGTACTGGCGAGCTTCCTTCCAGAATGTCTTTGTTGAAAACTTCTTGCCTAGCGCCAATGTAGCGCCGCTTTCTAAGCAGTGGGCCATCGCCATGATTGTAGCTGAGCTGTGATAAAGAGGCATACACTATGTTAGATATGTTAGATGATTACGGTCATAGAGAGTTATGCAGCGTGTGACATACCGTATAAAATACGTCGGACGGTTTCGTAGCTAGCCAAGAGCTGACGAATGATCCGACGACCGTCAACTTTTTCCAGGATATGATAGCGGCTTTGGGTAAACCAGTTGTACCAGAAGTATTTATGAGAATGGCCATATCCTTAGGCAGTTGACCGCTACGGAGGGAATCCGGGGGTCGTATCGCCTCGATGGCTGCGACTTCTGCCTTTAATTCATCCGTCAACAGCTCGATCCGCAAGCCCTCTAACTTCTCACGAACTCCACCGTCAACTTTGAAAGCAATTTCGGGGTCAACTAGCATTAGAACCGGCTCTGCCGTTTTGACGCAATGGACTAAAGCCTGACCAGTTAGGTTGTAGTTGATAAATGCCGGTTTCGCCCCGATAGACCATAACCCGAAACAAATAAACACAAAATAGTCCGAATTTTGAAGATTAATAGCAACAATATCTTTTGGTTTGACATCAAACTTCGTTTTGAACCAGTTGCCATACTTTAACGCTATTTCGTAAACTTGGCCAAACGTCCACGACTTATCTTGGAAGAGAATATATGGATGATTCCTCGATGATTTACTTGTCGCCTTTTGTTCTAATACGTAGAATGAACTGCAGCGATCCGTGCGCTCACGTTTGGAATTATGATATAGTGCTGGAATGGCAGCGCGGAGCAGCGTCCTGTCGTACCAGAACCCAGTCTTGACGTTAAGATAGGCAAGCCCAGCAGCCGCCGCCGGCACAGCGAGCGCCAAAGGAACTAAGCTTAAAGTTAGCAATGGAGAAGATGATGATTAAATTTGAGACATATCTCGGGTCAAACAGCGTTTCACTGACGACTTCATTCGTGCATTTGCGAGGTCGTGTAACTTACTTGGCATATTACAACTTTTCGCGATTGGTTTTTGAGACAGCGTTGGTAGGATAAATTTCCTAGAACGGCATAATAGCCAAGTTTAGAAGTGGGAAGAAATTCTCAATAAATATCAAAATATTTGTCAGATAACTATTATAATAACACAAGATAAATAAACGACGAGTAACCCTTGAGTAGAACACACGCGTGAGATGAATATGAATATGCCACCTATGTATGACTGGAGACGAGGAAAAGAAAACTCATCCACGATAGCAAAGGGGACAATATGTACGAAGTAATAAACTTAAATAAAATAAAATAGCATGGGGCGCGTTTTAGATGGTAGTTTCTAAGACGCTATATCCCTCGGTGGGCCGCGTGGGTTCCTTTCGAGACGGGATCCCGCAGACCAATAATCCTTGATCCGCATCATAAACTTACCTACCTCGCATGCCGGATATCTAAGCCCTTGGGGCCGAAGGAAAGGGATGACGACGTACGGGATACCCATCACGAGAGAATAACCTATCGAAAGCCATTGGGTTATTTTCTCAAGCCCAGACGTTAGGCTCGGACGGCGTCGAATTAGCCCCGGATACCCGAAAGCCGTACTGACTAGGTAGGTATATTATATGTATGTATGTATGTGTAAGGCATGTAGAGATTCATCAACATTGGTTAATCCGTGAACTGCCCCTCGGCGTTTTGTAGTTGATTTTCCTGTTTGATTTCCTAATTGTGTCTTAAGCCTCGGCTTGCAACGTACTTGAGTGACACAGAGTAGCCTGGAGGTTGCCTTGTCCAAGTAGCGAAAGCGATTTGAGTGTAAAGCACCAATGACGTCGAGAGTCTCAATGGGGTTTATCAGGACATGATGCATATACGTCTTATCAGATGATGATTTGTTGTCCCTGCTGCGCTGATGGGTGTGAAGCAAGCGGTTACGGCCAAGGGTCCGGGGGAGGTCAAAGAGACACATCCATCCATCACGGTCGCATTCGGATTCGAAAGTTCCATATTCTTCATACAAGCCACCAACAATACGTACTTGCGTTTCTGCGTTTCCGCGAGACCGCGAGGCTTAAAAGCCACAGTTCGGCTATTAGACGTCAGCGTTGGTCCTATCAGTCGCTACCAATCAAATATCCGAGCGGCTCAGACAGATTGTAGTTGCCTGTACTTCGTAAATCACACCAGATATGTATTTGTTGAGCCATGGTGTATGTACTATTGAATTTTACGCGAGGTGAACTTGGTGATAAATATGAATGTACGAACATCGAATGTTGAATTTAGTAAGAATTAAGACAAACATTACCTTTATTTTGGGTTCGCCTCGCCTCAGATCCCTTACTTGCCTTCAGGGCTGTATTGTACAACACGGCTTGTACCTTCTTAATAGATTGATTGATCATTGATCTCATGGTCAAAATTGAAATAACCAATTAAAATTTGTCCCCAGCTCGCACAGCATTAGCGCTCTAGCGCTAGTGGCTAGTGGCACCGTCGCATCATGGAGCATTAGAGACGACAGGTGTGACCCGCCTGCTAGAACCAAACAGAGTAACGGGAAAGTAGCACCGAGAAAGCTTCGGTCTTCTCTTTTTCCCAAGTGTCCCAAAGAATCAATTGATAGTATGGAGAACCTTGTAACCTTGTAACTTTACACATGACAACAATTGCGACAAATCCAACGACGCAATCGATCACGAGCCATGCTTTCTATGAGGTAGTCCCGCCATCCCGCCTAATATAGCCATGTCTTCTACTTCGGTCTCCGAACCCCGACATGACACCGTTGCATCTAGAGGCCAACAATCACCTGCAGGCGCCGGTAGTGCTACCGATGCCGGTAACACTCGCGATGGTGACAGCAGCTCCAAGAAGACGTTAACGCCTAAACCACCACCCCCCGAGAAGGCAGAAGATATCCAAAGACGATCTTACATCGTCGCCTCGTTTTGGTTTGTCGTACTATTCTTCGGACTACCAATATGGTGGAAGACCACTACGATATACCGGGCAGATCTGCCCCTGAGCCAGATGATGGACTGGGCTGACGGCAGGGTTAGTATACCGCCATCTCTTTCCATACGTATATCCAATGGTCTGTCATTAACAACCTCTCTTTTTATCTAGGCCTGCAATCCAGTATTTCCCATAAGAATTGCCATTGATGCGCCGACTCTACGAAACGAAGAGACTGAGAACCTCGTGCGCATTACACAACAAGCTTTAGACACTCCGACCGACGATTTCAAAGGCCATCATCTACAGCTTGAAGTATCGGAACCGGCTACTGCAAATCGTGCTCGTGATCTAGCACGTAATTCGAATGTCGCCCTCACAATACGATTAAGTCCCGGCGATGTTGCTACATCATCATTCGATTCACAACTACCCATTCTTGATGTCGCATACCCCCCAAACTCGATACCAGCACCGAATGCTGCCTCTTCTGGCCTCGCGACATATCTGGCAGCACAGCTCAGAGATGCCTTCTCTGAAGAACGAGATGTTATGTCATATCTCCTCTCGACGTCTTCTATGCCTTTCGAGCAACGACCTCCGGGATCCTCTCAAGATTTAAGTGATTCCCTCTCGAAGCGAATGACGAGATCAGTAAAATATTCTCGAACTTATCATCTTACATTCTCATTGTTTACCAGTGGGCCAATTCCGAGCAGCTGGGACATCGAATCCGCCATAGACGAATACATGAAACCGATACTGGATATGCTTGGACCTATCCACAACTTCACCATCGATACTCAAGTACAGCTGTACGCTAACCCTGGCGTTCAGTCGCAAATGCTAAGCAAGGAAGACCTATCTTCATTCATAAACGCTGCTGAATGGCCTTTGTCGCCCTCTATAGGGGGTGCGCCAACCGTCAACTTCGTCGTGTACATTGGCAACCAGACTATCGGTACCGCCTCGGAAACAGGTACTTCCCAGTCCTGGCTTATACCTCAGTGGGGATCCGTATATCTCTTGCCACCCCCCTCCGCCGATCACGTCTCTTCAGAAATACTAAAACAGCCGATCCTAACATTTACTTCCCATCTACTGTCACTCATCGGTACCCCGCAATCGGGACCACTGCCGATGCGTCTTTCGACGCTAACCCGCATTCGAACCGCCGACTTGCTTCTACGAGCCTCCTCCTCTCTAGGATCATTAGCTCGCCTCTCATTGGCACTACCAAGCATATCCATCCCCTCTAGCGTTGCCGATGGGGTAGCCAAATCTATGCATCATCTCCAACTTGCGTGTTCCAACCTTGGCGGAACCAGTGGACTCGAAAATGCACGAATCGCCGATGTAGAAGCGGAACGGGCCTTTTTTGAGAAGAGTATGGTTGGCCAACTCTATTTCCCTGACGAACACAAGATTGCCGTTTATCTACCTCTTCTAGGACCTGTCGGAGTACCACTGGTTATTGGCCTGTTGAATCAGATTAAAGCCTGGAAGAAGGCAAGAAAAGAGAAGATTAAGGAGACTTGAATGAGCAAGGTCACGTTTAAAATCAGAATTCATCAAAATTTTGGTAGGGCGGGTATTTTTGTGACGAGCCAGCATTCATACGCCCCCCTCACTTGAGCGCTAATCGGAGTTATGAGGAGGTAGTCTTATATCCCTACCCACCCATACTCTCTTGCTTGTTATCTGACAACCCCTACCTAGGTACCTACCTAGGTACGTAATCCTAAGCAGAGACAGGGACACATTCCCGGCTACAGGTTCCGGATAGTTCGAAAGCATGGGACGTAATGAACCATAACGTCGATGCTCTACATAGGTGTATATAGATATTCATCACCAATCAGATTATCGCCTTTGTACCTATGCTGAATGAAATCCTTTGGCTATTACTTCACGCCCCCAACGAGCTTTTGGGTCCGCCTCCCCAATGCGTATACGTGTTCTTCATCCCGCCCTTCATGTGCATTATGAAGTTCCAACCTAGCTAGGATTTCGTGTCTATCACTTTCGAATCGGGACGGCGGTTAGCAACTCATCAGCTGCTCCTTGTTATTCGTTTCTGCTCTAGCCAGCTCCTCCCCAGCACGTGCCTTTGTCTTTCTCGTACTTATTTCGATTTTAAACCTATGGTATTATTTCCGAGTAGGTAAGCTGGTAAGCTGTCAGCCATCAAATCTCGGGAGCATCACACGATTTACACACCTCGGCACATTGAGAAGTTAGTAGTTACAGTAGTAACTCTGGGAACTGAAGCTTGATGTAACCCTGAGCTCACACCCTAGATTATATATCCTGCATTATCCCGTATATACGTACCGCCAGACCTACTCGGCTCCCTTTCCACCCGCTCACTGATCGTCTTCAAATAAAGGAACGACCGGATAGTTACCTAGATAGAGCAAAATATCTTCTAGGATGAACTTCTCTGTTCCCGACTTCAATGCCGCGGCGGCCATGATGCCGCCACGGTCATTGTCGAAAATCCTACTATCGGCACCATGGAAGCAGATTGTCTTCCCCGCAGCTTTGCTATATATCTGTGTATGCCGGGTGTTCCGCTTCAGTCGCGAAAATGGTCTCCGGCGTAGACTCGGCTACCCTGACCGAGCATCGCTCGCGAAAATGACCGTCGTCGATGCTCAACAGATTATCAAGTTTTTGAACGTGTGGGAGACACCCCTATTCCAGTTCTTAGCTCTAGAGTTTGGGTTGTTCAAGGTCAGTTAAGAGACTTACTATATTTGTACAATAGCTGGGCAATTCCATCGCTAACACCTATATGTCGTACTACTTAGACGTATGGGGTTGAGAGCATAAGTCGTATACTTTTAGCGACAGGGAATTTGACAGATCCGGTCAGAAGCCCCAAAAGGTTAGTATACTTCATGTCTCCATTGTCTGCAGAACAGATGGAGCTAAGATCTAGATATCTTGTGGAGATATTCCACAAGAAGATCTATAAGATCGGCCCACTAATACCCTTTGATGGGTGGATTTTATCGAATCGTTCAAATAACCAGGATAGTGGCTAACAGTCTATAGATTCGAGGATACCGCGGTCTTGATCGGCGAGTTCATGATGAACCCGCCAACTACGGAGCGGGCTGTACAAGGTATAGCACGCATGAACTTCTTACATAGCAAGTACATCAAGGAGGGAACCATTTCGAACAACGATCTGCTATATACATTGTCCGTTTTCATAACAGAGCCAGAGCGCTTCGCCCGGTTGTATGATTGGAGACCCTTGAATGAGATGGAGTACTGTGCGCACGGTGTCTTCTGGAAAAGCGTCGGCGACGCCATGAACATCGAGTATAAGGGCTGCCTCGCTCGTGCTGAAAAGGGCTGGCATGATGGCATCGAGTTTGCTGAGGATGTTACGGCATGGGCCAAAAGCTATGAGGTCGTTGCCATGAAACCTAGTACTGTATGTGCGAAGCCGGCGAGGACGCTGATACCTATGATAACGTATTGGGTGCCGTGGTTCGCGAAGCCATTTATGACCCAGATCGTGCTGAGTCTTATGGGGGAGAGGGTGCGAGATGCTTTTATGTGAGTTGACACCTTTTATCACACCTATTCGCGTATTTGGCTTGCGTCGTTACACCCAACCAATGAATATATTGTTTCCCTTTCTAATAGTAGGTGGCCTATGGCAAGCCACTAATTTGATACAGGCTGCCTGAACCCAATATTACAGCGATTGCCATTACCCACACCCTCCTCGTAGTCCGGCGTTTTGTGGTGCGGTATCTAACACTACCACGCTTCTTCGAGCTCAAGCGACTTAACCCCCAGGATCCAAAAACTGGTCGCATGACGCAGGTTATTCCGTACGGTAATTTCCCCTTTTACATCAAACCGACACTATGGAACCGTTGGGGTCCTCTGGCATGGGCTATCTGGATGTATGGTGGTAAGGTACCGGGAGACAACCATGAGGAATACATGCCTGAGGGGTACCTGTTCTCCGACATAGGTCCTAAGAAGCGCATGGGTCAAGGTATTAAAGAGACGGAGGCTGATGCAGAGAGGATAAGGGCTAGTGGATGGAGTGGCTGTCCCTTCTAGACTGAGAAATATGAATGGTAGAATCTAGGATGTCCTACCTACTTCTATACCTACCTACCTATGTACCTAGATATCGAATGCTCTGTTTACAGCGAAAGGGACAGGTACCGGTACTGAAGGTATCATAATACTTTTTTCTACCGAGTGTAGCGGGCCATTACTTCACCGCTAGTAGGTAACTTGAAGGTACTGGTTCTTAAGAATTACACAGTATCCAATCATGTACCTAACTACCTGGTAATCAAGCATATGCTTATTGAGAATTTGAGATTAGTAACAATTTAGTTGTCATGAGATCTATCTTCACTTTTCCATTTCGTGCAACTTCTAAGCAAACATCGACGCGGTAGGTAGGAAACCGCTGGAAAAGGGCCGTGAAATTGTTACACGGCGTATCTTATAATACGGGGAGGCCGACTACCTACCAATCGACTTCTCGATGTTACTAGAACATCGAAGGTACCAGTACCTACCTAGGTACCTAGGTATCAGCCTAGGTAGGAAACGAGACTGAGAAATAATAGAATATCGTTACCTCGGTTTATTTCAAATGGGTTGTCCAAGATAGACGCTTAATGTGAGAGAGCTTGAATCTTTAACATGACATAGATATATCGCTTCTTGATAACAAGGGATCTGCGTTAATAGGTAATCTTCGATTGAAGTAGGATTCCATGAACCGGGGTTAATGAATATACAGGGTAGTAAAATAGATCTGACATAAAATACACTCGATACGTAAGCTCGGAGGAACTAAGTAAGCCGCCTCAGAAAATATATCGGGGAATTTTATGAGTTAAATGATGGGTGTGAAAATGAAACAGCCATTGACTTATCAATACACCAACATAGAAGTAGAGGTAGCAAGATGTGGAAAGTCCTGCATGTAATTACCTCACTTCTATTACCTACTAGATCAAGATTCAAGACAGTTCGGCCATTTGGGTCCACAGCCCGTAAAAAAAAACGATAGCGCGCCGACGACACGGCCCGTTCCAGAAGGAAACGGGATCCATATTTTGCCATGCTCAAACGTCGCATCCCGAAAAGAACTTGAACTGTATCTAGGAGGTACTCCACCTCGGTTAGGAATTCTTTTAGTCAATATTTACAGTCAAGATTGATAGTTGAGATGTGTTGGCCGTCTGGGCGGTAAATCTACTTAGAATTCACGAAGAGTACTTAAGTCTGACATTCTCACCCGTCCGCTTGCTCGGGTCGGCTTATTATGCATATGATATATGACAGCCATGACAGCCGATGAAGCGCTTCCACGTTCTCACCTCGACATCCCTCGATCATATTTCCTTGGTTATTTTTCTTTCATTTTAAGGTGATTCTATCATTTAATCAAACGAGAATAAGCAATGAAACATGGAAAGATAAAGGGAAAACAAGTGGTGAGATACTAGTTATTTCATGGCTTTTGTGGCTTCGCAGCGAAAATAAAATGACTGGGATTAGAACGTGGAAGCCGGTGCGGTGGCGGCTCATGCACATCAGCTTTCCCAATGAGATAGCAGATCCAAGGAAACATACAGGCGAGGAAGATCCTAGTAAGTTTCAATGCTGCAGCATGTAAAAGTTGGTATCATCCAACAATGAGCCAACAATGAGCCGGTCGTCTTCTCCAATTCAGCAGCTTTCTCGATCCCCCCCTGTTCCTTCATCAACCGCACTTCCACACTTTTATACATCATCGATGTAACATTTATTACATAGCTCTTATCTGCTTCTATACCAGTTTACATTTAACGTGCATGTCTACCCAGGACCCAGGTATTTACCTAGGTATTTTTACCGGCAGTGGCGTTTAACAAACAGGCTGGGTGTACTTCTGGTTTAGGAAGTCTGTGGCACCGAATCTAGTGAAATACATACGGTATATAAGTACCTACCAACTAGGTAGGTATTAGTTAGTAAATGCATATTAAATAAGATTTCGGAAGAGCTTTGCAAATTCCCATGACCATTAACAGCTAACCCCTCTAGTCGAAGCCATCCCCCCACAAAGATCAAATACTCCTGACTCGTCCATCTCTCCTCTCAATCTTTCTTAACCTGTTGATCTATCAACTATTTGCGCAATATAAGGAGCATATTAAAATCGATATAAGGACACTAAGGCTTGTGAATCATACTTAACTAAGTAGCTAGGTGCTAGATATGTCTGATCCGCCCTCAGTACCAGCGGCAGAAACGACAGCTTCGACCTCGACGAATGCTCCCGCACCAGGAGTTACCAATCCAAATATTCTCCCAGCGTCTCATTGGGCTACAATACCGGTATGCTAAGATAAAGTCGAGGAGTAAATCTCCTATAAATCATTTTCAGGTGTATCATTGATTAATCTCGGCTCTAGCATACAGAAGATACAGACGACGAGGATTCTTCTTACGAGGATGACAATGCCAGCTCAACCGCGTCGCTAACTTCCAGTATCCTCGAATATCGAACAGTAAACGGACGTACCTACCATAGTGAACGTGGAAATGCGCAGTCATGGTATGATTTTATTTCAGGCTCAGCCTTCTGCGGTGCTTTGTAAAACACATAGATGCTAATTCTGTGAATTCAAGGAACCCCAACGATGCTCTTCATGACGAGTCTATGGACATTCTGTAAGTCGATATATCATTGACTCCAACATTCTGGGAAATGTTGCTGAAAAATTATTAATAGTCATCACGTCTCGACTTTAATGCAACGAGGGAAGATTTACCTGGCCCCTATTAAAGATGATGTTCAGGTAAGACATCTAATTTAATAACTCCACTTTGTATTCGATTTCTAACATGGCTCAGAAAGTATTGGATGTGGGATGCGGCACAGGTGAGTCTGGCCAAACAACTAGGGCCATCCATGAGTCCAAGTTCATTTCATCTAACAAGTCTTTTTAGGGATATGGGCAATGTAACCTCCCTACCTACCATGATGGAAATCATGGTACTTGATATGGGCTGATATAATGTAGTGACTTCGCCGACTTGTTTCCGAGCGCTGAGGTCGTTGGTGTCGATATCTCACCCCAGCAGCCACAATGGATCCCACCCAACCTGAAATTTGAAGTAGACGACGTGACACAACCGTGGACATATGAACGGAACAGCTTTGACTACATACATTTACGTTGGCTCACTGGCTCCATTCCAGATTGGGACGCTCTTTATCGGGAGATCTTCGCAACACTAAAACCCGGCGGGTACTTTGAACATAAAGAATCGGCCTGTATGCTGGTGAGCGACGACGGCACAGTTCGTGAAGGGTCTGCTATAGACCAATGGGGCAAAGTGTTCACAGAAGCTGGGAAGAAGTTTGGTCGATCCTTTAGTGTTGTTGAGGACGGACTCCAAGTAGAGGCTATGAAGAAAGCGGGATTCGAAATCATACAAGAGGAGAACCTGAAGGTATGTGAAAACCCTTTGAAAATTGAGGTGTGGCAGTCAACTAAGTTATTCATCAAGACACCGCTAGGACCGTGGCCGGCGGATGAGAATGAGAAACAGATCGGGCTATATAACAGGCTAGCTATCGAGCAAGACGTTGAAGGTATGATCTTATCGATATATTTCGAAATATTTAAGCATTATATATACTTACCTCTTTTGGCCATAGGATTTTTGATGTATATGTGGACTATGGTGATGGGCTGGACCAAGGAAGAGATTCAAGTCTATGCTGCCCATCTACGGCGTGAGTTACGATCTCCGAATATCCACGCTTATTACCCCCAGAGGGTAGTCATCGGTCGAAAACCAGAGAGGTCTCCATGAGGATGTCATTAAACCAGTGCCGGATCACATTCATACCAACCTACCCCTGATCATGCTCGACAGCCTTCAGGCTATTGGCCATTGTATTGCAATCAGTGACACAAACAGTAAGCAACAAAATAATAGAAGTGGACTGATCTAAACCAATAGAATGAATGGTTTAGCACTGATGTACCGATTAGTCGGTTTGAATATAACTTTTTTTTTTTGAAGTATCACAAGTCGAACGGTGTGGACAAAGAATTCTGAGCCTCGTCTCTGTGACGTGTACCGCACCTACCAACCGAAGGATCATGCATCTTATTCCTGAGGTTAAATTTAAGCTTAAACATGATGTGACTCTATCTTAATCAGGGGATGAGATATGATTGGGAGAACATATGAAAGTTTGTGACTCAACAGTATTTTTTGTTAAAAAATGAAAGAGGCATTTATTACGAAATCAAGAAATACAATACTCTATAAACGCCTGAAGAGGTACCTACTAGGTACTGATCTTGAAGGCTGCCTGCATGATGACAGCACTTGCAGGATATTGTCACTGTACGAATTTTATGATTTGTATTTTATTTTCTCTATGCCGGTACCCCACGTGTTCAATGCTTCTTCTCCCCCTTCTCTCAAAACCGCGTAAATCATCGGTCTACAATATAGACCATTTCCTTTAAAAATTGTTCAATCCTACTGGAAAGTACGGGGAATTTAATCACAACCCGATTTTATTTCGCAATTTCGTTCCATTATAAACAGACCAACCTCACCTGGGCATGGAGCAGTCACAGAATGGCAAGGAGGGCAAGCCTGCTGAGGCAGACCAGCCATATCAACTCCAACAGATCCTGCGACATATCGACGAACTCACGGAAGAAACACTCTCATTGAATAACACCATTGTGCAATCACAGCATGCCGCTGTTCCCGACGACAGCTCTGCTAAATCCCAATCAGAACTACTTGGGAAGTTCAAAGACCTAATGGTTGCGATTCAGAGCAAGACATCCAAGGCAGTCCATGAAGTCGAAACAAAGCTAAGGCCTAATTTCCAGACCGCAAATAGCCATGACATTGCCGATGCATCATTGGAGCCCCTGGTCGGAGTTGGTGCAGAGAGTGAACTGAATCGAATACTAGGCCGCGCGCTCCTTGGTAGCAAGCAGAGCTACAAGCTTCGCAATCATATGACTGGCATTCCGAGCCCTCACCTAATCGTCAATGATGATACTACCACGCTGCCAGCTATGAACCCCGGAGATCCGTTTGTGATCCTGCAACCTACATTGCGGAACGTGTGGGTGGTTCAGCATGCCTACGCGAGACTACAGAAGTATAAGGAAAAGCTGATTAGAGAATACCTTGCCTCCACGGATCCTAGCATTGGATCAAGTCGCAAGTTCACACGCGAGTACTATGAAGACCTTAGCTTGGCCAATCTGCCCTCGAAGAACAAGCTCGGAAACTTGCTTGACGTCAAACGCTCATCGTACAATGAAACAACCCATGACATGATAGTCATCCTTCTATTCCTAAATTCCGATGGCAGTCCTCAGTACGTAGAGGCAGTAACAGAGGAGAACGTCATTCCGGATGGAGAGCTTGATAAAAGTTCTTACCTGGTGTTGCCTGTCGCCGAAGCAAGTATCAAGAAGTTGTATGACACATACAGATCTCTCCGAAAAACAACCTCATGGCAACGCCGAGCAGTTAAGGATAAGGAATTCGCCGCCAGTTTACCGGTGGATGCGATGGACGAACTAGAGAAGCAGTTCGAGAACGGCAGTAGCGAGACACCCGATCAAGAAAATGGTGGTAATAGAAAGAAACGTCGTCGGATGTTAGATGATGAATGAGTTTCGTCCGGGCGATTTAAGCTGTTAAGCACTGCCAGAGTTTGAGGGATCTAACCCTGCTAACTCTAAAGGAGTAACGCTTCAGTCCCTCCATTGACCAGTAATATGGTCTCGACAACTTAGATAGTACATAGCTCTACTTTATCAAAATTACCAATATGCAATGGAATTTCCCGTCCGCGTTTTTTGAAGCGTGGATACCCCGACACGCGTTGTTATCTCGAAGTTATTCTTTTCTCGACTTGATCGGAAATTATTACACTCAACAACGACTAAAAAAAGTGAGATAGTGCAAGGACATGGTAGCTATTGCGTCAATGGCTTGTTAGTGGGTCGGCTTGCCAAGTGCGGGTGGCTTGTTTCCTTAATGGGACAGCCATATGATATCGCAAACACCCCTGATCTCGCGAAAAATCACCTTGATGTGTACGAAGGATTTAGAGAAGTTGCCCATCATGCTCTCAGCTTCCGGGATATGACTGCCTCGTGCGGGAAGCGGGGCATGAACGAAGGTTATCCCCGGGATAACGGGATAATATTTGTAGAGTACGAAGAGGAAAGTACGAAGCGAAAGACTGACTGTCGCAGCGTAGAACACGGGGTAAGCACGACATTGAGAAACCGAACGTGGACGGCAATTAAATGCGCGTCGGGGGAGGTGCGGGGTTCTCGAGAGGCAGTTGCATTCTGGGTACCAAGTATAGGCCTAAAGGGCAAGAAAGAAAGCAAACAAGGAATAAAATTAGGAATACTAGAAAGAACATATTTTACCTTCTAGAAATTTAGGGATCTCAGCCTCTCCTCAATTTCGAGGATCGCGTTGCCCTACCTGGGTTTCTCTCGGTCAAGGACTGGGCTAATGCAATCTAGCTGACCAGGTTGCAATCCTTGGTCAGATAACGCATCACCGAGAGTCTTACAAATATAAAGACCCCGGGACTGCAGTTTAATTACTGGGTGTCTTTGTTAGGTATTGTCGGCATTCCGTTACACAGGCAGAATACCCCATGCCACCAGCGCCATGCCGTCCTTCACACATATCGCAGCGGCTGCTTTGCAGCTAAGCTCCTTGATACGCCCCAGCTTCGCTGTACCAACGAAAGGAGAACCCAAGCTAGGCGCCGTCGCATCTGAAAATGCCATTTGTTCCAAGATCGGAACCGATCTACTCAAGACTGGTGGAAATGCGGCCGATGCTTTGGTTGGCACTGTACTATGTGTCGGAGTTACTGGCATGTATCACAGCGGCATTGGTGGTGGTGGCTTCATGCTTGTGCGTGGCTGCGACGGGAAGTACGAATTTATCGATTTCCGAGAGACCGCCCCGGCTGCTGCGTTCGAGGAGATGTATAATAACAACACCAATCTAAGCTTATACGGTGGTTTGGCAAGGTAAATAAATTGGTCGAATCAGACACCTGATAATGGAGCGGATGGCTAACGACGCCGCAGTGGTGTTCCCGGAGAGCTTCGAGGGTTGGAATATCTGCACAAAAACTATGGGAAATTGCCATGGGCTAAGGTGGTAACGCCGGCTGTGAAGGTTGCTCGAGAGGGCTTCGTGGTGTCGGAAGATCTCGTCCGTTACATGAATTCTGTAACGCCAAATGCTAATTTCCTCACGAATGATCCGGCGTGGGCAATTGACTTTGCTCCGAACGGCACCAGAGTCCAACTTGGCGAGACGATGACGCGAAAACGGTACGCCGACACGTTAGAGACCATCGCCAAAGAGGGCGCAGATGCTTTTTACACTGGTGCCATTGCTCAGGCAACCATCGCTGCGTTATCAAAGGCCAACGGAACGATGACCCTTGAAGACCTGAAAAACTATACGGTCGCTATCCGACAGCCTGCTAAGATCAACTATAGAGGCTACAAGCTTACAAGTGTTAGTGCGCCATCAAGTGGCGCAGTGGCACTTAGTGCTCTGAAAATCGTCGAAGGTTATGAAGGATTCGGCGATCCTGCCCAGATCAATTTAACGGCTCACAGGCTAGACGAGGCCATGAAGTTTGCGTACGGACAACGAGCCAAACTCGGCGACCCCTCCTTCGTTGATGGTCTCGAAAAATACCAGACTGAAATGGTCTCCGAAGCGACTGCCGCTGAAGTCCGCTCGAAGATTTTCGATTTTTCTACGCAGAGCAATATATCGTATTACGATCCAGAAGGTCTAGAGAGTCTCGAAACTCCGGGCACCAGTCACATCGTTGCTGCTGATCACACTGGGCTGGCTATTAGCATTACAACGACAGTTAACTTACTATTCGGATCCCAGCTTATCGTCCCCGAGACAGGCGTTATCATGAATGATGAGATGAACGACTTCTCCATCCCGAATTCCTCCAACGCATTCGGTTATATACCAAGCCCGGAGAATTACATCCGTCCAGGCAAGCGCCCGTTGTCTTCAATCTCGGGAACCATTGTCGAGTCAGCCGACGGGAAACTGTACTTCGTCATCGGATCTGCCGGTGGTAGCCGTATCATTACGGCGACTATCCATAACATCCACCACGTCCTTGATCAGAACTTAACGACAGCTGAGGCCCTCGCGCAACCGCGATTCCACGACCAGCTTGTCCCCACCCAAGTTTCCTTCGAGTATGCGTATGACAACAGCACTGTCGCATACCTGAAGTCTTTGGGACACAATGTCACTTGGGTCGCACCCGGTGGAAGTACTGCCCAAGGTTTGCGACTACTACCTAACGGGACGTTTGAAGCGGCTGGAGAGCCGCGACAACGCAACTCAGGTGGCTTCGCCGTATGATAAGTTTTTCGTACCAACTAAAAACTTCATTAGCGATCTTCTCGTAGGATATAAAGCGATTCTAGGTTACTTACCTTTTATATAACAACTTAATCCAATTGATTAATACTTTACCTACCTACCATCAATCCAACACCAAGAAAGTTCGAATGATTATTTCACATCTCTGACAGTTAACAGGACATGATGCACCAATAGGTATAGATATAAACTAATAGAAGCCGAGCAGTAAGCCCCAATTCCACCAAATCTACGTTAACCCATAATACGCAGCAAACGGATCTTCCGTTTGATTCAATGCATTCCACTCCAACTGCACGCGCATACTCTCGCTCTCATTCTTCCCATACAAATGCTCGATCCAGCTCAACGTCATATCCGTCCCGGCACTAACCCCAGACGACGTCCATACGTTCCCATCCACAACCCACCGCGCCTTAGCGATCCAATTCACATCCTCGGCATGCTCAACCGATTTCACCCAGTTGAACGCGGCCTTATTTGTCGTCGCGTTGCGGCCTGCGATTTTCCCCGTGCGCGCGAGCAGAGACGCGCCCGTGCACACCGTCATCATGTACGCGAGGCCCGGGTCGTCGAAGCGGGAGCTAAGCCAATCCACGTGTGCCCGCGTGCCGTTGACATCGCGGACCCCGGCGCCCCCGGGGACGATTATCACGTCGAGGGGAGGCGCGGTGGCGAAGGTATGCGTGGGCAGCACAAATTGTGTGAAGTTCGGCGACGCGGACGAGGCTAGCATCCCTCCCGCTACTCCGTTAACGATGGTGCGGTCGATGCTCACGGGGGAGAGGTCATTTGATATGAGCGAGAGCGTCATGTTATGTTTAATAGAGACGAGATTGAGCACGTTCAGAGGCCCGAAGACGTCTAGGGCCGTGAAGGCCGGGAAGAGCATGTACCCGATGCGGAGGGGGGCTGTGATGTTCACCATGATTGACGAGTTGGCTTGGATGCGAGATGAGGTGAGTTGAGGTGGAAACTACCTTGTTACACGATAACTACGGCATCCCTTGCAATATATATGTACGCGCGCGAACACTAGTGTTGCTCATCGCGGTTACCCAATGCTTTGGTCGTTAGGTAATGTGAGGCGTCAAGGGTGTTTATCTGATGTTCCTGCAGGGTTCGTATGTCGAATCCTGCTCCTTCGCCAATCACTTTTTTATATAATTTGAGCAAGTATTTTCTTGTTTAGGTAGCTCTTTACTGCGGATAGGATGGTATTAATTAGCTAATCAATTGCCCTAGATACTAACCATGTTCAATTTCAAGTAGGGACGATCTGGGCTGACTAGAAGGTGCCATAACAGTGATTGTCCAGTTTCAAGGTTACCAGGATAACGAAACAACGAAACAGTGTCCAAATCAACTATCGTACTAACATATAAGAATCTAGAATTCAAATGCATATAGTATGTTAATTCACAACCTCTTTCAAAATATTTTCTCTGAAAAATACCTAACCTGGAACATCACCATCAATGCCAAAGCAGAATAAGCTAGTTCTAAGCTTACGACGTTTGGACGAGCACTCCTACAGTCTAGGGTTTATGAAACATTCTCATCTTGGCCGCCCCAACATTGCCAACATCTTTTCCGCGATGCGCGAAGCCTACCTGTGAAAAGGGGTAGGCTGACCAACCGAGAAACTCAGTAGCCTCTAGGTACCTAATTGTTCCTAATATAGGAGGTGCTTAGTACCTACTTGTGGAGGACGTGATTGAAAATTGAAAATACCTTGATCAATCCAGTTCAATGTCATACTTTACGCACTTATGCAGGACTAACAGAATCAGGGTTGTTTCTTCCAAAATGAGGTGAAGTTCTAGATTCGAACTGTTGATTGATATATCGTGTTTATGTAGGTAGTCAGTATCCCGATCACTATCAATGCATCCGGTGGTCGCAACAGGTATCACAAGCTACCTATTGTTGGCGACGAATTGGAGTCGGAGTTGGAGAGAAACCTTTATTCATAAAATACCTACTGTTAATAGTATACCCAGGTCCTGGCTATTGTGGTTGCTAAGCAGATGAATGAATCCGAACTTGATCCCGACAAGATACGACTTAAGTAAACATGTTCAAACTCTCTTCTAGAAATGCATTCTTTCATAACATTCGAATGACCCCTCTGAAGGGACTGTCTTCATCATTCTTCGTGGCGATTAGCCCCTCACGAAATCGGATTCCCCTCACAAGCACACGTCAAATACATTATGCGGCTCGGAATACCACGCTTCCCCAACTACGGGGTCAGAGGACTTCAATCCTTCTTCTCACAAAAAGATCGTTTGCTATAGAGAGAAGAACATGTAACTGAGCCCAAGAGAATGCTCATCTCATTCGAATCCTGCTAACGCCAACTAGTGGCAGACGACATTCCCCCAAGGCCATCGAGGTCTCTTGAGGGGAAAGTCGCCATTGTGGCTGGAGCAGGATGTGAAGGCGACGGCCTCGGTAACGGCCGAGCTATCTCGATCCTGTTAGCCGAAGACGGCGCTTCAGTGATTTGTGCCGACCTGAATCCCACATGGGCTGAGAATACTAGTTCCATGATCCGCTCAGAAGGCAAAGGGGACAGTATCAGCTGCCAGGCAGATGTCACGAAACCTACTGACTGCCAGAATGTGGTTGATGCGGCACTATCCAAGTTTGGCCGAATCGATATCCTCGTTAACAATGTAGGAATTATGGGCGCTAGGGGCACAGCAACGGAGTTCGACTTGGATCAATGGCGTCGTGGGCTCGAAATCAACGTCACGAGTATGGCGAATATGGTTAAGGTTGTCGTCCCTGAGATGCGCAAGAACGACGAGTCTTTAGGTCAGATTCGTGGAAGTATTGTCAACATGGGCTCGGTTGCTGGATTAGTAGGGGGCACTCCCCATTTGCTGTACCCAACGAGCAAAGGGGCCGTTCTGAATATGACCCGTGCAATGGCGGCACATCATGCATCTGATGGTATTCGCGTAAATTGCGTTTGTCCGGGTAGGTGAACGCCCGCTAACAATTACCCCTTTATAAATGTGGCTACTGTTCTAGTGGCTAATCTGAATAGGTATGCTCTACACGCCCATGATGTATTCGAAAGGCATGAGTCCGGAGACTCGGGCAGCGAGAAGAAACCGAAGTCTCTTGCGAACGGAAGGTAACGCATGGGACTGTGCAACGGCTGTTAGGTTTCTAGCTAGCGAGCAGGCTCGTTGGATCACGGGTATGGTTCTCACAGTCGACGCCGGTGCTACTGCCGTATCAGCCATCGAGCTTGTGTGAAAGGTGTTATCGTTTTTTTTTCTGGGTTGAAATTATTGTAACCCCTTAACTGGTATATCGTCTACTTCGATAGATTATCGCCGACTCGGTACGTGATCCAGTATAAGAAGTATGGATGGATGCAAAACTGACGCACAATTACTCGGCGCGTTTGCTATTCCCCGTAATTCCCACCGCGTAATCCGGTAGCGGACTACCCATCGCGTCACCGCCTGAATATTCTGTGATGCATACCCGGAGACACCCCGCTCAGATGCTTTTCAAGCAACGAAATCGGAATATAGAATTTTCATTGACCAATTCGAACCAGGCATCAGAAACTCATACGTATCTCTTAAAACCCCCCTCGAAACTGTCTCGTCGAAAACCTGAATGGTCGTGAATGTTGAGCATAAATTCGTGAAATAAATCTGATCAACACTTGTTTATAATGTCTTTGCACGCCTTGATACACCACGAACTAACACCGGGCACTAGCTCCCTCGCAGGGCCGTCCGCAATTAGTCCAGAGAATGTAATTTCTAGGGTATCAGAAGAGAAGGTCGATCGTACAATTTATAATGTCGAGCTTCAGACACCTCAGCCTCCGATACCATCGCCCGAAGAGATCCAAAGAGTATTCGATGTTGCTCCATTGAATGTTACCAACAAACGCCGCCGGCTAGCCATCACGACACTTATCGTTGCTTGTAACCTCATGCAAATGATTTGCAACATGATGGGTGTAGCCGGGGGATTGATAGTCAGCAAGCGACTCGGCGTCTCTGGTGTCCATGCTAACTGGGTTGGCGCATCTTACCCGTACGTAAAACCTTTACTCGATAGTAGTACATACCTACCTATCTAGTAGTAGTCGTTGACATGTAAAAGTCTTACGCAAGGAACCTTCGTTCTCATCAGCGGCCGCTTCGGTGCCGTGTACGGACATAAAAATATGCTGCTTGTAGGGAGTCTCATCCTCATCGTATTTACATTAGTATGCGGATTCAGCAACAATTTCGTAGCCTTCAACGTCATGCGTGCGATGTCCGGCATTGGAGGCGCTTTCATTATGCCGAACGCCGTCGCCATGATCGGGATTACCAATCCGCCCGGCTTCGCAAGGAACCTAAGCTTAGCCTTCTTCGGCGCGTCTGCCCCTATAGGCGGCTGGTTAGGTGCCCTCGTCACTGGAGGGTTTCTCGAGAGCACGCCCTTCGCTTGGCTGTTCGTATTCATGTAAGTGCATCACATAGGAGAGAGATCGACCGGCCACTGATGTCTATTGATAGTGCAACTATGAGCTTGATAGTCACGGTAGCATTGTGGGCGCTTCTCCCGCGCGAAGTGCCAGTAGACCCCAAAGGGAAGATTGACTGGATCGGCTCTTTTCTTGCCCTCGGCGGTTTGATCGTCTTCAACGTCGTATGGAAGTGAGCGACCCAACTCGATATATGTGACCATAATTAACCTAATCATCTTCCGTAGTCAAGCGCCTGCCGTTGGATGGTCGAGCCCTATGGTCATAGCCACACTTATCGTCTCCGTCTCTCTGTTCGTCGGATATTACATCTGGGAACACTATTTCGCATCGGATCCAATCATGCCACTAAGCATCTTCAAAGCTCCGTCCTTTACGCCGTTGATATTTGTAGTGTTATTAAACTTTATGGCTGCGGGTAGCTTGTTCTGGTATACCGTCCTCTGGCTACAGGAGATTCGTCATTGGACGCCGATGCAATTCGCGGTAGGTTGGACACCCTTCGGTCTCGGTGGTGCTGCAGCTACGTTTCTTGCTGCCTATTTGATCCCGCGGGTACCGGCACAATGGATCTTGGCTATGGGCTCCTCTTGTATGTTGGTCGCTAGCATTCTCATTGCCACAATGCCGGAGCAACAAACCTATTGGTCCCAAGTTTTCCCGAGCACTATTATGTCCGCCTTGTCGCCCGACTTGACCTATACCGCTGCTCAAATTATTGCCAGCAACTCGGTCAGTCGGAAGCAACAAGGCGTCGCGGGGTCTCTGATAGGATCTTTGCTTCTGTATGGCACCAGTCTCGGTCTCGGGTTCGCATCGACCGTCGAGGCAGAGGTGGGCAAGGGTCGTGACAAGGTGGTAGGGTATCGAGGAGCATTGTATTTCACCGTAGCCCTCTGCGCCGCTTCGCTTATCCTAGATATATGCTTTGTAAGATTAGTCCAGGACAACCGCGAAGGTTGGGAGGATCCAGCGGACGCAGATCCAGCTGATGAGGTCATAGCGCCAGTGGCAACGGGAACGGAGCTGCGAGAATTGCAGCCACATCTAGAACAGCGCTGAAATGGGCGTCGAGCCACCCCCTGAATTGAGAGACAAGCCAAAATTCTTTTTTGTTATTTACAATTTTACATAGGAAGATGTCAGATTGTATTCTATAACCTCGATAACTACACTATTTTACCTACTCCATAGTCATTTTTATTTCGTCTCGTCGACGATAATGAATTTCTTAACACCGCTAACTCAGCGAGCTGTACCACATGCAGATGTCCGCGATGGCGTCACAAATGAGCATATTCCACGCATTCTGTTAAAGCATATGAAAAGTCTATTAATGTTTCTCCGATATGGACTAGTCTAAATTTCCATATGAATTTTGGCTGAGAAGCGTTTGAATTGAAGAATATGTGCGTGCCCCTCGAACCTCGATTATGTCCAACATATACGACTATAGTTATACAAGTCACCGACTTCAATAGCCACTAGCAAGTGCTTAATGGAAAGGACAGCGGGCAGCTGAACGCTTGCTGACTTTGCCGGGCGATTGAGGGAAATGTTGGGCGTCGACGATCTCGACCATCATATCGCTAAGGTCGTCTGCTACAAAAGTTTCCTTAGGCTTCGCAAATCCTAGATCATAAGGCAAGCGCTCGTTTACTAATGATCACGAATTGTTAGTTTCCATGTGGATTTAGAGCTCTAATTTGGAGTCTTACCGAAAAGATATTCTACCCAGCTCTTAGGAACTGTGCCAGACTTCTTATCTCCGAGTATACCGATGTAAGCAGCCGTTTCGCCAATGCTGAAAGCGGAGCCCAGGTCGGATAACGAATATTCAGGATTCGTAAGGTTAGAAGTCATAAGACGAGCCACACGAGCATTGGCTGCCATTTGTATGGTAATCGTGTCCCCGGTCCAGTACGACTTTGTTTGGTTAAAGACGGCCTCATTAAAGACATCGGCAGGTCCAAAATAAGAGTCTTGACGGCTGCGAATTTTAATGTTAGTGGACTGGCGGTTGCATAGCACGTATTAATATCAACTAACCTCAAGCTACCATCGTGTTCTAAAATGTTGTGGCGACTAAGATGATCCAAGTCGAAATACGTTGAATTAGGTGTTGGGTTAGTCGTCAACGCGAAGTTGAAAAGCTCCTCAGACAGTGGCTGGTCTATGTTCAGGGCGGTTCCAAGAGCAGATATTGTCTTGTTGACCGTGATTCCCTTGCCATCATGTGGCAAGAAACCATGATTAGCTAAGGTGTTCAGCATAGGGCATGGTGCGCGAACTGTGAAATATTAGCTTTGCTTTAGAACAAGTTATTTCGAAGTTATACCAGCATACCATCGTTGGGACCAGGAGCTACCCATGCGGCAGTACTTGAAGGTGCCGAATAGACTGTCGACGAGCCGAAGGCTACGACGATGGGAAGATACACAGACTTCATTTTCAACTATTTTCGGACGAAATTGTCTAGTAGCTTGCAGTGAGACGAGTAAACAAGTGTAACGTCTAGATACGATACCTATCTTCGGCAGCAAGTATATATATCAGTCTCTATAGAATGAGCCGGCCTTGAATTAGACCGGCTGTCATCTGAATCACTCGGGCTAATGTTGACGGGATAATACTTCAGTCATCTTGAAGTGAATCGCCGCGTCATTGTCATAAGGTAAAAGCCACGGTGCTATGCATAATACCACCTCTAAATGCACCATCCGTCTGGCACAGTCCAATGCGGGCGATAAGTCATCAGGGGTACCCCAGACGGCGAAGCCTACCGGAATTCGAATCGAACAACTGAGCCTCGAAATCCCCACCAAGTGCGAGCCTGCCAGTGATGAACAGGAATCGGCCTTCTTTACAAGAGACCAGGGCGACGCGACCTGCAGTGCCGAACATGTGGCGAAGTAATCATCGTGAGTCTGATAGGTCGGTTGAAGGATGAATTGCCGAAGAAATACCATAAGGAAATATGGCCCTATTCCGATTGGATCGAGAAATCCTTCGACTGATTCCTTGAAACTTCTTAGCGAATGACCATGAACTCATTAGAAATACGGATCGAGCTCAGACATGCGGAAGAAACGACCAAGGATTCTCGGAGAGCGTGAAAGCCGAAATCTCCGTATGTTCAGTGCGGCTGAATTAACCACCAGCAACAACTATTAGGTAGCAGGATATCTTTAACCATTTCGGTTCCGATCGGGTAACATCTTAAGCTTATCGTCGTAACGGCTTCGATTGCCGGCTTATTTCCTAACTTAATCTATGAGTTGTCATGCTCGTGTTCTCACATAGATTCCTTCGCAGCAAAATCCCAAACAAAAGTACGGTCCGGCTTAGCTCTTACACGTTCTCATCATTTCCTCTGCGCCTCCCTAGCAGCCCAGTTCAGCTGTGCTTATGGCATAACGTTGCGCAGTCGATCGCAATCTTCTCCTATAGAATTCAGCTCAGTAAATAATCGGTAATAGCGTGATGCTGTTTTGTCAACACAAACACTTCGATTTTGTTTACTACACCACAAAAGACACTTGCATTAGTTATGTAGAATCCACATTTGATCCAGTGATCATCTATTAATGATCTAACTGTTACCAGAAACATGAATCGAAATCCTTGCCTCGGCCACGTGGCAGGGGATCCTTCCTACCTTCTAGATGATTTGATTTAGCTGTTTATGTAGCTCCCTAAACGAATCGTCCTATGCGCCCTTCCTCCAATGATGAGTACGGAAGATGAGATGACTAAATCCGGATTCAAGGTTGAACCATGACTGTTTCCTGCAGCTCTCTTTCAAAAAGGACGCAGTAGTTCGCTCTTATACCTGGACCAATCTCTACGTATCTATTATCATTAAGTAGGTGCTTCAATTAGTAAAAGTCGCCCACTGAAGAAAACTCAACGAGCACTCCTCTACGAGTAACAAAGCTTTAAATACTAGGTAGGTAGGTATCCATCTCTCATGATTCATTATGATCAAAAAACTCAACTCCGAATGCATTGGGAAATAACGAGGGTCGCCAAGCTTCCACACGAGAAACATTCTTAAGCCGTATCCCGGATAAGTGTTGTGACTTCGAAACCGATCGAATAATAAGAGTGATTTCGGATGATAATGCATGGATGGTATGCCTAATTCAACTTAGACGATTGGCAACCACAACGAGTGGCTACAGTTTCATCCACAGTGTGATAAATATCTCAAATCCTACTTCTCCTTCGAAGCCTGGCGGGTTTTTACGACGCATTCATGCGTCAGCGGAGGATTACTGAGAAAGGGTTACTCCAATACCAGGTTAAACTATCCGACAAAAGCATTCAGCACCAAGAAATAGGCCATGATATCATGGTCTTGTACAATGTCCCTGACCGTGATAAGTTGGTCAAGAATAGGTAGGCACCTATATAATCGCGAGCTAAATCGTTTTTGGTATGCTACTCGTCCGTTGATTAATTGGAACTTTGTTGCACTGCCACCTACCTATACAATGGCTGCCCCTTTTTGTCTCCGACGAACTCGGTATTGTTGAAATCCATTATCAGATACCTAACCAGGAGGTATCTAGCAGCTATTACCGGAACTTGAGTATTTGCCTAACTACCTACAGAAACCACAGAAACTACAATCACTTGCTTCTTATCATGTTTGAGTAGGTAAGCTTAGATGAATTTACTAAAATGTGATATCCCTTTATACCACTAGGTAGATGAATTACCCCGAGGAGACCGCAGATATTATAACGCCACGTATACCGTTAAATCCTAACTCCGACAACATCAATAGTGATATGGAGTCAATACCCAACTCTGAGCTTTCATTGATGACGAGGCTTCTCATTAAAGTGCGGTGGGTATATTTGAAATATAGAGAAAGCTGAAGCTTTGCAGGAAAGGCAATAAATGATGGAACGAGCGACGAACATGAATCTTGGGGATATTATTTTGCTCATCATGACAGTTCAGTCTGAAAGTCAATTCAGCGATGCGTATAGGTACCGATGACAATTTCCTCCAAGCTCTATCCTTACCCGTCAAAGCTTCAATCTCGCAGGTCTACAAGTAGGTAGCGAAATAGCTGCCATCATGAATTGCGATTAAATGGCTAATTTGTCTCTATTCTCTATCTACATGGCTCTACTCTGAATGATTTTCATCGCCGTCGAAGCTCAGTCTGCCATATTTGAAGTTTGATAGCATAATCCAGCTTTTAGATAGATACGGGACAAGTAGTATCTAAAACTTCCATTCAAATATATCAAATTAAATAAGGAGTAGCTCGATTACGGATTTTCGAACATGAGATTTAACGTCGGAAAGACCACAGTTACTTCCCACGAAGATTCGTCGTGTAGATGCCTAGGTAATCCAAAGCGCAGTCCCATGCAGGTATAGCTTACCTCTTTTACCTACTAGGTACCTACCTACCTACCTACCTATTTAAGCCTTATCTTTTACTTATCACGAACATTGCTGTCGCCTTACATCCTCCTTTTCAAAGTTGTAGTGGGGTTACTAGAAATATACAAACTACAGAAGTTTACTTAGTATCCAGGGATATCACTATACAGTACTAAATATATCGGTTATAATTAACGCTATCGTCAACAAAAAGTACCCAGTAGTCCGTCCATAATGTGGATAGGGGCGAAAGTAATGCAAACTTTCCTTTTACTCCAATAATGAAAGGATACAGAAATTCGTAGTGTCATTATCTTCGGAATTAAGCCGTATTCAGGGCAATTACATAGGTAGAGGTCCATGAGACTTGTACAAAAGATCCGTTTGAATAGGTGAGTTGTGGTAGAGTTACCTACGTACTAGGTAGGTACATAATAGGTGTCTAAACGTCCCCCTATTTAAAAGATAGGTATATAAAGTTTCAAGGCTTCGCTATTCACCTCAATCCCCCATGGATAACATGGCGCCTTGCGCTGTCCTATTAATAATAGAACTGTAGCTGCTTCACACTGATAAATAGGTAGGTACCTAGCTAATCACTGTTGTATTTATTATATCTATGTACCTACCTACCTACCTAGGTAGTGCTTTTCACGATTCACTTTGTAGGTACCCAGATACTTGTCAATAAATTAAAGGATATCCAGGGAATAAATTTCGACTGCAAAGAGTCTCGAAATGGCTATTAAGATACGACATAGTAAGTACGCAAATATTGATACAGACTGTGTGTAGGTACATGACTGACAGGGCAGATAACGACGGCGACTCTGCAGATGGGCGACAGGTACCACAACTCCGTCAAGTCAGTTCATCAAAGAAGCCAAACATACTGAGAACCGACCACTTGCTATTGCTATCGTCCATTCTCCCTACTCATCTCTCTGCTAGATATCTACCATGATATCAAATTACCTCGTACATAATTCTAGGTTGGTGCTCAAAATATTCACGCATCCAAAACAACATTTTTCTCCTAACCATCTACTCATCCATTCTTCCAGTCTCTCTTTGAATCAAACGCGCGGTAAACAAACAGCTGCACCATTGATCCATTTACTACCTCAGAAAGAGCATCTTTTCTGAGAGTATGCTTCGAAGCACACTCGTCTTTTCCTTCGAATTAGTAACTTTCACTTTTTTTCACCGTTGAACCACCTCCAGCCATTCATTTCTCGGCATCACACGTTCTAATACACATACACGTACACGTCGACTGCTGGCCAATGTCAAAGGAACTTCTCCGTTATGGCAAGTACTAGACTTGATAGAGAGGGAGGGGGGTCTGTTGGCGGAGAATCTACCATCCACACTACTCACAATGAATCCAGCTCTATTGATGCAGGTACTGGTGAGGTCGAGAGCCCATACTACGAACCTTGGATCCTCACAAAGATGAAAGTCCAGAGGCTTTTCGGGGGGCCGTGGCCACATGGTCCTCTGGTTGAATTCCTAGGTCAAGGTAGCCATAACAGAGTATTCGGCGTCACATATATTGCTAAGAATCCTGGTATGTTTAACTCAGCTCCACGTTGCTGTGTTATTCGCATTCCCAAGTCGAAAGAAGTCGCACAAAACAGCGTGGCAGTCCTCAATTATCTAAAGAAAACAACTAGCTTTCCTGTCCCCAGAGTCATAGTCTACAATCCCACAACCAATAACGCGATCGGATATCCTTATGTGGTAACCACTCGAATTCAAGGTATCTCCCTAAGTGAAGCCATCAAGCGAGGTATCAACCACGAGCAGATGTTGTGCATCGCTAAGGAACTAGGCTGTTTCTACAAAGGGATGATCTCTATCAAAAGCAAACATGCAGGACTTATTCTTTCCAGCGAGGACGGACCCCTCTCAGACACCTTTGCCCGAATCCTGCCACTCGGAGCACACGAAGGTGAACCTATCAAGGAGTATGATTCTTCTTATGGCAAGACTTCATCAGGACCATTCGTGGTACATGACCCTCCTAATCTCCGATGCGCGGAGATTATGCATCGATCTATATTATCATGCAGATGGCGTGACAGCGATGAAGATCAGGGCTACGAAAGATCGTTTTGGAAGAAGATTGCGGCCATTTATGGTGAAATGGATACCGGCGGCCTGTTTTCCGGCAACGACATATGCCTCACTCATGCGACTTTGTGTGCAAGCAATATCATGGTTGACAATATCAACTCTACGATTAGTACCGTGACTGGGATTGTAGGATGGAACAAAACTCTCTTCTTGCCGCGATTCTTGGCTGCTGAGCCTCCGATGTTCCTGTGGAATCCTGTTTCACCTACTCGATGGATGTCCAGCTATGACAAGTTGGAAGCCGAACTTCAGACTTTCGGTGGTTTGACCGTAGCGCCCGCGACACCGCAGAGAGCTGAGTTAAAGCAGGCTTTCGAGAAATACGCAGGGGAGAGTTACACGTCCTTGCCTTTCACCAAGGAGGGCTTCTTGGCCGGTCGCATGTTACAAGCCACCTTCCTCGAGGCTGATGATTTCCTGTTGTTTACCGTGACACTGCAGAAATATATCGACGTATGGTATGGAAAGGGAGTCCCCTCTACGCAGACTACGAAAGGCGATGACACGGCAGACGAGGCTACGGAGGGTAAGCCTATGGGAAATAAGAAGACTATGGAGGATATCCAACAGAGAGATGGATTAACCCTTAAGACCAACGAAGCGACCGATAATGTTGCTTACGGTGAATCGACCAGCAACCCGACCAACCAGCCGATGAGCCAGCCGACCAACCAACCGACTTCAACCCCCAAGAAGATCCGTATAAAGGTTAAGCAGGGAGAAGATACAACGGAGGACGGCCAAGGAGATGGTTAGGCATTCTAGCAATGCAAAATCATAAGTAGCAATCGACCAGCCAGCAACACTACCAGGAGAGAATGATCGAAATTCGGCACGAACAACTTAACTAATCACAACGAAGTAAGTACTACTATCAATTGATCAACCACGAAACTCTAGAAAATTGCATTCTAAATGATGTCAAGATCGCTATCGCCTATAACTCGGATGGCCCTCGAAAGACGCGTCTGTGGAACTCTTTAATCCGCCTAGGATCCTTAAAATTCTCGCATGACCCGATAGCAAAAGAACCGAAGATATTGATGGAAATGTTGGTGGTGAAAGAAGCACGAGTACCTAGGCAGTGTGGAGTGGCCGTATGGGTCGGAAAGCAAGGGGTTGAGGAAGGACTGTGACTTTGCAAAACTTTTTTGGAAGATGGTGACGAAAAAAAAAGGGGTGAAGGGAAAGGAACTGTAATTCGTCTGAAGGAGCATTTGGCTCCTAGGTAGGTAGGATGATTTATCCTATCGAATGACAAATGGTATAACATCCACATGATACTTGAGGTATCCGTCTGATAATTTAATCGTGTTAGCTGCAGACAGCTTAAAAACCATCGGTACAGTATCGTTGCGGCGCCAATACCCCATGCATCGTGCCATGGATGTGATAGTGAGGTGGGTATGCAACCCATGATTCAACAGCTGGGGAATATTTGGAGAATGCCTGACTGCAACTGTGTATTTTCATTTTCTCCCAATTCTCCAAATCCCAATTCCCCAATGGAACATCGTCAATTCGTGATAAATGATTATCTTCGAATTGGCCAACCAAGATATCAGCGCTCCGTTGATGGCCCGCGATGGGTTTCATTTTCCTGTCAAACACTCAACTTCCCAGCCATTCACGACCAAATTTCTGACGTGTGAAGCGGGAACCATCCACCGTAACCGTATCTCTAATGCAGGGTGGACTGATAGAACGTCCGGCTAGCCTCCGATGCCAGTCGAACTCTGCTCCACCAGAAGTCCGATCGCGAACCCAAGAAAAAAAAAGTTAAAAGACCCCATAAAAACCCAATGGTGTTGCCACCGAGCGAGATAAAAAACCGACCTAGGTACGCGAAGGTCAAGTTAGTCTAAAGGAACTAGTTCTCTGTTAAATACCTAGGTGAGAAGAGGTGAGCAGAAAACAACCTACCTATAAGGTATACCAAAACCATGGAGCACGACCCAGCGCGCTCCCTCGCAGACGTGGGCTTCTACCCCGAATCTGCCCCAGAAACCCCATACCTAGGCCTAGACACCAGCGCCTTCCCCTCAGGCGTCGCCTCCCCAGACCCGCTCCTAACCCCGTCCAACAACAACAATGACTATTTCCCACTGGACCGCACGGCGCTGGCCCAAGCCCTCGGTCAGAACCGGGACAGCAGCAGCCAGCTCTCGATCCGGATGCAGACGCGGGACATCACGGACCGCACTCACCACGACGATGACGATGACGAGGTGCTCCCGGACTTAATGCTAGAACTCAGCGCTATTCGAAGCCGGACCCGCAGCGCCGTCGCCGCAGGCCGGATCCCCGACATAGAATCCGGGAGTAGCACCCCGGTGCGCACAAAGGGTCGTTCACAAGGCGTACCGCCCGAACTGCCCAATTTCGCCGCGGAGGTAATCTTCGTGCTGGTATGCACGGCAGGCCAATTCATCTTCGCGCTGACGTACGGACACGCCAACGTAGCGCAGTTGCAGCTACGCACCGCTTTGGGACTGCCCGCAACGCAGATCCCGTGGGTTTTAGGGTCAGGGCTGTTAGCCAGTGGACTGTCAGTGATAGTCGCGGGGTCGTTGGCGGATTTAGCAGCGCCGAAGCCGTTGATGGTGGGCGCGTTTATTTGGAGCGCTGTGTGGCATGCGGTTGCCGCTGCGGCGCTTTCGCCTAGGCTTAAGGTGCTGTTTTTTGTTGCGCGCGCTATGCAGGGGCTTTCCCAGGGCGTGCTGGTTTCGGCTTCGATGAGTATTTTGGGGCGGGTTTATAAGCCGGGTGTGCGCAAGACGAGGGTGTTTTCGTTGAGTATGTGGTGCTTTTCTTACTGCATTTTCCGTCTATAACACGGCTTGGACGGTGCTGTTTCCAAATTTTAACAGCCCCTAAGGGCTCTGGATTTTAGGCGGCTTTGAGTGCTAACTCTGGATTATAGTGGCGGCTGGTGCCCCTTTCGGGTTCTCTATAGGCTGCCTTCACGGGGGCGCACTGAGTAGTCGTCTACCATGGCTTTTTGGTAGCACGGCCATCTTTCTCGGCGTTGTCGCTATAGCCGCGCACATGACGCTACCAGATCTAAGTCCCGCAAAAGACAGTCATGATGTAGATGCGCCCTCACTGCGACAGTTCGACTATGTCGGTGCTTTACTCTCGTCTACAGGTTGCGGTCTTGTGCTTTTCGGGTTGACACAGGGTTCGTCTGCTAATTGGAACCCTTACACGTACTCGCTTATCATTGCGGGTGTCCTGATGTTTGTCGCATTCGCTTTCGTCGAGCGCAGCTTGGAAAGACCACTGATCCCAAACGGTCTCTGGAAGACGCCGGGATTTGCAGCGCTGCTCGTGGCGTATTTCCTCGGATTTGGGGGTTTCAGTAAGTGTTCCATCTCTATATGATAACCTTGAGTATCACCCATAGTGATAATAAAAATGAAAAAAAATAGAGTGTTAACAACCCTTTTTCTTAGCTGGAGCGTGGCAATTTTACGCCGTCCAATTTTGGCAAAGGTATCAGGGCGCGACACCAATAACCGTAGCCCTCTACATCTTACCCAATGGAATCGTCGGCGTATTGGCGGCGTATATCGTGTCTAAAACACTACACATATTTCCGGGACACTGGATTTTCATAGCTAGCATGATCGCTTTTGCTATAGGACCAGCTTTCTTCCTCCCTCAAACACCAGACACATCCTACTGGGCTTTATCGTTCCCAGGAGTGGCGCTTGCGACGTTCGGCCCGGACATGAGCTTTGCCGCAGCGGCCATCTTCATCACATCTAGCGTACCGCGGTCCTACCAAGGGTCCGCCGGCGCCCTGTTGGTTACGGTGCAGAATCTGACATCAGCCATCATGACGTCGATCTCTGACTCGATCGGCGTCAAGGTTGATCAGTTGCCTTCGGGTGAGATCGGACTCGCGGGGCTGAAAGCCATCTGGTGGTTTGGTCTTGCCTCCGCGCTGACGGGAGCCGTGATCACGGCTACCTTCGTAAGAATTCCGAAGGCAGAAGAGAAGGAGCATGTGCAGTAATGAACCTTGCTTAAAAGGATTGATTTGGGTAGTGTAACATCGGCGATTCAGGGTGGTTATTATAGAAGGGGATATAGTTACGGACGAGGTACTCGGTGGTAATGAGGGTATACGCAAAATCCATGGATGTGGGGTATGATGAGTTAAAAGAGGTTAGGTAATGAACAACACTTGGGATGTTCTGGGGGGTTTAGACGGATAGGATCATTCAATATTCGTGATATAATAGATGGATAGGTAGGAATCGGCTCCAATCGGACGTCTTATTCGTATTCTCAATCCAATTGCTACCTAGAATTGGAAATGGGTACACTTCAAGACGACAACTGTACGCTGTATGTAGGACTTCTAGCAGCCTGCCCGTTTAGGAAGTTTGCGACGCTGCAGCCCAATAAAAGAGAGTCCTGCAGATCCCTATCACATTAGTACCTGTTAGGGTTTCCATACGCTGTAGTTGCTTGTAGCTATAGGGCCTATAAATAAAATACTAGTAGGTAAAGATGGACGTAATTAATGTAACTCGCAAAATCAGCCAAAATAGGTATTGAGAAAGAATACCTGGTAAACGTATCTGTGTCTTTTCATGTAGCAGTATATCTATCTCATCTTGATGGGTTGAAACTGATATTCCCTTTGACGCTGGGTACTGGGTCTTGACCCCTAATAATTCTTGAGCGGTTATGGCCATGCCGACTAACAGCGATTTAGGTACTGGCCCCCAACGGAAGGGAGACGAATCCGAGCACAGCCCCCCTAAAATAATGGATTCTAGGTATGGACCTATCTTTAGCAAAAGTGCCACTCACTGTTAATTACCTAATGTGTAGAAAATTGTCTTCGCTGTGATCATAGGTCTACTTCGTTGGCGGTGTGTAGTACCAACGCGAATACTCGTCTAACGATGTCGGCCACAAGTAATTTGACGCAGATCGAGTCGTGGGACATGCGCATTTTGTGGCCTCTATTTACTCTAAACGTCGTTGATGCTGTACGTCCGGAGCTAACTGAAACCTGCGGTGCTGCTTTCGTTTGTTCATGCCGAGATTCTGACTGGGCTGCTTGGTATCGCGACTTTAGTTGAGGTTACCTAGTTTTCTTGACTACTTCGTCATCTCATAAGCATCGTGTAGCTTCTCGGAATCCATCGAAATACACAGACGTGTATCGTGACGGAGTGATATGTATGTACTCGCATTGGTAACACTTATTTTAAGAACCATAGCTGTGCTCATCGGGTATTACATGAAACACCACGATGCTTGTTTGAACCTCGAAGATCGTCTAGTAAAAGGTCTTAGGGTGTATCGAATTCATTTTGGATCTATGTAATTACCGCGAGATGATAACGAGTGAAAACGGATTTGCGCGCATATCATAGCCAGTATGGCATGGCGACGGATTGGGCGTTTCAGTTGCCAAGATTCTAGACTTGAGCTGTTTCAACATCCTCGTTGCGGCTGAGAAGATCTTGTTCGAACTACTAAAGAGACTTTCATTAGGTAGAGATCAGAGATCAAATGCTTAATAGCCCTTGGCGGCTTGGTAGAAACGGAGTTCTGAAAACGGGAAGATCGGTTTCTTGGTATGTTGGTATTAGAGGCGACGAATCGCATCGAGGACCTGGATAGCCGCATTCCCTTTACCAAGTTCTATTACCGGTAGGGCAGCGCTAATGATATTGCCGTGTTCCAAGTTATTATCCCGTACACTATGCGGGTGACCTCTTGGGTACGGTGTCACGTCTTGAACTCACTAGAACCAATCAGCCCTACGCATTAATATTCCTGACGAAGCCTTCGTGCTGCGAGCCGCGCATTGCTAGTAATCTGTCTACTAGGTGGCTAGTGAGCTTGATGATATCATCAACCAAGATTCCTAAGCTTGATAGAACCGTTAGAGTTTAGTATGAAAAGCCGGATGCTGTAGCTAAAGTAATGTCGTGATCCGCAATGATGAAATAGACAGTTGAACCTTTGAAATACAGAAGTGGATAGCACCTAAAGAAAGCTGAAGGGCTATCTGAAAATAGAGTTGCATGTTAGGTAGCGTTATGGGGTGGGTTGTTAGTCACTTCTAGGGCTGTTATTACCCACAATATCTCACTGCAATCCACCTGTCGTAAACAGCAACCTATCAACTACCAGTAATGCACTAACCGTTTACGGGTAATAAAGCTTAACTAATGCGGGTGTTAATGCAACCATTCCCTGATCTTTCTCCTTTGCTGCGCCTCCTTTTGCGCCTCTCGAAACTCGGAGCCCTTTCCCATCCTTTCACCCTTTCACCCACGACCACGAAACTGTCACATCTCGGGAAAAACGGCAGCGGTTTATGTAGGGTCACAAATACAGCGCATTCGTGCCTAGCAAGACCTGCAGACCTACAGACCTAGGTCTGGAATAAATCATTAGCGAAGGACCACGCAATGCGATGCAGATCTGAGTCGGGTGCTTCGTCATCGTCCTAATAAATTTTTATTTGGCTGATGTGGTACATCCTACTTTTCACTTTTCATTCTTCATTCTTACCTTTATCCTTCTCTTCGAACCATATTGTATTATACCTAATACTACTTCGTACATATTAAGTTTATCCTATCCTCGGGAGTTAGAGCTGGTTAGCAGCAGGAACTACAATCTCATCCCTTGGCATCAGAATTGGCGACTTGGCAGCTAGGCTTAGCACTCAGCTGAGGTGTCCACCACGAGCATTGCACGAGTGAAATCGTCCAACCGCCCGGCTCTTTTTTAAGCTACTTCCTAATTCAAGCTCATAGTCACCTACTGTACCTTGTAGTAGGTTGCCTAAGTATCTTGGCATCCGGGCTGGTCCTGGGGTTGTTGGATCCGATAGTTTACCTGTTTCAGACTATTCCACTATTATTTCATTCACACCTATTCTGTACTTACTTACTTAACTTACCTATTAACCTCTTTGTTCCTTTCCTTCCGTAACCTAACGGCGACTTCTCTAATTTCTTTATTACCTATCCATCCTCGCCTCATATCATATCTTATTGTTCCTCTTGTTCTCCTTTTCTTTTTTTCGTTAATACTAAGCCCAAAAGATAATCGCAAGATCATCAAGCCGCGTCATCATACCGAGACCCTGGACGGTTAACTTCCCCGGCGATCTACGAAAAAAAAGGTCTTGGCTGAGATTTCCACCGGGTACCTACATCTCGTCATCAAACGAGCCAAGAACGCGATTTCAAGCCACTTAATACTCTACACCACTACCTCAGACCCGAATTATGAGAACTATCGCAACGCTCGCGACGGGCGCCTTAGTCGCGTCTGTCGCCCAAGCACAGGTCGTTCAATGGGACATCGCGAGGAGGCAAACAGGTCCTAAGTTAACAAGACGAGCTGGCACATTTACGGAAGTCATCACGAATGAGAAACTTAGAGGAGGCTATTTTGCCTCATGTTCAGTCGGAACACCTGCCCAAAACCTAACCTTACAACTAGATACAGGTTCGAGTGATATTTGGGTACCCTCGAGTTCTGCAAGTGTGTGCTCGCAAACTTCTTCCAGTAGCGATGGCTGCAGTCTCGGATCTTGTAAGTTACAACCAGACGAGAGAACAGCGAGAAATGGATCGGAGAGCGCATGATCGCTAACCTATGTTTATTATAGTCGACGAGAGCGCATCCAGTTCGACAACGGTCGTAGGCGCAAATCAATTCAGTATTTCGTATGTTGACGGTAGTCATTCTAAGGGCGACTACATCACGGAGACCTTCGAGATCGGTGGTGCTAAGTTGACTAATTTGACTATGGGTCTTGGTGTCTCTACGGATATCCCTTATGGACTCGTCGGCGTCGGATATACTCTGAATGAAGCTATCATCGGCACCACTCACTCTAGCTCATCCCAATACGACAATCTTCCCAAATTAATGCAGAAGCAAGGTCTGATTGCTACCAATGCGTATAGCTTGTGGCTTAACGACCTAGACGCAAGTACTGGTAGCATTCTGTTTGGTGGAATCGACACGGAAAAGTACCGCGGTGATCTTACGCGTATCGACGTACAGAAGGACTCCTCGTCAAACGCCTTTACGTCCTTCATCGTTTCTATGACGTCCGTCCAGGCAACATCCTCCTCAGGCACCGATACGCTTACTTCCACGACGTTCCCTATTCCCGTCGTCCTTGATTCTGGCACCACCTTCAGTTACGTGCCGACCGACTTGGCTCTGCAGATGTGGAATGAGGTCGGAGCTGAGTACTATAGCCAGGTAGGACTCGCGCTCCTCCCTTGCAGCATGGAGAACAGCGCAGGTCATTTCTCGTTCGGTTTCGGTGGTTCTGGAGGCCCCGTTATCAACATTACGATGGATGAACTGGTTCTGCCCCTTACTACTGGTGGATCCGTGCAATTCCCCAGCGGTCCCAACAAGGGCCAAGATGCTTGCCAATTCGGCATTCAAAATTTCAGCAGCGACAGTACGACATACCTTCTAGGCGACACCTTCATGCGATCGGCTTACGTCGTGTACGACTTAGTCAACAACCAAATCGGAATTGCGCCTACAGATTTCAACGCCACCAAGAGTAACGTCATTGCGTTCGCCAGTGAAGGTGCTCAGATCCCATCCGCCACTGCTGCGCCCAACCAAGCCTCAGTCTCCCAGTCGGCCTCTTCCACGTCAGGGTCATTAGGCGCGAGCGGCGGCTTCTTGAACGACAAATCATCCGATGGCTCTTCGCTGCCACCCGCCCTCGACTGGTCTAGGATAGCAGTCATGGGTGCTAGCATGGGCCTCGTGTTAGTTGGGAGTGGATTTTTCCTTCTTTAAAGAGTTATCTATCATCAATCAAGGCGTTCAGGGTACGGCCGAATTGTGCATTATTCCATCATCATGGCATTCATCTACCACATCAGTTGATGCATTCTGAGTAAGATTGAGGGTAAATGGTTTTAGCATTCCACACACTATGGTGAAAGAAAGCATAGATGGTTTGGATTCTTTAGGTGCTACGGATCTCTGGAAATCGAGCACGGGAGGCGATTAATGTCGGGGCTTTCACGATGGCCGGAGGGACGATGTCTTGAGTACCTAAGACGAGGATGGTCTCATGAGCTCAAGATGGGCTAGTATCTAGTACTTACGGGCAATGATGCATATTCTCTTGTTCATAAAAGCATACTTAGAGTAGCAATTTTATTGCGGCAAAGACTGTATATCAATGATCATGAACTGAACTACCATGGATATTTGAAGATTTAAAATATTTAAGTGCTATAATAAATTGGTACTTGGCATAGGTACCTACTAGGTACCTAGATACATGGATGTACCTGTAGCTTTCCAAGGTTACCACTGAAAGCGACTATATGCTGAATTGGTGCGCTGTGAGTGGTTACTTCCCTGAGCGGCATTATTCTCCGTACCACGCCGATAAGCGGTTATCGTTCCAACCCATAAAATTTCTTAGGTTAAGAAATTGAAGAGAGAATCATCCCACCTTAAGCAAAGCACCATAGCGGTACTATTTCCCCATTCGTTCGCTATTGGGTGTTTGGACTTCTGGTTTATTCATTCTTTGTGTTTCCTTCACCATGAGGGTTCAGCGAGCTGTAGCTGTCCTCAATGACAGCCGCATCCTTGGTTCGAGGTGTAGCGCTCGCTTCCTCAGTGTGGGCTCCAGGGCTCCGGGTTCTCGTTACTCTGCACCGTTGATCGCGGCTCCGTTGCGTGTGGACGGAAGAAGATATTTCAGTTTGACCAAGACCAGATATGCTTCTGTAAATGCTGCTGCCAGTGCTGCGTAAGCGACTTCATTTTCAACCGAGGGAGTGTATAGAGGTAGCTAATGTTGAGCTTATAGCTTGAAGCGGGCTGCCGAAGAGGCCGCAAACCTTACCCCCGAAGCCGTCTTCGAAAAGATGAGCCCAGATGAAAAGAAACGATTGTCGAGAGTGCGAAACATTGGTATTGCCGTATGTCGCGATTGGTTACTATAGAACCATGAAAAAAAAATCCAAAGACGGAGGGAATACTAAATATGGAGATAGGCACATATCGATAGTGGAAAAACGACAGCTACCGAACGAGTGCTTTTCTATACCGGTCGAATCAAGGCAATTCACGAAGTGAGAGGTAGAGATGGTGCAGGCGCAAAGATGGACTCTATGGAACTTGAACGAGAGAAGGGAATTACAATCCAATCTGCTGCCACATTTTGTGATTGGAAGAAAGTCGAAGACGGCGTGGAACAGACCTACCATATCAATTTGATCGATACGCCTGGTCACATTGATTTCACCATCGAAGTCGAACGCGCGCTAAGAGTGCTAGACGGAGCCGTCATGATTCTTTGCGCCGTCAGCGGTGTTCAGTCTCAAACCATTACCGTGGATAGGCAGATGAAGCGATACAATATTCCTCGAATAAGTTTTGTGAACAAGATGGACCGAATGGGTGCCAACCCTTGGAAGGCTGTCGAACAGATCAACTCCAAGCTGAAGATTCCCGCAGCCGCTATTCAAATTCCCATTGGCGCCGAAGATCAATTCAAGGGCGTCGTTGACCTAATAGAGATGAAAGCCATCTATAGCGAGGGACCAAAAGGCACAATCATTCGACTCGGCCCCGTACCCGAAGACTTGAAAGAGCTTGCGGACCAGAAGCGCCAGGAGTTGATCGAGAAGCTCGCTGATGTCGATGACGAGATTGCTGAAATTTTCTTAGACGAGGGTACACCGTCTAATGAGCAAATCAGCGCTGCCATTCGTAGATCTACTATCGCATTGAAATTTTCTCCCGTTATGATGGGATCTGCACTAGCCGACAAGTCTATCCAGCCCTTGCTTGATGCCGTCTGCGACTATCTGCCAAACCCTGCCGATGTCGAGAACGTGGCATTGGATCGCTCCAGGGACGAGGCAGTAACCAAATTGGTTCCTTATAATTCACTGCCATTTGTCGGGTTGGCTTTCAAGCTCGAAGAGAACAACTACGGCCAGCTTACCTACATTCGAGTTTACCAGGGCTCTTTGAGGAAGGGTACTTGGTTGTTTAATTCGCGAACCGATAAGAAGGTCAGAATTCCCCGTATCGTGCGAATGCATTCCAATGAGATGGAGGACGTCGCCGAGGTTGGTGCAGGTGAGATTTGCGCCGTGTTTGGTGTCGACTGCGCCTCTGGCGATACATTTACGGACGGAAACTTGCCATACACTATGTCTTCCATGTTCGTGCCCGATGCGGTCATGTCGCTTTCCATCAAGCCCAAGAAAAGTACGGATGCCGACAACTTCAGTAAGGCCATGAACCGTTTCCAGCGTGAAGACCCTACATTCAGATTGTATGTCGACGATGAAAGCGAAGAGACAATTATCTCGGGTATGGGTGAATTACACCTAGAAATCTACATCGAGCGTCTACGACGTGAGTACAAGGTTGACTGTGTCACTGGCCAGCCTCGTGTGGCGTATCGCGAGACTATCAGCAAGAGGGCCGACTTCGACTACCTTCTGAAGAGGCAGACCGGTGGCCCTGGTGATTTTGCCCGTGTCGGCGGCTGGATCGAACCTAATGATGATAAAGACAAGAATTATTTCGACAACCAAGTGGTCGGTGGTGCCATTCCGGACAAGTTCATCTCTGCCTGCGGTAAGGGTTTCGAAATCGCTTGCGAGAAGGGTCCTCTACTCGGCCACAAGGTTATCGGAGCACGCATGGTGGTTAATGATGGAGCCACGCACGTAACAGATTCTTCAGATTTCGCTTTTAGCTTAGCAGCACAGATGGCCTTCCGCAAGGTGTTCCCAGAGGCGGGCGGTCAAGTTCTGGAGCCTCTAATGAAGACAACTATCATGGCTCCCAACGAGTTCCAGGGCAACATTCTCATGCTTATGAACAAACGAAACGCTACTATCCTTGATACGGAGATCGGCGCCGAGGACTTCACGCTGATAGCGGATTGCAGTCTTAACGCTATGTTCGGTTTTAGCACGCAGTTGAGAGCGGCTACTCAGGGCAAGGGCGAGTTCAGCATGGAGTTTTCACATTATGCGGCCGCACCACCCCATTTGCAGTATGTTCCCTTTCTAAGCTAATGCACTTAATGACTATGTTTTACTAACAATTACCTTTAGGAAGGAATTGGTCGCCAAGTACGAGAAAGAGCTTGAGGCGAAGAGGACGAAGTAAGAAAACTTCGCCTTGGACGGATTCTATCTTTGCAGTTGGCTTCTTCGACACGTTATGCTGTTAAGAGTCTGCCGCTAGCACCAGGACTTTAAGGGATTTGGCGTTTTCTGTCTAGCCTTGAATGAACGCATCTATGCCATGCCATTGCAATGATGATCACGGGGTGTACAATACTTAACGCTATGGCACACTACCATGTGCCGATAGAGGGCTGTATATAAGATTAAGACACAACATGAAGGCTCGGCGTATCGTCGCAGTACACAATTTACCTAACAGCGACAAAAGGTAGGGAAAATAGTTGGCATGGGGAGTATACCTACCGAAGAGGAGTGGGTAGGTATATATTCAAATGCTTAGGTACCTAGAAAAAGTATCTAGAACGTGGAAATGAAGAACCTCTTCTCTCTATTTTCGGGAATATATTTTTATCGCATCGCTTCATAATTGTGTGAAATCGTTGTATTCATATCTAGGAACCTAGACCCCGGTTTTTTTTGTTCTCTACTTTTAACCTTCCCTTTCTTCCCTTTTTAAGGTCCTACCCCTTTTCTCCTAAAACTGGAACCCGAAGACACCTAAGCTACCCAAGTCACTAGGTGAAATATCTGCTCTACATAGCAGACACCTACAACCTCTTCAAAATATCCACCACAACCTCCTCCGTCGTCGCCTTGCCGCCCAAATCGGGCGTCAACAGCTTACCCTCCTCTAGGTTAGCATCAACAGCAGCATAAATCTTAGCCGCAGCCTCCTCTTCGTTCAAGAACTCGAGCATGAGCGCCGTGCTGCGCAGGGTCGCAATCGGGTTCGCGATACCCTTACCTTCAATATCGGGCGCGCTGCCGTGGCACGGCTCACCGATCGCAAAGCCCTCGCCCACATTGGCAGAAGGAACCAGGCCAAGCGAACCAACGAGCGCCGCGGCGCCGTCGGATAGGATATCGCCGTAGAGATTGGGGGCGACAATGACGTCGTAGGCTTCAGGTTGGCGGAATAGCTTGTAGACCATGCTATCCACGATCTGCTCCTCGACACCGACACTCTTGAACTTCGGGTTCGCGAGGGCGGCGCGGGAGGCGCTGCGGAAGAGACCGTCGGTTTGGGAGAGAACGTTCGACTTATGCGTTATAGTGACGAGGGGACTGGAGTGGATCGACGAGGTCGGGGAGACGTCGCGGATCTTCTGTCGACGCAGGGCGATTTCACCGGCCATCGTCGCGATACGGCTGCTCGCGCGCTCGGAAATGCGCTTGATGGCCTCGGCGTACTTGCCAGTTGGGCTGCCTGGCACGTCGACCGTGCGCTCCTCCTTCACGTATAGATCCTCGGTGTTCTCGCGCACGATGACCATATCGATTGGCTTTGTCGCCGTCCGCACCGTCTTCACAGGTCGCACATTGGCGTATAGGTCTAGCTTCTTGCGCAGCGCTACGATAGGTGAGGAGTATCCCTTTACGGCGGACGTGGGCGACGATACGGCACCGAAGAGAGCGCCATCACAAGATTGCTTCAGAGCTTCGACGGTGGCGTCGGGGAGCGCGGCGCCGGTCCGCTCGAAGGTCTCGAAGCCGGCGTATAGGTCTGAGAACTCGAATTTTAGACCTAAGGAGCTGGGGAGGGCTTCGAGGATGCGGCGGCCAGCGGGGATGACTTCGCGGCCGATGCCGTCGCCGGGGATGAGGCCTATGAGGGGGGGTTGTTAGGGGGTTATTTGCCAAAATAGGGGATTAAATGACATTTTTAAGGAATTGAATGGAAGGTGTGTATACTGACCTATTCTGAGAACTCTAGAAGCCATGACGGTGGTTCAATTGCTATTTTTGGTTTAATTGGTGAAGCATCGACGGAAAGCTCTCCCCAGATAAAATTTGTGTGTTCTGAAGCTATGGTAAAATCATGGTGGGGTCCTCAATTGCCGGGATCGGAGGGGTACCATAGCTCCTTCCAAATCTTCCAAGCTGTCAAGGATCTTAGGGGCTAATTTACCTAGAACTGTTAGCTTAGGCTGGAACTAGGCTAGAATTAGGTCAGGGACCTCCTTACCTTTTAATGCGCATTACACGTTCGATATTGCCTTCTATTCCTTCCGAGAAGCATAGGAAGCATTAACATGCACATTAATATGCAAGCATCGCTTTAATGCAACGGATCATTGCATCATTAACCTAGTGCATGCATGCTCCTTAAAAGACATTTGTTCGGGACCTCTGCATACCAGACTTTTCTCCTAGCTTCCTAGCCTCTTACTTGATAGCACTCGACGCTCCCGGGAGCCCCTAAAGCGCCACGCTGACAGCCCGCAGAACCCGGTAAATACTCCGCATGTTATGCTACATAGCTCGAAGATCTTATGAGGGGGGTTGTTTGCTACCAATGAGGGCCAACCTGAAACGTCCTATTCATATATCATTATATTGAGTTGTGTGGTTTTTGGAGTCCTCTCGAGTGACGCATGTCAGATTTATATGCACCTGTTGTCCATGCAATTGGGTCCCGTTGACCTGTCATATGTGTCTTTTTTTCTTTCGTCGTATCCGGGTCTTGGTTACATAATTCTGGATTCTTCAAGGTTGCGAGCGTTGAAATTCCACGATAGCCTTTAATATGTAACATTACAAGAGCACTGGATACAGTGTGCCTTGGTACATAGTTTCGATATTTGATATTTGATATTTGATATTCAACTAGAAGATTTAGAGAGTTATGTTGAGCTTAGGCTCAGAACTATTGGATAACTAATGCAACTTGAACTTTTTTTTATTCACATCACACTATGAAGTACAGAATAGGTACATACATACCTCTCTAATTCTTTCTTTCTCGGCGGACAATATCTTGTAGTTATACGGATGATAGCACTGACATCTCATGTTGTTGAAATGTGTCAATTTCCTTTGTCCAAGTCTTAGTCTATAGGGGTAAGCTTATTCATCCGTACAGAGTAGGTATAGATAGGTGGGTATAGAGTTGAATATAGCAACACGACACGATACAACACAACATTACAACTCGGACACATCTCAACTTGTTAGTCCGTAACCTCTGAACACGATTGCGATTGTGTACCTAGCCAAGTAAAAGATTCGAATATTTAAGATAATAAAGAGTAATTCGACGCCTCGGTAAGCCGTTAGACGCGTTTTGGGAGTTCATGCAAGCCCCTGAATCCACTTTATCCAACATCAACTACCCCTGTCTAAATGGGCAATTTATCTCGTAGGTACCTAGCCAGGTACCTAATTAAAGGAACCGCAGCTTTAAGGCGGCCTTATTAGGCCACATGCCACCAAATAATTCCCATTCCCATCCCATGTCGACACTTTCCCTTGATAAGTCTTTTGAGTCTTGACTCTTTTGACTCTTTTATTTCATTTCACCTTTTCTACTATCCTCTCGACGACATCGCATAGTCATAGTATTTATTCATTTTTCTATGTAACTGTAACTGCAATTGCCCTATTGCGACCTTTTTTCGAATCACGCTCATTTGTCTTGTTTTAGCATTTGCTTATTTCGAAAGACTCCATTATTACTTGTTTCTTTTTGAAGCTTTGCACCTGCACCAGCAACACGCGATACCTCGTACATCTCGCCTCTGGTAGTCTTGACTGCTGTCTCGGGAAGCCCCTTAACTGCTACCTAACCGAACACGAATTAGAGAGCTTTGACTGGATACCCCCCCTGGTTTGAGCAGCATTGGTTTCCGCCGTTCTATTAACCCCGTCTTTCCGACTTACAACTTGTCCTCAATTTTCTGAGACAACTCGACAAATATCTGTCGAAACAAACAAATAAACAAACGAGCGATTTGATCTGAGCCGACCAGCAAGGCCACAAATTTGGGGGGCATGCCATCCGTCGTTGCAATCAGTAGCTGCAGTTTCCCGCGGTGACAATTGTTGATATACGATCGTATATTTGCTATTTGCTCTTTCCAATAACGTCAACTGGCGATAAGTTACAACAGTCACAACTAAGCGATGTCGGGAGTAAGGAACCTCCGCGCGATGTTCGAGAATAGGGGGGAGAACAACCCTCCAGATAGAGGAAGATCTCCTGGTCCTGGAGGTTTCGGTATGACGCCTCTTTGTCTTGAACACTCATTTACACCTTGCATAGCTCGATGATCATGCCAACCTTTTCCAATTCCATCTATAAATTGCACAATTCAAAACCTAGAACTACCAATTCTTAGTTCAACTCCACAATCCCATTTCTATTTCCATTCTCACGCTCCCAACCCCAACCTCACAAGCTTCCCATTGACTACGTCATTTCTTTGTCATTTGCTAGATACCAATAGACCCCTAAATGAGCTATAGCTAACGTTAAATTTGTTCTCACCGCTAGCATCCCCCTCACCCTCTCATTCGCCGAGGCGGTTATCTAAAGTTCGAACTACTTTCGTAGCAGTTGAGAAGGACGGACGTGTTGGATTGAGAAGGGAACCCAGTGGTGATTCAGTCTCGGTAGACAGCAGAAGGCTTAGCAACGAAACCGAAGCCACACAAGCTACCACGCCACAACCTACATCTGAAAAGACGGACGTTTTCTCGGATAACATGGCTAAGAACGCGTCCGCCTTCAAGTCAAATCTGTCTCAGGAATCCATTCCTGAATCGCCAATCCAAAACGCCCCTGCAAAACCTGCTCCAAAGAAGGAAAAGGAGAATCGGAGTCCTGATATTGCCCCGAACCCGAACCCAGACAAGATTACGGATGAGGAGGAAACGAAGACGAAGTTGTTACCAGGCAACCCAACAGACAAGGCGGCGACGAGAGGGAAAAGCGTGACGCCTACTCCATCCACGGGTGGTTCAACAAATGGCAAGCCAAAAGCTGCGGTTATTCCCAAGCCCGTTTCCAAGCCTGCTCCTAAGCCGGCGCCAGTTTCGACAACCGCTAGATCCGTATCGAAGCCGGCCAAGTCGCCTACTAAGCTTATTAGCAACGCTGCGAAAGCAGCCCGTTCTTCGAGCGTAGGGCCGCAGAAAAAGGCAACGCCTGCTCCTTCGAAGAGTCACGATGCGCCGAAGAAGACGGTCACCCCTGCCGCACCGAAGGCGACTGTAACCGCCGCTAAGAAGCCAGCGCCCATTGACCTTCCTCCGTCAGGAACGGGTTTCGTGAAGCCGAAGCCTAAGTCGCCCACTCGGCCTATCAACCTCCCCTCTTCCCTCACAAAGCCAACTGCCTCTTCCGCCTCTAAGCTTGGAGCCGGCAGTGCAACTCAGCCTCCCAGACAATCCGCCTCCCGAGCTTCCGGCAGCGCCGCGCATCTGAATGTAGCCGCCACCACTCACAGATCGCCTAGCAGATCAAGCCTTGCCAGCGCGGGCGTCATTACAAGCAACAAGGGCCTAAGGCGCCAAAGTTCGACTGTCGGCCGGCCACGACCAAGCCTAGGACCTCCCCCCAAGCAAGCAGCTAAGGATCACCCTGTCTCTAAGAAAGAGGCCCACGTTGACGAGAGCTTCCTTGCACGCATGATGAGGCCGACCCAGAGCAGCTCGAGCAAGACTTCGGAGAAGGCCCCCGTAACACCGCCACGGAAACCAAGCTCGCCGATGACCACCCAGAAGAGGTCCGCGACGAAGGATACGGATGCGAATGCGAAGAAGGTAGTTGCTAAGATTCAGGCATCTACGAACAGCCTCAAGACTGCTATCGATAGCGTCAAACCGGCCGAGAAGGAAGCCCCGACAGCAAAGGAGGTCGCTCCAGTTGTTGCCCAGACCGAGATTGCCGAGGTTGCTATCGAGGTAGCTAAGGTCTCCACAGAGACAGCTACCACCCCTGTTGTGGAGGAGGCTAAAGCTGAGACTGTCGCCGAACCCGCTATCGTTGTTGAAGTCGAGGAGGCCAAGGAAGAGGCTGTAGAGGAGCCCGCCGAGCCTGCAGCAACTGTCCCAGTCATCGCCGAGGATGCCGACAAGGTCGCAGATATCGAAGATGTAGTCCAGGAGGCCGTGGAAGAGCCTACGGAGCCTGTTGTCGAAGTGTCTGTTGCTGCTGATAATGAGGAGCCTAAGGAGGCGGAGGTTGTTGAAGCCACGCCCGAGGTCACCGAGGAGGCTGTCTCGGCTGAGACCGAAGCTCTCAACGCGGTACTTGAAGAGCCCAAGGTTGAGGAACCTAAGGCCGTGGAGGCAACAAACGTTGAGGAAAGCAAGGAAGAGGCGAAGGTAGAGGTTGTCATAGGGGATGAGGCCAGCACGGCGGGTATTTCGGAAGCTTAGTTTGCTATCCGCCGTACTCTACAACAGTAGCAGAAAAGTTCGACTCGGGTTACGTTGGGAGGGGTACTAGAATACCAAGAAAAACACAACAAAGGACCAAATTTGTTTGTATTGGCGTGGCGCAGATGATGATACCTTTTTTCTCTTAACCAAAAAATTCCATCGGAGCATATACCTGGGGACGGGGAGTGGTTCTTTTTTTTATTCTCCCTGATCTTGTTTTTCCCCCCTCTCCTGGTGCTCGCGAGGCATTGCTGTGGAGTTAGGTGATGGTGATAATACCTATTGCATACCTAGACCTTGTTCTGTAAACGTCTTTTGCGTCCTTTTGTCACGTTTCGTCGCTGGCTAGAAAGATGGAGGCATAGGGGCAGAGCAGGTATAATCATACTTGCGAAAGCAATGATTCGACTCTTACAACAAGTGCCTCTTAGGGGTATATTCGAATGATAACTTGTAATGAAAATATGTTCATCTGCGTGTTGGTCGGGTGTTACAAGGACATTGTGTTTCACAGGATAAATAGTTGTAATTCACCTTCTCTGAGCTTACCTCTTAGATACCCAGATACCTTAGCTACTAAATGCATGATTTTGTACAAGATGAAGTGATGATTGGTTATATCATGATATGCAGGTATCGTACATTTCTATAGTTGTAGTCTGTGATTTTGTACACATCGAGCCTGCCACCATTTCCTGGATAACCGCTCTCTTCATCTAGATGTTCCTTCAGACATACCAGTCGTTCGAGGAGCATACTCAGGATGCCAGAGAGTTTGGTAAACCAGACCGTTGGCTCATACCATTTCGCCCATTGAGGACTCTTAGCCACTTTCTCCTATCAATCTCAGCTATGTGAGACAGATATGGATGTGTTGGCTTCATCAAGCATCCCTCATCCAACTTCTGTTCTTTAACTTGACCTTCCCCAGCCAGCACCAGCCATCCGGAAGCAACACAAACGCCCTAACCAAATCCGATCAAGGGAGATTATTTCATAGGAGGCCCAACCCGACACAGCAACAACCCGCCAACCTTCTTCTCAATGGCCTCCCGAACCTCCAGCGTGCCCAAGCTCGTATGCATGAAAAGCGACTCCCCGATATTCAACCCGCGGTAGGAGCCAGAATCGAAACCCCTCGCAAGCCGCTCCAGCACATTCAACTTCGCGGTATGCGGGCGCTTCGGCGTCGTAATCGCGACCATCGTCCCCAGCACCGGCGTCCCACCACCCGAGATATTGTATTTCAGTCCCAACCACAGGCGCTGCTTAGCCACGTTCGCCGTCGTCAGGGGTGCCGGCTCGTACGTCGTGATTGTGGCCGGGTCCGGCGGGTGTGCGCCCCCCCGCGTCACGAAGGAGATGTAGCCGGCTCGGTGCATGGCGAGCGCTACGCTTAGGTTGTACTTGGTGAAGGGCACGGAGGTGAGCCCCAGGCGCGCGCGGGAGGCGTTTTGTAGGTGCGAACACATGTGCACGACGTTGGCTAGTCCCATTTTGGGCGGTGCGTGTGCCCTGGCGGGCGAATTGGGGGAGGGGGGGCTTGTTTGGGGGGTTTCGAGGTTGGGGAGGAGGGGGTTCCTAAGTCGGTTTCGCCGGCTAAGTGAGAAGTATAAGGGGCAGCTTAAATATGGTGTTTTAGGGTCTCGTTACTGGTTAGAGAGCCGATGGTATTTTCGCTCGTCGGCGGAGTTGTCGGTAGAGAAGTGCCGGGATGCAAATCTTCAATGTGAATGAAGCTATCGCGATATTCGAATCAAGATGAAAAATAGAAGTGGGTCTTCAATCGGAGGGACTGAAAATTCGGCGGAAAATCACTGGATCCGACTGGGAGTCCGTTCTTATCGATAATGTGAAAGAGCGTTGCCCGTTGGTGGGATGTCATTTACGACTTCCCATTGGTTTTCATGATTACCCCACCATTGCTTCTACACAACATAAGAGTGGGCAGTTAAGCGCCGAGCTGCTCTTATTCATTCCCCTCATGCAGGGTCGAATTGGTCGGAATTGATGGCTGATGATGGCGTAGTACCATTTGTGGTAGGTGATTTTATTTTATTTTTTCTTGTAGGAGAGAGGAGTCTGAGCCGGGGTGGATGGCACCGAGTGGTGTCACATTTTATAGAGCTCTCTTCCAACATTCTCTTTTCCCCTCCATTCCAAGATATTTGAAGCTCTCGTGAGTTCAATGTTGGTATAACATTACCATTATCTATTAAACCAGAGATAGCATATACGAAGCTGGTCTTGATTGCTATCTACATTCATTGTTTTCGGTATTTGTCTTGTTAAATTGTACCTATTGTTCGGATTGTCGTAAACGCTGAGTCGCGACTATGGCAGTTCGACCTGGTGAGGAGAACGTTGCGACCCTGTGAGTGCCCAAGTATTAGAAAGCTCTAACATTAATCTTACGCTTATCTCATTCCCTTACTATAGCTTCGGAGACGTCCATTACTTCTATAGTCCACCTGAGGCGAAGCCACCGCATCATCGTTTTGATAAGGGATCTTACGTGTATTTGTTCGAAAATGCAAATGACCGGAGAGCGCGTGTTGAAATTGCGAACCAACCAGGCTCAGATGATCAGGACGCATTTGATGGATGTAAGAGCATAAACCTAGTAGACTTGACTGATTATCCCTTTCCCTAATTACCCTGCGATATAGTTCTAGATAGGACGCGTATACGATATTCCTATAAGCAACAATGCCTCGTAAATATCTTGGTCGAGGGTGTAGCTGGTCCGCCGATAGACCAAAGTCAATGGCATCTTCCAACGTACGATCCTCGAAATGAGAACAAATACCACTACAAACTTCACTCACTCGATATCTACTTCTGGACCCATGCCGATGCCTTACAATTTGTCAACGGTGTGCGACGAGTCCTACCCTCGTCTCAAGTGGAAGTCGCAGATGAACCTGGCCCGCCGCCGCTCCCATACAACCAGTCTCAAGATACAAATCCCTTAGTTCAGAAGCTGGAAAACGTCGCCATCTCAGATCCGAAGTACTCGAGTCCCAAGCCTGCGCCTCAGGGGGTACCTACCTTCGCACCTCCCCCGACCTCGGCGGCAACAGCCGATAGTAAGGGAAGCTCACCTCACAGCTTTGCGCCGATGGCATATAACCCTGCTGCTCCAGCCGCTGCAGAACAGAGAATACACCGAGAAAAGACGCCGCCTCCCGAAGAAGATGGGCACGATCCTCTTGCTGCGGCCGTCGCTCGCGATCAGGCTCCGCCGTATACTCCCGGTTACGGGGCTACCAACTTCTCAGCTCCGCCGGGCAGTCATGGTCTTCCCGGACCTCCACCACAAACCCACCCAGGTCTTGTAAGCCCCGGCCTGGTCAGCCCCGGTCTACCAACTCCCGGAATCGTAAGCCCAGGCTTTCCGCCATCGCAATTCGGACATCTACAACGTTCGTCCACGGTGCCCGTGTCTGGAATGGTATCGCCGGGTCTCGTGAGTCCGTATGGTGCGAATTTCCCTGGGTCACCCGGATTCGCACCTCCTCCGGCTCAACCCGTGCAGCATCACCCAACGCCACCTCCCGTTCAGAGCCCCGGCTTGCCCCCGGCCCCTCCAGGAGGATACTCTCAGTTTAATTATACCACTAGCCAGCCGGCACCTGGGTCCACGGACTACAGCATACACCAACAAGTGTACCGGCCGACGGAACAGGAACACGCTTCTAAATATGGCACGTACAAGCCCAAGCAAGAGGGCCACAGCAAACTAGGCCAGAATGTAGAGAGGGTAGAGAAGGGTGTTACGGGAATGTTGAAGAAATTTGAGAAGAGGTTTGGTTGAATGTTTTACCTACCTACTTCTAAATATTTGTAGTTTGAATATGGCGAATTTGAATGCTGAATATTAGATATAATACCAATTTGTACCCCCCACGCTTGCTGAATTACATGTGGGCGGAGTGCAAGTAATCAAATACAGACTAATTTGCTCGGTGTGCGGATGAAGTAGCATCCCTCTAGTGCTTCCCTTTAGCTCCTAAATGCCCAAGTGTCTAACATCAGACGCATCTAGGCCTTCGTCGCTCACGGGATGCGACGGCATGTTGCTGACCATGCAGCGTGACTTGCACATCATAGCAACGCTAAACAGTAGGGCTATCCTACCTTCCAGCTCAAGGTACCAAAATAAAGTAATAGGGTCAATATCTCAAGTTTGCTTCATGTTCTATTGTTGGTGAGCATGTTTTTACATTTATATATATATCTATATATTCCCTTATTGCGTTATATTAAGGCACTCCCTTGACGTGATATTTCCTCTCTGATGAACAAAAGTTCGTGGGTTTCGAGCCTGGTGGCCTGGCTACCTACTAATATCTATGGTTACGTGGTGCCTTATGTATGTCTCAGCCATTGAGCTGAAAAGCGTTGCTAAGCGTCTAGCTGAAGGCATTCATTGGACCCTTCATTTTATCCCGATCTTCCGGGCGATATACCATACATAGTAGTAAGAAAGATCGAAGACATGTCTGACATGCACGGTAATCAGGGAAATTGTCCCTGTATGTTTTGCAAACCACTGAGAAAGGCCTAATTCATTTTTCAGCGTACTATGGTAAGTAAAGTTAACTTTCCCAAGAAGAAGTTCCAACCAAATTGTGTTGCCGTGACAGCAGGACTTCGTCTTCGTACACACTGCCACCTCGGACGGCAACGAGCACTTCCGCTCAGGTTACCCGAAAGAAGTTGAAGTGTTGCTTAAGCCTTAAGCGCTCGCGATATTAGTGGGGTAACAGTGTAACGTTAGCGCAGTACAAAGTCCCAGGGACCCGGCAGCCCTAACAGAATTGGAACTGGGCTGCTGGAGACGCTGGGGACGCTGGGGACGGACTTGCATAGCACCAAAGAGCATGGGTAAATCGTAGACCAGCAAGGCGCAGTCACGAAAAGTGGTGAACCCTAGCCACGTTCCGATACGATCTGCCATGACTTGAGTAATGATTTCATTGACGCAACTGACGTGGATTGATATGCGCAAGGCGGAGAGCTATGAGATGGCATAACCGCCAAGATAGGGGCGAAAATATTTGTCAATTACGTTTCGAAGTTGTAATGCTACAATGCTGTGATGTTGTAATGTATTAACGTACTATATTAACGTCCGTAGCACAGCTGCACGGTTGTAGTAGGGAGGCTCGGTTGAGGTAGCCTGCATAAACGAACTACATCGGCGGACGGGACGGACCAGTGATATGCTAGAGCTTCGTATGCTTTTAGTTTGTGGGTTGGCAGAGCAGGTAGCGAGCGACATTTCTCTCGGATTCATAAATCAGCTTATTATCGCTGAAAATCTTGTCGAGAATGAAACATCCCGTATTGATTTTCTATGTCGATATTGCGCGAATACCTAGGCATTCATGCTACCTCGAGAAACACTATAATAGTGGTTATGTCAGCCATCTCCTTTCTTGATCTCCTTCTAAAAGAGAACTAGGGAGAGCAAGGATACTCGAACTGTCGGGTATTGCATAGGGTTATGGTTAGCTTGCTGTCTTGAGAGCTAGGGAACCTGGTTTAGGCGGAAGGATTGAAGAATCAACCAGCCTCAACGGGGCTTACGACACCCGGGCTTTTCGTGCCTATCCGGGGAGAAGTGCCTAATCCGAGTTTTGCTGATCTCATCGTACTATGATGTAAGTACCTGAACGGCAAGAATTGTGTATATAGATACTAGGTACTCTGAAGATGAAGATACCATGAAAATGTTGAAGGTGGATGAAAGCAAAAGTTAAATATCGAAACCCTCAGCTATTAACTATCAGTCCTTATCAAATGGAAGAAACGGCACTGGGTAATTGTTCAGGTAGGTACGACGTAAAATCTGACATCTTTGATCGGCAATCCACGAATGGAATGGTCGAGGCTGCCTTAATATACCCTTGCCCACGCAGTACCTGTTGCCCTATACCTGCATTAGAATGGTGTAGCTTTTACAGCCAGCACCTGCCGGCCTTTGATGTAGGTATTCGTTTTCTCCCCCACTCCGCCTCTTTCTCACCCGCGACCCGCAAACCTTCGACCTTCCCGTCCACTTCTTCCAACTTCTCCCATCACCATCTTCATGGTCTAGTTGCATTGTGGTGTATTATCTCATCGTCGATTTGGAATTGTATTCCTTTTATCCTGACATAAAACATCTTCACCTCATTAAGCGCTTATCAGCTACAGCTAAGCTCGAGGCGCATACCAATCACGCGATCCACTCATTAACAACTCATCCATATTCGTCCGGTCCTCTCGGAGCTTGAATTGCGGACTACATAGCATTTTCATTGAACTCTTCATTAGAGTTAACCTACTATAGTGTCTTCGGACATCGAAGCACTAGATCAAAGCTAGCAAAATTGACAGCTCTTTATCTAATATCTACCACACCCTAAGACTATACGACGAGTTCCGCAATATTTGGAAGGTTGCGATCATCTCGACGTTTATATATACCTTCCTCACTACTCCGTCTTGTGTCCATCTAATCCACTACCGAGAAAATCGAGTTTCTATAATTGTTATTATCACAGCAGTCAACCACTTTCATTCGATCCAACATATTATATATCATCAGTTTGTCGCAGTTGCCATGTGCACGGCGCTTAACCAGAGATAGCATCAGGTTTGTCGCCACTAGCCTGTGAGACCGGGTCTTGTTCCCGACGGTGTCGCAATACACTACACTCTAGTCACTCGTTCATATTTCACTATGTTACTCCCACTTCATATTCCCGTTCCTCTCCGACCTTCCCCAAGAGACAATTCCCTCATCTATGAGAAATTGATGCCCAGAGATGGAGGTGCGCCTCCATCAAATACAATATTCATTGTAAGCCTATCATCCCCAAGTCCTAAATAGCTTCATCTTGTCCTACAAATCGAAGCCTAATATAAGCTATAGGTTGTTGGAATCATTGCTGCCGTACTAGTGTTTATTATCTTGGTGTATTGCTTCACGCGCTATAAGTTGAGGGGAGGTTCAAAACGCGGCAAATACAAGCAAACTCCCGACGTCGAATCTACCGACTCTCGCAGTGGGAGAAGACGAGATGGCCTATCGGCTTCCAACGCCTCGGGGACGGAAGGCAATCGGAATAGTGCGGTGTCCCAAATAGATAGGAATACGTCCATTCGATCCATCATGACCCTTCCAGCGTACCGAACAAAGGCGAATGAAAACGAGCAAGTCATAGGCCGCGAAGGAGAGCGCGATGGGGTCGACGTCGTTGTAGAGTGTCCCACTGACGAGGACTTGGAGAACATGCGAGAGGAAGAGATGGAGACCCTATTTCAAATACGATTAGCAAGGAGAACGCAGCGCACTGAGCGGGAAGAACGACACCGATTGACTACCGAGGCAAGGGCTCGCGGAGATTCGGTGGCATTGAGCGAGCTACGAGCCCAGAGGCGAGCCGCGCACGAAGACACTACTGTGGAGGAGTTGCGTGATACATACGGGCAGGCCAAGGACCGACGGCAACGTGCAGTCTCTAGCGTGAGTTATCACGAGCTCGGTGTAGCTCAGCTTAATGGTACGAGGGTCCGCGCAGGCAGTCATGGTAGCGAGGGAGTAGGATTGTTGTCAGACGCCGCCAGCATCGCCGTATCGACGCGATCCCCTTCCGCACAATCACATCGTCGCGACCGAAGCGCTAGTTCCGTCTTAAGTCTCGATAGTGATTTTCCGTCTCCGGGGTTAAGGTCTGCGACATCGACGCCTAGGCCAGGAAGCAATCATACTCGCGCCGGTTCAAGCCCAGAAATAATCACTGAGGCTGACTTAGGTGATTCTGACATGCCTCCTCCAGACTATGAAGATGTTAGTTTGGACGATGTTAGATCAGGAGCTACGACTCCGATGTTTAACGAACCTCCCCCTGTCTACACGGACCCAGCAAGCGGACGTGAACGAAGATTGAGCGCACAGACCGAAGACATGGTAGAGAGGGTAATAGAGGGCGGTGACCTTTCAACCACAACCACAAATGATTCGCATGATGAACACTCAACAAAGAGGACCCCGAGAGGAGTAGGCGGAGCTCCGCAGTTGCCCAGCTTGCGAATTGGAAGATTACCACAAATTGTTATCGAACCTTCGACTGCGCATCCCAACGAATCGAGCCATTAAGCACATACTTTTTCTAACCCCCAGACAAGGAGGACCCATATAATTGCATGTGCCTCTTGCTAAGAGCGGCGCAAACTCGACGAGCCAACGTTGCAGCCCTGCATGATCATCTTGAACACGCTATCCAAAGAGTCACATTGCTCACGAGGTTATAACACGACTATTTGATTGGTCGAAAATATCAATTGTGCGATATTTAGAAGGCTTGATGTTGCAGAAAATCCAGGTATTACGTAGCAACATATGAATGGGACGAATTGACGGAGACGAAAACCCGGGAGGTAATTGAAGTAATGTGGACGGACGGTATTCTGTATCATATCTGCAAGGCGTCTTGGTGTTGCAAGTTCGTTTAGGGCTTAAGAGGATGAGGGATCCCAGTGAGGAATTTTCCTCAGTGAGCTTACTATCTCATATGCTAAACTTATGGGATATACAGCCTGAGGCATAGCTACGATATATATACCATTTATTGATTATAGTTCTTACTCAAACTCGCATGTCTTTGTATCCTTCTTTCTTACTATCTTCCTAGTACCCTTATTAACAAAGCTTGCCATTCTTCACTTGCTATCCCCGAGACTTATCGGAACTTATACGGATTGCACGGATAAGATATGTTAGTCAGGTATCCGGTGGACGTCGAATGACCGGTAGGATCCAACTCGACTCGGCTCGGGACCTATCATAAATCAAACAAGACGGGGGTTGGCCTCATTGGCTGTCAGCGAATGAGTGGTCCTTGATTTGTTGTTGTAGGATGTGTAGCACAGGGAACTCGCAGTGATGTATAGGGGTAGAAGTACGACTTTAATATCGCCTGATCTCTCTCAGCTATCCAGGGCGAAACCCTCTATATATATATATATAGATATATACGCATCTGCCTTATTATGACCCAATAGGGGTCATTGTGACTTATCTCCTGGCATCGACCGATGAATCAGGCTGTCGTCGGATAGGCGTGTTCATGCTCTTCTCTTGTTGAGTGGTTGCATCCGACGAAACCGATGAATATAATAGACGCATAGGTATGGTAAGTTTTTTTTTCGAGTCCTACTTCATTTACAGGATGGGTAGTAGTTGTCTGAAGCTTTCGCTTCCGGCTCCTTACCGTCTTACCAGCCAGTTGGATTTACTCCACTCAGCCAATCCAAGGTAAGGAATGCATATTGTGATATAATCAGTAATCCTTCCCATATCGTGCCTCGGTACCTAGATAAGTAATTAATTGCGGCACAAGGGCCTCGTCTTGCACCATTAATAGCCCTACGCTTAATTTGGGTAACAGGGAATATACATAATACGTACCTACATTGGAGGTAGTAATAGATAATTATTAATCCATCCTACTTAGCATAGGTATCCAGCTTGTCCCGCTTAGGTAGGTGTTAAATAGTAACCCGTCCCCTGCTTTTTTTTCGCCGGTCCTGGCAAGAAAATTTAGAGTATTCGTTTATGCTGTGGATGCGTTATTACTTTTGAATACGAGTACATATTTCAACCTTATCTCTGTAGATTTCTAAAACGAAAAACGTTATTACTTGCTTCGTGTCGCTACGTTAAGAAGTCAAGGTCGTCGTCGATCACCCGCGCGGGAACTAACAATCCCCTAACCTAGGAACCTCAAGTGCGCATGCGGAGAAGCCAGGGTAAAATAAGCGCCTAGGCCAAGATCTATTGATCATTACAACGCCGTAAGAAGAGTCAAATAAGTTTTAGTCCGCCCACGATTTGACTGCCATCATGGTAGAAAAGGAGAAAGAAAGTGATAGCGATGTGGGTGTACTTAGCGGCGGTGAAGACTACTTTGAGGGATCCGTCGACCGCACCGAAGATGTTTCCGATTCTCAGGGGACATATACGCCGGCGCCGATTGGACCGCCCAAACCCGTCGAAGTTCCGGAGTACGTATATCCGCCTGTGATGACATCAATTCACCTACAATATTCGATATCGCCACCCATTCTTCTAAACATTCACCCCCTACTCACCCAATTGAAAAAGAACAATCCATACTAACCCGTTAACAGCGGCGGTCTCGACGCATGGCTCCAAGTCTTCGGCGCCTTCGTCATCATGATAACAACATGGGGCCTCATAAACTCCTTCGGAGTCTACCAAACCTACTACGAGACAGACCTCCTCAGAACCAACACCTCCTCCGACATCTCCTGGATCGGCTCCCTGCAAGGCGCCCTCCTCATGATCGGCGGCATCATCTCCGGCCCCTTCTTCGACGCCGGCCACTTCCACGCCCTCACCATCTCCGGTCTCTTCCTCGTCATCTTCGGGCTCTTCATGACCAGCCTCTGCGCAACATACTGGCAAGTCCTCCTCGCGCAAGGCATCTGCGTCGGTCTAGGCTGCGGCCTGCTCTTCCTCCCCTCCGCCGCCATCCTAAGCCAGTACTTCGCCCGCCGCCGCGCCCTCGCCCTCGGCGTCCAGAGTACCGGCTCCCCCATCGGCGGCATCATCTTCCCCATCATCTTCAGCCACCTGCAGCCCCGCATCGGCTTCGGCTGGGCTACCCGCGTCATCGCGTTCATCCTCCTCGCACTCGCCGTCGTGCCCCTTATCTTCATGCGTCCTCGCGTTCCGCCGCCGAGCCATAAACGCGCTTTTATCGATCGCGATGCGTTGAAAGAGGCCCCGTTTTTGGCGTTCGCGGCATCGGGCGTCGGCGCGTTTTTGGGACTGTATGTGCCGTTTTTTTATATCCAGTTGTATAGTTTGAGGTTCGGGATTGCGGACGAGCAGATGAGCGCGTATCTTGTTACGCTGCTGAACGCGGGGAGTGTTTTTGGTCGTATCTTGCCGAATTTTGTGGCGGATTATGCGGGGAGTATGAATATGCTCGCTGCGACTACGCTCGGCGCGAGTATTCTCGCGTTTGGGTGGTTCGGGGTTAAAGATTTGGGTGGTACGGTTGTGTTTGCGGTGCTGTTCGGCTTTTTTAATGGGGGTGTTACGAGCTTGCCTCCTAGTGCGATCGTGAGCTTGACGCCGGATATGAGTCGGCTTGGGACGCGGATGGGGATGTTGTTTGCGGTTGTTGGGGTTGCTGTGTTGGTTGGGACGCCCATTGCGGGTGCGATTTTGAGGGATCCGGAGGACGCGGGGAGGTGGAAGGGGTTGATTGGGTTTGCGGCCGCGACGATGTTTTATGGTGGTGTCGGGTTTGGGGTCACGGAGCTGTTGCGTTTGAGAGAGAAGAGAAAGAAGGGGAAGGCGGAAGCGAATTAGGGGCTGGGTGTGAGTGAAAGGGTTGCCCAGGTGGTGATGTGGGAAGATGAAGTGTGTTACGATATAATGCTTTTGATGGCATGACTGCATGGAAAGTTGAATAGGTAGGTACCTAGTAGGTATGGGAAAACATGGATACAATACACATAGATTCATGTATATGAACTGGATAGTTGGTTATTTACGCTTGCATCTAGACGGAGGATAATTGATTGACAACGAAACTGCTTTTTTTCGTGTCCTCGCCTCAAGTTCTGCACACGAGATGATTCTGTATATTTCGTTCTTGTATGCTACTATCTGCAAGGCTTACTAGGTACCAACCTAGGGAGTAGCCAATGCTCTAACGTCATTGTTTGACTGGGTCTTTCTTGTTGTCATATTGGAGGCTCAAAGGGATTACTGAGATTACAGACCGATCGTGGGTGAACCTCTGGGCTGCATGTCATGTCAGCACTATAATGCAGGTCCTAACCCAAGTAGGAATCTAAGGACGGTCTTAGATGATGAAATATGTCGGACTTCCGCAGAGATTGACGGATAGCTCATCAAGCCATATACATCGCGATATCGAGGCGACGAATTGGAAGTTGGGTAAAGGTTCATTTTAAAATTTCATTAGTTTAACTGGTTTAGTCTATCTTATAGAATGTCATTCACATTATCACACATTTCGTGGGTAATCCGCAAGGGCCTTCACTCTTCTCTTTCTTCTTCTGTCCTTCTGCGGGAGTAGCAGGGGTTGCCTGCGGTTCTGTCTCCTTCTTCTCGCCACCATGCAGTCATGCGGAGCCGGAGGCGAATTTAGCAACGGTCTTGTAGAACTCAGTACCCTGGATCTCAGCAATGGAAAGCTCCTTCTCGGTAGGCTGTCGCGAACCGTCACCAGCAGCGAAGGTACCAGCACCCCACGGGCCACCGCCGTGGACCTCAGAAAGATCGGTTAGGGTACCGAAGGCCTTAGCGTAGCCGAAAGGTACGTAGATGATACCGTGGTGGGCGAAAGTGGACATGGCAGCCAATGCGGTCGACTCCTGACCACCCCCTAAGGAGGCAGTGGAGATGAATAGACCTGCGAGCTTGCCATGGAAGGCACCGCTTTGCCATTGCTTGCCCGTCTTGTCCCACCACACGCGCCACTGAGCGGGGAAGTTTCCGTATCGTGTTGGGATTCCGAGAAGAAAGCCGTCGTAGGATTCAAGGGTAGCCGGGTCCTCTAGAACAGGGACGTCGGCAGCCGGACCCGGAGCGTACATCTTAGCTAAGACATCCTTAGGGAGAGTCTCAGGGATCCTAGTTCATCGTTAGCAATTATAAGTTAAGAAACAGGAGCGATAGTCATACTGGAAGATATCGGCAGTGCCGCCAGCCTTCTCAATACCAGCCTTCTCGGCCTCGGCTAGCTTGCGGACATGACCGTAAGTGGAGTACTAAAGACGAGTGTCAGTTAACCTTCAACCCAGTCAGGCCATGGCTCGTGACTAGTCCAAGTCACGCCACTGTTTCAGTACGAGAAGTATAATATTTCTGCATGTTTCGGTGCTCAGGTCTTAGCTGAGGGGTAAGGCTTGACGTGTATAATGTATAAGCTCTTCCCCTTTTCTATCCCCGCACGTTCCTCGTATAGGTAATTGGATGGGAGATAGGAGAATAGAGACTTACATAGACAATGGCGATCTTAGGAGCCATTATGAATGAAGGAGATCAGGGGTATCTGGTTGCTGTGCTTGATATGAAAGAGACGAATAGATATTTTGGTATATATAGCAAGTCTGGTGATAGGGTATGGTGTGATGTGTTTAGTGACAGAGCAGGATAGAAATACAAAGGTTAACAGTGGAATGTTGTTGACTTTATACTCGAAGCTACCCCTAGCTGCCCTAGGTACCTTATGTTCATGACAACATGATAGACAATAGCCGCTAACAGACGCCGTTGCTCGAGGGGTGGGGATGGCGTGCTTCATCTCTGCTTACCTTTCTCTTCTAACCATATTATTAAGTCTCCATGTATGTACATGTAATAATGCATGTCACAACCAAGACGATCCTACCGGCATTGGACTTTGATAGTTCGATCTCGTTCCTCGTTCCCTCCTCATTTTTCCAGACCCATCTAAGAAAGTCTCGTTACAAGCTCCACCCCTCCAAGAGGTCAGCTCTCCTGCCGAGCTTGCATGATAGATACCGTAGCGGCGTAGCTTGCAGAGTAGTAACGCGCCGCATCTCGAAGCGGTAGCTCTGCCGGTTTTACGTATATTGGCAATGCATAGGCGGCACCGATGCGATTTAGTTGGTAACACGATCGCAAATTGGAAAAGCTTGGTATGGTTTGTTGTGCTTAGTTGCAGATTACTCAGTCTTGACAATTGGAAAAAGGGAAAAGGGAAAATAGGAAAAATATTCCCGTTAATAGAGTTTCCCCACATCTAAAATAAGGTGTTGTACCTGTACCTCCTCTGCAGTAGTCGTTACGAGCGTTGATATTGTACAAAACTTGTCCATGTAACATTGAAATAAAGTAAACTTAACCTCTAATACTATATCTGTATCAATTACTTCGATACCAAGCTATACCTTACAACCTTCAACAACAATTGTACATCAAATAGATACATAATGTACATTCAGGTACGGTACAATACCCAACCTGCGGCCCCATCCGCCGAGCGGCGAACCAGCTCCAATTCCGGTAAACCTTCTTTTTAAGCTTCCCCAATGCGGGATGATGAAATAGCTGATTAATGGCTTACATGAACTCTCGCGTAATGTTTATGAGAAGTTTGAGAAGTCTGGAATCAAACTAGCCCCATCATTGTATGGACCAAATTGTGGACTCTCAGCTAAATAAACAGATAGCTCCTTATTAGATTCAAGAAGGTACTCCGGAACGAGTGAGGATAGGCAAGGGACTCGTATCATCTATCCGAGGGATGTTTTGTCGTCTTTGACAAAGCAAACGCATACCACATCTCGGGTTTCCACCCGGTCTATAGTGGATCAAGCCTACAGTCAGCACCATCTAAGCGTTGATAACAATCCAATAATCAGCTAATCTTCCCCCATCTCCCCGCAGAGCACCCAGGCATCCTGCAGCCGGCGATCCATAATGTTACAGTGCCGCATGTACCTGCAGTTTGACATCCTCATCTTGGTTTTTCATCTGCTAGCTCAGCTCTTCTCTCCTACAGATGTCTCGGATAAGTACTTAATATATTCTAGCATCACCCACATTATCTCAGGTACCTAACTGGTTGAGGAAACAAATTCTACTCCAAGAGTTGCGTATAATACACCAACGTTAAAGTGAATGCCCGACAAATCACTTTCGTGACGCCATACTCGACTAATCATATAGAAGTCGGACGTTGCTCATCTTAGCAAATTAAGCTTATTGGATCGCATCGATCCTGTAGCAGTGCAGATAGACATCCTCCCTCCTACCCGGTACCGGGTACTACTACAACTCGGAGGGTCCTAGTTCTGCGTCTGACAGAAACCCGAGCGCGGCAGTTTAATATCTACGGTAAACGGCAGTCGAGATTCCGAGAAGACGGCGTTGTATTCTTGGCATTGTCACTTTCTTACCAACAGAACGACTTAAAAAAGAATTCACCTGATATATGATTTCTTGGGACGTCAGATTGCTGAGATAGCTTATGGCGCATTCATATTCCCATAAAAGAGATTGTGAGTTACACAAATCATGGGTTGCATCATTGATATACACAATTAAGCTCTACTTGTTGGGGTGAACACTTAACTTTCAACGCGAGACCAAATCTATGATTTCGATCAATTCTCAGGGGACTGGAATATTCATCATTTAAGATAATCGGTAATATATCCACCAAGCTCCTCTAACGCCTGACGGAGCACCTCCGTCTCGCTCACATACCCTATGCGAACAGTTCCGTCAAAGGAGGAGGTTTGGCCATGTCCGAAACATCGCGACCCCGGCAAAAACATAACTTTGGTCTTCTCCAAGACGTCTTTGCAGAACTGCTCATCGTCGACTGGCGTTCCATCTTTGTTCCTGAACCGCACAAGTGCCGTCGTACCTGCTGTCGGCTTCACCCAGGTGCATGTGTTTGAATGCTCTGCTACGAATTGCTCGAGTATCTTAAGGTTGCTCCTGGCCAGAGACATGTTTCGCGCTATGAGCTGCGGTCGTACAGAGGCGCTTAATGCGTATCGCGCTATCTGGTCGTCTAGCTGTGACACGCTAATAGTGGTGTAATCCCGGGCTGATGCGACAGCCTGGATAATGGATGGGTCTCGTGATGCGATCCAACCGACCCGAATACCGGCTAATGCCCAGGCCTTGGACATGGAGCTCGTGGCTACGGTCTTAGGATAGCCCATTGAGATGGCTGATAACGGTATCTTATCTGGTTCGATGCTGTGGAAGAGTGGTCTGTAAACTTCGTCTGAAAATACGATGATGTCATGCTTTCGGGCAATTCTGATGATCTCTGACAGCACTTCCTTTGGTATCGTCACTCCTGTTGGGTTATTGGGATTGTTGATAACAATCATCTGAATTAACTAGTTAGAATAGAGGGTGTAGTTAGGAGAATGCCTAGGCACGTTGCATGCCTTTGTATTACTCTTGATTAGAGACTCTAGCTCCGTAACATCAGGTACATAGCCATCCTCCGGCTTTAGTTTCCATAGTGAAACCGCAGCTCCTAGGGATTCGGGAATGGTATATAATTGCTGGTAGGTTGGGAACACAGATATAACGTGATCTCCTGGTCCAACTAAGCTGTAAAATACTAAGTGATTGGCAGCTATAGCACCTTGAGTGACGATGATGTTGTCTGTCGTTAGTAAAGGAGTCTGCGTGTTTGTTTTGCTCTCATCTTCGTTGTAGGTAGCTGCTATATTCCGTCGTAGTTCATCAGATCCCAGGATTGGACCGTATGTCATAGGTTTAGAAAAGTCAATAAGTTGGTGTGCATCTGCTTGTTGGTCGCTGTTGAACTGAGCTAATCGATTAATCGATATAGATGAGCAGCATGTCTCGGCGATATTGAGAACCCCCGGAGTGTTCTCATACTTGTCCATCCACTGCTCGACTTCGAATGGAGGGAGTTTCACCATGTTGAATGTGACTAGGTAGTATGTTAGGTAACCTGATAAGGGCTCGATAGTATTAAGTGTGTCGATCTAAGGGTCACAATAATATTCGAGGCAATCCACAAGGAAGGAAGTTCTTCTTCTAGATATAAGAGTCTTACGTATGGTTCGTTACATTGGAAGGGCGTGATGTGGGACTGGTAATCGCCGGAGGTCGACCGGAAGGCGTACATAAGCTATCATATACTACCCAGAAACTAGATATGCGGAGAGTGGAGATAAGTTGTATCGAACCCCTATATCCCTATCAGATGGTTATAAGGACAGCTATTTCTTGTCAATTATAGCCATCGATATCGTCAACTTGCAAGTAACGTTCAACTATGCCGGCATGAGCTGAGACATCTAAAAGAAACCAATTGAGTTCGGGTGCCAGGAGTATAGACCAATAGCTGTCTGATTATGACGACGTATAATTCAGTCATTATTAATTTATTCTGTTTATTTCGACCATCTTCCTTATGGCTTTGAAAATATCGATAAAATTGAATGATATCATTTCTGAGAGGAATAAGCCTCTCAACCTTGTTCGATCGAAAAATAGATCTAGAAAAGGTCAAGTTGTGAAATGTTCATGCTGTAAAATATACCTCTTCTAGGCTTGGAGTCTCTATTGAGTTCCAAGGTTGCCATAAAGTCTTTCTAATTGAAGAAGAAGGCAATGCATCCTTAGAAAATGATATGATATTGTTTATGATGACCTCAAGGATGGGGTTTAAACAACTTATGATGAGCATACTGCCCCTTTAATAGTAGAATTTGTTGAAATATCTCATCATTGTCCGATCTTCAATTGTACTTGAACAATGCGCGAAACTCTGATATGGCCATAAGTTGGGGACCCCATTCCGAGGCTAGTGGATGCGCTTACTATTTGGAGAAGCACTAGACCCGCTAAGCTTCTATCTAGAGCCAATTATCGTGCCACCCTGAACTTTGCTTGTACAATGTAGGACGGTCGCTGCCTACCGCTGCTAGTCCTATGTACATCCTAGGCAGGCACTGTCCATTGTCCAAAGCTCAGTGCTCATCTCCAAATCTAAATCTAATCTCTCATCTCTTCATCTTCTATCTATTACAATACAGTATCTTTCTCTTGAGAAGTCATCATCTTCCGGACTTAGATTGTGGATTTCCTACTTTCTCTTCGTTCCCACTTCTAAACTATATCCAATTTATTTTATTTACCTCGTGATTAATCCAATACGGAATCCCCATCGCTGACATCATTCACGCGGGTAGCTTGACCCAGCAACCAGCAACCAGCAGCCAGCAAGCCAGCATAAGCGTGCGTGGGCTAACCACAGCTGGTGGTGTAGGGGTGGTGCGGTCAGCAGGCCAACCGACCGACCTGAGCATCTGGGCATCTGGTCTTGACTTTTGAGTGGTTTTAGGGACCTGCAACCCGGGGCAACCTACCCGCTTTCATCTTGGAGCTCTGTCTTTCCGTGTTTCGTGTTTCGTGGGGCTTACAGTCTAATGTGCCAGCCTATCGCTGACTCCCGTCTTCCCCTTCTTAAACATACCTAGCTTGAGCTTTGGGTTGAGTGATCGCAAGCATCGATAACTCTCCTTTTATGGCATCATTCATCATGTCGCCGTCGGGGTTTCGACGCGCGGCCCTCGGTGCGCTGTCGCTGTCGCTATCATGTCTTGTCGTCGCTCAAAATAACTATACCCAAATAGATATGATGCGGGCGCAGTTGGCTCTCCTCGACGGTCGGCCAAGTGATTGTCCACCATGGTATATCAACCTCACCCTTTCGTCGCTTGGTGTTTCGCAAGCTAATAAATCATATTATCTAGCTTTAACTGTCTTCTTCCAGCCTACGAGTGTGGTCAATATTCCGAATGCAACGAATACAACGGGAAATGCGAATGCCCTGCAGGTTTTGGGGGTGACGATTGTTTCGAACCGAGTACGATTGCCTGTGATATTCCGACCTAGTCTAATGTCTCGCTAACCATGTTACAGCTTGCGGTTCGCTCGCTCGAGGTAAAGATCGACCGATAAGATCAGGTGATACTTGTGAATGTGACGAAGGTTGGACTGGAATCAACTGTAACGTCTGCACTCAGAATAACGCTTGTGATGCTCTTATGGAAACCGGCAGTGGTGGTGTCTGTTACCAGAATGGCGAGGTTGTACAGACTAACCATCAGATGTGCGGCGTTACGAACGAAAAGATCCTTACTATGCTCGATGGCAAGATTCCTGAGGCCACCTTCACTTGCGAGAAAGAAAAGGGCATCTGTGACTTCCAATGTAAGCCCAAATTTATCATGATGCGACGATTATGTTATTGACCATATACTAGTTTGGATTGACAGACTCGAATCCTTCTATTGCCACCTCGAAAGCTGTGAATCTAGCGCAGACTTTACCTCGGACCAGAACAGTACCTATTACAAGTGCCCCGATGTTAAGTGTAACTGTATCAAGGATCGTATGTTATGTGGAGCTGAAGGTTCTATCGACTTGACGGATTTTCTTCACGAAGAGGTTCACGGGCCTGCCACCTTCAGCTGCCTACAAGAGAATGGCGGTATCAATAATTGCAAATTTAAGGAGCCGTCGTTAGACTGGATGGTGGGTAATTTCTTCGGCGATGAGAGTATCGAGTTGGATTGTCGATCTGGCGAATGTCTTTACCACACGCAGGTCCCCGGCTACGAACGTCCTATTAAGAAGATCAACACGCCTTTGATTGCGGGTGTCATTGCGGGATGCTCCTTATTCCTTGTCGCTGTCGTCTTGCTTATCTGGTATCTTTCTCACCGACAGTACCGATACGGACCTATCGCCCTCGATGACTCCGATGACGAAGCTATCAAGTTGATGACCGACCATAAGCCGGCGACTTTACACTTTGAAAATGTTTCTTATGGCCTCAATGGGAAGGTTATTCTCAACGATATTAGGGGAATTGCGCATCCCGGGGAGATTACGGCCATCATGGGTGCCTCGGGTGCGGGAAAGACGAGCTTTTTGGATATCTTGGCCCGCAAGAACAAGCGCGGCCAGACGTCTGGAGACTTCTATGTTAATGGAGAAAAAGTCACTGATACCGAGTTCAAGAGCGTGGTAGGCTTTGTTGACCAAGAGGATACCATGCTTCCAACCCTGACTGTTCACGAAACGATCTTAACGAGCGCTCTCCTTCGTCTTCCCCGTGGAATGGGTCGCGCAGCTAAGGAACAGAGGGTTTATGAAGTTGAGAAGCAACTCGGTATCTATCATATCCGCGACTCCCTGATCGGATCTGAGGAAGGCAAAGGCAGAGGTATCTCCGGTGGTGAAAAGCGGCGTGTCGGTATTGCTTGCGAGCTTGTTACTAGCCCCTCGATTCTGTTCCTCGACGAACCAACCAGTGGTCTGGATGCTTTCAACGCGTTTAATGTCATCGAGTGTCTTGTGACTCTAGCAAAGACATACAAACGAACCGTCATCTTCACCATCCACCAGCCGCGCTCTAACATCGTCGCCTTGTTTGATCGCTTAATCCTTCTTGCTCAGGGAAAGACGGTATACTCCGGACCCTTCTCTCAGTGCCAAGACTATTTCGACCACATTGGGTATTCTTGTCCTCCAGGCTTCAATATCGCGGACTACCTCGTTGATCTTACGATGCATGCCGGCTCCTCTAGTGCATTCGATGATGGGTCTATTGTGAATGATGTAGCGAGCGTTGGTCCTAGTAGCATTACCGCTGTTAAGTCCATTGCACTTGCGTCTGGTGCTACTAGCATCGCTGAGGATAGTTCGGAGCCATCGTCAAGTCGGCCCCAGAATAAGCGCAAGGACTCGGTTAAGGCAAGGCAAGAACGCGAGCTCTTCACGAGGCGGAAGAATACTATCGACACTGCTGCATCTTCTGACGTCGACGAGGATATTGGATCGTATAAGTTACGGAAACAACCCGCCGGCCTCACTTTGCCACAAGTTGTCGTCGAGGACGTCCATGATCTTCCACCATCTGCGGCAACTAATCTCGATAGCCTTGTCCACTCATATGCCGAGTCTCACATTGCGGGTAACATTCACGACGAAATCGAACATGCGGTAACTACTGCTCGGGTTGCTAACGGCCATAACGGGAACGGAACTAATGGCGTACATGCTAACGGTAGCGCAATTGGTCGCGGCTACGCTCGTGTCGGTTATTTGACACAGTTTATCATCCTCTCACAGAGAACGTGGAGGAACCTTTACCGCAACCCGCTTTTAATGTTAACTCACTATGCCATTGCGATAGTCCTTGCTGTTCTCTCGGGATATCTCTTCTACGGCCTCACTGATGATATTCCCGGATTCCAAAACCGACTCGGCCTGTTCTTTTTTCTCTTGGCTCTATTCGGCTTCAGCACATTGACCAGTTTGAATGTCTTCGCTTCCGAACGCCTTCTGTTTGTCAGGGAGCGAGCAAATGGATACTACTCGCCTATCACGTATTTCCTCGCAAAGGTCCTTTTCGATATTATTCCTCTTCGAATAATTCCTCCGATTCTGATGGGAGCGATCGTATACCCCATGACAGGCCTTATACCGGATGCCCCGCATTTCTTCACGTTTATACTCGTGCTTGTCTTATTTAATATGGCTGCCGCCGCGATCTGCTTATTCATAGGCATTGTCTGCAAAGACAGCGGCGTAGCGAACCTGATAGGAAGCTTGGTCATGCTTTTCTCTCTGTTGTTTGCCGGTTTACTTCTTAATCACGACGCGATTCCCGATGCTGCTCTCTGGCTCCAGTCCTTGTCCATCTTCCACTACGGCTTTGAAGCTCTCATTGTTAATGAGGTTATCAAGCTTACTCTTGTAGATAAAAAGTATGGGCTCGATATTACGGTCCCTGGAGCGGCGATCTTGAGCTCGTTTGGTTTCAACAACAGCGCGAAATGGATGGATGTGGCCAACTTAGGTATTTTCGCCGCAGTCTTTGTGGTGTTAGCCTACGGCGCTATGCATTTCTTGCTCGTGGAGAAGCGATAAAATATGATCAGGATGGACCGAGGAATGTGTAGAATACATTGGAACCCATTGGAGCATTTGATGCACCGTTGCATTTCAACCTATCTGTTTGCATAGCTCGGTTAGTACTTGAGCTGGATTGCTCAAGGGCATATGGGATACTTGGGGCGTTCGAAGGTTAGGCATGTTCGTTAAAGTCGTCAACCATTTTATACTACAATATGATAGATGACCAATGTTTTTATACATATGATACAACTTATGGAGTTGTGTAATTTGAATCTGGTTAGGTAATGGCAACCATGTATAGTAGTTGGCAATAGTTCCGTAGGTTGTAACACAAAATTCTGTAACCGAATGTCGTGATCTAGCAACTTCCGGTCTCGACTTTGTATGCCCAACTTCTCCTTTCCCTTCCATACCCTCATCAAATTCCATCCAGCTTACCACCCGTAAGTTCCTCAGCAACCTCCTTCTGCCTCTTTAGCGTGCGCGTCTTCTCCGTCTCAAAGCTCTTCACCGCCGTGCTCGACGTCCGCGACACTTCGTTCAGCATATCCGACACCGTCTGCGGCTTGCCGTTCAAGTCCCAAATATTCCGCACCTCGAACCCACTCGCGGATAAGCCCATATTCTTCCAGTAGTCCGGCGCAAATAGCTTATTCACCTCGGCTTCCAGATCAGACTCGGTCACAATGAATGACCGTGCCTTCATATACAACTCCTGGATAGCGTCGCGGCGCCGCTCGCTCTTCTGCGCCAGCAGCGCCGTCGTGCGCTCCCGCGAGGCAAGCGCTTTCTCGAACCGTTCCGGGTCCAGGACTACCGCCGTCTCTAGCGTCCGCGGGTTAATCGACGCACGCGTCAACCTCTCGTCTTCTCGCTCCGGTGCCGCCGCCGCCGCCTGGTGTAGGGCTACTTTCGCCGCTTGCCGTTCCGCGCGCTTCTTGTCTGTCAGTTGCTTGCGCTTGAACAGCGCTCGTATGCCCACGCGCAGGTTCTCCCGTCGCGAGGCGGCCATCCGCCGTTTCCATCCTTGGATCTCGGACCGCGGCGGTTGTTGCGATTTTGCGGACGTGGGCTTCGGGGCGGATTGGGCGAGCCAAGAATTTCGCGGCTTCAGGTGGCTGTCTCGGTGCTTGAAGACTTGGCGCGGGATCGGGAGGTGTCCGCGGATAGGCTTGAGTTCGCGCAGGGCTTCGATGGATTGGTCTTGCGGTGGGTTGGGCACGTTGATGAAGAGAGGGGATTCCGGGGGGATGCGCTGTTGTGTCGAGGGTCGCGGGGCGCTGGTGGAGAGGAATCGGGTGAGGGTTCGTGGGAGGAGAGTTGGGCGGGGGAGTAGGGGCGGCATTTTTGGAGGTGGCGTGCCTACAGGCACTAATGGAGGGGAATTGAGGACCACTCAGTCAATTGAGGTTGGCGGTATTGTTCGTATATCGTTTAGTATCGTAGACAGAGCAGTTGTCTAGCTCTTAATCTTGTGTTCGATGTTGAATTCCACTTAGGAAAAGTTGCAAATGAAGAAATTCATAATGCCCCACTTTGGATAGTCTGGGGTCCAATCCGATGCGTTCATGATTGGGGGTAAAATTCGGAGGAATTGAGATGCCAAGACACTAATCTAATCGATAGTAAGCTAATGGAAAGAAGAAAAAAAAAGTTCCAAGTCCCCACCAGCCTTTTTTCTTTACTTCTACGAACCATCTTCCAGTCTTTCCTCCCTCTACCATTTCCCTTCTACCAAACCTCGCCTGCTCATACCAAACTTGGGCGCAATGGGTACTGGTAAGAAAGAACGTAGCCGGCTGGCCCGGCAGGGCAAGTCGGGTACGGGAATGGACAACATCAAGGTCAAGGGCGAGAATTTCTACCGCACTGCGAAGAAGGTCAAGACCTTGAACATGCGAAAGGATGAGGGCAAACCAGTTCGAAATGCCGATGGCAAGATCATACAAGCTGCCAAGTACCAATCCAGAGATATACCGTCTGCTAGGGTCGAACCTAACAGGAAATGGTTTACCAACACCCGTGTCATCTCGCAAGACTCCCTTAAGGCTTTCCGCGACGCGATGGCTGAGAAGGCCAACGACCCTTACCAAGTTCTCTTGAAGTCGAATAAGCTACCTATGACTTTGATCAGGGATGACACGAATACTCAGAATGGCGTAAAGCAACACAAGGCCAAGATGGCAATTGAAAGCTCTCCGTTCGCCGACGCCTTTGGTCCTAAATCTCAGCGGAAGAGAGTGAAGTTAGGCGTAAGCAGTCTGATGGATCTGGCCGAGGATACCGAGAAGAGCATGGACACATATAAGGAGCGTCTTGAGCAAGCAAGACTTCTGAGTGGCAATTCCGGAGCTGGAGCTGATGGTGATGGTGAGGGCCAGACCACTGCCGAGGGTGCCCTTACTATGGCCATTGAACCTATCTTCAATAAGGGTCAGAGCAAGAGAATATGGAATGAGCTCTACAAGGTTCTTGAGTATGTTACTACCTTACCTATCTTGGTCTTTTTTTTTTTTTCAATAGAGTAAATGCTAACAGCGAATAGTGCATCGGATGTTGTCATCCACGTACTTGATGCTCGCGATCCTCTCGGTACTCGATGCCGCAGCGTTGAGAAATATCTTAGGGAGGAGGCGCCACATAAGCACCTAATCTTTGTCCTAAACAAGACCGACTTAGTACCCACAAGCACAGCTGTAAGTGTCATAATCCTTCACATTCTGCTATTTGCTATTTCTCGACCCCAATGCTCTTAGTCAGGGTGCTTGTTCTATATCCAGTGAGAAGCATCCGTTACAGCATTGGGAGATTAACTATCTACACTTACTGTTCTCATGTCTTCGGACTGGGAGCTGGCGGGGTTCCGTTTTGGGGCGCCGCCACTAGTTAGGCCGTGTTTCATTTTGAGTTGAAATCTATCTCTACCTATTTGGGCGGCTTGTGGTTGATTTCTTAGTAATGATTCATACATCCATCGAACTCGATTTTAATTATTTTGAATGTTACATAAACATTGAGTATAAGCTAACAATACTCAAGGCTGCCTGGGTTCGCAACCTCTCTAAAGACTACCCCACTCTTGCTTTCCATTCAAGCATAACGAATCCATTCGGCAAGGGTTCTCTAATTCAACTTCTCCGACAATTTTCACAATTACACTCGGATCGCAAACAAATATCTGTCGGCTTAATAGGATATCCCAATGTGGGGAAGTCATCAATCATTAATACCCTGCGGAAAAAGAAGGTTGCTAAGGTAGCTCCTATTCCCGGCGAAACTAAGGTCTGGCAATATGTCACGTTGATGAAGCGGATATATCTTATTGATTGTCCGGGTGTTGTCCCACCTAACCAGAACGATACCCCTCAGGATATCCTCCTTCGTGGCGTGGTTCGAGTTGAGATGGTGGAGAACCCCGAGCAATACATTCCGGCGCTTTTGTCCAAGGTCAAGCAGCACCATATGGAGCGTACGTACGAAATAAAAGGGTGGACTGATCACACCCACTTCCTAGAGCTTCTTGCTCGAAAGGGTGGTCGCTTATTGAAGGCCGGCGAACCAGACGTAGATGGAGTTGCTAAGATGGTATTGAACGACTTCATGCGAGGCAAGATTCCATGGTTCACCCCGGCGCCCGTTGTAGAAGGGGAGGAAGGAAAAGTCATAGAAGGCCGTGAAGGTAGACTCGGTGAAATGCCAAGGAAGCGAAAGAGAGATGACTTGGAGAGTGTCCCCGACGCATCCGTGGCCGCATCGGCTACATCAGTTGCAGACGAAGAAAGTGAAAGTCAAGATGATGAAGAATTCGAAGGTTTCGGCAGCGGCAGCGAGCAGTCATCAGAAGATGAAGCCGAAGCTGGAATTGAAGACGATGAGGAAGATATGATACCCCTGGAAGAGCTGAGCGACATTGACAGTGAATCCGGCGACGAGGAGGAAGGATGAACAATGGCTTTGAACGCGACAAAATAGTCGGTTTGACCAACCGCCGCTTATAAGCTTCCTAGCCTAGGATAATTCCAGCTTACCTTCCAATTCCAGTGTCGCCAGGGATGAGGCAAGCGGACCGACAACAAGGTCAACAGCACTCCCGTCCCTCCATTTTAACTAGTTGGAACGATTGTCCTCTAGTGACATCACAGACGTCCTCCACCTACTAGACACCCTTTAGTTGCTATTTGGATTGGCTGTGTGTAAGCCTAGCACGAAACTACTACCGACTCCTAGAGTTGCCCGAGGCGAAACTTGAGGCACAGTATAGTTCCGGGTAGGACTTGGACGATGTTCGGAAGGGATCTTTTCCCGTCCTATGACAGACACAACTTTCTCATCTTGCGGAATGTACATCCGATGGCATATTAGCTGCTCGAATACTTGTCGGCCGATTCATGACGATGCATTCCGCAGATCTGGGCACTTAGTGTCAACGGGCCATTAAGGCATAATATATCAACCGAGCCAACATCAAACTAAATTTTTGGCGACATAAAAAGACGCCAATGCCCATATCTTCAACGTATTTTAAATTGAATGTGAACGAAGATGTGATTGTAATACTCGAATTTTGAGCCTCCCGAGCGATTTCCGATATTAATGACGACACCCACGAAGCACAGTCCTTTTGTCCAAGCATTGAAGACGCTTTCCTATTCTAGCATTGTTCCTGCCAGCCCCAATCACCTTTCATCACAGTTGGTCACTTGTGGTTACCCTCGAATTTCACCTGTACTCTCCAAGGTCCCCCCTAGAACTTGCTTCACTTCAATGGATGGCGAAGGTAAATAGGCAAGCGCGGGAACAGCAGCAATAATAAGAAATGCCTATGCACGCGAGGATCATTTCTTCGGTCGTCCTACGTTCGTTTCGAATTTTAAATACCTTCATCTTCCGCCATGCCATTTCGCTAATTCTCGATTACTGACCCAACTTCCCAATTTTGAATGTCCTGTCTACCATTTTTGGCCCTTTCTTGGGAAGAGTCATCATAGTCAAAGTTCTTTTTGGTCTCATGCAGAACTCTCCAAGATTTTATTGCCATCCAAGTTACTTGTAGCTAAAATGCTGCTACCCATACTTACAATAGCCTTGTTGGCATCACTCGCCTCCGTGAGAGGTTCCTCTGTTCAGATGGACCTTCAGATGAACGCTGGTTGTGGCTTTCACCTTACCACAACAGGCGGATATAATGGCTCAGTGGGACAGCTAGGTAATGGTCAAGTCAGGGCTGGGAGCGATTTGTCGCCGTCTCTGTTCACTTGGTTTGGGGACGCCTTCGCTGACCAGCAGGGTAGAGGCTGCTGGTGGACTCGTATGGTTTACCTGAATGTTCGCTTTCGTTTCTCGGCGAATTTGCTAACTTTATGGTTGCCGATCTAGCTCCTACCTCTGTCCTCCAGTGTGACTGGAACCAGCAACCAGCCCACGGTTTCGCAATCGGGTGTAACGGTGGCGTTTCGTACAGAGATCAGACTGCATTCTACGAATGTCACACCGGCGACCGCGACGAAGTCAACTTGTATTTGCAGCCGAGGGGGGTTGACTGCTTAACAGTTATGATACACGCTGATAGCTGTCGACCTCCATGTGCTGGAGAAGGCTCTTCATCACACCTACCCTCACCTAATCCTACACCAACACCCTCCCAAACCCCAACAAGTCCGACGGGTCAGAACCCCTCAGACACGGGATCACCTACGACCTCTTCTCCTACACCAAAAAACACTCACCCACCGGGCGAATGCGACGTAGTCATCGCCGAAGGCCCCGACGAAATCATCTTAATCGACAGAGCCAACCCCGACATTGCCTACGGCCCAAATCCAGACATGATCGTGCAGCTCTCCCCAAACGCATCCACCATCTTTGTCTTCCGCCTCTCATCCTCCGACGCAGGCAAAGAATGCGGTTTCATCTTCGACCTCCCCTTTCCCTCGCAACCTCTTCCCTACCGTTTAACGGGTTCGGGTTTAGTTAGTTTCGCGGTCTTAGACGGGCCTCAGTTGGAGTCCGGAAATACGACTTGGAATGGAACACCGGGCGTCGCGATGCCGCTTGAGTCCGTGACCCTGAAGCCTGGCATGCGTATTGAGCCGGTGAGTTTCCCGTGCCCCAGCGCGGATACTGAGGTTGCGGTTTTGATGACGGATGGACTGGAGTCGGATGCGTGTTTGGAGTATGAGCAGTTAGACTCGGGGACGCCGATGGGGCTTTATCTTGTGAAGTGCTGAGTGCCAATGCCAGACTGGGGAAAACGGGGAGTTTGGTTGAGGCTGGGGCTGGAATAGGGGTATTAGGATTTTTGGTCTGGAGGTTTGGTGGATATACTACTCCCTCTTCCCCCTTTTTGGAACGATGTTTTGGAGTTGTATATTAGGTTATACTGAGACATGCAGAGTCGGCGTGAGGTTATTAGAACTCAGAAGGCTTACTATGTGAGAGAGATTGAGGATATTGGTAGATTAGATTCTAACGATATGGATCTTACTGAGAGTTTCTTGTAGAGTGATTTTGGGTGAGGTGATTGGATTTTGCGTCTTGCTTAGGATTTGGCTTCTCGGATAGCTTCATACTGTTAAGGAACCCCTTAATATTATATAGTGGCGGTCTACATGCCGTCGTGGCGCAAGCGCGCGATAATCTTTCAGACCATACTCAGACCGGTCTTGTTAGAAATCAGCCGTACACCCTCCCATTGGATTATACGCAAGCCTCATACTGAGAACTTACATGTTGTGATGACCCGACATAGCCTTCACCGGTCATCTTTGAACCTCTTGTGGCCGCCACCGTCGGGTAAAAAGCCTTAATGATATTATCGTACCTAGTAATTTATGATAATTAAGCCTTTCATCCCATCCGTTCGCTTGAGCACAACTTGCAAGTCTCCGAACCTGGACGCTGGTTTTGAAGCACCCTAAGAGTGCTCGTAGGTAGGTATATATAGATAAGTAGGCATTCAAATTATCAATGGATTCGCATCGTAGGTACCTAGGTATCTTATATGGCTTGAGAATGGCAATTTCTATAAGGCGCTTTAATATGAAGGAAGGGCCACAATTGAGAAGATATATTGCTCACATCAGATGCCACAACATATCATCAATCAACCCAAACCACAATATAGCTGTTTCATTATTGATGACTAATTATAGAATATAACGAAAACACTTCATTCCAAAGTACTGGATGAATATTACCTAAGGAACGGAAAAGTGAGCTGTGCTATTCACCGAAGCTGAACAGTACCTATATTGTTATTACAGGTACATAGTTGCCAGCCGCATGATGGAGTATATTCCTCTGAAGCAAGTAGAACGAAATGCCTGAAAGGTTAGTACAAAATATTATCATGAAGAACGTCATGGCCAATTTTCAAAAGCAATTCCAAGCGGTTAAAACATAGGTAGGTACTTATTCAATGATTATCCTTAACTCTTGTAATTCAATACTCCTATACCTACCTACCTAGCTGGTAGTTACCTAGGTACCTAGGTTGTATAGCTTCTAGAAAGAGAATTAGCTTTAGGGAGGTATTGTAAAGAAAGTTCGTTTTCGATGTGTTATTTTAGACAATCGTGTTCTCAACTATGTTGATACTTAACTAGAAGTTGAATGAGTTACACGGTCAGCTTACCAAGAATGTCTGTCGCCAATTGTCTTAACTCCGACTAAAAATGGGATTAATATGTAGGTAGAATCTTACGTGCAATATTGGTATTTCATAGGAATAAATTGAAAAGCTTACGTTGACCATGTTGGACAAGACAGATAATTGTCATATCTACCTACTGCATGGAACACGCCACGACTATTATGTTAGAAGTGAGCAACCTGCAAACTACGTAAGGTTGGTAGTTTATCTGAAGTTCTCTTGTAAAAGGTCGTGTAACGAATCATCCTCTATTAGAGTCCCAACGTATGAGTACCTATGCAACCATAGGATTCGCAATCTAATGGCACATAATCTCATCGGGTCCACGAGTAGGATGTAAGAACTAATATCTCGATGCAGATCTTCTCCAGAGATGGCCATAGATCTAAATTAGTAAATCTACAACCTTACTAACCGAAATCTTACATCGTTGTTACAGGATCGGTTGACTTCACCTCTCCTCAAGTGTTCGTTTCAACTTCCACTAACAGCTATCATATTACGTATTGCAGAAGAAATGAGTTCCGTCGGTATCGTAATGTTGGTATCAATATATTGCTTTTAGGGTAGGTGAAAAGATTCTTACCTATGGAGGGTGATGCCAACAAAACACCGGCTATCTGGAATAACGACAGATGCCAGTAATCAATGATGAATAAGGCTATCTCACATGCTCTGACGATTCCTTCGGCAATCTAGTTGAATATATAAAAATATAGTTACACTATACCTTGCCATGAGCAATATTGTGCTGTCGTCATCGTAACGTTGCAGTGCCCGAGCGGGAGCTCTCTTCAACTTCTTCCCCTTTATCGCTAGAGAGTGGGAGTCGGGTCTGGTCTAGGGCCACGGGGAGTAGTTGGGGTTATCTATGACAAGATAATGTTCAGATGCACGGCTTTATTAAGGGATTGTTGCATGGAATGTGAGCTCGCACCCATCTCAGATGACCTTAGTTCCCCGGATCTGTAGCGGAGGTAGTCGTTAAGCTTAAGTCTGCACTGCTAGGAATCTACAACCGCTACCAGATAGCTTGTCAAAAGACATATGAAGGTTGCAATGACGCAGATAGACCTTGTCAACCCCCCTCTGAGTGCTTGCATGGCCTTGCAATGAAATCGCGATTCCTATTTGTTGGTTCTGGGCCTCTATTCCGAATTAGGAAGCTGTGCATGCCAGGCACTATCACACTCCGGTACCTGCTGCGAGACACATGTCTCTAATGATGACAGTAAAACCTGTCTTATCAGCTCTTGTGATGTAGCTAGAAGTGGTGGAAATTAGATAAAAATCCATTGTGATACTTACACGTTAAAACACGCTTGACCAGAGCCGCAACATGTCTTACGCGCGTGGGGCACGGCGGCTGTAGGTGAGAATTCCTACAGTCGGTTGGGGTCGCTCGTCCGAACATGGAAGTTCCAAATTTCAGCTCATCTCGGGCTGGGATACCGCACTCGTAGGATGAACTACTATTCTGTTGCCGGACCCCAGTCGCCCGAGAAAGAGTCCGTTGCCGGTAGCTCCCTTGCTATGTTCTCCATTCGCATACTGGGTATCTTTTCGTGCGATAAACATAAGCCGCGTGGAGTTGCCAGCTCGATCACCTGCTTTAATCGGTTCCAACATTGACTGCAGTGTAATTCCAGGTACTCGATTTAGACTTGGCCCTGTCGATGCCACCTAGATAGGTACAGGTTTATGCTAGGGATCAGCGCTATTTTTGGGTTACGTCGAGGGGTATTGCCTAGGCTGATGTCTAAGTAGGGAACTCAGGATACACCAAAGGCATGTCATGGGTTTGGTTGCACGAGTTGGGATGTCATCTCATGGCAAATGAGACACCACAGGCCTGTAACGTTAGTAAAGGACACTGGCCAAATGCCACGAGGAGACGGGAGTAAGAATGTGAAGGAAATATATATAGGGCAGGTAGATCTCTTCATGAGACTGAATATCCATTCCAAGCCAGTCTTCTCACTCCAGTCCGTCCTTACAGTCTCAAATCTTCGATTCAACTAACAAATCAAATATGTTTTCTTCTACTCTGACCCTGGCAGCTGTTGCCAGCTTTCTTCCATCCGTCTTTGCTGGCTTCGACGCTTCCAAAGTAAACAATGTTGCCGTATACTGGGGTAAGCTCATCCGATAAACTGTATGGATATGTGAATCTAAGCTGAGATATGATGATAGGCCAAAACTCACTAGGCCAAGCAACTTCGCAGACGCGCCTAGCCGACTACTGCTCAAGTAAGCGTCTTCTATTCATGTACCCAGTGCTGCATTTGCTAACATGACTTCCACAGACACTAAGATTAACGTGAGACACACGAGTTTCCCAATTAGAAGTCCAGAGATACTTACCATATGCTTGATAGATCATCCCACTGTCCTTTATGAACGCCATCTCAACGCCTACCGTGAACTTTGCCAATGCCGGCGACAACTGCACTGCGTATCCCGGCACTTCGCTTTTGAACTGCCCCCAGCTTGAGGCGGATATCAAGACATGCCAAGCCCAGGGAAAGACGATCATCCTTTCACTCGGAGGTGCGACGTACACCGAAGGCGGCTTCTCATCTTCCTCTGCAGCTGAGACCGCGGCCCAAAATATCTGGAACCTTTTTGGCCCGGACACCACCCAGGCGAACCGACCTTTCCGTACTGCCGTCGTCGATGGCTTCGATTTCGACCTCGAGTCCACGAACCAGAACTTCGCGCCTTTCGCCACTAAGCTGCGCTCGCTGATGAACGCCGACAGCAGCAAGACCTACTACCTTTCTGCCGCGCCCCAGTGCCCGTACCCCGACGCCGCGGACAACGACATGCTGAACGGCGTGGTCCCATTCGACTTCATCATGATCCAGTTCTACAACAACTACTGCGGTGTCTCATCGTACGTGGCCGGCTCCACGACCCAGAACAACTTCAACTTCGCGACCTGGGACGACTGGGCGAAGAACACCAGCAAGAACAAGAACGTCAAGATCCTCCTCGGTGTCCCCGCTAACACTGGCGCTGGCGGCGGCTACGTCGATGCTACCACCCTTGCCGGTGTCATCTCGTACTCGAAGAAGTTCTCTAGCTTCGGCGGTGTCATGATGTGGGATATGTCGCAGCTGTACGCTAACTCGGGCTTCCTCGACTCCGTCTACTCCTCCCTGTCCGGCTCCAGCTCCAAGGCCAGGGCCGTCACCACCTTGGTCAAGAAGGCCAAGCCTGCTCCTACCCAGGTTGCTTAGATTGCCTAGTTAGTGGGCAGTGAGTGAGTCTCCTTGCTTCGACCCAGTGCTAGCTAAGCCTACCTGCTAACGTGGATAATCATAGATGAACAATCGTTAGCTATCGAACGCTCGTTTCTTTCCAAAAGTAACTGGTGGTTTTCTTGTGAATAGGCTGTTGCCACCGAAGACCATCACGTTTCCTTACTTATCAACGATGGCATAGCGATGGATATTGATGTTTTATGGGATTCCGTGACATTCGTGTATATATTTTTCTCTTCGTGTATATATCGAGACCGGCAGATATGGGAGGAACCCAGGCCGCCAATTTTATCTACATTTTATCATAATTGCTGGTTCTTGTTCGGTAGTTGTCGTGAGGGAGAAAACTTGAAATTTCTGAGATTGTCAGCTTACTAGGTACGATCGGTGCACGGACGTCCGTCCCTCCATTAATGGGTCATTCTTGACCCCCACGCCAGCCACCTCGGGAGCTTGCAGCCCTAGGGATTCCTCTCCCACGCGCCGACTTGCCCAGCAATTAATAAACGCCCTACGGCGGGTGCATCCGCTAGGTCCGGCTCCTACTGTAGCTCATTTCCTTCTCCTCCTTTGCTTTTTATTTTTTTTTTTTTACTTTCAAATTCCAGACATGCAGATGCAGGTATCCTTCCCTATTACAGGTTTGTGACGAATGGGATGATTTTGCTGCGGTTCACCGTAGCATAGCCCATAATTCCTGCTACTCTTATTCCCTCTCGGGATACCTGAAATGGTTGGTGGCCAGGAGAGTAAAAGGGTAGACAGCTAAACACAGAATGCATGAGGGTTGGGCATGGAACACCACTCCAACAGTGATGCTGAAATTGGTCATCATCTACAGAGTACAGGTAGGGTATCTCGACTGCCAGACCTTCTAGGGAGCCCTAAAAGACTGGTGTTGGCCCGGGCTTTAACAAGAAAACTTATCATATTTGACTTGGATAGTTGTGTGATGCCTGTTTAGCGGCGCAGCCCAACCATATTCTATCCATCGCTTGTATGTTTCCTTCACTGAATACAAAACCGGCATGTCCACTCACACAATATGAACTGGAATTGGGGAAGAAAAAGCAATAATGTACGACGGATTGCCTGAAGACGAGATCCCTGACGTGTATGAATTCATTGAAAATGTAGAGTTTCTTGAGCGCTATTGTCCGGGTGGCTACCATCCGATCCACATTGGCGAACGCCTCATCGATCGATATCAAATTGTGCATAAATTGGGATTCGGCACGTATTCTACTACGTGGCTTTGTTGGGATGTGCAAACTTCCACATAGTCCGCCGTCAAGATCGGAGTAGCAGATGCGGAATATCAAGACGAAAGTAACATTTGGAGACTCCTTACTGGTACTGACTCCGATCTAGCCGTCTGTCCAGCTCAAGCTCTTATACCAAAACTTCTGGATGAGTTCGATGTCCAAGGTCCAAATGGAACCCACCGATGTCTTGTCATTACGCCTGCACGTACGAGCATATCTGATACACGAGATGCTTCATCCAAACAACTGTTTCAACCCTCAGTAGCGAGGGCGATTGCGGCTCAGCTCATCCAAGCTGTTGTTTTTCTACATTCACGGGATGTCGTCCATGCAGGTTTGTACTCCGACGCAGAAAAATAGTATGCAAGTAGTAGCTTACCATTCTGTTAGACCTTCATGAAGGAAACGTCTTACTACGAATGGTGAAGCCGATTGATGGTTTGGCACCTGACGAATTGTATGAAAAATACGGTTATCCCGAAGAAGAGAAAATCGAGAGAGCAGATGAACAGCCTTTAGACGAAGGCGTTCCAACGTACGCTGTCAAATCCATTTGGCCTGGAGCAAAGTGTGAGGAAATCGGTCTGGATGAATCAAGCATACTCCTCAGCGACTTCGGAGAGTCGTTCCTAGCGTCTTCCACTGTACGATCCCAGTCGCATACGCCTCTTATAATACGTCCCCCAGAACAATTACTCGAGCCATCAGAACCGTTTTCATTCCCCGCGGATATTTGGGCACTTGCTTGCACTATATTCTCTATTCTCGGCCAACGGGCGCTTTTCGAGACATATTTTCCTGACGGCGATCGGATTTTGAAAGAACATGTCAGGACATTAGGTCGACCACCTATCGATTGGTGCACGAGGTGGCGTCGTCGTCATGACTTCTTGACGGAAGAGGGCCTCGAGCGAACGTATGGCGAACCAGTCCGGGACTTGGAGGCACGTGTACAGGATTCGATTTATGGGCCACGAAAAATGAATGGAATGGATGAAGCAGAGGAGCTAGAGAAGTTAGAGAAGGCTGCCCTCATTGCCCTTCTCAGATCTATGCTTTCATTCCGGCCGGAAGATAGACCCACTGCGAGACAAGTAGCGGAGTCGGAATGGATGATCAAATGGGCATTACCTGAACTTCGTAAAAAGGAGGGGATGTCTGCTGCTGAGGTGGCGGGCGTTACTGGAATTCTGGGCGCTCTTGCGGTGCAAGACGCTCTTGAAGTACCCGGTATTTCTGACGTGCCTGAAGCTGCGGATGTGTTAGGGACTGGATCTGTAATTGGAGGCGGTTATAAATCGAGTGACAAGTAACGGGTAGCTTAGGTACCGTAAGCTCGCTTTATCTACTAATTAGATTGGTAATCATCAACGCCTGCCCCTGACATGAAGCTACTGGATTGTAGGAACCCCTCTCTTTGTATTTGATTTCTATCTTGCCAAGGAGAAGAATTACAATCGTCAAGTCATTAAAAAGACAAACACAACATGCTTGGGCTAGCTCGAAATATCAACCAATTGCGTGACGAGATACTCAACAATCTCATTAGTCCATTATACCTTTAATCCCATATAATAACTGCTTAATTTATTAAACCCTTAAGACAGACGGATATAGGCACCGTATATAGAAATCTGCAGTTAACTGTGTCTTTGCATACAATGACGTAAATGTGAAAAGGAGAACGATCGCGTGATGTGGGGTTATGTATAACCGGATCTTCCTTTCTAAGATCACATTCAACAAGTCTCAACCTCAGTTTATGACCATCTGGTCCCGTTGATATCTCTTCCAAAACGATGGCATCTCTTCACAACGTTCTTTTGCTCGGCGGCAGTGGGAAGGTCGCTCAGCTACTGACGCCACTACTTCTCAAACGCTCGTGGAATGTCACCAGCATAATCCGCGACCCCGCACAGATCGCTAATTTGGAGAAGCTTGGCGAAGGTCAGAGTGGAAAATTGAGCGTTCTGGTTCGAAGTCTGGAAGATGTCACAAGTGATGCACAAGCAAAGAGCCTCATAGATGAGGTGAAGCCGGATTATGTAGTTTGGAGTGCTGGTGCCGGCGGAAAAGGGGCGCCGGAAAGGGTAATGTCCCAAAGCGCCACTATGCAAACCCCACCATCGCCCATGCTAATACCCCGATCAGACATTCAAGATTGATCGTGACGCGGCGTCTCATTTCATCCGCGCTTCCGTAGCGACACCATCGGTCACTAAATTCGTCATGATCTCCTTCATCGGGTCTCGGCTGACCAAGCCATCGTGGTGGACCGAGGAGATCTGGCAAGAGGACCTGAACACTACCAGAAAGGTCCTTCAGAAGTACTATGAGGCCAAGGTGGCGGCGGATCAGGTTCTGTACGAGGAGGGGAAGAAGAGGACTGACTTTGCGGGTATCTGTCTTCGGCCAGGCGCGCTGACGTTAGAGCCGGCAGGTAATGTCAGGCTTGGGAAGATCCCCGTGGCAAAGGGCACTTCCAGTCGCGCGTCTGTCGCGAACTTGACTGCATTGTTGCTTGATGCGCCTAATGTCAAGAATTCCTGGATTGACATGCTTGATGGTGATGAAGACCCGGAAGCCGCTGTGAAGAGAGTTGTTGATGAGGGGGTGGACGCTGCTGAAGGGGAGCCATTTTATTAGAGCAGACGCCACGTTGCCACGGCTCAGTCTAATTCAGGCCAGGAAGAAAAGTGTTTGCCGTAGGCTTTGGCTACAGGTATCAGGCACCTAACAAAACGCCCTAGAGTTAATAAAAATTGGTGGAATAGGCTATGACCTTTGCCATAACACTTTGCATGCACGTACCCCTATTCACACCCCGCATACAAAACTTGGTTCAAATATGTCTCTAACTGAAGGACACCGAGAGGTCATAAGTTCATTCAATTACTATAATATCATACCTAGTATATTTTGAATTGGATTAGGGGAGCTCAGGTTCAGGATTCCTCACCTTAAAATGTCATCAGAGCGCCCGGCGCTACTTTGCGAGCCACGCATTCCTGTCTCCAGGCAGTCATGAGGAAGGCACCAAGTATGGCAACATTCAACATCATAAGAGTTGCGATGAGTTGAATCTCCAACACTCGGGTAGGCATAGGCATCGAATCCATGATGAAATAAAATGACCTTTTGTGATCGTACCTAGGAATCTGTGGATCGCTGTCATGAATAGGTAATTAGCACACCGAACCCAGATTCTTTGAGATCTGGAAGTATCTGACTGTGAATGGAATAACTGATTAGGTAGGGCAAATATATATTAAAACAATTGCCATTGTTAGGTAGATAATCCATTGTATTATGTTAAAAAACCAGGCTGAGTAAGGTAAGAAGCGAAATTGAGAGTTCTTTCGTAACTTATTATACCAGTACCTCGCCGTCAAAGACACGAAGTAAGATCTCTTTATGACTCCTGAAATGCCTTCTTTCATGCATGAAAGCCCAATTCTGAGTACATCGTGGCCGTGCATCAATCACTTCTGAAGAATTTACCTCCAAGATTGGTATCCTGCTGCTATTCGAATATCCAACTACCAACGACAATGGAACATGCTCAAGCCATAATGTTTAATTGGCTTTCAAGCTGATCATCAGATCATGATTGGAATCGTTATCCATCACGATTCGCGGGGACTCGACATCTGCGATCAGCCCCTTGATTAATTGCCTTGATCATATGTTCTCTACCCATTGATTCGATCCTATCTGACCTGACAGTTATTTCTCAACCAATTTACTGGTTCTTTTGGGAGTACCGCACTGCACACCCAAACTCCAATGTCATGAACTACTTCAATTCATATAACTAGCTTACGCAAATCTTACTCCGGTCCAGCTCATTGATCTTGCGAAATAATAACAGCCGCCTGTTCCGCGAGGGCATACACAGCAGCCTGGATGTGCGCTCCAATAGAAATAGGGAATACGGACGCATCGACAATCCGTAAGTTCTTAACCCCTTTCACTCGTAAGTCAGTATCGACCACCGTTCCCATGGAACAACTACTAGAGCCGTGGTACGTAGACCTATAGGATACACGCATTAGAACAAAATCATCTAGGAAGAGATGCGATAGACTTACCGTCCCAAACTCCTAACCCGACTATCCAAATACTCATCGCTCGAACCAATTTTCAAAGGTTCAGACCCATCACTAGGAGTTTCGCCCGCGACGACCTCGCGACCAAGAGGTGTATCCCCCATCATCAAAGCAGCAGTCTCCCTTATCGATTCACGCCACACATACCTATCAACTTCGGTAGCGCAGTAATTTGGGTCGAGAACGGGGGCATCTGCCGGGTTCTTCGACGCAATCGACACCGTTCCACGGGACGTGGGTTTCGCGCCCATCATCGCATTGCTGATATGCGTGCCATCGACCGGATGCGGCGGCATCGATAGGTACAAGATGATATTCTCCATCAAGCCCCAGCGCCTTTTCAGGAGATAGTGGTCTGGTCCGGGGGCCTTGCCTTCGTCCTTGGTGATTGCGGCGATGAGGCCGTCTTTGGGGACTTCGCGGTTGATGATGAAGCTTATGGGCATGCCTGTTGCGAATTCCGGTTTCGCGAAGAGCGAGTTAGCAGAGCCGACAGCGTAGCCTTTCGATGGGTCTTTGAGTTGCCAGTTGAAGTGCACCATGACGTGGTCGTTGAAGTTCTTCCCGACTTCGGGGTTATCTACTTTTGTTTCAATCCCGTGTTTTTGCAAGGTTTCCTTTGGTCCTATGCCGGAAAGCATCAGCACCTGTGGCGTTCTGTAAGCACCGGCGGAGATGATAACCTCTTTCGCAAAGATTTCGGCGCCGTCGTCTAAACGAACGCCGGTTGCCTTTACCTCGGGGCTCTTCTCGATAATAATGGATTCGACGAGGGTGTGCGGTAGGACATTCACATTCTTCAAGGGGTATGCGAGCGGGGCGGTTTGACGAGCTCCTTTATGGCGGTTTTCGTTGAGTTCGCCGAGGCCTATATTCTCTCCGGCGTTCATATCGCAGCCGGGAAGTTCCTGTACGCCGATGTCACTCCAAGATTTCTGGGTGATATCGGCTAGGGGGTAGATTCGACCTGTCGACTTGGGGGATTCTATATGCATAGCGCCGATGTGACCGTGATCGTCGCGATTATCGGACTTGTACCACTTCTCGGTCTTCTTGAAATAAGGAAGCTGGCCTTCGTAACTCCAGCGATGGTCATCAACAATCTCCGCCCAGCTGTCGAAATCAGCCCTAGCCCCGCGAATCCACCCGCCTAAATACAATATTAGCTTCACATAATTACCTAGATAATGAGTAATGTATATGATGTATGGTTTATCTCACATCCGTTAATAACAGAACCTCCGCCGAGGGCACGGCCGGCCGGAATGTCGATCTCGCGGCCGCCATAGTGCTTTTGTGGCACGGTCTTGTATGCCCAGTCAAACTTTCCCCCAATGAAGTTAAGTGATTGGAATTTGAGAATCTCCTCATCGTGGCTCACGTCGGCACCAGCTTCGATGACTAGAATGCGGGATGAGGGCTTATACTCTGACAAGCGGCTTGCAACGACGCAACCAGCAATCCCACCTCCTACAATGACATAATCCCAAGCTGTGGAAGTAGCCATGGCGAGATATTGAATGGTTTTAGGGTAAGAAGGCTAGTGAAAGTAATTAGCTAAGGAGATTTGGGAGTGGATCAAGGAGTATCAAGTTGAGGAAAACGAACATGATCAAATATACACGCCCGGATGCCCAGTCTAAGAGATCAAAGTATCAGGGATCATGCACGCGTGATTCTGAACCATCTCCCAACGTCCACGGCGAAATCGAGTAGCTAGACGACAAATAAGTATGGATAGGGCATGGACTTTTCAGAGCCGCTGCTTCCGCTTCCAGTCATCCAGCTACAGTTGTGCGGCGCGGAATTTCGGTACAAGAACCCCGTAGGCATGCGTGGCATGAAGGCAATATATCATCGCTATGATATGTGGGACAGCGGCTCAGCCTGTGCGAGAAACCGGGATCATCGCCTGTTAGGTCTTAGCTAAGCTCTTAAAGCATGGTTATATATATCAAGTCTTTCTTCAAAAGGGGATAATTGTGCGACGCTAGTATAGGGATGCCCTCATATAGAATCTGATAGGGCAGAGGAAACATTGTAGGCATTATATATTGTGGATATCTTGCTTGGATACCTACCGACAATTCATCAACATGGCCGGGGCCTCACCTCTGAGAAGAATGGTTCATATCTGAAGGACAGCTATGGTAATCATGCATATAACCCCCTTAGCATTGCGTTTTATTCATCCCGAGCTAATACATATAACTAAAAGCGAAGGTCGAAGAAAAAAGTGATACGGCTTACGCGAGGAAGAACCGAGCCTCCTTGTTAACCGCTCTCTTCTCAAGGCCTTCTGTGCTGGCACAGGTGAGCTGATCATCCTGTATCTGAATGACGTTCCAATCATTCAATTCGACCTCATTGTGCCTGGTGCCGCGGCCTCTGCCGATGGAGCACTCGCAGTCGAGCTTTGTCCCATTCATGTTGCAAGGGCTGCAAGATCCTCCAAAACCGCCATTTCCGTTGGGGATGTAGTTCAAAGTGCCCAAGTAGTTCGCGAAGCACTTGTTGAGATCAAGGTTGTAATCCATACGGAGCCCATATCCAGGCCTATCACAGTTAGCATTGAGGATATGGTTCCCTGTAAGATGGATGTTGTCGCAGTTGCATTTGCCAAGGTCGGTCTTGTAGACATCGCTGACCTCAAATGCGGAGACGATAGCGAGAAGTGGCATAAAAGCCAGAGTTGATACGAAGTTAGTCTTCATGGTTATTTGGTTTGTTGATTATTCTGTTGTTTGACTTTTTGTAAAGACGTCGATTATGGCGTAGTGTGGGGTTTTTATATGTTAATAGTATTGTAAGAACCCAGGGACAAGAGAATAAATAATCTTTCAAGCTAGCAATGAAAGAAAATAGTCCGACTTTGACCTTGTGATGAGAACTCACAAGGAGTTTCAGATAGTGCAAGGTTTCCTGACTGTATGCTACGATGGGTGAACAATAAACAACAATTGTTTAGATAATAGTCTGTTTCATGGCCGAACAATCGCTTGTGCTAGACTTCGGCGATTCATACAAAGCCGTGGTGTTTGACTCTTCCCCTCGGAGCCGCGCCGTGACGTGAATGGGTATCTCTGAGTCACTATGTCGCCGTACTATTCTCGGCCAACAAAGCGCAAAAGAGGGACTATCCACGACTCTTTATCATTGCCATCAGAAGGGTATGGCGCAGTGGTAGATGCAATGTTGGCTCTTGTGATTGATAGATATTATGTAGTGATTGTGACTGTTCTCATGATTTGCTTGCTCCGGCGCCCGCCGCTTCTGGTTTCTTGGTTAGGAAGGTTTTAATATCGCCGCTTAGGGCAATGCGATCATAGATAACCCATGAGGTCACTAGTAATATCGGCATAGCAATCATGAAGCGCATATAATTCCCAGCAGCCTTCTTGTACGTTGGGTTAGATGGATCGATCGGTTTTCGTTGCGGAATCGTGGGTCTCGGCGGAGGGACAGCTCGGGGCCTCATAGCCCGAGGTTTGGCATTTGTTGCCATATTGAAGCACGTGTATTGATTAATACTAGCGTGGGGAAGAATATCGAGTTAATAGGGCTGATCGGGAGGTTTGACTGTAGAGCACTTTTTGCTTTTGAAGTTGTTGAAAGGAACGAAAATAAAGAATTTAGTGGTCCACTAATACTCTAATTCTGCAGTACCCCGCGGGTCGAGAGCCGGTGCGCCCCGAGCCCTGTAATCAAGGCCTACAAGCCCCTAGAACTTTAAAGCCACAGATACTAGGTATGTACCTAGGTACATGACAGCTACTAGGTAGGTACAAGCCACAATGAAAAGGGGGTTGACTGATCGATTCAACAACGTACAGGTTGCCATCGTGGACTGTTAATATCGTGTCCGACTGTAAATTTCAAGATAGGCTTGAAATAATTACAAAGAAATACCTACCCAATAGCGGGGATATAGAGGACAGGAGTTGATCAAAAAATACCTCAGCACAGGCCTTTTAAAGGCTCCAAGAAATATTTTTTCTTGGTCACCGTCAATATCAAAAGCTTCATCATGACACAACACCGAGCTAGTGCACAGAACATTCGACAAGATGATCGCGACGAGATAGTTTATTCAACTACTGTAACATAATTCCGAGTCCATTTTTACCACGTTCAAGACTTTCCGTCAGGTAGCCCTGCTGTGCAAGTTCCTGAAGTCAGGCAACGGTTCGCAACTGAGCCGTCTGCCGCGAAGGTTATCCACGCCCTAAAACTCGAATATTAGCATCGTTTTGAACATAAATACGAGGTATCCGTTTTAATGACTCACGATGTTGCTTGCGCTGGAGGAGGTAAGAACGGTCCTTGGTACCAGCAGCAATACCAACCAAGGCTAGGCAAGGTGGCGTTGGTGTACGTGGTGTCGAGATCAGTGCATAGGCTCGCCGAGAGGAACTTTCGTTGCAAGCAAAGGTCGGTCTCGTCAGGACCGCCTTCCTGAGGTGCGGGCATCGAGAACGCCGAAGCGAAAAGGGTAGCGGCAGCTGCGATAGTAGAGACGCGCATTTTGAAGCGAGTGTATATGATCGATTAGGTGAGTCTGTTGAGTTACTGCGAATATCCGAGTTTCTAATCCTCAGCTGCGATGCCTATCTGACCTTTTTATACATGAAATAATTGATAGGAACGGTTTAACAACTTCCTATCAATCAAATAGCCAAGACTAGCGAGGCAAGTAGTAATGAATGTGGAGATATGTCTATACGGAACTCGCCCTAGAATCTCGTATTGGAGTCTGAATGCAACTCGACCCTGGGAAAGCCTCTATTTTACCGTACGAACAAATAACCATTCGGGAAAGTTAAGCGCGAAGATCTGGTGATAGTTAAATATCCTTGATCGGAAATTCTGGGCTCTTGGCATTGTAGTTGTAGTTGTAGAAGGGGTTGGGGTCAATACGACTCTTGGTAACTACATGTGTCTCTCCCAATACCGCCTTAAACACCTTTTGTTGGTAACATACTATTAACTTGTGAACTTGCAATCCATGAATACCTAGGTAGGTAGGTATCTATATTTGAAAATTGATATAGCGGTTTGATATATGTGGATCCGCCGTAGGATCTAAAGATATTGACCTATCTTCATTACCAAGGAATTGAAACCCCCAAACAGATATATGAATAGTGATAGAGATATCGTATTCACTGTCAATTGACTAAAACTCTATAGGCAGTTCGAAAGAGCCATTCAGGTTTATGGGAACTGATAGGCTATACTAACTGCTGGTGCCGGGGCTCTGTCGTAGTGGAAAGGAAGAGGTGAAGAAGTGAGGCTTCTGAATACCTACCTCCTTGTAAATAATTCAATACAATCCGTGTCAGAGTTACGATACTACCTAGCAGGTGTATATTGCAGTCAAAGTTCGGCTAGATACTTTACCTCGACAAGCCGACTCTTTGCCATCCATTTCTCAATCTCTCATTCTACTAGGTACTCTATCTAGGAGGTAGGTTATGTAGGTACCTAGGTAGGTAGTGTAATACATACTACGTAGTACGATCTCAGCTCATATTCTCTGTAATATAGGTAGATTTTACTGTTTTCTACCTAGGTAGGTGGTATACATGATCCTAAATCACTGTGCAACTTTGTCCTATGATATATCATGCACATAACTATGCTAGGTAAGGGTCTATCGACTTTTCTCCCATCCATTGCCCCTTTTATTTATGAGTAATGCGTTACTGTTTCCGTTATGATCACTGAGGGGTAATAGTTACCTTACAACTTGGAATGTAACTACTAGTTAAGTAGGTACCTAGACATGGCTATTACCTAGTCATATATTTGTTGATAAAAGAAGATTTAAAGAATCATTAAAACTATTACGGTGATTCTAATCACCACTTCTCGCTAAATTATGGTTTATATTCTTTTTGGAAGCTCAGTGTATCTAACTAGACGTTGTGTAACCGACGTTAACCAACTGGCCAAGCCCGACTGCGTGGATTAGGAAGGCAGCGAAGAACGTGTAAGAGATCGATGGGGAAACACTATAAAGGTGGTAGATATGTAGTAATAGGTAGGCATATTAATATTTTAAGAAATTAAGATTGTGGGGGCATTCCATTCCTACATGCCGCCAATGGAGTATGATTCAATATAAACAAGCACTCTTTGGCTCCATACAATGGCTGAGGATGCAACGAGTCGGCGATGTAACATACCAAGGTGTCATAATTGAACATTCATTCATGAGGTCGAGTTAATGACCTTGTGCATCATAAAAATACCGAAAACAATACATTTAAGTATCCCCCCAAACCATCTGTACATCATCTGAGAAAACCAGGCTTGTATTGCTCCCAAAGAGCACCCCATTTCGTGCATAGCCTCCCATCTACTCCCTGCTCCCAGCTATCACTGCCTACCGCCGTCTTCGCGTAAAATATATCATCAGGATCATATTTCTTCTTGATAGCCAATAGCTTCTCATAGTTTCCACCGTAAAATGTTGTTTTGAAATCCGCCGCTTGAAAGTCGGCTTCGTTCATATATACGCCTCCATTGGGAGTCAATGCCTCTAGTTCTGGTAGGAAAGTGTGCGTTATAGCATCCTGAGCTGCCTTGTTTGAGACGGCGTCGGTGTAGTTAACCGGCGTGCCAAGGACGGCGCTGAAGAGGGTTTTGCGGAAGTAAGGGTTGGCGGAGACTTCGTCGGGGGACGAAACGCTGTTGGCAACGTTGAAGGCAACGCCGGACATCAGTGTTTTCGTAGTAATGGCTCGAATAGCCTTTACCAAAGCATCGGTGCTCTCCTGGTCCTTCACAAGTTCGCGAGGAATTAATCGACCACCGACGTTATGATCCGATACATTCCAGGTCGATGTCATAGACTTGTAGCCCTGAAGGAAACCGGGATAGTCGGCGGATTGGTATTGGTATTGAAGTCCAAGTTGATCCATCTTCTCCCTGGTAGCTTGGAAATATGTGTCTAGCTCGGACGCCTTCACGTCTGCGACCATCGCCGGCATTACTAAGAACCCGAAAGGTGCGGCAACCCATACGACCCAAGCACCTGCGTCGACAAGTTTGGGTAAAGACTGTAGGAAAGTCCCCATAGCTGAGTAAATGGCATCTGTGTTGCTTCCGTCGTTGAAGACTGACATGTAGACAGTCGAAAAAGTGGTATCTGGATACGCCTTGATGGTCATAGAGGTGACGATACCGTACGTGCCACCGCCGCCTCCACGTAAGGCCCAATATAGGTCAGCATTCTCATTTGCGCTAGCTGTAACATGATCGCCAGCAGCGGTGACGACTTCCCAAGAAAGCACGTTGTCGGCAGCGAGACCGAACTTAGACGACAATATGCCAATGCCTCCGCCTTGGGTGTAACCTCCCGCTGGACCCACATTCGGACAGTTGCCGCCCATTACTATGAGACCATTGGCAGATGCGAAGTTGTAAAGCTCGAGAAACTCGACACCAGCGCCAACTTTGATTGCGGCACCTTGGTATTTCGAGTCATCTTTGTACTCCGGAATGAGTTCGAGAGATTTCATGTGGTGTGTCCATACTGCAAGGGCGTGAGCTCCCGTCGATCTCCCCAGATAATCATGTCCGGTGTTCCTAATAACAAGCCGGATGTTGTGGCTTTTCACAAATTGAAGAGCGGCTTGAAAGTCGGCAACTTCAGTCGCATTGATCGTGTATGCGACGTTATATCCAAGTGTGCATGGGACTTCCGGGTCGGAAAAAGGGTTACAGCTGTCGTTGGTGAATTGGTAGGCCATAGGCGAGGATGCTGATCCTATATGCGTCGTAGGGAAAAACCAATTGTCGCGCAGGGCATCGCACTGGTCCTGGTTGAAGGTGGCTGCATCGCCTAGGGAGTGGTGACAGGGGGCTGCGATAGGTACCGTAGCAATCAATTTTCCGTGTACGGTCTGATTCAGGGCATTCCAGTCAGTCAGGTTAGGCCATGATTGGTCTCCAGGAATGACCCGACACTGTTGAGTACCACCATAATTGATTGTGGCAGCAACTATGACAACTATAAGGGAAACTAGACCAAGTAGTCCCCTAAGTGCCATGATGTCTGACGGGAGACTGGGAGTCGTCTGTATTGAAATAAAAACCCGGAAAAGAATTGGATGTGGAACTATGCTCTCACATAAGTGAGCTGAAGATGACGGGGGACAAAGACTTATAAAGACTTTCAAAAATTAAAAATTATCCCAAGAATTCTATCCAACATCAGATCTTGGAAGTCGGACGTTCGACCCCGGTTGACGATTGACGATTGACGTACACCGTTTCCTGGTTTGCTCTTGGCAGTGTTGATCTGGATTGACACTTATGAGGCACAGCTAGAAATTCCCCACAGCCATAACGAATGCGTAACCACAAGCTACTTAGCTTGAATATAAGTATGTAAGGGTGACTGGGTTTTTCTTTGTTGAGGACCAACGTCGTTGTCAAATGGGTGCAAAAAATACAGCTACAAATAACATATCGACAACGTTTTTCTTATGTGTAAATGCGGCGCGGTCATACTGTAGCGTTGTGAACTAGGACTTAATAACTTCTTAACACCGAAAGACCCGAGCTTAGCCTTAATAAACTGCTCTTAACTAGGTACCTGGACATCTATAACTTTATATTATATTCAAGTACTTACCAATCAACGCAAGGGAATAATAGTTTCGCTTTATGTCAATGGTGTAATATATTCAACACAAAGGTTGCCGCGGGAGGACCGTACCTAAGCAATATCCTTAGCTTCTTTTAATGCCATGATTGATAAAAAGGAGATTATGCTTACTTTAGAATTTCCAACTCACATGTGATTGCATGTAGAGCCCAGTGCTATACATTCCGAAGAGGCCCGGAAGTTAGGTACGTGAGTGTAAGGGTTAAGCTTAGCCCTGGAGAACCAGTGGAATTTTTCTCTGCGGCGTTCTCGCCAAGTTTATATGAATTTTTAGCATCAAATATACTAATTACCTAATCAATCTCACGAAGCGCCTTGAAATCATATCATAAGTATATCAGATATCACATATAGGTAGGTAGATACTGTCGACGCGCGTGTTATAAACATACGACAGCGTGACGTTCTAACATTCGCCCTCCGTCATGTATGTGCAGGGTACCTATCTCAGCATGGCGGGGTTCAGGGGCTCGTTTGCCGCCGGCAACTCAGTAAAATCCAACCCTCTCCTTTCTGATTCTCACGAATGAAAGCAGCGAAAGCGAGGAACGGCGCTATCCCGTCTTTGACCGTTATGCTGACTCCCTCCTGGGAATTGAGCTGTCCCAACTGTCCAAGCGCTCGCCAATCTGATAACCGCGATTACGAATTGGAAATGCGACATTCTAAGCTTAAAAAGCATTATCAGCATAACTTTGTCAAGTATGGATTCAATTAATTCATTCATACAATCGCCTACACGGTTAGGAATACTTATCGCGCTGTCTGGGATATTCCTCTACAATGTATATAGAACACTGTACCAGAGGTTTCCATGCCCACTCCCGCCATCTCCCCCGGCGGACCCGATCCTCGGACACTTCAGGAGATTGCCCTTAGAGAATGCTCACCTCAAGCACATGGAATACGCCAAGCAGTACAGTAAGAAACCTGCTTCAACTATCTCCTCATAAGTTATTAACTTCGAGTCGCAGATTCTGATGTCGTATACTTCAATGTACTGGGGAAGCACATGATTGTCCTCAATTCTCAGAAGGCTGCGAATGAGCTATTAGACAAGCGAGGTGCAAACTATCAAGATAGACCTCGATTCGTCTTGTTTGAAGTCATGGGATGGGGCCTGACATTGACATTTCTCCCATATGGCCCTAGATTTCGCTTGCATCGTTCAGTGCTTCAAACGGGATTCACCAAGACAGCTATTACGAACTATAGACCGATCCAGTTAGATGAAGCCAGACAAGCTGTGTCCAGAATCCTTAAGCGCCCGGAAGAATCGTTTTACTGGGATTTTGCATTGCGCCGGTAGGAATATTTTTGCCTTAACGTTGGATGTTGCCCGCTGATGCAGAAGATAGATTCGCTTCTGCGATAGTCCTTCGTATTGGGTTCGGTGTTACCGTTAAGTCAGACGACGACCCCTTTATCACAATCGCGATAAACGCCAACGTGGCAACAGGGGGCGGAGGGAATCCGGGAACGGCTCTCGTTGACTATTTCCCGTTGTGTTAGTATCCCGACCCGCGAAAAGGGGTTGCGCTAGTGACGCTAACATATTCTCAAGTCCGCTATATTCCTCAGTGGCTTAACTTCTCTCGGACCCTGCAACATGCGCGAAGATGGGGATGGGCCATTAAGAACCTGCATGATATACCATTTTCGGCGATAAAGAAAGAATTTGTGCGTTGTTCTCATCTATCTACTTGAAAACGTTGCTTACATTAGGAAGGATGAAGGGACGGCCAACCCGTCGTTTGCTTACTCGCTCCTTACGAAATATAGAGAAAATGAGGAAGAAGGCATTCCCAACCAACTTACGCTTGAGGATATCCAAGGTGCATCCGGCGCTGTTTTCATCGCGGGGTCTAACACGGTGAAGCTCCATTTCTCTCCGTGGTAAGGTTGTAACCGCTAATCATGTTCAATAGACCTTTGCTACGACAACTATTGCTATTTTGAATTTGATGATGAATCCTGAAGTCTTCGAGAAAGCTAGAGCTGAAGTTGACAGAGTTGTCGGTACCGACAGGCTGCCGACGTTCGAGGATCGACCGAACTTGCGTTATCTCGACTATCTCGTCGAAGAAACCTCAAGGTGGAGAGCATTATCGCCTATTGGAATCCCCCATAGGTCGTTAAATGACGACATCTATAATGGAATGTTCATTCCTAAAGGGTATGCAGGATCTTGATCCTTGGCAGAGAAACCATACTAACTGACCTTCTAGGACATTGGTCTACTATAATACCTTCGCTATGTCTAGAGACCCAAGCGTGTACAAGGATCCCGAGAGATTCAATCCCGATCGATACACCCCTAAAGAAGAAGGAGGAGATGGCGAGCCGCTATTAGTTGGGCCGTTTGGCTTTGGTCGAAGGTGAGTTTAAGTCACTACGTTGAAGACTATGAGCACATCCCTGACTATAGGATACAGAGTATGTGTTGGACGCCATCTAGCTCAAGCATCCGTATGGATCATGATAGCTACTCTTGTGGCCACAACCAACATATCGAAACCTATTGACCTAGATGGTAATCCCATTGAACAGACCATAAAATTCAGCACGGGATTATCAAGTCATCCCAATAAGCTTGATGTAGGTTTCAAACGTAGATCCAAGAAAGCTCTAAAGCTCCTTAGCAAAGCTGTTAAGGACGCTCAGTGAATGAGATACGAAACGGGCTCGAAACTTTTCAAAGGGCTGACCGACTCTCATTTATGAAAAGAGGGCGGAGAGGTTTAAGAGGGGGACATGTTAGGTAGTATTATGCAGCTACCTTCTCGCTTTTCTCGAAAAGCTCACTAAGTCTCCGAGCCACTTGCTCTGCCCAATGTGCATCATTGATATCAGAGTCAACTTCCACAATATTGATTGCGGTTCCTTCAAGCCCTTCCTTGATAGCTGCAAATAAGGCCACGTCAGCTAATTTGTCGTGAAACGCCTGGCCTTCTGTCGAAATCGCGCTAATGCCTCTTAACGGAAGCCATACTTCGGTCAATTCGGGCTTGATGCAGTTATCCTTGAGTTTCTGTGATATTCGCCGCCCTAGTTCTCTGCATTCCTCATCGGTTGTTCGCATTAACGTTACAGACGGGTTATGCTCATATATCCTTCTCTCCCGAAACTTCTGAGGTATAGTATCTTTGGGTCCAAAATTCACCATGTCCAGAGCGCCGACGCTGACAATTTGGGGTAATCCTGCCTTTGCAGCGGCCGTCAACCTGCTCTCGCCCGCGGGAAAAACACCACCGACAAGTTCATCGGCCAATTCGGTGGTGGTAAGATCCAGAACACCATTCAATCGACCTTCCATCAACAGTCGCTCCATTGCCCGCCCGCCAGCTCCAGTAGCATGAAACACGTAGACTTCGAACCCATTGCTCTCTAACCACTTGCGCGCAACATCTACCCCTTTTGTAGTGACACCAAACATTGTGATCCCAACCCCTTTTTTTATATGATTAATTTCAGTAGGTCTTGAACTAGCTCTCTTGCAATATGCTTTAGCCATGCCCACGATAGCGGTAGCAGCATTGTCCACGACTGCCTTTAGCACTTCATTAAGCCCCGCGATATCAACCACACTGTACATCATCGTGATATCCGTCTCTCTGACGTAAGAGCTTGTGTCACTCGAGGCAACAGTAGACACGATCAACTTCGGAAAAGTCACCGGTAACGCTTGCATAACAGTGGATGTAATGGTAGTCCCATAGCTCCCGCCGAGCCCGATTATAGCCTGGATCTCGCCACGGTTCTCAAGTCGCCTTATCACGGCTTTTGCCCCACTAATCATAGTCCTCACAAGATCTGATCGGGGAAGGGATTGAAGGTTCCCCCGGAACCCGCTGGCTTCTAGTACATCATGCTGCCGAACGGTTATTGCTTCGTGTTCCACTTGAGACCGGCCCGCATCGATTAGAATAACGTTCACAGAAGAATCGTATTCTAAAATCCGAGATCGAAGATAGAGAAATTCGTCGAGTTTAGTATCGAACGTGCCAATTACGGCAATCGAAATTCTCGATGAAGCCATAACGAATAGACTGCATCGCCGGAATTCTCGGTCAGCATGAATTATCCATTCATCAAAGATCGAACCTCCAAAAATCCACAGTGCTCAACGGATATATCTTGCCACCTTCCCCTTACTTAACCGGTAAGCAACAAAGGACGTCAGGTCTTAACCCCCCGGTCAAGGTGGGGAAGAGGCAAAAAGGGTATGTCAGCGAGACGCGACCGAATTATTACCGCCTTTTCTCGCTAATCCCGTCTGTTGGCAGATCCACATAAAAATTCGCTATACGCTTTACGGTTAGCACAACATGAGGCTCTATTAGTTCTAGTATAAAAATCAGTCCGATAAGGAATTTTGAAATGATAAGAAGATTAGTCAGAATTTAGTAAGTAATCAGTTATTGGCTAGTAAAAATTTTACTGCAAAAAGAGTGGGGACTCAGAACTGATGTTGTTGACCAACCCCAGATTTTATTAGCCAAAAACAGCTAAAGGAAAAATACAGTGGATCTGCCAACAGACGGGATTAGCGAGAAAAGGCGGTACGTAGTAGAACCATCCATTCTCCCCGTATCATCCGTTCCTTCCCCTCGTTAGCCATTGCATTGCAGGGGTCCCTCCGACTCCACCCTCGCACAGCATCCCAAATATCTCACCCGCCTCAAACGTTCCTTCCACAAACTCCGACGACCACAATCTCCCGGCACGCCTTCGTGACACTTTAACCATGGCACCCGATCTCCCGCGCCAAGAAATCTTAAAACGTCTCACCGCCGTAATCTCCTCGCGCCGCCCCATTGTCGGCGCCGGAGCCGGCATCGGGCTCTCAGCGAAGTTCGTCGAAGCCGGCGGCGCGGACCTGATTATCATATACAACTCGGGTCGGTTCCGGATGGCGGGGCGGGGGTCTCTCGCAGGGCTTATGGCGTACGGCGACGCGAACGCAATAGTCGTGGACATGGCGCGCGAAGTGTTGCCTGTCGTACGAGATACGCCTGTGTTGGCGGGCGTGTGCGGGACCGATCCGTTTCGGGATATGCGACGGTTTTTGGCCGAGTTGAAAGGGCTTGGGTTCTGCGGCGTGCAGAACTTTCCGACGGTTGGACTTGTGGATGGGAATTTTAGGGCGGGGCTGGAGGAGACGGGGATGGGGTATGCGCTTGAGGTCGAGATGATTCGGGTTGCGCACGAGATGGACTTTTTTACGGCGCCGTATGTGTTTGATGTCGCGGAGGCGGTTAGTATGGCGGAGGCGGGCGCGGATATTGTTGTTGCTCATATGGGGTTGACTACGAGTAAGGGTATCGGCGGGAAGACGGGGAAGACGTTAGATGAGAGTGTTAAGTTGATTCAGGATATTAGGGATGCGGTGGTGGAAGTTAGGGATGACATCATCGTGTTGTGTCATGGAGGACCGATTGCTGAGGTGCAGGATGCTGAGTACGTCCTATCGCGAACGAAAGGTGTGCACGGGTTTTTTGGCGCGAGCAGTATGGAGCGCATCCCGGTCGAGATTGCAATCACGGAAAATACGAAGAGGTTTAAGGATATCCATATACCGAATTAATAGGCTGTATAGGTATTTTTGGCAACTTTTTCTGAATAGATGAAGAAAGCTGTTAGATTCCTAGAAGCGGTGCTGGTGCTGCACGGAGATTACAAGGAACGCTACTTAGCCCCACAACCCCCTATTTTGCTTTTCTTCGATGCGAGAAGATCTAACGCAAGCATTCCACATCGAAGATGATGTTATGAAGTAGACGCTTATAAGTAACGGCGTAAATCAATAAATGTCAATCTACCTTGCTACTAATGCTAACGCTTATGCTCGCTATCAGAATTATGAATTACCTAGCCAGGCGTCTATACCCGATACTCGATACTCGATGAGAAAAATCAGGGGCTTCCCAACTCCTAAAATACCTGACACTCCAGCAAACCATGGGATCAAATCAACCGCTCTTCATATAGTCAATACCAGCTTGATAGATCTTCATGAAGGTTTCCGTTTCCTCCACCGTGTTAGGCACATAGAGCATGGTAAATCCGAGATGAATCCAGCCAGTTCCGCTCAGACGATGCCGTTCTCCCCAACCCTTGGAGATGACTTCCTCCGCATCCGTGAACGAAAGCGTCACATGTCCGGACAGATCAGTGCCGTGGATATGGCAGATCTCCCGAGCACTCGGACCCGCTATAGGCGTAAGCGGTATCGAGGGCTTGGTAAAGAGAGCTTGGCCGTGCTTTTCCATAGCTGATATGTTCCATTCAGTACATTCCGCATTGATTTCACCGAGCTTCTTAAAGCTATCTAGATATGTCTGAGAGCATGTCAATACTGATATTTAGGTTCTATCCGTACTGGGAAACTTACCTGTTTGACATCAGGAGGTTGAGGGTCTGCGGCGTTCCTCTCCCGCTGAGGATAGACAAAGGGCAAAGCTCTCGCCCGAGGACCTGGCCTAACTGGGAGGGGCTCTTTTAAGAATGATTTCGTCGCGTTAGTCCTCTGCTCTTTCGTAGCTTTCTTCCATCCCGTAGCGCGTTTCTCTGGCTTATTGTAGAAACCAGGCTTGATTGTCTCGTCGGCGCCATACGCCCTAGTCTTATCAACGCTAAGTTGAGACAAATAACCAATTAACGAGTGGGAAGTACCACCCTCACCCATGGCCTTCCATTTTCGGTAATCCTCCATGATTCCTCTTTTGTCTTGTTTTGGTAAGATTGAGCCAATTCGGGTAGTTGACGCAGTTTTCAAATTCGATAAGCTGCTTGTAAGTAGAAAGGAACGGCGCAGAGACATTTACTCTAGATCAACAGAAAATGTTGTTAAGTAATGAACAACTTCCGAAAATGCTTTTGTAATACTTTTATTGGGCTACATAGGTAGGTAAATACACCTGCCTGATCTACTTCAACATGGCCATTCTCAATCAGTGACGGAGTAACTAGTTGACGTTATATCCGAGGGTCTCCGAGATAAAACCGAGGGACTTGATCGGCCGAGAACAAGCGGCAGTGCGTGACGCGGAACTCGGAGGTGCTCATATTTCTCTATTTTCGACATATTCAGTGAGCCCATAGGCCTATAATAGGTAATTGATGGGGGGAGCGAGCCAAACTATTTATACACGGGGTTGCCGAAATTACTCGGTCGCCGACGTGTAAATCTAGCGTTACATCTCCGATCCGTCCGCTGCTATCTTCCTGTGAGCACTAACCCTTCCCTAATACCTTAGCTAATACTTCCAAAACACTAATTCAGCGGACGGAGACCTAATACTACCTAGATATTTGAAGTTGGTGATACCTACTGATAACATAATTTATTACTGAAGTAACATCTAGCGATGAGTTAGTTAGACTTTAAAACGAAGCTACTTTCTTTTAAATAAAAAAATGATTGCTTGATAAATAGTACCCAAGTAACCAATCCCCTGTGTAGGATCAGTTAATATCGTCAAGGGAATTGTGACACACAAAGCGCTCTATTTTGTATGCCTGAGGTTTGTTATATGGGGATTGCATTCACGAACGATACTGATTGTGGAATATTTAGTGAATAATGTTAAATTATAATTCAATCTAGGTACCTACCTAGTGCGTGTCATAGACTAATAAATCAATCTTTAACAAGCCTTCAATGGAGTATACCATAAACAATACTTAAACAATAGGTACTTAAACAATGCTTAAACAATGCTCAAACAATACTCAAACAAGGCGCTTAACTATAACTAATGAATGTAAGTATGCGATGGGGCGAATTTAACCCTCTTTTTCCTTGGTGGATTAGGGGGAAGCATATCAATGTCTTGCAAATGCTCTCTTACCTCAGGGTCATCTACAGCTGAGGAAAATATATGCTCACCTCGCTTTATGAGTGCGTAGGCTTCAGTTACGGTTCCCTTCGCCATTCTCAGCGCGTCATAAGCCTCTTGAGGGGTCACCGTCTTATCATCGAGTGCGCCGCGGGTTATGATGTGTTCAACTCTACTTTGGGCCTCGGGGTCCTTGACGTCAGCTACAGAGAGAACAACCTGTGGTTTCCATTGAAAACGGGTCGACGTGGGCGTTCCTGGTCGGAGAGCCAAGGTAGAACGTAATGAAGGCTTCCCTTTTGCGGGTGAGCCATCCGGCCCCATGTAGTATGGGCTTCTAGGATTTCTGAATACATTTTGGGCCGGGAGGTCGACCTGAGAAACATCTACTTGTAAGGTAGGTTTTACCTGGGAGATTCCCGGGCTACTTGATGTATTTTCCTCGATCCCCTTCTTAGTACCACCAAACCCTGCGAGAGACTTGACGTACAAAAATCCTTGTTTCCACTTTGAAATCGGCGAGCTTGTGGTATTTGTGGTATTTGTGGTATTTGTGGTATTTGTGGTATCTGTAGTATCTGTGGTATCTGTGGTATCTGTGGTATCTGTGCTCCTCGTACTTGAGGGCGATTGATCTCTTGACTCACTCGTCGTCTGTGGTTCGTTAATAGATGGAGTTTCTTCTGCCATTCTTCCTATGAAGTAGTGAATATTCGGATATAATCGATCTGCCTTTTCTAAACTCGTCAAATTACGGTTCGGAACTGATTACCGAGAAGAGTGAGATACGCGATAATAAAACGCCAGATCAAGTCTCTTGTCCTGTCGATCGATACCTTTTATATAAACATTATGAACAACATGGTAGTTTGAAATCAAATAATTCGTTTCTAATCAGATACTAGACCCTATTCAGACGACTTAAGTGTTGCATACCGCCCTAAAAAAGGGGCCCCCTATCTCTCATTTTATACAAATGTATTCAAACGCTTGTCTCGTTGTCACACAATTTGAAAGAATATCGTTTAGACAGTCTAATTATAATCTATAGCACGTACCTATCTACCAATTCTAATCGTACAAACAATCTATTCAAACATAGTTGCACCTAAACCATTAGGATGATCCCTCTAGATTCCCCCCCGGCGCCAGTTTCCGGATTGTCCCAATCGCAACCTAAGCACCTGTGCTGAACTCGCTTAATTCACCAGAATCCTTCTGCGCCGCATGATAGGTCTCGGGAATCGTACGAGCTGGATCGAAGGGTAAGAATATGACAACAGCTAGAACCATCAAAGCCCCATCCAGGGCGATAAAATATGGTTCATGCATCATAAGGTACCCATTCCAACCCTCCATAAGCTCAATCGCCCGGAAAATACTGCGGGCGAAGATTGCGGCCAGCGAAATGAACAAAGCGACGATGATCTTGTTGTACTCCTGTGGCATGCCAAACTTGGCAGACCTTCGGAGGAAGTCGAGCGTGAAGATGGTGAAAATAGTCATAGCTACAAGCTGGAATATGACACCAGCAACCATTATATTAGTTCCAAGCTTGGGGTCATTGCCTTTGCTCGAGGCCGTCGAAGCCATTGCACCGCCCACAGCCTAATATTTGAATATGAGTTAGATTATGTGAGGAAGGCATAAGGGGTAAGAATATACTCACCTGAACGACGAGTGAAACCGTGTCGGATGTCATAAACACAATCGTGTACATCCTTGCTGAGAGGATGCTGTATTCGCGCCCCAGAGCCTTGATAAACATTCCCAATAACACGTATAGTGCAGCCGTGTAAAAGACAGGCCCAATTATGAGGGTCGTTATTTGTATTAGGAAGGCATTTCGATTGTATGGGCATTCGGCAGACCAAGTTCGACCAGCCCAACCGATGAGCTCAGCTAAAGTCAGGTTAGCATTGATGGTTTAACGTGTATTTAGTGTGACTATGTAGAAAATCCATACTTAGAGCGCCGATGGCTAGTAGGACAGATGTCCATCGTCTTAGGCGAATTGTTTGTAGTGAATGGCCAAAGAAAGCAATTCCGAATAAAACACAGAAAACGACCCCAGCGGCTAAACTTGGTCTATAACCATATGGATATTTGAAACCTGGAATGGGGTCTACTTGGCAGTTGTTTGGGCTCCTTATGGCCTCTGGCAAGAACTCGACGGCAACCATGATGGAGTTTGTTGGTGTGTAAAGGGGAAAATTTTCAAAAGAATGTAAATTTTATGTGCTGATGAGCTTGTATGATGAACATGGAAAGACATTTACAAGAGCGAAGACGATGCATTTTATACAATATGTTAATGAGTGAAGCCTGATGTCGTGATACGATTAGGGAAGTCAATAGGATCAAGTCCTAGGCGTACTGGGCTCGGTTGCGTTACCAAGCCCCGCCCTACCTATCAGCTAGGTAACAAGGGCCTCTAGGACTATTCAGCTACTGCGGCACGGACTGTTTTCGTGCTATGCAGTGCAGTGCAGCGTTATTATTAGGGGTTATTATGGATTATAGAACGTTCTGACACGCAGGCACGCAGGTCGGATTGACAACACAGCCACCGCAGGATTAGACGAATTGCCTGAAAATTTAATAATTTATTAGCTGACCTAGGTCCTACGCTCAAACCCCAGATTACCGTCGTAACTACCGCCAGTCAATTCCTCAACCACAACGAAATCCCGGACTTCCACGTTGCCTACCTAGTAGCGAAACGATGCTGTCGGCTCAATTGTTGATGCTTATTAGCTAGATTGGGTTCACTTTCAACTCCACAGTAAGGACTTAAAATTGAATCTACCAAGCTCTCGTAGGACTAACTCTTTTAATAGGTACAATACCTACCTAGAGATGCTTACCGCTTGCCATCGCCATCTCATTCATATCACTACCGGAGCGAATGAGAATGTTAACGCCTAGCTTTATCGAATCTAAACTTACCTAGGTGTCGGATAGCCATCGTTCGATATCAAACCGCTACCGGACGTAATGTTGATGTGGATCGATAGGTGTGTCGAAACTGAAGCCCGCTTACCAGTAGAGGCATTGGATTGAAATATCATCCACTACCTACCTAGTAGGTAGTCTGCTCAAAAAGTTGAAACCAATAGTAGACGCGGGTCCCGTATACGAGGAGTCGATAATCTACTTGTTTATCGTGATGCATTTCTAGATAAGGTGCGATTCGGGTATAGCATGGAACTCCTAGCGTTGCAAAGTCTAGCGAAGTCATATTCGTGCATTTACAGAAGAGTTTGCGGGGACAGGAGGGGCGCAAATTAGGAGTGCTTGGGCTGCTATCTAAATGTTTATCGTGCAGCTGAAGGACTACGACTATCCATCTAATTGGACAGTCAGTCATTTCCCAGTTCGAAGGTCATGTGCGCGTCAGCTAGACAGATCCAGATCCGGCGTGGCGTGCCTCATCAAGCTTTCTACACCTGTTTGATGATGGCTAACGTTGAAGTTCACGACTAATCTTCACGACCTGAATCTACGAGCATGGTATGGATTCATAATGCCTCATCTACTACTCTTAAATACGAAACTATATGAAGACCCGATAGAGTATGGACCCCGATCGGAAGCCCAAAGTGTTCAGGCTACGACATCTACCTGGCGATGTCAACAAGTCTCAAGCACTTATATATCTCAGTATAGGCCTTGGCAGTATACCGGTCGATAACATTCAAATTTACTCGTTAGCGACGAGTTTAAGTCCTTGGCGACCAACTAAGACGGCTACTCTTATGTTTGATCCGCTACCTGTTCCGCTGCTGCAAGGAGACCCGAGTGAGGACGAATGGCAGATCAGGGTAAATGGACTGAAGGAGCCTTTAATCCTAGACACCCATTTCCGTGGCCTAACTCCGCTCCGTGAGCCTACCCCAGACCACTGCTTCGAGTAAGTCTACCTATTAATTTTCAAGCCTGGTTGATATTAATGATAACCTGCATAGTTGCATTGCCCTTTCGGGACTTTCCAGCCATCCATTTGGTTCATGGCAACCAAAGAAGAGTGACAAAACATTCATGTGGATTAGAGATGCCTTACCCCTTGATCTCCCTCAACTTAGGCCCATCATCTACGGATACGAGTCAAGATTACCTAAGAGTAAATCGTTCCAGACCATCACCGATCTAGCTTCACAGCTGATCAATCAGTTAACATCGAACGGGTGGATTGCGTTAAGTGCAAAGCCTTTAGTATTCCTAGCACATAGCCTTGGGGGACTTGTTCTGAAGCGTACCATTGTAGCACTGGCCAATAGTGGCTACGATGATAGTGCGATCCGGATTGTGGGAGCTGTCTTCTTCGGGGTACCAAATTTTGGCATGGAACAGTCGTCGTTCCTCTCTATGGCTGAAGGTAATCCAAATGAGAAACTAGTGGAAGATCTATCCCTTCATTCCCCTTGGCTGAAGAGTCTGGAGTCACAATTCAATGGCATTTCATATTTGAGGGGGATGAATATGTTCTGGGGATACGAAACCTGCACATCTCCAACCTTGATTGTGAGTAGGTACCTAAGTTGGCGTAGAACACTTACAATGCAGCAATTACTCACATTTAATAGCAAGGGGAGGACCGAAAACCTCTACCTGGCCCCGAAGTTGTTCTTGTAACACCCGAATCGGCCACACGAGGTTTACTCAAAGTAAACGAAAGCCAGACATTCCCTCTCAACGAGAACCATTCCAACATCGTCAAATTTAGCCGAGGCCATGAAGACTATGGAGTTGTCGTTAATAAACTTGCTCAGATTTGCTGTCTCGATCCGACCAGTGATGCATGTGAAGGAAATGAAGAAATATGTTCTAGCAACCTCAGTTATGACAATATTAGATCAAATAGCCGAGTCGAAGGTCAACATGCGAAAACATCACGAGAACCCGAGCCTTCCCATAAAGAAAAGCCCCAGTTTGCTCAAACCTTGTCTCAGGCGGACCTAAGACGGATAACGCGTAGTGAGAATGAAGAATCACCAAAATCATCGCGTTTTTCTAACTAGATTACAGTACTTTTGGAGTCTCTCAAAACGACTGCGCAGGATGATCGATTCCAAGGGATTGAATCGCACTTCGGTGATACGTTTGATTGGATATTCAATCATCCCGAATGCGGATTTCTACACTGGCTCCAATATGGACAAGGCGCATTCTGGATCAACGGCAGCCCTGGATCAGGTTAGCATAAATTCATCCCTCCAGATATCACTAAGTTCTAATTCACCACCCATAAACCAGGAAAGTCTACCTTAATGAAATATATTTTCGAGGACAATCGCACTCGTGAGCTCCTCCACAATATCCAGAGCTCACACGAAGAAATTTATGCCGGATTCTTTTTCCATCATCGTGGCTCGATGATGCAGAAGTCATTTGATGGTTTATTACGAAGTATCCTGAGCCAATTTCTGGAGCAAAACTCGAAGTTAGCCTGGATGTTAGCACCGCTTCATTCTATTACGATGGATGAATATGAGAGGGTCACGGTTATTATTCACGGATGGCCTAGAGCAACTCTGGAGAAGGCCTTCAACATTGTATTAACACAACAACAATTCGACCTAGATATATTTCTCTTCTTGGATGCTTTGGACGAATACCATGGGCGCCCTGAGTTTATAGCTGGCTTCGTCGAAAGCCTTGTAAGGGAAGAGAAGACATCCAGAACACGCCTCAAAGTGTGCTTCTCCAGCCGGCCATGGGATGCTTTCACTACTCGATTCAAAAACTATGCCAATATCACAATTCAGAACTTCACTAAGGATGACATACGCCGTTATTGCTTAGGTGTCATGGATGCCAATATCTCCGATATATCCGTTCCCATAGAAATCCTAGTTCCACAAGTTGTTGATAGATCAAACGGGGTATTCCTCTGGGTCAAGCTGGTTGCCGGCGACCTTGCTCGCGCTGCTAATGAGGGGTCAAGTAAGGAAGAGCTAGAGCATCTACTTCGATCACTACCAGCGGAACTTGACGACTATTATGCTGAGATTATTCAAAGAACGCCAGTATCATTGCGGTGGAAACTTTACGCCATGTTGGAAATTGCTACACGCTCCCATAAACCTTTAGAAGGGCCTGCTTTTATCGAAGCAGTTGAGTGTTCGCGATCTTCATCTTGGGGTGAAGCGGTGTCTAGAGTCGCGAAATTGTGGACTTTAAGCGAATTAGACAGCGAAGCGCACGCTACGAGACAGATTAAGATATATGCTCAGGGGCTTATTGAAATCCGAAGCAAAGTCGTCGAACTCCTACATCAAACTGTTCAAGAATTTGTGGGTCAGCCAAAATTTAATGCTTTAGTCCTCGATACCGAAGCAAAAGTTACTTTCGAGAATGGATATTCTTTCTTAGTGAAATGGTTTCTAGTGAAGTTTTTCGAGAAACCTAAGGGGAAGGAAGATGACATTACCCAAGTAATATCATATGGAAAACTATCGGAGAAATCTACTGGTCGCAGCATGAAGACCTTCCTCGACAGCATCCCCAACGAAAAATACAGCCGGATCGGCGATGCCTCAGTACGGAACACTGTTGAGTTTGCCGCATATGCAAAGTTGTCTCCATATTTTCGCGAATTATTTCAGAGCGATCAGGCATTCTCCAAGGAATGTAACATAAATGACCAAGGCTCGTTAATAACACTGTCTCTTGATCTCTTTCGGATCAGTAGCAACCACCACGGTTCTCAATTTGCCAACTTCGAAGATGGCGAGGAGGTTGCTAAACTCATATTCGACAACGGCTACAAAATCCAAAACGACCCCATCGCATTTCCAAAGGTGGTATATTATCTATGTTATCTAACCATGTTTAAGCCGAGCTCTGCTCGAAACAAGTGTATCGATTTCATTTTACGTTTCCTTGAGCTTGGTCAGGACCCGAATGCACCACTGACCATTCATCACTTATCGGATACGAATCCCCTAGAATGCACCGCGCTACACTTGAGCCCACCAGAAATCATCCCATCGCTACTCTATTATGGGGCCAAAGTTAATTATCAAGATTCTGAAGGGATGACACCTCTAGACAGGCTCTGTTGCAACGTTCTACCGAAGACAAGATTTCAAATCTACCTCTATGGAAATCACCTAAGAAATGTGGCAGATTCTTACCAAGTAGCTTGTATGTTAGTCAATGCTGGTGGGAAGCGAGCATGCAGCACAACGGACGAATCTTGGAATAGGCTCATGAAATTGTTTTCGGATAGAGGATACGATGTGGAGCCATTACAGCCACCCGTTGTCGAGAATAACGTTAAAAGTTGGTTGCCATGGTCGCAGGGTTGATCCTATTAAACCCCCGGCGACTGCTATATTTCGCTGAGGAATTATTCAGCTATAATTGAGTACCTAGGTCTGCCCGACTATCTAGGTTAATGTGTGATGTATGCCTACCAGTGATTGAGTGTGAATATTTAAGATAACTCCGTTCTCCTTAGAATATTTCCTGTTTCTCATTGATGAGAGTTTCTTGCTCTTTATGTTGAAATAGATGCAGGTTATGAGTATCATATTAGTTGATTAAAATATTGAGTTACTGGTGATTCGTAGGTACCTAGGGAGCCCTTGAATACAGGGCGTAGACTTCCAGCCACCTAATATTCTAGCACTTTAAAGATCTAGATCGGTGCTATTTTCTCAGCCTAGAGAGCTGCCTACCACCACCAGCCAGGGGTTCTTATTAACATGCCTCTCGTATCACGTCAGCTGAGAACCGCTAAAGAAACGTGCTGTAAGTCTGATAACAGAGCGCCAATCACACCTGCTGAGGGGCAGTTTCCAGCACGGACTCACCAGGGTCGGAAGCATGTTGGTGCTTTACCACCAATAATATGCATACTACCCTGCGCGATACCACGCTACACATCCTGGGACGAGATGCCGCCACGGCGGAGAAGCGGGAGTCTGCCGACGGTAGCTTAAAGGTAGGCTTCAATTGCCATGGATCCCTCTCCTTCATTTATCTATTAGTGCTTGCACAGCTCCAAATGCCCACAAGCCGAAGGATCGTGTTCCACATAGCACCGGTAGCTAGAAAGGATCGACGTTGCGCGCCGACTTGTGCCACATAAAAGCATGTCTAACTACACGGCCGAAAAGGAGGAGCCGGCCAAGGCACCCGGCGCGGTGCACGACGTCGAGATGGGGTCTAAGGAATCGCCGTCGGGGGCAACGAGTGAAGTCGGCGAGATTGAAGACCAATTCCAAGCTCCACGATCATCCTTCTGGGCAACATTCTCCGACCATGGAGTCGAGTTACGCGGCGCGGAACCGGTGCCGGTTGAAAGGCGAACTGATACTCGATATGTCAACGTATTCACCGTCTTCGCGACGTCTATGACAAGCTTGCTACCGTAAAAATGCCCCAAATCCATGTGCCGTGAAAATGAAAAGTCTAATTATCTACAGAATCGGAATCGGCTCTGCGACAACCATCGGCTTCGGCATATCGCTAAGAGACGCAGCATTGATGATCGTCTTCCTACAATTTCTATTCGCCGTACCAGCCGCCTACATCATCACCATCGCGCCCTTAACCGGGATGCGACAGATGATCCAGTCGCGATATTGTTTCGGGTAAGAACAACCCCCCTTATCTACCACCCAAAAACTCAACTTCGCAAGATACTAAACAAAAACCAGCAAATACTGCAACATCCTAACCTCAATAATCGTAACCCTAACCGTCGGCGGCTTCGGCGTAACCGGCAGCATAAACGGCGCCCAATGTCTCTCCGCCGTACGCCCGGGCACCCTCCCCGTCGAAGGCGCCATCGCCATCATCATGGTCCTCTCCCTCGCCATCGGCTTCGCCGGGTACTGCTTCCTGCACCTATTCACGCGGTGGGCATGGATCCCCACTCTCATCGCCATTATCATCCTCGTCGGCGCAGCCGGCGATCAGCTATGGCAGCAGACCCCCCTGCCGCGGCCCACGAGCGCGCAGAGGTATTTGGGCATGGTGGCGTTTGCGGCGGGGAATATGGTCACTTGGAGTAATGTCGCGGGCGATTACGCGTGTTATATGCCGCCGTCGGCGCCGCGGTTCAGACTTGCGCTGTACTGTCTCTTCGGCATCGCGTTGCCGTTTTCGCTGCTTATGGTTTTGGGGGCGGCGATTGGGGGCGCGGTTTTTACGGTGCCGGGGTGGACTGTTGCGTATGAGGATGGGGGAATCGGGGCGGTGATTGGGACGATTCTTATTACGCGGTTGGGCGATTTTGGAAGGTTTGTTTTGGTGGTTTTGGGGCTTTCGGTGCTGGGGACTTGTGGGAGGGATATTTATAGTGTTTCTTTTAACCTGACGGCTGTGGCGCCGGTGCTAAGGAGGGTGCCCCGGATTGTGCTGTCGGTTGTGGCTACGGCGGTTATTATTGCGGTTGCGATCCCGGCTTCGAGGTCTTTCGTTACGTCTGTGGTGGCTTTTCTTAGTATCATCGGGTATTATGCTGGTGCTTCGGTGACCTGTTTCTTAACGGAGTATTTGTGGTTTCGGAAGGGTGATCCTACTAGTTTCGACCCGAAGATCTGGAACGATGGTCGGGCGTTGCCGACAGGCTTGAGTGCTTTGGCATCTGTGCTGATCGCCTGGGCGTTTATCATTCCTTCGATGCAGGCAGATTGGTATACCGGCCCTATCGCCGCGAAGACGGGAGATTTAGGATTTGAATTTGCGGTTGTTGTTGCGTTCTTGGCCTACGTTCCCATACGTTCGTTGGAGATCAAGATTAGGGGTCGTCTTTGAAATGGGGATTGAGAAGGATTCTAAGAATGTCTAAGAGGTAATTAGTTATTTTAATATAGATAATATCATAAGAATGTCAAGAACTTTCAATGGAACATCTTTAAATCTGCATCCATGAGTAAATCACCCTAAATCTCATCCCATCGGGCATTGGGTGGTGTTATAGGTGCCCCGACGCAGTCTCCGACGGTCCGTGAGAAAAAAGCCCTCTGGACGAACCATCAAATCTCTAGAAATATTTATTCAGATTCTTCTATGTTTTGACTATCCTATTATACCCAGGCCACTTGTATACCTCAGATAAGTAGGCGCCTGTCTTTATTAGCCATTCATAGTTTTCGCATAGAAGGGCAACGAACCTACCTGCGACGTGCCATCGTTTCCCAATCGCCTTGAGGAGATCCACGATATCTCGCAACCATATCTTCGCGCTCGAATCCTCTTGTTCGCGAAACAACCACTCGCACTCACTTGCGACAGTATATAAACAGTGGCATAGGAGAGGACTATAGTTGCTAAGTCCGTCTTCGCTGACCTGGTCAATTGAATAGAGAATCTGCTGAGAAAGTTGCCAGGTATTCTCGGCAACGTCCAAAATACCAGACATTGAATTCCGTTGCATCTCAGCTTCGGAGGAGGATCTTCCGTGGTCGGTCGAAAACTTCTCATTGCACGCGTATATTTCGTATAGGATGAGACGGGCAGAGAAACATAAGGCTATCGCGACAATTATAGGTCCTGTTGGAGATGGCGACTCTTTGTGGATGTCAATGAGATGAGATGACAGCGACGTCAGGATATTGTGAAGTTGTTTCGCCTCCGATATTCGGAAGTCCAGGGTTATATTACTATCATGGAGATGATTGCGGTGGTGTAATGCGCGGCTAAGAATATGCGCTGCTTGACATACATTCGCGAATGATCCTAAGCTAGTGTTGCTAGAGAATGATGCCGCAAATAGGGGTTCGTTAAAGCCGATTCCGCCTTCGTTCCAGGATTGTTCCGGACACGGTAACAGCTCTCCAGGACTCGGTTCAGGGGTCGACATCAACATTCCGATAGTACCTTGGTTCATTATCCTAATCACACATGAGTTAATTAACAACAAAAGGAGAGTGAGGACTACGAATCAAGTACCTATCAAGGCAAAACACTGCCCACCACGCACGACGCTCTTCCTCTCGCCCCGTCCATCCAACCGCGTCTTTGAATAGTTGGTTTGCATTCTTGCGGTCATGAAATCCCATCATTATGCAGAGTCGTGAAGCATAACCAACACGTAAGTATGCCGCTGGATAGATAGCATGGCCTATCTCATAGATCGCGATCAAGATGATAGATTGAAGGAGTTGGAGACAAGGAAGACACGAATTCTCTACTTTAAGCAGGGTCTCCAGTGTTCTGGCATAAGTCATGCAAGTTCTTGGAGATACGCTAGATGATGGAGGTTCAGATACTAGCTTCATGCAAAGAAAAAGAAGTTGGGAAGGGGAGTCTGGAGCTAGCCCATCCTCGCCGATGTATCGTCGAGCAATTTTCTTGCTTAGGATAGGTAACCAATGGTGGATGGTAGAAAAGTACTTATCATAGACTGCAAGGGCTTCCGCGGGGATGTTATGAGAGGAGACGGAAGGCATTGCTTGATTGAGTTCTGATGATAAAGGCTGCAAGCAAACTTCAGAATCTAAAAAGAACATAGCCGGAAAATCATAGATGCCCTTGGTTCTCAACAGGGGTTCTCGTTCGTGATTCAAGTTTAAGTCCGCTAAGCCATTATTTGATGATTGGAAACCAACTTCCCCATTCGAGCTTTGAGAGTTAGTAGCTGATTCACCAGCGTCATTGTCGGGCGCATATCGAGCTCGCGGTAGGTACTCGCACCGCCTCTCGAGGCGAAGACACTGTAAGGTGTGTCAGTTTACGCAAATTCATAGCCTCTAATTACTAGGTAGGGTTACAAGAGAGCAGGACGGTAACTCCTTGGGGCATTTTCGTTTTAGTCTCCTATAAGCTATAAGCTGGTTGTCTAGACCAGGACCTGCGGCGTACCATACCGACACGCCTTGCAGGCGAACCGAGCTCTTCGATCCATCGTTGGAGCCGATGTTATGCACTACCTAACGCAGTAACCTTATAGGCCTATCCAAGTTCGAGTCAAGCCGCCTAGGGTGTATACTAAGAGCGGACTTGTATGCGGTTGTTTCTTATAATTGGTGATCAATATTTTTGTGTACCTAGGTATTGACTTGGTTATGTTGGCAGCTTTGGAACTTTGCTGAGATCGCAGTAAGACTAACTCTAGCTAGCAACTCTGTAAAACATAGGGGATTTCTTCCTAATTCTCCTAACAGAAAGAGCGTAAGAGAAAGATGGCTGTATTTGGTGTCCGCTCACGTGGAAAGATCAATGTATTTAAAAGCGAGTTGAAGACGCTGTTTGATCGTTTAAAGTCCGCTCTATCTCCGCTCATGCCGGTGCCCGTTGCCCCACTTGATGACTGCATTAGCATACGATGGGAAAAGGGTCATCTTGATGAAATTCAATCCCGCTGCGGATACTCGGGGTTCAGATGGCTTGAGGGCTAGAGCATTGCCTGATGGTCTCATCGTTTGTCTCTGCGACCTGAAAGAGTTTCTTGGGCGCTAACTGTCACTAAATTTAAGAAACCATATTCTCCGTCGTGGAGTTCTGGCAATGGAGTTGTGACGGAGTAACCATAAAACATTTGTGTTCTAGATTCTTCGGTGCGTGAATTTAAGCAGGTATTTCTCTTTTTGAAAACCGCTTCTATACTTGCGATTATAATTTATAGTACTATTTTACTAGGCTCAAAAATCAACGGATGCGGCCGGAATCTAGGTAATATGTGGGCGAATAAGCCATTGGGTGGCGCGAGGTTTGATTAATCTAGGCTTTTTAACCCTCTGAAAGGTAGACCTACACTTGAGTCTTGTATGTTGTTTTAGGCGATGTAGGCCCTAAGTTCGTTAAATCATCGTCGGACCAGGCTTCCAATGGCGTCCAGGAAAGGCACGCCACCGAAACCGCGGCGTTGGGTAAGATATAGACCTAGAGTTCCCGCGACAATAGGGCCACACAACATGGCAATAAATCCACGAAGAAGAACCTTGCCTTGATGGTCGCTTTTTGCTACCACTTCAGAATATCTTTCGTTTCCGAAGCTGACTCGGGAGTACTTGGTCTGCCAGCCAAGGCCAGGTAGATGGACAGACATAAACTCTTCCAAGAACTTGCGAAGGCGGTAGGTAGGACTTAGGACGGAGGCGCGCATCTCAACATAGTTTTGTAAAGCGAGATCGTTGATGGCGTGCGCATCGGCAACACGGAGGGCCGAGTATTCTGCAAGAGCCATTCCTCTTTGGTACTCTACATCATCGGACCCGGAATCATCTGGGTTGTTATTTTCGGCGGCTGCATGCTTGTCCAAGATGGAGAAAAGTATACGGACATCCTCAAGACCAGCGTTCATGCCCTGGCCAAAGAATGGCACCATAGCATGTGCCGCATCCCCTAAAATGACAGCAGAGCTAGAGTAGTGGTAAGGTTGACACTTGATACTGATCAGGGGAAGGTGTGGATTTGCCTCAAATGAGGAAATGAGTTCACTCGGCTCAATCAACGAAGTGACACCGGGGAAGTGTTGGTCGAAAAAGGTGGGCAACTTCGATGAGTCTGCTTCTAGGTTGGCAAACTCAGCCCCTGACAAGAAGAGGGTGCAGGTAAAGGAACCGTCCTATCTACTGTCAGCACTGCCATTTTTTAGTAAGACGCCAAGGCATACTTCGCTGGGTATGGCGATGAACATGAACTGCTTGCCCGGCCATATATGAAGGTGGTTGGGAGATATTCTGAATTTGCTTTTTTGATCGTGTAACTCGTTTCCCTCTTTCGGCTCAATCTGGAACTCGCACCACAGAGTGTCGACGTACTCTTGCTGGTAATTCATTCTCGTATATTTCATCAAATGATACCTAACGGCCGAATGAGCCCCATCGGCGCCCATCATGAAATCGAATGAGATTTCGATCTCTTCCGGTCGACCAGAAGGTGAGTTTGGGTCGTAGACCTCAAACCAGGCCTTACGCCGTTTGAAATCTGCTCCGGTGAGCTTGTAATTGAAGAAGAATTTGACATTGGGCATTGCGCCGAGAATATCCAACAGTCGTGTGTTGAGACCGGCCCTATCAACGGCGAATATGGTCTACATCATGAAGTCAATGAGTGACTACCGAAGGAGCCAATAGAGAGCAACAGGGAGGGCCGTATTACCCTTCCATGAATATCATAATCTTGAGGCTCTTCATATAGTTCTCCAGATGGGCGTTTGCCATGAATCATCCTTCCCCGCATGGGAATGGTGGCTGAGACAACATGGTCGAGTAGGTCCTGTTGGTCAGCATGCTTCATAGCATTGATGCCTCTTTCGGAAAGTGCAAGATTGATGGACTTGGTGAAGTTGAGTGGCGTTGTTGAAGGATCCCGTAGATCTAGAATGTGTTGTTAGTTTTACTTGATATGCCACACTTCACCTAGTAACCCGCCTAGGATATAATAATGATGGGTTCTACATGTTCGCCTCAAGGATTATTAAGAATACTTATAGGTTGTAACATACCACCTCGAAGCTCGTATATTTCCACATCGTGTCCCCGCTTGGCCGCATACAGCGCAGCCAACGATCCAACAGGACCTGCGCCGACTACAACATATTTTTGGCCAGACATCTTTAAACAACCATCAGACGGAGAATTGACTTGGATTTCAACGACAATTTTTCATTGATGTGTAACCAAGAAACATGTTATGTGAATAATGATGTTTAAATTTGTAAGCCATCTCGGTACTACTAGGTAAGTACTAGGTAGCGTGGTATGTTTTCTCGGATAGAAGCGGAACTTTCTATCATAGAGCCGCTCTTTATTTTGCGGGTGTTACTCTGTAGGTACCTACTTATCAGCTTAGGTATTAGGTGCTATCTACTTCGTAGGTGGTGAGGAAAGAACAAGACCCTTTCAATTGGTCCACATTAAAGTTCGCACATTTATGTGGGGCAGTGCAAGTGGATGAAGGTTTTGCGCCTTGCGCCTTTCTTTTGACTTACTAGGGACCTACAAGGCGAAGGACTTCAACCTGATCCAACAAATTTGCGGAAATTCGATAGAATTGCATTATCTTCATCTGTACCTGTTAGTTACTCTGTGCTTATATAGAGTAACTATCACCACTCTCCTTTTCGTTGATAGCGCAATCAACATCCCGACATTCCGATATATTCCATCCATTAAAAATTTAGAAATTCGGAAAGTCGAGCGAACCCCTCCATCATGGCTGCCGAACCGCCGACGAAGAAGAAATGTCTTGGGAAAGATTGTGAGAACGATGCTTCCGCCCTCCAATGTCCTACGTGTCTGAAAATTGGCATCAAGGATAGCAACTTTTGTTCTCAAGATTGCTTCAAGAAGAATTGGGTTCGTATCCTTCAGCCTTCTGCCGTGATCTTACTCTTGGTTTTATACTCTAGTTATACTAACCTATTCCCTCCCTTGCGCTCTAGAATAACCACAAAATACTGCATCAACTTGCACAAGGCACAAAAGGCAAGACCGCAACCGGTATTCTTGACAGTATCCGAACTCCAAAGGTCGTCTCTAAACCTGATCCAGCAACCGGTGTTTTCAACCCATTCCCTTCCTTTGCATATACTGGCTCAATGCGCCCTGTCTACCCGCTGTCCGGCAGGCGTCCAGTTCCGAAATCGATACCTCATCCTGACTATGCCGAGACCGGCTACCCTAAGAGCGAACGACTCATTAACAGGAACAAGATCGACATTCTCGATGCCAAGGGTCAGGAGGCTATGCGAAAGGTTTGCAGGTTAGGCCGAGAAGTCCTAGATATAGTGGCAGCAGAAGTTAGACCTGGTGTTACTACTGATTACCTCGACGAAATCTGCCACAAAGCTTCTATAGAACGAGAGGTAAGCCGATCGCGGTTCCTTGAGACTCGGGAGATCTACATGGGAACTAACCGTTATAGTGTTATCCCTCGCCCTTAAACTACAACAATTTCCCCAAGTCCTTTTGTACATCAGTCAACGAAATCATCTGTCACGGTATTCCAGACCAACGAGTACTGTTAGACGGCGATATCATCAACCTAGACGTCTCATTATACCACGGAGGCTATCACGCGGATTTAAACGAGACGTATTATGTAGGCGATAAGGCTAAGGCGGATCCCGACTCCGTTAGAGTAGTCGAAGCTGCTAGAGAATGTCTGGACGAAGCCGCCAAGCTCATTAAACCAGGAACCTTGATACGAGACTTCGGCAATATTATCGAAAAGCACGCCAAATCGAAGAATTGCAGTGTCATCAGGACGTACTGCGGCCACGGAGTTAACAGTCTATTCCATTGCCCGCCTAACGTGCCGCATTACGGAAGGAATAAGGCTGTAGGTGAATGCAAGCCGGGTATGACATTCACCATCGAGCCTATGATCGCGCTGGGAAAATACCGGGATGTTACCTGGCCTGATAACTGGACAAGTGCTACGATTGACGGTAAACGAACTGCTCAGTTTGGTGAGTGAATCCCGACGTATTTCCTCTTTTCTTGTATAAGGCGTATATTATAAGTCTTAAATAATACAAGCACTAATTTAATGTCAATACAGAGCATACTTACCTAGTAACCGAAACCGGAGTGGAGGTATTGACAGCGCGAACGGAGACTTCACCGGGAGGACCTATACCGATGCCTGTCGTCGAGAATGAGACGAATGGCAACTGAGAGGCCAACCTAGATACTCTTATATGAGACTTGTGATTCTACAAGCAAGCGATGCATACCACAGGATCAGGGTTAGGCGTAATACATTCGTAGTAATCTTTAGAGAACAGATAACGGTGAAAGATAGCTCGTTTGTACGTGATGGAGCACTCTGAATTTTATACATTTATTTGATTAATATTCGATGAGAATAAGTATGGTGGAGTATTAGTATTGGATGACTTTTCAACTTCTCAACTTCTCAACTTTTTAACTTCTCCCCCTTTTACATATCGGTCGACTCAACTGGTCCCAACCTTCCTGGCGGATTGGCTGCTAAGCCGTTTTTGGGTTATCATTAACGGTTTTCCGTATGTCCCTGCCCCTCTATTTTCCAGCCTCTAATGCTCTAATGTGGGGGATCACAAGGTTCAGTAGAAAGAACCTTAAAGAATTTATGGACGAAGTACCCTGCATATTTAAAAGTGCCTGTAGGTACATATCATAGTGGACCTTAGCCGATAGCTTCACCACCTGGGTAAGAAGCTTTGCTTTGAGGTCCGATTTCCCCCTTCGCAAAAGAAGGCAAGCTTTTTTTTTCTCCTTCGCGCGAGCCGCTTTCATCATTCACCCACACAAAATCACCACCCCCCAAATTTCCCAAAACAACCGACAAACCGACAAATAGGTCTCAATACTTCCCCAAGCTTTAATTAATCGCGGGGATTCTCTATATCCGTTTATCTACCTGTCTAGTTGTCTACCTGTCTACCTGTCTCTATAATCCCGACGACACGTATCTACTACTTGCGTCCCCGTGCGTTGTGCATCGTGCCTCGTGCGTTATCCTTGCGTCTTTCGCTGTTCTACAAACTACAATATACATAGCGCAGCGCAAAACGTCGGCTTCCACCACCTAAAGGCACGCTAGACAATCTTGTAGCCTTATCTCCGCATTCTTCTAATTTCGACCATCCCGTTCCGTCCTTTCGATCAAACTTCCTCTACCCGCGCTCAACGTCGACCAGTCAATCACTACCTAAAAGTTCGCGTGCAGCTGGTACCCGATCAGAACAAACAGCTAGGGCTTATTTTGATATCCCAACGGATTGCCTCGCGTCTTCAACATACTCTCACTAATTATCCGACGTCACAACCGTCAAGATGTCGGGCGAGGCGTGGTTATACCTCTTCGCCGTGCTAATAAATGCCGTCAACCTCTTCCTCCAAGTATTCTTCACGATTATGTATAGCGATTTAGAATGGTACGTGCAGCAGACTCGAGGTGGAAGGGTGCTACAGTCTTGCTTGCCCAAGCTATGCTCCGCAGAAGGCACCGATGATATACGTCATTGTTTCTACCACCTGCTCCAAAGAAATCTTTCAACTGACAGCTGTTTGTTTTAGTGACTACATTAATCCTATCGACCTCTGCAACCGTCTCAACACGTACATCATCCCCGAAGCTGCCGTGCATGGATTCCTAACTTTCTTGTTCCTGATCAACGGATATTGGATGGCACTGATTCTCAACTTGCCACTCCTTGCCTGGAACATCAAGAAGTACGTTGCGCTAGAACCATATCAAATAGTGCACCTGCACCTACTACATGAACAAGCACTAATATGGTATATAGGATCGTCGACAACACTCATCTACTGGACGCAACCGAGATTTTCAGGAAACTCAATGTCCACAAGAAGGTAACAAACCTTTAACAAATGCTCAAGTAACGCAACGTAATCTAACTCATTTCGTAGGAATCGTTCATCAAGCTAGGTTTCCATCTAGTCATGTTCTTCTTCTATCTGTATAGTATGATCGTCGCCTTGATCAAGGACGAGACGAAGTAAGCTGTTACACGCTGGGAATAGCATGATAATACACATGATCAATATGGAACGGCTATGACGGAAATGTGCCTCATGAGCCAACGATTACTCGGTTTCCCCCATGTGCCCACTAGGAGTAGTGTTCGATTTAGGCAACCTTGGGGACGAGTCTTTATGGTTGCGGATTGGTTTGGACAAGAGTTGATAAAGAAGTTGACGAAGTTTTGAGGGAACGAGTCCGGATGAAAGACGAGATGTTCCCTAGGTCTCCATCGAAGTTACGCAAATCTGTTGGGATGGAAATGGGAAAAGACGCAAGTGAGAGCTTAGGAAGAGCTCAAGCACAAGGAATTCATGACATGTGCGCTTTCGTCGAATTACCAATTTCCATAGATAATGAAGTTAGAAATAATACCCCGATTATTCATATAAAAACCGAAATATTCCGCTCGTATAGCTATTTTTATTGCCCGAGAATTAAGAAAGGAATAAATGCGCTGGGCATGTTTTTATCACTTTATTGGCAAACATGTACCTAACTTTTTGGGCGGTAGAAAGATGCAATGCCCCTCCCTCACCATCTTCCCATAGGGAGACTAAAAGACACGACAATAGCTTCAAATAAGCTAATTACATTCAAGATTATATGTAGTGAATTTAAAGGATATAATGATCCGTAATAGCTTGATCGGAGAATGATGTTACGGTGCGAAAGGGACGAATAATACAAATTACTACTTCAATGTTGGTATCTCTGTAATATAAGTGGCTGATGCCTTTTAGAGTTCATAGTTGGCACTAGTGTACCGAAGTTATGGGTCCCTGCTCTGCTAAGGTAAAACAACCCAAAATTTCTAGCAGTTCTAAACGCGTCAACGGTTAACCTTCATTTCTAGGCGGGCATCAGCCACGATACGAATCGAAAATGAAGGACTTCGAAGAATACCCGCCTAATATGGCGCCCCAAGATGCGCTTATAGTACGTGAGCAAGCAGAGCCTAATCATGCCGTCGTACCCTACACCGGCGAAGATCTTGCACGCCCTAGACTCGGACCTTTGAACCCTTATAAGGACGAAACGAACGCGCTGAAACGGAAGAATGTCCTCACCGGCCATGCCGAAGAAACTTTCGTGAGCGAACACACATTTCGAAGCAAGCATCGCGCCATTGAACGCAGAGGCGGACCCGAAAGAGAATACCAGTCTGGTACCACAGTCAAGGAAGAAGCAGCTAAGCTAAGAGCGTCACGACAAAAAAAAGGCGATGCGACCATTGCTGATGGCGACGGGGCATATGTCGGACCCTGGGCAAAATATAAAAAAGATGAATATGAAGAAGTTGGAGAGGATGAGGAATTGGCAAGTGACGAGGAGGTCGAATACGTGTACGAAGATGAGGACGACGTGGTCGCGAGCGGCACCGTTATCTCGGCACCAGCAGAAGCTATCGCTAGAAGGAAACAGGTAGAGGAGCTAGGAGACGAGCAGACAGTATTCCACGGCGAACAGGAATACGATTACCAGGGAAGGACATTCATGCATGTGCCCCAAGATCTGGATATCGACCTACGCAAAGCACCTGGCAGCATCACGAACTACATTCCCAAGAAGATGGTACATACATGGAAGAACCACGACAACAAAGCAGTTACCGCTCTTCGATTCTTCCCGAACTCTGGACATCTATTACTATCTTCTGGCGCAGATACGACAGTCAAAATCTGGGATGTGTACCACCAAAAGGAATTACTACGAAGCTATTTGGGACACTCCAAAGCTGTATCAGATATATGTTTCAACAACGATGGAACGCAATTCCTATCCGCGTCGTACGATCGCCAGATGAAGCTATGGGATACAGAAACAGGCACCTGCGTCAACAAATTCACCACGGGCAAGACGCCACACGTCATCAAATTCAACCCGTCACCTGACCACTCTCACGAATTCCTCGCTGGTATGGCAGACAAGAAGATAGTCCAATTTGACACGAGAACGAGAGAGCTTGTCCAAGAGTACGATCACCATCTCAACGCCATCAACACGATCACCTTCGTAGACGACAACCGACGGTTCATGACCACCTCCGACGACAAGTCCCTACGCGCCTGGGACTACAACATCCCAGTGCCCATCAAATACATCGCAGAACCGTACATGTACCCGATGACGCGAGCGTGCGCGCACCCGTCTGGGAAGTACGTAGCGTACCAATCATCTGATAACCAGATCGTTGTATATGGCGCCAACGACAAGTTTCGCCAGAACCGTAAGAAAAGCTACCGCGGCCATAACAATGCCGGCACCGCGATCGATGTCGCGTGCAGTCCCGACGGCCAGTTCCTTGCTTCTGGTGATAGCGGCGGCTTTGTCTGCTTCTGGGACTGGAAGACATGTAAGATGTATCATAAACTGCAAGCAGGCGACCAGGCTATCACGTCCGTGCAATGGCATCCTCAGGAGACGAGCAAGGTCGTTGCTGCGGGCATGGATGGGATCATCAGGTATTGGGATTAAGTTGGATTAAGCGGCTACGAGGGGGTTGATACGATACGGCATTATGGCATGGCGTTTTCGGCGGATTCGAGTAAAAGCATTGTCGATACCAGAATATGACTTCTAATGATATTTTATTCCTCGGACGTTCGATCTTCAGTCCTTCTCTTCAATATCACCTTTCATCACGTTGCACTGAATACTTGATCCAGATTGCCGTTACTATCACGAGACGGTCATCCAATGGCGTACAGTCAGTTCGGACTGGGCAAATCTTAGGCTTTCACCATTCAGGGGTATAGGACAACATCTACACAAACCTCAGCCTGACATTACACATGAAAACTTCGTGATTCATGTCCCCGCCACGAAACTCATGCGTCGACGCAGATTATGCTCGCAGCTCAGTTCCACCGTGACTGCTCAACTCGTACAAATCTCTGCCACGATGACCAAGGACCCTATGTGGAACCCCATATCACCATTCTGAGTCTTGATCGAGTCCGTAACTTCTGTGATATAACGTGGATCAGTAGGACTACAACGAAGAGCTGGAATAACTCACTACCTACCCTCATAAAGCCTTTTAAACACCAACCATCCTCTTTCAAATTTATAAAATATACCTTTTAAGATCACCCACAATCTCACTCTTCACTTATCAAGTCTCTATTACAACCTCATCAAGTACCTACCTAATATTATAACCCTGCCTACCACTAAGAGACCTCTCCAACTTGAACAAAAAATAGGGTCCTCTTACTCCTATCACTCCAAACACCGCAAACCCAAAGCATACCACCACAATGCCAACCACAGTAATCATGCCCCCTATCAGCAGAGTCATCTACACGATCCCCCCTCCAACCCTCTTCATCAACACCCGCGACGCGCCCGGGCCCCCGAATCGCCCGCTCCCGAGACCGCCTACGCGTCCTAGGCCTAGGCCACAGCCTCCTGTCCCTACAAGTGCCTCGGTTGTCGTGCAGCCTGCTACGTTGCTAACACCGGCTACGGTTTTGCACCCGGTGAATCAAGTTGCGCTTGCGGGCGTCGTTGATGCGGCGGGCGTGAGGCCGCTGGTGCCTGTGGTTAATGTTCCTTTGAATTCGCCGCCGGATATGTTGGTTTTGAGGAGGGTTACTTAAGGGTTGGGAGTGGGGATGGAGGAAGGGTGAAGATATGGGAGTTTTTGGTCTCCTAGGGGAGAGAGGAGTTGCTTTGGGCTGCTTGGTTTTGGGGGATGTTCTATCGGGTGAGGGTTGGTGATGATATGTGATGAATAAAACTTATCATTTGCACCGCGGATCTTCTGCGCTGACGATATCTTCATAACATGATGTCTTTTAAGTAAATCTACCTACCTACCTACTAGGTACCTAGTAATGGGAACATCCCACTTATGAGAATAATTCTAGATAGCTTCAAAGTCTTACATGCATAGGAATGATTTAATTGGAAGAAATGATTCTACAATTAATATAATGATTCTACGATCAACTAAGCTGCTGATTTTTCCCTTGGTGGTAAATAACTACCTAGGAAGCTTGAGTGCTAAAATGGGGTCCTGTAGGTAACTTACCTCCTGAAATAATGAAGCGATAGGTCACCAGTGAGATAGTGACCTATAGCCACCCAGAATAGAAAGGGTTGGCCACTAAAGGGTACTTACCTAGGTAGATTATAATGACCTTAGGAGTTTTTAGGTAGGTATTTGTATCTAAAATCGACTGCTATTTAGAATTCTAGTAAATTTATTGTTCTTAGGAGTAGATCTAGAAATATTTCTGGTAGTGAACGTAAATATTTTTCTTACTACCCTTACTATGCGTAGTTTCACATGCTGTTTAGCGCCTATCCAGCTCATTCTCTGCAGAAGATCACCAATCTTAGCTGGGTCGTGATTCAATAATGAGACATAATTGGTTAGTAACGTGCAACCCCTGCTACTAATAGCGATAACATAGCAGGGGGCTGCCTAAATGGACCTCAACTCCTCGAATCCTCGTCAGGTCGCTCATCCATTTCCCCTCTTCCCGCCTCCTTCTTCTTCTTTCCCGTTTATCATGCTAACAAACGATTGAATAATATCTCCGCGAAACCCCTAATATCGCATTCATGGCCGACACCCGATCGCTGCGCATCACCACCGCTGCGACTTTCCTTCCCGCGTTTCCATTATTACTTGCTCATGGCGTGGTCGCGAATAGCCCCGCTCCTGCCGTAGGGTTGGTGCCGCTCGCTGTCTCAGCAAGCACGAGCATCTTCCTACTGTCGCGGCAGTCCGCAAGGAAGCAGCAGTCGGCGGATCCAGAGCGGGGTGATGTTGGCTCAGAGGGGCAGGTACGGGAACAAGTAGTAGAGCAAGAGCCGGGACTTGAACAGGAATTTGGGCAACAACCTCAGGAGCGACCCGAACCGCCGGCGCCGACGTCGAACCGAAGCCATCCTATCCTCGTATTCGCCGTTGACACGATACTCGCTGCGGCGCTGATGGTGGTTTTGGTATTTACGTGGATCGATTCGAGCAGTGGAAGCACCAATAGCGCCGAGTCGGCCATGCTGGCTGCGTATGGGACAATTCCACTGTTGATTAATTTGTAGGTTGCCAATATAATTAATTACCTAGTATTTTTCCGCGGGGTATCAAACGAAGAAAAAACGCATAGATAAAGGGAAAATGGCAAAAAATAGGATTAATGCATACTTAAAACTAATCGATCGTTTGCTAAACTTACATGTCTTGTTTAGCTTTATCCATCTCTACCTAGCGGTACGCGAATTCTCCCGCGGCCTCGCGATCCCGGGGCTGACGCAATACCTCGCGTGGCAGGTCGTCGAACCCGACTGTCCCGACTGTGGGCGCCGACTCCGTCCCGACGCACCGCCTAGTTTACCGTGGGTCGAGGAAACGTCGCTCCCCAGACCGAACTTTAAGAACGTCAAGTTTAAGCTACCCTCGATCCCGAAAGTCAAAGCGCCGGAGTGGAAGACGCCGGCATGGCTCCAAAACCGAAACCCGCGCAGCTACCTGTTCGGTGCTACTAACGATGACGAGTCGATTACAACTCCGTATAGGGACGATCCTGAAGAAGGCGGGCCGTCTATTCTACCCGATGATTCCGAGACTGTAGAACCCGAGGTGGTGGATGTTGTAAGCAAGAAGAGTAGGAAGCTAGGGAAAGATTCTAGTTCATCTCCTTGAATTCATCAAGGGCGGATGAAGATCAATTTGTGCATTGAGATATCCGGATAGTTTATTTCTGGCCAGCATGCGGCGATACCCCTCTGCTTTGGGAAGGACTTTTTGGATCGGTTGTGTGATTTTTGAGGGGCCTCGGGGAAGGATGAGGTAAGGGGGGGTGGGGGATGATGTTATGAAGTTAGCGTGATACCCTTATGATTAAAGTTGTTTCTAGGTGTTTTTATTTAGAAGATGCGAATTTTGTAGGTGAGCTGGATATTATGGAGGAATTTGATATAGCGAAAGCTTTGTGAATATTAGGTACCTAGGTAGGTACCTATCATCTTGCATAAAGAAAGCTACATACCCCTATTTTTCAAACGGTCTACCCTATGAAGATTGTTAGTTCTAAGGCAGTTGCAATTTGTATTATTCATGCCATGTTTTCAGCAGTATTGCTTGCAGTCGCGTCGTACAAGTACACCTGGGAAATCATGAATCAGCGGCTTAGAAGTGACCTAAACGCCCCTAACACAACGTCTATGCGCCACTGTAATTCCCAACTTTCCTCCTCCAACCAACCCAGAAGTGACAATCCATCAACGAATTGCATGATGAATTATGATTCCATAGCCAAGCTAAGGCGCTAATAAGTTCCGTTCTATTACTTTGATCTTGGGAGAGGTCGAGGTCTTTTCTCTACGACCTAGGTAAGTTATCCGCCAAGAAGACCGGCGAATGGATCTAGATTTCTTGCTGTGTCGGCTGATATCTGAATTAGAAAATGTTCTCGCAAATCCAAGACCAATGCCTACATCCTACAACAACTCATTAATCCCTATATGGAAAAATATGGTCCAGAAGTCAAGAATATAGCATCTCCAATATTGATCACGTTCTTTTACTCGTCAATTGCACCAAGCGTACCGACTTACCTAGAGCTGCTCGGTACCCGAGTAGACAGCCAAGATATCCCCGCAATCCCCACTGCAAGTTCATAAGTTAAACTACTAAGAGACCTGGGCCAACATTCCGCGTGTCCATATCATTCGTGGAATCTTTCGTGATGGGATTGTCATGCTTGCGTTATTCTATCCTCGCCTTGCCTTATAGCGCCCTAATGGTGCAAGGTAGGACATAATAAGTCTAGTCAGGTACGGAACAGATTTCATTCTCTCTACTGGGCAAGATGCCCGGTATAATATTCACCGAGGTAGCAATAGACTACGCAAGCCAAGTTACATAGCTCCAAGCTTGCAGCTTTCTGTTTATCCAGGAGACCGTACATACGTCAAAAATTGGAGAAAGGCTTCTCCATAACCCTCTGTTATAAGAAGTATGGGTTCGGCCGACTTCAAAAACTGGACTCGATGGAGCCAGGGCTTTAAGGAAGAGTAGATGACCCCAGTCACGATCTTTGCCTAAGCCTCCTGAGAATGTCAGCACGGCAGATTCTAGGACTGCTCGCAGTTCTGGGCTTATCCAGCGCCTCTTCGGCCCAGAGCTATTCAAACAGCAGCAGCTTAGCAAGCGACACTGTTGCTGTGAGTTGGGTCGGTGATGCGCCGAAGATTAACTCCGGAACAACTTTCGGACTCCCTTGGCCTCGAGGGAAATACCAAGCCAATACAACCACCTTCGCTGGCCGCGAGGGTGATAGTGAAGGCCAGGTACCCCTCCAGTCGTGGATCCTGGCTTCTTGGCCAGATGGTTCGATAAAATGGTCCGCGCACGCTGTAGGGGCTTCTGAGACAGTGTATGACAAGTACAGCATCACAGCATCAACAAGTACGGCGGGGAGCAAGGAAAAACGGGCCTCAAACTCATCTTCGTCGAGTTTAACCGTTAGCGAGTCCGATTCCGAAGCCACCATCAACACGGGAAAGCTTTCTGCGACTTTTCCCAAGTCCGGAAGTATTCTCGTGAGCGAAATCAAGACATCAAGCGGCAAGATTGTTGGCCAGAATGGGCGATTGATACTACGATCTCAATCTGGAGTCGAAAATGATGATGAAGGAAACTCAACATCCATCAACAAATTCCAATTCGAAAGCAATGTCGACAATTCCACCGTCGAGTACGATGACAGCTCCGTAAGAGCATTGGTAACAGTGCGCGGCACGCATAAGGTTACCTCAGGCGCGCATGATGACTTATTGCCATTCATTCTCCGCTTTTACCTATACGCAAACTCGGACGCCATCCGAGTCGTCCACACCCTCATATTCGATATTAAGCCCGATCAAGACTTTGTCTCGGGTATCGGAATCCGTTTCGATGTCCCACTGAGCGGTGAGGAGCTATACAACCGTCACGTCAGGTTGGCCGGCCCAGACGGGGGTCTTCTCCGTGAAGCTGTCCAGGGTATTACGGGTCTTCGAAGAGACCCCGGAAAGACTGTTCGCACTGCGCAGTACGACGGCACGGAATTGCCTGATATTTCGACTTGGGATACCAGAGTCTCTTCTAGGTTAAAGTGGATCCCTTCATGGAGCGACTATAGTCTGACGCAATTGTCTCCCGATGGATTCACACTGAAAAAGCGGACAAAGTCGGGTCAGAGTTGGGTCAAGATTCCCGGAGGTACTCAATCAGGAGGCCTGGCCTACCTAGGGGGTGCTACACAGGGTGGTCTCGCTGTTGCTCTTCGCGATTTCTGGAAGCGATACCCAACTGGTCTTGATATCTCGAATGCAGCTTCGGATGTGGGTCAAATCACCCTCTGGTTATACAGTCCCGCTGCTGAACCGATAGATGCTCGACCTTTCCATGACAAATTAGGAGAAGATACATTTGCAGACCAACTCGACGCGCTCGAGATCACCTACGAAGATTATGAGGAAGGATGGGACACGCCATATGGAATTGCTCGAACTAATGAAGTATTCCTGTTTCCATTCGACAAAACACCCGCTGCGGATACATTATCTTCCCTAGTCGATTATGCAAATGAGCCGCCAGTACTCGTTGCAGAACCACAATACATCCAGGAGACAAAGGCAATTGGATCGTACTGGGCGACAACCCCCGACAACTCGTCGGCTGCGGCGCAGACAATCGAGTCACATCTTGACTTCTTAATTAAGTACTACCAAGATCAAATCGTTCAACGACGATGGTACGGTTTCTTTGACCACGGTGATATCATGCATACCTACGATACCGACAGACATACCTGGCGCTACGATATCGGGGGCTATGCTTGGGATAATTCGGAACTCTCGCCGAATCTTTTCTTCTGGAACTACTTCCTAAGAACTGGTAGAGCAGATGTATACCGCTTCGCGGAAGCTCACGCTAGACACACTGGTGAAGTAGACGTTTACCACATCGGTCCATACAAGGGCTTCGGAACGCGACATGGTGTCCAGCAATGGGGTGACAGCTCTAAGCAGATCCGTGTCTCAACGCCTATCTACCGTCAGGTCTTCTACTACCTATCTGGTGGAGATGAGCGCGTTGGAGAGCTTCTCCACGAGCTCATGGATGCCGAAAGCGCATTCCTTACCGTAGACCCACGACGCAAGGTACGCGATCCCAACGTCCCCTACGTCATCGACCCGACAGCCATAGACCTGGATATCGGTCTCGACTGGTCCGGACTCGCATCGACCTGGTTAATCGAGTGGGAGCGTCGCGGCTCGCGATGGGAAGAAGCCCGATCGAAGCTCAATTCAACCATGCACAGTATTGCCAGCCTAAAGAACGGCTTCGTAACCGGCCTCGGCCTCTACAACATCCGCACCGGCATCGTCTCGCCGCCATCAACTGACTCGAATAATACCGGCACCGTAGACGTCAGCCATCTCCCAGCGAGCTTCGGACTTCCGGAGATCGTCTCGCAGCTTGCAGACTTCCTCGGCGACGAGTTCCCGAAAGCTTTCCAGGACGTCTGGCTGGATTACTGCTACTACTATGGAGCCGGCGCTGCGGAGCAGAAGGCAAGATACGGCTCCAGCTTTGGTAACCTGAACCTGAAGCAGGGACACTCGCGGTTGACGGCGTACGCGGCAAATAAGCTGGGCAACGCGACACTAGCAAAGCGCGCTTGGAACGAGTTTCTGAATACGGATGGACTTTCACCAAGTGCGCCGTGGGTCGCTGAGGCGATTAATGGGAGTCTGGTCTTATCTCCGGTCGACGAGGCGGCGTGGCTTGCGACGAACGATGCTGCGCTGTACGGGTTGGCTGGGATTGAAAACTTGGCGCAAATTGCGTATGCCTTATAAATGTAATGTTTGGTAATATAATATGTTAGTTACCTCCTACCTAGTTTACTTAATATGTGAAGATGTTTTAAGCGATCATTCACGATATACTTCGTCAAGCCCGAGTCAATGGAATGTCAATAACTAGGTAACTACCTAATGGTCCCTCTATATACATTGAAGGCATAGAGGAAGGTGTAGACCTGGCATCTACATAATGGTGCGATAGCCCTGAAAACGCGTTAGAAATAGAAACTAATGGGACGAGGCCACCCAATTGTGTACTTAGTGCCTAGAGTAGGTTCCAGGGATTTGACGTCCAAAAAGAGCTAGGAGCTCCTCGATCAATAAGGCATTCGGCCATTGGAAACCACCAGGTACATCTAGCCAGCCAGAACGACTCTTGGTCATTCGCGAGCCATCGATCATGATCAATCTCCAGTAAGTAGCACAAGGGGGCACAGCGATCGCAGTCAGCACGACTTTGAGTAAAGTCATCCCCTGGATTACGGGGCCTCTCCCGTTCCTCCCCATCTGGCAGATTTTCAAGTTCTTGATCGTGGGGGCAGTTCTTGATGCCGTCTAGACTTTGGTGGTACGCGCCATGCAACGCACGAAATTCTATCATATGACGAAGGTCGCCTCTTTCATGAGAGATTTCTGCCCCTTTCTCCATGAGGTAACGGCAGATATCTTCTTTCCACATGCAGAAGGCTGCTTGAAAAGCTGTGATCGATGCTGGAGACCAATAGGAAAAATGCCACGGAGGTGATGGCCTAGGATGACTAATGTTAGGGTCCAGGCCATAACGGAATAGTAGCTTGATTATCTTGAGCTGTTTCGGGCTGCGTTCTATACGACTGCAGATTTCCATCAAGGCGCTCTGGCCGAAACGGTTTTGCTTGTTAGGATACGCGCCATGCTTGAGGAGGTAGTCGATAGTATCATGTGGGGATTTGGCGTTTTCCAGGCTTCGGTGCGAAACTGCAGCAAGTAATGGAAATAGGCCGAGTTGGTTTCCATTTTCTGCGTTGACTCGAGCACCTTGATCAATCAGGTACTTCACCAGCGCCAGATTGTGATGTTTGGATGCCCGTATCAGTGACAAATCAAGGAGGTGAGCACCTTTCTGTACCAATGTCGTAAAAACTTCTGATTTGGTTATCTTTTTAGCAGGAGGAGGAACCCCAGGGGCAGGACGATGTGCCAATAGCCCAACATTGTACTCGCACTCTTGATGTCGAGCCAGATGATCCTGGAATGATTTTCCACAGGAATACAACTGGCGATACTGCCATATCTCTTCGTCGCGGAAAGTAATTCCAGACGCAAAAAGACAGTAGTCTAGTGCGGAGTAACCAAATGGCGGGATGGGATTGATATTGGCCCCAGCATCGATCAGATATTTAGCATCTTCGGTCCATGTGTTAGCGAGAGCTTGGGAAATAGCAGTTGGTTGTCGGCAGTCATTGTGGGTGATTGTGATTCTCGCCTCAAGATCAGCACCGTGTTGGATAAGACAATCCATTGTCTTCACGCTCGACTTAGTTCCCAGTGCCCACATAAGAGGAGTTGCTCCGTCCTAGGTAAGGTAGTTAGCAACGGTTCTATAGAGAAATCATTTGTAGGTACTTGGTCAAGATGACAAGTAACACCGGTTTCTAGTAATAGGAAATGATTTATGACAGAACAATAAACGACATAACGATTAACAACGGAAATATTGAAATATACTTGCAGTATCGGTGATATCGACAGGGACATGGAGGTCCTCTATGAGGAGGTGTATAGTAGAGATAAAACCAGCTCGAGCCGCCCAGTGCAATGCGTTTGACTGTCCGGTGAGCAGCTCGATACCCGGTGATGCTCCAAGACTTAGAAGTAAGTTCGCCATTGCTTCATCTCCAGAGCATAGTGCCGCATGAAGTGGGGTCCAACAACCAGCTTGCCCACGTTCTTGGGGGGAGGTAATGCCATTGGCCCGACAGGAACATAACATATTTGAAGGTAAATCCAGATGTGAGCCAGAATTGACTAGCAACTTGACGATTTCAGCTGAACCAGATTGGACGGCGGCGTGAAGGGGGAACCAGTACGAATATGTCAACCATATATATCGTCCTGGGATTGGATGTAGTTCGGGATCGTAAATCTTGATATTGTCACGCGCGATTATCACTCCCGAATTGATTCGCCGTTTCCACCAGTCGTGCCCATATATATTCTCGAGAATGTCCAATGGACATCCGGGGGGACCATTGAAGTTGTAGAGATCTGGTGAGAGAGGCAAGAACGCCGGAAGATTCGGGCTTGATCCAGCCGCAAGCAGCTTCTGTACCACAGCTGTTGCGCCAACTTCACATGCCCAAGAAAGGAGATGAGGGTGTATCCTCGAGGCCAATACATACAGCATGGGATTGGAGATGGAGTGAAGCTTACGGCTAGTTCTGGAAAGAGAGTTCAAATCGGTGTCCTCTAAGTGTCCTGCTATCTCCATGAGAAGCTCATTTGGGAGGGTTTGAAAGGTTGTCATGCTCGAAATAATTGACATGATATCATGCCAGAAAGATGGATAATAAGTAGAGAAAAAAAGATGGAATGGGTTCTGATTTAGAGAGGTAGATGAATTAATCAACTCTCTAATTTTATTAACGAATAGACAAAGGCAGTTGGCTGAGGTTGAACGGGCGTATGCGTTTGTTGTAGGTTAGAAGTGTCAGAACCTGGGTTGAAATGTTTTTGTTTTTGGTAAGGATTGAGAATCATTATGATCTACATATTAGTTAGAGCTGTAACGGCAAGGCACCTACCTGTGCAAATATAGGATGAGGAAATCTACGAGGTAGTCGTAATTTAGTAGGGAAGAGCAAACGGGTCACACCGATACGAATCAAATGGTTACCAAACTTAAGTGCACTCATTTTCAGATGAAATGGCCTAAACTTTCGTCTATAAGGTAATCGACGGGAATATTAGGTAAATAGGTTCGTAGGGATTCATCTATACGAAATGTGCAGTTTAAGATAGTATAGCAGGTGCTGTGTATGACAAATCGACAATGGGAAAGATAATTTGACATATCAACCTTGAAAGTTTCCTGAGTACCTACCTAGGTATGTATCTAATACTTTTAAAGGCTATGTAACATAGATTTAATAAAGTCTAGATCCAGATAAAAACAAATATCAGAACATGGTGCCTACCTAGTATCTAAATAAATATACTTAGATAACTCTACGATAATGCTATATCTCCAGTCACCCCCTAATTTGTCAACTACCTACGCCACAGTTAACTGCGCCACAACCATGGTTAGGTACCTATTATTTAGTGAAGCTAATAGCGCAAACCTTATCATTATAAAATAGCACATCGGGTCGTTACCAAAACTTACACATTACAAACACCTTCTAAAGCCAAAATGTCTTCACAACTACAGAAAAGCAAGCTATGCTTTATCGGCGGAGGCAATATGGCCGGTGCCATCATCGGTGGTCTTGTTACCAAGGGCATCGATAAGCAGAACATATACGTTTCCGAGCCGTGGGACGTGAACCGGGAGAAGATAGCGGCCACCGGGGTGCGCACCTCCGCATCTAACGTCGAAGCATCGCAAGATGCAGACCTCCTCATCCTCGCCGTAAAGCCTCAAGTCACGAAAGGCGTATGCCAGGAGCTTGCTGGTGCTTGGGCCGGGCGCACTTCTTTGCCCTTAATTGTCTCAATCGCTGCGGGCATCACGTTGGAGAGCCTGAAGGAGTGGTTCAAGCTAGCGGATGGGCGCTCTCCCCACATAATTCGTGTTATGCCGAACACACCCGCCCTGCTCGGCGAAGGCGCCTCGGGTCTCTTCGCCAGTGACGACGTGTCCCAAGCAGAAAAGGACCTCGCCGCATCACTTCTGGCTAGCGTGAGCAAAGTAGCCGAGTGGGTAGACCGAGAGGAACTGATTGACGTTGTAACGGGGCTATCGGGTAGGCACATTTCCCCCTCATCCAAATCAATTAAAACCTACTTACCTAGATATCATCACATTTTAGGATCCGGGCCGGCGTACTTCTTCGCCATGGTAGAGCACCTGATTGAAAGCGGAATAAGTCTAGGACTTACGCGAGAGCAAGCTACTCGCCTGGCAAAGCAGACTTGCTACGGCGCGGGTAAGATGCTTGTCGAATCATCTGACGAGCCGGCGCAGCTACGAATAAATGTTACCAGTCCTAAGGGGACCACGGAGGCTGCGCTGAAAAGCTTCGAGGCTTCTGGACTCAAGGAGACCGTGGATAAGGCCGTCAAGGCGGCGGCTGCCCGTGGAAAGGAACTAGGAGAGACGCTTGCGAAGTCGTAGCTCGGCGTTTAGTCTAAGCAACCGAATGGCATTCGACCAGCGTATCTCAAGAACATTAAAATTACGTGGTCACGGAGTTAAAAAACATTCTAGCAGTTGAATAAAAAGCCATTATCACTCATATACATATATACTCCCAGCAGTGATAGTAGAGTGAGGCCAAACATTTCCAAGCTGGTGGATGCGAATAGAGTGACGACAAATTTATAATATTTCGTCAGCAGCTTTACGTACCTACTAGGTACCTACGAGATATCTTCCCCTATCTACCTAGGTCTGTAGGAATCGTTAAACTTTAGTTTAACCTTTAGATGAGTTTTTGTCTCGGAAGTACTATATAAGTCTACTATGATTTCGATCAAGAGTTTCGCATTTCTATCAGGGGCTTTGCTAAGTGCGGTTCATACTGTATTAACCTCCAGGGTTCCATGGCTGTTAGTTCTAAGCTAAGGTTAGCGGTCCTTCAGCCGATTTTTAGTGGACAACAGCGGTAACCTAGGTAGAACGGCCGCTAGAGAAAACCCCCTCACTGTGCGAGAATTCTCAGAAATTACACGGATTTATCCCATGAGCTATGGTGCGTGTCGGTGCGAAACATTTGGCCTAAACTTTCGCAGCAGTGTTCTAAGCTCTATGCGCACAACGGATATGGGTCGAATAGAAAGATTGGATGCTACCAAAATAGCATCTACTATCACATCACAGCAAGATCTATTCAGATGACTGCGATCTGGATGAAACCCTACCTAAATTACCAGATATTTAATCTCAATTACCGATCTCGCTACTCGTAAAGAGTTACTTGTAGTCAAGCAAATCATTCTAGTGAGATTGGACCGTATCTAACCGCGCACCAAACCGCCGGTGCTCGTCACTGTCGCAATGATCGAACTAGCCTCCACAATCGCTAAACCAATTGAAGCGCTAGGAAATATCAAGTTTCAAATTTATTCGTTACAGACCAATCTCTTATTTTGTTCTACGTACCTAATGCTGAGGGGTTGCCAAGAGCTTTTCAATATCTGGTGTGATATCTACAAGTGGGAATTCCGTCCTATTCCCGGCTGAGGTGCCGGCAACGATTGGATCAGTAAACCATTCAATCACCGCAAAAACGGTTCCGGAGATCTCAACAGTGGCAGTGTTGAGAGAACCGGAATCGAGGGAGGGATCGTTCGGTATGAGACCCAGATATTCGGCAGCTTCCCACTTGCCGTCCGCTGATCTCAGCACCGAGACACCCCTGTCGTGCTCCGAAACGAGTAGCACTTTCCCCTCATACTTCGGCGGTAGGTATATAGCGTCAAGCGACTCAATTGAACTGTTGGCCGGCGTCTTAGGAACAAGCACAGGTGTGCCCTTGTCCGCCGTTAGGTCGAAACGGTATATCTCGCCGCTGCCGGTCCTATTCAAAGCGTTGCTAACTAAGAGAATATCTCCGATTGCCGCAAGACCAGTGAGCCCGGCATACGTATGGTCAATAGTCTCAGGTAAATACCATGGTTCGATACGGCTGCCGTCTGGCTCCACGCGCAAGATCGTTCCCGGATAACTTCCTAGCACGTAAACGTGGCCGCGGGAATCGTGTTCAACATCTTGCTGACCGCCATATAAACCCTGGCTCACCTCGGTGATATTGAGGGACCATACGAGTTCTTGCTTGACGGGATCATATCGCACGATGTAGTCGTCACCTGAAATCTGGTGGTCAGGGGTTTCATGTGGAACTGCGGAGTCCACCAGGATAGATATCAAGTTCGTGTACGGATCCCATGCGACACCCCCGACGTGAAATGGCCTGGTACGTGTTACACCCGGGAATTCTATTGTCAACACCGTCTCGGCCTTGTACGGGTCGTACACGACTACCGATGCGTTAAAAAGCGACCTTGTTATTTCTTTAGCTGCAAGCCACATCACACATGCAACAGGCCGTCAATAAAAGTGAGACAACGCACCCAAAGTACAAGAGACATTGATTCAGATCGAAGTCGGCGTTTTCGGGGTAGAGCTGGTACGAGTCAATGATAATGGTCCCGTTATCAAACGGCGCGCATTCCTCTCGGTGCGAGATGTGATAGCCTTTCACGCCCGTGACGTTCGACAGCAATACTGCCCAAAGACATGCGAGTTGGAAAATCATGATTGTGATCCGCAGGAAAGAGGCGACTTCTGGTGTGGTAGAGCAGGCAAATAGAACCCGTCGATTCCCTTATTATTGATGTATGTATACCCCAACGTCACATGCGATAACCCGGTTACTTCGCGTTGTGTCACAATGAAGTGGTTCTCTCCCCTCTCTGCCGCGTATCCCACTCGGTACTTCAAATATTGCCCTACAATCCTATGATTGAGTGAGCAACGAATTGGAAATTTCATCCGGACGGATGTTTCGGGATGGCAGACACCCCGCATCATGGAATTGAACTCGTGGAGGGTATGACACCGATCGAAGTGATCTAGACTGAGCTTAACTTGGCTAGCAAAGTTGAATAATTAGCCTAGTAGTGCTATAGATACAACTCACGCTCGAAACACGAGGTTTGGCAGATATATTAACCCAGCCCTATGGTTAACGGTCATTAAATCGGATATTAAATTGCAAACAAGGTGACCGAACACCCGGAACTACCTAGTCCCACGATCTCCACATTGCCAACCTCCTTGGCACGGAAGCGTTGGATATCCTTATCTGTGTATCGTTACGCAAGTGTACCTTCGACGATACTCTTACTATCGACCACAAATCCATACCCGCTCTATGATAATGGTAAGTGATATATATGGAATATTAACATAAGAGAAGAAAAATATGTAGTAAAGACGATAAATAGTATTCTTAATCCTAGGTGAAATCGTGATCTTGATCGTGTAGACATCGACGATAATATTGATGATAAGTGACTCACCGATGTGTTGTAAATAGTGACATCATGCCCTCCTGGAGTAGTCGTAGCACAGCAGTCCTCGATCATGATGCAGTCCCATCCGCGATAATACGCGTCGGCCAAAGTTCCCAGTACGCATTGATCTGTATTAACACCGGCGAACAAAAGAGTGCGATAGCCACCAGCAGCGAGTTCTTTCGCGAGCGGCGTCTCCCCGTGCCAAAAGCCCGAGATACGATTCTTGCTGCAAAACACGTCCGTGTCCGCGCGACTGGCATCCTGCAGGGGATCATAGAGCTTCGCATTCCAAGATCCCTCCATTAGCAGTCGACCCCTCCTGTCGCCCATGTCGGAACCGAACCCGTTCCTGGCATATTTATCGTCTTTGGGTGGAGTAATGAGGCTACTACCGAAGCTGCGCTCGGTGGCTGCAGGCATGCTGCTGAGGTCGCCCTCACTTAGTCCCCAGTTCAGCCAGATGATCTAGACGCAGTGCTAGTGTCAGTCTTGATTTCTCACTCCAAATCGGTGATTTATCAGCGCTTTTATGTGATTATGAATGGGAAATGTAGGACAGTCATGTGTTTTCACATGTTCGGCTATTGGCGCCTCTGCTGTACCTTGACGTCAACCTCCCGACATTTCTCGATGACCTCGAGGGTGTGATCCGCTGCAGCTAATCCGGTTGGGTGTTCATTGCACCTCGGATGGAGAAAGAAATTCTGCATATCAACGACGACTAGAGCGCTCAAAGCTGGCGCCAATGTAATCGATGCATCGGGAGGTCCCTGCGTTGTGCGAATAGTGAAGCCGGGAGAGGAAACCCCGCGAGTGAGATCGTACGTCTTAGTGTCACGGTTGTACGTCCATTCGTCGCCTTTTGGTCCCAATTTCACAGTCGGTTGCATTATGAGTGGACGAATCTTCAATGTTTGACGGGATAGATGGATCACTTGCCAAGCTATTAACCAGAGTAAGGCGAGGGAGGGTAGAAGATCGCAAAAATCGCCATAATATGCGAGGGGTAGAGAAGTGAGAGCCAGTAAGAGTTGGAGTATGTTCATCACGGTCGCCGGCCTCGCGACTCGGGGCAACGATTCCGATCCGACCAGCTGCAACGTGCTTACAATCGGGTAACTGCAGGGCAGTTCAGCTTGTATGCCGCATGCCGTAGCTGTGTTACCACTCTTTCCCCCATAAGCAGCTATTACGATGGGGTTTAGCTTGCTAATTGCCCAACCACAAGGCTCGCCGCGGACTTCGTGTATTCAGCTGTCGCAGCCATGACGACACTATCCAAAAAAGCAAATCGGATTCACATTTTCTAGTTAACGCGTAAGCATCTATTTGGACATATAAAGAGCTTGAATATCCTCTGTGCTATGATGACTTTCAGCGATGTTCAACAAAAGTTAACAATACCAAAGTCTAAACGACTTTAACCTATCAGGAGCTTGAATTCAACATTCATATACAACAACTCTCTTCTAACTTCACAATGGCCGAAGTAAATCTCTCCGGAAAGGTTATTTCGCCATCGCGAATGGCTCATATCGTGTTGAGGACCCCAAGATACAGGCCTATGGTACGTTCAAAAACATGTCGCGTCAGAATGTTGAAGGTTATCTTTTCGATCGATCTTCATATTTCCTTAATATAGGAAGAAGCTAACTTTATAGTAGATTGAATTTTACAAGAGTTTACTAGGTGCTCATGTTGTTGCCGAGACTGCAGTCATGGCCTTCTTAACTTACGACGACGAACACCATCGCATTGCAATCTGCGCCATACCGGGATGTGGCGACAAGATCCGCAGCAGCGCCGGCCTAGATCATATCGCGTTCTCCTTCGACTCGCTAAATGACTTCGCCACGGCCTATCTCCAGCGGAAAGCTCGTGGCATCCTACCGGTCTGGTCTGTCAACCACGGACCTACCACTTCCATGTTGGACTCCCCGCGAGACCCCATAATAATAGACTGCTTAGCTAACATCTTAGTAGGTACTATCAAGACCCCGACGGAAACGTGATAGAGACGCAAGTCGATAATTTCGATACGGTTGAGGAGGCCACTGAGTACATGATGGGCCCCGAGCTAGCCGAGAATCCCTTTGGTGTTGACTTCGATCCGGAGGACTTGGTCAGACGTCTGAAGAGCGGTGAGCCAGAGGTTGATATCAAGAAGCGCCCTAATATCGGGCCTCGCGGTATCGAGGATGTTCCCCTTCTCCATCTGCCTCCACCTGAGGTAAAAGACAATTACGAGCCCATCGAGGGCGTATCTAACGCCACGCCTGCGATGCAAAAGTTCCAAGTCAACTCAGTGGCGGTGTAGGAGACGAGAATGTGACTAAAGTAGGACTAGCAACTCAGTCTCCGCAATGAGGGATATGTATTATAGTCACCTAAATTTGTCCTTGGCGGTGTGTTATGTTAGTTGCTGTAGGATCGAAAGAAAAGCGGCTCTCGGAGATTTTTTGAAATGAGCAATATGGTTCGACCCGGCCCGAAATCATGAAAAGTAGCGGTATTATCGGGTAGTATTGTTCGGAAAGAAGTCTCTTGCCACGGACAATGCCGTTCTAGTGGTATGATTGACGGTGAAGGTGTGATTAATGAGAAGAAGCGGTATTTGAAATAATTCACAACTTGTAAATACCAATCGGGTCTGACCAGTACGCCCCAGCGACGCGAGAGGGTCGCACTCAACACGCGGTAAGAAGATGCATATCCGTAACGAAGTATCCTAGGCGGTATAACACAGGAATCGTACGAAGCGGCGACTGAACCGACTCGGACGACAATTGATGAATCGGGGAGTTGACGATAACATTCGTCGCTACCTATGGATTACATGTCGCATTATAGAAACGCCAATATCAAGAATGGCATAATATCGAATGTTATGATCTGCGTGGCCCTGGGTGTTCTGGAGCATGCAAAATTGTATGCTGAGATCAGAAATCTTGTATCATAATAGATATCGATGAAATCAGATGAAACGAGACCCGACAAGTCATTTGATGTTCGATGATCAACGCATGATATTCGTCAAGGACTGATACCAGCACCAGCATCGACGTGATCTCGCGGAAAATCGAGTCGACTTGCCGCCACAGCGAAGATCGGCAACTAGGCTGAGGGTGACCCTGTGGAAATCATGGCGATGATGGCTATTTTCCTTCGCGTTTGGAGAATCGAGGCATGATCTTATCGACAATCTATTATTATTATCGTAGAAAACCCAGTAGCTCTACGTGAAGAGTCGAGTTTCAATCTTCAAACTTCCTAGGCATTACCTACCTACCGTCATATCTCTCTCTTAGGACGCGTCTGGAGGCATCTTCTACAAATCGCTTCAATCTCGTCGCGTATAATTGTGTAGTATTCTCCCTCGACGGTTTCAAGGCTTTGGATATTTCGAAATGCGAATACAAAAGCGCGGTTATCGAGTGTATGTAAATGGGACCGAGGTTGCTTTAGAAGATTAGAGACCTTCCTAAGAAATCAAATCGTAGCCACCAATTCATTCGCATGACGGTTGAGATTCGCGATGGTGTTCTGTCAATTAGTATCGCGCCAGTAATCGCAATCGACGTCCGTCATGACGGCCCGGGTACCGTATAATTTTCTTCGTGGAAGATTTGAAGTCAGATCAAACTACCAGAGTCTCGAAGTTGTCTCAAAGTTCTTGTGAAGCGGTTTGATCGCTCTCTTTAGCAGGGGTACTAAGTAAAAATCAGGGGCCTACAAGCTTGTCGGAGAGAGCCGCTTAAGGAAGATGGTGGGTCGCTAGAATGCCAAGCCGTCGCCAAAGCCAGTTCAATTTCCAGAAGGGATAGTCGCCTAGCATTCTCACCATTTTAGCTGCAAATTCGCATTCTGGGGTTTAACTAAGCCTAATTCATAGTGGCCTTCTTCCCTCAAGTTTGAGATCACAACAGCGCTTCAACTCAACAAACGAGAAATTGTTTGAATGGCAGTTACCTAGTAGCCCTAGACGCAGCAGTGGAAATTCTAGTGATCAAAAATTCTTTAAGATTCAGTAAGAGGCTTCAATTTATAGAAAGCAGATAGTCCCACCAGATAAAGACGAACCACATAGCTGGGTATCCGACTGAGATAAATCGAACCCAGCTGTTGCTGATCTTTAAGCCTCAATCGCGCCTTACCTGAAAGATCTTCAGAGTAACGCATGGATCCTACTAACGGCAAACCGTCAATGCTATGTAATCAAAGGACCCTCGTGTCACGGCCAGATCTTTGCTAATCCTTGTCAGGATGGAAGGCTTGTTCACAAGAACAGCCAAGATCCCAGTGCTTCAAGAGCCTCCCCCTGGGGCCATATCTGATTCCGCTAGCTGTTCCGCTAACCGCTCACGGAGTTCTGTCGAAGATATCCAACAAGCCGGGACCACGACTCATACATAGTAGAGTCGTTGAAGCACTTGAGAGTTTCGTCCCTAAGGTGCCAGATATACTTGGCTACTTCTTCATGATGCAGGATATCTCTTTAGGGTTCAGATCCCAGTTACACATCGGTACGATACTCCGACTTGGGACGAATAAAGTCGAATGTCTGCCGAAGTAAGGTCGTTGTTGGTGCCATGAGCGATTCATATCCCTGCCTCCATGCTAGCTCACCATCTGATCTCAATGCTAAGATGAAGTATGATCTGCAGAAGGGGCTCGCCAAAGCCTGCTCGAACTAAGTATCCTAGTCAGTTATGCCATCGCCGACTTTGGGGTCGTTGATATGCGCCATCTATATAATACCTTTTCCCCAGCTTCATAGAGTAAGTTCTACTATCTTCTTCTCCATCAAGCTTCAGTTCATTCTTTGACAGTCAATTCGTTTCAGTTCTGTGAACTTTTTGTTCTATACCTTCATTTCTCTCATTCCATTCCTTACGTACCGCTAGGTCGGTCTTTGCTCAATTCTATTCATCCTATTATTCAGGACTCGTCCTCTTCTCAAACCACCTTTCAAGGAATTTGAACTTGTTGCTTGACTCAACTTTGTTCTTCTCCGTCACCATGTATACCAAAGTTACTCTTATCTCCGCCCTTCTCGCGGTTGCTGAGGCTCGCTTTAGCCAGGAGCAAGTCCCTGTTGCCGGTGTCCAAGCTCTCGGCAGCTTCGGAAATCCTGGTGAAGCCGCAACTCTCGCAGGCTCTGTCCCTGGCGTGCTGCTTGCCGCCGCTAACCCGTGCGCCAAGCTCACGTTGGCCGACAAGATCGTGTCGAGTCTAGGAACTGATGCCTCGGTCATTGCCGCGGCAAAGAACCTTGTTGCCGCCGAGCAGAACTTCAACCCCTTCGCCGTCAGTGTCCCTAATATCTGCGGCGATGCTACACTCCCCGCCACCGCGGAGCTCCGTGGAATTGTTCCCCTAGTTGATCCTGCCGTTACTGGCTCCAATACCGAGAACACGAACTCGAAGACATCCCTACAAAATCCTTTTGACGCTACCGGTCTCAGTGTGGCCGATGTTATGAAGGCTCAAGGCTTTTCTAACTTCACCATTGCTGGCGCTGCCGCGAACGGTAACGCCAACAACAACAACAACAACAACAACAACAATAACAACGCCGGTGCTGCAAAGTCCACAACTACTACCGCCGCTGCTGCTGCCACTACCGCCGCCACTACAGCCGCCACCAAGACCAAGACTAAGTGTGCTGGTAGCAAGGCTACAACCGCTTCTACTACCACCACTGCTGCCGCCGCCGCTACTTCTGCTGCTTCCAACAACAACAACAATAACAACTCTGGAAATGCTTCAAACAGCGGCTCGACCGCTAAAGCTGGTGCCGGTGCGGTCACCAACCCCACCACCGGTAACTTCGCCGGTTTCCAAGCCTCTTCTCTCGGCCTAAACTTCGGAACTTGCACACCCACCGTCAAGTTCGAGGAGTCTCTCAACGGTCGCAAGGCAGGCGAGTTTACCTTCCAGGCCCAGGACCCCGTTGTCAACAAGGGACAGCAGGAAGCCTTGAACCCCAACATCATCTTCAACCGCATCTGCGATCAGCTCGGCAACGTCTGTGGCGCCGCCGCTGACGCTGTGACTGCTTGCCGATCCGCCCAAAGCAGCCTCGGTTCCGGCGCTAAGGACGCCACCACTGCCAACGCCTGGAACACTGCTCTAGGCTTCAGTGGTGCTAACATCAACCCCGACAATGCTCCCCAGACCGGTCTTGTTGGACACACTTAAATGAGCTCATTTGGATATGGTGGGATAGTCGCTAGCGATCGTGCGCGGCGAGGGGCGTTAAGGAGATAACGTGTCATGACGTGTTAAGAACTTAGATTGTATTTTATTCACATAAAACAAATAAATTTCTCATAAAACAAGCTGCTACTGTTTTTGTCCATTTTCCGTGAATGTCGTGAGATCATTTAAAGATAATTCCGCACTCTACTAGATATTGTGAAACTATGACAGACTCTTAATCCGCCAATTAAATCAACATCATGACGAGCATTCTTAATTCTCTCATTCCGTATCACAGCATTCGCATGTTGATCAAAGCTTCCTGGTTTTTAAATGTGACCCTGCCACATGAAGAGTGTCACCTATCATGTTAGGGGTAATAAAGTTTTGACCATTACATAAACAGCTTTGTGTAACCTTCAACCCCTTTACCCCTTTTTTTACATTTCCCAGGCACTTTTTCGAGCAACGTCACGGATATTATCTCTAGACGATTTGCATGATAGAATTTTTTAGTTGTTCCTCAGTCGGCCTTCCGAATTTTCAGCAATAACTTTATACATCATATATTCCCAATCTAGAGTATCAAATAGGAGCACACTTCACAGATATGAGCCTCAAAGCTTATGATTGAAGTAGAATTAAGCTTTTGGGATCCTAGAAAGGGGTGACAACTCATTCATCACACAGTATAGGGCTGCATACTTAATATCTAGGTTTGTCTTCCTATCATATTACACCAGTGTAACAATGAGTCCCTGAAGGATTGATATAGTTTCACCAGATGCGAGGTATTACCTGATGCTGTCATGGCTGCATATTAGTGCGGCGACCACGAGGAGGCGACAGCAGCGATTGCTACTAAAGCAGCCAAGATCCCGTGCTGAAGGAAAATTTTCCGATCGTTAGATTGTCCCGTGTATCATCCCGTGTTTCTCGTAATGGAGTGTAGTATTTTCCATTACTCATCAACTTTATATGTAGGTAACTGTAACACACCCCACGTCATTCATTTACAATTTCAACTACATCCTTAGTAACGACATGAAGTCACGGAGAATCAGCCTCTTGGTTGATTAATTTAACTGCCATTGGGCGGTTCACATCAGTGAAACGTGTGAGGGATTATTCAGATTGTTCACACCATCTTCTACTGTGTTGTTGGTTTAAGGTTGTAGCGAGTGTTGGTAAGAAATTAAGGTTGGGTTTCCAGAACAATAATAAAAGTCCTTATGGGAACCTTAGAATGTATTGAATACAAGTTTTTACGCGTTTGCCACTTGCCTAGTAGGCAGGTAAGCTTGCGTTTAGGTAAGTAAAAGTACTAATCACAAATTCCGCACCTGGAAGAGACTAAAATTATATATATATCACTAACTACCTGTTCTATGAATACTTGTGTTCGTAACTGTTAGATGTTATAATTTGAGACTCAAACTAGGCATTCATAATGGGTATCTGAGATCAAATTACATCTTTTAGTTGTTGAGCACCTTTCTTGTATTAACTCTTCTAAACTTAGGTAATGTAAGGATCGATTATGTAAGTTTCAGCTGTCACTTCATTCCCCCATTGTTTCTTTAGTAAATGTGAGTCAATGTTCGGAAAACTCTCGGGCGAGGCCGGTTTGTAGGTGAGTTCTAGTAATCACTTCACAAGCCATATATGGGATTGAGGCTTACCAATTGGTCGTTCACCTAGCAAGGGAGAGTTTGACGTTGGCACAGAGTGGGAAAAATACCCAAATCTCATAGCCGACATTATACCCGATTCTCCTCGCCCCTCCTGGTAAGCCTGTTTACGGCACAAATATACATCCCGGGACATCCGGCAGGGCTCCTATAGGTCTCTAATCAACGCTATATCTCGGCCCGCATGGTGTTAATAGGTCGGTCCGAGTCTAGTAGTTATATCATAAAGATGTAGCATTTAAGGCTGTTTTTCAGGCGCTTCCCGCGCTCAAGGTGTTAATGGCGAGAGGACCATGACGAAGATCCGGGTTCTTATTACCTAATATCTCTTAGTTCATAAGTGTTTCGATATAGAAGAATAATATAAAACACCAATCACCTTGACCGTAATGATATACGAGGCTATGTCAAGGTGATAGTAATGCAGTACATTAGCTCCGTGCCATTCCTGAGATTATCTGGTATAACCTTTTAGCTAGAATGTTCAATTATGATAGTCACATGGGCTATTGATGTTGATCTATTGCGTTAGGGCTATTGCTGGGATCTTCTAGCTTATCTTATATTATTATAACGCTAACCGGATGTCTCAAATGCATCTCCATAATACGCGATAATGATGTCCAGCTGACTGCTTTACCCCCCTGGCCTCGTTGGCCCTTGGAATTTCTTCATGGTGGTGTCGATTACGTTGAGGTCAGCGAAGTTGGTCGGGAATCTTGTCAACCTGCGCAGTTGGGAAGTCGCTGGCGCGTCTCGAGGATATCGCGAAAATTTGGCGAGTTTGGAGTAAGAAATATGCTTGATATTAGAGTGACACGTCTGAAGGAAGTGTCAAGCAACGCGACGCGGTCGACGCGGTTCTTCCTCCGGATCGTTTATCCCTACAGGATTGGGCGGGACTTGACTTCTCGGATATCCCGTCTATCTGGCATCTGCGTAAACGGTTTTCAAACGGTTTGCAAGGGATAGGGAAAGTAGTGAAGGCTATCTACGAATACCCTCGTCGTCAGGGTACTCCACCTTCCGTAGGTAGGTTGCGTAGGGCTCTCCAAAAGGTTCCTATCCTATATGTGCACTTGTTAACGATATTCGGGTGTTGCCTTCCTATCTGCAAGGCAGTCTTGAGAAATGTCAAAATATGCTACCAACTATTAACGGCGTCATTTATTAATTTCTATTTCGAGTTCTCTTGCATGCCACGTGTCTGGAAACATTCCAGTTCTGTCATTATTGCGCTTGATGTACGATGCACAACGCCCGCTCTTGCAGCAAGCCCAGTTCGTAGCCTAGCTCTTAGCACTGACGTCTTCCCGACTACCTAGGTAGGCATTGGTTATCATACATGCCACCGATCTGCAGACGGGCTGTGCCGCCATGTGGTACTGACTGTGATCCGCTAGAGAGGGAAAAAGGAAAAAAAGAATACAGTTCTCCGGTGAGAATTTCCACTCTTAGCACCTGGGCTGCTGGGCAGTCTCCATGTTAGTGCATTTGTTTTAGAAGTGCATTAGTACGAATGCACTGCAAGTCAAACGTTCCAACTACGAGAAACCTTTGAACTAGGGATTCAAGGCCGATAGTCGAGCTCCATACATTGCCGTTACTTGGTTCTTTCTGCATCGGTCTAACATTGAATCCCAAAGAGGTATTCATTGATTACTTATGTCTCAATCGAACTCCTTGGCGTTTCTTCGGTTCTTATCAGCGTGGGTTAAGAGGCAGAGAGGGAGGCATTCCAACAGCTTGTCACGCCACATACGCGCAGTTTCCCACGTTGCCTCCTCTTATTTTGCGGGGAAATCAAGCGGTCAGCGACATGAGCAGCCATGAGGGGCAGGGAGGTGCAGGGAGACAAGGGAGACAGGCATGTCCGTGCTATTTTCTGGGACCTGTATGTATAATATGATATTTTGGGAATTACCCAGTTACCTCGTGGTATTTCAGCATACCCGCATCCGCATGCCCCCTTACCAACGTCCTGTATATAGCAGTGGATATTGATGGGCAGCATCTTGCACGCGAATGCCATGGTTTTCGATAATCGACCCGATGGACTCCAGGGCTTCGGCTGATCGTCCACAGTTCTCGGCCGGGACGGCCCGAGGGTTCGGGACCAGAACGGTTCGCGACCGTGCCGCTGCCATGCATCCGCAAAAGTGATGTTTGAAATAATTACTGACATTCCCGAATCGCAAGGCTTAGTCACGACTGGGCACTATCTAGTAGCCCTGCAGCCCGTAGCGTACCTAGTTTTTATGCTATGCGGAAGAACTTGATTTATTCATACTTGATACTACATACGCTAATCCACCACTGAAATCAATCCCATGCAAGCCTTTCCCAACACATAGACGTCGATGATCTCATGCAATTTAAATCTTTTATTGGATTTTTCCCGCCACGGTGTCGGGAACGTCTTCCACCATCGTCGTCTCATAACCCCTAAGTTCAAAATACTTCTTGAACTCGGGATCTTCAGTCAGCTGCGTGACTAGTGACTTCTCAAACGGAATCATGAACTCGCATCCTTCGTCGGGATTGGAAGTCGATCGTGGTGGGTAGATGATGGCCAATCCCTCGTCTATCTTATTCGCGAAAAGGTGCCTGAATGCCTTCGGTCGCGCAAATCCAAAGTCGGCTTCGGTAACCTTGGTATCACGCCAATCCGTCATGATAATCGTCAAAGGCGGGAATGAGTCGACGCGGATAAAGAGGGACGTCTTGTCGCGAATAGGCGCTACCGAATCCATTACTTTACATAATGCGTCTTCTGTCATGTTATTGGTCAAGCCGCGGATGTACGAAGCAAGCTTTGACAAGGGCGCCTCCGAAATCACCTCCGCATTAGTGCATCTTGTTGGCGCTGTCGCCGATACTGTGGCGAAGAAAACATTTCTCTGGATTCTTTCGGGCTCAAGTGGGTTTAGTCGTTTGCGCATGTTGATGGCCTCACCCCACAAGCTCGACTCGTGAGGTTCTACATTGTAGAGGGTGGCACGATGTTTTGACAGGTATCTCCATAGGAAAGCCGAAACAGCATCATAAGTCGAGATCCAGGAACCGTCAGTGGGGCTAGCGAGCTTCTTGAGCTCTGCCGCTTTGCTCTTCGGCAAGTGGAGAAGCATGGCTGCAGATGGTGGGTGAGGGTAACGGCTAGGTGCAGGAGGGCCATCGATTTTGGACTCTTCAGGGACCTCTTTTGCGATAAATCGTGTATGACGCACCGCCTGCATATCCCAGCCCGGAGCTGGAGTTTTATTAACAATGGCAGCACAGTTATCAGCGAGTTGGTGGGCTACACTGGCCCAGCCCATTACGTCATTGGCGTAATGGTGAGAGTGCATGTTGAGAATTAACCCGCCCGGAATGAAGTTAGCTTGGAACGCCGAAACAAACGGGCTGGCATCTGGATGACATTCGGGTCTTTCTCCATAAATGAGGCCGTTCCAGCTTAAAGTCGGGATCTTATCACCGATCTTCGATGAGGCAAAGTGGACCTCTTCGAGTTCGGAGAAGGAAGGGAAGTCGTCCTCAGGTCCGTCGATGTGTTGAACAATGAAACCGACAGTGCTATCCTTCTTCTTAACGAAAGAATGATCGCCGTGTTCATTCTTCTCGATAGTACCGACTAGGTGCCTGGCCTGAGCGAGAGTCCGTTCGAGACCCTCTTTGATAACTTCGGCAATCTTGGTCTTGTCGGCGCTATCGTCTAATTTAAAGAAAAGTGCATAGTTGTTGTATACGCATGCAGCTAAGTAATCAAGGGTAGAAAGCCTGATGCTCTCCTCCTCAGGGTCATTCTCCCAGCCCCAGGGATGAAGTTGGTATTCCTGTTTCGTCGGCATAACTGATGTCTTGTCTTCTTGAATGGTATTGTGTAGTATAATATTAATGATAACCTTGGAACTTTGGTGGAAACTATATCATATCAAGTTGTGTGACTTGACGCTGGTCTTAAATAATTTCCAAGTCTTGCTGTCGGAGACGTTACTTGGTTTTGACGCTATGAACGCCTAGAAATGAACCACACTAACTTGGGTATTACTGAGCAGATAGAGGACTAATACGGTGGCGGGGTATGAGATGTATAGGGGTTCGCCTCCTGACAAATGCAGGGGGATACAATGAACTCCAGCACTCATTGTTCTATGGAAAGCCTAGGAAGGCCTGGCCTCGATGTCGATGCCTATCTAATGTACTACCTAATGTAAGGATTTCGAAGTCAAGTTACACTAGCTGGGGATGTACTGCGTGGAGTGTGCTAGCCAATTTTTCATTTGTACCCTGTAATAATATCATCTCACGGTCCGTGCGGATTTGAAGGCGGTACAAGTACCTGGACTAGGTAGTAATTCTTTCTGAATTCATCTTATATTGCTATCGACAATAAAATGTTGGCATAGAAACCTAAGGTGTGTTTGAACTTTTGCGAAATTGATAGGTTGGTAGTTGGGTAGCCTTCTGTTAGCCGAATCAAGCATTCGATCCGAGTCTCATTCGTTTATATGCGTGTACGAGATACATCATAAGCCCCATTGTCGCCTCATGGGTTGAATGACCCAAGGATAAGGCTATGGGGGTTACACCAAAAGAAAGGGAGACTTGGTTAGCGTCATTATTTTTCTGCGTTTTTCCTTTTTCGTGCCGATCTACAGATGCCTCCCTGTCCTCCCGCCCAGCCCCGCCCTGTCGTTTCAAGTAATCAATGCATGGAACGTTAGAATGTCAGACTGTTGGAACGAAAAACGAATTCAAGCAATCGATTCTTTCATATTCTTGGTGTTTGGACGTTCGAGATGACCTTTATACCAACTGCATTCTACGATAGGTATGCTCATCACACCATCTTCCGCCGATACTCCATTTTAGGTACCTTTAGGAGTCATCCATCGCATTCTCGATGACATGTTCGATGGCTCGAAGTGTTCCAACTAAGCCCTGATCAGATTTCGAACCTGGCACATCATGGCCTAGATCGTGAAGAAACACCTCCCTGACTCGATCATCGCAAAGTCGAGATAAAGATTCGTGGACTTTAATCTCATCGACCCCAGCAGTCCGGGACCAGATATGGGCGGTTGGAATCGCCAGCAAAACCCCATCCGTGTCTGGATCGGCGTACTTGATTACGCCAGATCGGACTAGGTCAGGATCGAACGGTGGAGCTGCGCAGAAAAACACAGCGCATTTAAATCCACCGAACGAACCATGCCTTGCGTCTTCGACTAGCATCATGGCCGCTACCGTTCCGCCTTCGGAGAACCCCATAATCCCGTCAAACGGGCCTCGGCTCTCCACGAATTCTATCATGCTGTCGCAAAGATCTTGGTCTTGTTCTATGTTATGCGCCACATATCCGAAGAACTCATCTGCGAGAGCCTCAGCGCCTGCGTTACCCGTTAGTATTGGCATTGTAACGGGTGGGTAACACTCGGTTACGCTTTCGTACCGACTTGGGGTGGCGTAGGAACTGTGCCGTTCGCGAAGACGAACTCATGATCTCGTCCAAGAGCCTCCCGTATCCTTGCTACCGAGAAGTTAATTTCGGCTTGCCAGAGTACCATTCGAAGAGCCGACGGGGAACGTACCGGTCTGCATCTCAAAAATCTTCCAACTGCCGTCAGCTCATACTCCTAAAGAACGCCACAGGGGTAAGTACCTGCGCGCTCGTCCCTCTTCCATGTAAACAGAGCCACCTCATCTTTGGCTTCTCGAATATCTCTATCGCAGATTGACAGTTCGCCGTAAACCTAATTTAATGCAAACCCCGGGATGCGAGATATGCAGGGTTTTGTTTACGATATGCAGCGGTCGTAAAGCTCTATCTCGCTGCTCCTCCTATCGAATGCTCTCCCGGGCTATGATTAACACTATCCGAGTGTTTCAAGAACGACCTCTAGGATGCAAGAGTTGCAAAACAGCCTGGGCAGCCTTGTTAATAGGACTCGACTCTACGGTTTTAAAGATATTCTCCCCAAAGTCGATCGTACGGTTCGAGAGAACTTTCCTATATAGGCCATACCGCAACATTACAATGTACGGCAGTCGGAGATATTACCTATCAGGATTCCGGAATGCATAGGTAGTCGAAATGCATGCAGCTGTATCCTTGTTCTGTTATGAAGGCGAGCCCCCCAATAGGACACCCCAAGAGTTTTGTCGGGTCAGAATCTAAGCTAAGCACGTAGGATTCACCTTAGTTCAGCCTAGAAATTCGGCTGGCAGTGGCGCTTTTGATGTTTGACACACTAGTTATCGGAGTTATACCAAACCCAAACTCAAGATCTTAGCCCTACGACCTCGAGAAAGTGAGTTATGTTTATCTAGTATCATATTTTGAATAGGGGTTAAGTTGTTTGCTTGAAGGGTTGACGACTTTTAGATGACATGAAGCATTGACTGCATGCAATGCGACGGTGCTGAAGGCAAAGCTTTTTTCAACCCCAGTATATGTTACGCTGGACCAGGGCTCTTGCAGGCCTCTTTTCAGACATATCAATTAGAACCATGAATCCCCCCCAACACTGTGTTAGGTTTGAGATAGGCGATGGCGAAAGTAAACAGCTCAGGGAAGATGATGTGAAAAGCTTGAGCCAGTATGTGCTCCTCAGGGGGTTTTAATATCTTGTGAGGCTTTTCCGTGGAGTTCCCGCCCCTTGTAAGCGGCTAGGATCTCAAAGTGTATCTGATATTCTGCAACGAGGTAATAGACTGATCAGTATCTGTGCTCTCCTTATTCGATCTCGATTATTCTCTCACTGTAGGTAGATATTTCGTATAATATTAAACCCTATGAAAACCCACAGCCAAGGCGAAGGAGAAAATCATCACCTTCTTGCGCCGAGCCATTACGATGGCAGACCTTCCTTCTCTCCCCCACGACCTCCAACAAGCCGCTCTTAACGGGCCTGCTCTTCCAGCTCCTCAGGGTATCACTCCAGATTTCGACAATCCACCTAATAATAATGGTCTGGCTTATGGTGTCGTCGCCGCGTGCGTTTCTGTTGCAACCATATGTCTCATCATTCGTGGCTATGCGAGGCTGGTTCTCTTTAAACAAATGAAGCCCGAAGACTGTATGGAACCTACTCTTGGCGAGCTGTTATGGTGAATAATCTGAAGCTAATGACTTAATTTAGATATGATAGTTTTTGCTTATGTTAGTTATACGACTCCCGAGACTCTTCGGTGGTATTGACTTCCTTCAGGGAACATATCTGTGTTGGACCGTTTTCGCATTACTGCTATCTAAAACTCCTGGCTACTTCGTCCATCAGTGGGACCTTCACCTTAGGGACATGATTGATACCGTATTTGTGAGTGCTACTTACCTATCTATACTGATTTAGCCGAATAGCGTAGAGACCTAACCGATTCATGATAGTACATCCACTACGCTGGCGTTTTTTATTCAATCACCCTTCCGCTTCTGAAAATAGCAATCTTGACGGAATGGACTCGAATGCTTGTTCCTAGAGGCACTCGCAATACGTTTCTGTATTTCTGTTACGGTGTAATAGCTTCGCAAGCTATGGCTCTGGTTGCCATAGTATTTGCCCTCTGCTTCGTCTGCATTCCATATCAAAAAATATGGGATCTTACACTTCCTGGGCATTGTATCAACAAACTCCATGTCGATATCGGAGCCGCTACTGTTCATCTCACCACAGACCTTGTCATATTGTGTCTGCCGCAGAAGGTCATCTGGGGGTTACAGTTATCGCTTAGGAAGAAGCTAGGTGTCTCCATATTCTTTTCTCTTGGTATCTTGTAAGTCCTAATCGTGACCAAGCTCCTCATTACCTATTTTAAACTTGTACTAATACCTAGACTTGAAGAGCTTGTATCTCGGCTGCTTTTAGATTGGGTGTAACAGTAACATACGCAACCGAGACGGATACCACATTCACCTTTGGCCCTGTAATCTTTTGGGCTTTCGCCGAGATGACTTGTGGGTTTATAATCGCATGCTTGCCGTCCACCCCGAAGATTCTCAAGGATCATGGTGTCCTCCACAAGTTGAAGAGAATGGCGAAGTCTGTCGTGGGTTTGAAGAACAGCACTCTGAGAAGCACGAAGCCCACTACAGGCACGGGAACCAATCCACACAGTAGCACGTATCGGAAGATCGATGAATATGGTGTGCAGATGAATGACCTTAAGAATTCGGAATCTACAGAGCAACTTCGAGATAACGCAAGCAAATTCGATCAAGGTATCGTTCGAACTACCCGCGTGACCATCAAGCAGGAATATGTGGGTGACGCTGGGAAGAACGCAGTGGATCACAATGCCGCCTGGCGTAACTAAAATTGGGTGCGATATGTCGTTAGTACTTGCGCGACAGGAGTTGTTACCTCGCCTAGGGGGGTTTATAGGTTGACAGATACCTGTTATTAAACGCCTTGTATATAATAGCTGTTGAATAGGTTAGGTAGTTTGAAATGTTACAATGTCGGTTTGTGCCAAACCGATGACGGCAAACTTCCGGGCGTAGTTGAGAAAAGGGCGAACTATTATGTAGTATATATTGAACTAGCTTCATATCGGGTATATGTCCTTACCCTCGATGGGCGCTTGCTGACTGTGATTTTCCCTTAGCATGCAGTAGTTGAATCCTTTCTAGGTTCCTAGGGTGGTTGAGTTCGGTGACCCTCGTGAGAGCAGTCGTGATTGTCGTCTTGGGACTTCGATGCCTGTGCCTGTCTTATTCCCATTTACACGTCTTTGAACCATGATATCTATCATGCGACACCTTCCTTAACCATTCCAGGAAAGAAATGACTTCTCCAAATCCCGAAATCCCCGAAACTTTGATACTGGTACAATATGGAATTCATTTTCAGAATCAAGCAACTCAAGGGTTCAGTCGCGACAATCTGCAACTAAACCAAGATAATATTGATAGTGAGCCCTTGTCATGCATGTCGAATTAGGCATTTTTGACCATCTCACTACCTATTTCCGATGGATAAGTGACATGTGATGAAGTTTTAGTTAAAAGACTAATACGAAGTATGACTAGCGTTTTTGAATCCCGAAAATTCGTTCAGTCACGAAAAATCTTCCTTAGCTCCTCACAATAATCGGGACGGCCCATGGTAGTAGACGCGGGGGTTAGGCGATTACCTAGTAGATGTTCGAGATCTTTACTTAGCTGAGCCTAAGAATCCTTGCGTTCACAACCTTAATAGCGCTTACGAACCATACCGCAGTACGTGATGGGGAGAGAAGAGAAGATGAATGAACTAGGCAGCTAGATTAGCTAGCAAGCGGCAGACTGGCAGGCTTACTGGTGGATATGTACCTAAGAACTGGTCTAAGCGGATGATATTCATAAATGTCACTTGTGTAATAGTACGGTAGCGATGAGACATAAATCTCCCGTAACCATCCATGCCAGATATATGACCCCTGAGTATAATAAAGATGACTATCACGTGATCATCAGGGGACCCAGGACGCCGTCCCCAAAGAAACTGCACTGTAACGGCAACATCTATATTCATCATATACATAATAGAACCAGGTAGCGCCAGCAATGGTTCGAAAAAGGTGCGTAAGCCCTTCGCTTTTATGTATATCCATAATTAAACGGATGATGTATATATGATGAAACATCACTTGTTCCCTACTTGGTATGCGTAGTTGACAGGATGACATCTTACTGCATATAATATTATTGAATTTGGATGAGCTTCACAAGGATATTCTCCGGATGTTATCTCCCATCCTTTATACAAATTTGTCTACCGTTTACCATAAAAGGACAAGGTCAATGCTTGTGAAATTATCCTAGACTCACAAGGGGGTATTCGTAAAAGAGCCGAGAAGAAACTAAGGCTAGTTTGCGGGGCAGAATTTTAGCTGGACAGCGTTGTGATTGGCTCTGTTCATAGTCTTGAAATAAATGGAGTATGTGCAAATAATACTGTATTACACTATGTAGAGGCTCATCTCTTTGGCTACCTATCTGGGTGGTTTATACACATTTTGTCCTACAAATAAGCTGATTACAAAGCTAGGAGATAGCTGAAGACAGTGTAGTACAGTTTCGCCACTGCTCATTTGCCCATGGTCCATTTTATTTCACGCTATTCTCTGTCTATAAAAGTCCCACCCATCTTTACTAGCTCCGCATCCCAAGTTCAACGGTTTTCGTCTTTTTTAGCGTTGCTACACAAATGTTACAATAGTACATCAACGGGGAAACCCTTTTTTAAGTCTTTATGTCGCCCTTAAATCCTACGCGATAATAGTGACATACCTACTTAGAAACCGTCGTACCAAATAAATGAAATTCGTTGATTATTAAGAAGCCCGGCTCTATGATAGCTCGTCCCAAACTTCAGGCTTGGGGTATGCTAATGCAAAACACGAGCCAACACCTTTTTATCGGACCGTCCTCCGGTTATGTAAGCATGGGACTTTCTCGTATAATTTAAGGAAAGCTACTAACGTCCTCTATAATTATTAGCATAAAATATTTGTTATAATATGCAGAGCCCCTTATTTTAGTCTATCGGCATCCCCGACTTGGAACTTATTTCCTTATACCCTCGTCTGAGCGCCTGGTAAGCTACCAGGTATATATTCGTGAGTGAAGGTAAGGGTCTATCGCAAATACGGTCCCCTTGCCTCTTATCGACAAAACATCAGCCTGTTCGGTGTCACAATTTCGATTGCTATATTCGACTATATCTTACCCCACGTTCCCAAACGACTGTAAGGTGTGGGAGGTTGCGACGACTTTGGCGAGGTTGCATTTGCTCTTGCAGGGCCATTTCTCGTCGGATGACCAACCCGTCTATTCGAAAAGCTCCATTCTCGTCTTGGACCATCATAGTGGACATGGCTACCTGGTAGCTGGGTGGGCCGCTCCCACGAGCATCACCAAATGCAAAGATTCTCGGGTCCGTAGCGTAACTCGGATACGTGGGTGTTTGCCTGCATTCTACTATGTACGCATCTTTTACGGATCAAAGACGGTGAAGTAAGTCCTGTCTCCCGCAGTTTTATATCTCCCCCGAACTATAATGTATCGCGCAGCGGTCCATAATAGCTCCAGCTCGGATACTACTGTATCAATCGTGCATTATGGGTATTTCTGGTATGCTATGGATCTTCGAGTTATTTGAATCTTTAAGTCCACGTCGACGTGCATACACGTGCTGTCTTAAGATCAGACTACACTGAGCACACCCCACGGGCTCTTAACATGTGCTTAGTTGGAATAGACTCGCGCGCGAAGTCGCTAAATGACCGGGGATTACTCCGCGATGAGAACCGTTCCAGCTAACCCCCTTGCCTGTCCCAGCGCTGCCGGTCAGCTAAATGCAACCCCTCGCGAGCCTCTCTTTCCTTCCAGGAGTTATTCTATGTACTTTCGTACCTGCAGCAGTGCCACTTGCACGCATACTACCTAGGTATGCATGCCTAGCCTGCGTGTATATCATACTCTGCATGCCTAGGATGCGTGTATATCATACTATGCATGCCTAGTATACGTGTATATAGCGTAATATCTCTTTCTTACTGCGGCTACCATGTGCCGGCCCACGCCGAGCTGACCTAGACTTCACACGTGCATCTAGCTTTACCAACGGGGCGGTGAGAACGGACCACAGGAGAGTTTTCCAGAAAACTCAGTGGCGGTTTCATACACGTGTAGGACTTCCTATCGGCATATGGGCAGTAACGGGCTTTGGTTACCGACTAGATCAGCTGTTTCCATCACTAAGGGTCTGTCCCCTGTACCCGGTTTCCTGCCCTGATTTGCTAAGGCATCCTAGCTAGCTGCCGATCTTGAGTGGACGATGGTTACGGACCGTCGAGTGTATCGTAGACCCTCCTGTCTGGGAACCTACCGCTAGGCGTGCCCCGACCAAGATGTTTCGACCATTCCGTGGTCATCTTGGATGTCGCGAGAATCTGGCTATCTACCTAGTAGTCTTGGGGGACATGCGTCATTAGGGTATCTCAACATGCTTGATACTCCAGGGCAGTGGACCTTGTCGGATTCCCTAGTCCCGATGAGAATAAAGGCCGGCATTAATAATGGCTGTACTCCCCAAGTACAGTTTGACCCGGGAGAATGGGTCAGGCCAGGATTCAAGTCCGTATACATATACACAGACGATTTCCCTGATGTTGAGTGTTTGTCCATCAGTGTGAAGACCACCAGGAACCATCCGACCCCTTTCCCCTTTTTTGTATGATTACTCGAATGCGGTGGTGTTACAATAAGAAACCCTTTGATACCTTTCCGGAGAGACGACGCTAGCAATGAATGACGACATAGCCATCGTGGGGTTTGCGTTCAAGCTCCCCCAAGATGTTAATGATGTTTCTAGTTTTTGGGATGTTCTTGAGAATAGGAGGAATCTAATGACCGAGTGGCCGGAGTCGCGTATTAACAATGGCTCTTTCGAAAATAGTAAAGAAGGCAACGTGTGTAACCCCTCGAGTTTCATATGGCAGACACAATCTTATATATGTGCTACAGGTTCGTTGTCGGGGAGGACATTTCATAACGGAAGATCCGGGAGCTTTCGACGCTCCCTTTTTCTCTGTGACGGCGAAAGAGGCGGCTTCTATGGATCCAATGCAGCGATGGACCCTTGAAGCATCCTATCATGCTTTTGAAAATGGTGAGGATTTCTTGCACAGAGACTTCTAACCTTATCTATGTACTAACGGAGTACTACGCAAAGCCGGAATCCCGGCAGAACAACTCAGGGGCACTCGGTGTGGAGTGTTCTCTGCGTCAATGACGGACGACTACAAGCGGATGATTGCTCAAGATCCCGACAACATACCCCGGATGGCGGTAACAGGCACTTTTGCTTCCATTCTTCCTAATCGTGTCAGTTGGTACTTTGATTTGCACGGGCCAAGTATTCACGTCGATTCGGCGTGCTCCAGTAGCTTGTTAGCACTCGATCTTGCGTGTCAAGCGTTACGGACTGGCGAGGCCTCTTCTGTAAGCGAATTAACCATCTAACTATGATGTTATCCGTTGTTGCTAACTGCTACATAAGGCCGTCGTTACTGGATCGAACTTGATTCTTGGTCCTACTATATACCAGATGTTATCATCACTCAACTTTTTATCAGCAGACAGCAAGTGCTACAGTTTTGACCATCGCGCAAATGGTTATGCCCGTGGTGAAGGTGTTATTGCTCTTGTCATAAAGCCGCTGTGGGACGCGGTACGGGATGGCGACATGATCCGCGCTGTGATCAGGTCCACCAGTTCAAACCAAGATGGACACACCCCGGGACTCACACAACCTAGCCCCCAGGCGCAAGAAGACCTAATTCGTCAGGTATACAAGAAGGCGAATCTACCGCTAAACGTGACCCGTTATTTTGAAGCTCATGGTAAGTATCAATCTTGATCATGTCTGTCATACTGGAGTTTAAGTTAACATCCGCGCGCAGGAACGGGAACACCAGTAGGCGATCCAATAGAGATGAAAGCAATAGGGAGAGTCTTCAGGACAAGTCGTTCTACTGAGGATCCTCTTTACGTGTATGTCAATAACCAATTGATTCATCTTGGTTATGGCGGGCTCTAACGTATTCTTCTCAGGGGTTCCGTAAAGGCGAACATTGGACATCTTGAAGGAAGCAGTGGTTTGGCTGGCGTCCTTAAGTCTGTCTGTAAGCTTCCAGAATCTCATTGGTCTGATTATTCTCTTTATATTGACGAGAACTTGCTAACACATTGTAGTAATGCTTGAAAAAGGAATTATCCCAGCCAATGCAAATTTCGAGAAAATCAACCCCAAGATCGACGTGGACTTTTATCACACTAAGGTATGCGATTACGGTTAACTGGTCAGTTGAAATGACTGACATGGAATTAGGTCCCAAGCGAAAATGTTTCCTGGCCATGCGAAGGCTTACGCCGAGTATCAGTGAACTCCTTCGGATTCGGAGGAACGAACGTTCATGTTATTCTAGACGACGCACTTCATTACCTTCGCGAGCGGCGCCTGATCGGAAACCACTGCACAAGTGCCACTCCCCATAAAATAGCGATCGCACGGCCTGTAACCAACGGAACAACGAACGGGTCCCATATCAATGGAAACACAACAAATGGGGTCGCTAAGACGAACGGATATGCCCATACAAATGGAAATGGCCTTGTGAACGGGAATGGCCACACCACCAATGGAAAGACCAATGGCGTTAGTAACGGTACTAATGGACACCATGCTGACTCTACATCAAGACTGCTCGTTTTGTCCGCGGCCGATGAGAAAGCGCTCAAGCGAATGGTTGAACAGTATCAAGGTTTCTATAAAGCCCAGATCGCACACAGCCCAAGTAAGCTGGGTGATTTAGCATTCACATTATCGACTCGTAGAAGCCATATGCTCTGGAGGACATTCGCCGTCGTTAACAGTGCACCTTACGACCAAGATGTGAACCTCACCGTCGCCAAACCAATTCGAAGTTCAAGTGAATCTGGAATTGCATTTGTCTTCACAGGCCAGGGAGCGCAATATGTTGGTATGGGAGCTGGTCTCCTCCAATATCCATCATTCAAGTCGACATTACAACAAATTGATGAAATATACTTCAGCTTAGGATGCACCTGGTCCATATTTGGTAAGAGATAATACAGTCCAAAAAAGTATCTTGGCTAATGATCTTATCATAGATGAACTGCATAATAAGGAAAACATCGATCGCCCCGAATTCAGTCAACCCCTATCCACAGCTATTCAAATCGCCTTGATTGAATTATTAAAAAGCTTTGGCGTCATCCCGAAGGCAGTGGTTGGTCACTCTTCAGGTGAAATAGCCGCAGCGTAAGCAATGCCCCCCCTAAAATTCCTACGTCTCATACTAACTTACCCCTGAAAAGTTACGCTATCGGCGCACTTTCGTTATTAGGTGCCTCCAAGGTATCATACTTCCGAGGACAGCTAGCTGGAAAGCTCAGAGCTACTAGCGAAACCCCAGAGGCAATGATGTCTGTCAATCTTGCCGAGGATGAAGTTCAGGGATACCTAAAGAATATTAGTTATGAGGTTTCTGCCCAGATTAACGTCGCCTGTGTTAACAGCCCACTGAACTGCACACTTTCCGGAAAGGAAAGCGCTATTGATACTGCGAAGGAGAAACTTGACAAGGACGGAATATTCGCTCAGAAGCTTAAGACAGGGGTCGCATATCACTCGCCGTCCATGGCCAAGATCGCGGACGAATATATGCGCCAGATAGGATCTCTGGACAATGGCAACACCAAAGCTACTAGGTCGTCGATTCCGATGGTATCGTCAGTTACTGGTCAGCTGGTGAAACCAGCTTCGTTGGCGACTCCTCAGTATTGGGTAGAGAACATGGTTTCACCAGTTCGATTCGCCGATGCCGTGCACGTTCTTACCCAGAAGACTTCATCCTTGAAAGTCGGTATAGGAAGCATCACCGATCTCATTGAGGTCGGATCTCACCCTGCACTGCGTAGGCCAGTCCAAGACACCCTCGCCAAAGCTGGAAATAAGAAGCAGCAAATCCGGTATAGTCATGTGCTGCATCGGTCTCATCCTGCAGCTCAAACCGCTTTGGAGCTTCTTGGACAACTGTTCAGCCATGGACATACTGTTTCCATCTCTGCAGCAAATCAATACTCATCTGACCAAGAATCTCCCCGATTCCTAGTCGACCTCCCTAAATACCCCTTCGATCATTCCAAGACTTACTGGTCTGAATCTCGCCTTAGTCGCGACTTTAGGCTGCGTGATAGCGTAAAGGGTGAAACCTTAGGAGCGCGGTTTTTCGATTGGAACCCCTTGGAGCCAAGATGGAGGAATTTCCTAAGCGTTGAGACTACGCCATGGATTGGCGACCATGTCATCAGCGGAACCGTCATTTATCCCGCAGCTGGTATGCTGGTGATGGCGATGGAAGCAGTCCAGCAATTGCAGCCTGAAAACCGCGTCATATCGGGCTACTACGTCAAAGAGGCGAACTTCATGAACCCTATCCTAGTTAAGGAGGCTTGGGAAGACAGGACCGAAACCATGCTTCACTTGCGTCCAGTTAAGAGGCCATATGAGAAGGAGTCAACCTGGTCGGATGTCACGATCTATGCATACTACGACAACCGATGGACCGAGTGTTTCAAAGCCAACATTCAAGTCGAATACGAAGACTCCGCGCTGACTGACCTCCAAGAAGAGCGTCGGCAAGCTCACACTCGGGTTACTGATCAATACATCAATGCGCGAGAACTATGCACGAGACCGGTTGATTCCCAAGTGTTTTATGAAGACGCCACTGATCACGGCCTGGGATACGGAGAGGCTTTCCAAGTGATTGAGGATATCCAGTGGGACGGCAAGTCTAATGCCATTGCTCGTGTTGACATGACCAAATGGAAGACAACAAGTCTTGTCCACCCCGTGGTTTTGGACTCCGCATTCCATGTGCTACGCGTTAGCACTACACTGGGACTCTCCCTGTCTAACGCAACAAATGTCCCCGTACGGTTGGTAGACGGCTGGTTCGCTCCGTCTGGATGGCAACAGCCTCAAACATCCTCCATTCACTATCTCGCCACCTCGGAGATCAAAGGTGGTCGGGAGAGTGAAGAGGGTACTATTTACGCGGTTGCTGATGACGGTTCAGTCTTGTGTACTATGCGAAGACTATTGACTGCGGCAGTCTCAAGAAAGTCCGATGGAGAGCAAACTGCTAAGAAGTTGCTGTATAGCATTGACTGGAAACCCCAACTGAGCTTGATGGAACCATACCAGCTCGAGGCTGCAGTTGATGCCAATACTTTCGTTAGGGACGAGGCCGTCATGATGCTAAAACATCAAAAGTTGACCTTCATTCTCGATAAGGTTGTTGCCAAGACTTTGAAACAATTGTCAGGCGAAAACCGTGAGAAGGTCATCGGGACCCAGAGAAGACACATGGAGTGGCTCGAAGAGCACGTCGGACTGTTATCTCCTGAAAGGGCAGCTGACGATGTCAATGAAGAACAGCTCGAAACCCTCTTGCAGGAGGTCGAGGCTATCCACCCTCCGTGGAAGCTACACACGACAGTTGTCCGTCGCCTGACGGATATCCTCACTGGCGCGATTGACCCACTCGAAGTCATTTTCGATGCCAACTTGGCCGACGTATTTTACGCAGATATGTTCGAACACGTATGTGACGATAGGCTATTGAAGTTCTTAGATCTCGCCACTCATGAAAACCCCGATCTTCGTATCCTCGAAGTGGGGGCTGGTACCGGTGGTTTCACGTCGCGTGTCATTACTTGTTTAAATGAGCTCGAAAAGAAGAGCGGTGCACTTAAGTTCTCTGAGTACACATACACCGATGTCTCCCCTGCCTTCTTCGAGAAGGCAACTTCAAGATGGCAAGATTACAAGGAGAGGATGACATTCAAGACCTTCGACATGAAGCGCAGCGCTGAAAGTCAGGGCTTTGAGCCGGGTTCGTATGACCTAATTGTCGCCGGAAGTGTTCTGCATGCCACTGAAGATTTATTGGCCACAATGAGGAATGTCCGCACGACTCTTAAACCGACCGGTCACCTTCTACTTCTCGAGGTTGTTGCGCCGAAAGATGTAATGACGAATTTCACATTTGGGCTGGTACCCGGATGGTGGGGTCGCCGAGAAGAATGGCGAGGTCTGTCCCCCGCAATCCCCGAAAAACAGTGGGAAGACGTCCTGAAGTGGACTGGTTTTAGCGGTAACGATCTGGTCCTTAGGGATTACCCCAGCGAAACATGCCACATTTTCAGTATCATCGTATCCAAAGCTGCGGAGGAAGTATCTGAAGTACCTTCAAGTAAACCAGGACTTGTTCTGGTCGTCGATGCGCAGTCAAGTGACCAAACCGATTTAGCCAACTTGATCCATAACAGGATTCTCCAATCCAAAGGAGAACAGGCTCGGATCGTTCCTCTTGACCAAATTGCGACCGCAAAACTGACCAAAGATGACACCGTGGTTAGCATTGCGGAAATCAGCAACCCCTTCCTCGCTACACTATCCGAAGAAAAGTTCAAGTTGCTGCAGACATTCCTTAAGCAAACACGGAACTTATTATGGGTTACCCAAACAAGTTTGAAGGATGAGCGATATTCGGAATATGGTATCATGGAGGGATTCTTGAGGTCAATCCGACACGAGGAAAGCGATAAACACGTCGTCACTCTTGCCATTGAGTCCCGAGACGAGACCATTGTCGAGTATGCGCAGTATGTCGCAAAGGCATACAAGGCCGCTTTCGAATCGCAGACCAAAGAACTAGAGTACATCGTCCGCAATGGCCGACTTACTACTGGTAGAGTCGCAGAAGATGTGTCTGGAAACGACACGTTGCGATCTCTGCTTTACCCTCAGCTGCAAGATAAGCCTATCTCAGAGGGTCCAGCGCTAAAGCTCGCTGTCGGTGAACTTGGAACTCTAGACTCAATGCAACTCGTGGAAGATGCCGCAAAGCAAACAGAACTTCTACCCCATGAAGTTGAAATCGAAGCCAAGTCCTGGGGTCTAAACTTCCGTGATGTACTTTGCGCATTGGGCCGTCTAGAGGATAAAGAATTGGGAGTCGACTGCGCAGGTGTTGTTACTCGCGTCGGACCAGACAGCAATGTCCAGCCAGGAGACCGCGTCTGCATGATTTCGATTGACTGCATGCGAACGCACCCGCGTGCACTTGACCATGCTGTCCTTAAGATCCCCGATGACCTGTCATTCGAAGCAGCAGCTTCTATCCTAGTCCCTGGTATGACAGCGTATTATTCCATGATCGATATTGCCCGAGTCCGCAAGGGTGAAAAAGTCCTCATCCACTCGGCTGCGGGTAGTACAGGCCAAATGGCCATCCGTATGGCTCAAATGAAGGGAGCGGAAGTCTTTGCCACGGTCGGATCTCCCGAAAAGAGGCAATTCTTGAAAGACACGTTTAGCATTCCCGATGATCACATTTTCAACAGCCGAAATACCTCGTTCGCTCAAGGAGTCTTGCGTGTAACGGACGGATACGGTGTTGATGTAGTGCTAAACTCGCTTTCCGGAGATAGTCTACGGGCGACTTGGGAGTGCATGGCTCCATTTGGTCGGTTTGTTGAGATCGGTGTCGTCGACATCAAGGCTAATTCATCTTTACCCATGGCTGGTTTCGCAAGGAATGTCAGCTATTCGGCCATTGACTTGCGATACGTAATCCTCAGAAACCCGGGGTTGACGTCTGAGCTGCTGAAGGCCACTATAGGCCTTCTAAACGAGGGCACTATTCAGCACCCTGGCCCTCTACACATTTACCCCGTATCAAAGGCTGAAGAAGCGTTCCGATACCTCCAAGGAGGAAAGAATATCGGGCGCATTATTCTTAATGTCGACCCTGCTGATATAGTCCCGGTAAGTCTCACGAACAATACTTTTTTTGAAATTTTTTTTTAAGAAAAAAAGCTAACCTACAATTTTAGCAACTTCTTCTTGGACAGCGATCGTGGAAATTTGAGGAAAATGCATCTTACGTGATTGCAGGAGGATCTGGTGGCCTCGGTCGCGCCATCATGAAATGGATGGCCGATAGAGGGGCGAAGCACCTAATTGCGCCTTCAAGGTCTGGAAGCTCAAAACCGGTAGTCGCTGAGGTTATTGCCGAATTGACAAAACGCGGCGTGAATGTTGTTGCACCCCAATGCGACGTATCGTCAGCTGAGTCACTGGCCCAAGTTCTCGAGGAATGCGCTAAAACTATGCCGCCCGTTAAGGGCTGTATCAACGCCACCATGGTCCTCCAAGACGCTGTATTTGACAACATGACCTATGCGCAATGGGAGCTGACGATGAAGTCAAAGGTCCCATCGTCTTTGAACTTACATAAACTTCTGCCCAAGGACCTTGACTTCTTCATTCTTCTATCGTCTCTAAACGGCGTCTGCGGCGCTTTGGCACAATCTAATTATGCAGGCGGCTGTTCTTTCCAGGATGCGCTCGCACGTTATCGTGTTGCGCATGGACAAAAGGGCGTCTCGATTGATATTGGGTGGATGCGAAACATCGGTATCGTAGCAGAGACGCAGCAATACCAGCGCCAACGAAAGAGCTGGGACGATATGCAGAAGATCGACGATACGGAACTAATGGCTTTGCTGAGCGTGCTGTGCGACCCCTCAGAACCACTCCCCACACAAACCGGCAGCCAAGTACTTCTCGGTCTACGCACACCAGCCGATTTCCTTTCGAAGGGCCAGACACCCCCAGCCCTACTCACAAGACCCTTATTCGCTGCGTTCTCCCACATAGTCGGAGAAGCCAAAGCGACATCGAAGGATGCGAGTGTGGACGTAGCAGCCTCATTCAAGGCCGCGACAGATACAAGCGAGCGAATCCAGATCGTCATCAAGGCATTGACTCAGAAGCTAGCGCGTTCCATGGCTATTTCGCCCGACGACGTAGAATTGAACAAACCGCTTTCCAGCTATGGCGTCGATTCATTGATGGCGGTCGAGTTGAGGAATTGGATCGGAAGGGATTTCCAGGCTGGTGTCGCTGTTTTCGATATTATGGGAAATGTACCTGTTTCGGCTATTGGAGACTTGGTCGTGGCCAAGAGCACTGTTGGAAAGACTCAGTAGAGTATAATACGGGTGAGGTAGCGCGGAGTCTAATTGAGGAATGGGAGGCTAGGTTTGCGGAGTTAGGGTTAACGATATCTTATTTCTTGTCTCTTAGTTTTAATGAATGTAATGACACGTCGCTCATTGTCACCTTTATCCATGCATTATTTAGGACAATTACTGTGAGATGGGCTGATGGGATGGATTTCGTGTTGGTTTGATGAACCTTCAAATTTCTTTGGATTGCGCACAGAATTTCTTCGTGAATCACATACAGATTTCACCGATGCAATTAAAACAGTCATAATCATTCTAGTAAATTATAGAGTTTTGTCCATTGAACTCAATAAATATAATCACAACCGAAAATAGAACATTGTTCGTAGAAAGTCAATGTTTTAACCTTTTTCGACGTCTAGGCGCTAGTACATGAACAGTACGTACTGAGAAGTCCTCGACGTTGCCTCATTAGGAAATTCATCCTCTCATTCTATCCGTTGATTGGTCTTGATTTGATATCTGTCACACCCATAATCCTGGGTATCATACCCGAGTATGTACCCAGTACAAAAAGAGTTCTGCATATTGGTTTTGTCGTCAATATCACCAGGACAAACCAGAAATGGATGCTATATATGTTTATCGTAAGGGTCATAAAAGAATGAGTCATTATTATGCTAGCTAATGAATTGAACGAACCGTTTGATAGAGGGGGTGGGTGTCGGCTGGAGTATCGGGATTTCGGTGTTAATTTCGGATCTACGACATTTTTAAGGGGCATATTGCAAATTCGTTCGTTATAAGCTACAGTTACATCGCGTGCGTACACGTATGCATGTTTTCATTTTGCGCAATTCGTGTTGAGGATAAAACCTTGAAAGTCCTATGAAGTCCTACCCACGATAGCAGGCGAGGTGTTGGTTAACAATTCGCATATTACCCGGACATGCAAGGCAAGGTATATGTCCCAGAGGCATCGCGCCATAGACACTCCAGCGAATTAATTTATAATTCTCCCTCCTTTGGCAGCTGCGAAGAATGAGAAACATCGAACTCATCGTCCGGTTACGGAAAGTGAGCTGATTTAAGTCTACCGACCACGCTACCTTCCCCCGGGACCCACATGCGTCCTACGCTGCACTTATGCGGCGGTGATGCATGGCCACTGGTGATAATGCAGTCAATAGACCCAAGTCTTACCAACAACTTGATATCTTATCAGATCTTCGGATATAAGATGGTGTAGGGTCCTAAATATGGTAAGTACAGATTTAGTAATCTTCCAACTTCCGTATCATATACTATTTCTCGACTAGACATATCGCAAAAGTCATGACAGCTCAAGGAAACATGAACAAATCCTCAGTTGGTACCGAGGCTATAGATCCAAGGTCAAATTCTTCTAGAGATGAGGAAGTAGATCTATATTTGGTAGGTTAGGTATCCCGAAATACTTCTGAAGCTCACATCTAATTATTTCTTTCTATGATAGGTAACTTGGAACGGCAAAGATGACCCTGAGCATCCGTATAATTGGTCTTCATTGCGAAAATGGACAATCACCATCCTCCTTTCAAATGGGGGTCTGGTAACCCTCATGTCCGGTGCAATGCTGGCTCCGGCCCTTCAGAGCATCTCAGCAGACCTACATACCGGCGAGGAAGAGACGCAAATATTTCTTTCCATCTTCGTTTTAGCATTTGCTTTTGGTCCCATGATACTGTCACCCCTCGCCGAAGTTTTCGGTCGCCGGCCAGTGTGGATCCTGTCAAGCTGCTTCTACATCCTTTGGAATACGGTCGCAGGTTTTAGCCGTACACCTGGCCTTATGATTGCGAGTCGTGTTCTGTCGGGTATCGGAGCTAGCGCTGAGTTTGCTATTTCCAACCCGGTTCTGTCAGATTGTTGGATACCCTCGCAACGTGGACTCTCGTTCGCCATTTCTACTTTCATTCCTCTCCTAGGGCCGGCAATTGGACCAATAATTGGAGGTGCCGTCTCCCAGTCGATCGGGTGGCGATGGACCTTCTGGATTCTATCCATATATGACAGCCTCCTCGTGGTTATAGCACTTTTCGTGTTTAGCGAAACGTATGAGATCATTATACTTAATAGGAGGGCAGCCAAACTACGAAAAAGCACAGGAAATCCATATCACACTCAATGGCACGAGGCATCAGAGAAGTTGGGAGACAGACTGTCTCATTCATTGACCCGTCCTATACGCCTCCTTTTGACCCAGCCAGTTCTACAAGTCGTTGCGATATTCCTAGCCTACAACTTTGGTATATTGTATCTTGTCCTGTCAACCTTTGCTACCCTGTGGATTGATCGTTACGGTCAAACCGAAACCCAGAGCGGCTTGAACTATATCGCCCTTGTTATCGGATATACGATCGCCGCACAAGTTGGGAGTAGAATGATGGATAAATTGTGGGCATATTTGGAGGCTAAAGCCGGTAATAATACCGCCCCTGAGTACCGTGTTCCACTGATGATCCCGGGTGCCATTTTAATTCCAGTTGGTCTATTCATCTACGGTTGGACAGCAGAGAAACATATGCACTGGATCGTCCCCGATATTGGAATCGCTATCCTCGGCTGTGGTATCATTAACAATACGCAGTCTTTGCAAGCTTATGTAATGGATGCATATCACGATTACGTTGCCTCAGCATCGGCTGCTTCGCAGTTTCTGCGTAGCATTGCTGGATTCGCTTTTCCTATTTTTGCGCCGGCCATGTACAATAACCTTGGGTATGGATGGGGCAATAGCCTGCTGGCGCTTACGTTCGTCGTGATTGGATGGCCCGCCCCCTTTCTTCTATGGCGTTACGGTGCTCGATTGAGGGCAATGGGAAGTAAGCAACAATGAGAACATTCCGGGCTAGTATGACTTAAGAGAGTTTAGACTGACAATTAAACATCTGCCCATTCCATCAAAAAGTATATGTGGCATCTGTAGTCAACAGAGTCAACAGAGTCACCTACAAATGTTTACCATACTAGAAAAGGGGGGGTGGATCGTCATAACACCTAGCAACCAACCTACATTATACGCAGTGAACATTCATTCAAATTAAAATACATAAATTATATAATTAACATTCCCTCTATACGCTTGTCCACGCCGGTCCATTAAGTCTCTGAATAAGATATCACGTGCTAAAATGCCCCTAAACACCTTCAAGTTTGATTTTGGGTCTACTCGATGGATTTACCAAGATAGGAAAAGCACCTGAGTTTGAATTCTTTTTGAGCAAACTTCAAGCCACAAAGGCAAATATATACGAGGTAGATAGATAGTCGAATATTGAAGGACAACTGATGCTACAATTCCAGGAAAACTAAATATGTGTAATTTTTACTTTAGAGTACTGAGCTGTATATAAAACTTAAAATCCTTTGAATCACAGTTTATCGAACTTATCTCGAAGCCACAATATCCCTAGTACGTCTTATGCTGTGATGCAACTATGAGTCACCTACAGTGCTATTTGTAGATGGGTCATGTATATTCCGACCTCCTCCTACTTAGTAATACTCGCATATCTGCAATATCATGGTTGATGGATATTTTGTTAATCACTTGTAGAAATATCTTTTTTCTAGGCAACACGACTTTTACTCGTCATTTCCCCAAGTTCTTGAAGGACAGTACCATTCTATTAAAACTTAGGTTAGGTACTTTTATAAGCACATTGAATTTTACCTTCCATTCGATCAAAAGTTTTCAACGCATAGACAATAAAAGTCATTACCTGCCCATTAAAGATTCACCCAAGATTTATCCGTTACAGTCAAACTTAAAAGAATATTTACAGATATTTCTTCTATTCCACCTCACCCGCTATTCAATTCCTCCTCAGCTGTCCTTCACCCGACTTCCTACCGACGACAAAAAAATGTCTTTCCATCTTCACTCAAAATTAAACGATTCAGAATTAAAAAATTGGGTTATTACAAATTACTCATTTTCAACAAGCATCTAGGTACGTGTTCAGATATTTCATACCAGTTATTTCGCATACTTTCCTTGGTCGACTCGACATGACGTGTGGAGGCGTAAATATAAATAAATCGCCTTCATCAATATTTATAATTCATAATTTCTCTTATCATTTTATTACATTTCCCTGATCTTGAAGCTACCCATAATAGTCTCAGTTTATGATCATCACGACTTACAATATTTTCCAGAATTGACGTTGTAACCACGACCAGCATATTCCGGAGCCCTAGTCAAGATTCCTAATTCATAAGTTCTAGCCAACCATCATGCAGGACGACGACGCTATGCATGGTATAATTTTATCTGGCGACCAGGGGTGCGTTAGTACGGCACCGCTACCACCGTCATCATACAGTCCACGTTGTACACTTCTATCTACTCCACCTGAGATACGATGTATGATTTACAAGCACGTATTTAGAGGAAATCTCAATAAACTTCTTGCCGATTACATCGAAAATTCCAAGAGATTAAGACCCGAACACCTCGAAGATCACTCGGAAACAGGCCCCGATTCCTCCGACAATTACTTAGAAGATCGGACTGCGCTGCTACCACTCCTTTTAGTATGCAAGCAAGTCCACGACGAAGTTGCAGCAGAGCTTTACAAGCAGATCAAACTTGAGTACGACCTCGATGAATGGATCTCAGCCCTAAACAAGATTGGCCCTCGCTATGGTGCCATGGTTCAACATGTTGAATATGTTCACGAATGCTGGGAATGCCACCGCCGCTGCGATGACAATGGGACAATGTGGGACTGTCTAATTGACACGCCTAACACACACATTCGCATTTTCGAGTGTCTAGCATCTAACAATGTCAACCCTCGACACCTTAAGATAACATCATATTCGCTTCTGGGCTTGCAGGGCGATGATCATGTCATGAAAGAGACCATACCCGACTGTACTCAACACAAACACTTCGAAGGCCAAACTTATCATGACCAAACATTCATCAACCAGATGTTCTCTCTCTGCAAGAATATCCGCGGTATCCAGTTTGATGGTGCCTTCAACCCTCTCTGGGTTGCTACCCTGCGCAATAAACTTGATTTCATCATCAGACTTGAGAACCCATTCGAGAACGTCGACGCATCTCAACCTTCTGGCACCTGGACTTTGATGGATCCGAAATCAAACGGTTTCGCCAAGGAACTTCGGGATTATACACCATTGGATTCGAACGGTCAGGTTTACATCAAGTTGCCCGACCGCATCAATTACATTAGACAACGCAGAGGGTTAATCAATGCTGGAGACGACACTACTGGAGACGAAATATGTCACGTACAATATCGGGAACGCACGCCTTTCCCTGACGAGGACTCTACCGAGTCCACATAGATAAAGTCACAAACAACGGAATCTCTTTGGATCGAAGGACGACGTTGATCTTATTTAGATGAACTAATTATTCCAATGGTTTTGTATCAAACATACCTCGATTCGCACCGCTGTTGCTGACCTTCAAGGTACCGCGAACCTGGTTGCTAAGCAACCCGGTCACCTAGTTACCACGCTGTAGCTTACCTTGATTTTTCGATTCGCTTCTATTCTTCTAAATCTTAGCTTCTTACCTTAAACCTTAATTTTGCTACTTTTTGATAATCCTGATACCCTCGTGAGAAAATTAGCTAACTTGCCAAGTCCGAGAGAGACGACGACGAGACTAGCGACGAAGACGTTGAAACGTGTGTATTTGTCCCGATTTTTATAGATTACTAATATAGATCAAACAAGAGATTTAGACAAATGAATCGGAACTCTTAAGTATTTCTTTATATCGACATAATTAGATACGATCTAGTCGGATTTTCTTTGAAGCCCGAGTATTTTTCATTATAGAATATGAAGGTATATATGGCTGACCGGTTACTAGGTATCTCGTATCTACCTTAATTAGGTACACATCCCGGCGCTGTTACCAGCTATAATATAGGAAGTAGAGTGCTAAGAATAATCCCTAGACGAAGGGAAATACAGGCTAATGATCACTGTATCTAAGGTAACACAGAACTAGCTGGAAAAAATAGTGGATACCTACCTATCAAACCACCTACTGCTAACTAAATATGCCTGCTAAACTAGTATTTCATAGCGCAGTAATCAACACCTAAAACATGGATATTGTAGCGCCTAAAATAGTTACACATCTTGTTTTCAACGTACCTACCTACTAAGCGGGGTAGTTTGGTGTTGCTCTAGGTACTTCGTAGAATTTGAATACAGGACCAAACCCCTGTAAGTATTCAATAATTACGTCAAGCTTTAAATGTAGGTACAGGTACCTATGGAATGAACTTCGATGTAGGATTCGAAAGAAGTAGATGTAGATCCATGCATATATCATAAAGATGCGGCGTTATATCTGGTATCATTAAGACTACCTATGTGCCGACTAATAGAACATTCATAACATAACGTGCCTAAGCATCCATCCATAAAGGCATTTCCCTCATAATTCCTTCCTAATGAAAGTAACTCATCCCCAACTTCGTAAAAGAATCAAATCCATATCAGTTAACTTCGTGAAAAAGAAAAAAAATCATAATTCCTTGTGAGGCTCCTTCTTGCATAGCCACGTCGCGCTAGAATTGAGTTCCTGTGAATCAGGCTTGGAGGCGTATTCGATCCCGGGCATAGACAGACACTGCGCCTGAGACTGGGTAGTTGAGGGAATAGAGGCAGTCTGCTCGCGATATTGTACTGAGTTTATCACCGTTCCATCGGGCGTGGACACGGACTGTTGCGAGTAGCTTACAGAGCGTATCTGTGTCATTGGCGTGGATGAAGACTCCTACTGCTTGCCACTACTGCCGCTGCTACCACCGCTGCTGCCACTGGAGCCCGAGGAGGACTGCGCACCCGAGGATGGGGTGTAGGTCGAGCTACCCTGGCCATCATTGTAGTAGGTACTACCGTTGGGGTTGGAGTAGTAGTACGAGCCGTTGCTATATTTATGTCAATCTTTTATATCTAGCTAGTATCTATTACGAATATCGACTTTAGGTCGGGGGGTGGGGCGGGATGGAAATGGGTGTAAATACACGCTGTAACTTACGTGTTGGAATAGTGATAAGAGTTCGAATTGGAGGCACTGCTGCCGTAATCACGGGCACAGTAATGGTTGCCCTGGATAATGTTAGAACATAAATTTACTGAAAGAAGCGAAATATTATGGCTTTAAATAATAGGATATGCTTACCTGGCTGTTAGTGCCGTGGCTCTTGTACGAATACCCGCGGTCGCTCATCTTGACGAAGAGAACAGAGATCGTGTGGCGCTTGTGGTATAGAAGAAGTGTAGAGGTTTGTGAGTTTGAGAGCAGGGTAGCAGACTGTTGCTTTGAAGTCAAGCTCAGGTTGAAAAGGATTGAAGAAGAGAGAAAGGGAAAATAGCTTCACGAGGAGGAGGCTAGATTTAAATATGCGGTATGACACCTAGGACCTATGCGTTTGTTAAGAGGGGAAACAAACGTAATTCTGGGAAGGTGTTCCTTGTAAGCTGTCTGCGCTTGCCTCAGAATGAGTAGATAGGTATGGAACTAACCACAAAGATAGGGCAGTCTGATTTAGCGGGCTTGGGCTTGAAAGAAACGTCCGTGGAACCTTACTAGGTAAAGAGCGATGGGCAGTTGTAAGTCGGTGTATGACCACGTACCCATCCAATGAATAGAGTTTCATGCGGAAATCCGCCTACTACTAACCTAACCTTGCTAAGGTGAATTGGAAGGGGCATATGATTGATCATAATTATATGCGGTTGGCCGGGTGAAAGCAACATCCCATAAGGTGGTAGGATATGACAAACGAGGAAAGAGGCTAGCAATTGAAACTTGGAATAGAGGTTATATTTCATGCACGTTGGGATGAATTGAAATGTGAGGTGGGATGTTACGTATCAAATGTACCTAGATATGTTATCTCATCTGGATGACGATGAGTTTCCAATAAGAAGACTAGTAGTAGTAGTTCATCTATTCTATCATGTAAATACACTTTCGTAATGGACAAGTGCTAATTATATTGGATTGGGTTGAGCTGTTCTTGATTCCGTCTATTTGGTATCTGTCTATGAGATTGTCAACAAACACGCTGACATGAAACTCTATGCGATAGCAATAACTAGAACTTTGCGGGTATCAGTCATTCGGCTTTACCATCAGCAGCACCCTCTCTCTCGTCCCCTTCGTGCTCCGAGATGAACTTCTCCGCTTCTAAAGCAGCTTGGCATCCGGAACCTATCATTTTTTGAAAATTAGTATTGGGACAGTAGAAAATCATAAGTTGAGTGACATACCTGCGCTAGTAATAGCCTGTCTATATCTCTTGTCTTGTACATCACCAGCTGCAAATACGCCCTCAACACTTGTTAATGGAGAGCCGGCCTTGGTGATGATGTAGCCCTCTGAATCGGTTTCTAATTGACCCTTAACCAAGGTCGTGGCCGGGTCGTGGCCGACAGCATAGAAAAGACCATTCGCCTCGATAAGCTGTCGCTTTCCAGTGACCGTATCTTCGATAACCAAGTGGGTCATAACTTTATCATCACCCTTAACTTCGACGCCTCGGGTGTTGAATCTGACGGTGACCTTGGGATGTTTCAATAACCGTTGGGCCATAATGCTGCTAGCACGGAGTTGATCCTTTCGCACCAAAACCGTAACGTGGCTACCGTATTTCGTCAAGAAAGTAGCCTCTTCAGCAGCGCTGTCCCCGCCACCGATGACTACTAGGGGCTTATTCCGGAATATTGGGACAGCACCATCGCAGACTGCGCATGCGCTGATACCATTCTGCCAGTATTGCTCCTCTCCAGCAAGACCCAATCGCCTTGCAGAAGCTCCCGTAGCAATAATGACGGTATCCGCAGTGTGTACATCACCGAGGGCCCATTCAGTCTCATACTTGAATGGTCTAGAGGAAAGGTCGAGTTTCGCAACGGTCTCGGTGACGATCTTGGTTCCGAATCGCTCTGATTGTGCTCGCATAGCATCCTGTAACAGAAATATATGATTAATATGGTTGACATATAAGTATGTTTAGTGCGGAAACAAGAGACCCACCATCAGCTCACTACCCATAATACCCTTAGGGAAGCCGGGGAAGTTCTCAATCTCGGTTGTGGTTGTTAATTGACCGCCAGCAGCGATACCATTTGCCATGAAACCCTCGTAGAGAACCGGGTTCAGCTCAGCGCGGGCGAGGTAGATGGCAGCCGTGTGGGCGGCAGGCCCGGAGCCGATAATGACGACCTTGCTATGCATTTTCCTAGTTGTTATCTTTGGAATCTGACTTGACTGCTTTGTGTAATTCTGAAAACCAGCAGAGGCGAGGGCTGCTACTGAAATTCCGGATGCGCCAGCGCAAAGTCTACTTGTTATTTTTCGGGAAAACACTTTGATGGTATTTTCCTCGCCGATTGACGGGTCAAGTGGGTATATGTATAGGTTGGACTTGAGAGGAAGGGCGACTTGGCGGATCGAGTATGCGGTAGTCTCGGAGGTGTTTCGGAAGGGGCAGGTCTAAACGTCGAGGCTATCGTTAAATACTGGGCTCCGGGGCTATTGTGGGCTTGTGATAATGGCATGAGACTTTAGGAAACACCTTTAGTCACGAAGTCGCCAGTCTGGACTTTAGTAAGACGGTTTTGAAATCTAGGATAATTATTTCAAATGCGGCTCTACATGTAGTTCCGAAAATAGATCAAATTTGGAATAATGTTTCTTATTTAGACTTGGAAGAGAAATTGACTTTGGTTCGTCAGCTTACTTGAATTTTGCTGGTGGTCTTTGGTTGGGTGCTTCTAGAACGCGAAAAAAAAACGAACCCCGCATTATTCAGCAACACGCAGATGATCCGGACCGGAGCTGACTCGAGACACCCCACCAGAAGCGATTACTTAATCGGATGCTTACTAAGAGAATGTGCTGACCTAATTCAAGTCTTCTCGTTGATGTTCAATTGCGACATTTCTGAAGGTATGATGCTATCATTCCCACCCAACTTTATATATCGATAACCACCAGAGTGCAAGTTAAGAGGTTGGATAAAATGAAATATGATTCGTCCTTCGATACTGCAGTTGAAATAGTAGTACCATATACGAGAAGGTAAAAAAAGAGTTTTTAGAACTATTGGTTTTTTACCTATACGAAAGTTGATTAATTACATAAGCAATTAGTCCCTGGCATATCCCTCGTCGTCACGACCCTGGACTCGCCATTTCTGTGTAGCCCTAGGAGAAGGCGTAGATTACCTAGGAAAGACTGGTCTAGTTCCGTACCCCTGAATTTTTTTTAAAAAAAAGAAACGGTGTTTTTATTATCTGAGATTTTTCTGCGAAATGCGTCTGTCTTAGTCTGTACCAACTTGAAAAGGACTGCGAAGGATACGCTGATAACCTTAAATGATCAACTATATTTTAGGGGGGTGGGGAGCCTACATCCCAGTTCAGTGCCCTAGAAGCTGCTCCAAGATGTGACGTAGCTAGGTACTTGTCGACATTTAGTAGGTACCTGGTACCTAGGTAGCTACATACCTAACTATACCTATGCACATGACAGATAGCAGATGCGAGATCATATACATTTATTATCTAATAAAACAATTAACCGGCAAATTGATTGAATAGTATAAATTAACGGGTTTCGATATTAATAACTCCCTTGCACATACTCTAAAAGTTCTTGGTTAGAACCTTAAGGTTCCGTAATCGCTTTATTCTCGATGGTCCCGCTTTTTGGTCTGATGGCAAATGGATATTTCAATTCCTTCATAGGTACCTAGTTCGGTCGTTCGGGGAGACATTATGGACTCTTCATTGTCAACATACTAGACATCGAAGCCCTTGGGAACGCTATCCATGAACGATGGCACCGCAACAGGATATTCCAGTTGCAGCTAACGTACTTGGTGTAAGTGCTACCTCGATACAAGTAGGCATTGATAACTCATCTTAGGTGTAATTGTTAGACAATTGGTACAATCCTTTGGTGCATACAAACGATACCTCAAATAGTAAGAGTGCCCTATATGGCTGTCTCATTTCTAAGACCACATGCTAACGAACATGCTCTAGTGGACTAATTGGAGGACTAAAAAGACTGATGGCTTACCTGGCTCTATGATGTACCTATGGGCTCTGTGTGGCGTGCCTTTTGGGGCCTATAATATCGCACAGAGGTTCAATTACCCTCTACAGGTACAGCCACAGGCCTTTATGGCACTATGCCTTGTAAATTGGTGTCAGATACTGCTATACAATAGCAAGTACACCCTTTGGAAGGTCATTCTTATAGGCCTGGCTAATGCCGCAGTCTTTGCGGGGGTCCAAGCGGCATTGATCTTAACATTACAGGTACTTTAGACAAAATCTTAACTTTTGATTTTATAGGATATTTGCTAATTTAATCCAGCCATTATATGATGCCGGAAACGATACAGGAGTCTTGGTAGTTGGTATTGTTGCCAACATTCTCCTAGCAGCTGGCTTGTTGCCACCGTACGGAGAAATCTGGAAACGCAGAGGAAGAGTTATTGGGATCAATTTCATCTTTCTCTCAATGGATTGGTTCGGTGCATTCTTTTCTCTCATGTCACTTGGTATGCACTCCATCTTTTGACGATTCGGGCGCTCTTGTATCTTACTAAACTCCATCAGCTGCTCAAAACAGCTTTGACATCTTAGGTGGCGTATTATACATCGTATGGTAAGTAACCCACATCACTCAGTCAATTTAATTGTGGAATCAATATTTCCGCAATTATTCTGACTCGTCAAATAGCATAGTACTAGAAACCGGGATATTTATTTCGCATATCATCTGGTTATTCCGCACCCGCAAACTGAGGAAGGAGGCGGCATCGAACGGGAAGACTTTTGACGATATTATGGCTGAGCATGAGGAGCAGGGCATACCTTTCAAATTTTCTGAGCGTAAATTCCTAAAAAAGAATAACGAGAAGCAAAATGATGATGTAGAGATGGGCGTTACCAGAGACGATACGAAATCAAGAAGCGAGGCGCAGCAACGGTTAGACGTCGGGGATGTCCACGATCACATCCCGGCATTAGGAACCCAGGCCAAGGAAGAAGATCCATAATATTGCACATTCCGTTACTAAATAGAGCTAAATCAAAACATAAAGGTGAGATATCTTGGGGTCTAAACGCAACGCAAGCCAAATTATTCGTGCCTCATTACTGGTATCCTCCATTATTTATCGCCCAGCCCAGTTAACCCGTAATCACAAATTATCCCTCAAACCCGGTACCGGCCAAGTTTACTCTACGGACGGTCCCTTACCCTCGACCTTCAAATCCGCACCCTTACCACCATACTCGGTAGGAATCTTGTCGCCAAGGCCGGGGACTTTGCTCTCGCCGAATTCCTTGGATAGAGCTCCGCCGTTAGACATGGGATGGAACTTCTTGATGGTTTTAGGAGCGACGAACAGCTTCATAACACCGTACATGAAGCCCATGATGATAGGTACGTTGACGAAGAACTTCTCCTTAAGAAGCTCCGGATATCCCGTAGCGAAGACGCGGATGGTCTCGGTACTAGCAGCCTTGACCTGGGGCGACTGTCGTAGGAAGCTGATAGACTTGTAGTCGTGCACCTGGAAGATCTTGTAAGGGTCATAGTCAGCCGTGATGGGCTTCGTCGCTGTGGATAGTGAAAGCTCCTGCACAGCTAGCTCCATGAGCGCGACACGCCAATTGATAAATCTAAGATACGAGTTAGATGAATTCCACATATAAACAAGAAGGGATGAATACGAAGGGCAATGTGGATTTGGGGGATGTAACTCACTCTTCAAGGTTACCGAACGTCTCCTCCATAGACTTGACGCCGCCATAGATATTCCAAGTGAAGACTTCCTTAGCTTCGGGATTCTCCTCAGCAGCTTTCTCATCGCTGGCAAAATACTTGGTGACGTAGCCTAAACCCTCGAACTTAGCCTTCGAATAGCTCTTCTTGATGAGCTCTAAGGGCTGGAGCTTGGCGCGCCATTCTAGGGTCTTGGTAAGTTGTTCTTTGGCTTTGACGAGATCGCCGTCGTTGGCATTTAGGTACTTCTGTAGCACAATCTGGCTGGGAACATGAGTGGCGGGATTGGCTAGAGTGACGCCCCAAATTTCGGGGTGAGACTGAGCCTGCACGGTTTTCCAGAGCTTTTGGATGGGAGTCGTGGACTCGTCGGCTTTAGGTGCTTCCGGCTTGGGGGCTTCAGCTTTGGGAGCTTCGGGATTACTTGTTTGAGCTTCGGCCATGGCTATGAACTTTCTGTAGGTACTTTTAACGTCAAATAAGATGAATTTGAGATTTTATGTATCGAAATTGATGTTTTCCGAGGACTCGGCGATGAGATAAAAGGATTATGAAGGAAGGCAGAAAGGTAAGAGCTTCCGCACGGACATCGTGTTAAGGTGGTTGTTCGAAGCTTCCCCGATTAGGATAAGATGAACCATCTGATAAAGCAGGGGCGCGGGTAGCTGCAACCTAGTGACGTACGCCGACTACCGATGATTAACCGATGGGCTCCTACTTACGGTTTGCTTTCTAGGAACGCTTAATCAGCTACACATTTGATCAACCATATCCTTCTTCTCAAAAACATAACAATCTCAACGCATTCTATGGGCTCTTAAATATAATGAACATATGGGATATCTAATTCGCTAATGAAATAGTTCAGCTTGACCTGGCAGCTTGATACGATGACATGATGGTGCGGTCGTTATAGAGTACCCACCGAAATGTAGGACCTAAGTATCTCATGTGAGGATCAACTAAGAGACGAGATGATTCAGGGAATCTTCTATGCCAGGTTCCTCCCACAGGAAGGTAGGAAATCTCATTTTGATTTCACTGCCGTACAGTCTATTTCTATTTCATCTTAAGAAAAAAAAAACTGTCTATCCAAAGTTATTAAGTCATAGATCTCCCTCATATTTCCTCTCATCTCAATCCGCCGCTTCTCTCATTTTCACATAACCCTGTACTCACCCAACCTAGGAACCAAAATCGTAGCGCAATCACCACCAGGATGCATCGTAGCCACCACATACACACCACACCTCAAGCCGCCCCTAGTCGACTTCGACATAATCCAGGAGTACATAATCCCGCGCAAAGCCTTCTTCAACCGCTTCATGACGGTCAACTCTCCGGACAACAAATACAGCATCCTCGGCTTCCCAGTATCCATCCCAGACGAGCGATACCACCGCAACGAATTCATCTTCAACTTCGGACTAGTCGTCGAATCCGACTGCGACCAAATCCCCTATGAGCGACTCGTCCGACGTCTCGCCGTGACCTTTGCCGAAATGGAGCGGCAGCACGGGTACCTCAGCTCCGGCACCACCACGATCCCCACATGCACCCTGACCCCCGAAGACTCCGGGCGGCGGCCCATAGAATCGCTTTTAGAAATCGTCAAAGAAGACTTAAACAACTACGGCGAGTGCATGATCCCCGTCGACGACGCCAACACGCTCAACATGAAACTCTTCCCGTACCATGCCTCCCCGCCACCGGTGCGGGGATGGCACGTTCCGGTGCCGAAGATGAAGCTCGCGGACATCGTCGACGCGACCTGGGATTTAACTCTGCAGAAAATCATCCCGCACGTCGACGGCGTGAACGACGTGCGGCGCATAGCCTGGCTTGCCGATGTGTCGTTGCCGCTGACGCAGATCGCGCTGCAGCATTTACTGTATTACGACACCGTGCTTCTGCTCGATATGTTTTTCTTCGGGAGCTGTTATGCGCCGAGGCCTGGGGTGCATGATTTCATTGCGAACAGGGATGGGCTGGTCGATGAGTGTGCGGGGTATGTGTGTATCAGCAATCCGATACCTGCGGCTAAGGGAGGGAGCGGTGCGGGTGAGCCTTCCGGGGCAAGTGGTGATGGTGCGGCTATTAAAGACGCGGTTGATGCGGCGAGTGTGGCAGGGGGTCAGCAGCAGGGCGTATCGAATTACCAGCTGATTAAGCTGATGACGACCTTCTGCGCGGGCCGTAGTGTTATGGAGTGGATTAAACTGCACCAGGACTCCGGGTTCGACGTGCTGCGACATATAGACGTGCGGCGGCTAGTACAGTTCGGGGTGATCAAGGGGCTGCTGTATCGCGTACACAAGTACGTCGTATCGAAGCAGGTACTGGAATCACTGGCGACGGGACGGCGGGTCGTTCCAGGCGGCGATGACCGAGAGGAAGATTCGTTGTTAAGATATGCGGATGGGTCTCATTGTTTTGATCAGATTATCACCGAGCAGAATATGACGGATGGCGAGATCATGAAGAAGTTAAAGAGTCTGGGATCAGGAGATATGACTGTGTTCTATCGATAAGGACATTAGTCGGTGACCTGTAAGATCTTTGCGAAGTTGTAACAGAGGCCTAAATAGAAAATAGCAGACAACTATGATAACCCTGTAGATATAGGGAATGTATCACTACACCAGATATAAGCACCAAATAAAGTAGAATCAAGCTAACTTGGGATGTGTATATTGTACAGCTAAGTTACAACTAGGCTATGTCGATCCTAAACTTTTGGTACCAGGTAGGTATCTATCTGATAATTTGTGAATTTGCGACCCGTCCTATTCCTCAGGATCTCTCTCGCGCGACTCCGTTTCCTCCCAAGGTAGCTTTCTCCCTGCAAACTTATATTTTTCCAACTCCTTGTGGGTCCTCGCGAGCACTTCGTCGATAGCTTCTGTCTTACTCCTAGCTGATGGTGGTCCGCGCCGCAAGAACGGCCGTAGAGCTTGCTGTAAGATCTGCTTCGCGCGGTTTTGCGGGATATTTGGGCCGGGCGTCTCTTTGCCGTCTGACCACATCTTACTATTATCCGAATACAATTCCTCCATGCGATTTAAGACTTCACTTTTTGTATCAGGATCGTCCGTTAGACCTTCGGACTCGGCCGCCTTCTGTAGCGCCTGTCTCAACACCCGGACTCTACCCGTGCCCGGTTCGCCGGGATATATCATGCCGCTCTGTTCCCATTCCTCGTCGCTAACCATTTCGATGACCCGGACGAAGTGTTTCCCTCGTCGTAGGATCAACATCTTTTTATCTATTAGGTAATTTTGAGTGTCCTCGGTGAACCAATTCTTGACCGGTGTGAAAGCCAAGTCACCATCTCTCATAACTCGATTGTAAGGATTAGGGTTTGTACCGGGGGCACCGCCAACGTAAGCTCCCTGGTGTTTTGTTAGGCGGTGGGCATCGGAGGTGCTCTCGGCCAGACCAGCAGCAAATAGAATACGCGATATTGATTTGCCCAAAATCAAAGACCTGGGGAGCTTAATATCGATTTGGAATGCCGCAGCCAGAGAGCTCACCGCTGGGGTGTTTTTGGATGGGTATTGGGTTACTACGGTATCGCCTTTTGAAAACAGGCCTTTATGTCGGTCTTGGGTGTTTTGGGCCTCTTTCATTGAGTGTACTAGCGCGACCACCTCAAAAGCAAGTATATGCTGGGCATGGCGCTTGGGGGGATCCTCTTTATGCTTCTCTACGATCTTAGTAATCTCTTCCAGGGGAAGGAAAGTAAAGAGCTTCAGTAATCTCTCAACATCATCATCCGGGCGTCGCATCCAGTAGCCGTATAGGTCGAAGGGGCTTGTCATAAACGGGTCAAGCCAGATGGCATTGCCAGCAGACTTTCCAAATTTATTGCCAGCGGAATCGGTCAAAAGAGGAGTGGTAAATCCGACGGGATTATTCAAAAGATCGTCAGGGAACGCCTCAGGCGTATTGGAGTAGCTGTCTCGTATGTATTTGAGCGATTCCACACCAGAGACGATATTCCCATATTGATCAGAGCCACCAATCTGCATTCGAACACCGTTTCTTTTAAACAGCATCCAGAAGTCCCAAGCCTGTAGCAAGGGGTATAGGAGTTCATCGAGCGACATACCCTCCCCCTTTTCCATCTTGTTCTTGACGGTCTCACGTGAGAGCAAAGTACTTAATCGCACTTTACGGAAAAGCCGACCGGTGATCTCCGTAAATGGCAGACTGCTGTACCATATTGAGTTGTTATAGAGAGCACGGCTCCAGACTTTATTCTCTTTTTCGTACCCGTGACGCGCGGCCATGGTCTCAAGATTAATCCATAGACGCTTTAATTGATAATGTGCCTTGGTGATGTTCCTACTTATATCAGCTGAACTCATATTTCCACGACTTTTTAACCGGCCCGTAGGATCACCAATTTTGGCTGTGGCACCTCCTATTAAGCTGATAACTTTGTAGCCGTTTATGTACATCCAGAAAAGGGGCATCAGAGGTAGTAAGTGGCCGATGTGGAGAGATGCTGCGGTAGGATCGATTCCGACATAAGCACCTATTCTTTCACGCCTCATAAGCTCGCTAATTTGTTCATCGGTTCCGGCGATATCTTTAACGTAGCCACGCTCTTTGAAGGTATCCCAAAGATGTGGCAGCTTTCCCTCTCTAATCAACTCGGCTCGCTCATCCCAACGCCTTGCGGCCTCTTCCCGTCTTGCTAAAACTTTTAGAGATATACATCTAGTCTGTTGTCGTCTTCCAGCAAAGGATTGTAAAAGGGATCTTCGGCAGAGTGTCGACGACGAGCCGTAGACACTCGGGAAAGGTATCCCGCGCAGCATCTTGATATGCGGCGCAACGGCCGGAGTGCAATTGTTGATGGAAAAGTAAAGATTGAAGATGTACAATGGGCTAAAAAGAACCCCTTTGATCTAGATTTCAAAACATATCTACCTCTTGACGGGAGGTATCATATATGTTCTCTTGGTGAAGACGGGTAGACATTGAAGCTTCTGCAAACTGAAAACCGCAAACTGAAAACTTGAACAGTTCAAAAACGAAAGTTTTAGTGGGGCTTCTGTACAACCCACTCCTTATCAGTTTATGGCCGACACTGATAAGGTACCTGGGTACTTCTCATCTAATCTACAGATCTGCTCCCCAAATCCTCATTACATAATACAGAATCCACATATTTCCCGGCCAAACACAACCAATCACAAGTAACTTATTTGTTCGGTCCTCGGCAATTAAACCCAAACCTTTGATCAAATGCATCATCGTCACTTTTCTCAATTCTCAATCTAGCTATTTTCTCCCTCCCCTCGACAAGACCATTGAATCAAGGAAATCTAGAGCTAGAGGAATTGTTAAAAGCCACAATCTTCGACGAAGATCTCTCCCCTCTCAATGGCCTCCATAATCCGCCCGACGCTGCTTCGGCAGACAGCCCTAGCCGCTTCGACCCGGCGAGCCGCAACCGCCACCTTTTCCAGCAAGATGATCCGACCTACGATCGCGAACGATGTCGCGCGCATTGCCGCCTTCCATGCTTCTAGCCGAAGAAGTCTATTACCTCCAGGGCCTCGTATGTTACATCATCGCATTACAGTTGAAGCCGTGTCAATATGCTAACAGAATGCGCGCGCAGAGGTGATTAAGGGAACCGGTATGCGCTTCTTTATTCCCCGTCGACCGATATATCCCGAGTAGATTATCTAGCACAGAGAGGCCAAGAACAACAACAACAGACCCCAAAAGACTAACATACCCGTATAGTCAACGACCCAGCGCCTGTCCCGCATGCAAGCCCCACCCACGGCTCCTACCACTGGACCTTCGAACGCCTCGTCGCCGTCGGCATCATCCCCTTAACCGTCGCGCCCTTCGCCGGTACATCATTAAACCCAGGTTTAGACGCGATTCTCTGTTCGCTACTCCTAGTTCATTGCCATCTTGGCTTCCAGTCCGTTCTAATCGATTACATTCCCACTGGACAATACCCGAAGTCCCGCAAAATCTCTATGTGGCTCCTCAACGCCGCCACTGCTCTAGCCGGTATTGGTCTATACGAGTTCGAGACCAATGACGTTGGGTTAACCGAAGCCGTGAAGAGAGTTTGGAAGGCTTAGATCGGAGAAATGGAGATGGAATGAATATAGGTCTAATCAGGCCAATACAGCGACGGGCACAACATAAGCAACGACAGCAATTGAGAAGATATCAGTAGTACCAGGAGATGAAGAAAAGGGTGTAATCATGTGTAAAGCTACACATGTAGCACAGCACCATGGATTCCTTTGTGTTGGGTGAAGCGCGTTGCTAGGAAGAGTTCGGACTAGGTCCCAGAAGCAAGGACTACTAGCAGCTCATCCGTGTATGTACGACCAGTTTATATATAAACTTTCATCAACCTGTTATATATATCTATGTGTCTGATGATTATGGTACGAGGCCTGGGATGAAAACCGTGCCTCATGGACCGAGCTTCTTCGAGGCCCCAGCTTCTTATCCAAGACCCCCGTCCATACTAATCTCTTTGGAAATACGTCAAAGACACCGCATGAAATCATATCACTCAAGCCAAACCCAAACGCCAAAAGTATCACCGTGAATAGCCTACAGCACAACTACCTACACGGATAGCCAGGCCACCCCCTTATTCTGTACAAGGGAACCACATCCAGTCAGTCTTACTCCCCTAATGGTCATCAGCACTCCCATCCCTCTTCGCAAACCTCGCGCCAAGGCCGCCTATATCCCGTCTAAAGAACTTCCCAAAGTTCTTTAGATTCTCGTTGATACTCGCCGCATTATTTCCCGTCCCGCTCCCACTTCCGCCACCACCGCCCTCCTCGTGCCCGGCCGGCGTTCCTATCCTCTCGACGCCATCTCTAGCCGCATTCAACAATTTCTCGCCTAGACTCGCAGCATCGAACCTTTGCGCGGCGGTAGATAGTGCGGCAGCCGGACGGTCGATGCTCATGAGATTCAGGTTCCCGGTCCCAACACCTACGCCGCCGAGTCCAGGGGCTGTCATAAGCGGAGTAAGTAGGGGGCTCTGCGCAGCGAGCTTAGAGCCTGCGCCAGGCCCGTCGCGGTGGATACCGAATAATTCCATGAGGTGACCCTGGTCCTGCTTTCGGATACCCTTGAGTTCGAGGACCTTGCGGAAGTTGGTGTCGGAGCGGTCGGCTATGTGGATCAGGTACGCCTGAACGAGGCCTTCGGGTGGGCTAGGGCGGACCTGGAGGGTCTTGAGGAGAGGGTCGATGCGCGTCATTGTTGCGTTGACGCGCTTGACGAAGCCTGCTGGGGGGACGTACGGCTGTGGGGGTTGTGATGAGGATGGGTTATGGTGCGAGAGGAGGGTTTCCAGGGCTTTGGTTAGGACGTATTTGTCTAGTAGCATTTGCTCGGCGCCGACTTCAGAGATGGGCCTACATTGGACGATAGTGATGATGTATGTATTTGCTAGATGCTCCACTAGCTTGTCAGCGAAGGCGCGTGCGTATTGCTGCTTGACTACGACGGCAAGAATTTCCTCTGTCTTAGCATTGATGTGTGTGACTAGCTCGCCGACATAAGAGCTCTGGTCGCCAACGCTTTCCATCTTACTCCAGTTCGTATTTTTCATCTCGCGCCAAGCACCTTCACAATGTGCCTCAACTTTGTTAACCAAGGCTATAACTGCGGCGCTGGCCACGCCCAAGAACGCATCGGCCTGTGATGATAAATCTACCTTCGATACAAACTCATTGTCGATTCGTTTCCTAATATTCTCTTCGAGCTGTCCTGTGTTGGCATGCCAGAAATCCGCGGTGTTCAATACTAGAATTATATCATGGAGAGATGTCCCTGTCTGCGTAGGTCTCTGCAGGATCGCAAGTAGCACTTGTTGCGCATATTCGTCTAGATATTTAGCTAATATCTTCGCCAAGTCCAACAATCGTTCGCTTGTCGAAAGCTTAGCGCACTGGGAGAGGGTAAGTTTGTAAAAGTGGAAGAGCTCGATCGCAGAACTAATGACGGCTTGTGTAGAGAATTCTTCGTCGGCAGGTAGTAGGGGCTGGGCTTTGTATCTAGGCATCATAGCTGCCAGAGCCTTGTCTTGGGATTCTACCCATAGACTAAGATATGGTTCGAATGCGACGGATATTGACCCGTTAAAGCTCTGTGTCCTCTCATCCGCTGAACTAATTGTGTCGATACTCGCTCTCGGCTCATTAGAAAACCTCCGTTCAAGAGTCTGTTCAAAGTCCATGGTCTCTTGAAGACAACCCAGTAGCAGGTTAACATCGATCTTAGCGCCGCCCATAGTTCTCATGCTCTTCTCTAGGATGCCCTTGTAGTCGTCTCGCGTGCCGTCGCAGAAAGCCATAGCGAGAGTCTCGCCAACCCTCCAATGCGGTGGGAAGATGCCAGAGTGTTCTTCTTCATAACCCTTCACCATCCTCTTGAACCACGCATATCGTCTTCCGATATTGTCCAAACTGCCGGCCTCGTCGTTGCCCCTGAAAACCTGGCGGTACTCTCTTAGCTCAGTATTCACATACCACGTCACTAATCTTGCCCTCGCATTTTCTCCAAGCGCATCCATGACTCCACAAGCCTCGACCAGCGTCGCCTTCCTAGAGCCAACTTCTCCTTTGGCGAATGCTATCTCGAAGTCTTCGCATACTTGTTCCAGCAGCTCCCTCTGTAGCTCGCCGACGCCTCGGCTCAACGTGGCAATTTGGTCGATGCTTCTGTAGCTGTTGAAGTGGCGCATGAGCTGTAGCACAGCCTGTAGCAAGCTGGCACACTCTCTATACTGTCTTGTCTTAGCCAAGCCCCTAAGCTGTTCGTACGCTGTGGTCAACATTTGTAGGCGCTTCAACGCCGTCATGGACAGTGTGAGGTTCCGTTTCGTGCCATCTAGTCGCTTAATGTCGGCAGTCATAGATGTGATATTCTGCTCGGTCTGTATAGCGCGCGAGCGCACTGTCTCGATCTTCTTAAAGAGACCTGCTAGCTCGGCCTGGGCGGATTGCATGCGTTCGAGGGAAGAGTCGGGGCCGTAGGCCTGAGCTGTCTGTAGGCTCGAGATCTCGGCGGAGAGTTCATTATGTTGGGATTGTAGTGTTGAAGATACTCGACTTATGGAGGATACGGTTGAAGGATGGGAAAAGAGAAGGTTGAGATGCTGAATAGGGTTATAGTAAGCTAGCCTTATATGTTAGCTACCTAGTCAGGAGATTCATTTCCTATATGGTCTATATGGACTATATTGAAGCCGATATGACCAGATTTAGGGAGAAGAGGATAAACTTACCATCATCTAAGGACGGCGGCTCAGATGCGATGCCGTTCATCTTAAGCAGTACAAAGCAGTGTTATACCATAGCATCAGGTCGTTCAACAGTTCCAAGCTTAGTTGTCATCATCTAATTGGGAGAATTGTGAGCTAAGAATCTAAGACAGATGATGAAGCTCGAGCGTCGCGTACGTACCTAGGTACCTTAGGTAAGACGAGTTAATTGACCGGGGCAGCAGGGATTGAAGGTGAAATAGATTGTCACGTGCCAGTATTTTATCGATAAAAGGTGTACATTCTTCACCTTAGTCACCTTTCTCCACCCTGCAGCTACGGGATGGTCCGGACCAATTAAAAACATGATCACTTTAACTTCATTTATCACTTCGGTGAGACAACCAATGGAATTCATCACCACATTTATATCTTACGTTATGCCACCCGGAGTTATACACCCAGGTACTTCTCTTAATAATCGAAGACCTTTATGATCTACCGAAGATAATGATCGATTCTTTCTCATTTGAACCATTGAATCCCAATTCCCCGACTCTCCGGAACAGCTTCTTTAACCCCCTTAACTATCACAATTCAGATGCAACCTTTCAATTCTCCCTATCTATACACCTTCACCTAATGATTCCGAATGCAAAATAGAAGTATTTCCTAATATTTTGGGTATCAGCCTGTTCTCGCCGTTCTCATGATCTCCCGGTGATATGTGATGCCCCCCAAGGCCCCCAGGTTAAACGACAGTAGAAAAAGAAATCAAGATGTCTAATCATCCAATGACAACTCCAACTCTTGAGTGATGCGAAGTGATGCAACGCAATGCAAGCAATGATGTTATAAAACCCGATCGTAAATGCAAGAGCCCCATTCAATATCAAATTAACGCCAGGAAATTTGCAATCAAAACCACTTCAACTCCGTTCCGTTCGTAGACATGCTGTTTCCGTACGATCACGAGCTATGCAACGCTCGAAACCCGGCCGCGATCAGACTTCGGGACTTCTCTCGAGAATCGGCTGGTCCGCTCCAGTAGAACAAGCCCTGGAAAATACGAGTTAGAGAAACCTAAGAAAAATAGTGTAGATGCCAATGTTTCAAAAAGGGGTAAGGTGGAAGGGTATACGGAAAACAGAAACTCACGCCAAGTCCTTTCTGCTTGCAATATGCCGCCTTCATCTTCACCGTGTCCGGATTATCGTACGTTACGAATCCCCCGTCGCCTCCAACGCAGCTCGCAGCCACTACCCGCTTGTCCACCGACTCCTTAGCATTCTTCCTCGGCAACGAGTGGTATTCGAACGCGCCGTCCTCGCCTCCATTACCTTTATGTCTATGTCCCGGTCCGCTCACGCCGAGGAAACTCCGTCCGTAGAGTGGAATACCCAATAGAATCTTTCTAGCCGGGCAACCGTGGCCCACGAGATACGACACGCCAGACGAACCGGAAGCCTCGTCCTTGTTCATCGAATACAGTTGGGCCTGGTGTCCGCTCCTGTGAGTCCACGGTCCGCAAAAGTCGTATGCCACAAGATTGACGAAATCGAGGTAAGCAGCGGCCTGCGCGATGTCGATATTCTGCAGCGTCACGCGGGTTGCCGGAAGACCCGCCGTGACGAAAAATTGCTCCTCCGGAAGGTGGATTCGCACGGCAGCTAGAAGCGCGACGAAGTTGGCGCCTTGCTGAGGGTCCATTGGATATTGCCAGTTAACTAGCTCGGACAGTTTTAGTCAGTTTCTCACGTAAAAAATTTTTTAACGCACGATGTGGGGAGGGAGGGAAAGAGAGAAACGGAGATGGGAGAAAAAGGGGAAATTCGTACTGTCGATTCCGTCCAAGCCAGACGCCTCCACTAAACCGCGTGCAGATCGCGCAAAGTTATCTCGCAGCAGCGTGTCCGAGGCGACTATGGGGAAATTCTCGTTCGATGGCCCGCCGCCAATCGACAGGGTCACCTGCAGATGCGGGTGCTTCTGCTTGAGATGCATGAGCGATCCAAGACCTCCTTGAACGCCGTCGCAAGGGGCCTGCGTATCTGCCCACTCGTCGCTTAGCTGGACTCGAATATCAGCATTCCGGCTCCTGCAACCTGAAACCGCGGAACATGCAGCTCGAGGCAAACAAGTCGACTCACAAACACGGACCCGTCCGCTGCCACGTTGGCGAATGCGTAATACACGTGGTTGACGCAGCTGTAGTTCATCATGCCAGGCGTAGCGCCGTTGTAGATTTTTAAATTCGGGAAATATACAGCGTTCGTGAACATCACGTTCGATGTGCTAGCGGCCTTCCGCCTTCGGGACGAGGACGAGCTCATATTCATCGATCCGTTCTCCGTTCTTCCGTAGTAGAAGAAGATATTAACGAGACGGTTAACTCGAGTTAGGGCGCGCGGTCTGGGAGGAGTAGAGGTCGATTTATGTCAAGGAACAACAACAGGGATACCAATAATTAAAGGGATATAGAGGTTCAAGACGGTACATGTTGAAGGAGTCTCCGTGATATAGCTGATTAGTACAAAGTATTAAGAGACTTGCATTCGTTGTCTAAAAGAACCACTATTAAAGCCCAAAGCGACCAACCTGGTGTGCGATATTGTCATATATATGATAACCTTGATAACTCTGGCGGTCTCCCGAGCGCGGGAGCGGTGGAGAAAGGCGCAACATCACCAAAATTTTGCCTCAAGGGGACCGTCCAGGTAGATATGTATTTGGATATCCTCACGGAGATCGTTCCTTGGGCTATTCATGCATGACATAATTGCGACGGGGATTATTACAGATAAAAGGTCGCTCTATGGCTGTTTGGTCAGCTCAGGCATGAGAAAAGGAACCAGTAGTAAATGTTCGCCAGCCTAGCAAGGCCCGAATAGAAAGGACGGGGCCAGATTAGGAGTTGGAAATTCCATCAGCTCATGATGCCTCGAAGGATACAGGCTGGAGTTACTTAGAAGGTACCTCATAATATTAGGCATGCAGGTAGGTAGGGGGGGAAAGATATGGGCCGGCGTGTCGCGGGTTGGCGCGTGGGGAAGGGGTTAGCCCGTCTGCTAAACTAGCAACGGCCCATAGCATAGTAATAAGGGCCCTCCAGGTTTGATTACCTGCCTCGAAAGGGAGGAATAAGCCGATTTTCCTTTGGGCTGATGATTCTAATGGCCATTTGATAGAGAGTGGGGCTTAACAATGTCGTTGTCAACGGAGAGAAGACGGGAGTCCGAGTGGCACTATCTACCTTGTATATCTACCATGTTGCTCGAGTAGGTACGTAGCTTGTCATACGTTCACCAGACGTCTCTCTGCATATCCTGTACATACAGCACAAACAGGTAACAGACGCGGTGGCTTCTCCTTGGCGGGAGTCGGTCGATCATGACCTCTCCAGGTATGCAGAGGAGTCGGACACTGGTAGAAAAGTGCCACGACTTCAAATTTGACCATGAGCTGGCCAATATTCTGCGAGCCGGATTCCGTTTATGAAAAAAAAGTTTTCTGTTGGCCTTGAATCATCCGTTTGGAATTCTCCGCCCAATCAACCTAAACTTTTCCCAGCCGGGGGCAGGATCACTTGTGGAGCGCGGGATGGATACAAAAAGTTTCTACAACGTAGTATGTAACGTTTAGGCGAGCCTGATGAGGATCATTGAAGTACCGAGGCAGGACTCTCTCGATATGTATTATACATGGCATGGGAAAAGTGAAATGCTATAAGAAGCTTGGTAGACGACCCGGTTGCCAAGAACGTACGAGGGTGCAGTTAATGAAGCGGGTACATGATATACCAAGCCCATTATGCGTTGCCTTAACAGAGGTTCCAGTGTCTATCGACTGTGAAATGGGAACTGATAAACATGGGCGGACCGGGATGCCGGAGAAATCTCGCCCTACCTTGTCCCGAGCAACGGACTATCACACCTTGTCTCTAAGTATCGTAGCTAACTATAGCTGGCTTGATTTTGGACATCCTGAAGTTGGGAATAGGATGCTCAGAAGTTTTCGATTTATTATCGCGTAGATGATGCCGAGGAAGTCTACGTACTTCAAACGTCATCAAGGGACCTAAGGGTCCATTGCCAGGGGAAGAAAAAGATCTAAACAATTTAGTTGCAGTTGCTCTAATAAGCTAGCCCCCAAATACATATGTATGGATACTGGGATGCCATGTGTCGAGGTTTGGTTCAGCCTCCTTGTCTCATTGTAGGGGTCTTACTTGTGATGTTCAATAAACGTGCAGAAGGCATGAATATCTAGCAAGCGATGCTAGTAATCTGCAAAGTACATATCAGACATTCATCCCGAAACAATCCTAGCCCGTAGAGTATGTATTTTGGGTGTTGGTATAAAAATTTGCCACAGAGGCGGCATCGGGAGTGCTAGGACTTAAGAGGAGGTGGATGTGGACTTTCAGATGCGACGGTGAGACAATAGCTCCGACTTGCCTATTCAGGGTGATTTCCAATATCTTAGTCTTTATGCCGACCTCGTCTTGGGATGTGCCCCAAACACGTCGAAAGCTTCGAGAAGCTCGCCCCGCCCGTTCTAGGGTACTAGTTGGACGGTTAAGAATATTAAGAAAGTTGGCTAGGTCAAGGAATAACCTTGGACAGATCGTCCCCTGTCTCGGTCCGTCATATTATGACTATCCTGATTGGCGACACCTGTGCAGTAGGAGGACATGTTTAGGCGAGCTAAAGCAAGTAGGCTAGCTGTATATGATCGAAATGACGCATCCGGGGTGCATGGGAACCAAGTCGGCACGACCGAGACGAGGGAATGTGAACTCTTCAAAGAAGTTATCCCGACCGGATTGATAACACGGACGGCAGGGCGTCCGAGCCTGCAGAGCCTGCAGATGCCAGAAGCAAAGTTCCAAGATGTGAAACATTCTGTTATGTAGATTATTATCTACTTAACGTTAGAGGGCCAATATTACATACATACATCCCGCTCCTCTTCTCCTCACGTTGTGGGGAATTTCAACCGGAGTGCGAGAACTATCAAATAAAAAGTTGGAGTCGAGTATGAACATCATTTCCACAGAAAGCCCAGCTGATTGTAAGCCTTACTTTGCACCGGAAAGGCAAATGAGAGACTGGTGATCGGAAAATCGTCATAGATGTGGTTCTTTCAACTCCCAACATTATTATAGCTTACGTAGTTGTAGGAATCAGAATAAGGTACTACGCCGTATAGTTAGTGATGTGGCCAGCGCCATCCTGACCGTCGTAGGGCCGTCACGACGCTTCGGCGAACGAGATCCGAACCCACTTGGCATTCCTTAGCTCTATTTCCAGGACACCGGGACGTCTCAGTGCCACGCTAAGCCAGAAACTGCCTTGTTCCAGTTGATTCAAATATGACAGGTCAGATAGATGTCTGATCAGGCTACTAGTAGCTCCATAGGTCTCACCGAGAGGCAAAAAGGGCTGTCGGTTCGATGTATACCCAAGCAGGTGTCCTGTCTAGGCTCTAGGCTCTGGGTGTCTGGACAAACATGGGGTCCACTTGGACTCCAATGATATTCTCATGCCGAGTGAGACAGGCATAACCTGGATAGCTAGGTCCAGAATGTCCGAGAGGTCCGTTGTAATGCCCCTTGTGAAGCCAAGTTGTTAACAACAATGATATTTTTATAGACGAAAAAATACATCGTCAGTATAGTCCCTTGCATAGTACGGTAACATCACAATATACCTAGCGAACAAAATAACTAACTACGAATTATTATTCTCCGAAGAAGCTCACCAGACAAATTTTGAGAATGATTTTTGTTGCCCTTCCCTCTCTCGGACTAGACTTGGGGCAAGGCCCTCGGACGGCTAGACGTGGCTGCTGCGTGGCGTCAGTAGTGCAGGCTATACTCCTATTCATCAAGATCGGCTTGGCATACTAAAAAGGGACTTTGCGAGCAGCCATCGAAAGCGATCCCCTCATCTCTTCAATATTTGCCTATAGCTGCAAAGGGAAATCGCTGCCGATTTTTATCGAGAAACAGGAAATACCATGGAATTCTCGAGAACCCCCTTGGCCCGGGAAGTGCCACGGATGACGATCACCAGATAGCCCAATGGAAGAGAAGCACGCTAACGCAAGCAATAGCATCATCACCATTCGGGTCTAGCCGTATTTTGTTGAGCCTCCACCTGAAATGCTAGATGACAATTGGTTGGGGCGTGACAGGAGTCGATGGTGGGTTGAATACTACCGTGAAGTATGGCATGTTAATAACAGCGTCTCATTGCGACCTCCGCCTGCGCATCTCATCACGGATATAAAAATTGCATCTGTCTCGTATGAGCAAATATAGTAGGTACGGAGTTAATCTCAACAGTTAGTTCAAAAGTTCTTCCTTCTGGCTCGCCGACCTCCCGCAAGTTACAACGATTATTCTACCGAGCTTCCATATCTAGGCTGGTCGTACGGAGCATTACTACGTCTCGTCTCGTCTCGAATCATACAGTATGGGCAGGTCCGGTCCGGCAGAGCGTTTAGCTAGCTACCTCGCAGATGACAGGAAAGAAACCGGAGACAAAAGGACACAAGGAAAAGGAAGTTGGGAAGAAAAATAAAGTTTTGCATAAGAGATGCTGCCGAGATCTTCGCTTACGCCGATACGAATGCGCCGCATGCACCCCTGGTTTGGGTTTTGCCGAGAGGTACCAACACATACCTACACACACACACCCCGCAACAGCTTCCTAGATCTGTTAGGTGTAGTATGAATGTATTCCCTGGGCAGACGACACGCTGTACGTAGGATCTGGTTATGATTGATGTCGATCCGCGTATTAGCGCGCGACAAAGCCTTGGGTTTAAGAACAGCGCGTCTAGTGAGGCTGCAGTGAGGCGAATCCGAGTAACATCGACTTATAGGGATCGTCGGGTCAGTATATTAAGCGAACGAAGTCATAGCCGCCGAGAAACACCGAAAGTATGATGACCGAAGGAGGGCCGCTGTTGCCTGTCGCCGAATAGACGGGTCCCGGGGAAAGAAGTAAAATCGGGGAGCCGGGAACGGTAACAGTGCTATCATCGGAAGCTAGGGTAGGTAGTCACGGTGTAGCGGGCCCTGAAGAGTAGCAAATTTGTCAAAAAACTTACGATGAAGACGGTAGATTGAATCTATTTTCATCATCTACGATCCGATTACGAATCCTCTCAAAAAGATTACTCTATCGTGAGAATATTAGCTCACAGCAAACACGAATATCTGTCGATCCACTAGGCCCGCGGGTGTAAAACAACGAGCGTATGAAAGTCCGCCGCTTAGGAATCTGCCGCGTCATATCCTCAAGCTCCGGACAGATTCAGACGGGAGCTGCCTTCTAGCTAGGTTGACTGAGATGTTATCAAATTCTATTTGAGCTGCGGGAGGATTCGGTGAGAGTATCCGTAGACTATGGTAGTTTCCGAGTTGGAGCTATAATACCGAAAATAATTGCAAGGTCCTAGGTCCGGAGAAAATACGTAGCGCGGTACTTGCAGCTACATATGCCATATTAAGACAGCTGTTCGTGTCACTGTTCTATCAATAGCATCGCCTAAAACACCAACATGTGATTATGTCGACAACTTTATAGAGACCAAATACAGCGGCCGGACATTAGTTTGAGTCCTGATCTGGTAGACCTGAAGTACCGCCAAGACTGACTATCCCTGATATGGTAGTTAAAATGCTGCTGCTTTTAAAATGTGGGCTTCATGAGCGATCATTACGTAAGTTTTTGATCAAATATCATAAAGCAGCGATTGGAAAGTTGCTATATTGGGTATAGCTTATACCTAATAGAGAATAGCTTAATCTGTATCTTAGCGGTACTTCAGGTTTATCAGATCAGACTCAAACTAATGTCCGGTCGCTGTAAGTTATACTTCAGTTGCATGTTTTTGAGGATAAGAGTTTAAGGGACCTAGACCTAGACCAAGTATCATGTTCCTAACCGAGATATCACTAACATCTGAATACGACGAGAAGAAACGGATAATTGCCAGAAATAGAATAACGAACTTACCTAATACGAGAAAGAAACAGATGACGAGTAGAATGCATAATAATTATAGATCTTAGCCAAATGGATATTTCAAGCCGTTGGAAAAATGAGTTGTGAAAGACTACACGTCAGTGGCGTGTCTAGAACACCAACACCCCCATGATGCGGAAGCTTCAAGGTCAAACCTCATAGACATTACCTATAAAAAGATTATCATGATTAAGGGTACCACCCAATAATCACTCACACATCACTCATAATCACTCAAACCCGGAATCTCTGACTAAAAGACCAAAATCACATAAACACAAGCAACAAAGTCAAACTCAGCGATGAACAGCGCGTATCATTACCGCACTAGCTATTATAGAAGGATGCGATGCAAGTTGCTGTTGCAAAAGCAAGTCTTGACGCAAGCATTGATTGCCAAGCCATCGTCCATCCGTGTCCTCCCTCCAGCAGTCGCAAGGAGAAAAAAAGAAGAAGCCCATCCTATTCATGCCTGCTCGGAAGGATATTTAATGTGGTGTCGTGTGATGTGTAATGTGTATGTGTTCGGTCGTTCAGTCGTCGTGTGTCGAATTTCGGCGTCGTCCGGCAATAGATAGATAGTTCCACAAGAAGCAAGAAGCATTTGGCCCTCTCCCTGGTGGCGAAGAAGAAGGATCAACCATGCTATATGTTCCACCCCAACCCCGTAAGAAGAAAAGCCTATCGTTTACAATGAATTGTGCGAGTACTCGAGCGGTGGAAGAGACGGGGATAACCGCTTCCTTTTTACGAGTTTAGGAGGTGCTCGACGGCACCTTGTACGCTTCCTCCGCTTCGTCGTAGCGCCGCGACGTTTCGGTCGAAGTCGTAGAAGCCCATGTCGTTGAGTAGTCGAAGCTGTTCCGAGTAACGTTCCTCCGGGGGTCGAGTGTCGGCCGGGGGAGGGGCATGAGCGGTACCGGGGGCAGGAGAACCGGAAGGTGATCCCATACCCAACATCTGAATCATCTGTTGTAACATCTCAGGCTGTACAGGAGGCATCTGGCTAAAGGGGTTAGCCCCAGCGCCGGCTCCAGCCCCAGCTCCGCCTTCCGCTGCTGCACCTCCAGCAGGAGCCCCGAATAGGCCCGAAGCACCGAGTAGACCGGCAAAGGGATTAGGAGGAGGATTGGAGGCATTCTGGGTGCCAGCTGTTTGACCCTGGGTCTGACCTTGACTCTGAGTGGCATTGGTGGTACCAGTTTCAGTTTGCGCGCCGCTTGCAGCTGGAGTCGCATTCGTGCCAGTCGCCCCTGAGCGTTCTGCAGGTGCTGCAAATGGGTTAAAGAGACTGCTAAAGGGGTTAGCACCTGCACCGGCACCGGCACCAGGAGCGCCAGGTGCCTGAATACCACTCCAGAGTGCCGGGTCGAACAAATTGGGTTGACCGCTGGCGTTCTGGGCACCGCCGTTGTTATTTCCCGAAGCACCATCGCCCGAAGGCGGATTGGGAGTGTTGTCGGTCACTCCAGGCATGGGAAAGGCGTTCTGCGCAGCCTGACGACCACCTAAGACTCGCTGTAATCGCGCCGCACCTCGTAAAGCCTCGGGGCTGGTCATCATATGACGGAAGAGCGGCGATCGCACGATCTCGCGAGCGTTGGGGTTGTTTCGCAGCATGGGGTTCGACTGGATCATCATCTCGATGAAGGCGTCGTTGTTCATCATTTCGTTCATCTGCTGCGCAACGTGGGGATTGCTAAGCATGTTGGCCAGCTGGTCCTCGTCCATCATGGAACCGACCATCTGTGAATGGGTAATTAGCTTTGAGCTCTTCAGTGCTAGTTAAGTAGTACTAGAGGTATGCATATGTAATAGACACAAGGTGCTGGTGTTGACTTACACCTCCGTCGGGACCAAACATGTCTGCTGACGGCAAGCCTGTCAAGCCAGCATATCTTGCGCCGGTTAAACCTGCTAGAGGGTTATTCGCAGTACCCGCCGCCATGTTCGTAGGAATCTGAGGCGCGGCAGGAGTAGCAGCGGCGGTGTTGGCCGGAGCAGGAGTAGGGTTGCTAGCGGCGCTCTTGACTAAGTGAACGGTATTGCCACTCTTGATCTTGTAGGTGCTCAACGGCTCCTCATTCTTCATGACACGACCGGAGTAGATCAAGCGCTGTCGTTCGATAGGGATGTTCTCAAATTCTTCGCCTGCAAGCTTGGTCTTAAGGTCGGACACTGTAGCCGTCTCGGCCATGGTGATAGTGTGTTGAGTGTCGCCTGAAGTTTTCACCTTGAAGGTGACTTGAGGGTCAGAGCTACCCTCGGCTGAGTCGGCCATTTTCGGGATTGTCGATCGATTGGAAGTAGTGGAAGTAACTATTCGGCGATGGCAACTTGACGATTGTTAGTGTTATAACTTGGGAGGTAGTGGGTGAATTGAAGAGGAATGATTCGCGTAACGATGTTGAAATGAGATTGGGGGAGAAAAAGGGAAAGCCTAACTAGTTGACGGAGGCGACGAGATGCCCAGATAGTTTGGTTTCGGGCGAAAAGTGATTGGTGATTGGAGGATAGATGAGATGGAATAGATGATACGAAATGTTGGCCGATGATGATTGTTCAGAGGTCAACTGGTACTACCTAGACCCCCTGCCAAAGAACATACGTGGGGCAATCGGCTGAGTCCGATTATCGAATGTACTAGATCATAACTAAAATCTACTTACCTTGGTGGTGTTTAAGATTAGATGTAGCTGGAGATGTTCTCTGCACGTTTCCAGGTCAGCAGATGAGTAACGGCGACTTTCAAAAAAGAAATCGGCGCAGGGGAGAGAGAAAAAGATGTTTAACGAGAAGCGATGGTAACGCCGAAGAATTAATAAAGAAAAATGTGTTAAGTGCAAAATGGGCGTCGGGGATGACACTAATCATTAAGAATCGTGTAAATAATTCGGAGGTTAGGTACCGTTTATGTACCGCTGTTAAGACGATCAGTACACCGTCAGCCTTGCGGGTAGCCCCTCGATAGACAAGTGACACTACCTGCTAGGTACACTACCAGGCAGTGACACCACTCTAGCGCCTCTAACGTCGTTGCTTCTTTCACCGTCCATAACCTTCCAGCTCTGCCTTCCGTCCTTCTGTCATTCTGACCTTCTGACCTTCTGATACTAGCCCTGGGGATTTGTCGCTAGGGAAACTTCGACCATCCATACCTAGTAGCAACACAGTCATGTTTCCATGCACCTATTACTAATTGCTGTATTTACTAGTTAAGAAATCGCGGGTTAGCCTCCGGTCCCTGCAGCTCTTATTAAGTAATCCTTTTGGATTTAAAATGACCCTGATATGGGGGGCTTTCTTGCCCAGGCACTCACTTTACCTAGTACAACACCAACACCAGCACCAACATCCACGACATGGAGGGTCACTCAAGAAAACTACCAACGCATCAATTCCCTACGTCTTTTGCTAATAGTCAATATTCGTTTAGAGATGAAGCTATCTACATTGCAAATATGATTTAGTTTCGAAACGTTGGCATTTGCTACTAGTCCATCCGGAGTAGGAAATCAAACAAAGGACAATCTCATACGGCCAAAATCGAAATCTTGGTACCTTGCTGCATTGTGCAATCGCCAGCGAACCGGAGTTCTCTGCCAAGAAGGGGGGTGATCAGGTTCGGGAGGCCTAGCTCTTGCTCGAAACTTCTTGGATCGTCACATTGATAAGATATAGAGCTTCGTTCGATGACTCTGGTGAGTGATGAGGGATATCGCGAGTACATTATAACAATTCTAGCACCGAGATTCTGGATCGCATTGTTCACTAACGATGGTTTTATGTATGCTTACCTTGGTGTATTAAGAAAGTGGAATCTTACAGTAAATCACAAAATATATGGGTCTATCGCGATTTGTCATACCCAGTAAATTGTTTCAATCCTTCCGAAACCCGTCAACTAACTCACTTCGAAATCGATTATATCTCACCCGCATTTATCTTCAATTCGCCGCATTCGAATGAATGAAATGTCACAATGAATCCTACTCACGACAATTTAGTGCCTACGCTTATCGAATACACCTTGGATGATTCGAACCTTGAAATTGGATGTCCTCTTGACAATGGACGACACTTGATTCATCCTCGGAAGTCACTGGGCCAGCTTGATATGCTCCCTCCTGAGCTCATCGCCGAGATACTTCTCTCGCTTGACCTACCAACATTAACTACCTTCAGGCGAGTTAACTGTCGGGCGATGTGCCTAGTCGACTCTCTGCCCCAATATCGGTTGATATTCGAGCAATGCCCCAACGTCCTCCGCGCAATCATATGCGTCGAGGCAGCTTCTTTCGATTGCCGGACCCTATTCGAAACGCTTTCCACCAGAAAGTGCGGGACGTGCCCCCGGTTCGGTGTCTATCTCTATCTCATCACTTGCAAACGTGTGTGCCATCTCTGTTTCGACAAGTATCGCTCCATACCAATTACGGAGGCTGTACTGCGTCTCGGGATGCACAAAGTAGATATTTTGCGCCTACCTCTACCACGCATGTTGAATTTACGAAAGCGGAAGACTGGGGGAAGGATGCTGTATCTTGATCGGAAAGCCGTTCTTGACGCAGTGCTGGATCCCACAATTAAGGCATCCTTTAAGAGACCTCGAAATCTCATCGTACGAACTGAATCCTTACCAAATATGACATTCATTTCTGCACCATTTCTTAACTCTTCGGAACGATCTACCGAATGGGGCTTTTATTGTATGAAGTGTAGCGACTGTGATGAGCTTGCGATTTATTTCAGAATTAAATACAGAGTTGGAGAAGTGAGACGACTAGAGAACGAGTGGAGTGTTAAATATACGTCAGTATGCAAGTAAGGGTATGTGACATCTTCCTTAAGGGGCCTTATTGCATGCTGACTAAAGTTGAGAAGCGAATCGTTACATCGAACCAATAATGGTAATGTTTCAGCGCCTGCTACCTTGCTGGGGAAAGTCTATAGCGAATCAAAGAGGGTAGGCTTGACTGTATCAAGATCTAGCACGGCCTGGATCTCGTCGTCCATACTCTCCAGAAACCTCTTCTGGTCCCATTGCGGCTTCCATCCGAGTTGGTACGGATGCACAGGAACAAGATCTCCGCTAGGTCACTCGTTAGATCTTCGTCTCCACGCCGAAGAAAGGAGGTGCTTACCTAGAGGTCCCGATAGCCCGTACGTACAGCCGTGGGAGCCCTAGCTGATCCGCGGCCTCGTCGTAGCTGGGCCAAACTTGTACCTTGGGCTCCTTCACCAACCCACGCGCGTATAATCCGTCAGCGAGAAGTTGCATGATCTCCCACCAGGGCGCCCTATGGACTGCCGCGAAATAGTAGCCCTCTTCACCGCTTGGGATGGGCTCTTTCTGCAGGATCTTTTCGACGATTAACGCGTAAATTGTTACCAAGTCCGATATATGCAGTGCTGGTGGGCTCTTTAGAGGCGTTCATTCGTTAGTCCAGGGTTATAAATCCTATTTACGAGAAAGGGATGGGTGTGATAACGTACGCCATTCCTGTCAAACTTATAGACAACCTTATTCGCGATACTGACTCTGACGTATGCTGGAATGTTTACTGACAACTTCCTCCATTCGCCGGTGCCCCTTCCATCTATTGGACGATAAGTGGGAATCCGGTTATTCATAGGCCCGTAAGCCATAGCGAGTTAGGGGTGCTTACAGGTGGGCGGCACTGGAACGATAAAACTCGTAACGCCTAGCTCTTTGGCCTGTTCGATGACGAGGAGATTGGTCTTACACAGAAAATCAGAAATAGGACATCATGAAACAGCAAGGTCGCGCGACTTACTGCTCGAGCAGGATGAGATCTCCCTATCTGCTTGTCTTTTTCATATATCGGATCAGAGTCCTTGACCTCCCCATACGTCCATCCACCGTCTTCGGAAAAAAGGGTAGTTATCGACGACTAGCTTAGTATTAGCGAGTCGATAGATGGAGAAGTTCCTGGAAAACTCGCATGGATGAAATAAGTCTGTTTTCCGCTAGCTTTGCGACGCTGGCCGAGAGCCTTAATGAGGTGAGATACAAGGCTCGAATCTGCAGAACTCGCGGTGTGGATGGCAATGTCGACTAATACAATATGAGTAGATCGATCTATTGATTTGGTCATAAGAACATACTCTCGTTCTGAAGTACGGCTGTGATCACAGATGCCTCATCGCTAAGGTCGAGTTGGATCACATTCACGCCTAACTTCGACAAGGCCTTAACCTGTTCTTCCGTGCGAACTGCAGCATGCAGGTTCGCTGCCTTGATTGGGCTCTTGGTACGAGATATAAATTCGGCGAGGACAGACCCTCCACTAGTGCAATGTTAGTCTAAACTCGATAGGGGATCGATGCATCATACACGTAGCCGGCAGCGCCAGTAATAAGGATGTTCTGAGCCATGATTTTACTTAAAGGTGTAGGTAATGAGTTGGTTATGAATATGGATGGACTTTTAGCTAGTGAACGAGAGGACAGACAGCTACTTATAACCCGATTCTACGAACTAAGAGAATTATTCATCTCCTTGACGACATTTTCAACTCGTACGTTGCGATTGTATGCGTACGTTAAGGGGTGAGGTGAGAGGCCAATCAGGATCGCAGAACCAACTATCCCTGTTGCTGACCGGAAATCCGCGCGAATCCATATGTGAGGATTTGTAATCATCAACTTTGGGTATATCCCATGAAATAATGTTAATGGGAATGCGATTCAGAAATTCTCTTTAGAATATCATACAACATGGAATCCCGCGGAGTTCATACCGATGAACGGCCAAAAGGCCGCCTGGCGATCGCCCGTCGTTCAGTAAATTGAAATTTGACGCCCCTTTACCATTGGCTTAAGCTGACATTTGGCGAAATAGTGTGACCAATGTCGTACTCGAAAGGTTACGTCTTCGAATTCATTCCTCGAAGGAATCGCGATGCTGACAAAAGATAATTGAATAGGTCGGCTGTGATAGGGGATCGCCGTGTTCGAATTGTAGCGCAGCTAGGCTTAACTGCACACACAGCGCCGTAGCATCTAATGCAACAGCCCCCAGGCAGAGGGTGTTGATATCAGCGCAATAGTGAGTAAATATGGCTCATAATCTTGAATATTCTCATATACTCATAAGAAGTCAATATGCAGCGAAAAGAAAATCGACGACATTGCAGAGGGTATTGATGGCATCAAGCTCTTTCTCCAGGGACTGAACTTGGCTCCAGATGCGAAGCAGCCTGAAGCTAGTTCCACACGGCAGCTCAATCAAATAGACTCAGCGAAGCCTCTAATCGAGCATCGCTCTATCTGTGCATCTGGTAGCAATTCTCTATGGGATCATTCCGTTCACATTATCGATTTCGTCAAAGCTGTTGTAGAAGATAGATGTTCAGGAGAAAGCGAGGATGAATCGAACGGGGTTCTCTCATCACTGAAAAAGTTGGTGCAAATTTTGGAAGGACCCATCGCTACTAAAGATTTGTCCTTTCAGCAAGCTAAAGTAGCAGCATATCAGGCTGGTCCTCCAATGCCCCCATTAGAGGCTGTTGTCTCTGTGCTTCGATGGGCCAAGGGTTCGTTACCTGCCACGAGTGAGTATCATGGATTTCCTAACGTGAGAACCAGATCACCAAGATTACACTAGACTCGTCTGGGTTTCTCATATACTCCCGCTTGAAAAATTCGCGGAGATCTGCCGAAAGGTGTATTTCGCGATCGACGACTACAGCGAAGTAGATTTTATCATCGCCAATGCATATTTATCCTACATATTTGCCGAACATGTTGTCGTTTCTGGACTTCAAGACTATCGGGAATATTGTAGGCTATGCCAGGAGAACCTTCGTACCGCTAGTTCACGGCTTCCGCTGCTCTTACCAGCGTCAATGGAGGCAATCGCTGCATTGACACTTGGGGTATGTGTTCGTTGTAGAAGCTTGAAGACCCCCGCTAATGCCTACGATAGGCATTCTATGCAATTGAAAATTCTAAAGCCACAATAGCTTGGAGGTTCATTTCAACGGCTTCGGACCTCTGCCAAAGATTGGGATATCATCGTTTACCCCGAAAAGGAGCCGATCCGTCCATACAGACTGCCCAAGAACGTTTATTTTGGACCGTTTATAAATTTGAAAGAGGTCTTTCTCTTCGACATGGCCGACCATCAAGTATTCGTGACGCTGAAATTACGTTGCCAACTAACCCGAACGAGTTACGATCCACCAAGGTTGCGCGAATCCAGGGGAAGGTTTATGACGAGCTGTATAGTCCAGTAGGCCTATCTCGCCCAGATGATGAAAGAAGTCGTATGGCGAAGATTCTCGCTACAGAGCTGCGGGATCTTATCAGCATGGCGCGTGCTGAGATTCTCGTATGTTATTGACACTTCTATTTAACACTAGTCTCACTGACCAGCACCTGTAGGATATCGACAATCAACCAAGAGGCAGTGAGGCGGATCCGATGCGAATCGTTTACCTACAATGTGATATCGTCTGTCAATCTTCATTACTCGCTTTGATTCTTCGCGCAATTACCACAGCACGAGGATCTCTCAGCAGTATTTCAGACGAGTGTGTCACAGTAGCTCGCGAAACGTTAGATATACATCATGAATGTATGACGGCTGTGAGGAGCTGCAAGACTGATCCATTCATGGTTACAAAATACATCAACTGGTACGTTAGCCAACTGCCGTCAGTCATATCCCGAAGTACCCGACTGATGCTGAGCCGGATAGGGCGGTTCTGCACACTCCTTTTATGCCGTTTAGTATTTTATTTACTCGTGCGGTTCAGCTTTCGGACTTCGCCGATTTAGTCCGCTTGGATCGCTTCGCAACTTCGATGAAGCCCGAAACGCCTCCAGACTCAATCACACACCCATATCGATTGTATGAGCTCCTTTGCCAGGCTGCTCGGCTCTATGTTGAGTCGAACACATCTTCCGCAGACATGAGCATAACGAACGCTCTATCGGATCCTTTAGGCGAGTTTGATTTTACGTCCTTTGGGATGGAAGTAGGTGTGGTTTCAAATGAGACAATAGAAACAATTGTTCCTCAAACTTTTGAACTTGGTGATTGGTATTATGGCAATCAGCAAATGATGAGTTTGTTGGATGAAGATGTAATGTTTTGAGATTAGAGGTTGGATAACCAACCTATTTGAATAAAGAGATTATGCAAGCCACCCCATTTTATGAACAATTGGAGAACTGCATAAATCTAACCAATAATAGAGAATTATGAAGCAGCTATCCGAAAAGGGAAAGATACCTCGGCATGAATTTACCAGGTTCCCCATGGGGCAATTCACCAACCATCTTTCATAAATCACAACCGAAAGGAAACAAGTATTGATTTGTATTCTAGCAATCGTTCTCTTTCTTTATTGCTGTCACTTTACTTACCTATAATCCTATAAAATCCTGAGTTTATAGCCAATTCGTCAATCTTATTCATCAATCTTACGTAGTACCGCCATCCCTTTACGGTGTAAGCTTCAAAGGTGAAATCCTTAATTTCAAGCTGTACTCTTACATAACCGAGTAACCATGAGGGGCATTCAGATTAGCGAATACGTCAAGGTAAGAAGACTCACTTTTTATGCCTAGCAATGGCCAAAAACGAAAATACTCTCAATTGAAGCTCCAAATTACAAGAACTAACACGCCTTAGGGGCCAAAAGAGCTCAAGGTGACGGACCTCCCAGACCCAACACCAAAGCCGGACCAATATCTCATCGAGGTCCACGCCACGGCCACCAATTTCTTCGATATCCTACAGATCCAAGGAAAATATCAAAACCAGCCCCGTATGTCTTACCATAAACTCACATAACCACACTCATCACCCCAGTTTAGCTACTTACCTCAATCAACATACTAACCCATCCCCAGCTTTTCCCTGGGTATCCGGCGCCGAGTTCTCCGGCACCGTCCTCGCAACCCCATCCTCGGCCACCAACCCCAAATTCCCCATCGGCAGCCGCGTCTTCGGCGCCAGCCAAGGCGCCTACGCGACCCTCGTCTGCGCCGCGGAGCCCGAACTCCTCCCCGTACCCCAGGGATGGTCGTTCCTCGACGCAGCGGGGCTCTTCGTCACCGCGCCCACGAGCTACGGCGCACTAGTCCTGCGCGCCGGGATCAAAGCCGGGGACTGGGTGCTCGTGCACGCGGCCGCAGGCGGCGTCGGGCTCGCCGCGGTGCAAGTCGCGAAAGCGTTCGGGGCGACTGTGGTCGCGACCGCGGGGTCGGCGCGGAAACTCGAGGTGGCGAAGCAGTTCGGCGCGGACCATGTGCTGGATTACAGGGACGCGGGGTGGCCTGACAAGGTGAAGAAACTGACGCCGAAGGGGCGCGGGGTGGATATCGTGTATGATCCCGTCGGCTTGGTGGATAAGAGCACGAAGTGCGTTGCGTGGAATGGAAGGATTTTGGTGGTCGGGTTTGCGGCGGGGCAGATTGAGAAGGTGGCTATGAATAAGGTGCTTTTGAAGAATATTAGTGTTGTGGGTATTCATTGGGGTGCGTATGCGCGGTTTGAGAGGGAGGCGATTCCCTTGGTTTGGGGCGGTATTGGGAAGTTGATTGCGGAGGGTAAGTTTAAGGGCACGGTGTTTAGTGATAAGGAGTTTGTTGGTTTGGAGAGTATTCCGGATGCGTTGTTGGCGCTTGGGGGGAGGGAGACCTGGGGGAAAGTTGTGGTTAAGATTCCGCAGCCTGGCGATAGTAAGTTGTGATTTTATGTAGTATCGGATTTTATCTGTTGTATTTTTTTGGCCTTGGTTAGATATGAGATTGGCACCTTGATGGCCGGCGATGGTGTATTAAAAACGTATTTCATTCCAACAGATAAATTGAACTTTTGAGTTGAATTAATCCATTTGGTCTTTATCTTTAGCCATACCTTAACCTACTGTCTCATTCAAGAACGCATGCTCATCGTATCCCATATACCGTATCTGAATCTGCATACTCTCCAGCACCCTCTGCTTCATCTCTGGCACTGTCTTAACGATATCCGCCCCTAAAAACGCCCCATGCGTGCTGCTGAAATCGTATTTCTTCAGTATACCCCACATTCTCTCCAGCTCACTCGGGCGTAGCGGGATCATGTTCGGAATGCTCCACATGAACGAGTAGCTATTCATTCCCTTCGGTCGGGTGCGCGCAACACCCACAGCATCGGTATCCCAGCTACCTAGCCCCGAAGGAGTCGAGACTAGCGTGTCGGCGATTAGAAGATGCTCATCATACAGCGCTACAAATGATCCCGGGAAATGGCCCCCGAGCTTAAGAGCCTTAACCCCGGAAGGTTCGCCGTCGATTTTTATATCAAGCTCCGTGTCCTCCACGAAGACCTGGTGCGCCGAACTTTGCGTCGTCCACTCTTTGTCCTCTTTCGCCAAATATACGGGGCAGTCAAAGGCTTTCGCCCACTCGACGTGCGTGGTATAATAGTGGGGATGAGAAATCACAATAGCTTTTAAACCGCCCAACCCCCTGATCTTAGCTATTGTCTCTTCGTCGAGGAGAGTGATGCAGTCCCAAAGCACATTGCCTTTAGGGGTCTTGATGAGGATGGCACGCTGCCCGATGCCCACTTTGGGCTCCGTGACAATGGATATGAATCTGCTGTCGCCTTTGAATGGTGTCCACGTGTTTTTCGCACGCGATCTGATCTCGTTCAGAGTTGTGAAGGCTTGTCCGGTCTGCGGTGTGAATTGCCGCGGGTCGTCGCAGATGAAGCATGTCTTTGTTTTCTCCCTGTCCGAGGTAGGAAATTGAGTCCCGCACGCTGTGCAGACAAGCCATGATCCAGTTTCATTGGAGTCATATGTTGCCCCGTCGGAGGCCATGGTTGTTTGCGTTATGTAAGCTGTATAAGTTTGGGGTTATCAGAGCGTTTGGATGACGTCTTTGAAGCTCATCGTACAATTCTCTTATAGTGCAACTTCACTCCGAATTCGGTACCTTGTTAGTTCACTTTCTAGCTGAATTCAGATCGCGTCCTCTACTAGATACTTAGCTCTCAATTTAAAGAACCAAAATAGTGAAGATGCACTAGGACAATACTAAGTTTAAAACCGTTCTGCATACGATTTTTATAAAATATTTAGGTGTCCTAGACATCGTCATTATAAATAGGAACAGTGATAGCTTCGCGGGGTGCATAAATGGGGGGACACATTGAAAAAGTGGGGGGAGGGGGAGGGGTGAATAGCTGCGGGAATCCGCTCATCCACAGTGATTACAGTGTAATGCAAACTGTGGGCAAACGAAGGGGCTGAGGGGTATCAGGTGATTTAGAAGGAATGAAGGATACAATCTGTACCACGCTTAGATACGACTATGTACTAATCCGATCACTTATCTCTAGTGGAATGTGAAATAGCTTGTGAAATAGCTTCAACTCCGAGTGTGGAAGCTGTAGCCGGTTATCAACGGTGAAAGGAAGGTGAGCTACAGAATAAATGCGGGGATAAGGACTTCAGTTCTCCATCCAAAGCCGTACACGACATAATAGCGATGACCTTATCTTTTATACCGAGACCCTGCATTCCAGATAAATACCTTGGTTTGGCTGTCTTACTAACTTATTCTTCCCATATTACCTTTACCTTCCCATACCACTCTGCGTTATTTTGAGGTTACATCGGACATTGCCTCAAAACTAATACACTAGAATTACGAGAATGGTCTTCTTCCTCGATTACATCCAACATAAGAAGGACTGGTAAGTACATTCATCTTTATAAGCTCATCTTATCACTTCATACATTATATCTCATCCATCACACATAACTCCTTACACGCACCTAATCTCGGAAACTAAAGTGAGACAGCAAGTTCAAGCAAGATGAACGTGCAGAAAGGCTTCGGGCCTTGACACAATATCGTAGCCCATTTACGGCTCAAGAGCGGGAGATAATCGACAAGCCCATCGAGGAACTTGTCGAAGGTGTACAAAATGGCACAATTGAGCCCACGGACCTACTAAATACCTATGGCAAGGTTGCCGTCAAGGCACACGATAAGACAAACTGTCTTACCGAGATTATGATATCCGAGGCCGAAGGTTGGATCAAAGATGGCTCTATCAATCTTAAGGGTCCTCTAGCTGGTATCCCTGTAAGCTTAAAGGATACAATCAACGTCGGCGGTTTCGACTCTACTGTTGGCTACAGTAGCTACGTTGGGAACAAGCCAACCCATGATGGAGGCCATGTTCGACTTCTTAAGGATGCCGGCGCTATTCCTTACGTAAAAACAAACATGCCCATCACGCTCCTCAGTTTTGAGTCTACGAACGATGTCTGGGGACGATGCACCAACCCACATAACAACAAATACTCACCAGGAGGTTCAACTGGGGGTGAAGCAGCGTTATTAGCATTGGGTGGAAGAATTGGAGTTGGAAGCGACGTCGCCGGCAGCGTCCGAGCCCCCGCACATTTCTCCGGTATCTACAGTCTGCGATGTTCGACCGGACGATGGCCTAAAGCAGGATTTGCGACTAGTATGCCGGGACAAGAAGGTGTACCCAGTGTATACAGCCCCATGACCAGAACCTTGAACGACTTGACATATTTCACACGTTCCCTTGTTGGCATGAAGCCCTGGGAGTATGACCATTCTGTTCACCCTCTTCCCTGGAGACCCGAGGTGGAACAGGAGTATGCAGAAAAGAGTAAATTCCGTGTGGGTGTGATGAGAACAGATGGTGTGGTTGATCCAGCCCCTGCATGTGTGCGGGCTCTAGGAATGACGGAAGCTGCCTTGAAGGAGGCTGGTCATGAGATTGTCGAAATCGACCCGCCATCACCTTACGAAGCGCTCAAGCTGGGTGCGCTCTTATTAAACGCAGACGGTTGCCAAATGTTCAAGTCTTTTTTCCGATGGGGAGAATGGGACGACCCAGGGGCTGACCAGATGGACTTCTACATGAGACTTCCGCGACCTCTCAAGTACCTACACTACCTGTGGGTTAAATATATCCGAAGAGATGCATTATGGGCCGACCTCCTCAAGGATTTCCATGCGAAGAGCGCTTTCGAACAATGGAAGCTGGTTTCTCAGCGAGAGGCTTATAGGGCTAAGTGGTTTGATTGGTGGAATGACACTGATGTTGACTTTTTACTTACACCCCCCAATGCGACGCCGGCTGTTCCCCACGATGGTATGAAGGAGGCTGTCAGCAGTTGCGGCTACACATTCCTTTTCAACATCGTAAGCAAATTCTTCTACATCATTAAAATCATATGAATACTAAATGAAATAGATTGACTATACTTGTGGTATTCTCCCGGTAACACACGTCGATAAGGAGCTCGATAAACTGCCGTCCACCTTCAACATCAAGAAACTGAACGGAGTTGCTCAAGGCGCATACAAGCTGTATGATGCAGAGGCCATGCACGGGCTGCCAGTTGCGGTCCAGATCGTCGGGAGGAGATTAGAAGAGGAGAAGGTACTTGCGATTATGAAGAGAGTCGAAGATGCTCTCGGCGATGACAAGTATGAATTACTTGACATCGATTGATTTTTTGGGCTGTTAGAGCAAGTAGATGAGATTAAACATCAAGTATGATACCCTGTCTATAGCAGGTTCAGAGATGTCTATTGTTAAAAAACAACTGTAAATAAACCGATTCAATTGCCTTTTCCAGAGTGTTGCAAGTTATGCACTGTGGTAAAGGAGAAAAGGGAGGAAGCGGAGCCTCCGATTTCGGGCGACTGTTCGGGCAGAACCAATGTCGGCCGATACGGAGCGGCTTTGTTTGTATAAATCCAAGAGTCGTGGCCGTGTAAGTCAGTCAAACAAACTTAACAATTTTTACTTTATCCTCAAAGACGAAATATAGTTTTGTTGTAAGAAATTTATACTTTCCTCGAAAATCTGTATTAATCCAGTTGGAATATCCTCATTCGAAGAAATGGCTGAGAAGAAAGACCACTGGTCCTCTGAGGTAAGTGAAGAACCTTCCATAAGAGAACATATCCCACAAATCACTCTTAATCCATATATATATTATTCTAATATGATTTCATTATAAAAGGCGTACCAGCACTCAGCCTCATTCGTGCCAAAGCTCGCAACGAAAATCGTGCAATGGCTCGACCCGCAAAAGGACGACGTGATCTTGGATACCGGTTGCGGTGGTAAGCTCCTTTTCCTCTCCCATTCGTAATCCCATGACTTGAAATACTAATGCGATATATAGACGGCATCGTCAACATCCAAATGCAAGAAATCCTCGCCCAAGGCAGCGGCAGCATCCACGGCACCGACTCCTCACCAGCCATGATCGAAGCAGCCAAACAGCAAGCCATCAAAGCCGGTGCTTCGAAATGCACCTTCGAAGGTAAGATATCCAGCACCCAGCACTCTACCTACCTACTCCCCGGGCCGATTTCTCATGCCCTTGCTTCACATTTCATAACCCATACCTACCTACCTACCTACCACCTCCTAAAAGAACAAACAAGGAAACAAACAAACTGACCGACCCCAGTCGCCGACGCCCTCCAACTCGCACAATTCCCACACCTACAAGACGGGCACTTCACGAAGCTCTTCTCAAACGCAGCCCTGCACTGGGTCCTCGGGTCCTGCAAGACCTCTCCCTCGACACAAACCTCCTTCTTCGCCTCAGCGCGCAACGCACTAACACCCGGCGGAGTCTTCGCCTTCGAAATGGGCGGGCTGGGCAACGTATCCGAGATCCGGTCCGCGCTACTATCCTCCGTATCGCGGCACGTTCCGGGAGGGTTAGACGCCGCGGTAGCGGTCGACCCGTGGTTTTTCCCGGACGAGGCGTGGGTTACGAAGACGATGGAGGAGGACGTCGGGGGGTGGAAGGTCGAGCGCGCGGAGCGGGAGTATCGGCCTACGGTTGCGGATGCGGGAGGGGTGGAGGGGTGGGTGCGGTTATTCGGAGCACCGTTTTTTGAGGCGGTGGAGGAGGGTGAGAAGAGGGAGAAGTGTATTAGGGAGGCGGTTGATGTGCTGGAGGTCGTGTGTCGGAATCCGAGTGGGGGATTCCATCTGGGGTACGTGAGGTTAAGGGTTTTAGCGAGGAAGTTGTGAAAGGGTGATTGGGGGAACGCCTTCTGAGATTAATGAGAAAGAGGCGTTGATTAGTGGCTTCGGAGTGCATTAGCTTCTAGCGATTCTAGCAGGTAGACAGAAGCTTCCCGGAGTTGCGAAAAGATCCATGGATCATGAAAGGATTGTAGACAGGTATTTATTCTATCGTCTAATGGAGATCTAATTATGATTATCACTAGACAGCAATCTTGCTTTGTAGCTAGAACAGGTAAGAGCCCTACAATAACATGATTAACATAATATGGCCCCTACATCGTGGGTTCTTGCCATTTTTACGACCAGCTGAGAGTCCATTCCTCACTCCAAGCACCTTTCGCTGTGAATGAGTCAAGGCCTGAAATCGTCAGGACTTTACCCGAAGTCTCCAAATTCCACGCACTGCTGTGGACTTCTTGGCCGTTCAATTGCACTTTAGAGATAGGCCCTTGGGTTCCCAAAACCGTCACATTGCTCAATGGATTCGGGTCCGGGTAATTACCACTTGGACTAGCCCTCAGTGTCGAATTTTGAACAACGAACTGGAAAAAGGTTAGCACGGACATTATAGGGATAGGTATAAATGTAGAACACATACCTCAATCCATGATGTGGCATTTGGCGTGAGGCTCTCGCCATCATCTAGGTAAAGTCCGCCGGCGGATTGGCCGGTGCTATCCAGTGCAACAATGAGCCCCCATGGGCTCTCTCTTACTGCTGTGGTAGTTAGACCTGGCTGTTGTGTTGGTATCACTTTTCCACCCCGTACGTAGACTGGGATGTGCCCAAGAGGTGCGTCGATGGTGACGTTCTGCCCAGGTGAGACCCCGGTAATGGCTGTTTTGTTATACCAGTCATACCAGATCGTGCCGGATCCCACACCGGGGAAAACGCCGTCGACGGTGGTAGCGCCTTGAACTAAGCAAGGGGTGACCATAATGGAATCGCCGAGAAGGAATTGCCTATCGGCGTTAGCCAGCCATGGCTCATTGGGGAATTCCCAGGCTAAAGCACGCATGGTCGTCGAACCAGTTGAATGGCTAAGATAGAATGTCGTGTAAATGTAAGGGAGTAGTGCATAGCGGATCTTCATCGCGGCCTTTGAGGCATCCGCCACGGCAGACCAGATATAGGGTTCTTGACTAGCTGCTCCAAGGGTATTGTGGTTTCGGTAGAACGGGAAGAAAGCTGACAGCTGCATCCAGCGAGAGCAAAGTTCCATATCAGAATTATCAGCAAACCCGCAAGTATCAACACCAAACATGGGGATACCGAAAAGCGAGAATGACAGAGCTTGTGGGATGGAGAAGAACATGTATGCCCAGAGAGAATAATTGTCACCCCTGTTGCTAAAGTTAGCCTACATTTTGAGTTAATAAAGTCGATCTACTTACCCCCAGTGACCAGCCCATTTCCCAGATCCAGCGAACTGAGATCTTCCTATGATGAACGGTCGCTTTGTGGGAAAGATTCCTAAAAGGGCGTGATAGGTGGCGTTTAGAATTTGATGTCCGAATAAGTTATGGACGTCGTACTCTAAAATACCGCCATGATGAGTCGCATTAGGACTAACAGCATGAACGGCAAGGTCGCCATTGTAGTTGTTGATAGCATACGGTGGCCAGTTGATGTTACGAACACCTGGAGTTGGAGTGCTTCGGAAATATGAAACCGTGGTAGAAGCATGAGTCGCCGTAGCCGTCCTAGAGCTTAAAGCTGCAGATGCTGATGCAGCCTCCGTCGCATTTGTTAACTCAAACCCTTCCGGATACTTGAGTACCTCATTTCCAGGCTCTCCTGGGAGTTCAAAGGGAGGATGGGCGGGGTTGCGGTCAAGCACGTTACTACCGCAGCTGCCTACACAGAAGGATGATACTTCTGACATATCAATCCAGATGCCATCAAAGTCGATCTTGTAGTGATACCCTTGAATTTCACGCGCCCACCATCGGTTGGCTCCAGTATCATTGAATAGAGCACCAATCCAGTCAGGGAAAACTGGTTACGTCAGTGTGAGTACGAAGAGATGGGAAAATGACATACCTGTGTAACCAGGCCAAACTGCTCCGACATAGATAGATCCATTTGGGTTGAGTAAGAATGCGTCTTGTTCAATCCCGCGATCAAATGGTGGATATGCGTCACTGATGTTCGTGGGGTCTGGCGCGTAGATAGCGGAGTCTATTATTGGCACATAATGCATATTTTGCTCATGAATTCGCCGTAGGAACTTGGCTCCTTCGGCGTAACCAAAACGATTTTCATCATTTTCGAAATCTCGGTACGCGTTCATGTAATCAATATCGGCTGTTAAAGTGTGAAAAATGACGATTGAAATTGTCTGAAAATAGCGCGGAGTAACTTACACCAGATCGTTTCGAGTGGAATCTCAAATTTGGCAAAATTGTCAACAACACTCTCAACCTCAGACCAATTATTATAACCCCATCTACATTGATGGTAACCGAAGGTCCAATATTGCTGCATAGCAGGGAGACCAATGGCGCTATGCTGGTAGGACTTAGTTACGCTGTCTTGAGTGGGTCCTTCGTAGAAATAGAGATCAATGTTGCCGCCAAGAGCTCTCCAAGTGATGTTGGATTCTCTAAGTAGGACCTCCTGAGTATGGGCGTTTCGCTGGAAGACACCATGCGTATATGACTTGTACTGAGCCGACCTATCTGTGGCATCTGAAGCGTACTTCAACTCTTGAGTATCCTTATCCACTTCGAAGTAACGAGTATCGAGGTAGATGGGATGATTTCCATAGATATTCGCATCTATGATATCACCTACGTCTGCCGCGAAGAAGGTTCCTAGTCCTGTTTAGCAAATATTATCAAATAAGTATTGGGATACCATACTTGTGAGATTATTTCCAAGTCTAAAGCCGTGAATTACCTCGCCAAGACCATACAAGTTGTAGTTTTCAGGTAATGATGAGCCAAACTCAATGAATTGATTCTCATACACCAACTCAGATCCTGTCGTATTGAACAAGACATCGCCATTGCTCTTCCTAGTGACTTGGAATGAGAAGGTAGGTTCGTTGACCCAAGTGAAGAGAAGGTCGCTATTCTCAATGTAACTATCAGGATTTCCTTCGACTTGAGGCTTTGGGATTAACTCGTCGGGTAGGATAAACCAGGTATAATTCTCAGAGCCGACGTAACGAGGTAATATCTCGATGTGTAGTCGATCTACGGCTTGGAATTCAACAAGAAGGCTTAGAGCCTCGATATCAGTACCGTAGACATTGCACGCTTTGCCGGCTAAATCGAGATCCGCAAGGAAGCCATTGGTAGTGTTCTTCACATTCGAAGCTTTATAACCTGGGCAAATAGATTGGGGGTTGATGGCTTTGGAGTCAAAGATATTGGGGATGATATCTTGACCGACATCTGCGTCCGGTGGGACGGTGTACTCTTCTCTAAGGGCAGTGGATGTGGTGGTTGGAATCTGCTGTCCAGGAGTAATAGTGAATAGAGTAAGTAGAGTTGCTAGAAGCAACATTGTATATCGAAGCATCGTGCCTCGACTTAACTGACCAGAACGCCAGGACGAGGAGACAGTGAAGGAGTATATCAGGCTTGAAATAAGGAGGAGACGAGAAATTGTGCCCAAGTTTCCATACCAGGTTTCGAGCTGAACGAAATACGAAGTGAGAAAAGAAATAAGAGTTGGGAAATGCAAATCGGCGGATTCTTCGGCGTTGATATATGGGCTACTACCCTGAACCGGCAGGCGCCGCTGACTTGTAGAGCTGAATATCTCCATGGTTCCTGGCCTGATGGTGTTAAACTTCTTAGATTGGTGGAACTATCCAGGTACTTGGTAGAGCCTTACAGGTACCTCGGTAGATCTTAAACTTTAAGGTTCACATCGGGTATGCACCTTCGAATTAGGACGACGGAAAGAACTTAAAGATATTCTAGGAAGGGACTATGGATAATAGAGTTATTATAATTGAGACGTACTTTAAAAACAACGACGAGTTACGATCGAATAGACAATTAGAATACCATCACTAAACAGCAAGCTACGATGACGAGATAAGTCGTCCGCGTGTAGATTGTAGTGGTACTCAAGTCCTCTCGAAAGAACTGCCACTTGGGTGGAGATAATTACGGGACGACTAGAGAAAAGAAAACAGCCATCTCCAATCCCCGCACTCTAATGCAATGTAGATCATCCCGTATATGATCGTCAATGTTGGCGTGTTGCTTGACGAGCTTGTCTTGTGCGGAGAGGGCGGAGAGAGGCGGAGTCACCGACATTGTTCTCGTTGAAGGTCCGACTCCTTTATAGCTTTTAATTACATACCCCGCATCTTGTGTAGCATTATGTACTGATAAGGTGTATGCAATAAAACAGGCTTTATTGCCAAGACTTCTCGCCCCACTCAAGCTTTATCTTAGCTAAGCTGTCGCATTTCTGAACCTTCCTTCCATTATGTAAACATCTGCAACACTTATCCTCAATTTACGTGCTCGATTCTCGACGCTTCTATCTCAACACTTCCTCATCGACGGTATTACAACATACAAAACAAGTGTAAACATAACCTCACAAAGCACTTTCAACTATTAAAAACCCACACGAACAACTAAAACCCAACACCCGCCCATAATGGCGACCGCAGCAGCGCCACCGCCCTCCGAGCTCGCGAAGCAAATCCTCGAGCACAAGGCGCCCAGCTACACATTCAGCTTCACCCCGTTCCTCCGATCAACCTACGGCCACGGCTTCCCGCCGAACCGACCCGTATGCAAAGCCTTCGTAGCAGGACACTGCCCGCTAGGCACGTCATGCGCGGACCGACACGTGACGCCGAACGCGGCGAGCAGCACGAACGCGAGCTACAACTCCCTAGTATGCAAGCACTGGCTGCGCGCGCTGTGCAAGAAGGGCGAGAGCTGCGAGTTTCTTCACGAGTACAACTTGCGCAAGATGCCGGAGTGCAACTTCTTCGTCCGCAACGGGTACTGTTCTAACGGCGACGAGTGCCTGTATCTGCACATCGACCCTCAATCCAAGTTACCGCCCTGTCCCCACTACGATCGCGGGTTTTGCCCTCTGGGTCCGAACTGCAGCAAGAAGCATGTCAGGAGAAAGCTGTGCGTGTACTATCTAGCTGGCTTCTGCCCCGAGGGTCCGAATTGCAAGGAGGGCGCACATCCTGGATGGGATAAGAATCTGGAGAAGCCTATTGCTAAGGCGGATGTTATTCCCGAGGAGCCTGTGAGAAGAGACGACACATACATGGACGATGACCACGGTGACTTTGGAGGAAGAAGGGAACAGGGTGGTAGAGGTCGAGGCGATAGGTTTGGTGGTGGAAGAGGTGGCCGATGGAGAGGAAGAGGTGATAGAAAATTTGGGCGCGGAAGGGGTGGTGGTGGTGGTGGGGGCCATCATTGAGAGGCTCATGGCAGCCATTCGCCAACGGAAACATGACCAACAATGCAACACAACCTCCGCAGCTAGAGAAGGCTACAAACGAGATGTGCTTGCGTTATTTCCACACCAACACACTTTTGCTCGCCACATCATATTGGACAACACCAGATCACAACACGGACACAGAAAACTCAATACTATATCGCCAATATTCTGGAGCAGGACATATGGTTCAATGACGACAGAAAGGCAAAAAAAACAAATATTCCGCCCACACCCACTATTAAGGCTACTATTGCATTGGATCCCTAATTCGGGGGATTGGCGGATTCTTGGGAACACAGGAAGAAGACACAGGATACCCTCAATACCGCTAGATACCACAATAAGTAAATCAATTCACTCAAGCAATTTATTTATCGTGAAAATTAATCATAAATGTGCAAATATTCTATTCATGTATAGTTATCAACCATACCATCCCGCACCCATCCTTACCTACCTAAGGTAAGTAGCGAAGATAGCAAGGTTCCATTCAAATTTGTCCAAGCAGCGAAGAGAGCCAGTTCAAGTCATCAAATCATATATACAGGTCTCGTAACCCATCAGCCAAATCAAAAACGCCACCCCGACCCCACCCCCAACCAGTTTAACCCAGTTTCCAGACATTATGTCCGTCGTCATCCCTAGCCACAGCGATAAATTCGCTCGCGCTAGCCTCGCCATTTTCACTGCTCCCGCTCCCACTCTTCTCACTCTTGCTATCGCTCGCGCTGGCGTCGCTCTTGAGGATCTCGCCGGCTTCCCAGGAGCTCAGCTCGTCGACTTTCCGTATCCCCATCATCCACGCGACTAAGCCCCTCGGAGCCCATCGGCCGACAAAACCGTATAGACCCGCGCCTAATCCGACACGCACCACGTCGCTCAGCTCGGATCCGTCGATCACGTCGAACACGGCGTTATGTAGTTCCCTTAGAGAACTGCCGCGGAGTCCCCTGATACGGCCGGCTGAGATGGCTGACGAGGACTGGGATACGTAGTTGCGACCGTAGGCATGTCTTGCGCTCTCGGGCCATTGCAGCGGTTCCGCGGGTGGGAGTAGGCCGGGCACGCCCGCGGCTCCGTTCATACGGACTGGTGTGAAGCCCTGGAAGTCGAAGGTGCCGAGTTGGACGTGCGTTACAGGGATAGCAAGAGGTCGGAGTTCAGCAGTCAGCACTTCCGTAAATGCGGATAAAGCAGAGCAGACGGTAGCCTCGGGGGCGTGGAATGGCGGGTTAATCGAGGAGATGATGGATGGCGTGAAGACGAGAACTTTTGGCGTTGCGGACTTTTCGCCGGTGGGTGTTATCCTGCTAGTGAGCAATGGTAGGAATGATTGGATGGTGAGTATAGGATGTAGGAGGTGGGTGTTGAATAGGTCGGCAAAGCTCGATGGAGGGATGGTGGCGATAGGCGAGGTTTGGTAGTTGAGTGAGGGGATTAGTATAACGGCTTTTAAGTGTAAGAAATTCGGTTTCGCTCGTGGGACCGCAGCGTGTGAGGCTTGTAGATAGGCCGCGAATTTCTCGATAGACTGTCCGGCATTTGGAGGCTAGAGACAATGTGTCAATAGAAAATCAATCGATAATTCAGTTTGAAGTACTCACATCGGTTATATCGATACCTAACGGTCTAATGTCCGGACGCGAGAGACTCTGTACGGCTACTTCGTCCTCGATCGTATTGCAAACGATGTAGACGATAAATCCCCGCCTTTCCAGATCCAAGGACAATGACTTGGTTAGCGGCAGTGTCGGTGATCCAGCAATTACAACAACTTCTAGTCTTCCACCGTTTCGAGCTCGCTTTGCCCGACGATGCTTATGCATCCCTTTAGTGATTCGTACCGTTTTATATGTTGCATATCCGGCTGCTACGATCAAAACACCAGTAAGGAACTTGTGGCGGGAAATCCAATCCTGAAATCGCTCGTACGTGGTGACCGGTATAACCTGGACGGGAGGTGCTCGACTCGGTAGTGACGGTCGCGCATAATCGGGTATCCACGAAGCTGTTGATAATGTATCTCTTATCTCATCGGCAACCTTGTCAACGGTTTTGTCGACATATTCAGCGACATCTCCAGAGTATCGTCGGATCTGGTTAGGGATGGACGAGAGCTGTCACATGTCTTCCATTAGTCCCCTTTATCCGCTAGCGGAGACATGCCATTCCATGCCGAATAATTGAATAGAGGCACCTACCAAGTCCAGGAATTGCTGGTCGTCGGCAGACATGACCGAGTATCAGATGTTCGAATATTTTCTCAAAGTTTGGCTGGTTGGGTGGTTGGTGAAAGCCGGCAAAGGTGAACTGGTGGAAAATCGGTGAGGTGGGATGGTCAAAGATAACCTTATCCCTATGGGGCTGCTATCGATTACCTATCGATTCCGGATCTCCTACCTAGAAACGCTCCAAAATTCTTACTAATAAACCAAGATATGCGGGATGATGCAATCTCCACATGCACTTTTTCAAACCGACGTTACTTCGTACTTAAGGCAGTTTTCGGCAACCTTGAATTCCTTCCAGCTACATAGGTACCCCTTTTTAACTTTAGAAAGTCATTAAAATTTAAAGATTTTTCAAAATTGTAAAATGTTATAAATAATTGGAAGATAATCATTGTATGATCACTTATTCCTTGATCTCTAGCTAGCCGTTCAATTTTCGGTCAGGGTCAGCCAGCCACTCTCGAATCTTATTCAAGCCGAAAAGATCATGCTCCTTGTCGGAAAACATCACTAGCTTTTGGTGGTCGCACCAGCCGGGCGTCCCCCCTTCCATGAGCCTTCCACCAAACGGCCGACAGGACCCATAATCAATTAGCACTGGCAAATTATCTTTATCCAGTAGTATGTTGCTTGGTTTCAAGTCATTATGCGCCAATCCGGCCTGGTGCAAGTGGAAGATTGCCGACTCAAGCTCCTCCATGAAGCGCTGTGAGTCTATAGCGCCATTCTTATCCATTTGCCACATGAAAAATTCATTGAGATTACACTTGTGACGCTCCAGAGCGATTCCCGCTAGACGTCCATCTCTCTTTAGGCAGCCATAGTACTGAATTATATTCTTGTGCTGGATGCTCGAGACTTTCTCCATGATCTCAGCCTCTCCCACTACATCAAGCAGTTAACAAGGGCGCTTCGCGAGAAAGAGTGACGAGACACTCGGCATGCCATTGCCAGATACTTACAGAAAACGTCACGAATCCACTCGTGGGGGCTGGAGGTCTCATACGTGAGAAGGGAAGGTCTCTTGATGTATAACTCGGTATCTGGCTTTTCAGTTGTTGCCATTTCCTTAAGGTTAACTCCTTCTGGTATCTCTGGGTAAATATCCGCGTCCGGGATTCTTCTCATCGCTTCTTTTACCTCTGCAATGTTGATATCGGGCCTAGGCTTGAATATTTGCGCGAAATACGCCTCTCCATTCTGATAATACTTCCAGAAAGTAGTATATTCGCCCTCCGGCTTACCCTCGTTAGGCACCCCCGTCGCGCCGTCGAGATCGGTGAACGCTTGAATGTCATGAGGAGGGCAAACATCATCGCCTACAGTTGCCATGGTCTAGAAAAGTAAGGGAGTAAAAGAGAAATCGATGTGGAGGATATCAAGGTCGAGTGTAATGCAAACTGTCTGAGGGTTTGTAGAGAAAGTGAAGATTGATATATGGAAATGAAAGCTTTAAGAAGGGTGTTGTAAATGATTGGGTAATACTAGATTGATCCACTTCTATCCACCAACAACCGGCCAATCGACCAATGACAACACCCTGCTCGGTATTAATTGGACAATTATGCCTTACAGCAAGACCACATGATTCCAGGTTTGTTGGTGATTATCGTCAAAGCCACAGGCTTTAAGCCTCGCTAAGCCATGTTGTTGCACCTCGATGTTAAGCGTAACGCTTGATGATATGCGACCACCAGGCCGGTTTCGCCAAATAACCAATCTGTAGCCATTCAATTCAAACTTGTTGGTGATTTGTATCTTATTCCACTTCTTTTAATCCATCTAACAAAGTTATGTAACACTCAGAACCCTAACTTACTAAGTGCTCGTGAACTATGTTAATCGTTGTTGGTAATATCACAGATATGCCGGTCTCGTAGGCGCATACTGCTCTATGATGTTCATGGGAGAACTGGAAAACAACTGAGACTGACCTTGGCAACATGAACTTTTACGTCAGGCTATGAAGGCTTTGCTCGTCTTCCTGAAGGGCCAAACGTTTATAAAGTCTACGATCCCATCCTTTGAATCTGGTCTTAAGTTAGTTCGACAGAGCAATTTCAACTTCAACGCGATTTACCCGATCCTAAGCACCCCAATCCACAACCACGCGCGGTACCACATTCTAAGCAGATTACGCCTGCAGCCATCAACATGTTAGTAACGATAGGAGAATGCTTTGCATTTTGAAAATTACATGGATACTGACATGGCTCCTCAGGTGCACACAAACTGTCACAGTCCGACACGATTATAATCCTGATGGAACAATTAAATCATCTACTGATACAACACGATGGGCTTACTGCAGTAACCCCAATTGTGTGATGCGGCGGCGATAAGCGCAGGTGGGAAAAGAGCGGTTATGCCACGCACTAGCATTTACAAGACATCTCGACAGGCGGGTACCACACATGTTGGGTCATAGGGGGTTGATGGTATGTGGCGTTCGGGGGGGTGGACACGTGGAGCTTGCTATTGATCTTGTTAATGTGCTGGAACAATCTCAGTGATCACTGGAATACTGTCTCTCATTCAATTTTATTGATGTTATTGTTTTATTTCCAACTACTGTCCCTCTTTGTTTCATCCGCAGGCATATAATCAGCAACTCAATGCATTGAATACAGAGTATCATATGCAAGTTGTGCCAGAAGTTCTGCTCTTCCATATGGGTGACATATTATGGCACTCACCAGTATATTTGCCATTGTACAATACCTACCTAGTAGGGAAGGGTCCTCTCTAGGGAACAAACATTGAAGGGAGGTATCTCAATGTGCCTATGTAACTACCCCGGCTATAAATACAAGAACTCTCGCAGAACAATGTTGTTTACGGAACGCCTAAACTAACGGTACCTAGGTATGACTGCCTAGGATGACGATATTCTTCTTAATCTAAGCCTATGACAGAGGTCGATAGTACATAGAACCACCATCCCACAATACCAATTTATCTACGGTGTTTTCTACCGCGACACACTGTATTCGCACAGTATTTAACCACTAAATCCCCTGTAATTATAGGGGACCTAGGGGACCCCTTACTTCCGGCCACCTGGTGGATCCATCATTAGTTGTATGGAATCAAAATTTGTTGTAAATATCTCCCCAGTTTTCACCCTTTATAATAACGAAAGAGAAATAGTAAGCTTACATATCCCTAGGTAGATTCCCAAGGCAATTAGGTGTTTACCTAGTACCTATGTATGGCTCCTAAGATAGTTACGATCCGTCTTCCTTCACTCATTGCTTCTTGCGCAAGCACCTACCTACCTAGATACCTATCTAGTAGGTACCCAGGTAGCCAGATATCTTTAATAGCAGAGCCAGGTAATAATTACCCCAAAAAAGCTTCATTACAAAATCATACGTATAACTACCGAAATATCTAACTTTCAATATAAATAGATTGTGGAGATTCGGTCGCCCCAAATAACCCCCTTAACGACCAGACGGCCTAGGGGCGTGCCAGTCTCCCATGCGCGGCCTTGTATTCAAGCGCCAATACTTGTAGAAGTATTCTTGGGTTCTTCGCTTCTTCGTGGGTTAACGCCTGTTTCTGCTTCACCATATGACAGATGGCTTGGATTTCCGTGGTAGGCAGCTCGTTGACTTCAAGCCCTGAGATCCCTAAGGCTAATAACAAGGTCAGAGTCTCTATCGTCTCGCGGTGGTGAGGACCTAGAGACTGTTTCAATCCTTCGTACACCTTGCGGACCTGATCTTCCATTTCTAAAATGTCACGCTCCTCCCAAATTTTCATGACATTTCCATTCCACCACCCATATTCGATGCTTGTTTTCACAATCTCTCGTTCCGTAATTAGGGTTCTATGGTCGCCCTTTTCGAAATTTTCTTTCTGGTGGAATTTCAGGATTTCCAACTTTTGTACTGCAGAGCGCAACGCTTCTTCGTCGTCCTCTGCTGCGGCTATATTCCTCTGAGCAATGATATTGTCGAAATCGAATTCATCATCGATCTTGTCGGGATCATTGGAACGGCTACTTTCGCCACCACATTCACCCTGGTCGCGCCCAAAGATCCCTGAAAGCGGTCCAGTTAAGTCTGGTAAGTACACCGGAGACATGTTCAGTAGGGGAACATGTTCTTTTTCTGCTCCAGAATATGAGTTAGCAAATGTTGCAATGTACACCTAGCACATAAAATCTCTTTCTTGCGCAAGGAGAATTGAATTTCTCTAAGGGTGTTCTATATGAAATATAAATATAAGGGAGGACCTTTCTTTACTCCACAAACAGGCCTCCTACAAGCCAAACTCCAACCTAACAACACTCTTAGGTAACTAGGTACCGGTCCAACAACAGACCGCTGAAAACAAGCGCAAGTGGAATCAAGATCATGGGTACCACGGTAACAAATTTCAACATACCTTTACCTTTCGCCGTCTCGCCACCTGGACACGGTGTCCCGACATCCACACCAGGATCGTTCTTAGAATCACCGATAGACCCATTAATCGCCTTCAACTCCTCATTCTTGGTGCAATGTGAGGATTTATCGGCGCTAGTTGGTTCTCCTTTCTTCGAGCAACCGGTAGGATTTCTCGGTGTGGTGCTGGCATCTTTTTTATCACTCTTGTGACAACTAGTAGGGGCCTCGTGAATCTCAACAGAACGCCCCTTTTCAGAACCATGAGAAGTATGAGGGGTTGTGCTAACACCTGCGGAGCTGCCCTCTTCCTTGCTGCAAGAGGGGCTTTCAATAGGTCCGCCCGAAGAAGTGCTAGTATTTTCCGGTTTGCGTTTCTTTGGGCAATGGCATGGTCCCTTTTTGGCTTCGCAGGAATCTGCCTTCTTGGAAGAGGAAGAAGGCTTGTTGTTGGTCGTGCTAGCACCTGTACAGACGCTAGTTTTCTGTCCACTTGTTGAATCATTCGCGGTATTACCCGAAGACGTGCTGGCATTTACCGAGTTGCTCTTTGGACAACCAGAGCCTTCGGGAGCCTCTACTGGCAAGTTTGGTACCTCTGCGGGAGTCCGGAGCTCTTGCCTTGGGCTGTGAATTCCTCGCGATGAGATGGCTGCGTGAAGCTCCTCCCCTAATCCTAAATCTCCGAGCTTTTGTATCGGGGTTTCAGCCTGTAATTTACAGCCTCTGAGTAAACCAGTAATTTGTTGGGAGAACCTTTTCATGGTTTGCTACCGGATATATCACATTAGTTCGCTATTTTCGAGATAGATGACAGACAGAAAACTAAGCATAATGAAGAGAAATAGCGGGAATATTTACCTTTTTGAAAGTCAGAGCAGGTGTCGATGACATCCATATATTATGGCACATTGATCTCGCCGTATATGAGAAGTCCCCACTATTCTGTCCTCTGATTTCCTCGCACCGTCCGTAGAGGGTCGTTGTCAATCTATGGAAATTGGCATCGATGTCTTCAATTTTAAATTGAAGACCTTGTAGTTTCTCTTGATTCATCTCAATTTTGAATGTCTTCGAGAATTCATGTAGATATTGAGATATAACCGGGCGAGTAGAAATGTTAACTATGGGGTTCGGGGCTACTAGAGCTTCTGGTATGTCGAAGGAAAAGAGCCCAGTAGGGTCAATCCGGTTAGTCTGGGTACTGACGATTTTCAATGCCTCCTTTACCACCCACATTCCCATGCCATGGGCGATAAATATGGCGGCCCTTGATGAGCGACCATGATGCCCATTTGCAGTAGAACAGAATAGGGGCGATGTGGAGTCTTTCGTAGCTGTTAGACTATCGGATAGCTCAAGCGCAGATCTGTACAGGGCAGTCCTTCCATTGTGTAGGATATGTTCGCTGTCGAAAGAGAATGTACGGACATTCACGCAGCTGCTGATTGGCTCAATCTCACTGGTAATCCAGGACTTGAGGATCCGCCGGCACTCTGTGGATCGTGATTTTGATCCTAAACAGGATTTGAAACCATGCACGAGGATGATTCTAATCGTGCCGGGTTAGCTGAATCCAGTTATAAGTGAATACCATCGAGCTTCAGAGGATGCTAGGCAAGATATGCTCTTGAATACTAACTCATGGGTTACCCGATCAGGGTTCTCGGACTTGTGAAGGTCTCGTAGCGGCTATATTTAATTTACGATTAGCTGGTACAAGTGAGGATGGCATGTTCTGAATGTGAAGTGGCTTACACTTGACGGCATATTGGCCGATATTATCGTTAAAGATAGAGTTATTTCGTAATTCTAAGTATTCGGTGAGTGTAAGGAAATTGATAGGTGTGGGAAGAAGTTGAGAGAACATTGAAAGTCGTCTTCACATTTTCCTGGCAAGTTTAAATATTATAAAAGATATTACCTAGAGTATTACAATTACTCGATTCACTAGTTGAAGTAATTCTATGATATACATACAGAAGCCAAGATCGTGTAATGTGATCACCGGTTTTCATGCGATTGAGTCAGATGGGACAAACACCACGTTCGTATCTACTGGGAGCATAATACCAATAGTCCTAGTGTCACGGGGCGGAACCAAAAGATTAGGAAACAACGACGTTGTTGCGCGAAGAGCTTCTAACTACTCTCGCTATGGAGAACACGGTATACATACAGGTGATGCTGGAATATTAGGTGGCTGGAAGTCTACGCCCTGTACTCAGGGGGTATATATGTACTGTCTACGAACCACTGCCTAGAACTAGCAACTTAACCAACTAAATATACAATATGATACTCATAACCTGCATCTATTTCAACAGGTGAAGTTCTTTGTCTGTCCTTCTCCTAGGACTAGCGGCCAACAGGACCCTCAATCCCGATCCCATAGACCTCTAGCTACTGACCTAGAGGAAGACCGATGTCTGACACCTAGGCTTGAAATAAATCTAGGCAAGTACCTAAGTTTGTAAATGGATTGAGTTTCATGTATCTTTGAGTGTAGATGAGATGGATTTTGGCTCCGCCTCTACCCTTGACTTGGTCTTAGCTGAGTCTTGGGACTCTTCTTGCCCCCTGAATACAATAGATGCGAGTAGGTAAGCAAACAATAATCGTTGGTTACTGGGGTTATTGGATTTGTCAAGGAAGTCCATGACGAAATTATCCAAGTGAAGTCTAGGTACGTTCTTGATTCTAATATCATCCGATGTTTGAATATTCAAAAGCCTTAAGCCTTATTCCTGGCCTTGTCGGTTTTCTACCAAGCAGTCTAAGTTCACGTGTAAGTCGATCTTGGAAACAGTCTTAGCCTACCTACTCATTACGCAGGATCATGAAAATAGCTTTACTGCTGCTACACAACCAAGACATTCACAAGACTCTTGCCATAGTTTGCAAGGAAGATTTGGTATCGTAGTCATTGACAATACCTATTGACTTTTCAGACAACTCACATGCATAAAGAAAATAGAGTTTATATAAGTGATTATTTGATGCATAATGCCCATGTAGGTACCTTCACCCGTGGCCGTAGAAGTTGTCTTGGCTAATTCGAGTTGGCACTTACGAGCCCCTTTTCACACCTTAGTAACACGTATGATTCAATTTATTACATTTGGGGACCCAGCACATACCGATAATCATATGGCGTGTAGGTATTTTGGGCTCTCCTGGGGCGGCAGTACCAAAACCGATTCTCTCCTAAACAATGGTTCGTCGCTATCACGCGTTCTCACTCTAAAGTGGAGAGCATTGGCACTCTCCGCGGCGTTCAAAACCCACCATCACTATCCGACTTCGGTGATAGCTCTTGGCCGAACTATGTGGATCTATATGTATACCTACTAGGTAGACATGCATGCAATTGATGGGTAGGGTATCTTTTACCTGTATAAGAAGTTAATGGAGATTCTATAAAGACCAAGGAGTCCCTCGCCATAACTTGAATACCACATTCCCCCAACTCATTTTTGACCAGATCTTTCCATCCCCTTGCACATAGAACCATCATCATACTTCTACCAAAATGGCTGAACTCGACCTCCGCATCCCCGAGCCCTTCGCGAGTATTCCTCGGGAATCTCTCATGTTCGGGCCATCCCCTATCCAGCACTTGCCGCGGATATCCGCGGCCCTAGGCGGAAAAGTCCAAGTCTACGCCAAGCGTGAAGACTGCAACTCAGGACTTGCCTTCGGCGGGAATAAAGTGCGAAAGCTAGAGTGAGTATTTTGCCGATAATATCTCAGAAAATGTGAAACCGGGAAACTAACATTACACCAAGATATCTCGCCGCGGAGGCAAAAGCCAAAGGCGCCGACACCCTAGTATCCATCGGCGGCGTACAATCCAACCGTACGTCCCCAATCCCCCTTTTCCATTTTCCCGCGGAAAACTCCCCCCTTCCCCTCGGAACCCCCACAATAACCCAACCCCCCCACGCTAACCCCAACAGACACCCGCGCCGTCGCCGCCGTCTCCGCGGCCCTCGGGTTAAAATGCGCACTAGTCCAAGAGCGCTGGGTATCCATCAGCTCATCCGCGAGCTCATCGGAAGAACAGCACTACAGCAGCGTAGGCAACATCCAGCTCTCGCGGCTCATGGGCGCCGATTCACGGCTCGAACCCGCGACCGCGTTCGGAATCGAGCACAAGCCCACTCTCGCGAACCTGGAAGCGGAGCTGAAAGGTAAAGGGCAGAAGCCGTATTACATACCGGCAGGGGCATCGGACCATCCGTTAGGCGGCCTCGGGTTCGCGCGGTGGGCGCTGGAGGTCGAGGCGCAGGAGAGAGCGACGGGGATGTTTTACGACACGGTGATCGTGTGTGCGGTGACGGGGTCGACGTTCGCGGGGATCGTGGCTGGGTTCAAGCTTGCGCAGCTGAAGTTGGGGTCTAAGAAGAGGCGTGTGATTGGCATCGACGCTTCCGCGACTGTGAAGCAGACTTTTGACCAGGTGCTTCGGATAGCCAAGTTTACGGCTGTGAAGATTGGGTTGGATGAGAGCGATATCACGGAGGCGGATATTGAGCTCGATGATAGGTACCATGCTGGCGTGTACGGAAAGGCGGATGCGCAGACGCTAGATGCGATTAAGTTCGGGGCGCAGACTGAGGCGTTCATTACGGATCCCGTGTACGAAGGTAAGAGTTTGGCGGGGATGATGGATCTCATTCGAAAGGGCGAGATACCTGAGGGAAGCAATGTGTTATACGCTCATCTAGGGGGACAGCTAGCGTTGAATGCTTATCCCGAGATTGGCACCAAATAGAAGGTTTGGTTGTATTCTAATCTATCAAATCATTATTTCATTATGCTTGCTTCCCTTTTAAACGTCCGCTATGAGTCGTTAAACATCCACCCCCCTTCTATGGTTTACATTCATAACCAGAACCAATTTGGTGTGCGTATACGACATAAACCCATTGCTACCAACGTTGGACATGCACAATTCTCATTCCACGACCTGAGTGGTTGCCGCATTACGATCCTTCACCCGTCTTTCCAATACCCTTCGTTTAATTAGATCCTCTCATTTTGCTGTCTTCTCAATTCATCCTGGAACACATTTCGGGATGGTCGAGAGCGATCTCGCTGGTCTCGAGAACCAGGCCTGTTGAAATCCATACGTCGGTCCTCGGTCGGTGTACCAGCTAAGCTACCCAGGGCATCGCTGTCTCGTCGAGGAAGCTCCGGTACGTCATGATAAACTTCGCCGCCGTTGGCCACAACCTCTCGCTCCATCAATTGGATGCGCTCATTGGCCTTGTCCTTGCCGAATCCCATTCGAGAACGTGAGCTTTTGCCAATACCATATCCGCGTCTGCCGCGCGACATGATGTTTCCGAGACCGATTTGCCGAGACTTCCTGTTCCAAACACAGGTTCCAATAACGAAGAGCGCAATTAGCCCAAATACAGTCGGCAAGGCAATGATCAAAGCAGTCTTGTCAATAGATTTGCCGGTATCAGGTTGGTACACGGGGTAATTGGTGACCAGAACCCTAGGCCCCTTGATTATAGTGCTGGCTCCCACGGTGGCATTCGTAGTGGCAAGTTGCAAAGTGATGTTCTTGGCGGACTGATGTTTCATCAAACTCGATTCGATCGTGTAGCTCCAGAAGCCCCAAGAGGCCAACCACTTAGGTGACTCGAAAGCTTGGTCGGTGACTTCTCCGGTAGTCTCGTTGAGATAATTCCCTTGAACTAAGATAGTGGTGTTCGGGGCTGTAAAATATGTAGGGTCCCAAGTAACTATAGAATAGTAAGTAAATCTACCGGCTGTATATATAAGGATGGATAGACGAGACAACGTACAATAGTATGTAACGCCTGGGTATAACGGCGCTCCGTCGGTTGGTTGACACCAAGGGGCATTGGCGCCATCCTTGTTATGGCAAATTGGAAACGAGCCGGCGTCACCGCTGCCAGTGGCAGTGGCAATGGGAGCTGTGCCAGTGCTTGTAGAAACTTTGCCGTAATTGGTTTCAGTGAAAACAGTAGCAGTCAGATCGTGAGGTGCGCCTGATATTATAGTAGTGGTTCCGCTGGCTGTGCTAAGAACAGGCGTTACGGTACTCGGCTTTCCATCTGCATCAACGGTAACCCACGGTGCAAGGGCACTATCTGTCTGTCTAGGACGAATGTTTGGAACGGCAGATGCTAGAGAGAATAGCAATGCCGCCACGGCGGGTGATTTCAACGCATGCATGGTCAGATCTTGTGACTTGAATGTCATAGAACTCGCAATCGGATCGCGCGGGAGGATTACTTCAACTATACGGAGACGCGAATTAGTACGGCAACATCGAAAGTAAACAATTTGGTATACTAGGTAGGTAAAGAAGTTAGCACTTACAAGAACACCAATGACCTAAAAGAAGGAAATCAATCAACTAAGTGGAATTGAACAGGTGAGATTATCCCCTGTGTAGAAATAAATAAAAAGAAGGGAAGATTTCAGGAATTACAGAAACGAAAGTTACGCTCGGAGAATGGTCTTGCCCAGACAGCCAGATGAACCTTGGAATTCCCTAATAGGAAATAGTACAACAATTGACGTGCAGGCCTAGGGAGCTTGTTAGGGGATCGCGACCACCATCGTGTCCACCGAATCTAACCTTAGAAGCTAATCTTAGCCAAGTTCGCTAATTGCTTGTCCTGAAGTAAACCCCGCAATGTATTAAACACTAAGTTTATAGGCGGTGTGGTACCTAGTGGTACCTGCGCCTAGCGAAGATTAAAATTGGAGCATCATGCAGGAACGCGATCCGTCAGTTCGTATCGACAGTATCGTATTATCTCAGCAACTCGGCACCCTCAGGTAGTCAGGTGACCATGACCATACACTAGGAACTCTATTACCTATTGGCTAAAATGGATGTGGCTGAAGACACAAACAAAATCGCAGTTCAAGTCTGAATTGAGATAATTATCGTCAATACAGCAAAGTTCAATCAAAGTCACGATGCTTCAAGAAAAAGTATTGTTTAAACGAATGTCCATTTTCCAAACCCAGTTCGAACCAGGCTAATCCTAAAATCCTCGAAAAGTACCAAGAGCCAGGTACTCAAGGCTCAGATATGAAATACAACAATTTCCATCAGGCTCATATCATCCAATGCCCATCCCCTTCCCCCAAAAGGTTGACCCAGTAGACTGAAAAGAGCCATCCTTCCAACCAACCAACCAACCGAGATACATAAGAGAGTTGTCTAGATTCTAAGATACATGGTCTATAACAATCCAGCCAGGTTTCTAGTATGCCTGGTGGCCGCCACCCTTCTCGAGTTCACGGCGGTAGGCTTGGTGACCACCTCCCTTCTCTTCCTCGCGCTTGTAAGCTTGGTGGCCGCCTCCCTTCTCTTCCTCGCGACGGTATGCCTGGTGACCACCACCGAGCTTCTCATCGTCGCGCTTGTAAGCCTGGTGACCGCCACCCTTCTCCTCTTCTCTCTTATAAGCCTGGTGGCCACCTCCCTTCTCCTCCTCGCGCTTATAGGCCTGGTGACCACCGCCCTTCTCCTCTTCGCGCTTGTAAGCTTGGTGGCCACCACCCTTCTCTTCTTCACGTTTGTAGGCCTGGTGCCCGCCACCCTTTTCCTCCTCGCGCTTGTAGGCTTGATGCCCACCACCTTTCTCCTGCTCTCGGCGGTAAGCCTGATGGCCACCACCCTTCTCTTCTTCCCTCTTGTAAGCCTGGTGACCACCACCTAGCTTCTCATCATCTCGCTTGTAGGCTTGATGTCCGCCACCCTTCTCTTCCTCACGCTTGTAGGCTTGGTGGCCACCTCCCTTTTCTAGCTCTCGGCGGTAAGCTTGGTGGCCGCCTCCCTTCTCCTCTTCACGCTTGTAGGCTTGATGACCACCGCCCTTCTCTTCCTCGCGCTTGTAAGCCTGGTGGCCACCACCTTTCTCTTCCTCTCGTCGGTAGGCTTGGTGACCTCCACCCTTCTCCTGCTCTCGCTTGTATGCTTGGTGGCCGCCACCCTTTTCGAGTTCACGACGGTAGGCTTGATGGCCACCCTCGACATCTCGAATGGATGCTTGGTGGTGTTAGTATGAAGTTCTGTTTGTTGTTATGGCTGAAGTGACTTACGTGGTGCGGGTGCGGCGAGTGCCAAAGCTGGCAGAAGAGCGATGAGGACTGAGACACGCATTTTGAGTGTCGTATTCGATGGTTGGTTGGTTGTTTGGTTGAAACTTGTAGAAAATGTATAAGATCTAGACTGGTTGGTGTCTGAGGATGTTGTTGATGGTGAGTGATGAGAGGTAGGTTGAAATGTCGAGACGATGTGTGACTTTTATACAAAATCTTGAAGCATTTCACGAACTCATATGCCGCATCTCCGAAGACCTCATCGTTTCCATTACTCAATGAGATGCTGTGCAACGGCGCAACGGCATCTCAGAACCTTAACGCATGATGTTTGGATAGGATCACTCGGATTCAATCCTACACATTGACATTCTCGAAGTTATTGCCGCGACACTGTTGATCTACAGGTACCTAAGTGCGGCGTGGCTTACACGCGACTAATGGCGACGACGATGATATGCAAGTTCTTTCCGAATAGACAAGCGGTCGACCTTCGATGACGGTAAAGTTCATGACCGGTAATCATTGTAATTCCTTTACCCCACATTGCCTAGCTAGGCAAGTAAGTATGTCTCGGGTCCCGAGCGTATACTCTGCAGGGCCTAATGGTCATGATGCAAGTAAGACCACGTACCATGGCGTGGTGGATTCAATGGCTCAGATTTAGAAATTCAAGTCCTCGGACCCGTCCAGAAGACCCGCATATTATTACGCTAATATTTGCCTCTTTGCTTCTGGGAGATCTGCGTCCAGTGCCGATCCCGAGGGACTTGTTGGTTAGGTAGATCAAGGAGGCTCAGTTCTAAGATCGGTCACTGAGATGTTGATCAAGTTTCAACATACACATCATACTCCGAGGAGATATCTCGTAGTTTCACTATGATATGGCGCAATATCGCGAGACTCCTTTCCTTCGGCATAGTATGCTAAGTTGGGTGCCTGTAAATTTGGAGCTAGGCTAAACGCCACTGTAATACAGTAGCTTTTCTACGTTCTACTAGCAGTTAACCGCTAAAACATAGGGACTATTGAACAGCAATTAGTGCTGGTTTAGGGAACATTCTTCTAAAATAGGTGCTACAATGAATGTGCCCCCAGTAATGCTTAGCGTATTGAATACAGGGAGATGCCCCTATTTTCAACGCAAATTCATAGTGCGCTCTAGTAGGTGCCTAGTATCACCAAGAAGGCTTGATGCGATGTTTTCATTTTTTCAGTAAATTCATTCTATGTCAAGATTTTGCTAACTCCTAGTCCCATATCCACTTGATCTCTACACATCGTTACCACCTGCAGCATAATCAAAGGGGTCCGCTAGAGTGACACTGTCAGCCATTGTAGTATTTCAGAAAGTTTTGGAATCAGTAGCAACTCACGTAGTTCTGGATGAAAATCAGGATGTTTGATGAGATTGTCATCGTAGCCGTTGAAGCTGTTCGCCCAGGCCCATTGCTTGATTGAGTCCCAGTTTGCGCACTCATGAGTAACTTGGAAATTTGGCCAAGGGCGGCGGAAGTTTGGAATCCACTCAAAGGTGTTGATTGATAAATCGGCATTGCACATCACATATTGCCGTAGATTTTCCAAGCAGTGATCTATATCTAAGTTAGTTTTTGGTTGGTATTGATCAAACATCGTGGATTCTTACCAATGTGTTGGCCGAAGTTTTTCTCCTTGATTTCGTAGTGGTCTGGGTGAAGGAACTTGCGCACCCATCTCTGTAGATCATAACAATTAGCAACTTATCCCAGTATTATGACGGTCGTATAAAAGACTTGATATAACTCACAAGGCAGTGAAGCTGGTGGAAGACATCCAAGGCGGCCATATAGCCAGAACCATCAAGTAAAGGAACTGAAGTGTGGTTTATCCTGTCTAAGGTATCCTTATCAACTTTTATTGCTGCCGGTTCAAGTAGTTCATCCCAAGCTCTCTCGAATTCTGGCCTTGGGAGTCCCTTGTAAGGATTGGAGTTGTCAAGCTGGTTGTCAAGCATATGTGTCTCCCATTTCAGGGATTTCCACGCAGGTGCTTGAGATTGTTAGCAACGAATCTCTTATGAGGATAGGGTCTAGTTACTGTATGCTTGGGAGTTGGGATCGCTATATTTGGCTGGACATGTTGCTTGTTCAGGCTTGGTATGATCCCATATAGCAAAGAAAATTGCTGTATAGACGCAGGCGAGGAAGAGATGGATAATCCAAGGGCCACAATGATCTCCTAGTGATCTTTTCTTGGGGGGTTGGATGTATGATTCTATGTCTTCGCTATTTCTCCCCGAGGACATGTCTTTGTCCGCCGCAAGTAAACCTTGAGAGTCGGAGAAGTGACCCATCGTTGGAGAAGAGGACATATCGATCATACTAGGTGGCTTCAGTTGACTGGGCACTTAGGAGCGACTTAGGAGAAATTCATGAAGGTATGAAGAGACAAGAGTGAAAGAACAACACAGAATCTTAATTCTTGCAAGACAAAACTTCATGCAAACTTCAAAGATATTCATTAGAAAGAATAATTACTTAATTCGCAAGCTCCGGGAAAGCCGATATTCCTATAGGAGTCTATCTGCAATGATCATGTTGTCAGTTAGAACTAGGCAAGGTGAATAACTTCCCGTTTACCCTTTTCGAAGATGATAGGCTGATAGAATAGTTCCGAGCCATGCTAATAGAGCTACGCCAGAAACACGCATGTATCTGCCGTTGACCAACCGTGATATTTTAGTTCGTACCGTACGACTTACCCTATGTCGCATTGTATGCACTGATCTTCCTTATTGTGGGGGGAGCGTAATACTGGGAACCTTGGCTGACAATAATCCTTCCGGTGAAGATCTGAGATCAACCATCCCATATCCGCCTTATATGCACAAACCGAGTAAAGAAACACGCAATAATTGACGTTATGGGTGAAAAAATGGCACGATTAGATACATGATGTGTGAAATTTGGTTTAGGAGAATTTTCTTCGTGAAAACGTACCTATGCAATTAACCATTCTTGTCATAAGAGATATCTCGAAGGTCTTCAGAATCGTATCTTCTTCCCTTTCCAAATATTTCTAATTGTCATAGATTGACTCATGAGAAAATCTTGACTATCTCAATCTTTGACTCTAACTTCAACATCTTTCAGTTGTTCTTGCAATACACCATGAAGTTCCCCATCATGCATTCTACCTTTAGCTTGTTCAAATCTCCCACTCAAGGATACACTCCCGTGGCCACACCGTATCACGACAAAGAACCACGAGGCAGCGGAGATGAGGAAATGCTTCACGGTCCTATTGGGCAGAAGACGCCCAAGAGGTCGGTGTGGAAGGTAGTCGCTCTCTGCTTGTCATGTGCCGCAGTATCAGCGATCTTTACTGCGGTTGCAACTCGAAAGGTCTACAACAAGACCCAGGAGCCCCTGATGAGAACTCCAATTCCTGAATGTGAGTCACCTATATCGAACTTGAGAAGTGACTTATCTAACAATATTGGTAGTCCCCAAGGAGATCAGATATTTTGAGTGGGATGCAAAATACGTCGAAGAGCCCAATGAGGAGAATAACAAGGCTTGGGATGAGCTTCTACCTGTAAGCTGAAGACAGTCATTGGGAACGATAACGACTAATATTGATACAGGGCGGTCGTGGATTCGTATATGTCAATAACAGTGCTTCGTACGATCTTGAACCAGGACTTCAGAGCAAGTGGGGCGAAATCTACTCTGTTGCGATGTTCCACCAAATGCACTGCTTAGGTGTCCTTCGTCAGAACTACTGGCGATTGGTCAGGGGAGTCCTAGATCGGGACGAAAGCCTCTACCATGAAGCGGAAGTGATGATAGATACCGCTCATACAGGTCATTGCTTCGATTACTTCAGGCAGAGTATCGAATGCTCAGCCGACATGTCGCTCGAGTGGCCTCGAACTGAAACAGACGGTCGACGCTTTCAAGTTGATGGCAGAGGTATACCTCATGTCTGTACAAGCAAGGTAAGTCTACGTCTCCTCGCATACTCATGTGTGTCATGGCCGCTAACTCACAGAATTAGTCTGCGCTGAAGGAATACATGGATCTATATCACTTTAACGGATCGCGTGTACATGATATCGCTGCTTGATGGAGTTGAGATATTAGGCCTGCTCATAGATCTGTCTTTTGAATTAGTTAAGAATGGAACTCGAGACATTTTCTATCATAAACTTGAGTTTTCGATGTAGTGATAGGTAGTTTTTCATAGAATCGTAACTGATATTATTGTTTAAACTGTCACTTGACCATGAGTTCTTCCAATTCCACATAACTAGTCTATTTAGTGACCTCGTCTGATTATCTCTACTTTACAAGTAGTACCAGCTAGAAAGAAATAAATTCTCACAAATTGATAAAAATTGATTACTGTAAAAACACACTATGGCCAGTCTAGGTATGATCTCTTCATGGGCATTTCCCCCCGACTGCCTAGTTCCACCTTGCATATTGAAAGCTGTAGTATACTTGGTCACTCACCTTATTGAATTTTGAGTCTTTTACTAGTATGCACCTATGCAATAGAGGATATTCGGAACGTCCATGAGTGATGAAGCGGTGAGCGGCTGTGTCATAGAGCGACTTTCGCTTAATCTGATGCGAGAAACTCCCCTAGTACCTAGGTACTACTCGTATGGGAAGGTATTTTGCTACTCGGATAACGGCACTGGTAGAAGCTATTCGGAGGTAGCGGATCTAAAAGTTGGGATCGAAATCCGAGGAAGACTTCCGGAAGAGTTCCTGATTCATTTGTTAGCATCATGCAAAATGAAACAGCCGTGCATTAGCCGCATAGAACTTTCGTTGACAGGTGGACCGGGTTTAATCCTTCTACCGTTCCTGGGGAACCTTGTCGGCCATCCTCATATTATCGGGACCGATTCTTGGCTACCTACCTAGGCAGTGTGCACGTTGACGCGTTTACCGATATGATCGAGAGGGTTAGTGTAAGATCCTTCTATGGCGAATCCGAAATCTAGTGCGGCGTAGAAGTACTCCAAAAGAAGTATATTACTTAATCATCAAGCTGAGTAAGACAAACAAGGAACTATCCGGCAAAGTACCCGAGACATCATGCATAAATGTCTTAGATTTTAATATACTCACCAACATCTGGGAGTTAATATGGAATTTAATGATGTGATTGGTCGATCTAGCTTGCGATCTGCAGCATGCAGTTGAAAAGCTTATGTTAGACCCATGGGACCTTGGCTGCCTTGGCTGCTTACAGAGTAGAGCGCGAGAAGGCGAACAAGCATCAGGGCAAACGGCATAGCGGATGGGGTTCCGAGGATCCTTACTGCGTTCTAAACCGTCCGCAAAGAGCCGCGCGCCAAGTTTTAGAACTCATTGGGTCGGTATAAAGAAACATCTGTCTAGTATATACTATAATTAGTAAGAGTACTGTCGAAACCTTTGAACCATAACATCTAGGCATGATAATTTCATTAGTTTTGACGTTATTTACTACGCCGTGTAGATCAATAAGGTACTATTCTAGATTCGAACATATTTGCCAAGGCGTTTGCCTTGTACCACTCTTCGGCATATGGAGGTAGCCGTTACTAATTAGTGCTGACGTGCTACGTCAGGTCAACTGCCGAACCGTAGCGGGCATCGTATAGACCCTGTAGGTCTCCACAAGTCCGAGCCTCTTTCGACGACGCCTTTGCGCCTCTTTCGCCATATCTGCATGTTCCTGTCCGTGCAATCAAGGACGCCATTACCGGTCAGGACTTTATTTTCATTAAGTGGCTGTTATCGCGTCCTACGATTCGCGAATCGCGATAGTATTATTTACATATCTGCATATTTCGCACAATATAACCAGATGTCCGAGGGCGTGTACTATTGTACCCACGACGATCTATGAGTCTCATAGGATTTCGACCATTTGTGGTTCATGTTTCGACCCGACTCCTTCTGCATGCAGGGTCTAAGTGTTGCTTTTTACGCCGTCTATGAGGTTTTTAAGGAATTCGGAAGGTCCGTGTATCTTCAAACCGTTGTTGGCTCTAACCCCCGCAAAATTCCCGTTTAAGACATTCCTCGGCATTTTCATCCGTTCTTTTAAACATATTCCCCGATTTGTCTGAGTGTTGGGTATGTCCTATTTCCACGGCGTAAATGCAGTCATGCTGCAAAGAGGCTCATGATGGTATATCCTTACCCGGACGGTAACAGTGGAGTCAGAGAGGATGGGCATCTCGATGTGGCGGCAATTGGAGAGGGCTGAGAGCATTTGGTCCATTGAAGGAATCGATGATCTCAAGTCTTGCGTGGCCAGGTAATAATGTCCCAATAAATCACCAAAGCTCAATGTTTCTTTAGCTGTCTCCCCCGACGTCCATTTTCCTCCATTGAACCGACTCTGCACCACTGGTTATTCAGTTCTCACTCACTTAGTCTTTCTAAAAAATGTCTGGCATCAAAGCACAACCGAAGATGGGCGACAAGGAGAAAGAGCAGTTCGACAGGCTGTTAAGTGATGACAGCAGCTCCGACGTCGTCGAGGGCGTTGTCTATCCTAAGCCTAGCTGGAGGCGGAACAAAGGCGTCTTCCTCACTTATGCTTCTTTTGCCTTCCTAGCTATTGTTTCTGTTGTCTTAGTAGGAGTAGCGTCGGGAAATATTGCTACCTCAGACAAACTACTCGGGCAAGCTCGAGATGAGATCACCAATCTTCGCGCCCTCACAGCAACTCACTCCCAACCAACCCAGGCTGACTCTGCCAAGTTGACTGGCGAGGAGTTTGGCCACTGCGGGTCAACCATTGCTGAGGCAAAGCGCCTGGGATGTGTATTCGACTCAAGTATGTTGCCCTAGATCATTCCCTAGGAATACCTCGTTTGGAAACATTCACTAACTTGTTGATACAGTGTCGTGGGCCTGGCAGCGACCGGAGTGCTATCACGCCGAGCTAGTAGATGATTTCCTTACCCGAATGGACTGGAAACTCTACCCCTCGAACGACACGATGAACACCCAGCCAGCATCGCGTGAGGGCTGGGAGAGAGGTGACTATGTCACTCTCTATGCAGACAAGGCGTGGCATTTCTTCCACTGCATGTACTCATGGCGCAAGTTCCATGAGGCATTTGAGAAGAGGATGCCAATGGATAACGACATAGCGATGTTTGGACACACAATGCATTGTGATGGTGTGTTCCTGCATAACCTTGACCCTGAATTGATCGGCACATGGGAATGCGATTCGTGGCCTGGTGGATGTCGAACTATCGAGGTCACCGCGGGGTTCAATAAATGCGGGTGGTACTAGATCTGCGTTGATGAAGCGTGGATGGGTTTGGTTGGAGTTTCTTAGAAATTGGGACGTCGTGATAGAGTATATTTAGTCTATCGATCTACGTTGTTAGTATGTAGTTAGATGAATCTGGTTGTAAGCGGTGGGGTTGCAAAGCTTGTTACCCCTATTTAGCTCTAGTCTTAGTGTAAGCCGGATAACCGAAAAGGGGTAGCCCGAAAACAATTCTGTATACTCAAATGCTTCACACCTGAATAGGTACTGGGTAGACTTGTCATCGCGATATACCATTTTGATCAACAAAATTCTCCATAGTTTTGTACAATAGAAAAATAAAATCCATTCGTTTTAATGACCTTATTTTTGGGGAAACATGCATAACTCCTTTGTGCATTCATATGAACTTATGAAATCCTTGCGACCCGGTATATGCAACTCCTCGGAAATACGGACAAGTACGTACGTAAGATGTGATGATTACTAAGGATCAACACTGCAATTTAAATCCTATAATTGCTTTTTGTGTGTCTTACTTCTTAACGAACGAAAAACAATGAAAATACAACACTTTTTACATTATTCATGATTTTAGAATGAATTGCACAGCGCAAGAGGATGCCCTCTTCGGTCCGGCCGTGGGCATCGCTTGTCGCGGTGGCTTCGACTTCACCCTTTTATTTGAACAATCTATTTTAACTATTCCTCTATCGGGGATATGTTCGCTCGCACTTTTAGCTCGACTCGGATACTTGTCTAAGAGGGAGCCTGTTGCTTCTGGAGGCATAATTCGACTGATAAAATTGGTCGTTGCCGCGATCTTCCTCGGAATCCAGGCGTATTTGGTCGCACTCTGGGATTCTGACGACGATCTAAAAACGGGCGTCTCTATCGCTGCGTCCTCTATTAACCTAGTTGTCGCTTTTTTGGTGTTAGTGCTATTGTGGCTTGAAGATTCGCGGTCTGTACGACCATCAAGCGTGCTGAGTGCCTATCTTTTTTTCTCAGCATTGCTAGATCTTCCTCAGGTCAGGACATTATGGCTGAAAGGATCAAACACGACACTGGCAAGTTTATTCTCTGCGGGTCTTACGGCGAAAGTGGTGCTTCTATTCCTTGAAGCACAAAACAAGAGAAATCGGTTGAAATGGACTTTACAAGATTTACCGCCTGAGTCTACGAGCGGAATTATTAATCGCAGTTTTCTTTGGTGGGTGAACTCGATTTTCCGCAGCGGTTTCAGCGCTGTACTTGCAGTTGAGGATCTTTACGACATTGATGAGCCACTCACCTCAAAGATTCTATTTGACGCAATTAGCGCATCATGGGCTTCGCGAAAAATCCCGGAGCGACGCCTTGAGTACCCTTTAGCCGTGATCCGCGCGTTCTGGGTTCCTCTCTTACTCACAGCCATCCCACGTCTTTTCCTCATAGGTTTTACTTTCTCTCAGCCCTTCCTCATCTCGCGCACTTTGGAACTTCTCAGTGGGCCCGATAGCGAAGCCTCTCGCCAGCAAGGTTACGGCCTCATTGGTGCTGCTGCACTTGTATACCTTGGCCTTGCGTTTCTGACGTTACACTATAACCATAACTTGAACCGCTTTGTTACGATGTTCCGAGGTGCAACAGATGCCCTCATTTACGAAAGAGTATTGCATGTTCAATCTAGGACCTATGATGAGACGGCAGCAGTGACACTCATGAGCACAGATGTGGACCGCGTCGTCTTCTCACTTGAGAGTTTGAATGAGGTTTGGGCACGAGTGATTGAGGTGGCTGTGGGAATAACACTCCTTGCGCTTCAGCTGGGGTGGGTCTGCATTGTGCCTATCATTGTCGTGGTCGTTTCGAGTTTTGGAGCAAAACAGATCTCTAAAAATATCGGGGGGCGACAAAAGGTGTGGGTGGACGCCGTGCAGAAGAGGATCTCTGTTACCACGAGCGTATTGTCTGAGATCAAGGCAATCAAAATGATGGGTCTAAGCGACGTACTGACGAAAAAGCTTCAAGAGCACAGAGTCGACGAAACGCATCGAATGGCCGGATTTCGATGGAGCATAGTATACCAGAATGTGGTGCAAAACTTTCCCGATGCGATAGCACCGGCGTTGACGTTCGCGGTTTACACAGGCCAAGCCATCGCACAAGGGTCGGATTCGATAGGCACAACTAAGGCTTTCACAAGTCTAGCTATCATCACTCTTCTGACCGGACCTGTTTCAAAACTTCTAAGTGCGATTCCTAATACGTCCGCAAGTTTAGGGTGCTACGATCGGATTCAAAAGTTTCTTGTTGCGCCCCCGAGAAAAGATTATCGACTAATCTATGGATCCAAGGACGATCAATCCATGCAAAGTGATCAACTCCCATCTTTCAGCGACGATGCAGATTCCAGTACAGTTAACACTATCGATGAAGAGATCGCGTTAAGAGTCGATAACATTTCTCTGCGACCAACTCCAGACTCTGATGTCATCCTTGAAAAAGTTAGTTTTGGGATAAAGAAGGGATCATTTACTATGATTCTTGGTCCTGTTGGCGTTGGAAAAAGCACCCTTCTCGCATCTCTCCTTGGCGAAGTTCCTCCTGAGCATGGATCGATTACCATCAGTACCTCACGCGTGGCATTCTGCTCTCAAACCCCATGGCTACCGAACTTCACTATCAGAGACGTTGTATCAATGCCCAGCGAAAATGTTCCTTTCGATGATGCATGGTATCAAACCGTCCTACACGCATGCGCGCTTGAGGAAGATCTCAAGTTACTCCCTGCAGGCGACCAAACGAAAATTGGTAGTTCTGGGACAATACTGAGTGGGGGGCAGAAGGCCCGTGTCGCGTTAGCTAGAGCGATATACAGCAGATGTCGAATACTCATACTGGATGGAGTAGCAAGCGCACTCGACGCCAAAACCAAATTGGATATTGGCCAAAGATTACTAAGCAAAGATGGCTTACTGAGGGAACTGGGAGCAACCGTTTTGCTGGCTGGTTCAAGTAAGTGCCCCTTTGCTTCCTATATAATGACAGAATGCTAATTCCCGGTAGCTGAATATCTTAATTACGTCGATCAAGTATTGATACTTGGTCAGCGTGGTCTCCGGTTCGAAGGAACGTGTGATCGCGCCCTAGCTGAGGGTCTCATAGAATCAGGGCAAGGGCAGAAACAAGAAAGTCAAGGTGAACGCGAATCTGAGACCGAGTCAGATATTGAAGAGAAAGCGGAAGAGGTCTCTAAGGTCGACGAGCTTAACGATTTGAAAAGGGCTACCGGTGACCTCACGATCTATAGATATTACTTCGCCACGATCGGAAAGTGGAAACTTTTCGCCTTCGTCTTTTTCGTGATACTGAATGTGTTCTGTTCCGCATTTAGCCGTAAGTACCATTACCCATCTCACATTCGGTAGCATATACTAACAGATCAGAAATCTGGCTTAAGTGGTGGTCTGATGCTGGAGGTGGCCAGTTAGGTCTATATATCAGCGTATACTTGGTCCTCGCTATATTATCTTCCATTGGAAATGGTGGCTATGTTTGGTATGTGGTTCCGACTCCCTGGTATTTGCTCAGCTAACCATGTCCAAAGGGCCATACTCATTCTTATATCCCCCTCTACTGCGCGAAAGCTACACTACACGCTCTTGAAGACGGTCATGCGGTAAGAAAGCCTATCCCGACTGCATGGAATGAATGCTGACGAAGTAGGGCGCCGCAATCGTTTTTCTCTTCGACAGATAGCGGTACAATACTCAATCGATTTAGCCAGGATATGACCCTTATCGAAAGTCAACTTGCAATCGGCATGCTCATCACCGTCTCCAGTATGATAACTCCAGCCCCTTTTCTCTGGGCCAAATCACTAACTAGTATCGTATAGACTTTTTCTCCGTTTTAGCCAGTGTAGCTCTCGTTGCCACAGGATCATCCTACATGGGAGCCACCATTCCTCTTCTCATCATCGCGATCGGGGTTATCCAACATTTCTATCTGCGCACTTCCCGCCAGCTGCGACTTCTCGATCTCGAGGCTAAGAGTCCATTGTATAGCAACTTCCTCGAAACATTAACAGGGTTAGAGACGATTCGCGCGTTTGGTTGGGAGAAAACGCAACAGAAGGCCAATAATAGACTCCTTGATCTATCGCAGAGGCCATATTACCTGCTGTACTGTATCCAACAGTGGCTAACCCTGGTATTGGATCTTATCGTCGCGGCCGAAGCAGTATTGGTAGTAGGATTGGCACTAGGATTGAGGAGTAGCACCAGTCCAGGATTGCTAGGTGTATCTATGAACAATGTTCTGAGTAAGTGAAGCGTATTTGGCATCGCATAAAGTTGGCTAACCCTCTCAGGCTTCAATTCTCATCTTGCCTCCCTCGTCACAGGTTGGACGCAGCTCGAAACCTCGTTAGGCTCAATCGCACGCGTCCGAGACTTCGAAATGCAAATCTCACCAGAAGGCAAGGAAGGTGAAGATCAAGTGCCGCCGTCGAACTGGCCTGAAAAAGGTGCGATCCATTTCACAAACGTGACAGCGTCTCATAAGTAAGCCATTCCTTTCCCATCAAATATTGTCCGCTGATTTCTTCGTCGCTTACTCCTTCTAGTTCCACATCAACCGCCCTTCGCGATGTTAGCTTGTCTATCAAGCCAGGCCAGAAGATCAGTATTTGCGGTCGGACCGGCAGGTAAGTCTACCTAGTCTCGATTAGTCACCCGATTAGTCATTTGATTTGTCGCATTATTAGTCATCCATGAGTGCTTAGTAACACAATTTCGTGACTAAGCAATTGATTCCATGATTAGTCATTTGAATACCCCTATATTAGTCAGCAACAATCAACAGCTAACATGAACCAGTGGAAAATCATCTCTAGTTGGCACCCTTCTCCGCTTGCTCGAGATCGACTCTGGGACAATTCAAATCGACGGTCTTGATGTCTCCACCATCCCACGCGAAACCATCCGCGCCCGTCTCGTAACCATCCCCCAAGACCCGCTCATCCTCGTCGACACAGTCCGTTTCAACATAGATCCTCGATCCGCACATGCCGATAGCGATATCATCAATGCGCTTGAACGCGTAGGACTATGGTCACTACTTCAAGCCCGTGGCGGTCTCGACGCCGAGATCACTGGTTCATCATTATCTAGGGGCCAGCAGCAGCTCTTCGCGCTCGCACGTGCGTTGCTACGGGAAGGGAAGGTGCTTCTGCTTGACGAGCCGACGAGTCATGTTGACCCAGAAACAGACGCTACGATTCAAAAGATTCTTCGGGACGAGTTTGCGGATTGTACAGTGCTTATGGTGAGTCATAGACTTGATGGTGTTATGGAGATGGACGCGGTGGTTGTCATGGATGAGGGGAAGGTCGTCGAGATGGGGAATCCGGTCGAATTGGCGAAGACCGATGGTAGGTTCGCTGCTTTGGTTGCTGCGAATGATTTTGGTGGGCGGTAGACTGTGTAGTCGTCATCTGGATAGGAATGTTGGACGTGATCTAAGTAGGGACTAGGTAGTGTAGTCTCCAAGTAACTGCTTCGATTGTCCTTAATATTCGATAAAATTCTTATGGGCATTGAAATAAATCATGTAGAATGTTCTTAGGTGCCTGTGTCAACCCAAGCAAACCAATTATTAGACCTAATACTTAGCTTAGCTGGCTCACTCCCCCGAAGAAAAATGAATGTTGCATGACTAAATGCAGACACAAACGACGTCGCAAGCAGAATGTTTCATGTTTACCTAATACTCAGGTTGACATTGCATACAGAGATTCTGCCAATGGGACTTGGTTTTAGACAAATATCGTCAAGTGTTTGTGTACATTGTGGTTATTTTCATAAAATATACTAGGTAGTACGTACCTTTTTCAAATGTACCTACTTCCAAAAAAGATAGGATTGATAGTCAGTTCTAGCCATAAATATCTCAAAATATCCCTTTGGGTTAAGTAGGTAGTTAGGTACTTCGTGTGGCAAGAGGAGAAATCAGAACAAGCAACTAGAACTATAATGGACTAAATTTACCATTTCGCACTGTTATTAACACTATTACAGCCACTGTATTCAAAATTTTACAGCCGGCATTTACCCCTCACTTAGAGAACCTAGTACCATCCATCCACTAGAGTTATGGAGGCTACCCACCTACCCATATAGAGCAAGGGATATTCAGACGCACTGTCTAACACTTAATCCCATCTAACCTAAGCTCTTTTTCTAAAACGAAACCTTTCAAATTTCTCACCACTCTCGTCACCGACCCCACTATAACAGTTCGTCTAACCACATTGCCCATTCCGCATTTCCAGAAATTTTCTATCCAAGTACCCACCATTTACCGCTATCAATTCAAACTTCCTAGTGTTGACACTAGTTTCATTGTTTGCGCAACAAAAGCGTCAACCTTCATACGTCTTCATTTTACACGGTAAATTTACCTCTCCTGCATCATGAAACACCACGCTTATTTTTTTTTAGTACGATTCCACGCTGTATTCAATAAACAGTGAAATTCAACCCGACAACTTAATTTCCTATTACTCAACGCAATCCGACCATGACCATGACCGTTCTCCCATCCTCATCATGGCGACAATTGTAATCGGAGACGAGAGTCTAATCATCGATTTCGATGGATTCATATTCGAAGATGCTCAAATAGACCCCTCTGTCAGCACCGCGCTCACGACGCCCCTCCAAGGCGTGGATGCCGGCGAGGCCACTGTGTACAACAACGCGCTGAACCTGATGACCACAGCGCTGTTGTTCAAGCAAGAGTGGATTGATAACACACCCGAGTCTAAGACGAGATTCATTAACGCGGTCACCCGCCACTGGGGATTAACAACTGCAAATGCCACGTCCTTCCTTATTGACATGCTCTTCTCCGCTAGACGACGGTTCGAGAACACAGACTCCGAATACCCAATCACATCACTGGCTTAGGTAGCTAGTGTATTTGGGTGTTGGGAGCAGACTCCAAGCCAAGTCCGCAAAACATTCTCCGAATCCCCTGAAACCGTCGCAATTATTCACGACATCCTCCGAGCGACAAAGGTGCCGACATTTGTCCAGGGCATTCACAATCCAGTCGCACCGCATCTCAAGCCCTACGCCGTTATCTGCAAGGACCTCGTGAGACTTGTCCAAGGAGACATACTTGGGCTTGGTTTCGCCGAGGACGAGATCAACACGCAGCAGATCACCAATATCATCGGTAGAATGCTAAGCCCTGGTCATCAACTCCTGGTACAACGAACGATCGAAGAGGCGCAAGCTCCAGGCCAAATTTGTCCGATTATTGTGTCAATTCGTGACGACATGGTTCGAAAGCTTCGCACTGCAGTTAGTAATGCGTATTGCGGCGAACAAAGAATCGTTAACGTTGTTGCTGAGCTCGCGGCTTGGAAGCCCCGTATCTCGCGTTCATACGGAACACTGTACCAGCCAGATGTCACCAACGGGCAGAAGCGCACCCACCATGATGCAGAACAGGTAGAGATTACGCCTACAGCCAAACAGGCTAGCATAGAGGTAGAAGATGATAACACCATCACTTTACCTATGAAGAGAGAGCATGGCGGCGGCGGGTCTCCTCCTCCGAAGCGTGTTCGCGAGAATACAGACGAGGATGGCAACATCCCTATTACAGTTCCGCGACAGTGCGTCCCCATGTAGATGATACAGATCTACAGATCTTTGGCCAGCCCTCCAGGATAACGATTCCGCTTGGAAAAGGTTCAGGACAAATCCACCATACTGAACTCTCTGGCCTACTAAAGGCCAATGAACGCGCTATATCAGGGATACTACATAACGATTCACATTATCACCGACTTCTCACCAACGACACCAAAAACTATGTGAATCTATCCTCACCCCTCTTAAGATTGCGGGGTTATTTCTTTATTTTTTCTTTCTTTTCGGGCTTATGGATCACTTGTTGATAAGGGTCTCTTTTGAAGATCAATGGTGTTGGAACAACCGTCTGGAACATCGCACCAGTTTTTTCCTTCATGTAGTATATGAACCAAGGGCTTATAGGACAATTGCAAATCGATCCTACGTTTATAAACATGAGAACGGAAAGTGCCGTGACCTGTGAACCCTCTATGGACCCCGATTAATGACAAGACTTTACTTCCAAGCACCCCTTTTTAGCCATATTCCCCTGTTGTGTTTACTAGGCCCGTCTCAAAGGCTCGAAGTTCCAGGCATCCAGCGCTAGGACTGATATTTCTCGCACTTCATGCAAAAAAGCTTCGCGAGTTCAGCCGCAGTGTGTTTATGATTGAAGTGGCTCGTCCACTTCTTGCACACCTTGCACTGGAATAACTTGTCCGAAGGAGTGTCTCGCTTGGAGGAGTCAACATTAGCATCCGAGTTGCCTGAGATGTCAGCTTCGTATCCTTTATCCTTTTCTAAGGACATGGTAAGTTTAGTCATTATTTATATAATAAAGAGGTTTGGTTTGAGAAGATTTGATACAAACTATTTGATTTATGCTAGTGACATGCTGAGGAGATGTTAGGAGACCGCTAATGCTAAATTACTTATATCTAGTATATAATAAAGTCGTGATTTGATTGTACCTGCTTGATATACATAGAAGTACTTAGTAGCCGTATACTGCCAACCTGATACACACCTTGGTCTTACTCTAGATTTTATCACAGTGAAGACGATGGATGGCAATATTCTGATTTTCATAGTACATGTCATTGGTTTTGGTGACGAAAATCATAAATTCATCAGGAGTAGTCATTGTTAACTATAAAGCCTACCTGGCTAGTAGAGATATGTCATCTTCTATCATGTAGTTATTGTGATATATATACCAAAATCTACTACAAAAGATACCATATTGGCTTTGGAGTGATGTAAGAGAAAGGGGTACTATGTAACCATACCTGTCATGATAGCATAGGTGCCTCCAAAAGTCTTTAATAATTTCTATTCATATTGTATGATAAATTATGTACCTCGTACCGCACAGTCAGTTCTGATATTATTCCCCACTACGTACCTGAGTAGGTACCTGAATATCTGGTGATTAAGCGGTGCAGTATTGTCCGAGATACATAGGGGCACTTGGTAAACAAAGTACCTGAGTACCTACTAGGTGCCTACTAGAATACAACGGTTGTCGAACCCACGATGTAGAGATAGGTACCTATAATTGTAGATTTTTTGGTGTTCAGGAGCGTGATTGCCTCAGTGCCTAAACAACAATCATAACATCAGGCATGGACGCGTCGTGATCTATATCATACCTGCACGTATACAATCATTTTTCGAACAAGCACCTTCCATTTTGTTCTTCCATCTCAACCAAACCTGCTTATTTCTTTCAATATCAAACTTTCCCGACATGTCGATTTGGCCACCAATCCACCCATACCCCCAAATTCCATTGAGCCTGAGAAGATATACCGTCAATATCCGTCTCGTTGCCAATCGCGACCACGATGTCGTCCAATACGCCGAAGACACAGGCCTCTACATCCCAGGACGTTGGACCATCTTCGGGAATGGCCGATACTTCCAGTAAGTGAACTGATTTGTCCGTTCCCCTTCTTAATTCGCGTCCCTAACACCCTATAGCATCCGAACTCTCAACCGTTGGTGTTCCTGGTCCCTCAGCGGACACGGATTCACAGCCTACGAACCCTAAGCCCTGCCAGATGCTCGACCTTCCCTTCGACGTCCTGAGCACGATCATTGACCACATCGATGACCAAGCCGACAAGGAAAACTTCGTCAAAGCATGTCGCGGCCCTTCTAAATAAGATGGCATCCTCAAGTACGGTCTTTTCTCGATGACCACAATGCGATAACGAAAACGGAAGGGATTTGGTGAACAGTAGAGGATGAAATTGGTTTTTCGGTTGGGGCATTGTCGTTTCCCATTCGCACTGGCTATTTGAGATGGGATTTTGATTCTGGGGATGGGAGTGGTGGTAAAGATTATGGAAAGTTGTTAGATACACACTGAGCTGAGGATCGTGGAGACAACCCTAGAGGTTGCTCACTCCAGACAGCTACCAATAAATCTCCATCTACTCCCCAGTACCAAGTTACAGTAAATCAGAAACCCTCCAAAGTAACCCCATTTCTATCTAACTCTATTGCCACATGTTTTCCCCGCCCTTTTCTTCGAGTTGTATTTCGCTTTAAGTGACTAAAAATATTGGTAAGTTACCCCATCCTTCTAAGATCTTCCAACCCAATACCCAGGGCTACCTCCAGACCATCAACCCCTTAGCATACAACCCAACCACAACGCCAACCTTCCTCTTAGAATCGAAAGCCGCCGTGCAGCTACTCGGATAATCCGCGCCGACGTAAAGATGCTCGAGGCCCTTCTCCTCAGTCCACTTCGAAACCCAGGAGAAAGCCTCGCTAGTCTTACACTCCTCCTGCACCGCCGCGTCCGCAGAAGCGAGGTCAGGCGAATTGCACTTGTGGCGGTTGGCAGCGTACTTGTTCAGCGAAGGGGGGTGAGGGTGGCCGGCCACGTACAAGGCCCCGTCTTGCGAAACCTGCACGTTGTCGATGAAATACGGGATTCTGACTAGTGACTTGTAGCTAAGCGTTGGAACAGACGCGGCCTCCGCTTGTTTGAAGTCGTAGAAGTACACTGCTAGCTTGGTAGTCGAAGCTACGGCGATAGTGCTCTCGTTCAGGAACTTGATGCCGTTCGCGAAGGGGACGTGGGCGACGACGGTGGCCTTAACTTCGCCTGTGGGATCCGCCAGGAGAGCGGAGATGTCGACGTGGACGACGGTGCCGAGGGGAAGTCCGAGATACGTCTCCAATAAGGCGAGAGTGGGATACTCCTCGGTGAGGAAGTAGTGGTCGTTCGTGATGAGTAATTCGCGGCTGTTCATTAGCGCAATGGAGTTGGGGCCGTGGAGCAGTGGATGCCGGATAGTCCGGAAATGCTTAGCGGTAAATGCGGCTAGGTCCAGAGTGAACATCTCCACAGCCGGCCCGTCTTTGCGGTGATTTGCGACGAACAATGTGGAGGTCGCTTCGTCGAAAGCGATGCCTAACGTGTGGAAATCCGCGCCCGGCTCGTAGCCCAGGATTTCGAATCGCTTCAGCGACTTTGAATCCGGCGCGCTGGCGTCCGTGTAGTCGTAGGCGAATATGTTGGCGCTAGGCACGGGTCCGGGTAAGAAAATGCCCTGTGCCCGATGAGAATGTGCACATATAATGCGCGGACGCTATGACGTATCGGAGGTCGTTCATAGCCATTGCTACATGACGAACGATAAAAATGAACTTAACTTACCATCACCGTGTTATACGACTCTCGTCCAGGGTCGCATGACAAAATCGCCAGACCCTTGGATTCGATAAGCAAAGCATCTTCGCAACTACGAACCGAGTCTTCAAACTTGATCTCCGATTTGAGATGGTTGAAATGCGTCAGCTTGCCAGGCGCATTGTTTAGAATGGTTGATAGTCTGATGTAACTCTCATATAGAAATGGCACGAGAGCGGCCAGCGCTATTACAAACTACACTCAATCAGCGACTACTCTTATACAATGGACAATACAATCTTCCGACTTACGAAAGCGCTCTTAAACGCCATTTTGTATTCGTGTCTTAGAAGTTACATTCAAATCGGTGAAGGGGAGGAAAGCAAAAAGTCTGATTTGGAGCACTGGGGAATTGGATTAGGTACTTGGCTAAGGATCAGCATTGTGCTAACTTCTAAGTATAGCTTAGGGTAGCTATCAGCACCTACCCTGGTTGAGGCGTCAGCACGTAAGCGAAAGCGAATATGGAGGCTGCCCACTGTTAGCCAGGATTGGTAGAGATGGTCAAGCACTATACAGCTTCAATTTTATTGGCTAGGTACCTGGTGTCAGCATGCAAAGTGCTGAGAATGTCAAAACATGAGATTCTATGATTTTCTATGTGCGCCATAAGCTCAAATCATACCACTAACATTTTACATCCCTAAGTACCTAGGGAGGCATAGGAGGATTTGTTCTCGAAGTCGAGATGTAACCACCAAGTTACCGAAGGGGAGCGAAATAGGGGGGCCACTAAGGGATTGAGGAACAGGGGTTCCTAGTTTACTATCCCCTCTATTATCGAATCAGGGTCTTGTCCCAGCCAGATTAGGTGTAGGTTACTCAAATGGGCGCCCAGGGGATAGGCTCCAACTAGGGCTACTCCATTTATTTCGACACGATTCTTGTTGGAATATAATTAATATACGCCACTTCAATAGAATCAAATGGTAATGGTATAAGTAGAACACTTTTGTCGCCCATATACTAATATCCCAGACAAAGGTGTGTTGCCTCAACCCTGATCATCCGACTAATTCAATCGTAACATATCACTCGTGCTCGTTCCACAATCTGGGGCATACTGATGATTTGCTTATCCCCCCCTCTCTAGCGAGCTGTCTGAAGTTGAAGTGACATTGAAGTAGAACTTGCAAAATAGATAGCAATAACACTTTACTGTAACTACACTTAAATTAACCCGGACCATAGAATGCAAGGAATATTCTGAAAAGACTGTTGCACGGAATTCCGTGAAGGCCAAAATTCGTTTCCTGGTAGAGAACCACCAGATCGTTGGTCTATCTATCCAACTCCAGTAACTCGACTAAAGGAACGTCTCTCGGGTACACCTAGGAAAGTTATGTGCAGGCAAATATAACCACCTCCCATTTATCACTGTCGATCCTTAGCTCATGGGTTCAGGGCTCTTCTATATCAAGGCTTTCCATCTCAGACAGATGGTCGAAAAGCAACCCGTTTAGCCGACAAGAACAACGTTTATTTTTGGATTCCGGTGTTTTGAATTCAGTGATACGTTTTATGAGTGATGCAATGCTATACCCTATGAATGGGGATTCTGGTTTTAAACCAAGGCCTGCTTCTTGCATTTGTGTCGTGAGTGCACCTATTAATACTGATGAGCATGAAGAGTCGCACCCAACATTTTCCGCATTTGGGTTCGCGAGAGTGTTGTAAAGGTAATCAAATATTTGGTTGAGGTAGTCCAGTCTGCGCTGATCAATTTTCTCTATATTTTTGTTAGTCTAATATGTAATGATTGAAGTATATGCATGACATACCAGCTATGTCAGCAATTGGCAAACCCATCGTGGGAAAGCTGTTCTCGGAATGTCTAACGGCTACTCTCATTGCCCATTCTAGTTCCTCTTCCTGCTCAGTTACCGAAGAGATGAGAATCCATAGAACGAGGTTTCTACCAAACGGAGGAGAGAAGCGTGGCTTTGGCGATTTATCCCACGGAACCCACCAGGGCATGAGTGCTTCATGGCATTTATAATAGTCGACAAGAACGGCGATTTTGGCTTCCAAATCCAATGTAATTGATGCAGGCATGTTTCGATTACGACCGTGTATGGCTTGCATTACAATGAGCAGAGCCGTTTCGTCCCAATCCTCAGCGGAGACATGACGGCGGCCGTCCGGATGAATGACAGTCCCCTCCTTCCAGGGACCTCGAAGTACGCCCCGGAAATATCCCGAGGCTAAAATCAAATGCCTCGAAGACACTAGGAATTGAACAGATGATGACGAATTCAAAGACGAAGTGTAGTTATTTTCAGCTGGAATCAGAGATCTAGGTTCCGGTTTACGTTTAGGTTCAGGTTCAGGTTCAGGTTCAGATACAGATTCAGGGTCAAATTCAAATTCAGGTCCAGATTCAGGTTCAGGTTCGAGATTAGGTTTGGACCTATGAGGAAACCTTGATTCACAGTCCGAATCCCAAACAGCAAATGGTGCGTTCGGATTGCGAAGGGTAAGTAAGACATCGCCTTCGGGATCAAGCTTGTAGATCGCCATCTTAGAATGATTGATTGAATGAGAATAGGATTAAAAAACTAACAGGATTTTCTTTTGGGGGTTGTTTTAATACCTGAAGTCAGCTGAAATTGAACTCGGAACTTGCTTTGGGGTTGTTGGAGTAGAATATGGACGTGGGACCCCACTACTCTACCGGACTAGGTACATAGGTGCAGCTAACATGTGGGGTTGAATCGTGCCATCTAAAAATACATTTTGGCTGGATTAATTCGAATGTTAAAACAATCAGTGAATATTTAACGCAACTTCAAGATAATACCAAATCATGGGGATATCTCCAGATGGTAAGAAACTATTTTATTATGAAACTCATTGAAAGACCGTATTTTCTTGTTGCTTAGGTAGTTTTCAACCTTGATACCTTATCCAGACTCATCCTAAGCATAGGTAGGTATTCTCGGCATTCCAATTTGCTTTTACTTGGTGGGCTGATTTTTTGGTTGGGATTGTTGCTCTTTATCTTCGTTCTTTTTAGTAGCCCTCGCTTTGGCAAGCTGCTTTCTGCCAAGCTGTCAGTACCTGGCCTAAATATGAAGATTAGAAATATCGCATACTCTTTTTCTTTAATATATTGGCTCTCTAGTGCCTTCTCACGATCCGATAAAGGGTTGTTTGGATCCATCTGGTGCGTTACTTGTGGTCTTCTATAAGTAATTGGCTGATTAGGTAACTGTTGTGAGGATGTAGTGTTGGATAATTAAGGGAAGATGATTCGTAGTGGTGGGGGAGTGCGTGAGGTAAGCATGGATCTGATATATAGATCTCAGTATTTAACGACGTTATATTTATTAATTATTTAATATGTTTAATGAAATATTGAATTGTTAACAAATGTTTATGTAAACTACTTTTTATTTAAATATTTTCTTTTTTAATTTAAAATATTAAATATAATTATTTATTATTTAATTAAAAAAGTAACGAAATATTAAAATATTTAAATAAAATTTATAACGTTTATAATTTTTTTTAAATATTATTTAAAATATTTTATATAAAATTATATTTTTTTTTATATTTATTATTCGTGCGTAAATTATTATTAATAATTTTACGAATATATTATTATAAATATTAACGCGCGTTAAAAATAACGTTAAAATAATAAAATATTAAAAAAATAAATAAGTAATAATTTTTATTTATTTATATTAAAACTTTTTATACCGTTACGTTTTATTATAATAATTAATTTTTAATATACGATATTATTAATATTTAATATATTTTTTATAATTAATTTATATTAACGTAAAAAAATTAAATTATTTAACGTTATATTTTTTTTAAAATTAATTATAATAATTAAAAAAAAACCCGTTATAAATAACATTAAATTTTTATTATAAAATATTATTAATAAATAATATATTAAAATTAAAAAAAAAGTTAAAATATAAAAAAAAATTATTATAAAATTTATAATTATTTTTAATAATTTTATATATTTTTTTAAAAAAAATAATTAAACCGGTTATTAAAAAATCGCCCGCGAATACGTAAAAACTTTAAAATAATACTTAAACGTTTTAATTTATATAAATTTTAAAAGAAATTTTATAATATTATTAAAATTTATAAATATTTAAATTAAAATAAAAATAATAAAACCCGAATTTTATTTAATTAATTTAATATTATACGTAAATATAATTAAATAAAATGTTAAAATATTTTATAAATTAATTATAAAAGTTTTAATAATAACGTTTTTAATAATTTTTAATAAAGTTTTAATAATTTTAAAAAACGCGAAAGTTTTTTTAATTTAAAAATTAAATACTCGTATATTAATTTAATTTTTTAAAAATTAATTAAAAGCCCGGTTATTTTTATACGTTATTAAAATAATTTTAAGGAAAATTTTAAAATTCCCGGTAAAAATTATTAAAAATATTTAATTTATAAATATAAAATAAATTATACGAATAATAAATTTAAACATTAAAAACTTATTTTTAAAAAAAAAAAAAAAAATCATAATAAAGAATATTTTATACGTTATAATAATAAAAATATTCGAAAAATAATTAATATACGTAATGTTTAAAATATTTATTAATATTATAAATTTTATTATTAAAAATTTTATAAATATTATTAAAAAAATAATTACGAAAAAAGTAAAAGTTTAAATAAAATTTATTTTAATTAACGTATATATTTCGAAAAATAAAATAAACTTTATTATTAACGAAATTATTTAAATTATAATTTTTAAAAAAAAAGTTAAATATTTTAAATTTTTTTTTATTAATAACTTTTTTAAAAAAATCGAAAAATAAATTTATATTACTCGTTATAATTTAAAATGTTAAAAATATTATATAATAAAATATTATAATAAAAAACCTTTTTATAAAAATTATAATAAACGTTTAAATAAATATAAATTAATAATATAAAATATTTATAAATAATTATTTTAATACGTTAATTATTATAATTTTTACTTAATAAATTATAACGATTACTTATATAAATTTTAACGAATAAACGGTTAAATTATTTTTTTAAATTAAATAAAATTAAAAATTATTAAAAAAGTTAATAATTAAAAATACGTGGCGAAAAATTTCTTTATAAAAATAATTAAATAAACGTCGTTTTTTAACGAAAACTTTTTAAAAAAATATAAATAAATAAATATTATTAATAAATAAAAAGCTTCGTTATTTTTCGTAAAAAAAAATAAAATAAAAAAATAATTAATATTATTAATTTTATAAAAACTTTTATAAAAAAAATAAAAAAATAAAAAAAACGTTAATAAAATTTTCGGTAAAATTATTAATGAAAAAATCGGTTAATTTCGTAATAAAAATTATAATAATTATTTTTATATTAATATCGAATATAAAAATTTTAATCGAAATAATAAATAAAATTAAAAAAATTTATTTTATAAAAATCATTAAATAAAATAAAACACGTTTAATAATAAAATAATTAATAAAAAAACGCTTTAAACGTTAAAACGTAAACCTTAAAAATTAATAAAAATAAATTTAAATAATTAAAAAATAATATTATTATAAGTTTTCGAAACTTAAAATAATTAACATTATAATTTATAACGTAAATAAAAACGAAAATATATAAAAAATATTTTTATAATAATATTAATATAAAAATATTAATATAATTTTATTTATTAAATTATAAATATTAATAATTAAAAATAACATTATTATAAAACATTTTAAATATAATAAATATTTTTTAATAAACGTTTAAAATACCATTAAAAAAAATAAACTTAAAGTTATAACGTACGTTAAAAAAAACCCCCGATTATTAATAAAACGCCGCCGAAAAATTTATTATAAAAACTTTATATAATTAAACGTAAACGGTTATTTTTATTTAAATTATTATAAATATTTTAAAATTAAATTAATATTTAATTATTTAACTTTTTTTAAACTTTTAAAAAATTATTTAATAATAAAAAACGTTAATTTTTATTATTTAAATTAAAAACCGAAAATTAACACGAAAAACGAATTTTAAAAATTAATAAAATAATTCGTTAAATTAAATATAATTTTTATAAAAAAATTAAAAATAACCACGCATAAAAATAATTATATATTAATTTTTTTTTTTAATATTTTTTTCGTAAAAAATTAAATTATAAAAAAAATTAAATATAATTTTAATTATTTATTCGTAAAAATTACTTTTTAAAATAAAAAAATAAAACTTTTTTTCCAAAAAAATTAAAACTTGGAAAATATTAAAAAACGAATTAAAACGTTTAATCGATTTTATAAAAATAAAAATTTATAACTTTTTTAATATTAAAATAACGAACATTATAATAAAAATTAATTACGCGGTAATTAACTTTTTAAAAATAATTAATAAATATATTAAAATAATAAATAAAACGTATCGTATTAAAAGTAAATTTATATTATAATAAAACGAAAAGTATTAAATAATTTAAAAAAAATAAAAAATAACGAATAAATTAAATTTTATAAGTTTTATTAAAAAAAACTTTTTTATAATATATTATAAAATATAAAATAAATATTAAAAAAAATTTAAAAATAATTACATAAACGATAAATTTTTTATAAAAATTATTAATTAATATAAATTAAAATAAAAAATAAAAGCTTTTTTTTTTAATAATAAAAAAACGAATAATTAAAAACGTTATTAAAAAAGCCGAATATTTAATAAAAATTATTTTATTTAAGTTTAATTTTAAAAATAATTTAAACGAAAAAAGTTATAATAAATAAAAAAAATTATTTTTTTAAAATACGAAAATCACGAAAAAAAAATAAAAAAATATATAATAAAAATATTTTTTATTTTTTTAAAAATCAACGTAATTATAATAAAATATTTTAAAATAATATAGTTAATTTTTATAAAATATTATATAAAATTATTAAAAAAATACTTTAAAATAAAAGTTTTTTTAAACTTATAAAAAAAAACCGAAATAATAATAATATTTAAAATAAAAAAAATAAATTTTTCGATTTATAAAATATAACGTTTAATAATATTATTATTATATTTAAATAAAAGTTTAAAAAAATTATAATTAAAAAAATAGTTTAAATTATATTATAAAATAAATTAATTAATTTATAATATATAAAAGTTATATTTAAAAAATTAATAATAAATTTAATAATTAATTTTATTTATAACGTTAAATTAACGATAATAAACGGTAAAAAAATAATATTAATTATTTTAAACGTATAAAAAATTTTCGATATAATTTTAAAAAACCGATTATTAAACTAAATAATAACTTAAAAATAATTAAAATTTATATTTAAATTTATAAAGGATTTTTTTTTAAATAAAAAAGTAATTATTCGTTTAAAAAAAATTATTATAATAATTAAAAACGTAAAATATAATATTTTATAAAGTTTTTTATTATTATTAATATTATATATATTATATTTTAATAAATTATTAAAAAATAACGAATATAAATAAAATTATATAAACGATATAACGATATTAACTTTTAATAAAACGTTAAAAAAAAACATTAAAACCGTTTAAAAAAAAATAAATAAAATATTAAAATATAATAAAAAAAATAAAATAACGTTCGTTTTTAAAAAAATGAAAATAATACATTTCACCCGGGAAAAAAATAAAAAAAACCCCTTAATTAAATTACGAAAAAAATTAAGGATAAAATTAATCCCTTTATTAAACCCGAAAATTATTAACATTTTTTTAACTTTTCGTTAATTAAAAATTTATTTAAATAAAAAATTAAAATTTAAATAACACGTAAAAATTAAAATAATTAAAATTATAAAAATAACGAATTATATAAAAAAGTTATTTATAATTTTTAAAGAATTTTTAACGATAAAATTACATAAAATAATATATATAATTTTATTTTTTATATTATTTTTCGGTTATAAAATATAATATAAAAAACGTAAAAAACTATTAAAAAAAATAACGAAAAACCGTATAATTTTAATAAATACTCGTTTAAAAAAATATATAATTATAATATAAAAAATAATTTATAAAACCATTAAAAATATATTATTAATATAAAAAACTTTTTTAAAAAACGCGTTATTCGCCGTAATTAAAATAATTATAACGAAAATAACATTCGAAATAACGAAACGTTATTACGTTTATAAATTTAAAATAATACACGAAAAACACCCGTTAATAATTAAAACGATTTTTAAAAAAATACTTAAAAATAAAAAAGTAAAATAATTATAAATTACATATATAAACTTATAATTTACGATAAAATTATTATTTAAAGTTAAAAAATAAATATTTTACGTATTTTATTTTAAAAAAAAATTAAAAAAAACTTTTACGAAAAAGAAAAATAAAAAAACGGTAATTAAAAAATTTAAGAAATAATTTAAAAATCGAACTTTTTAAAATATTATAATATTTTTAAATAAATTATAACTTAATAAATTTATAAAATATAATTTTATAATATATAAAAAATAAACTAAAATTATTAAAAAAAAAAAATAAATTCGAACGAAATAATATTTAACGTTAAAATATTAAATGTTTTAAAAAAATTAAAAAAAACTATTATTTTATTTTTAAAAATAATAATAACGTTATATATAAATAATACGACCGTTATTTAAAACATTTAAAAAAACGTTTTAATAATTTTATAAAATATATTTATAATAATTTATAAATTAATAAATACATTAAATATAAACTTAAAATAATACTTTAAATATTATAAAATTAAAAATAACGAAATAACGGATTATTTAATTAAAAAAAAAGCGAAAAAAAACTTAATAAATTTAACTTCGAAATTAATTATAATAAAAATTAAATATTAAATAAAAATTAATATATAAACTTTAATAATTAAATAATAAAAAAAAGTAAATATATCGAACGGATTTTTAACGATAAAAATTAATTATAAACTTAAAAAAAAACTTAAAATTTTATAATTACCAAGGAAAATATTAAATTAATATTTTAATATTATTTTAACATATAAAAATTATTCGTAATATCACGTTAAATTTAATTATAACGATATTAAAATATATTATATTTATATATTATATTTAAAAAATAAAATAAAAAAAAAGCTATAATATATAATTTATTATAAAAAAATAAAAACTTTTTAAAAAAATTAATCGAAATTTTTAAAATTAAAAAAAAAATTTAACGAAAAAAAATAAAATAAAAATAATTAACCGATAAAATTTTATAAATTAAACTTATAAAATTTATCGAATAAATTAAAATATTAAACGTAATTAATAAAACACTTTTTAAAATTTAAAAAATTCTACGAAATTATTAATTTTTATAATAAAATATACCCGGTTTTTTAAAAAAAAAAAATAATATTACACATAAAAAAATATAAAAAAACGAAAAAAATTAAAAATAAAAAATAAAAACGAAAAAAAAATAAAACTTATAACTTTTATAAAATTAATTTAATAATTATTTATGGATTTTTTTTATATAAACGTTTTAAAAAATAAAAAAAAAAATAATAAAAATATAAAAATAATATTAACTTTCGTAAAAAAATACGAATTAACTTTAAAATAAAATAATAAAATTTTATAAAAGAAATTATAAATAATAAAACCTTATAATTAATTATTAAATTAACTTTTTAATTTAAAATTTATAAAACTTTTTTTCGAAAAAACTTAAAATTAAACCGATCGATAAATAATAATCGCTAATTAAAGAATATTAAACCCTTAAAATAAGATTTAGCATTATAATATTATTAAGATTATTAATATTTTATAAATAAATAATAAAGCTTACCACGTTTTATACCTTTAAGAAGGTTACGAAAAGAAGCCCACACCCGTTCGCTCAAACGTTAAACAAATCAATCAATCAATCAATCAATCAACCACATGAGACCGACGCAGTTACTCCCATACTATCGGCATGAATTTACCACCTATCCATATGAATAGATTAATACACATACTAGGTGCGGTACCTCTTAGCTCACTGCATCCGCTTGGGTCGAGACTGTGGTCTTACTGAAGTGACGTCAATTAAGTAAAGAAAGAAGAAGAGGGAGGGGTATAATCAGAAAGGGAATGCGGCCGGCCAAATCACAATGCTGAATCGACAGACGCACTCGAGCTATGGCATATATGGCATCGTAACGAGACTAGCCGTTCAAGTTCCTATGAATATTCTAACTCTCCTCTGCTGAATGATATGAGTGAATGAGTAATAACTCCGATGCACAGACCCAGAAACTTAATAAACCGTGACCGCGCTAACAAACCCATTCTTCAAAACCTCAAAGACCATCCCCGGGAATCCGTATAGTGTAGTTGTAGAATCTTCGCTTCCGTCAAACTTCTTTGCAGCGACTCCTCCGCTGCTATCCTCCCAGCCTCCCAGGAATTCGCAGCTGCTCCCAGGACTATCTCCCCATCCTCTATTCAGCACCATTCCTCGTTGGCGTCTTTTGGCGTCCTCTTCCGACGAATACGTGCTCTTCCACTCCTCCCTCAGCCGTTCCTCTATATCATCGAACGGGGTTTCGGAGTTTAAGATATTGGACGAATTATCAGTTACGAGATATTGAATCTCCCAACGACAGCGTCGGTGTCGGTTGAATGGGTACGAACCCGGCACATTCGCGTGAAGGACCATTTTAGTAGCCACCAATCGGTCTGCCATACCATTCTTGACCGGATTTTCTCCAGGGACTTCTTTGCCATTCAGGGTAGAAACTTGGGACGGTGGTGTCCGTGAAGCAGGTTGAGGCGGCGATACCAAAATATCAAATCCTAGGTAGAAATAATTGTAGAAGCATTCCCCAGATACGTTTCCAATAAATTCATCTTCGATAGCTTCGTCTTCGGAGTCTTCGGAACCCGTATGGGCTGAAGATTGATCAGTGTCGATTAGATCATCTGGGCGTCTATAGTCGCCACCGTTAGATCTTGACCTGCTGTGACTTGCAGTGCGTGTCTTGTGGATATACATCCTTTGGTCGTTCTTTCGATATATGGCATCGGGTGGGCCGAGTTCTGCCACCAGATCTTGGGGCGTGGTCTCTCCTAAGTTAATCCATACCGACGAATTCGTCCATTTCTTGAATAACTGAAGCCTTCCACCACCATGTATCTTGACTAGGGATATTTCATCAGGGACGACTTCCTTACTCTTACTGAACAGAAATGTCGACTTGACGCTAGGGAGAATTTCGTCCCAAAGCGTCTCCCGGGCGTGAGCCCAAGACTTCCCACTGAATACCGCCACAGAACTGGCTGTTTGGCTTGCAGACGAAGATAGCAAAGAAACCACATCCTTATTGGGAGAATAAGCGGACTTCGGCAAGGGGAAGCTAAATGCTACGCCAGGATATGACAAGATGTACGTTCCTACAGCGTTGCTGTTCCCCGAGTCTGTTGGAGGTATATATTCTCCGGCATAGGTTGGTCCAAACAGGCGGTGATAGATATTCTTGAATGCCGGACCTGTTGTAGCATCGCCACCTAATCTAGGAGACCCTAATGTTCCTTGTGCTGGTTTGGCGATATCTTTTTCTTGGTAGGTGATACGGCTCTTGGTAAAGTCGGTGACTTCGATTAAGCGGAGCCGTTGCTCCCGACCGTCGAAGCGTAATCGTACACCGTTCGCGGGAAGGGCTAGGACGACAGGATCCGTGACAGGCTGAGTCGCAGAATAGGTAAGATCTAGCTTGGGGAAACGTTGAGGTTCGGCTTTAAGACGTGTCAAGATATCATGGAGCGAAGCACCAAGTACTATAGATGATCAGTCATTAGTATTCTTGTGGTAATTGCCTTCTATACTGCTAGATATCCATACTTACCAAGGAAGCCTAAGCCAACGTTAGGATGAAGGGCTGCCGTAAATATAGACATATTGAACTAAGTATTCTGATGTTGATCTTGACAAAGACGTTGATACAATATGAGTTGCTAAACTCGCATGAGTCAAACAAGTCAACCAGCTCCGGTTGAATCCATGAAGAGCAAAATGTAGTTGCTAAGATGCGTGCACATACAGTCAGAACGGCATCAAGTGCAGGTGATGTAATTAGATAAGTTTGCCTTGTGTCAAGCTGGCAAGTCGTCAAGCCATTTGGTCTAGGCCGAACTCCGCAAGCGCAGAAGGAGAAAGGCTGGAGGCTGTCAGATGCGCTGAGATAGGACGTCATTTGATACGTTAGATAAGCAGATAAGACAGATAATGATGTGGGGTGGTCAGGCACATTGCGCGTGCATGTTGGCACATTCAAGCTTTACCAATTTTGGAAGTACGCAGATACATCATGAGGTACGCTTACCCAATGCGGTACCACAGCTTTGTACCCCGCCCATCGCCTATTGGAGCTAAACGGGTTGTCACGGCAACAGAAGTACTCTCTGTTGATTCTTTAGTGGGTCTTCCGCCGAAAATTGAGAGGGAAATCACAAGAGCGGTAAGGTTACAACTCCCCGTCGCGTCTTATGCTTGTTCATTGTAAATCTTATCAACCTTCATCCCCGTCTTTACATTATCCCGCAATTCCATCTCTCCACAAACTTATTGCATCGACGCGATACCAGACATACCTTGAGGGACCTTATGAACTAACAATTAATTCAACATCCCCTTGAGTTACAATCTCGTCCTGCTATTTTCTCTCTCGTTCCCATTTCACCTTAGTCTATTTTGACGGTATTTTGAAATCGATTGGCCACTCATCATTCGTTAGCTTGAATAGTAGCTTACAATATCCCCTCTCCATTGAATTACTGTCACCATGCAGGGCCGCTCTCAAAGGAGCGAAAGGCCCTCCACGGCTGCCAGCGCGCGTTTGGGTGCTGCCGGCCGTACTGGCATCAGACCTCCCTCAAACAGAGCATCATCACTTCGGAATCCTTCTCACAATCATCATGCCACTATCGCTTCAAGAATTGCAAGAACCGCAGCCCCTTCTCCAGCCGAATCGTTATCATCTGTTGCTACGACCGGAACCAAGCGCAAGGAACGCGACTTTGAAGTAGACACTACTGTAGAGACTAACATCGATGTTGTCGTTCGATGTCGAGGCCGTACCGAACGAGAAGTAAGCGAGAACAGCGCTGTAGTTGTTTCGACAGAAGGTGTAAAGGGAAAGTTGGTCGAACTATCCATGGGGCCAACTGCCCTAAGCAACAAGACCTACAATTTCGACCGTGTTTTTTCCCAGGCCGCAGACCAGAGTATGATATATGACGATGTCGTAAAGCCCATCCTAGAGGAGGTATGTCAAACACGGCACATTATTGCGTCAAATAAATGGCTAACAACTCGTTAGATGCTTGGAGGATACAATTGCACTATATTCGCCTATGGCCAAACTGGTACCGGCAAAACATACACCATGTCAGGAAACATGACAGAAACTTTAGGTATTCTCTCCGACGATGCCGGCATCATTCCACGAGTTCTCCATTCTCTCTTCAACAGGCTAGACACGGGGGACACCGATAGTTTCGTCAAGTGTTCTTTTATCGAATTATACAATGAAGAACTTCGAGATTTAATCTCCGTCGAAGAGACCGCCAAGCTGAAGATTTTCGATGATACGTCGCGCAAGGGTCACGCGACAACAGTCGTCCAGGGAATGCAAGAATCCCACATCAAGAACGCGTCAGAAGGCATCAAGCTCTTGCAGGATGGCAGTTTGAAGCGACAGGTAGCCGCCACCAAATGTAATGACCTGAGTAGTAGAAGTCACACTGTGTTCACGATCACGGCTTGTGTCAAGCAGACTGGAGAAGATGGGGAGGATTATGTAACAGCGGGCAAATTGAATTTGGTGGATCTTGCTGGAAGCGAAAATATTCAACGATCTGGAGCCGAGAACAAGAGAGCTGCCGAGGCCGGACTGATCAACAAGAGCTTGCTCACTCTAGGCCGAGTCATCAACGCGCTGGTCGATCGAAGTTCACACATACCCTATCGAGAATCTAAACTGACCAGGTTGCTACAAGACTCTCTTGGTGGTCGTACTAAGACCTGCATCATCGCCACTATCGCATCAGCCAAGAGCAACCTCGAAGAAACTATCTCGACGCTCGACTATGCATTTAGAGCAAAGAACATTCGTAACAAACCACAAGTCAATCAAAGAATTAACAAGGAGACCCTTCTGAGAGAGTTGACGCACGAGATCGAACGACTTAGGAGCGAGTTGATCGTTACACGTCAACGTAACGGTGTCTATTTGACGAATGAAGGCTATGAGGAGATGACTGCTCAGAGCGAGTCCCGTAGGATTCAGAACGACGAACAAGCGGCGAAAATTGAGACACTCGAGTCCAACCTACGAAATAAAGGACAAGAACTCCTTTCCGTGACTTCTAACTTTATGGGCTTGAAGAAGGAACACGATTCTATCAAGACTCAACTAGATGAGACGAAAGATATCCTCGATCAAACCGAGCTTGTGCTCCAAGCAACCCGCAAAAGTCTTGCCGAGGAGACTCACCTTCGCAAAGCACACCAACACACCGAAGAACAGATGCATGTGGTCGGCGGAGAACTTATCAGCACCATTAGCAAAACGGTCAAGGATGTCGGAGGTTTACATGCCAAGAATAAGAGGAAGTCGGACCTTCAATCGTTGAATCGGTCGACCTGGAGATCCGCCCAAGATCAAGTGTCAGATGTAACATCGCTCGTAGAAAGTCGTGTGGAGACGTTTCGTAGCGAGCAACAACAACACATATCGACTATCTCGGACCGAATGCATTCCTTCGTACAAGGAGAGCTAGAAAAGCTCACTTCTACCCAAACATTTCTCGACGAGAATCTCGAGCTTTTTGCACAATCTAAGAGAGAGTTGATGGAGCAGCAAAACCAATCCAAGGACGAAATGGACGATGTACTAGAGGAGATCAAGGAAGTCCGAGATCACATCAAAGAAAGGGTGGGCGAGAGCCTCGAAGCCATTGCAACCGCTGCAGAACGAATAGCAGAAGACGTCCTCAGTGAACTAGGCGTATTCCATAATCAACTACACCATTCCTATTCTACCCTGGGCAAAGATTTCAAGTCAATTTTTGAAGACTTGTTGAAGCACATAACTTCTCAGAAGAAGGAGTCTGACGCTCTCAGAGAGCAACTCCAGCATGCAGGCGAGACTGCTGTCCAGTCAAATAGCTCAATCTCAGCGGAATTGCAGGAGGTCATCAATGAAGAACGACGACAGGCGGCCGAGGAACGCCAAAAGCTTCTAGCACAAATCACCAGCCTGATCAATACCCAAGCCCTCGCCCAGGAATCACGCTTGGCCGACAAAGCAAGTTCCATTCGGCAGAGCGTACAAGAGAATAATACCGCGTTACAAGGTAGTATGACACAATACTCTGAGGGGATGGATAATTGGAACAAGAAGGAATCGCAGCTTCTTGAGGAAGTTACTAGCTCGCGGGACATCTTGAAAGCCAAACTAAAGGATGACTGGACGGTAAGATACCTCGCCCAAGTTTTTTTATATTAGTACTAATTGAGGCACAGGCCGCGAACAAGCATAGTACCTCGATCCAAGATACAACCATGTCCGTACATGCTGAAACCGTCCGAGTCGTCGATGAACAAATGAAGGATCTCGACGAGCAGATGACATCTCTAGACGACTTTGTCACACGTGCTCGTTCTCAAAATGAGGTTCATCATGCCAGCCATTCCGATTCAGTGACATATTTATCTCAGACTGTCGAAGGCTCGTATGCGAATATTGGGGAGCACTTCAAGAAGACATATTCAAGGGTCCAGAGCATTGGCTCAGAGATGGATGCTGATGTTGCTGATGCTGAAGGCTCCTTGAAGTCCATTCCGAAAATTATCTGTCGACCTCTCGCTACGCTTAGAGAGGACATAAATGATACCGCCTTGCAGGAATACCAGCCGACCGGGGACACACCGCAGAAGAAGGCATATGAATATCCCACGGCACTCCCACAAACTGAGGCACACGAAGATCTAATCAAAAAGCTGAACGGCGAGGTATCACCCAGCAAGGCTAAGGTCTTTTCCGATGCAGATTCATCTTTGTCGGAAAATCGGTCGCCGTCAAGGCGTTTTACATCGGACCATGCTTTGCAGCCTTCCGATCGCGATCAGATCCCACTTTCGATGAGTTTACGCGAGGTCCACCCCAATCTCAACACGGCAGGCTCGCTAAACTTTGACCCTCGTGCTAACGCTACAATCCACGAATTCGGTGCTGGTGTTGGTCCAGGACTGGCAGACCCGGCTGCGACCACGAATGCTGATGGGGATTTTACGATGCCTATTTTTAAGAGAAGTAGGACGACTCGATCATCCAAGGTGACTCGAAGGACGATGACTAGCGAGGGTCGAGAGAATATGCCACCGCCCCCTCTCTCGTCGGTGATACCTGGAGGTGGTAGGGAAGTCTTCTCGCAGAGCATCGCAAGAAGAAAGAGCCCACGACTGAACTAAAAAGGCCGTGGCAGTTGTAATCCGAGTCTATTGGGGGCAAAGTCTGGGGGTCTTATTATAATACTCCGCAGATAGTAGGCATTTGCACGGTTGGGGTTCTCTGGAGTTGGCTACGGAATAGGTGTTTGGGCGATTCGGTTCTTGTCGGATAAGGTGTAGGGCGATCAGACCTTCGACTCGACATGCTCTTTTTGGAGCATGTTCTTTCGTCTCGGTCGGTTGCCCTAGCCTGTGTGCTAGATACCCCTGTTGTTAGTAGCCTTTGCCATTGGCAAAGATGATGGTATTACATTTTAATCCTTCCTTTGATTATTCGTACCATTCGAAGTGATCCAGGACATGCTTGCTTGCTTTTTAAGCATTAAATGATATTGTTACCTAGGTACCTATTGTAGACTTCCTACATACCTTACCCCTATCATTCCTTGAATACTGCTATACTTGAGGAAGCTACGGAGGAGCAAAGTGAGGATTTGTGGTAAGAGCATAAGATAGTCAGGGCGTAACTCGCTATGTGTACCACACTTAAATGCCCTGAAGCCACCCGGTCAGGTTCTTTCGTCCCATCCACTTCTAATCTTAATCACATGATAGAGTTTTTGGGCCGTGTAGTTTGGGTCTGTGTTACGACATAACATGAGCAAGATTGGTGACGGTACGTTTTTTAAGCTTAACTGTTTGTTCTTCCATATGCCATAGTGTTGCACTATATTCCCTTCAGTTTCCTTTGAATTTTTACTTTACTCCCTTTATACGATTGGGTATGTAAGTCGCTCCAATGATACTTCTTTGATTGTACCAAAGCATACTTCAAGCTGCCTAGACTATAACATGCATGTCGTTAAAACTCTTTCTAGATATGTCATTTACAAATTGAAATTCCCTAGTGATTCAACTTTCATTGAATATTCATACGTTTCTAAGCACGACGGGCCCGGGCCTTCATTCCACCATCTAGGTGTCGGGACGCCGTTAGGTCGTACAGGCACACGCACTAGAGGCGACTTTCCCACCTACGCTGTAGTTATCTAAAACGTCTTTAGATTTGCAATAATAATTCGGACGTAGGTGCACTCATATTCATCATCACCAAATCTACGATCCCTCCTTATTTTCCCTCGGTACTTACCTAGTACCTACTTGTCGTTCTCTGTTCTTCTTCTCTCCCTCGAAGCTTACTACTGTCATTTTTGTACTACATGTAAATAACTAATTCCACTTCACGTTTTCACCTTTATTACCACCCTCCTCCACCAGATTTCCTCACCACATCCCCAGTTACCTTCAGTGACTATTCTTTGATTTTTCAGTTCCATTTTCTCTTCCACACTCGCTCTTGTTTCTGTATATCACAGGACCGCCACCAGGTTAGTTTTCGATCTCGTTTTCATATCTCTTCAATTCGTCTTGTCTCCTCCCCTCTACAGTCCTTAATCTATCTCCTCTCTTCATTTTGTAACCATTCCTTTTTCTAAACCACAACTATTTTCCTTCCTTCCTCCATTTTCTCCGAGTGGTCACTCTCATTCAAATTTCTCTATTTACAAGATAACTATCTGGGTAAGTATTTTATATCACTATTAAATTTCCAACCTCCAACAGCTCGGGTCCCTATCTTCATCACCCTCCTTACCCATATCGCTCATGCTTTCAATACATTCTATCTCCAGGAGTCTCTGCCCTCTCTTCCTACATTTCTCTCCGTCACTCTTCGTTCTCCGCATCAAAATATACAGGCAAATAGCTCTGGCCGATTTTTCATATTTCCTTTCCCACCTCCCGACTTTCCTAGCATGTCAAGCACCGAGTGCCTTGTTACCTTCCTCGCCAGCTCTCTCACTCTTTTAACAAGTCACGGGACTAACTTTACCTCTCAAGTCAAGCAGTCTCAACCTCGTTCTTTTCAAGACACCTACTTCTAGATAGTACAACATACAAGACCTTTGATATGATTATCAAAATTTGATATCCACAACTCAGTTAGCAGCCTAGCTTGTATTCCCATCCAGGTGAATATTCCCACTATGGCAACCTTTCTTCCCTTGGTGCAGCCAAGTGCCACCGGACCACGCTTCTTGCCAACGCAGCCGCATCCGATACCAAACCCGTATCATGCCAGCACCACTTGCGACCATGCGGTGATATGTGTTGTGTGTGGTAATATTTTCAGACCAACTGTAAGTCATTATAAACCACTACTGTCTCATACCGGTATATATCCTACAGTCTACTAACCTCATCTGTTTTATAGACCCGCTCCTCGCTCAACCTAACCGAGCCTCGGCTCTATCATCACTGGACGCATCCGGCTCTAATTAGAGCAAAGCCAGGCTTCATTGAATGGTGCAAACAACCCTCCACAGCTCGAGCCTTTCGCCGTAATGACTCCAAGCTATTCGACTTTTTCACAATCGATCAATTCATTGGTGGTCCCGCTGGTTTTTTCAATAGATCTACTGGCCAAATGGAGGTCAATACTCAGGATGATGAAATGTATCTCCCTATTCACGTCCCCTGCCTCGAGCTGGCTCTTGCGTTTTGTCGCTACCAGTCCAAGTTTGACATCAACTTTCGAGATGTCAGCAATGGAATGAACTCAGGCGAGCCGTCCAGCATTGCTCATCTGTATGAGATCTGGATGAAGCGAGCATGGATAACTCAGTCTCCATTCCGCAGTCGCCTTACGAAACCTATCATGGAACCTCACAAGTATTTTGGCGCATTCGTCACCAACGATCTACAGCTGTATTCTCATGCCCGAACCAGCCACCAATGGGGACATATGATCCGAGTGCAAGAGTCGGACCCCTCGCTTGACCTACTATCCACTGCTCGTGCCATCGTTAGTGGAGTAGTCACCCTTAACGTAGGTGAGGCAGAAGAAAGAGCGCGTGAACCAGAGGTTGTTGAGCTCCGAGCCCGCATTGCCGCGTCGCCCCCCGAGGTTCGTATTCTAATTGATGAAGCATTGGAGCCTTTTGACGATATCGGCCTAGCGGAACTCTATTGCACGCGCGTGTATCCGCCGGAGTGGTGGCTGGACAAGCTCGTCAATGGTGTATTTATTCCGTGGTTACATGATCTCACCATCCGCTGCATACGAGTAGCATTAGACGAACAAAATCGCCCGGACGTGGAACTAAATCAGCTGGATTGGGAGTTGCTCTGCCGACAATTAGCTCAGCCCGATCCCTTCGATCGCGATCTAGGAATCCTCCGCTGCCCTCGTCTCCAGAACCGACACCGCATCTGGCGCCTTCTCGCCAGCGCTCGACTCGGACACACGGTGATTAAAAACATCTAGGTAGCCCGCGTACCTGTTATGATTCTCGATAAATCATGACCTTGGGGGATCATCAAGTCTTTTTTTCCTCTATTTGCATTCGCATGGCGTTTGAGAGATGACAACGATACCCTGAAAATCGGCGCCTCGCGCTGATAGGACTTATCGCAAAGTCCTACGAATTACTTCCTATGGTGTTCTGGATTTGGCTTGTTTACGAAAATGGTTCTGATTTGGAAAATGAAGATAAGGGGCAATATGGACTCGACGATTTGAAGTCTATCGGCAAATATCTACCCCTTGTCATCGTCGCCATCTACAGAAAGGTCTTACTGTGTATTCCAAGCAATATGCACAGTTTTACTTGATCTGGCTTTGGCTTTCCCGGAACGGTTGCGTTTTGCTTTCTTATGACGGATAATTGTTTCCCTTTGCACTGCGCTGTTTCTAGAGATGGAATTGTACCTGGCTACTACATGACTGGCATTCTCGCATACAAGATTAGGTACTTGCAGATATCTTCAATAGAACTGTGACCTGCATTCATGGCAATTGAACTAAGTAGAGCCGATAATGGCTCTTGTGAAATATTCATATATATATGTGGCCATTTCCGCCTGCCGGTGGAAAGGGACCCTCTAGATTACCACGTAGGCACGGTGAGCCCGCTAGCAAAAAAATCAATGACCATTAAATGTAAAATGACGGCCCTCTAACAACAATCCAGAGAGGAACCGACATGATATAGGTACGTGGAATAGGTATTTCAGACTAAAGTCAATTGAGGTCATCATAAATGTGTCAACTGTATTGATCGTATTATATCTCATCGTGATTATAGCCACCTTACTAGGTATCCTATAGAAGGGTGGTCGCTATCTAGTGCTGTGGTGATAGTGGCGTCTAGCGCTATGCGCACCTCTAGCGAGCTCTGTTTAGAGCCCTGGAGGTATGGCGAATCGTCCTTCAAAAATTAATTTTGCTTGGGGCATTTAGGACGCGGTTAGTGGCGCTTCTGCTGCGCTTGTGCTGTATTTTATCGTGAAATCCGCTAAATGTATAAGGGGTCTAGTGCAATTCAGCCCAATTACAGCTGTTATACGGTGACCCCGCCACCCCGCCCCCGCGTCCATACCGGGTTTACTTAATTCTTGCATCAAGTTGGAACACTCCGCGTACCTACCTACCTACCTACTTACCTGGCACAACAAAATATTCAAAATCAACAAGACAAATTCTCATTTTCTCGGATAGAACAGGCCATGGATACTACGAATAGGATTGTCGAGCTCGCCTTGCTCATCGCAAATAAGACGTTTATGATAAATAACTTCCTCGTTGAGAAGGGGTTACCTACTCTTTCATTGGACGCAGACGCTCCCAGGTTTCCACCCATACCCGACCGCGACAACATGGAATATACAAGAAACTGTGTGATAGAAGCTTGCACGGAATTAAGGGCTTTGATGACTGGGCCTAGAGATCTTTTGAGGTTCAATGTTAGTTCTCTGCACTTCTTTCGGGGCCATGTTTAGCTAATAACGCGTTATTGATAGTGGACTTCTCACAGCAGCGCAAAGGTTATTCTCCATTTCAAACTAGATAAATCGTTCCCAGTAGGGGAATCTACCTCGTTCAAGGCTATGTCGAAGTTTTCTGGCCTTAGCGAGAAAAATGTTCAACGTGTTATCAGACACGCTATCACCCACCATTATCTATTCCAGGAGAAAACGAGTGGGGTTATCACGCATTCCTCCTTAACAGCTATTCTTTCTCGTGATGATGCCGCGCGTAACTCGCTTATCGTTGAGCTAGACGAAATTTGGCCCGCGGCGGTCAAGGTAAACCCCTTCCCCTGAGAAAATTCTTATACGTGTGCTCATTCATCGTGTAGATGGCGGATGCTCTAGAAAAATGGCCAGACTCAGAAGAATGTAACGAAACAGTAAGATAACCCGAGCCCTATCTACGTAGGGGCTTATTGATACATATATGTATTGTGTTAATTCGCGTTGAAGGCGTTTAATCTTGTGAACAACACCAACAAGAGCATGTACGAGATACTCGCAGAAGATCCCATCCGCAGAGAAAGATTCGAGCACTACCTCTCCCAGCCCGATATCTCAGACGACAATGTTTTCTTTGAAATCCCCTGGGAAGACAGGAGTACTATGGTTCAGGTCGGAGGATCGTACCACAAGATCGCAATTGGCGTCGCTCAACAGTTCCCAAATATGAAATGCTTCGTACAGGATCTTCCGGACGCAATTGCGAGGGCCGAATCACAATTTCCCGCCGATCTTCGAGACGGGGTCACCTTTATGGTGCATGATTTCATCAATACACCGCAACCCCTCAGTGTAGACATATACATATTCCGATCAACCATGGATAATTTGGCCGATAATGATTGCATCAAGATACTTCGGAATCTCATTCCAGCCCTAAAAAAGGGGGCAACGATTATCGTTTACGAACGGATCTCCCCAGACCTACCCCGATCCGGCTACCATACCGAATATTCCCGGAGAGATACGTAGGTTTCCTGAATATTATGACATCCATCATTAGTTCGTATTGATCTGTCTGGCTGATCCTTTTACAGAAATTTCGATATGGGAATGGCACAGCTTTTGAATAAACCACAGCGCACTTGGGATATGTGGCACACACTATTCAATCAAATAGATTCGCGGTTCGAGTACATATGTGCTACCCGCCCGAACGGTTCCATGTATTCATTTGTCGAGTTTGTATGGGACCGATAGGGGTAGCACTATATGTTGTGTTGTTGATAAGGGGTCGTTCCATCTTGTACCACAGATCCAATAAAGGGGCTATGTATTTCGGTACATCACTATCACGAACAATTTTTTGGCTCTCTTCGAGTCATTGATAATATCAAATAGAATAGAGATCCTTCTCCCAAATAAAGTAATTTAATTGGGTAGGTATATATGTCCACCCTCGGACGCTCCACCTTTATCCAATCAGTGCTCCGGAATTTACAAGGTTATAACCCCCCTTTTCTTACCTAGGCAACAAGCTACATATTCCGACATCCTCCTACGCCGCATCGATTTATCTCATCCTCAATCATTAACGTACCTATATTCCAAAATGCGTAAGCCGGCTGCACCTGACATAACATTTGAGGACTGGATAATTAGCCAGCAGGATAATAACTCCTTTGAGGAGGGAGACGATCTCCTAAACAGCCCTAGAGATGAAGACTCTACGTACGCTCGCGCCGTCAGCCCCCAAGGATCTAATACCTCGAGTAATAGTGAAATTGAAATGGAGGCCGAAGGTCTCTGTTCTCAATGCATGCGACTCGTGAACCACGTTGATTCAATAAGGGGACAAAGCGGGCACAACATGGATATTCCTATGCGAACCAAGCTATCTGCCATGAGAACCTCTCCTTGCGACATCTGCAGAATCATATATCGAGGCCTAGACGAGATTATGGGCTTCAATGAGATTAACGACTGGTTCTTCCGATTAACAGTAGCCGTTGACTATTTCTTTCGCGTAAGCTCTAGAGGCGTTAAACCTCATAAAGGCCCCGGCTTATACAAACTACCAGACTGGAAATGCGACCTTTACTTCTTTACCCCAGACGGTAATTTACACTGAAGCCTACTTTATACGATCAAGACACTGACATATTAGGTGGAATCTGTCCTTGGGGTCTATTTCCTACATCGCCTCTTTATAACATCACGCCAATTGGCTCTGAAAGATTCTTCAAAAGAGCGCTGCAATTCGTACAACAATGCGACTTGAATCATTCGTGTTTACCGCAAGATAAGACCTCATTATTACCTACGCGAGTGGTTGACATCGGAAAAAGCGGCTTGGATGACGTGAAATTACTCTCTACAGAGGGCCGCAAGGGTCGGTACATCTGTTTGAGCCACTGCTGGGGCGGACATCAGCCAATTCAGACGACGAGTCAGACACTAGAAGCATACTCTACATCACTCCCATTTCAAAAGATACCGAGAACCTATCAAATCGCAATGGACTTTGCTCGTAGACTTGGTGTTCGTTACATCTGGATCGACTCCCTATGCATCATTCAGGACGACAAGGATGACTGGTCTCGCGAGTCCGCAAATATGTGCGATATATACGAGAACAGTTACCTTACAATTGCTGCAACATCTTCCCCCAACTGTTCGTTTGATATCTTCAAGACAGAGTCGCGGAAACTAGCAGATATCGCCGGCCAAAGCGCCACCGGAAAACCGTACCGAGTAATGGCTGTTGATGGGCTCCGGCATCCAGATATCGATACACCACACGACATCATGTTAAGAGACTGGCCACTTTTGAGTCGCGCGTGGGTCTTTCAAGAAAGGCTTCTATCCCCGCGCATCCTGCACTTAACTCAATTCGAGATCATCTGGGAATGCAAGGACGGGTCCATGTGCGAATGTGGCAATATGCCATCCTCCAGCAAAGAACACCATCACACGCTTCTAGAAACGTTGTCCGGCTCAGCACTAGCGATCAGATGGCATGATATGGCTGAATGGTATTCCAAACTGAGCATAACGTACAATTCAGACAAGCTGCCCTCATTATCCGGACTAGCGAAGCAAATGGCGAAAAAGCGACCAGACGCGAAATACCTCGCCGGGCTGTGGGAAGACTCGTTGGCCGTGGATCTCCTCTGGAAAAGAAACGAGTATGCGGATAAACCACATGCCCCGTCAGCCAGGATAACCGAATGGATCGCGCCTTCGTGGTCTTGGGTCTCTCTTGGTGCACCGGTCCATTTCCCCTTCGGTCCGTTGGTATCTACCGGAAAAGGGGTTCCACGGCCGAAGGCAAACTGGGTCGAGACCTTTCCGAAGCTCTTCGAAATCGAGTGCGATTTAGCGACGTCTGATATAACGGGGAAGATTTCCGGTGGTTTTATCAAGATTACCGGGAGAGTTATCCAAGCCACTTTAAACACCACTCTCTCTTACGATGGAATCTCAAAGGTAAGTAGAGTTTCGCTGCCTTTAGAGGGAGATGAGAGTCTTCACGCGGCTATTAAGTATTTCAACGACCCGATGGTTTCGGGAATTGTGGATCTTGACTACCCGGAGGACTACCAAGGCGATGAACAAGGCGGACAATGGGATGTGTTGGTGGTGCCGATAGCAAGGGTTCAGAGATTGGACGAGTCTATTTCTCAAGTTGAAGAAGTCGACTACTCACTAGTACTTACAAAAATTGACGACCAAGAAAAATATAAGAGAATCGGGTTGGCGAGGGAGAAGAGAGATTCGGGGGTTCAACGGTATGTCGATGACCCTGCGATGATGTGGCGGGAGAGGCCCGGTTGCTTTGCCAATCTTGGTTCGGAGAAGACAGTCACGATTATTTGAGCTTGAATTATAACCTTGGGTAGGTAGATAAATCTTGTTGGATAGGCAGTAAATAGTTGTTGTACCTAGTATTTTCTCATGTTTGAATCGAAACGAGGGGCAGATGACCTAATCTAGTTGATTACATAATACCAGCATTTCAAGATGACTAAACTCGAACAATCGGCTGAGCTAATCAGCTGACATAATGTTTGATTACCTAATTCAGCATAACATAAGCGAGATGGCTTCTTAGTAATCATATCCTCAGAAACACATCGCGTAATTACTCCTCTATGCCTCCTTAATACATAAAGAAGTTCCATAGATTTTATATTACACATATCTAAGTAGAGCCAGGATATACACATTAAACTCAGACAACCGCCTCGCAACGCTGGCATAGCGTATCCTCCTTTGGCGCGGTGTAGCGCCAGCAGCGGGGACACTTGGCCTGAGTAGGGGGCAACACCGTAACCTGCCCCTCGACACCATTGACGAAATCTCGAGCATAGGACCACTCTGTCGTTACGTCTGCTGGGGAGTTTATTTGGACCGATGAGACGACGAATATGGACTCCAATTCGTCTTTATATTTCTGTAGTACTTTCAGGAGCACGGCGTCCTTACTCCGGATGTTGACTGAACACTGTAGAGACTGACCCACGTTCTTGTCGTTTCGGGCATTTTCAAGACATAATTGGATGGTACCGTGGACCGACATAAGAACCGGGATATCTTCTCTTAGTGACGTGAGATCGTGCGTGAGTCGGCTAGGATCAATGATGGGATCGGTGTAGAACTGATGGAATGGGTATGTAAAAGATCTATATCGTGATTGTCAGTTTATAGAATATTAAGGGGCTCTGTTGATTAGGGAGAACATACGGGTCTTCTTTCACCCACTCGGGGCGGTGATCCCACGCCTCCTCGACGATTAGCGGCGCCATTGGTGCCAGCATCCTCAGAAGGCCAGTTAGTACGGGTTCGATAACACCTCCACCATCCCCGCAGTAAAGTCGATCTTTCAGCGCTTCAAGGTAGAACGCTGATAAATCGACTGATATCCATCTATTCAGGACAGCATATCCTTTATGAAACTCGTGGTTGTCAAATGCCTCTCCCACTTCTTTCATCGTATCCTGTAATTGTATGATAGCAATATGATCCAACACGGATAGAGGTGAGGTTCGGGCAGATTTATGCATTGAGCCAAGCAGCATCTTCACAATGACTCGATACTTGATTAAAGCCGCGTGGATGGCGCTGAGGACTGGAGCACTGATAGCCACATCGCGAGTATAAGTACTGCTGGCTGCCCATAATCTTAGAGCATCTGGACCCAAAGCATCGTAGGTCGGTTGCGCCTGAGCTGCTGCCTTATTTTTCTTCGGCTTAACAGGTGGCAGGATAGAACCATCCATAACTTCCTGTGGGTCTATGATGTTACCCAGTGATTTAGACATCTTCCTACCGTCTTGGTCAAGTGTAAATCCATGGGTGATCAATTGTTTGAAAGGGGCACCTTTCTCGAAATTTCCGTCTTCTTGGGCTCCTGCAGCAATTCGAGTGAGAAGACTGGACTGGAACCAACCGCGGTGCTGGTCAGTTCCCTCGAGGTAGACATCTGCGCGGCCTGACATCATAGTCCAGCTGCTTCCACTATCAAACCATACATCCATAGTGTCCGTTCCTCGTCGGTATTCACCCTGGTCCCTCAGTGAAGGTGGGATCCAGGCTATGTCATCCGCAGCGTCCGACCACCAGGCCTGAGTTCCTCGCTCTTGAATGAGAGATATGATATGTTCGACCACTTCTTCGTTTACCACAGCCGCGCCTTTATCATCGTATAGCGCAGGGATAGGGACACCCCAAGCACGCTGTCGAGATATGCACCATTCGCTTCGGCCTTGGATGAAGCTCTCAAGTCGCTTTTTACCGCCTGTCGGAATAAAACGAATGTTTTGAAGGGATTTAAGGGCTTCTTTTTTGATAGATTCAACATCGGCGAACCATTGTTCGGTAGCTCGAATGATCACAGGTTGCTTGGTTCTCCAGTCATAGGGATACTTGTGTGTGTGTTTTTCCGTCCATAAAACGTCGGCATACACCTGAAGAAGACTAAGCACATCCTGACCGCCACCTTCGATTACAGAAGGAGATGATAGCAGTGCTTCTGGTAGGTCGGGGAAGGCATCCTCCGTGAACCTTCCGTGATCATCAATAGGAGCTACCACAGGAATACCAAGGGAGCGGCAGACTTCGTAGTCGTCGAAACCGTGACCGGGAGCAAGATGTACGAGTCCAGATCCTGAGTCCGCTGACACGAAATTTGCATGTATAATAGGCTGCGGGGGGCCGGTTTTGCCCCGAAGTCTGTTGAAGTACTTTAAACCAGCTAGCTTTGTACCAGGAAGAGTTCCAAGAACTTCGACATGATCCTTCGCGCCGATTTTAGAGGTAAAGGTATCAACACGGCTCTTAGCGACAAGCAGAGCATTGACTCCAGACAACACGATACAGTATTCTAAATCTTCGTGTATAGCAATAGCCCTGTTCGCGGGTAATGTCCAGGGAGTTGTAGTCCATGTCACGGCATACAAGTTTCCCTCGACCAGGGCTTGAATGTCATGAAACTGGGGGAGTGTCCTCCAATCATCAGTGATCTGAAATCTGACCCAGGCAGAATTCGAAACATGGTCGTCTCGGTATTCTAGCTCGGCTTCGGCCAGGGCAGTTTTCGAAGAGGGTGACCAGTAGACGGGCTTAAACCTACGATAGATCAAGCCTTTCTTAACCATCTGTTGGAATAGACGAAGCTGGCGCATCTCAAACTCCGCATCCATCGTAGTCCATCGTTGATCCCAGTCACCCATGACCCCGAAAGATCGAAATGCTTTCATCTGCTTCAAGATAGTGTTGGATGCTAGATTACGGGCGGACTTCCGGATCTCAATAGGAGTAAGTTTGGCATTCTTAGAATTCTCGAGAGCCTTGAGCTCGATTGGGAGCCCGTGACAATCCCATCCTGGAATGTAATTCACTCTTCGGCCTACGTATCCCTAAGTATAAGATTCACGTCATTTAAGAATTTGGTATAGCTTGTGTCTAATTAGATGCTGACCTTGTTGAATTTTTGTTCTTAAAATCATATCCTTCAAGATCTTATTTAGCGCATGGCCGACATGAAGTTTGCCATTGGCGTAAGGAGGACCATCATGGATCACAAAAGTGTCCTCGGCAGGCAGATTTTGCCTTTGCCACTCATAGAGATTATCAGTGCATTGCTGAAGATACTGCTCCCGTAGTTTAGGAACGGGTCTCGGACTAATCCAACAAAATCAGCTTCAGTAGAGTAGGATATGCCAGAGAAATTCGCGTACGGAAACGTAGATTTCGGCAATTTCAGTGTTGCCGACCATGATTTCGACATGGTCTCTTCCAGACCATTGTCGTGGCGGCTGTTCAAGGGGGATATGAAAATCTAGCCAAATCGCATCATGAGAATTCAAATATTTTACTTTACAGTGAAGCGCCAGTTAGTTTAGTGATTGTTATCGATAAGTAGATAGCTTAAGCCACGCAATCAGAGTGAGGCTAAGGAATTACAAATCCAAGCCTCAATTGGCCAATCAATCTTTTTCAAATCGTTAAACCTGAGCCACAGGCACACGGATTTTAGGCAGCTGCATCCCCTGTATATGGATTATCGATAAGGAATAACAGTGACCTCATAGGCACCTGCGCACATTCCACAGTCTTTACGCCTTTACATGTAATCCTTCGAAACACAAACTCACCTATCGAGAAATGTGTTGCGTACAATCTTGCAATGGCGCCAATTCGCCGATACCTTCGCATCACCAAATATTCCGTCATTGAATGCCGAATTTACCTTGACAATCCTGCCCTTGCTCATACTTGGCTCTTGAGTCCGAGGAATCCGATGTTGCCAAGAGTTATCGAGAGTGTGCGCCCACTCGTATTACCCAAGCTACGTGAGGAACGGGAGCGAAGTAGAAAGCGGAGTACTAAGAAGAAAGGGATCAAGGATGTTGTGGTCGAAGGTAGGTCTCATTACCTAGCATCTAGCCCGTCTAGTGCATAGAACATCATCACAATAAACAACGGACAATGGACACGGACCCGCAGCGAAGCAGAGACTGCAGAGTACTGTACATTATCTATCACGGGACTTTGCGCAATGCCTCAGAAGATCTACCAGAATAATGCAGCGATGTAACACATTATAGATGATTTCGAGGTATCCATATTCCTGACCGAGACAAGCACCCGCCACGCGCTCCTCACGAAGCACAAGCACTTCCACGACACCACCCAAACCAAGCTAACCTCTAATTCCGCACGCTTGATTGGTGAGACCAACGAGGCACCCATCGATGTCGATGCTACGACAGGACTAGGTCCAGTAATCAGGCGTGAGGAGAGCGACGACGACGAAGATGCTGCGGTGGCCTTGGCAGCCATCCCAGCGGCAGATGAGACCGCAGCGGGTAGCAACAGTAGTAGCGGCAGGCGACCCAAGCGCGCACGCAAGAATACAGAAACAGAAATAGCCGCAGATCCCGACCTAGATGTGGAGATCGTCTCGGATAGCCAGGACGAAGATGACCAAGACGACGAGGACGATCAAGACGGTCTATTCGTGCATGACGACGACGTTAGCACGAGGCCGCCACCGCCCAAACGTCGCAAGGGATCTGCGAAAGAAGTGGACGAAAGTGCCGAGGCCGAGATCGAAAATGACAAAGACGACAAGAAGAAATTAGCGATGGACATCTCGTACGAGGGATTTTCTATTTACGGACGCGTGCTGTGCCTCGTCGTCAAGCGCCGCGACGGTAACATCGGCTCCGGCCCCCAACAACAACAAGCGGGCCGTGGCAGCAAGGCCGCGACCGCTGCGGCCGGGAGCCATGCGACGAAACATGGGGGCGGGGGTCAGGCTATGATGGAGAACTTCATCATCTCCACCCAAGTGCCGGCGGGCGCAGAGCCGTCGTGAACCCCATCGCGATAGATACGTTATTACAATGTCTCATTACTAATACATACACATACACTACGCTACCGTCTTCTACCCGCGATGGATTCGCGCGCGGTAGCATCCATGCACGTCACCCAATCTTCGACCACGTGGGCTGTAGGATTCGGCCGACCACTCGATTTTTGACGAGGGGTCGTCTAGCATACGGCATGTTCTCTTATTATTTTTTTCATCTATTTATGCGCGCCGGCTTACTAGTCGTATGCGGCCGCACGTCCGTTCTAGAGCGATCTATTCGACATGGAACGCCAGAAAATTCTCAAGATATGGCAGATCGTTGATCGTTGCGGTGTGGTGTGTATGCGGGCGTAGCTTAGTAGCAGTGGTCGCAAAAGGGGGGGACTTGGCTCTCGTCCATACGCTGCCGTCGCAGCAAACTCCCAGATCCTTCTGCGGTGCAACCGTCACAATATACCTATCCCATCCGCGCCACCAGATTCTTCTCAGACCTTCTCCGTGTCGGTGCCCATGGAATCCACGGATGCGCTACCCCCCTAGGCAACCTACCTAAGCTTTCTCTCCTATGCCACGTTGTATGTGTATCTGTATATGTATATGCAAGACCAATGCAGCCTCCTTTTCAGATCACTTGATCCAGGAGCGCTCGAGATAGGCTACCTGGGCATATCGGCGCATGCGGGCTATTAGCTAATCCAATGTTTTTAATCTAAATGAAATCGCAAGAACCTTGAACCGCCCGGCTTCGTTCGATGTGTCGTGACGTATGTATCGATGGGCTGCAGAATGATTTGAAATCGTCGTCCTTCATTCTTTTTTTTTCGTTCGACTAGTAGGTCGATACTCGTACACCGCCTGTCTAGCCCCCAACCCGTGGTTGTGCCGATTCGGGGGTTTCCCTGCTTCTGAAATTTTCGAACAGCGTTTTTTTGACCTACATGATACTAGCTAGGCATTTGGTAGGTGAAAAGAAGTTTTTTTTTCAAAGGCCGGGCTTTTTAATTGACCGCGTCTTACATGGACTCTCCGTGGATATTCGCCAGCGGTGGCGATTGGGGATGTGGGCGTATAGGCGGTTTTCCAAGGACTGACTGCATGTTTTAGTATGTGCATATTAGGTATGTGCTAAGAAGTAAGAAATCGTGAGGTGAGAGTGAGAATAGGGGAGGCGGTCTGCGGTCTTGGTTTACTTACTTACTTACCCCTTAAAACTAGATATTCGGGCTGGATATTGGTCCTAGGTAGATGCGAATGAATGGTTTACGTACGAGAGGTCATGTCGAACATAGCGATACTCGTGGCATAGGTAACTACCGAGCCGTGCCGCCGGATCCGGACCGTACGTTAGGTACGTAATTTCGGAGAAGGGGCTCACGTAAGGGGCTCCTGCTTCCCGTGCCGCACCGATACGTCTCGGCTCGTAGCTCGGGGGATGTGGTTGTGATAAGGTTATTCTACATTGTTGCTTCCCTCGTTTTAACCTTGGAAGTTACCATGGTTGGAAGGTACAGACGACTTGAGGGAAGGATATTATTAGGTAGTTGCCTTGGTATGCTATTTTAAGTATAGGAATAGGGGTTCGTGATTTTCATTATATTGGAACTCTTTAACGGTAAAGGTTTATAATTGGTCCTACGGGTAAAGAAATTTACATACCTACTACCCAACACGAACCAAACTAATGGAATAGACTTCATCGCTTAAGATGAATGTCTGCTACTTCTTGGGGTAGGTATCACGGAGCTATTAGATAGAAGACATATTGCTTATCGAAATAGTCACTGAGTAGCCCTTTAACTACCTCATTAGATAAATAGTGTCTTATAATAGAACTAAACATGACATACTTCTTTATGATAAGCCATCACTTCATACCTTGCTAGGCTTAGTTAGGTAGGTTGACGGATATAATGAAAATATTGAATACTTCGACTTCAGCAGGCGTATCTATACTCACTCTAGGACTACTTGCTCATGTAGGTCCCTCATCACGACGTCAAAAGCGTGGATTGGTATCACAATGCAGGTAGAATAGCGTGCGCCGCCACCAACGTACAACACAAACGACACATCATACTCGGTTCCATAATACCTACGGTGAGAATACCATATGGAGTTGTCCTTGTTGGTGATCGTTCCGCGTTGGCGGTGACGACCGGTGACGACGGCTTTTGTGGCTTGAAGCCTTCACCGTAGTTGAAGGACAGCACTGTAATAATGCGCGCATGGAATTTGCGACTCCCAACACGCAGGTACTCCGATTCCTAACTTGGGACCTTTCACCGGACTTTTTTGTGATGTGTCAATATGATCATTAGGTGATAGGTAGTATCCTTAGCGCATGTAGCATCTATCATGCGAACACTTCTAAATTTGTCCACTTGCGCTGTCTAGGTAGGTACCGTACCTATCTAAGGGAAGCACTAGCTAAAGGTGCTAGCGTCTAAAAAGTGCGACGTGCTCGGCGAACCGTAAATAGAAGCCTGGAGCAAACAGGTTTTATCGCCGACCTGGTCTAAATGTAGCTCCGGCCGGTTTTCATGATATCCCCGCACAGCCCGGCCGCGTCGGTGGCCGTTGTTTGTCTCAAGCGTTTTCACCTTGCGGTGTCTATCGACAATCCGCAGGCTAATGATTGTTCATCCACCAAGGGTCGTTGGAATTATGGTTGCGACTATGGTTGGGAGTTAAATTTGGAGTAGTTCGCTCATCCATGGATGTCTCCTCGTGTCGTACCGTGAAGGAACGGTCATTTACCGTGGTCCCGGACCTGGATAACTAGCCCCCCGTGCATCGGGCTTTGCTACCCCGGTTGCGGCGGAGTGCATACGGAACCAAGGCGGCTAGATCATGTATTTTTGACTGACCTCTCGTAAGCGCTCTTCCAGATAGGTCAGCAAACAGACCGTGGTTATTCTATTATGGTTATGACCACCATGATCTTTTGGTTGCTCCTAGTCAGGAGGTCAGACTCTATCCAACCGCGACTACAGGACTAATGCGCGGTAATCATATTGTCTATGCGATATGGAATCCGACTGCATTTTCTGATATTGTAAGCAGTCTTCAAGGACATGGTGGCCATGGCGTTTAGATGCTTACGGGTTTTGGGCTGGCTGGGCATGCAAGCTATCAAACAATTACAGTCGATTCGTTAGCCTCTTCTCGTTTGGCGTTTTGCGTGCGGCGACCACCCCTGGGCTCTACTCAGCCTGCCTGCGCTACGACATAAGATGTACAGTACATCCATTGTTTCTTCTTACCCCGGTCGTCATCGTTGGGAGAACAGGTTCGCCGATTTGGGAATGGCTCGGGTTCCACGGAGATTTTTTTTCTTTTCTGATTATTATTCTTATTTTATTGCTACCTGTCGATCGGATATTGAAGGCAGGATCTGCTCTCAGCAAGCCTAGTGCGGCCTATAATACTTATAATATCATCGATAATTCATACTATATAAGGGCGTATCGTCAGCTGACGATAGGAAATATTACCAGGTAGTTTGAAGCGTCGGTTCCGTCGGCCATTTATTAGCCCAGGTAGGTTGCGCAATCCCGGTAGACATTGGGCATTACTTGGTATTGGCAAATACAGGTAAGTAGGAGGGTATACTCCGTACGTCCGTTTAGTGTATGTGTGTGTATGTGTGTGTATGTGTGTGTATATGTCACTGTATGAGTAGGGGAAAAGGGAAAAAATGTATCACCATATCACAAATAACGGTGTCGTGCCGTACCGTGTCACTCCCTCGTCGACCCCTCCATCATCTACATCCTCCAATTATCATGAACTTTCCCCTCTGCCCTGACTGGTGTGACACACATCAGCGTGGGTAGGGCGGGAGAGAAGTTCCTTGGGATAGCCTACCATTGGCCGATCGGGAGATAGATCGAGACATAGGATTGGCCGAGAGAGGAACAAGAGGGTGTGAGGACGGACCCCTCCCTTCGTCCCCCCTTCGTCATCACGACTGATATCTCCTCATCAAGCTTATCGGGCTGCATCTGCGGCCTAGGTCCCAATCCTATTCTACGCGTACCATTGGGACTGTGCCTCCAGGGACACGTGTGTCGCGAGATTGCAGATCAGAGACGCTTGGCGAACCCAGAGCTTCGGATTCCCTCGGCAGAGTGGCGGGGTGTTTCCTCCCTCGCCCTTCGGGTTCCTTCACTTACTCGTCTTTTCACGGTTCATGATCATGAATGCGATGCTACAGTACATCGACCGTTCATCGAACTTACCTTCCGCGTCGTATGATAAAAGAGAGATTGGGGTCCGCGCCGATCAGTAACCATCCCCCGGACCGCGGTGCTACTTATTAATCGTCGAATACGACGGTGGCTTGTTCAGCCACTGGCCGTGTCGCAATTCGATCACTATTACATAGTCCGTAACATGTGTATGACTGCGTACGTATTGGATTTCTTTCTTGTTGGCCTGAGCCCCCACCAATACATGTATCACGGCTCCTTTCGTGATGCGCCATTAGAGTGCTGCCCACCATCTCTCATACACGACGCCGATGTACACTTCGTGGTGGTGGGTTGAGGTTAGCGAGGGGTAGTTGATCTTCGACGATTAGTTTGTGCCTGTCAGACCGACTGTGTTTTGTTGATGGACAAAAGCTCCCGCTTATCCGTCGTTCGGCACCCTTGGCCTGTTTTAGTGGCCGCGTGACCAAATCGAATGCGGTTGGCGCATAAGTAGGATGGGGAATGGGAAATTTGCGCGAAAAAAAGGAACAAAAAAACAAAAGGACGATATGGTGGGCTCGGTAATATCAATATCGATGTCATTAGAGATCTTACCAGGTATGGTTCATGCTAGACTAGCTAGCGACGGCTAACGATCATGGTACGAGTACTGGTACCTGTCAGAGAGGAAGTGTGGTATAGGTATATTCCTCATATGAAGGCGCCACATTAAGACGATCGATAGAGCAGGCTCGCATATTCCCCCACATTACCGGCCTCAAACAGTAGTATCCTCGGGCGATCGAGTCTTGGTCGATACATCCTCCCCGAGACAGCGGAAGAGAGGATGCGATCGGGTTTCCTAATCTTTCACCCTTGGCCCGAACAATAATACTAATCGTGAGGCTTGAGCGATGATGTGATATCGA